AGGAAAACTATAATATAGGGTAAAGTAGCTAGACTAGAACGACGATCCGGAATAGTACTCGGCGTCCGACTTTAAGAATACGCCTTATAAAGTAAGAGATTATTATATAGCGAACCCGAATAAGCTAGGCCCGCCTCGACACTTGAAGGAATAGATACGGAACTAGGAGAATAACGAGACTTCGACGGAGTACGAAGACGACGATAAGCCTAAGGATAGGCTTACCTAGAGAGGGGGGTAATATTATAGCCGTAAGTACAGATAGACCAGATCTAACTAGATCTAACCAGATCTGACCTAACTCGACGATATGTCCTATACCGATTAACACCGTGCTAAGTACGGACGAACCGTAACGGGCCGACGTTATCCCGGACGAGGTACGGGATAAGCGTATGTCTCTGATTGGTCATATAGGAAGAGCGGCTTGACATACTAGCGCCTTAGTAAGGGTAGTTACTATATAAAAGTGTGGCGTCGCACCCTTTCCTTCCTTCCTTCCTTTCTTCTTTCCCTTAGTTTAGTCTCTCGTTATATAGGAATATATATCCTTGGAGTCTTCTCCATCTCACATGTGCCCTGCCGTCACATACTTAGCTTAACTAGATCTATCGATTAATAGTAAGAAAAATAGAAATATTTTTACTTTATGCGCGTTATTGCGGCTACGGAATGCCCTTTGGAATCTGATGGAACCTATCGATGGGTACCATCGAGCACAGTAGTAGAATCTCAATAGATCTATCCTACGCTTTTCTGGGCGTGATAAGTCACGTCTTATAAATAAATAGCCGCGGCCACCAGTTGAAACGCTAAAAATTAGCGTATACAAAACCTTTAGTGCGCGCCCTTATAACTTAGTCTCGCCCACCGGAGCATCTCCGGCGCGATATTATTGACCTTTTTGTCTAGATTTCAGTTATCTACTGCAGAACTATTAAACTTCATGATCATAATTTTGCTGTTGCTGACAAGCGCGAAACCTTCGAGACGATGGCCAACTACGAAATACCGACAACCATGAAAGCCCATGTGCTTGAGCAATACAATATGCCTTACCAACTCCGCGATCTCCCAACACCGGTTGTTGAGGATATAAACGACATCCTCATCAAAGTGGACGCGGCTTCATATTGCCACACCGATGCTGTCCTGGCATCAGGCAAGATGCGTCCGCCACCACTTCCACACATCGGCTGCCACGAATTTGCAGGGACTGTCGTCCGTCTTGCTGGCACGCCATCATCTCACGGGTTGAAAATTGGCGACCGCGTGGCTGTCCCGGGCCGTGGTAATCACGTTTGTGGGAGATGCCTTGAGTGCCAAAATCCGTCTGGCCCGCTCCCCGATAAGCCTGGTTATTCTGTCTACTGCCCCAATGCTGGTGGTGGGCTTGGTGTAGGTAGCAAACCAGGCGGATTCCGAGAATACGCCGTCGTCGATTCGAGACAGGTAGCCGTCATTCCGGACAGCATGACGGCGGTGGAAGCGGCGCCACTCATGTGCGCGGGCCTCACGATCTTTGCAGCTCTGAGAAAATGCGAGCTCAACCCTGGTCAGAGAGTTGGCATTATGGGGTGTGGAGGCGGACTTGGACACTTGGGTCTGCAGTTTGCTACCAGAATGGGCTTGAACACGATCGGTATCGACATAGCACCACACGCGCTGGAACTTGCAAGGAATTTGGAGACGGGAGCTACGATTGTCGATGCTTCGGCCAAAAGCGCAGCAGATGTCAAGCGGGAGATGGGTAAAGAGGACGTCAGGAAACATCCGTCAGAGATGGGTTTGGATGCGGTGATAATTTTGCCAGAGAGTCAGAAGTCATTTGACTACGGAATGCAGCTACTGAGGAACGGCGGTCTCTTGTTCTGGTTTCTTTCCCACCAGAGGGTTTCCATGTTTCAGCGGATGACCTGGTATTTCGTCGCATTCGTGTGGTTGGTAGCTTGATCGGCTCCAACAAGGCCATGAGAGACATGTTTGACTTCTGTGTCAAGCATGGAGTCAAGGCAAAGATCAAAACCTATCCGTTTCCGAAGCTCAATGAATTGGTGGAGGACTACCATTCTGGAATTGGTGGGAAGTTAGTTCTGGACATGAGCACTGGGTGAATGGTCTGGCTGCTAAGTGCTTGGACAAGGACACTCTCGCAAGTATTGTAACCGTGTCGCTTTATGGGACGTTGAAAGTTCTACTCAACTCCAGCAAATACGATCGAGATCCGATGGAATTCGCGGGGAGAGTGTAAACTCCGTAGCCGATGACTAAGGAAACACCTATCCGAAAAAATCGGGAGTTAAGACAAAGTTCGGCACGAAATGACTTGCTAACGTCGGAACCCAGTCGTCCACGACTGGACGAAACAGTCCCTGTAGAGAGAGATATCGTCATTAGCGTGCGATGCTGTTGGACTCATCTTTTAAAACATGAGCATGAGGACCGTGGGCCCTATTACAGCGCATATGTACCCTCGCCTTCATTGACTCAATTTGCATTCTCTAACATCGATTATACATCATTTCTGCAGGTGGTATAAAAGAGATGGTGAAGAGCTGCACGATGACGGCATCTGCCGTTAAAGTTCTCGGCCCTCGCAAAATTCTGCCGCAACAGCTGTATACATCCTCAGGCGAACCGCATCTCGATCGAGGGTATACAGAGATTAACTTGCTTTTCGACGTCTGGGTAACACCAAAGAGTGCTCAATTTATGACACTTCCGCGCAGCCAAGCAAGGCCAGGTTCGTGTAACAATCATTCAGTTTTACGGGCCACCGCACAGACTAAGATACACATCCAGGTTCTGCGCTTCTAGCTGGTAGCGTACGAAGAGGCTGGTGCACGGGGCCGAGTTCAACGCTGTTGCTCAATGATTCGTTGGAAGGTTGCTATAACCCGCCATCTGCGTGTAAGAAGTCTAGTCATCGGATTCTATTGCCTGGTTCTCATTCTGGTTCCCAAACCGGTGGTCGCGACGTCGATCAGAGGCCAGTCAAAGTCTACATTTTCAACGACGTCACAGAGGGAAACTTTGTAACAAGTTGTTCGCTGCAGTCTGGACCAGTGAAAATCTGGGGAGGGGTTCGTTAGCGGCAGTCTTTCCCCGCGAAATGCGGGCAATACTCGAGCCAGTTCTCTTGTTTCATCGGGCTGAAAAGTTCGGCTTTGCATGTCGGCGAGGGGTATTACAGCCGACGTTGGACAGTCAAATCACAGCCGGTGACACGCAGCAGATCGGTAGAAAGACGGCATTCTAGCCGGAGAAGCAGCATCATTGTCCACATTGGGCGGTCGTGGGTGCCCCGGAATATTGCGCCAATAGATGCCACAGTGGCGGATTCCTGACCCACCGGCCCCAGCTATTGGCGGCCTAACGATAGGGAGGCTACGCTATCGAACAAAAGCTGGACCCAATATACCGAGCACCAGTCGCACTTTGACATGGGTAATCTGTTAAATTAGGAGTAAACCCTTACATACGCGACGGCACGCTGACCATGGTGGCTAGCGATCCATATGCACAATGTCGTCGTGTGCTTGACGGGTCTGCCGCCTATCCGCCGGCGCAGGATCGAAGGTTGCTATATAGGTGAAGATCGTCGCGCCAAACCACAGGGGTCCCCAAGGAAGCTTAATTACAATTGGCAGAGCTTCCAAGATAGTCAAGACCGGACAACGACAATCATCCACCGAAGCCAAGGGTTTCTTGTGCACACGATCGTCATCTGCGCATCTGAGACTTCAACGCGTTGTAACGCTGATCCGGACCCGTCCCGATGGATCACCTCGAAGTGTGCCCTTTCGTTGCGAAAATGTGAGTGATTCAACCAACAAGAAGTGCGATATGGGAGACCTTTGACCCTCAAGGCCCACCAACCTCCCTTTACAGGTACTCTTTGGGCATCGTTGGCTGGAGACACCGGTCCCTTGGTTGCGGGGCAAGCTGGACAACTTCTCATGGGAGACATTGCGCGTGCCAGTCACAAAGCATGTATCTCCAGCTGGGGCCTGCTGTTCACGCGTTGGGACCCGGTGGAGTTTACGAGCGATGATTGTCTGCCCCCGCTTGAGCATGTGGGTTGGCAGTCGAAGTAATAAACCCCAGTGAGCCGCTGATGTTTTCTTTTCTCTTCTTCAATCGGCCTGATAAGTTGCTCTGCCACGACACGCACCAAGATGGCATCCGAAGATCCTCAGATCACGCACGATGCTGCGAACGGGTAAGCACTCACCAGCCTAATCCTGTAGAGCAGTTTAGTTGATTGGACCCAGTGGCGACGACGAAAAGTACGTCGGTGAAAAGCACGAGACAGCCTATATCGACTTGGAGAACAGCGCAACAGCAAAGTATGTCAATGACCCACCACCTGCGCTCTTTGTGACTGAAACACGATAGGATCAAAAACCCTTTGGCTCACCTCTCGAACGAGGAAGTCATCAAGGATGTCGAAGAGTTCTCTAGAAACAATGACTTCGCAGACATGACGGACCTGCTCGTGAGAGGCGCTCTCGTCGCCAAGGATCCTCCAGCATTTGAGAGCGTTCCAGGCCTGACGGAGCCTGAGAAAGAAGCCATCCGCAATGAGGTCTTGCATAAGTGGCGCCAGCCAAAGTCTCTCTACTTCACGATCATCCTTTGTTCGATCGGCGCAGCTGTTCAGGGCTGGGATCAAACCGGCTCCAACGGCGCCAACCTCTCCTTCCCTGAAGCTTTGGGCATTCCCGTCAGCGACCTGTTGGCGAATGGACAACCAAACCCGAACGCCGCTCGCAATCAATGGTATCAAGGCCTGATCAATGCCGGGCCATACATTGCCTCAGCATTCCTGTAAGTGTGGTCTTTCATTGACAATTAGCAAGCAAAAATATTGACCTCTCTCAGTGGTTGTTGGTGCTCCGATCCGCTCAACAACTTCTTTGGCCGAAGGGGAACCATCTTTGTATCTGCTGTCTTCTGCTTCTTGAGCCCGATTGGTTCCGCTGTCGCACAAAGTAAGTACAGAGTCGGCCTTCGCATGGAATACTTTCTGACTTTACACAGCATGGGATCAACTTCTTGTCACCCGACTCTTACTAGGCATTGGTATGGGCTGCAAAGGCTCAACAGTCCCGATTTTCAGCGCAGAAAATGCGCCTGCATCAGTCCGAGGTGGCCTGGTCATGAGTTGGCAGATGTGGACCGCGTTCGGTATTTTCTTGGGCACTTGCGCCAATCTTGCCGTCAAGGACACTGGATCTATATCATGGCGCCTGCAGTTTGGCTCTGCCCTGCTCCCTGCCTTGCCTCTTCTTATAGGAGTTTACTTCTGCCCAGGTCCGTCACCAATAAATCTTACAACGGATACATGACTGACAGCACCCAGAATCTCCTCGTTGGTACATCAAGAAGGGCAAGTATCGCAATGCCTTCAGATCACTCAAGCGCCTCCGGAACACCGAACTTCAAGCCGCCCGTGATCTGTACTACATCTATGCTCAACTCCGCATGGAAGCCAGCCTGGTCAAGAAGAAAACCAACTACGTGACACGCTTCATACAGCTGTTCACCATTCCACGAGTTCGTCGTGCCACGCTGGCATCTTTCACTGTCATGATTGCACAACAGATGTGCGGGAGTAGGTGAAGTCAGTCCTTACATTGCAGCATGTACTGATCCATGCACAGTCAACATCATCGCCTTTTACAGCTCCACCGTATTCTCGGAGGCCGGTGCTTCCGTCACAGACTCACTTCTGGCCTCCTGGGGTTTTGGATTGGTGAACTTTGTATTCGCTTGGCCTGCCATCTGGACCATTGACACGTTTGGTCGCCGGTCACTTCTGCTGTTCACTTTCCCTCAGATGGCTTGGACATTGCTTGCTGCTGGCCTTTGCTATTTGATTCCCGATTCAAGCTCGGCACATCTGGGTCTGGTCGCCCTCTTCATTTACTTGGTATGTTCGGAAAGCTTTCGTCGCCAAGAAACATGGCACACTAACATGCGGACAGTTTGCGGCATTCTACTCGCCAGGCGAAGGTCCTGTGCCGTTCACATACTCCGCCGAGGTTTTCCCTCTTTCCCACCGTGAGGTTGGTATGGCCTGGGCCGTGGCAACCTGCTTGTTTTGGGCTGCTGTGCTCTCAATCACTTTCCCGAGAATGCTTTCAGCCATGACTCCAACGGGTGCATTCGGATTCTATGCAGGCCTCAACATCTGTGCGCTTGTCATGATTTTCCTCTTCCTGCCAGAAACCAAGCAAAGGACCTTGGTAAGTTTGTGCTCCTCGCCTTGTTCGATAACATTTCTAACATTCGCCCCCCAGGAGGAGCTGGATTATATCTTTGCTATTCCCACCCGAACATTCATCAAGCATCAAGTAGGCACCGTTTTGCCATGGTGGATCAAGACCACTATCTTCCGCCGCAAGATCGGCCCGTGCCCTTCACTTTGGTCGTTTGATGGTCATGTTGACAATGACAGAGAGTTTGTGGAAACTATCCGCAGGCAAAGTGAGGCTGTTCACGGCGGTCGCCGCCGCAGCAGCATTGCGGACAGGATTGCCAACAGATTTTAGAGCGAGCCAGCGGGACCTGTCAACGCTTACAATAGGCCAGGGATATGAAGTCTCACTCATGAGAGTCTGAGAATATCCTTGATGATGTCTGGGGTTTATAGAGTTCCAATATACATCGCAAATGAAGACCGAACTGCGTTACAGAGAGAAATCGCTACAGGCATAGTATAAGTTGTATGTAGAAAAATATTCAATAACGGATAGTGGTAGCAATACTGAAAGACAACGACGACAGTCTTCCCCCCTCAATAGCTGAAAGTTGTTGTGTTACTATAGCATTCTAGCACCGCCAGCAGTAATGCCAACATGATCCAATGACCTATGTGGAGGTTTGTGCCTGCTATGCTGGCAGATGCACCAACGTCATCGAGCTATTTTGATACTGTCGTGATTCTCTCGTGCTAAGATAAATAAGTGAATTGTCTTCTGGGTGTACGCGGCGTCTCATGGCGCGACTTGGAACTAAATCGGAAGCATGCACAACGACGGAGGCTTCGGAACCGTCCGGGAAGCTATCACATACTTGCAATATGGTTAAACTGACGACACACAATCCGGCGATGCATAGTGGATCGAGAGCTGGCATGTGGCGGAAATCACCAATCCGCAATCGAAGTTTGGGCCAACGTGCTGCTGTGCACGCGAGCGTTGAGATAATTTATATGCCAATTACTCCGGACGATGCCGCGACTTTCTCGAGGTCAAGAAATCGCTCTCAGTCTGACCGTCTTAGCGCACCTAGCTATTCCTGCCCTGATACAACGGGTCAACCAGTCTCGACAAGGGTAAAGTCGCTAGAAGGTCGCTACTTCAGATCGACCTAGATTGTGTGAAAGGGAGATAGATAGATCTATTTCTCAAGCGTGAGATGAAAATCGTAGGTTAATGCGAAATTTGGATACACTTATCTCTTCCTCTTCGTTTTGGTAGCGAGGGACATCCGGTCAGACTGTGCAAATTTCTTCCAGCTGCGGTGCCGCTAGCCAGTTCGTGACTCTCCTGATGACTACGTCATGCTCACGTTTGCATTTCTCCATCCGGCAACATCCAGCTGGCCTTCTGTGCTCGGAGTACAAGTAGCGATGCCTAGCCAGGCTGCGCGGTATGTGCTACTGCGCCCAACTGCTCCCTATTCCACCCGCAGAGAAGTTAAACATTGACCGAAGCAACAAGAAAACGGTACAAAATGGCTGAAAACCTGCATCAGACGGCCCAAAACATCGTTGAAGATATCAGATCTGGGCTTCACGGCGTCCACGGCGCAGGTGACGTTCTCCGCGGGGGCGCCATGGAAGCTCTTGACAGAATCTTCCACAAACAAGAGGGCGAGGAGAGAAATAGAGAAATCGCCCAGCACGGTCTGGCCGAGATGAGGGGAACCGAATATCGCTTTGAAGAGAAACACCGCCAGTATGAAGCACTTCATGTGGGAGCTCATGGCGGTGTCGGAGATGACCACCACCACCACGCTGGTCATGGGCAGGGAAGCCATCTTGCCCACTCTCGTGCAAAGGATGTGGCAGTTGAAGAACATCATAAGGAGACAGGAATCGTGTCTGAAGAAGGCGATAGTCTGAGCGCAGCGCGGGCGGCGATGCAGGAAAAGTATTAACCGATCTTCAAGCAAATTACTTCCGCCAGGCAAAGCACACCAGCGGCATCTGCTTAGTGATCCCTTGTAGGGTCCTGTTCATGGTCTGCTTGCCCGGATTCAGAAATCCGAAATGCCATCCTTCACCACGATTTTTCCCACATCGTCATCTCTTGCTCCCTCCACAACACTTCTGATGAATTGTCCACCGACGCTGGGATGCTTCGCGCCCATTTCCTTTGCCAAATGCCGAGCATTCCCCAGGTCAGTTTCCAAGAAACCTGGCCCAACGGCCCAAACCTTGACTCCGTCTGCTTTCAACTTGTGATTCCAGTCAACCATCAACATGTTCAGTGCCGTCTTACTGCATCGATACCCGATAGTCTCAAAAGCGATCTTCTTCGGCCACCCAGCAGGTTGGGGAGGCGTGGGAAAATAGGATTTGCTTGCCTGTGTGACGTTGGAAAGACCTGTCACGAAGATCAAACGAGGGTCGGAAGATTTGAGTAAGAGAGGCATGAACGTCCAAGTCAGGACGTTTGTACCGGCAACGTTGACGTTGTAGGCCTTCATGAAACAATCACGGAGAGAGACCTCACCAGCCAGAAATGCGAGATCAAATGTCGCTCCTATTGGTGTTGGAACTAGCTTGGTTTGGAAGCAAATGAGCCACACGAGATAGCGTACCGGCATTGTTAATGAGTGCATCAATGTGTCCCATCTTGGTCCTGACGTGATTGAATGCCGTCTCAATTGACGCATCGTTGTTCAGATCGACTTGGAGTGCCTCGACCGTATTGACTAATCCATGACACTCATTGTGTAGTTTCTCAATCGCGAGCTCGGCCTTCTCCAGAGAGCGACTGCCCATGAGGACACGATATGGCTGGTTGGATTCCAGAAGTGCCTTGACCGTCTCGTAGCCGATACCGTTGTTGCCTCCTGTCTCAGTCTCAGTCTCAGCCTCATGCGCAAAGAACAACGCTCTCAAATCAAGCGACAATGATAACACTCACCGGTTACAACAACAACTCTCGGGGCTGCCATCACTGGAGTCGTCAGTCGCCTGTGATTCCTCCCTGCGTAATGTGGAAGGGGAGAGTGCCGTGTAGTATTCAGTTGTGCGATGAGCTCAATCTTCTCGGCTTTAAGTGAAAATCTCGTTCCTTATATGCTGTATTTCTAGCATCGCGCAAAGCCGATTTCATTTCTGAATACTACACAAGCAATCACCCTGCCCATGGCCACCAATGAACACATCTTCTCCACACAATCCTGAGAATTTCATTGGCAATCATTTGGTCGCAAGAGGGCGCTATTCCTTCTCGGGATAAACTCTGCGAGAGTTGAAAATCCTTCTGGAGGTGAGGCATGACCGTCAATATCATTCGCAGTCGTGGCTGGGATAACCGTCAACTCCGACCTACATCTACAGCTCAACATCCTCTTAATATAAACAAAAGCCGGGCGGCCTGGGTGGCGAGGTGTGGCTAATAAACCAACCTAGCAAGATACGCCACGTTTGCGGGAACTGGTACAAATCCAAGACGCCGTTCTGTGGCTCTGTCATTCACTCTCAACAGACGAGGACCCAGATGGGCGGGTTCTTTAATAATGGGAAGACTTTGTAAGCGATGCCAAGGGTGAGTTTTCAAAGTACGTCACCAGGTCAACCAGCCCAGAACCCCTCGGCCTCGGTAATTCGCAATGCTTGGACCGTGGAAAGACCGTGCCTATGCCATCATTGCTTGATGAACCTGTATTGACCTCATTCAAAGATCTCAACCTAGTCCCCATTTTGAATACAAAGGGTGCAAGCTTCTGCTGGCCCCAGTCGAAGTCCAAAACGAGTATTAAGCGCATCACCCTCATCTCTACACCTGAAGGACTTGAGCGTTTTGTCGGGTTCGAAAGGATGTTCACAGCAGTGTCGGGATTGACGTTGGACAATCTGCACCGAACCGTATGGCAAGCCCAGAAGAAGTTGTGATTTCCGATCCGTATCTTTTTCCAGTCATCTTCGCTGTATGCATCAGGTCCTTATATTACAGTATTCCCACGAAACCTTCTCGCCCTAAAGCGAGGGTGTTCCTGTTTGATTCTTGCTGCAATATCGCGGATCGATGCGATGTTCAGAAGATGTACAGGGTTTGCGTCAGCAAAACCTACCACTGGCTGGTAGTAAAGCTGAGCTTTCCCGGGCGCACAACGAAATACCTTCTCGCTAGGCCTCTGGGTCGATCCTCAACAGAGTTTTGAGGATTTGAGGCTTTGATGAAAGATAGAGCATCGTTGAGCAGGCGAACGCCGTAATTCAACCGTTTCGCGTGGTCTCTCCAAACCGTGACATGTTCTATGGGATACCTGTGATTATCCCCGGGTACAAGCGGAACACGAAATGACTTTTGTTCAGGGGAAATGGTGAGCCATACAAGGTGCAAAAGCAACACATAGCGCCCAATCGGTAATATGTAGGATGTCTCACCGCCATCCAGCCTAGACCGACTTCTTGGCAGTCGGATTCAAAAGCCAAATTTCTGGCTTGATAAGACCCAGTCTTTCGGTCCCATCTGAATCCAGCTGCGTTCACTTCGGCGATGTTCAGCTTGACACAGGCGCAGGACTTAATAGGATAAATAAGAGAGCCTTGGGTTCCGGCTCTGGAGTGAGTGGTCCGTTTGCTACGTCTGTGAGCTCGGCAGGATTGTCGTCCATTCCCTCGTCACTAACATTAGAAGGCCCGGCAGGCGCCAGCTATTTGTGGCCTCGCGGCGAAAGGCGCTCCCTCCATGCCTGTCAAAGAAAAAATTATTGTCATTGCAAGCAAGACCGTTGGGACGATGACAGCAGTTGGGTCCATGATGGTGTTGATCGCTCTTAGAGGCAGTCAGTTATGGGCATAGACAAAATTTGACGAGCTCCATAGGCGGTGAAGAAGGAGCATCAACGATGACGAGCCAGAATAATCCAAATGGCTTGCAACTCTATGCTCTTGAGGTGGCCATTGTAACGTAACAAGGGGTATACAACTAGGATGGATCAACCGTTTACGCAGGAGCGAGGTTTGTGCTGTGCTCCGCCCTTGCTTGGCGGGGCCGTTGGCCGTCTGACGAGCTGTTTGAATGTCATGATGAGGCTCCGAAAACACGACCTGCTTCTAGCGTCATACTGTGAAGACAATGGCCATCGCGACCGACGTAGACCGTAACCATTGAGTCCATTACAGTTCAACAAACATCTCGCCATGAACTCGCCAGCACGTCAACATAGAATTCATCATCCAGTAGCGCGACTTCGACATGCCTATAAGGCGCAACAATGCAGGACCAGAAAGCAGATATCCACAACTTCTCAACCTCACCATCCCAGCATCGACTACCGACGGTTTCCGCCATTGAAGCACTACAGAACATATCCGCCAAATGTAAAGGAATTTCCTGTAGTCTCCCAGTGCTTGATACAATCCTTGCCAACGGAAGCAATAGGCTCTCAATTGCCACACCTGGAATTCAAAGGGGCCATGTTACTGAAGTCTACGGGCCACCAGGGGTAGGCAAGACCACCTTCGGCTTGCAAACTGCTGTCAATGCGATTCACTCCAGCCACAAACAATCCCATGTCCTGTGGGTCGACACAGGTTCTCCCTTCATCGAAGAAAGATTGGACGACATGATGAGCTCGTACACTATTCCCAGAGATGCGGAAGTCCGTTCATCACCACCAGAGCCTCTGGACACTGAGTTACTTCTGGACGACAAGTTTACCCGCCTGCACGCTTACACGCTTCCTCGTCTGTTGACAGTATTTTTGCACCCTCCTCACTCCTTCCCCTCGTCAAAAACGTGTTTAATTGTGGTTGATGACCTCTCCAACCTCCTCCTTGGGTCATTTTCGCGAAATCCAAGAAATATCAAGGCCTCCGCGCCGGCGGCTGTGAAAGAGAAGTTCGACAAGCAAGCCGTGTCGAAACGCTTTCAGATTATAGAAAATCTCGGCGCTGCAATGTCAAAAATGGCCGCCATCAAAAACATTGCCATTCTGGTCTTGACCAACACGACGACGAGCTTGCGAAATCGTAACCGGGCGACTCTGAAAGCGGCATTGACCAGCCATGCTTGGGATTCCGCTGTCCATACCCGAATCATGCTCTACCGGGATTTCGCCGATGATGGACAATTCATCGATATACTGGGGACCGAGTCTCCGGGTTTGCGGTACGCGGAGGTCCAGCGAATGGCCTGGAAAGACCTTTGCACGAATCCAGTCCCATTTGCTATCTTGTCCAAGGGCCTCTGCCAACTGAACCCAGCCTCTTCACCTGGCGAAGCACTTGGGGGTGCTAATTCCGATGAGGAGGCCAAGCTATTCAGTACTGACAAGGAAGACGACGTCCCGCTTCTCCCGGCGGAACTTTCCCAGCGAAACCAAGGTGAGATGCCCATACTGTCTAAAAAAAGGAAAATCATCGAGATCGCCGACAGTGAAGATGAGGGCGAGGAAAATGGCACTGACGGGCTGTCGGATTTGGACGAGCCCGAACTTCCACACATGGAATTGGTATCTCGTTCAGTAACGGATGAGATGATTCTCGAAACACACGAAACGGCACTGTTGAGGAGAGAGAGATATGCACGAATCAAGGGCTCGGAGGACGAGATACCCATCCTGTCGTCGGATTTAGTAGAAGACGGCGATACCCCTTCATCTCCCGAAAAAATGTCCCCTTGAGTAGCAGAACTCGAGATCATTCATTTATATCCCTGATCACGGAGTCATCTTTGTATTCCCACAGCCGCTTGTCTCCAAGGGCAGTATTCGACCCGGGGATTTAGCTGTGGTTTCCATGGTCAGCTTACAAACGAGCGAGTCGGAAGAAACTAGGCTATAATTATGGACAAGAAATGAATGCGCTGATTTGCGGGGTGCCCAATTTTAGGTGTGGTGGTGAGTACCCCTCCGCTGTAGTGAGCACGTCTGACCTGAACCATTCTTTGACCCCGCCTAACGCAGCCCGGGATGTGATTTGCTTGGCTGAAGAATACAAACGTTGTCTGACAAACGAAACTTGTTGCGGTCCATCGGACACTCTGCTTGCCCCGGGGCGCACTTGGGTCTGGCGTGGGAATCAGCTGAACAGACACCTACTGTAGACATCCTCTCTTGCAGTTGCTCACAAGGACTCTTCTTTCATGATACTCTCATTTCCAGACCTCCTTCCAGGGCTGTTACGCCACCCTCTCTCCCTTTAGGTGAACCGCTTAAGCCCGATCTCTTGGTTTTCCCGCACTCCGCAGCCGTCAGCATCCACTTGCTTACCTTCTCTGCAATCCGTATCTCTACCACGATTCAGCTGAAAGGGAATTGAAAAGAAAAGAGTGGACATGGCAACGCAAGGACAACAAAAGCCGCAGATCCAGCCTTGCCGGTACAAGACTGGTAAGCTTGATCTGCCATATCTCGTGCGGTACATCATCCTGATGTCCACGTAGGAAAAACACTCGGCGCAGGTTCATATTCGGTGGTGAAGGAGTGCGTCCACATAGACACGGGCAGATACTATGCCGCAAAAGGTCTGTAGACAGTCCCTGTCGCGCACCTTTAACGGCTAACCTGTTTGCAGTTATCAACAAGCGGCTCATGGCCGGTCGGGAGCATATGGTCAGTAAGGCTGTAATTACCAGAATGAGGCTCCCAGCTAATGAAAGAATTGACAGGTGCGCAATGAAATCGCAGTCTTGAAGCGCGTCTCGGTGGGACATCGCAATATCCTCACCCTTGTCGACTACTTTGAAACTATGAATAATTGTATGGCTCCACGCTCTACGCTCTGCAATTGGTCTGACATGGCCATAGTATACCTTGTGACAGACCTTGCGTTGGGAGGTGAGCTATTCGATCGGATCTGCCGCAAAGGCTCCTACTATGAATCCGACGCCGCCGACTTGATTCGAGCGACACTGTCAGCAGTTGCATATCTACACGACCACGGCATCGTGCACAGAGACTTGAAACCCGAGAATTTGTTGTTCAGAACACCAGAAGATAATGCAGACCTCCTGATTGCGGATTTTGGTTTGTCGAGGATCATGGATGAAGAACAGTTTCACGTCTTGACTACGACGTGCGGCACACCAGGTTATATGGCGCCCGAGATATTCAAAAAGACAGGCCATGGTAAACCTGTGTGAGCAAAGTCCTCTCTAATCTAACCGCCGTCTTTGTGACTGATGTAAGTTTGCAGTGACATCTGGGCTATCGGCGTTATCACATACTTCCTCCTGTGCGGCTACACTCCATTTGACCGGGACTCAAATCTGGAGGAAATGCAGGCCATTCTCGCTGCCGACTACTCTTTTACGCCAGTCGAGTACTGGCGCAACGTCTCCGAAACTGCAAGAGACTTCATCAAACGCTGCCTTACGATCGACCCTCACGCACGTATGACCGCACATCAGGCTCTACAGCACCCTTGGATAAAGCCCGACATCGACCCAACATCTCCCGTAAAGGGCCCTGGGGATGGGCAAGATCTCCTGCCGACGGTGAAGAAGAACTTTAACGCGAGGAGGACTCTCCACAAGGCCATCGACACGGTTCGTGCGATCAACAAACTCAGGGAGGGAGGTGGACTGATGGCCGGCCACATGGACGGTGCTATGAGCGTGGACCCGAAACCCAAGGCAGAGATGGTCAATGGAAGCAAGGTCCTCAATGATCAAGGGCAGCAAGTCCAAGGGGAGGAGGCGATGGGCGCGAATGTGCCTCAAGGGGACTCGGATGCAATGGAAATTGATTCCAGAGGAAATGCGAGGGGTCAGACAGAGGACCAAATTCGACGCCAGCAGAAAAAGATTCATGACACGATGTCAGGGTTGTGGGGAAATCAGCAAGCAGCTCGCGACGTCTAGGACTTTGCGCAGCTCTGCAGTCTTACTACGACTCCAAGGGGAATGGTTTGTCTGAAGGTCAAGATCCCAATGCGAAATGAAATTGAAGGGTACGAAGGTATGTCTCAGGAAGACCAAGACGTGTAGGCCCCCTCATGAACAGGTATGGTGTAGGGATCCAAAGAGGCAGAATACTCATGTAGGTTCAGGCACGGGTAATCTGGTTTCACCTCAGGCGAACAGGTTTTGGATGTCATACATGATTAAATTTATCTCATGAGACCTTACTTTCTTCTCAAAACTGTGCAAAGATTGCGTTATAAGCAGTAGGACGGCCTCAACCGGGACTTCAAGGGTATCAATCTTGACTTCAATGCAGAAATCTATGGCTATATAGCAGTACAGTGTCCCCGGTTGCTGACCCCTGGCTCCATCTCACTAATTGGCCGCCCCGTACTTCAGCGTCGTTTCTTTCATGATCATATCATTCCGAGGATCGTACGCCATGGCTCATGCAGTAGCAAAGTACACCGTTTCGATTCTTTTTGCACCCAGCGATCACTCCCCTTGATCCATCCCGCCAGGGGCCTGCTGTCTCCCCATCTGCCTTGCCTTCAATAATTCATCACATAGCAGCAGATTACTTGCAATTCCTTGGCTACTCGCAATACTGTTCCTCAATACGCGAAACCCGTCAAACACGCCTTCTTGCACGGGATCCATTGGCTCTCCAGTCACGAGGTCTAATCCTGCCACATTTCCTTCGGCAAATTCATCTTGCAGGGCGGCAAGTGCGTCCTGGATATCATGTCCAGAATTTGCAGCAAGTGTCTTTGGTATAATCAGAAGTGCGTCTGCAAAGGCCGCAACACCCCATTTGGCTTTGCCTTTGACCGTTTTTCGCACTGCTTCTGATGTGAGGTGTGCTGCGGCGGCGATTTGAAATGATCCAGCACCAGGAACGACACAGCCATCCACAATCGTGTTGTACACACTTCGTAGACCGTCTCTGACCGCATCTGTGATTTGAGTGATGCTGTGCTGGTTAGGACCCTTGATCAGGAGCGTGACGGATTTCGGGTCTTTCACTTCCTCCACAAAGGTGTATTTTTCCTCTCCTAAGGTCTGCTCGTACACCAAGCCTGCCCATCCAAGCACTGAAGGATCGAGATCGTCCACGCTGTTCTGCGCCTTTCCACCGCAGACGAGTTGAAGACGTTCCATATTCCGTCTCTTTGCGCGCCTGAGCGCTAGGATGCCGTTTTTTACCAGAACATCGAGGCTCAGAGGATCGATACCCTTTTGGTTGATCACCACAAAGGACTTCTTCGGATCAGATCCGCAAACTTGATTCTTCAGAGCAACGATCTTCTTGAGTTTATCATCAACGAAGCGACGCTCGGAGGCGACGAGCTTGTCTCTTTGTTCGGCGGTGCTGTAATAAAAGCCAGAGTTGATTTCGGACTTTTCGTATTCGAGCGAGACGTTTAACGTGAGAATGAAAGCGTTTTCGACACGCTTCGGCATGTCAGGATGTCGAGCGCCATGGTCTAACACTAAACCTCGGATTAAGGTGGTGTCAGAACTGAGTTTGTGCTGCAGTTTCATGATTTCAATCATGTGCAGGTCGGGCTTTTGGGGAGGCCGATAGATGGCTAATACAGCGTCGACTATCGATGGTGTCAACTGTGCAGCAAGGGCGGCGTTGATCTTTGTGGAGAGGGAGGTTTTAGCGATCGAGAGAAGCAGATTCCGGTCGACATCACGGCTAATTTTGAAGGTGTCCAGGAACTTGAGGGTCTCTGTTTTTGCAATTTCGAAGCCGTCGGTGATGACTCTTGGGTGTAGGCCTTCTTGGATGTACCTGTCTGCCTGCTTCAGGAGTTCACCTATCAACAGGACTACAGATGTTGTACCATCACCGGTAATGTCGTCCTGCGCCGTAGCAGCTCGAGCAATCAAAGTGGCAGTGGGATTTTGTATTGACATCTCTTTCAGCAAGACCGCCCCGTCCTTTGTCAGCTTGATTTGGCCCGACCCGTCGACCAACATTTTGATTGTGCCCGAAGGGCCCAAATTCGATTTGAGAACATCCTGGAGGCCTTCTCCCGCGTTGATGTTGATTCGAAGCGCCTCTGCTCTGCGACGGGATTCTGCTTTCGGGTTCAAAAGTTGCGTTGCTAGACACAGTCAGAGAAGCAGTTTCTAGTGCGATAAGCTGACTTACCAGACATCTTGTGTTGGTTGGGAGCATTGTGGAAACAGACTCAGAATGTTTGAACTTTCATGGGGGGATCCTACGATTTCATGCCAAGATCCCCAAGTTCACCCTGGAAGGTCTGCCGAACAGGGTTTGCACCAATATAACGCCAAGAACCAAACCCGCGAATCGGAGCGCCCTTAGTGGTCCAATTCCTGAAGCTGCGGAATTCTTTTCTGGAGCAAGATCTCAAAATTTCGCGGCCAAATATACTGCCCTCAATATCTAAGAACCGGGTATTGCTTGCAACCACATTCTTTGTGGGCTGCTGTGCGTCTTACGTGGCCGGCTTTTAACTGTGCAGGCTATAACCCGCAGGCGAGCTTCAAGCAAATTGCGTTCCCTCCACTCTCCTCAGGACAATTGCGCCATGGCGGATTTTCTCCTCCACGAAGGCCCCATGGGCTATTCCATCTTCAAGGTCGCTCACAAAGCTGACACCGTCGGCAATCGTCTGAAAGAGGTCCAAGATAGTGTTCAAGATCTTGTACGGTTTGGCAAAATGGTCGACCTCGTCAGCTTCCTGCCGTTCGAGTGCGTGCTCACAGCACCATACCAGTCAAGTACAGTATATAGCTAACTATACTTCAGAAGCGGAAAGCAGGCACTTTCAGAGTTGAACGACATCTCCGAAGGCATAGCATCTGACTTTCTGAAATCCTTCCTCGAACTTAACCTGCCGAAAGCCGGGAAAAAGAACAAAATAACTTTGGGCGTGTCGGACAAGATCCTTGCGGCCAGCATCAAGACAGCATTCCCAAACGTCGAGTGCGAGACTGGAGACACAAGCGAGGTCGTTCAGGACATGCTCCGCGGAATCAGGCTACACTCGGAGAAACTGCTCAAACAACTCCGCGAAGGAGATACGAATACTGCTCAGCTTGGTCTGGGACATGCGTATTCGAGAGCCAAAGTCAAGTTCTCCGTGCAGAAAAATGACAATCACATTATTCAAGCTATCGCAATACTCGACCAGCTAGATAAGGCCATCAACACCTTCTCTATGCGCGTTCGCGAATGGTATTCCTGGCACTTCCCAGAGCTCATCAAGATCGTCTCGGATAACCACAAGTATGCCAAAATTGCGCTATTCGTCAAGGATAAAAAGACTTTGTCTGACGAAAGCCTTCATGACCTTGCCGCCGTTGCAGACGACGACGAGGAAATCGCAAAGAGCATTATCGATGCAGCAAAAACAAGTATGGGTCAAGAAATTTCCGCTTCGGACATGGAGAACGTGACCTTGTTCGCGGAACGAGTGGTCAGCCTCGCCAACTACCGGAAGACACTACACAGCTATCTTGTCTCTAAGATGGGCGTGGTTGCCCCGAACTTGGCTACGCTTATTGGGGAAATTGTGGGTGCGCGATTGATTTCTCACGCTGGCAGTCTGACCAATTTGTCAAAATATCCCGCTTCAACTGTTCAGATTCTGGGAGCGGAGAAGGCTTTGTTCAGAGCATTGAAGACCAAGGGTAACACGCCCAAGTATGGTCTATTATACCACTCCTCATTTATTGGGAGAGCTGGACAGAAAAATAAAGGGAGGATATCGCGGTTCCTCGCAAACAAGTGCTCGATTGCCTCTAGAATCGACAATTTTTCCGAAACTCCGTCTACGATCTTCGGCCAAGCTCTGAAGAAGCAAGTGGAAGAACGACTAGAATTTTATTCCTCTGGGGTACAGCCTACCAAAAACGAAGCAGCTATGGTATGTTGGACTATTTCGAGACACAGACTCCACGCTAACTTCGGGTGTAGAAAGATGCCATGGAAAAAGTTCTTGCGGAAATGGAAGTTGACAACCCTACGGACAAGGTCACTGGTGGAGATCGTCTGGAGGTGGAGCCCGTGGCGGCCCAGAAGTTGGATACCGCGAAGAAGGACAGGAAGGAGAAGAAGGAGAAGGAGAAGAAGAAGGATAAGAAGCGTAAAGCAACTGAGTTGGACGGTGATGGAGGCGACAAGAAAAAGAAGAAATCAAAATCCAGGGACTAGTGTATGGTTCTGACGCGGTATCTTTCGTGCATGGCGTTGGGCGGTTTTGTTATCATTATGCTTGCTAGGAGATATGTGAGCATGGCCAGGGGTGGTAATGAATACAACCGTGAAAGGCTTGGTGCCTTGATTCCGTTGGCAATGTGCGGGAGCCACTCCAACCCTATTTCACTTGCCATGCCTGTACGAGGTATTGAATCGATTATCAGTTCTCTGGCAGTCAGAGTCACTTTCACACTCATCTGTTGTGCACTTCCAGTTTATAGTCACTAATGAGAGCCGACCTATATTGTGCTTTTCAACAGCTGCTCTTCCCCAATGAAGTTAATTGGCTTAGAGATGAGGAGATGTTTACCGTCAGAATTTTTATTCGAGGGATATTTACTGGCCAAGGACACTATATCACTGGCACTCTCACACCGTAGCATGTATTTGAACTCCTTGTCTTTAAGATATACGATTAGATCTATGTCATCTCAGAAAGTCCTGGTTATTGGGTCGCTAAGACTCACGCTGCCTTTCCAGTGGACTACTGGATAGATTTGGGGTTCTTTGGGGTGCGCATAGCTGTTCGACTGCCTCTACTTTCCAAAGTTCGCCCATGATGACCTCCGCGTCCCCGAAGAGGAAGAGAGATTACCCTCACCCTCTGGACACAAAGACGCCTGGGCCTCGGTTATTCAGTGAGAGCGACCTGGAAGAATATGATGAAGGCAGTCCTCAAAGCAAAGTTGCGCGAAAGTTCGATGACCTTGAAATTCATGGCCCTCAGGATCAGGGGGACCACGACGTCAGCGGGAATCCGAACGAGCAGCCTATAGTCCTCTCGGTATCATCGGCTGGAGTACCTGACCGAGACGCGAACCTTTGGACACTAAAGAAGAAGCAAATGTCGGAGAGTCTGACTGGTGTAACTTCTCGAGCTGAGAATGTGCCAACGAAACCCGCAAGGAAATCTTCCCGCTCCAAATCTCCTCCATTAACGAGTGAGATATCCAATGAGTTTTGGCAAGATTCTGAAATCACGGGGCATATTCCTAGCGACCCTAGCGACGACGGCTATGGAATCAATGGAATCGGTTTCAAACCAACCGCGGCAGTTGCCTGGTCGAGATCACAACGACGTAAACAACAGCTGTCCGACTACAAGAACCGCGAAACTCGAGAAGCTCGACAACAGAGGAGTGAGAGGAGAAAACGTCGTATTGACGCAGGCGAAGATGCGTTGTCCATCGAGTCTTCGCCACGCAAGACCGCGCGTGTCCATTTCGAAGACGGCTGAGATCAGGCAAATCTGACCAAGTGAGGGTCGATGTTCTCTGCAAACTATTGACCTTGAAACAAACATCATCATCAACAATACAGTACATGTCAGCAAACCGGCAAGCGTCCCTTTCCAATCCTGGTATTTGAACGCCGCTCGCAACGAGCTCTATTTGAGACAACTATACCTTTACCAGAATTTGTACCATTGAGCTCTTCTCTTTCGTTCCTTCTCCTCGATATCCGCAGCCGCCGCTACTCGCGCAGCGTCCTCGGCGGCTTTCTCCCGAGCTTTCTTCTCATGCAGCATCCTCATGCCCTGAACAGCCATTGCCATGCCTCTTGCTTCCTCTCGCCGTCGTTGATCGCACCAATAGTACATTCCGGAGGCTGAGAGTGCGAATCCAGCGACTGCCAAGTTGGTGGTGATCAACATTGAAGAAAGTCCTGGCATCAAGTTAGACCCAGAAGGCTCAAGTTTTCGAGGAAGGGTGACTCAAGCACCTCTCAGTATAAATCTGACACCTCCTACTGCCCCTCCAGAAGCTATACCAACAAGCAGTGCATCTCTTGCACATGGTACCTGATACCAGGAAGGGCCTTTTCCTTCGTATGAGAAGTTGAAGGCATCTCTCCAGGTCACCTCGGGAGGTTTGCCACCTGCTGAGTTGTAGGACCCTCCGGGCAAGGTATTTGCTGGCTCCGCGGGATTACCCAGCATTTCCCACATTTTTCCAGCCTGCGTTCTTGGGAAATCATGTTTGGGTTTCGGTCTTGTGAAAGGACGGGCATTTGACTGAGGGTTTTCATCAGCTGGTAGTGTGTTAAGCTGCCGTGTATCGTCTGCCATTGTGAGGGATCGATGTAGTGAATTGATCGATGATCAAGAAAAGCTGCGGAGAAAGACGGCCAATGTGGAGGAAGTGAAGTGGCGCTTCGCGACCAAGAGATCCGCCCTAAGCGCAACGCGCCTTAATTGAGACGCGTCTTGCAACCACGGTCCGATATTCGCGACACGCACATCATGCACACTCATTTTCTCAATCGCTGCATTCTGAGCGTCAGCGACCTTCTCTTGAGGCACATAACATGAACAGCATCTACCAGTAAAGCTGTCGACAGCGATCAGCCAGTGTTCGGACTTCCTCTTCTCGTAACAATGCCCGTCCGAAAACCGTCGCGATATGGCTCGAACGTAAGACTGGGAAAGGATATCTCACGCGGGCGGCGAACCAAGACGATCGATGCCTCTTCACTGCGCGCCACCGAGCGAACATCTCAAGATGAAAAGATTCAGGCCACCCGGCTGGCAAACAGCATCGACGATGCCATGGGCTTCCCTAAGTATGACTCTGGCAAAAGAAGAGTGGGGTGGCTCTACAACATGCACAGCACTTCGATTGAAGACCCAAGAGTACCGGGTGGTCGCGCTGGAGTTGATTTCTACTTTATCGGTGATGACGGTGAAAACTTCAAGGCTACGGTTGACTACGACCCGTACTTCCTGTTGGCGGTGAAAAGAGGCCGAGAAGTTGAGGTCGAGGAGTGGTGCAAGAGGATGTTTGAAGGACTTGTCAAATCAGTCAACCGCATAACCAAAGAAGACCTACAAATGCCGAATCATCTCCTTGGATACAAACGGACATTCCTCCAGCTCACATTTGCAAACGTCTCGGACCTGCTCAATGTTCGCAAAACACTTTTACCCATTGCGGAAAAAAATAAAGAGAAAGTGAATGCAATGGACACATATGCGGAGGTTGCTAGTGCAGCAGCGGGCTTTGATGTGTACGACGAAGACCAAGCGACCGATACTCGACCGAACGGAATTGCAGACGCCAGCGACTACATCGTGGACATCCGAGAATATGACGTTCCATACCATGTTCGTGTTACAATCGACAAGGACATCCGAATTGGAAAATGGTACACCGTCGAGTCTACACATGGGTCGGTCTCCTTGACGTGCCTAGAAGAACGTCTACAGCGCGCTGACCCCGTCGTCCTCGCATTTGATATTGAAACCACGAAGCTGCCGTTGAAATTTCCCGACCAAGTGATTGATCAGATCATGATGATTTCATACATGATCGACGGGCAAGGCTTCCTCATCACGAACAGAGAAATTGTCTCAGAGGACATTTCCGATTTTGACTATACCCCAAAGGCGGAATATGATGGACCGTTCCTGATATTCAACGAGCCAAACGAACGTGCCTGCATCGAACGGTTTTTCTCCCATATCAAGGCAGCTCGACCTACAGTTATCGCAACGTACAACGGAGACTTCTTCGACTGGCCGTTTGTCGAGGCCAGGGCCGGCGTAAATGGCATCGACATGTACACTGAAATCGGATTCCGCAGGAATAATGAAGATATCTACCAGAGCAATTACTGTGTCCACATGGATTGCTTTGCCTGGGTCAACAGGGACAGCTACCTGCCTCAAGGGAGTCGGGGTCTGAAAGCTGTCACAGTTGCAAAGCTTGGGTACGATCCGGATGAACTCGATCCTGAACTGATGACCCCCTATGCAAACGAACATCCTCAAATTCTTGCGGAATACTCTGTTTCTGACGCTGTTGCGACGTACTACCTTTACATGAAGTATATCCATCCCTTTATTTTTTCACTCTGTACAATTATCCCACTCAATCCGGACGATACCCTACGGAAAGGTACAGGTACACTATGCGAGATGTTGTTGATGGTCCAGGCATATCAGAAGAATATTGTGCTCCCAAACAAACACAAAGAACCGAGAGAAGCTTTCTGGGAGGGTCATCTACTCGAGTCTGAAACTTACGTTGGCGGACATGTGGAGAGTATTGAGGCCGGTGTCTTCCGTGCGGACATACCTGTCAACTTTGCCATCGATACGACGGCGATTGACGAGCTCTTGCGCGATCTTGATGCAGCCTTGACGTTTTGCATTACCGTCGAAGAGAAAAAATCTCTGGCGGAGGTTACGAATTACGAAGAAATCCGAGCACAAATTGTTGAAAAGTTGGAAGAACTAAAGAGTACGCCTAACAGAAATGAACGCCCTCTGATATACCACTTGGATGTTGCATCCATGTATCCCAACATCATGACTACGAATCGCCTTCAACCCGATTCTATGATAGCTGAATCAGATTGCGCTGCCTGCGACTTCAATCGACCTGGGAAGACATGTGATAGAAGATTGCCATGGGCATGGAGAGGAGAGTTCTTGCCAACCAAGAGAGACGAATACAACATGATACGCCGAGCAGTGGCGAATGAGACATTTCCCGGAAGAGGCCCCAAAGCACCTAGACGAGCCTTTCAAGAATTGAGTTTGGACGAGCAAGCTGCCGCAGTGCGGAAAAGACTCCAAGAATATTCCAAAAAAATCTACCACAAGATCCATGATTCCAAAACCATCGAACGGGAGGCTATCATCTGCCAAAGGGAGAATCCCTTCTACGTCGACACTGTCCGCGACTTTCGAGATAGGCGGTATGACTTCAAGGGGAAGCAGAAAGTCTGGAAGGGGAAGACGGAAGCACTGAAATCTTCTGGAGCCCCTGGTCAGGAGATTGAAGAGGCCAAAAAAATGATTGTGCTCTATGACTCTTTGCAGCTAGCCCACAAGGTCATTCTCAACTCTTTCTACGGCTACGTCATGCGCAAGGGATCCAGATGGTACTCCATGGAAATGGCAGGTGTCACATGTCTCACTGGCGCGCACATTATCCAAATGGCGCGCGAGCTCGTTGAACGAATCGGTCGACCGTTGGAATTAGACACCGATGGAATTTGGTGTATGCTTCCAGCGACTTTCCCGGAGAATGTCATTTTCACTTTGAAAAATGGCAAGAAGCTGCCGATTTCTTACCCTTGCGTGATGCTCAATCATCTGGTTCACGCCCGTTTCACCAATCACCAGTACCAGAGTCTAGTGGACCCAGCCACTTTCAAGTATGAAACCCATAGCGACAATTCAATCTTCTTTGAGGTTGACGGTCCTTACAAGGCGATGATCCTCCCAACCTCCAAGGAGGAAGACAAGAACTTAAAGAAACGATACGCAGTGTTCAACCACGATGGGAGTCTTGCCGAGCTGAAAGGGTTTGAGGTCAAACGAAGAGGCGAGTTGAAGCTCATCAAAATTTTCCAGACTCAGATTTTCAAATTCTTTCTGGAAGGGAGCACTTTAGCGGAAACATACGCAGCAGTAGCCCGTGTGGCAAACCGCTGGCTTGATGTCCTACATTCGCATGGGTCCACGCTTGCTGATGAAGAGCTCATTGATTTGATTTGCGAAAATAAAAGCATGACCAAAACGCTTGAAGAATATGGAGGTCAGAAATCAACATCGATTACAACAGCAAAGCGACTGGCAGAATTTCTGGGAGATCAAATGATCAAGGACAAAGGCCTGAATTGCAAATATATCATTTCCGCCAGACCCAGGAATACACCCGTCACAGACCGAGCCATTCCTGTTGCGATCTTTTCGGCCGATGATAGCATTAAACGCTTCTTCTTGCGGAAGTGGCTTAAGGAAGATCCGTCGGATATGGATCCCAGAACAGTAATCGACTGGGACTACTACCTGGAGCGCCTTGGTTCTGTCATCCAGAAGCTCATAACAATCCCTGCTGCTTTGCAGAAGATCAGAAACCCTGTGCCACGTGTCGCGCACCCGGACTGGTTGCAGAAACGGATTACCGCAAAGGACGACAAGTTTAAACAGAAGAAGATGACCGACCTGCTTGAGAAGAGACCCCTTACCGAGCGTTCTGTCAATCTCTTGGATCATCAACTGCTTGCCAGTAGAGACATCGAGGACGCCCTCGGCACTCAACTGAAGCACCCGGAGCAAGTCACCAAACCTGCAAAACGAAAGGCCTCGGAACCAACCAGTCGCAATCTTGTGGATGCTCTTCCGCCTTCCCCTTCTGAGGCTCCATTGATTGATGAAGACTATCGAGGTTGGCTCCAGTATCAGAAGAGAAAATGGAAGTCACAAAAGCAAGCCAAAGCCCGACGACGTCAATTGTTCGGGGAACGACCAAATGTGGCTACAGATTCCATTAGCAGCTTCTTCCGCAACCAAGCCGAAATGATGTACACCAATACCTGGCATGTTCTGCAACTACGTCAAGGGGATTCACCTGGTGAAGTGACAGCGTTTGTGGTTATTGGCAAGAAGATTCACACGTTACATATCAAGGTCCCCCGCACGCTGTATCTCAATCTCAAGGGAGAAGAGCTTCCCAATGTCGACATTCCCGGCTGCGATGTTGAAAAGGTCAACCATGTGTTACCGAATGGCCATCTGTCGGTGCACCTGTTTCAATTGACGATGCCTGAGGACACTTATTTGCGGGAAGAAGAGTCAGTATCGTTGTTGTGCAATCACCCCAGTGTTGAAGGTGTCTATGAGCGTCAGTTGCCGCTCTTTATGCGCGCCCTATTAAAACTGGGAAACATGTGCTCCGTCGATGAGAGTCAGAAAGGTGTTCTTGGGAAGGGCCTTGAACAGGGCTTTGATCTGGCATCTCTGCTCAAAAGTGATGCCCAGTCGACATACCTGGAAGACCCGGCTTCCTTCGGGTATATCTACTTGTATCACGTTGCTTCTGGCGACAGGAATGTGTTCGCTCTTTTCTCCACCACCAGACAAGACGCGCATATTATCGTTTTGAGTCGAAGTCGCGATGCACAGATCCCGAATGCTGATAAAATCTATGCTGAACTGTATCGTCAAAAAGTCCAGGACGAGGCTCTGGTGCAGACTATCTTCGAATATCAGCCTGGCATAAATGTCAAGGTTTCACAAGTGACGACCAGAAGAAAAGCGCACCTTGAGCTGGCGGATGTGCTGAAAAAGTGGCGGTCGGACGAGACGAAGCCGACAATAATTCTCCTCCAGACAACCGCACACAACAGCTTGATTCACGATGTCCGCCCCATTAGGGATTACCCTGTCATACTTCTCCCGGCGGAGCAATCTGACATAGATCTCCCTTCACTGTCTTGGCAGGCCCATGCCATCAGGCAGTTAATCTCTCACTATTTCAACGTGTCAGGGTGGGTGGTGCATCTGATTGAGCTTGCTCGATACGGTGGAGTACCTCTGTGCAATCTCGAAAGGGACGATCCTCGGTTCCTCATCGACCTAGCCTATGCGCGGAGGTTGAAGAGGAGCAATGTCGTCCTGTGGTGGTCCGATCAAGCTCGCCCAGATCATGGTGGACATGAGCGCGATGATATTCTAGGCCCGCTCAACGAAATAGTTGAGATGCCCTCAATTAATAACCCAGGAGCCTACACCTCTGTATGTGTCGATGTATCGGTGCAGAACCTAGCAATCAACACTATATTGACCTCATCCATAATCAATGACCACGAAGGCTCTACGGAATCTGTCGCATTTAACCCAACAGTCGACGAAGAAAATCCCCTCAACTCCAACATGGTGAAGTCGAATGGGGGGTTTGCGCATGCAGCGCTCGAGGTACTGCGAGACATGGTCAAGTCATGGTGGGCAGAAGCTTGTGGCGGTCATCGACTTGCAGACGTAATGGTGCAAAATCTGCTCCGATGGGTTGAGGCTCCTTCTTCCTTTCTCTACGATCGACACCTCCATTACTATGTGCAGATGATGTCCAAGAAAGCGCTGCAGCAACTCATCACCGATTTCCGCCGAGTGGGTTCACAGGTTGTTTTTGCAAGCCCGACACGGTTACTCCTTCAGACGTCGAAGCAAGAGGTCGAGAACGCATATGCGTATTCACAGTACATTCTCAAGTCGATCCAACAGAAGCCTCTGTTCCATTTCCTTGGGCTCGAGGTGAAAGACTACTGGGATATTTTGCTCTGGTACGACGCATACAATTACGGCGGCAAGGGCACTCCCACAGTTACAGAGCGAACCAATCATTCCAGTCTCGAAACCGTTGTGCATTGGCAACTTTCACAATTCCTGCCCCTGCCTTTACAGCCTGTATTCGATGACTGGGTAATTGTCTTCATCGAGTTGATGCAAAACTTGAAAAGACCGTCAAACTCATCCCAAAGCACACCTGCTATTCGACCTACACAACTGCCCTCTTCATTCATCAGTTTGACAGAAGATCCAACCAGCACTGAGATTACAACCGTCCTACAAGACGAGTTTTCCAAGCCCCTCAAAAAACAAATCACAAGTTTGATCCGGCGTCAACGGGAGGAATTATTGCACCCGGAACTGGCCAGCGATTGGATGTTCCCATCTCTGCCAGGAGGGACTCTGGAGTCAAGTGATCCGCGCCATCCACATGACCCAGTGCTGGAACTGGTAAAATCACTCATGCAGATAATCTCCTTGTCGAAATCTCTTCAACTCGAAGCGCGGCTTCTCCGCAAAGAGCTTCTCGCCTTATTCGACGTCCGCGAGTTTGGGAAAGAGGCCCGCTTTGAAAATCCTAGTGCGAGTTTGCGCTTCGAGAATCTCATCTGCGACACATGTACCATGACTAGGGACCTGGATCTGTGCCGTGATGAGGATATTCTACCGGACCTCAACGAAAGTGGGGTGGGGACGAGCAATAAACCTTGGATCTGTAATAGTTGTGGGGCGGAATACAACAAAATCGTGCTTGAGGAGAAACTGATAGCGAGGGTTCAGTCGATGTTGTTAACCTGGCAGGCACAAGATATCAAATGCAAGAAGTGTGGTGGTCTGCAAGGCGACGACAGTGTGTTTGCAGATCATTGTTCATGCGGCGGAGAGTGGATTGCAACCGTGGATGTGAAAGATATAAGGTCGAGGTTGAAGGTCATGGATCGAGTAGCCGGTATATACGGGTTGAGGATGATGAAGGCTGTTGTGGAGGAGGTCAAGACTATGTGTACGATATCATGAGTATATGGGACACGAAGAACCAGCCTCGAGCACTATTTAGGACCATTGCTTTAGGAAACTGTGCCTAGGATGGAGTTGAAACCAGGACCCTGCTGGCTTTAGCTGGCATGATAGCTCGGACTCCAGGTGCATTGCCACGAGCGGAAACGACCAGATGTAGCTACGCAATACCCGTGGGAGACAAGCCGCTGCGCAACCATGTGTTCAGCCTAATTAATTGGTTGGAGGCTTCCCTTCTGTGTACATAGACTAGCAGAAGACCGACATTGTGTAGAGGAGATTTGGCTAGCATGGAATAGGCTAAGCGCACATGTCTGCAAGGCTGTGAACACGAGGCTGCCAAGGTCAAATGGGGTCAACGCAAGACGACCTGTCCAACTCTTCGGGTATACCACCGCTGTGCTGCGTATCCGGTTCGACGGGTTCCGGCTGTTTCCCCCCCTTTTGTTGCAAGTATACTTCGATACTCCATCCTATATCCCCATCTTTCTGCTGAATATTGAGCGGCATGGACTATTTTGCGATGAGATGAAGTGCGATGCAATGAAGTGACATTACTCCCCCAGAGACTCTCTTCCTCCGCTGTTATCCTCTTCGCAGACTCAAAGAAGCTACCACTTGCCGTCTGAATTAGACGCTTCATCTTGGCTCTTCATTCCATTGCCCCTTTCGGTCTCATCTGCCCAATATGGACGGCGCGGCGCAGAACCGACCGACGCAGCCTGCGCCGCAACAACAGGCGTCCTTGATCCGACCCGAGCAAGTCCAGAGACTGCCCCAGCTCAACCCGACCCAGAAACAGCAGTTCGAGCAAGGTGTGAGGAGGTTTTGGGAGATTCTCAATACCACTCCTCAAACGGATCCCAAATACACTGAGGCATACACAAACCTTGTAAAGACTTCCAGCCAACTCAGAGCGGGGATGAAACAATGGCAGCAGCGCAAACAAATGGCTCAACAACACGCGGCACAACAGGCCTCGGCGCAGGCGCAGGCACAGGCACAGGCACAGGCACAAGTGCAGGCACAGGCGCAGGCGCAGGCACAGGCACAAACGCAAGCACAGGCACAATCACAGCCACCTAGAGTGACAGGCCAATCTGGTCAAGCACCGGCCGGGGCTGGACCAGGCCAGAGCGGAGGAAGTGCGGTACAGTTCAGTCAGCTTTTGCCCGAGATCCAACGAAAAGTGAACGAGCAGCACTTTTACTATCCTCCGGCCATGACCAAAGGCACTGAGGGCGCCGATGTGTGGTTGCGCGAGGCAAAGGCTAGGTTGGGTCAAGCCTTGCAGAGGCTTCAAGTCGCCAAGCAAAAGAAGGCCGAGTTTCAGCGACAGGCCCAACAGCGACAAGCGGCAGGGAATCCCCTGACTGCCGCGGAAACTGAGGTTTATAACAACAAGATTGCGCAGTGCGACCGGGCGGTCAACGAAAGCACTGCGTTCATGAAGAAATTCAATGAGCAGCAGGAACAATTTCGAGCCGCGCAGCCCCAACACCAGTTCTCGAAACAAGCTGTACCCGCTAGTGAAGGAGCAGATCCCGCTGCCGCACCTCTGATACAACCTAGTGCCCAAGGCCCTACTGCCCATTCTATCAGTAGTGCCGTGTCTGCTGCACGTAACCAAGCAAGCGCCTCACAACTTCAAGCGGGCAGCCCGACGGCACTTGCACCTCAAGTCGGTCCCAACACGGGCACAGGCACTTCTCAGACGCCCGTTACAGCGACCCAGGCGCAGTTTCCCCAAGTTGGTCAAGGGGATACGTCTGCAGGCCCTCGCCCACCGTCCCATCAAGGTCAAGCCATGATTCCTTTGCAACATGCCGCGTCCGCGGGCGTGAATCCTCACCCACTTAACACCAGCATCAATGGCATCAAGACGGCAACTTCTAACATTACCAAGAATTTACAAGTTACCGAGCCTAAGCCCGTCCCCATGCCGCCATCTCGACCAACATTGACGGGCGGCGCTGGAGTGGGACTGCCCGGTCAGCTTGCACAGCCTGCCATCACCGCACTCCCCGGCTATGTTTTGGAGTCGAGTGAAGATGGGAGAATCCTGTCCAAGAAGAAGTTGAACGAACTGGTGCGCGAGGTTTGCGGCCCTGGTCCGGACGAACAGCTCGATCCCGAAGCTGAAGAAGTAAGAAATGGGTGACGTTAAAGTTGATACTATCTGCTAACTCGCGATCAGATTTTCCTTGCCATCGCCGATGATTTCGTTGACGAGCTTGTCTCATCAGCATGTAAGCTTGCAAAGCTCCGCGGCTCGTCGAGTCTGGAATTGCGCGATATTCAGATCGTCCTCGAGCGCCAATACAACATTCGCGTGCCGGGGATTTCGACCGACGAAATTCGAACCGTGCGACGACCACAACCTGCGCCAGGCTGGGCGCACAAAATGAGTGCAGTCCAAGCTGCCAAACTGACAGGCGGCGCAACCGCGACGGCTGCATCTGGCGCCAGTGGAAAGGAGAACTAAGCATGTTTACGCTCGAATGGGTATGTAATCACGATTCATGACAATATGCACGTGTTGAAAGCGTGCGTGCGTGGACGCATGGAACCGCAGGATCGGCGTATGTTTTGCATTACTAGGAGCCCAGGAGGACAGGCGTCCTAGAGGGGTTGCAAAGGATTGTCATCGAACTGTCATTCGGGTTGTGAGATACCACACATGGGCCAGAGGTCCCGAAGATTTCGAGGTCTTCATATCCAGATCTTTGTTGCTCCTGCGTTCAGATCCACTGTCCAAAGATTGCCACGGAACGCCTTCCAGTGCAGTCTAAATCGCTGCTGTCAATTGCTGACCAGTCATGTCCTGATCCCGTGCGAAGCCGGCACGTGGGTACGACAACGCATGATGCGCAACCCTTGAGCTCCAGGCCACCAAAGTCCGTGTGTCTTTTTTGCAAAGTACCAAGCAGACAAGACGGGTCTGAAACTGCTGCCCAAAACTTGACGGACGCCATACCCAGTAGAAATTGGGTCCCTGGGCACAAAAAGGCCCAGGAGGCTGGAGGGGGCCCGGGGGGCGCTGTCTCGTCTACTACTAATTAGTACCTAGTAATATTGCGAAGCGGCACCAAGCGCCCAATGAACCCAATCAACTGGGGACGGTGCAGCGACGTCATCAGCAGCCCAACTCACTGCCACTCTATTAAATGTCCCCCCCCCATCAGTGACCGAGTAGCGTGACCCGTCACAATCCTGCTGCCACTCTGTAAGACTCTTCATATTGAGCGTCGCCCGCCTTCCAGCAGAGAGTCTCTCTTCACCTGTCTTGGACCTAGCTTGACAATCTCACATAGTGCGGAATTGAGAATAGGCGTCGTTTTACCGTCGTGCTCATTTGTCTCATCCTCCAAGATTCTTCGTCATCCAGGATCGTTATCGAAAACCTTTCCATCCAGACGGATCCACGCAGCCAGCATGTCGAGGTATCGCGGCGATCCCCGTTACTCTGACGGCACTCTTCCGTACCGCGACCCTGCTCCTCAGAGATGGGATACCGAGCGTTTTGTGCGTGAACGAGAAGTGCGCGCCCCGGCCCCACCGGTCATTGATCAACGCCCTCCATACGCCGATTACCCACCTCGCCGTGCTCCGGTCTATGAGGATCAGAGATACTATGAGGAAGATCGATATGGCCCTCGTGGTGCCAGCGAGCGGAAGTATTTTGAGGAAACCGATTTCTACGACCCACGGGCGCAGCGCGGCCAGGTAGTTCCGTACGCCCCTGAGCGACCGCCCAGACCGGACCCCATCCCACGACCAGGCATCATTCGCCGCCAGTCCAGCTTGGATACGTTCGACCGCCGGCCAGCCAGACGCTTTGACGACTATGACGATGGACCTCGCCCTCAACGGGGGCTTCCCCCAAGAGAATTGATCGCTGTCCGGCCGCCTTCACCCAGACGGTACCCTAGATATGATGAGAAAGTTTACGAAGATATACGTGTGCAAGACCCGGACTATTATGGGGATGACGGCTTCAGGGAGTATCGGGAGCGCGAGTGGGTCAAACGGAGAAGCAGAAACAGCAGCCCTTCTCCCGAACGCCGTACTGTGAGGGAAGAAGAAATCATCGAAGAACGCAAAGAGGAGATCATCGAGGAAAAGCCGTATCCACGACGAGGGAAGACACGCATGCCAAAAAGACTGGTTCACACTAAAGTGCTGTTTGATCTGGGCTATCCGTACTATGAAGAGGTGAGAATGTCGACTTGGCCCAAAAATTCCCGCCACAAAACTGACCACCACAGGACGAACGAACGATCATAATTGAAAAGGCGTTGGGTCCAGACAATATTGATGAGATCTTCAGCAAGAGCAAGGAATATCGCGAGAGAGAAGGTAAGCCATTTCGGCCCTGCATATGTGAAACGGATGTCTGAGAGTTGCAGTGACAACCACTCGGCTCATTGAAGCTCCGCCCTCTGTGGCACCCAGCATCCGCGCGCCTAGCGTACATGGGGGCGAAGTGATAATTGAGAAGACTGAGAAAAGAGAGGAGATCAAGACTATGCCACTAGCAGAAGCCCCCCGGTCTGTGCGCGAATGGGATGGCCTCTCGGTTCGGTCTCCATCTCCAAAATCCCACCGGTCACGGTCTCGAAGACGGTCACGCCGCGGATCTTCCCCTGAAATCGTAAAGGAGACCGTCGTGGAAAAGAAAGAAGTCATCAAGGAGGTCTCTCCCGCACGGACGCATCGATCTCACACCACGCACCGCCGAGGGTCGTCCGTCAGTGATGAAACGATTATCGAGCGAAGAATTACTCGCGAAGAAATCGAAGATTCCAACTCGGTTCATGTTGGTCCGCTCGCACTGGTAGTTGATCGCAAGCCCCAACGCAGTGAACGCGATATCAAGGACGAAATCCGCAGGCTAGAAGCTGAGAGGCGAGAGTTGAGGCGCGAGAGACGGTACGAGCGCGAAAGTGGAGAGATCATCAAGATTGAACGGGTCCGTGACAGATCTCCATCACCTCGCGGAGAGGTCATCATTGAGAAACGAGGCGACGAGGTTCTAGAGGTCAAGAAGGATCGGAGAGGTAGGATGTCGTTGATCGTCAAATGAACCAGTTTTCTTGATTGACCGGCGTTGGACAGGTCGCTCACGCTCGGCTGCCCCCAGCCCGGCAATCATCAAGGCCATGATGGCTACTCTGACCTGAAAGCACTTCTGTCAGACCTGCACATTATGGATTTGTCGAAGGACCTTCAGGGCGGAGTTTCCAGGACCGGCATAGATATCATCCACATATCTGCGCCAGTCCCTTCGGGTTTTTTTTGGCTAGGCTAGGATTGATCTACACATGACAAAGTTTCGGGGCGACTCTTGCCCATTTGAGCAGAGTACGGCACCAGACGGAGGATACGACATGATGTCGCACGGTTTTGACAAACGGCTGGCATGATCAAGTAAAGTTTGACGAATCTCATATATGGACTTGTTAGGTTGTGGACGATGGTGGACTCAATTTTTGAAATATGGATAGATATGAGGTGGACGATTATATCATACATTCGAATGTCATGAGAAAGTCTACGAATGATGCTGAGAAACTTTTGTGCTTTGAGCCCCCTAGCGATGTTCCTATTGTATGCGAGACGAGGACGAGCCTATGGGTTGCCGGAGTGAGGTGCATATGTGAACAAACACTTCCCCACGCCCCCAGCGCTGGTTTGATCGATGTCAGCCTGCATCCCATAAATCTGTCTTCCTCTCCAACAAACAAATCGTTCACACTGCCCTCAGTCCATTGCCTCTTGATTGCCTAGGCTACAGATTCGTATTGGATCCGCCACCCTTGTTCTCTTTTTGGCCCTGAGCAAACTGCTACGACCATGGACAAGTTTTCTGCGTTTGGGAAGAACATTAGGTGCGCCCCCTAGCGATTGAGCCCTCGACCAAATCGCCCATCCCAGAATTCCCACTGACCCGTTGATTGTTGTCAGCTCGGCGTTCAATTCCACTGTTACGCCGTCCTGGCAACGAAGTCAACAGTATCTCAAGGAGCAGTTCGGAAATGCCGAAGATAAGGTGCGCACTGTTCAACAGCACTCAACACCTGAGCGTAGTCTACTGACCGAGAAACTTTCAGACCGAATTGCCGGCAGACTACCTTGAGCTCGAGAAACGAGTTGACGCATTGAAGCAAGTCCATCAAAAGCTGCTTGATGTCACGTACGAATCCCGCAAATCAACGCTGAGATTGGTGTTGACAAGTGTCTAGCAAGCAATACCAGAATGAAGCCTACGACTACCCTCCCAATATCCGCGAATCCTTTGGCGATCTCGGCCGCAGCATTTCGGAGAAGGTGACGCTCCTCTCCAAAGCTCACAATGCATCCGAAGCAGCAACCGCCTTCACTGCTCCTCCCTCGGCGAAGCCTCAGCCCAAGACATTCAACCATGCCATTGCCCGAGCCTCGCTTGCAAGCTCCCAGATGCTCAAACAGTCCAACACTTCAGGTACTGGCGAAGATCCACTGGCAAATGCCTTGGAGAAATATGCGCTTGCCGAAGAGAAAGTGGGCGAAGCTCGATTGGCGCAGGACCAGGCCATCCAGTCGCGGTTTCTTGCTGGATGGAGTACGACGCTGAACACCAACATTCAGTTCGCGACCAAGGCGAGGAAGGCAGTCGAGAATAGCCGCTTGTTGTTGGACAGCACCAAGGCAGCCAAGAAAAGTCAAGTTCAGGGTCGCGGCATGAATCCGGACGATGAGACCGCCTTGAGCGAGGATGCTCGTGCCGAGATCGAGGCCAAGGAAGACGATTTTGTCTCGCAGGTGGAGGAAGCACAAGGCGTAATGAAGAATGTGAGTACAATCTGCATGACGAGCCGTTACTACGATGGAACTGACCTCAACAGGTTCTGGACACGCCCGAACCGCTCCGCAACCTTGCAGACTTGATTGCTGCGCAACTCGAGTACCATAAGAAAGCATACGAGATCCTATCCGAATTGGCACCAGAGATTGATCAACTCCAGGTTGAGCAGGAGAGCAACTATCGTAAAAGCAGAGAGGGTGCTTGATCTTGTCACGGTTATCGGCTGCATTGCTTTGTATTTCCAGGTGCTGTTGTCCTCTCAGCAGTGGGATGAATGGAACAGGGGGAACGTATTCCAACTTAGATCTACATACCAACTTTCATTTGTCACTATTGCTGTACGCGTAGATGTTGTTGCCAGGGACGATCCTGTCACTTCCTCTGACCAGTTGATGTATTAAATGGTTGCCGAAGATTTCCCGCTTTCGGTACAACTTTCGTTCCTTCAGGTTGAAGCTTTATCCGCATTCGACGTGCAACTTGAGTTCTGCTCTTTCAACCACGAGTATCCAGCAGCTGTGTACCGACACAAATTGGCCTGCCTCTCCAAGCAACAGATCACATATACCCTAAATCATACCACCCTCCTTCTCGGCAAAGCGCCTCGCATCACCTTGCACGATCGTCGCGGGCATTTCCTACGACCCCAGTATATCGCAGCTTTCTGTCACCACGCAGTGCCCCTAAGAGGATTTGACCCCAAGAGATTAGGGACATATACACAAGATGGCAAACGGGTAGGTTCAGATCGTACACCCACCGAGTATGACCACAAGATTTCGCATTCGCAATCTCGAATCTTCTTTCACACTTCGCCCAACAACTGAATCACGAGGGGACGCCAGCCAGTCCACGTGAGGACGACACGAGTTGGTTCTCGGAACAACATGAACTCAGGGGGGGTCTGAATCATCGACTCTCCAGACTCTTACATCTCAAGTGGCGGCAATCAAGCTCTGGTCGCATCGTTGGAGCAGCATGACCTTCTACCTGCTTGTGGTGCCGGATGCTGTACCCGATGTGCTTTACACCCTCTCATCACCCTATGTCCTCCTTTTTTTTTGCGCTCACCACTTCAACAATTGGACTACCCGTTTATGCGGTGAATGACGTCGGAATCGAGCTAATACATGGACTCTTACCGCAGGTGGTCTATTCTCATCGGCCTGATCGTCATTGTCGCCCTCAGCGTCGCCGCATGGTTCCTGAGTCCAAAGGGCGAAAATCAAACGTACGTTACAAATCTATTTCTTGACATCAACTGCTCAATACGCCTCCTCGTCAAGTTGACGACCCCTGGCGGAGCAAAATCAACTATTAGAATATCCAAACTGCTTTCAGGAAGTTTCAAATTGTTTGGACGTCTCATACTGACTTTAGCTACTCTAGAATATGGAGAAGCACCCTCATTCTAAGCTTTGCAAGTTGTTATATCATGTGGGGTACGTATCATGTTCTTCATTGTGACATTTTTTGCTGGCCTCATTCGCGGGCTAGCGGCCACGATCACCGGCAAGACCTGAGTATTGCCATCTTCGGCATCTTAGGTGTCGAAGAGGAGCAGCCTATGGGATTCCGGCCTATGGGATCCCGGCCTGCTGAATATCTCCGCTTGTGAGGCGGTAGGCTGACTTCATGTGGTAACACAGCAATAACGTTCTTCGCACAATGGCACCCCCTAATCGAGCCGCGAATGGCGAAATTGAGGCATGGATATGCCGGTGGAAGCTGAGCAGAATCAAACTTAGGGAAATCCCTCAACCTGGGCCGGGTTCAAGGCAGGACAAAGAATGGAAAGAACCATCCGCGGCTGAATTCTTGCACGATCGTGGTTTCGCGGCGTGGTATGGATGAAAGCTTCGTGTATAAGATAATGTTTCATGTGTAGGAAATGGATCGCCATGAGCCGCACATGCTACGGGTGCTATCAAGGCTGGACTCCTGAGCATAAAACAAGATCCTTTCATCCGGTTTACTGGCACATACTAGGCACTATGAGGATGACGGTTGGTCAGTGAGTTCAATCCTGATATGCCAATGCAGACTCTCCTGGTGTTAAACGGCTATGTACAATGGAAAAAATGCTCACGTTACTGCCAGTGTTGTATCAAATGCGGTCCCAGGGGCTAGAAGAGTCTTCTCGAAACGAAGCCCAGCTTTCTAGTCTCCATTCCAGGGAAGACACAGAGCACCCTAGGTTTTTTTATCGTCTTGGGAATGAGGCCCGTCGCGGCAATGCGTTTATGCATGCCCAAGCGAACGGTTGCCCCAGATCTTGAAAGGTCCAACAAGAGAATTGGTTTGAACTAGGCCTTGTGGCCACATAAAAGAACTGCGATTCATCCGTGATCTTGTTGGAATCTGATTTCGGAATGCGAGATCCGTTCAGCCTTCATTGCTATTCCCCGTCTCGCCCCGTTCCGCCTGGTCGTCTTCTTGCAGCGTATCACACTCGAGGTCATCCGTGGTTTCCTCCACCGAGATTCTCACTTCATCGACTGGAGGTTCATGCTCTTCTTCCTTCGTCTTGGCTTCAACTTCAGCATGATCGACTGGCAAAGACTCATCCTCGGGCCCAATTGATGACGTGGGCTCCGTCCGAATTGGACTCATACTTTCATTATCCTCAACACTTTTATCATCCTTATCCCCTGCACTCTTACCAACGACCGCTTCCCTCATCTGCACTGTTGCCGCACTGTCAGTAGCTTGACTTTGCCTCTGAGAATCGATCAAATTTTCATCGTCCAGATCGTGAATATGGCCAAGTATCGCCCCAAGAACGTCATTTCCACTCGTCCTTATCGAGCCACCGGAAGGGGACGTGATTTTCTGAACACCTTCATCTTGGAATGGGTCGATTGTTTGTTCTATGGGTGTTTCTACCGTCATTGGTCTATCTTTGTCGTTCGTGGTGGCTGTAATATCGATCGTGTTCGGGTCAACATCTCCGCCTGCTGTCGTGGATGATGGCTCAGGATTTTGGGAATCCATATGCACGGACAACGGGTCAATATCCTCCGTTGTGCCAGTGGGGGTGGGATCCTCCGACGTACGAGGCTCGTATTTCGGCACGGTGGAGGTAATGTCAAGCTTTGGCAAGAGACGCTCAGGGGAAATACCTTTATTCCTGACCTTTCCCCTGTTATCCCCTTTTGGAGGCGAGACGTTGCTTTCTGGTATCTCGACAAGTTGAGGTGGCGGGGGTGGATTCTTCGGCGCGGCTATACTGCTTTTCGGATGCTCTTCCTCCTCCTCTTGGCCCTCAGCGATAGTGGCTACATGACTCCCAGTGCTTGGGGTGTGTTTATGTCTTCGTGTCGTTGCGCCCGTGCTGACTGTCGTCGCGGCCACCGGCATAGTGATATCGGGTAATGTGGAGCCAGTTGAGGACTCGTCTGACGCGGAACCCCCTGCAATGTCTCTCTGAAGGATCTGTGGCCGTAGCCCACCTTCACGATCAATAGTGGCTTCATGGACTCCTTCAGCTTCGGTTGGAATTGTATAGCTGTCCTCGGGGATGAGATGGTACTCATCACAAACGACTTTGAAAAGCACGTACAAGCCGTATGTAGCTTCGACAGACCAAAAAACATCACGATGTTGAAACCAAGCATGTGCAAATATACGATACACTCGCCGAAAGATATTGGTTAGTTGTCGCATGCTTTGCATGACATTGCCTGCTTCCGAACCCAGCGCCAACCGCGAGGGGAAATGCTTCGGGCTGGTTAGCACATTCGCAGCCCAATCGAGGGTGTGGTTGCAATAGTCGATAGCACAGCATGATTTGGGCGGCTCGTGTACGGCACAGAGATACTGCCATTCACTGGCACGCATTTCAGGACACGTCTGAGCAGAACAGGGCGGGGTGTCGTTCATCAGGAATATTGAGACAATGTTGGCTTTTTGAGTAAGAAATCGACAGAGTTCATACAGCCACAGGTTTCTATCCACGAACTCGTTGTCATTGATTTGTGGAGGCGTGGCAAGTTGCAGCGCAGACTCTTTTGTGATTGGAATGGTATGTGTGGACTCCGGCGTGTGAGTGAGGTGAGCGTACAGGGATTTGAGATGTTCTTGAAGTTGGAATGGCGAGTCAAGCTGGCTCAATGGAATTAGAGGAGGGCCCAGAGCCATGTCTGCAGCTTTTGTTCCCGGCCTTATCCTCCTTGCTGCTCCTTCGTCTGGTTTCGATGTTGCTTCAAGCGATAATTCTTTGGAGAGGTCAACACCCGGGCTTTTAGGGCCGAATTGGACCTCTGGGATTGGCGGAGGAGACGGTAGGCGAGGGGAGCTGGATGGCGAGACACCGGATCTCGAGGGTGTAACGGCAGTCATTGTGAATGTGGGTGGCAAAGTTGGGTTCGTCCAACAGTCAAGTGTGTGTATCGCAATGGTTTCGGCGCTTCACGCGTGGGTGCTGCTCGCCTCTTCAATGTGGGAGAAGGATATCTCTATTGATATACAATGCCGTTCCTCCCGATGTAACCTCGCTAGCTCCTTTTCATGGCCGTCCGAACCTGAGCAGCTCTTCTTTGATGCCGGGCAGGGCACAATTAGCTAAGGGTCAATGCGGTCGCGTTGTCGCAGAGAGCAGGCCAGAAGAGTGTTCTTGGTGGATCGAAAATAGTGGTGCTCGCATAGCCGGGTCAGAAGACCGAGTACTTCAGTCGAGCAGAAGGGCAAAAGAGGGTTATCTACTGAGGGAGGAAGTCTAGCGTCTCCTACAGGGTGAAAGGAATAGTTTGATAGTCGAACTGAGAAGCGCAGTCGCAAGAGCCACGGTTTCGGATGAGTTGCCCTTTGCGTCCTATAAGGTTTCAAGATCGACAAGAAACCGGGCGCTAAACCTTAATACCTTGTCCGCTACGATCCTCGGTTGATATTCCTCATCGGTGCGTCGACCAGGAGGGTGGGACACAATAGAGGCAAATCGGTTGTAATTAGGATGAAAGGTGCTGTACGGATCTACGTATTATCAGTTTCAACATCGCCTCAATCATCCACGTCGCGGGAATCACCTTGGTGCTGGATGACTTTGCGCCTGTCAAAGGCCGACTCGCGGAAATGGAGGACGATGAAATACCTGACCTGGTTGAAGTTTCTCAGAATGGCGGCACCTCCAGCGCTCTGAGAGATGGTCCTGAAAGAAAGGTGCCCATCACTATCATAACCGGTAAGGATACACTCCAGGACAAGTCATTTGCGGCCTCAGTTGACAGGACAAATTGCAGGCTACTTGGGAGCTGGGAAGACTACTTTGCTCAACTATATCTTGAGAGCCGAGCACGGCAAGAAAATCGCAGTTATTTTAAACGGCATGTGACAAGATCCGCATTTCCCTTTCTACAAGCTCGGCTTTAAAGACTTTTTTCATGTTTTCTAATGCTATCTCTCGGTCCACAGAATTCGGAAACACCACGGATATTGAAAAATCCCTGACTATCAATCAGAACCACCAAGCCACAACAGAATGGATCCCTCTGGCCAATGGCTGTATCTGCTGCAGTGTTAAAGACTCCGGAGTTGCAGCACTGGAGTCTCTCGTTGAGCGCCAGAAGGATTTTGATTACATCTTGCTGGAGACTACAGGTGTTGCGGATCCAGGGAATATTGCGACTATGTTTTGGCTCGATGAAGGGCTAGGAAGCAGTATCTACCTTGACGGCATCGTGACAGTAGTTGATGCGAAAAACATCCTCAAAAGCCTTGACGAACCTGCGCCAGAAGAGTTACCACAAGCTGAGTCCGACGGCCATCACGACCACGGGTTCCCTCTGCTCACAACTGCTCATCTCCAGATCTCCCATGCGGATGTGATAATTCTCAATAAGACAGATCTTGTCTCACCAGCCCAGCTTTCAGTTGTTCAAGCTAGAATAGCTTCTATCAACAGCTTAGCGCGCATAGTCACGACAAAACACTCTCGTGTCACGAACCTCAGTGGAACCATCCTCGATTTACAGGCATACTCGACGTTCCCCTCCGGTTACAGCATGTCCACCACCAGCGGTAACTCGATACCCGACTTCGCCTCCAAGGGTCATTCTCACCTAGACCCAACACTTTCCACGGCCACATTTACCCTGCCTCCGTTTGATCCGCAAAAGCTACACCTGCTCTCAGGCTGGTTGGAGACACTGCTCTGGGACGCGGAGGAGTCGCAGCTGGGAAATGAGCGGAAATACGAAATTCATAGAACAAAGGGGCTGATCAGGTGTACAGATGGAAGCACCAGAGTTGTACAGGGTGTGAGGGAAGTTTTTGAGATCATTAACTTGCCGAAGCCAGAAGCTGGTGTTACCAAAGACGAAGACGCGACTACAGAAACGGGCAAGATCGTGTTCATTGGGAGGAACCTGGATTTGATCACAGAATTGAAGGTTGGTAAGGACGACAGCACTGCTTAATTGAACGGGCTGATGCAGAAACAGCCACGTGTTGGGCCCAAGATGGCCACTCAGGAAGTAGAAGAAGTTGCCAATGTTATTTCATGATCGTGTCATAGGTGATAATAAATTGAGTTCTGTGTCGCCTCAACGGTAGTAAGGAAGCTAGAGATCTGCAAGCGCTCAAAAATCTTCAGCGAAGAACGCAGCAGAGATGCGAGTCCTGAGAGACATCTAGCATTCCCTGATCTCTTGTCCGGCATCCCGTTTACCACACCATTCAATGGATCAATCGAAACAGGTTAGGCCACCGGTCTGCGACACAACACCCCCTTGCTTGTCTGGTCAAGCGATTGGCTTGCCGCTGAATTGATTTGGTTTCGCAACCACAAACCTTTCCAATGTCATAATCAACGCCGCCGGATGCATTGTACATAAACCCGAAAGAGCAAAAAGCAAAAGCTCCGCATCCTCCTTGCTTCGAATGCGATTGCAGTCATTTGAGAGAACCTCATCTGTCGTGATAACAACATCCATCATCAGGTTGCGTTGCGTATCAAAATATTCGAAAGATATGCTCAAAAATCAAGTCCACCCATCATTACAGCCTAAGTTGTGGAAACATTTCGTGTCGTCGTCATCCAAGGTCAATCGACCTGTCGTGATTCATTCGCTTAAAGAGCATCCATGTTGGTCCATACACTGTCATAATAAAGAACGGTTAAGTGGCTGCCACACTACCACATGATTTGGATCCCTCGTACTCACAAGCCACGTACTCTGCATGACTTGTGCCGTGAGCTAATCCTTGACCGGACACGCCAGACATTTGTCCGCTCTTGGAAACGGCAGAGTCTTATTAGCGCAACCGACTGAAGCTCCTAGGGCCGCTTCAGGCGATCAAAGTCTGACTGTTGCTTGGACAAGGAGATAGCTCGTCTGCTGGGAGTTAGAGCACGTTGATGGGAGTGATCTTCGTCTTCGGGCCGGCTCGAAATGCCTTATTCCTTCGATACCCCTGTTTGTGTCAGGTCGTCCGACTTGGCCTTGACAAGCGGCTCGTTCTGTTGCGGTGTAGCAGTTTTTAGGTCTTTCACTGCCGCATCTCTCAACGAAACAGGGACGCCGGGTTCTCCCAGATTACAAGCGTCGTTCCCGAACCATGCGAATAATAGAGCAGCTTTTTGTTGTTCACAGACGCGTGGGGTCTCTTCGCCAAGCGGAGGGTGGTCAGCGGCAGGGTATTTGTCCTCTGGCTCGGGTATTTTGTCTGGTGTCTGTGACAAATGATCGTCCTGAGGGGCAGGTGGTATAGGAGAAAGGCCCGAATCGTCAGCAAGCACCGCGAGCGATTCATCATAGCCACTGTCCATGAAAGGAAGGCTAGGAGGTTTGCCCGTGGCCTTTTCGGAAGATTGGTCTATTGGTTGTTGAGGCATAGTGTCCCCGCGAATAGGTGTCATGGAGTCCGGATCCTCCTCCACTGTGACGAGATGATCTTTGTGAGGAGTCAAGTGGTTACTGCTCAGACCGAGGCAATCCACCTCTTCCGATAGCCTTTGGATAGTATCCTCCGAGTCTTCGGGTGTCTTTCCCACTTCCTCGAGCGTCATCTGCAGTGAATCTGTAAGGCAGTCCAGATCCTGAGGGCTGCTTTCCACCATTCCGGGCATCTGCTGTGTATTCTTGGTTTCGATATTTGGGATTTCGAAGGCGCTTTCAAGTTGTCCAGGTAGCTTCGAAATATTTTTGCTCGCGTCCACTATGTTGTCCGAACCATTCGTCGAGGTCTCCAAGGGCTTCGTAGAGTGATCCAAGTGGTCTGTCGATTCGCTCGAATCCTCCGTCAAGTGCTCTATAGTAAGAGCCGAATTTTCCATGATGTGCATTGGATTTTCCATATCTTCAGGGAAAATCCCACGGTTCTGAGTGAGATGCTGCCGGTACCGCATTAGGTTTGCTGGATATTCGTTCTCATCCTCGAGAATCTGCGTCATTTCACACGATCTTCGAGCCAGACTCTTAAGGTGTTCCTCAGCTGCATCTCCCATGTTCTCGGCATTGATCGTTAACCTCTTAGATCCGCTGTCAGCCTTCTCGGTCGAACTTTCCTGGCATTCGGAATGTCCAGTCCGGCACTGGTTTAGAGTTGCGAGAATATCCTGACTATTCCGAGGCGTGCTTTCAGAAGTGGCAGAGGTTGCAGCCAGAAGCGAAGGGCGTCGGATTGGAAGTGGGTGGAAGATGTCAGCAAAGCTGGTCGCTTCAGTCGCGCGATTCTCAGGTTGGGGCTCTCGGTCTGGAGAGCTACTCTCCGCTCGTGAAGGGCCCTCCAAGATCTTCAGTTCTTCGTCATTGAAGGTGCGGCGGGAAACCAGATAAGGGTGACCGTCCAATTCGAGCTCATCAAATTCTCGGTCCATTCCCGGAGTTATAGCCACAATATTCGGTTCCAAGTTCTCAGTTGGAGTGGGGCCTTCATCCTCAGATTCCCAATGGTGTGTCTCATTCTTACCAAGATGCGCATAATTAGTAGGTGGTCTTCTGCCTCTGGGTCGGTCATAGCCCGAGGTTACACTCTCGAACTCATAGTTAGACGACTTCGGATACGTGAATGTATAGTCATCTCTTGAGCTCTCCGGCGAATATGGAGGCGCCTCGTGCTCTTGTATATTTGAGCTCAGCCGTAGAATATCGTCTCGCTCGACCGCATCCGCTGGGTCAATATATTTCTTCATTGTACGCAGTTTCAGGGCTGGCCTTTGATGTGGCGGGATCTGTTCAGATGAGTTGGAGATTCTCGAGGGAAACAATTCGACGAGTTCTTTGGCGGATAATCGATCTCTTGGACGAGAGGACAAGCAGATCCGAACAATATCTTGATACCAGTCGGGGACGTCCGAAGGGAATTCTTCAATACTCAAAGGTGGCACATGTCGTTCTGGTTCATCGTCATCCATTGCCAATGCCCACAAAGTCATCCCGAGCTGATAAATGTCTGATTTTTCGCCGATATACATGGAAATCCGCTGGTTGCTGGCAATCTTGGTGGCAATCTCCGGGGGCTCCCATCCCACAGGACAGCCTCGCCGGTTGATATCGATGATCTTAGCGTTTCCATCGCCGTCGACAACAATGTTAGAAAGTGTAAAATCGCCCTGAACGTAGCCCTCTTGATGTATTTCCTTAAGGCCACGAACCGCCTGCTCCGCCCACCTGCAACGATCCTCCCAAGCGATTGCGCCTCTGTGGTCGTAAAGGAGATCCACAATAGCGCCCCTTTCCGCAAAGCCGATCAAAAGCCCTTTGACAACGGTTTCTGAGTCATCAAGGATGATAGCTTCGAGCTTGATGACATGATCGGAATCATGCAGAGCATGCAGGGCATTGATTTCATACAAAAATTCGTCCACTGTGTCTGGACCAGGAATTTCTTTCTTGATGTAGACGGTACCCTTGTGTATAACCTTGTAAACAAAGCCGGAAAGGTGCGAGTCGAAGGTTAGCTCACTTTCTCGGATTTGCATAGGTCGGAAGGCTTCATCGTTGAGTATATGGGAAAGAGTAGTTTTAGGGGGATATGGAATGATCTCGTTGACATCCTCAGTCACATGGACATGGAGACGACCATCAGTAGTTTCCAACTTGAGGTTAGTAACAGTATCGTAGAACTGGATCTCAGGCAGTGAATCACGGATGGACTCATATATTTGCATGCTCTTATCCCGCTGGAACTGGAGTTCCTTGAGGTCCATCTCCAGAGAACCGGGCTCAGCATTGCGATAGTCACATGAAATCGTCACACGCCGCCAAAAGTTCGGAGTCTGCGCATAGGTGACGAAGAACTTTTCACGGTCTGACTTGTCCCGGAAATGCATGCTGAGGTTGAGGATCCATCGGTGGTCGAGTTCGTCCCTCAATTCTGCCTTGTCGTCGGCTATAGGCATTTGGGGATAGTGCGAGTCATCAGAAGAAGTTCTCGAAGGGGGTCGAGGAGGTCGGTCGTCGTCCTGAGACCAGAGGTCCTCGGTCGGATCGGGGTACGTCGAATCCGGGGATAGTGGAAAGGTTTCGATGGGAGAATGGCCCGTGGCGGCATCCGCCGTGTGGGCTCCAGTCACTGCGGGTGCAGAGATCCGAGCCGAATCCCATTCGGGTGGTGAAGAGGTCGCTCGTCGTCTGGGCAAGCTTATAGAGGCGTGCCTGGTAGAGGAGACGGCCCTCCTCTCAGCATGACAAGGCTGAATGGGGAACAATCGATCTCGCCTCTCTGAATTCTGACGTCGGAATGTCGCCTGCCGAGGGAGACCAACGGCGAGCGGCCTGGTTAAGGGATCGTGTTTGGGAGAATTCTGTCTATCGGCCCAGGTCTGAGGCCACTGCTCGTCGTCGGAGCACTCGATCGGGCTTTGAGTGGCGTCATCTTTGGCAAAGAAATGCTGGATCTTCTGCCACATGCCGAATCTAAGCGAGTGCCTGGGATAATGGTGATGCGGCTCGGAGTCGACTTGTCTCAATGGATTGTGTTCGGCATGACTTGGTCGAATGCCCATTATGGCGGAGGTTGCCGTCAGTAGGACGTTGATACGAGTGAGGGGCACAACCGTCTCCCACGGTCGAATCAGCAGCCTCCGCCGAGTTGGTCAGCACAGCAGGGAAGAGAACTGGACCAACGGCAATCGGACATTGAAGTCGTGCAGGTGCTATGCGTCGTTGCGTATGTGCGATGTGTGACGGTGGTACAGAAGAGATGGAAAGAGGTTTTGGTGGGAATTCGGAAAATCAGTGGATGTTATTGGTGATGGGCCATCGACTGTGGTGGCAGAGGTGGGAGACTTCGGAGACTCGGGAGGTGGAAGAACCTTGGGAGGCGGTGAGGGATGACAAGAGCACCAAGCTTGTGTGTTTTGGAGAAAATATGGCACCCGGCCAGCCCGCCCGCGCTACAAAGGGAGTTGATGTTTCAAGAACAGGGAGGAGGGGATATTGTCCCTGTGCAATGTGGACTGGTCAAATGGTTTGAAGGACGAGTGCAGGAGAGTCGGGTTATGGGCTGCAGCAACGTAGCTGAGTGGTCTTGAGGTGCGGACCGAGTATATCGAATGGATCCCCAGTACCGGTCAGGGTGGCCGTTGTCTGACCCACGCTGGCCGTCTGGGTGCTGGAGTACAAGGAGGTAGGTGGAATGGTGATTGAGATGAAGCAAGGATGCTGGAAGCGGGTTTGATGGCTTTATGGCGGGTTTCGAAAAGTGGCTCAACGTGGTTCAAAGTGGTTCACCGCTTAAGCAAGGCCACAAGGCGTAGGCTTCAGCAGCCGAAGCTGGGTATGGTGCGGCTGCATGAAGCAGGAGGCAGGAGGTATTATGGAGGTTTGTAGCAGGGCAGAGCCAGACGGCAGGAAAAGAGAGAATGGAAGGCGAAGAAGAAGGAGATGACAGAGAAGAAGAAGAAATCTCTCCAAGCTCGCTCCAAAGTTGTCTGTCTATCCTTGATTTCTTTTTCGTTCCCGCTCTCAGTCTCCCTCCTCTTTTCGTCTCGGGCGCAGGCAATAGATGAGCTGAACCAGTGTGGACTGGACTCCGCTGTCAACGCTGAGCAGCCGGTATATGGGTTCAGAGGCATCACTTAACTACCTAGTAACCAACGACGAGGTTGCTGATACGGTGTGCCGCAAGCCTCCCAAGTCGGACATTGTGGTCAGGCTCGCTCCGGGGCCTGGGGGGCTCGGGTGGGTTGGTAGGCTGGTGGGCTAGGTGGGCTGGTGACTGGGGAACGAAGAGGAGCCACTGTACGGCCACAACACAATTGCCAACGCAAGACTTGAAAGAGGGCGAAGCAGCCAATGAGCCCCCTAGGCTGAGAGGGCGACAACTGTAAGCGACGGTTGCTTCCCTGGGTGCCCGCTGCCCCGTGGCCCCGAAGGCCTAACCGTTAACTAGAGCATTGAATCCATCATGATCCCTGGGCGCTACGTCTGCAAGCTGGTATCCGGAGTCTGTCTTGGGAGCTTCCGCACACTGGGACAGTAGGCTGCGATTCCACCACTTCAGCGGGCCTATCAATGACTCGAATGTGCCTCGACTCGACCTGTTCGTGGAAGCCTTGGATCTTGCTTTCTCTCTTGGGAACAGAAATGACATTAGGCGAGGTGACATGAACTGCAAGGCAGATGTCCCGCCAGCGGGTGTGAGAGCAACTCGTACTCATCTGCCCGCCAACCCCGAAGTTTTTATATGTTCCCTTCCGCCTTCAGCCCTACTCGGTAGGCTTTCGCAGCTGCGTTCCACAGCTCGCAAAACCTTTCAATTGTCCCTCTCTATTCATTTCTCTCCATTCACCTCCTCACGCCTCATCGTACCCGAGCCTCTGTCCAGCTACCACCTTGTCTGAACCTTCCGCTGGTTCCTCCGATCCGAGACTCCTCTAGATTTTGATTCATCCCCATATCGGTCGACAAAGAAGAGGGCGGCAAACGACGCGTGCAGTTGAGCATGGACTAAGACGGCGCCCTGAGCCCCTACGATTGGGAACTACGGCGAGCCCATGCTACTAGCTGCCGTAGAAGCCCAAAGCTGCAACTTTCGAAGGCTTCCACTCCACGGATCCTGCCACTACTGCACATTCTGCAGGAGGCATCCAACACTTTTGCATTCGGCCACTTAAAGATTTTCTTGCAATGTTCTTTTCTCCAATTTGTCGCCTCATCGTTGGGCTGCAATTATTTAGGTGATTTCAATTCCCATTGGCGCTTTGCTGCTCCTATATCGCTCTTTCGGTTGACGATTTGTCTCACGACTCCCTCTCATCATGTGCGTCAAGCAATTCCATCGGGAAATGACATCGGAACCGTGATCTCATAATCGTTATGAAGCACTCATTGTTTTGGCTTTTCTTCATCTGGGATCCATCATTGACGTGGCCGCCCTGGCCAAAGCCCTCCCTGCCCAAGATGTCTGAATCTCGACTGACCTCACGCATGACCGTTCTATCACCCGTGGGATTCTCACGCCTCAGGCCCCAGACGACGTAATTATAAGTCCCAAAATAAGGTCACAGGACTCTGGTGCCATCTTGTCTGGGTCAAAGTTCGGACTGCTCTCACTCGCGGTACACACCGCTCATTACCTTCATGTCGTTGTCCTTTGATGGGGGCTGACCAGGATCCTAATGCTCCGGTTCAACCCGTATTCAGCCCCTTGGTCACCCAGGTCACCACATGCCATTGGCTTTCCGTGTGTATCAGGAAAATGAAAAGCGTGTCGCAGAGATTGAGATCAAATTTGCGTCACGGAGTACCCAAGTCGCGAGATGTCTTCGATTGCGATCTCAAATCGCGCGTGCCTAGTTTCGTCCTTCACCTCGTTAATCATCGGAGAAAAACTTCAATTGACTCGGGTCAGATAGTGAGCAGGTCTTAGGTCCCGCTGCCCATTTTGGACCTGGAGACGCTCGATCGAGTATATTGGAGCTCCATTGATCGGCCCTTTTCAGAGGCCATCCCATCTGAGTGTCCTCGAAGTATCAGTTTCTGGTTTAAGAAGCTGCTGGGGTGAAATTACTTCTCGTGTCCCAGGAGCATTGCCCAAGGCCTTCAGACTTCGACAGCATACACCGATCCAAAAGCTACAGAAAAAGAGATCCCCGTGATCACAGTGGTCTGCGTGTCTGCATGGCCGCAGTCAGATCACGAGGGTTCGTTGGGCACGCGTCTCCTCCAAAGCTTCCTCTAGGATTCGCTCTTCCATTGGGCTCCTGCTCTTCCTTCTAAATCTGAACATTTTGATCAAGAAACCTATACCCTTGCGACTTTTGCCAGATCGTATACCTCTGCTTTCACCAGGGCCAGCCGAGCCAGGCATACGTTGCGATGGGCAGCGCCCCTGGCTCAGGACTAGGAGGTCTTCACAGCCAGATCCCTGCTGGGCCTCACGGGCACAAATTGCATTCCCCAAGGACACGTTTCATTTTGGGTACTCAAAGTCTGTCAGCTTGTGCTCTTGGAGAAACCGGTCCAGCTGACGCCTTGATCGATGTCGATTAGATCCTATCGGTCTGGTTCCGCAAAAATCAACTCTGCTTCGCCTCGGTCGCAAAAGATGGTCATCATCTGAGACGACGGTATGGATGTTCGACATTCCGCCGCTAGCCCATCCACTCCCGTTCGATGGGGTGTCCTCCCTCAGACTACGCTCAGCACGCTTTCTAGGTATGGCTTCTATTTCTCTTTTCGCTCGATCCGCACGTGTCTCCCAGACTGTGGTCTTTCATCAATTCGATGAGGGCTTGACTGAAAAGTATACATCCACTATTGGGTTGAGACGGGGTTTCACTGTCATGCACTGGAAGAACTGGTCTTTGAAAGACTATTACCTCTGTCATCCGTTTCAAGATGCTCGTCCGGGGGGCGCTGTGGTTTCCTTGATATCGTGATGAGTTGGGAAAAGAGCAAAATGAGTTGACGTCCTGTGGTCTGTTCCCTTCTTGTCTTCTGCCATTGCACTACTCTCCTTGGGTTCACATTTTGAACACACGGCCTGGGTGGAGAGAGTGAGGGCTTCGGAATGACGCAGATGGCTAATTCGACAGAGCATGATCCTGCCTAGAAGAAAAGTTGTCACTGATGAGGCTCGCTTCCATTGCCCAGATGACCAGTTAGAAGTCAGCATAGTGGATTGGGCATCAATGCCCCCCAAAGTCCACCCACAAGACCATACGGAAGGAGAGTCGTCCAGATCCAGATGCGAACACCTGCCTCCAATACCATTTTATTCGGCTTGCCCAAAGTAATGTATCCCCTTGTGAGGTATAATGTACACGAGATTGCCATGTTGCCTGTTCAAATCTTTGATCGAACCCCGTCTTTGTGCGTAACCCATGTCGTATCTTGCATTCCAAGAGCCGTCACGGTCTAAATCTGAGCCTAAACCCAACGTCTCCACCTGGAGCGTCACTTTTCCTCGCCGCTCTTCCCTGACTTCCCATGAAATATCCCGAACCATCGCCCTCGGACCCCTCAGTTCTCACTTGCCTTCCGTTCTGTTGCACTACATAAATAAAGCGTGCTATTGTGTCGGCTTCACTAAGTTGTTGCGCATTGAAATGTTTGCGCACAGCAGTGGCGAGATTTGAGGCCGGCTCGCGAGGACCGAGGTTTGTTGTGGTGGATGACGAGGAAGATGGAGAAGGTGGTGTGCCATGGCCTTGGTCGGAGGTGACTTCTGGAGGGTCGGCGGTTTGTGCTATAGAGGGAGCAATACTCGATAGTTTGTCTGTATGCGCCGCCCCTTTTATTTTGCCCTTCTCCTTATCTCTGTCCTTGGATCTATGACTTTTGCCTGTTCCAGTTGTCTGTTTCGATTGACGTTGTTTGCGTCGCTGAAGCTGTAGCTCGTGCTGTTTTCGTCTGTAATGGACCGCCGAGGGAGCACGCAATGCGAGGTCGCAGGATTTGTAAGTAACTTCAGCATGGGGGTAGTTGAATGCTGCAGGGACATGAAGACGGTGCGCAATACGGTAGGAGCGGAGAATGGGTACCGACATCGTTGTCCATTCGGTCTGTTGGCAGGGTCACAGAATGGTTAGCTTCGCTCCCTTTGTACCCTAAGAATCTCTGATGGACACAACATACTTGAGGGAGATTTGGGTCTTTGTCCCCTTCTGTTGCTGCAGGAGTGGCAGCGGGAGGAGCGGTGCCATTGCCATTCATGGGGGTTTTGTTCCCTGCGCTGGGGATGTTGAGTCCCGAGGCGAATCGCTTTCCCTTCGAAACTCCCGAGCCGCCGGCTGGCCCTAGAACGGCTTTCTCTTTCTGGTTTGTGATGGTGCTTGAGGTCTCAGATCTGGAATCGTCGACATTTCGTCCTCGAGCAGGTGGCATCGTGTTCGGCAACAAAATTTCGACACACCATGGGAACTTTGAGCAGGCAGGACGACAGAGGAGGAATCGTGTCAAGTTCCTGCATGGAACGCAAAATAGGATGCTCGTTACATCAGAGTTATATGTCGCGAGAAAACCACAGGTGTCGTGTTGTCTCGTGAAGTCGTCGACCGCTACTCGCAGCCTCACAGATGAATCGAGCTTCAAGGACGCGCGCAGGCGAGAATAGACGGTGGACTGATACGTCATAGACACCCCTGCCCGTTTGCCCAATGAGGAGAACGGCAACGGCAGTACCCGCTCCGGCGGTCTTGTTCTTGGCAGTGGGAGAAAGCCGTGACTTGAGAGCCTTGCAGGCCCAAGACGGCAGCACAAGAACTTCCAACCTCCGTGCACGAGGCCTGTTCCTGCATACTGGAACTTTTAACGCAGCTGAAGGCTCGGGTGGCGGGTGGTGCGGTCGCTATGTACCTAGTCGTGTACTCTGTTCTACACTGTTCTATGTGCGCAGAGAGTATTTACTCGCATCTTCTTTTGTAGCCCGTCGAGTCTGCGGAAGTTGAGGTAGAATATCTGAGTAGCTGTATCTCCACAAGAACCAAATCCACGCAGTAAACACGCCGAAATGTCAAGCCGGATGTGGATGGAATGCCCACGTCCCATCAACGCAAAACTCGAACATCCTGGGGCTAGATCCGACATTGACACAGCACGATTATCAGATTTTCATTCACCTGCCCTCTCTCTCTCTCTCTCTCTCTCTCTCTCTCACGCGGAGTTCCTGAAGTGGTATTCAGACCGGATTTCGTATTTTTCTCAGATGCCAGTCCCCAGACACGATGTCCCAGCCATCAGTAGGTTTCAAATAAGGCAATTTAAGAATCGGGAAAACCCCACACACTTTTGTCACCCATGCATCGAACGACCAGGGCTGGGATAATTTATGACGAGGCTCATTCCACCTTTGGTGAACTGCTAATGGGTTTATTTCGAACACATATTCGCGGAAATGCATGCCGGGAACTCGGGGCCGAGCGAATGCCTCAATTTGAGTAAGGAAAAAGATCGGCTTATAAGGGAAAAGTACAGAGATGTCCAAAATCTCGAATGTTGGGAACCTTGCCCTCCACCTATTAGACTCGACGATTTTTTCCCCTTCAGGGTCACGTCGCTGCTGCGATGTCTGTCCGCAGAAATTTCTTCGGAGGAGATTCTGTTGAGCAATGTTACGCTGCTGCCGTCAGCCTGAGTGAGTGTTTCCATCAGGCATCCATTACGTTAGAGACAGTCTCGTCCGAAGCATATGTGTGTGGGATGGGGATGCGGATGTGGATCGCGATATACGCGGTACCTGACGTCAATTGGAATCCGCAAAGCACATGGCAGTTTTGGATTTCTGCAGCTGACGGTGACGGTGAGATTGCGCTGGGCCGAAGAAATGCCGCCCCATGTGAAGAAATTTCTTCAAAACCTAATTGTTTTGCCATCTGCGCCTCTTGAGATGCGCCTTGAGTCCAGGATTTGCACATGATTTCTCATCCCTATGACAGGCATTGGGTTCCAGCATGCCCCAGTGCAGGGCTAGATTCGCCAAGGGACAAAGGGTATCGACCCATGCGACGGGACCCCCAGTGCGAGATTCCGACAACCAAACAATCACATCCGGCATGAGCTACCCGATAGATTTTCTTCTGGTTCCTTTTCGCCTTTGAATTAGACCGAATCTTGGTCCAAGTAATACCCCGAGGTGAAGGAGGTGTCCAATTTGACGCGGGCCTGTCAGACAAGATATTCGGATGGAAATTGACGCAAGTTTCTCCATCACTAATGACGATGTTGTGATTGCAACGCCTGCTGAACCTAGCCTGTCCCTCATAGCATTTTGAAGCCGAACATCGAAACATGATTGGGACGGTTTTCCATGTCGTCTGTTGAGCCAGGATAGTCATAGTTCGAACCTCAAATTCACAGCCTGACATGTGACGACGTCCTCCTCGAGGAATTGGTTAAGTCGACCATCGCTAGAGAAATCGGGATAGAAAATCTTTCAGTCGGTAACCCACTTGAATGCAATCATGAGATGGATGAGCGATTGTGCAATGTAGATTACGGTTAAAGCCTGCATTTGTGGCACACTCCGAAGCTGATATGTGAAGTCACTGGAGGAAAGCGTATCAATTTCCGACCGAGAGCGGTCAGACCAATCCGCTGTCCATGATTTTGTGTGGTAAATGACAATTTTGAAAAACTGGAATTGTCAGTATTTGGGATGGTAAGATGTAGCCATAGACATCAAGGAATTCGTGCTGTTGACCCAAGGAGAGCGGGAATCTCTACTGCATCCAACCCCAGGTCGACTCGGTGAATAGACGAATGGAGTGTTATTCCACCTCTCCCTCTGGACTCGTAAGTTGAGTCGTCGGCTTTGGCGATCCAAAAAGGTTGGACAAAACTAAGAAGCGATAGAAGGTCAGATGTGTCGATCCATCTCTGTGTTTCGTCGCTTTGCATTCACGTTGAACACAAAATTTGATGGTCGGCAACGTCTTTGACCCGACACATATATGGCAGCTGGAACGGATCGCCAGGCTTTTGACCAAAGACCTCAGTATGTAAGAACTCTCCACGTTGAAATCCGGCGGCCAGAAAGAGGCTATAATCAAAGTGAGCGTACAACAGTCGTGCTCTTCTCCGAATCAGTGCAATCAGTTGAATGCGGACAGCATAGTCAGATCACACCATTCATTACCTTGGGGAAATTGCCCATGAAGCTCTTCCAGACAAACCAGTGTTGCTGTCTTCGTCACTCACTCAAAGTTCATAGTTCTCTGGCTGGATACATATCTGCTAATCTGCTAGATAAGACAGGCGCGTAGACCAACCACGATCATCGAGATCACCGAGGTGCTGGACGTAATGTCAGACACCAGCATGTCGTTTTATTGCTTCCCATGCTGTCGTCATTATGTCGAAAGGGGAGATATCTTCACACATTTACAAGGATGGCACCGCTTTTGGAGGTCGCCAGCAAAGGCTCAGAATTCCATCGGCTATGAGCGATCTCGATAAGCATCATTTGGTACGATATCAGTGGGGAGTGATAGGGTTCGTCGCTCAAGTCGAAAGTCTTGTTGCTAGGTCTCGTGCCACTCGCCTCAGACAATACCAGTATTCCATGCATTTGTGAGAACCCCAGAATTGCTGCGGCCACCAATCGTGCTGAGACTGTGGAAAGAAAAATATTCAGTGTTAGGTTATCTTCTTGCTTCGCCTTCGACGCTTAAAGAGATTTGTGGAGTAGTGGGAATATGCTGTGTCACCTCAACCCACATCCATTTTGGGTCCTTCTGGCGGTGCAGCCCTAATTAATTTCTTGATGAACTCATCTGGTCGAATCAGAGACGCACGGGGTATCAATCGCATTGTGATCCTTTAGGGTATCTAGGTGCGCCCATACCTGATAAAATGTGGAGCTAGGCAGGCGTGGGATGAAAAAATAGAGCCGTCTACTTTGTAAATTTCTGTGCCCGATCTTCTTGTCAGTGTTCATTCGCAGTCAAGGGCTGATATTGTGTCAGCGTGCAAGATCTTAAGAGCCTGGTAAGACGTGAGTCGATACCTGGGAATCCAATTTGCGACCCAATTGCTGGACATTCCTGAGAGTGTCGTTGGATCCTCCTTCAGCACCAAACTCCGACCCTATCGACAGATGTGGAGACGCGATCGAACGGTGTCGCAAAGCCACCACAAGTCGTTGATTATTCCTCCGTAGGTGGCCGAGTTACGGCAATGGCCGTTCTCTTCCTCTTCCTCTCTCTTCTCTCTCTTGTTTGATTCTAGCTCAGAGGGAAGACACTGGCGAGCTCTTGAGAGGGAAACGAAGGGCCACGCCATCACGACATCGAAGACTGCGTTGAATCCGTAACATTTCCGACGTGTACCTTGCTGGGAAACGGGCGGTGCGTACTTCGTATCTGGAGGACACGGGGTGATGGGGCCGAGATTCAGCCACAAATTCCTTGTCAGGCTGAGTTTGGCCACTGAATCTCACATGGAGCCATCCCTTCGCATCCGGGCGCTCCCCCAGAGGTGAAATCATCATCCCCTGCAGGCGATAACCAAAGCCGGCCAGATGTCCCCGAAAGCACCCATGCTCCGAGGCAGTGGAAGGAATCCACAAGGTGTCCTCGTAAACCCACCCCTCTCAACCGGCAAAGCCTAGTGGTTAATGACCGAGTAACCGAAATTTTGCTTGTGCCTGAAAGCTGAGGTTTGCTGCGTCCCTCGAAGGCGGCGCTGCCCTTCCTGGGTAAAGCCACAATTGCCCCAGAAAGATTGCTGATAGCAAGCCTCCACGACTCGGAACCCCTCTTCTGGGGCGTTCTGACGCGTTCTACGGGTTCACCAGACTAGGGATTCCGGGAGTTGGCCCTTAAAGCCTGTGGGCTGCTAGCTCCGGCGGTACCGCCGAGTGGTGGTCGGATTGCGCCATTGATAGACGCTTTTCGGTCAGTGTGTCAGTCAGCGCCTGCCAATTCTTATGACTTTTGGCCTTTTTGGCCTTGTGGTGATTACTGTAGTGTACGAGTGCGCTTGGAAAGAACTCGGCTGTGGCGATTCGGGGCCGAATCTGGGAAAATTACAATGACACCGTCCTTCTAGGCTCATGGGTAGAAGGAACCTAGAAATGAAATGTTATCTATGTGGAATGCGGGGTTTCTTATTTAGAAAAGTGCTCATCGATCAGTCCGCAGTATACAGAGTTTCGCAGCGCCCGGTGTTCATCTACCGCATTTTGGACGGCTTGTTGAATCGGCTCGCTGACAGTGTTCCGAGCGGGAAGACATAGGACCAAGTTCAATATTCCCGATAGTCCTTGTCACTCGTTCGGAAGAGCCCTCCATCAGCTTCCGAGTTTTTATCGTTGGGTGGGATATGCCAGAATTCTTTCTGTCAGACGGACGCAGCTTCCGTGTGCCTCGGATGAGCCCGTGTCACTCTGCACCAATCTCCTGTGGGATGGTACATGTGCGCTTCGCAGTTTCCCCATGATTGAATCCCCAATACGGAGCGTCACGCCGTACCAACGAACGAAACAGCATTCTCCCTCTTCGTTGTCCCGAGCCCCGGCTTCCAGTCTGCTGCACCAGGGAGATAGGCCACGAGGATCAGAGCATGATTGCAATGTTAGCCGGCCCGACTCAGAAAATGGTGACAGCGACAAAAGGCATGAGAGGACCACCGGTTCGTTACCGGAATATGACTTCCCCCACAAAAAAGTGACGCTCGGCGTGCCGAAAATCCCATGGCCATACTCCGTCTTTCGGGGCAGCGCAAACCAGCCCGAGAGTCCGAAACGCTCACACAGCCAGCGTTTGGCCGGGCGAACCCCCGGGCCCCAATTCTGCCCCCAAAGAGCCGACTCTTACGAGGGGGCTGCTGAGTTTCCAGGCCCCCAAATCACTTCGCTACTCGAGTTTCAGCTTTCAGCTCACCCGCGCCCTTCCCCGGATCATCGTCGCATAAGGCCCGTCCATCATCCCTTTTCCTCCAAATTATCCAGGTTCAGGAAGGTTTGAAGCCAGGAGTCAAGGGGGAAGGGGCGTGATGCGAGAACAGAGGGGGCACCATGTCATACTTCACGAGTACTTTACAGATGTGAGAAATGCACATGCCTAGCACAGGCCCCAGAGACAGTAGAAGGGCCGAAACGTGTTGATTTCGTAGCCAGCAAAAGTAACCCTCGGCGGCACTGGATCCCCTCCTATCAGCGGTCAGACACCTGCCTTGTCGCTCCCCCTGGGCGCTGTTCTCCTGAGACGTGGCCTTTCCTGTCAATTTTTTTCCTTTTGGCTTTCCCAGGCTATGCGTGATTGCCGTGGCCTGATAAGAAATCGGCGCTAAGCGGCAAGGGGAGCCCACCGAAGTCACTCCATTTGTCTTTTGAAACCTATTTCATCACAGTCCAGATCAGAAGGCCAACAAAGTGCCGTGGCCTTGCCTTGTTGCCTGGCCCTCTCGCCCTCGTCGCCCTTAACGAGAGGGTCATCCCTCCCCCCATCATTATTCGTCCCACAGTTACAAAGCCCGCCTCGCGACTTCTACCCTCACCCTCACTTACGGTTACATACAACCACGCACACAGGCCAACCCCTACCCAGGCAAACTGCTACCTACTGGCGCCCTCGTTTCGCACCCACCCGCTACAACTGGCACCAGCGTCGCTCCCACATTCCTACGGATGGTAATAGCTCATCAATAATAGAGTTAACGAAACACCCTTGCCTCTTCCAGTTTCTGCCCCCTTCCGTCAGAGAGGGCGAGAAAAAAAAATCACGACAGCAACCCACCACCACCACTCTCGCTCACACACACAAACTTCCACCCCCCGTCATCCAACCCCTGTTCCCCCCCGGTCTCCAGTTTTTCCACGTCCGCCGTGCCGGGTAATTTCCTCATTCTCAGTTCTTGTCGCTCGACTCATCATTTCAACTACCTGAACCATCTATTTTCTCCAACACACGGATCCGGCTCATCTCTCATCCCAAATCTGCTCCTGCCTACCTGACAAAACGCCGTCCACCCCGGGCCTCCTCGTTTCTTCTCCTCTTTTTTCCCACTCAAAACCCCCCAAACTACTCAATTCTCTGACCACACCATTTCCCTGACCTCACCACCTACCACACCACCCTTTCCTCCTCTCCCACGCTACAGCTTTGCTATCGCCAATCCGCTTTCTACTCCAATCTGCGCCTTTCCGACCCCAGGCCCGACGGTCCTTGTGCATGCGTCACGCCGCCATCGGTCAATTAAGTACTAAGTGGATGATTCACCCCACGATAAGCGATCATCTTCCTGGGGAACACACTCTCCCTTCGCTCGAATGCAACGCTCTTCGTCTGCAGTAGACTTTACTGCCATACTCAATCCTTCTCCTCCCTCCTCCGACTCTCCTTCCTCTTCTTTACCTTCCTACGAGTCCGTCTCGACGAACCCTCAACCCAACCACACGTCGACTACAACCACGCAACCAGACGGTAACATGGCAGCCGCTGTCAGCCTGATGCCCACGGCGATGGGTACCCAGGCTCCCAACGCAGAAGAGAGACAGGACCTCCCTCGACCCTACAAGTGTCCTCTTTGTGATCGAGCCTTCCATCGTCTGGAGCATCAAACCCGACATATCCGTACGCACACTGGAGAGAAGCCTCACGCCTGCCAGTTTCCCGGTTGCAGCAAGCGTTTCAGTCGATCCGATGAGTTGACCCGCCACTCGCGCATTCACAACAATCCCAACTCGCGTAGGAACCAAAAGACTCATCAAGTTGCCGCCGCCGCCGCTCTCGCTGGTCTCCAGGATGGCTCCAACCAAAACTTTGCTTCGCAGGCCCAGATGATGCCGCCGCCCAGCAAGAGCACCATGCCACGGTCAGCCCCGACCTCAGCTGTTGGCTCCCCTAACGTCTCACCGCCCCATTCTTTCGCGGTTCAGGTCCCTCACGGCCCTCAGATGCCGTCTCATCTTGGACTTTTCAATCGTACCGACGACAGGAACTCGATGGACATCAATCTCCTTGCCACCGCGGCGTCCCAGGTAGAGCGAGACGAACACGTCACTAGAGTTCCCTACCAGCATCAACACCATCTGTTCAGTCACCGGTCTCACAATACCAATGGCCGTCTTCCTTCGCTGTCGGCATACGCCATCTCGCACTCCATGTCAAGATCACATTCCCAGGAAAACCATGACGATGACCATCGAGTGAAGAGATCGAGGCCAAACTCGCCGCATTCAACAGCGCCCTCGTCGCCGACCTTCTCTCACGAGTCGATATCGCCGACGCCTGACCACACACCCCTTGCAACTCCAGGGCACTCTCCACGTCTCCGACCCCATGGAAGTGATCTACAACTTCCAGGATTGCGCCACCTCTCGCTCGGACACACACCTCTGCTGGCGCCTATGGAACCACAAGCTGATGGATCCTACTCCCACATTCCACCGCCACAGCACTCTGGCCCCTCGATAGCAGACATTGTCACCGGTGCGCAGCGGAAACTACCCGTGCCGCAGCTCCCCAAGATTGGAGTGGCCGAGATGCTACATCTACCCGGTGGTTTAAGTTCAGGAGAGTCTAGTACGGCAGCGTCGATCAACGGCGACTTTTCAAGGTGACTGGGACACGACGACATGGGGGTTGTACGGAGTCCGCTTTGACCTCCTTGACGGCGGGGTGTTCAGTTCGTGCCATGGATGAGACGCCCAACCCTCTCTCTTCTGGATTTTCTTTTGTCTCGGGGCGTTTTTGGAAGTGACTATGTGTTTATTTGGGACGAGGCCCCCCAGCTTCACGGGATGCTGGAATGAAATGGAGAATGATATCACAGCGAGGAGCAGGTTATAGACGGATATGGACAATAAGGAGGAAATGCGCCGCATGATTGCGCCCGATAGAGTGGTGTTTATTGGTGACGGGATGTATGGGTATGATGGTATCAACCTGGCAATTGTGCGCTCGTTAAGAGTCTTGAGCAGCCAATCCCCTGTTTACATGTGTAATTTTGAGATAGCCAATTCAACCTTACGAATGCTAAACACCCTCTAATCCTTGTCGCCGTGCCTACCTTTGGTCATTTAGCCTTCTCACCGAACGGACTCTACGAACTCGCCCACCACGGCCAGCCAAGAGTTCCCCTCGGGTTACAGCGTGACCGAAGCTGATAATGCATTCAGCTAATCATTTGATCCTCCTTGAGGGATTCCTGGCATTTCGAGTACTTGCAGAACAGAAAGCCTGAACCCCACAAAGTTGTCTCCGCGTCGTCCGGAATCTGAACAGCTGAGTCACGGTGCAGCCTAGCGTCTTGTTCTCTTCAAATTCAGACACTGATCCAAAGTACGGACTCAGTTCGGAGTGGCATCTAATCAACATGTTTGGGAGGCGACAGGAGAAACGACTTGCATCTTCCTACTATGGGCGTTTGTGATTCAAATAATCCCTTGACGACACGGCGTTCCCAAATCCCGTACTCTCACAAACCCAGCTGATGAGGGGGGAGGGACTCCCCCGAGCAGGACAAATGAGAAAAGCGACTACTTGCCCTGTTGAGCACTATTGCTTCGGAGATGGCCCTCCTTGTGTGCTCATGTCAACAGCCTGTGTGAGAGCATGTTCCCCCACACTATGCAGGGCTGATGCATCGTGACCAGACCAGCTGAAGGTAACCAGGGGCGACTGACGGGCCAAATTCCTGTCTCAGGGATTTGGAGAGTGTCCCGGAGGTAAATACAAAACACGAGGTTCTTTGCAGCTTGTGAACACTGGACAAGACTTCCAAGTTCTGGTTCAATTTGCTCCCCGGACCAGCATCCGAAGCCAAGGGGCAATCGCGGAGTCCCCAGGTTGAGTGTCGCTCAGACTCGAGAAAAGGATGCGGAGGCAACGTCCGTCAAAACGCGATCTAGTCTTTGCTGCATCTGCAAGACGGCGAGAAGTACCGTCCATTGCTACCTTGGCTCAGCACGGGAATCCATTTACCGTTGCCGATTCCGACCAGCCGATCAGCGTCGAGACTGACAGAACCCGAGGTCGCACAAATCAATGGGCTGATCGAACGGAGACGAATGACTTCAGAAGACCAATATTATTAGGGACCCTTGCCCTGCTGATTCAGTGATTCAGTGTTGAGCCGAGGGCATATCCTCGGGTGATTTTCATCTGAACCAGGCCGACAGTCTTGATCGAGATGTGATGAACGCAACTGTGGAGAAGATGGTCAGACACGGATGTGCTGGAAACCCTCTGGAACTTCTCATACCGAGACCGGAGTATGCTATGAACAATCTGGCCACGGAATACTACTTCTTAACTCGCGGTCTCAACTCTGCGATAATTAGAGCGAGGGCCAATCCCCAACCACCACCAATAACTCGCCTCTTTCGCAAGCCAGTCGGTTGTGGTTTTTCCGCCCGCGGCTGCATTCGGAACTTGTCCACACATGTCTCACGGTGGTCAAGGTTTTGGAGGTTGGATGTTCTTGCGAAGACATCAGTGGTGGGCACCTGTCAACGTTTCTGACATGTCTCAGCGCCAATCCCTCTCCCCCTGGAAGATACATGGAAACCCACACTGTTTGACCGGCGCTAGCAAGAGGTCTGGCCTCGTCCAAGAGATGTCAAAGAGCCGGAAATTGTTACGGAATGTGGGACAAGTTCGACCCTTCCAATCGACAACCTGAACAAGGCGGTTGCTGCACATTCTTTGGTGCGAATTGCATTCCCCATTTTCCCGCATTTTCTGCAGCACTTGTCTTCTCCCCACACAGAAATCTAACTTCTGCACCGATCGCCCGCAAATGGCGGAGAATGCGGCATTCGTATTCCTGCATGCTTCTAAGGGCGCCGAGCCCCACCACACGCCTATCTTGTAGGAATTTCCCAGCTTGAGGGGTTGAGAAGGCTGATTATACGTCAGCCTTTTTAGGGGGAGGATTAGCATCTGCCTCCTTCTATGTCGTGGGGATGTGCAAACCGAGCCGACCGCTGAGCGCCAGGAGAAACACCACACCGTGCGTTGATTGCGAATTTGGCTGGCCAAAGTCAGCCGCCCGGGCATCATCCTTATCTCGAAAATGCCCCATTAATCCTTGCAGATCGCACATACTCATGACAGCATGTTATTGAATGGTGCCCCCATACATTTTGGACCCAGCCCTTGCTCGCCAATTGTGCCCGTGTGAAGCCTATATTGGGGGCCACTGAACCGCTTTGAGGGGTGACGAGGCTTGTGACAGGCGCCTAAGAGTACGAGGAGTGTCCCGCTCAATGGTGCTGTGAAGCCAGCACTCTCGCATGTTCGTCGACCTCTGTCTGTAGGACAGGCCGATCACCCGAGTTGCCAGGGTCACAAGAAGGAGAACACGCCAGAGTTCACATTAACTCCCAGCCTCAGTTCTCACACTGTGTCCGAGCAATACCAGAGCCACGGAATCAAGTTATTTCCATGTGGCAGGCTCTGGCTTTCTGGCTCGCCGGAAGGACTTGCGGTGAGTGGTGAGATCGTCCATGCCTTGTCATCGTTGTGACAAGCATATTCCTTACTGTCTCCCTTAGATTTGTGACATCGACTGCTCCTAAGCGGTCAACAGCAGCCAGCCCGATGACAGGCCACGCCTGCATCTGAAAGTCGGAGCGCGAGCCACACCTATGAGCATTCACCGGATGGCGTGGAGGCAACAGAGCAAACATCTGGCACCCAGCCCTGGTCCTGGACACGTCGGCTTGCTTCTCCTCCAGCTGCCTGTTCCGCAACACGGTTCTTAGAGTTCCCATTCGCCCGAAGAATGCTCAGTGTTGGTCAGTAACAAGCGAGCGTCATAGAGTTGGCTGCACTCACTCCTAAAGAGACTGCATTGGCGGAGCTCTGGAGGATGCGTTGATCGCCGGCGGTTCCGCATTAGGCTAAGAATACAGCTGTCGGTCACTTTCTGACTCCTTCGCATCACACGTATCCGATACTTGTCTTTGTCTGTCTCTCTATCCCCAAGCCGGCGGTTGCACCATTGGCTGATGAAGGGCGTGCAAGGACCGGCCAGCATTCATGAGATTCTGAGGCCCGGTATGCGCAGGACTCGAGTGTCACACTCTCCGCATGGACCAGTAAGTCGCTGCCCACAATTTTCCCCATACATGCACTACTCCCCAAAGGCTCCGGAGCAACTTGGCTAACTATTTAACTCTTGTGGGGGAGCAACCAATAGTCATGGACAGGTGCCCAAAACCCGCTTCTTCCATATCCCCGTCGCTTGTCGTCATTTCAAGCGATTGAAACGTAAAATGGATCGCAGAAGCTCCAACTCCAGGCTTGCGCGCACATCTTGACTCCGTCAACTCGACATTGTGTGTTCGGCATGCACTTAATTGGGAATAGGGCAAGCGGGACTACCTTTTCTTTACCCCGGGTTTTCAACATCAAGACCTGCTTCTGCCTTCCCTAGCGGGAACAATTTGTCAACTTGGAGCCCGAACTCCAGCTTCATCCTTACAAACAACAGCCTTCTGACATACGGATACGACCTTGCAAAATTGTTGGGATCGATGGCTTCTCAACCCTTGCGTCATGGATGAATTCACTGGGGCGACGGACCAACAGCCACTGATGTGTGAAGCCGTGTCGGTGAAGCAAACACTGCACATGCCAGACTTGTGGCACACGGGGGTCCCGACTGGTCACATCCCCTTCAAGCGAGCCACACTTGGAGATACGAACATAAGTGGAACTCTGCTTGCATCTAGAGACCACCGGAGGCCTCATCCGGACGTCGAGCTACACTGTGTAATCGATGTTCGCCTGCATATAAGACCTCGCCAGTACAGATGACAGGAGTGCAATCTCAGAGGTTGTGATTCATGGTGACTCCACTTCTCCCCCTTGAAAACTGTTACAAACACTCGTTGGAACGATCCTGACATGCGGACGAGCTACGTCGTGATTTCCACCTCCTCGATGGGCTGGAAGGAGGCGCGGAAGATCCCAGAATCACGACGGGACATCTGGGGCCCTAGAGGGTGATCGGAACGCTCGTTGTTTGTTTCACCGGCATGGGGCGGACCAACTATTCCCCCCATCACGTATTCGTGTAGCTTCAGGCTCTGTGAAACCCCGGAATTCCTGCAAGGGTGACACCCTCACGTCCACTTCCCGGGACTTGAGGGGCTGGGCCACGCATCTTCCATTGCTCATCCTAGACCCGTGGCTGGCTGGCAATGACAGACCGAGCTCACTGCTTTTCACCGCACCGACCCCTCCTCTACGGCACTGACCTTCGCGCACCTTTGTTGCTTGATACACTCGTAACCGACTTACAGAAGCTATGGTCGGCCGCCAAACCCTCACTCCATCCCTATGCCTCAATTCGGACGAACGCACGCACCGCAAATAGGTTCGATGTGCCAACAAAAGCAAGTTCTGTCTCAATTCTAGTGTGATATCTCAACATATCTTGATAGTCAGTGTTTTCTCGGTCCCATTTGGCTGAGGGACAATGTGTGCGTGTCGGCTGTCCGTGAACACGAATACCATACCCTCCATCCCCCATGCAAGGGCCTTTTAGCGTGAGTAATGATTCAAGTTTTCCTATACCTTGAAGGGTGCATGAAACCACAGGTCACGGACAGAGTACTCCGTAGCTCTTGAGTCTCTTCCCTCTCTCATGATTAGTGCCATGGGAACGTTATCAATGGATCCGCACACCCGGTGGCCACTGAAAGGCTTGGTAGGGGTTGACCCAACTCTACGGACGTCTTTCTGGGAGGATAAGGCTGGCCCTTGGGAGGGCACGGCCATTTATTTGGGCGTCAACCTGGACTTCCCTTCTCTCGATGAACCCGGAACGACTCCAGGGCCCATGTACAGCGCGCGCAAGACCGATATTGGAAGTTATGATTCGCGACTGAAGACATAATCATACGGTAGTAGAAGTTTCATCGACTTTGATGGCATTTAGGCGTGACATATCTGGCAAATCGCCTCTGTAGAGCCTAGATTGGGCGTGTCGATGACCCCTTCCTTAGATCCTCGTTCAGTTCATGATCGTATGCTCCTCATGGGGCTTGGTACGGAACCTTCTATCGCCCTCGATTTGCTTTGTCTACAACAGTCCAAGACCAGGACCATCTACTTCCATGCACTCAAACCTGCCCAGGGATCCTGCTCCTGTCCTCCTGCATTCCCTCCACCCCCAGCCTGCGCCTGCTGCGTCTGCCCCTGAGGATGGGCTTGACTTTGCGGCTGACTCTGTTGCCCATATCTGATGGGGTGTGTATAGTTCGCGTACCCGCCTGGTCCACTTGCCCAAACTCCAGACGAGTTAGGAGGGTATTGTGTCGTTGAGCCTCCTCCCGGCGGCCCGGGTGGCGGAGGGGGAGGGACGTAATTCTGAGGCATGTTGTACGGGGACGGCGAAGGCTGATAAGGCTGGTGTTGCTGGTAGGGTGGTTGAGATTGGGGTGCTTGGGGATGCGGTGAGGGAGTTTGGTAGGGGCCTCCGGGTGTAGCAGCGCCCGGCTGAAGAGGAGGGAACGGATACTGGGGATACTGGTGGCTCGGGGAAGTGAACGCCAATGGTTGGTGAGTCTGGCCTGGCTGTGGGAAATAAGTATTCATCGAACCGGGCGGAGGCGAGGTGATTGGCGAGAAGCCGTAGGAAGCCGGCTGTTGGTTTGGTGATGTAACGGACCGTTCAGGGTAAGCCATGGGGTTGTAGCCAGAGGACAGAGGCGCTGCTGCCCCTTGAGCAAAGGCATGTTGGGACTCAATCGGCGACGGGTTAGTTGGTTGCGAAGGATGCTGAAACTGTGTAGAATACCCGTTGAGAATAACTGGCACTGGCGAATGACGGGGAGGGATCGTAAAGCGTGGGTCGGCGTTTGTGGTAGGGTGTGTTGGGGAAACTGGTACTGGCGATCTTGACGCGGTTATTGGTGGCAGAGGAGGAAGAGCTGGAGGCTCTGATTGCGACGGTGATGTTGGCTTGGGTTCCATCGACAAGCGATTCATCAACTCTTGCATTCGCTTTTGCTCGGCAGCGGCTTGGCCATCAGCCGAAATGTTCTTGGTCTGCTCGATTTGATGAAGCAGTTGGGCCCCTTCTGCTCTGCGATTGCTGACGAAGGAATCAACATTCTTCTCCAGGCTGTCGACGCTTTCCTTCATCTCGCTGTAGAAGCCTTGCGCGCGCATAAGGCCCTGTAGCAGATCCTCGTGCGCGTTGAATATTCTCCGATACCTGTTCATGACACTGTTCTTAGTCTTTTGTACTGCATCGTACTTCTGCTGGTCTGATCGGACTCGTTTGTCTTGCAACAAGTCGCCATATGTCTTGGTTAGCTCTTTCAACAGAGAAGACTGTTTGTGAACTGTCGAGATGAGCCGATTCTGGTGAGATCGAAATTTCTCGAGTTCGGCCTGGAATAATTGACTTTCTTGGTTCGCGATGGCCTTCTTGTTGAGGATGAGCACATTTGATATGTCGTCGGTATGGACTTTCTCCTTCAGGTCTTTCAGAACCTGCATTCGTTCGCGTTTCACGAGATTGAGTTTCCGTAGAAGATCCTCAACCTTGGCGATCTGGTCTGCGACCGACATGCCTCCCTCGCCATAATCCTCATCAAGAAGCGTGCCTTCGTCTGTGTCTTTACTTCTGTTTTTCGTCCCAGACCCGGCCTTGATTAAGGCCTGCTGGTAAAGGACTTCGGGCTCGCCATGTAAGCCTGCAACGCGCATCTCTTCGAAATCCGCTTCATACTGTCGCGCCGTCGAAAACAGCTGTGCATCGCTGTTTCCAGCCTCGTCCACTGTGTCGCGGTAGCTCTTGATATCGGCCCTGAGCGTTGATGTCAACCTGGAACTTGGTTGCTGGGTCCACTCGGCACCATACTTGGATCGCATCTTTTCGCAAACGCTCTCTTCCATGTCAAGTTGTTTTGTGCTTTTGGCCAAACTTTCCAAAACAGCCTGCTTATCTCTTTGAAGTTGTTCAAAAGCCGTGGCAAAATGAGGATGGCTCGCCAGTTCCTGACACCATTGCTCAAATTCCCTATCTACGCCTATTTCCTGTTCCAGACCGCCTTTCAAGACGTTGAGGCTGTTGGGGAGCTTGAGGTAATCGAGGCTCGCGGCCATCTCTCCATTTGCTTGTTCAACCTTCTCCGCCTCAGATCGAATCAACTTCGCCTTCTCCTCGTCGTACATACTTGCCGATTCTGTGACTGATATAGGAACAATTTTCTGGAAAATGTCCGGCCCGATGATCCTTTGAATATCTTGCCCTTGATATAACTCCGAGAGGGGGATGGCTTTTGCCGCTGGGACTTTAGTGACGGGCGACAGGGACGCTTCCGGCGGCACTGTTTGATGGTATATGAAATCGTTGTCTTTGACTGAAGACACCAACCTCTCCTGTACACTCTCCATCTGTCTTCTGGTAATCGACTGTAGCGCGGCAGCGGTGTCGGACCCGAGATTTGAAGCAGAAGATGGTGACGAGGGAAATGCCTTTGCGGAAGAGTAGGCCTGATTGCTTGACTTCTCGGCCAGCTGCAATCGAGCCACCGCAGATCCATGCTGGTTGGTCTCCTCCTCAGCTAATGCCTGATAGTACTCTGCTAGTGAGGAAAAGTGTAGCGCTTTGATCTGGATCAGTTTTAACCAGGAGGAGTCAAATATCCCCCGCGCATGGTCAGATTCGAGACCTTCTTTCGCCTGACCGTATAGGAATTGCGCTTGGGCGGCGAGTTTGGCCAGTAGCGCTGGCTTCTTTCCGTCGCGAACTTGTTTCTCCATGAACACTTCCTGCGCCTGACCTAAGACAATATTGATGAGGGTTTTAATGGTATCCCGGTTCAAATCAGTCGAGGGCGCATGCAAGAAGTTTTCGTTGATGTAGGTGAACATGCCAGCAGATGCCTGAAACGAGTGATACGCCGTCTTGAGGTCTTTGTCCTCGGAGCGATTCTGAGCGGCTGCATGACAGGACAAGACAGCGGCTATATTGAATATGACTGAGGCCTTCTCGAAGGCCAGTGAGTATTGTGACGTGGAGGCGCGTGTGAAGGCGTCAAACCACTGAAACGAGATCTTGATGTGTGCTTCATCGATGGGAAATCGGAGGTCCAGCAGCTCTAGCTGCCCATAGTATCGGTAAAGCAAGTCTCGCCCAGATGCTGAGTCGGCGCCAGCCCCTCTCATGTCTTGCCGTAACCTGTTCAGTGTTCCAATCTCTTCAACATATTTGCTGGGGTCGTCTCCATAGCTCGTACGGATATACTGAGAGAGTGGTTCGACCCAGCTCACCTCCGATGTTGTCTTCAGCGGACAGGATAGCATGGGCGCTTGCACCATCTTGACGGTGGTGGAGGGATGTGAATCCGGCGGGAGAGGGGCGATAGGGATTCAGAGAGTTGAGCAGGGACGAGTTAACGCATCGAGACTACAGTTGGCCAGATCCGAGAATTCAGTTGCGCAGAATCAAGATTCGATGGCCGTGCGAGTCGACTGTGAGATAGACACATACAGCGCAATGCGGGTGAAAGCCCGATCCAAAAGTCCCGCGACGAGTGACGAGCGAAGGCCCACTCGACGGTATTAGCCAGGCAGCCTCTTAAATCCTCGTGTTTATACGAGACGTTTCCTAGGTGCTATTTAACTCTCTTTGGCGCAGTTGTATTAATGGATTCTCATTTGAAGGTATTTGTCGTATTCAATTCATTGCTACATACTAAACTTTTGGGTTTTTTGGACGGCCATTTCCAAACAGCATCGGTCATAAATGTACAGTAGATGAGAGTCTTGCAGCCATTGGATCACACCACCTGTACCGAGTATACATAGATATAGGATACTGTACACGCTTTTGAACCGTCGATCTCAAGAAATATGCAAGCCCAAAGCCACCCGCTGCAGGCCATGTTCTATCGCCATCGCTATGAATCGTTAAAAGGCAGGAGATGGGTATTGTGGAATTCAATGCTCGACACGAACGATATCAACCGGATCCGGATGCCTTCTTTGGCTCATCCTCGTCGCGCGGTTCTGCTTCTTTCTCTTTCCCTGGCTTGTCCGCCTCGAGATTGTCATGTTGGTGGGTAAGTCGATGCCAGGTGGATTTCAGAAATCCTTCATTCTTGTGATCCGCGGCCTTGTTGGACGGTTTCGATGCTTTGGTATCTTTGGCAGGCTCCCTGAGGAAATCAGTCAACGGCCTGCTTATCAAATTTTTCGGATCCACTCACTGCTTGAACTTATCCAAGTTCATGATTCTTTTCGCCGTCTTGTCGCCCATCTCATCAGCCAGCATCTCGACGATTGTCCGCTGGTTGGCCGTCAAATATTTGGGCATCTGAACTTTGAACTCCACCCTGAGGTCGCCAGAAGAACCAGCACCACGTCCACCCAGCCTCTTCATACCCATGCCGGGTAGTGTGATCCTGTCGTTTGTAGATGTCCCCGTTGCAACTCTCACTTTGACCTCTCCATCGAGTGTCGGGACGACCACTTCTCCTCCGAGCAGCGCTGTTGTCAAAGGTATTGAGGCTGTGTGGAGGATATCGGCTCCGTTCCGGCTGAACCTGGCATCTGGCGCTACTCGAATGAAAACGTACAGATCTCCACGCTGGGTTCGAGCTTTGGGATTTGCTGACATTCCCGTTGGCGGGTAGTCACCAGCACCAGCCACTCGTAGTCTCATTCCATCCTCCACCCCGCCTGGAATATCAACCTCGACAGTTTCCCTCTTGCGGACCACGCCATTACCAGCACATGTGTTGCATTCGGAGCCTCTCGGTATGACCACTCCGGTTCCACTGCAAGCATCACAAGAAGATGCCATTTGGAACCCGGCCTGCATGACATGGACCCTAGTGCCAGTCCCATTACAGCGTTTGCACTGCTGTCTTGAAGACCCTGGTTTCAATCCGTCACCTTTGCAAGTGCCGCATTGCACTAGAGGTGTGATGGTGATGTTCTTGGAGACACCCTTTGCAGCGTCCATGAAAGATATATTCGTCTGAACTTCGATGTTCTCGCCAACCAAAATCTCTTCTTGGAAAGGCCCACCACTCCTTCGCCCGCGACGGCCACCAGTGAATGCGCCAAAAAGATCCTCAAAGTTGAACTCCGCCCCAAAGCCTCCGCCAAATCCCGCGAAAGGGTTTCCTCCGGCGGCCCCGGAAAATGGATGCTCGCCCGCAGCGCCTGGATGGAATCCAGCACCTTGGTCAAAAGCCGCTGCTCCATATTGGTCATATGTAGCCTTCTTCTGGGGATCGTTGAGCAACTCGTATGCAGACTGGGCATCTGTAAATTTTTCCTTTGCGCTGGGGTCTTTGTTCGTATCTGGGTGATATTTCTTCGCTAGAGCGTAATATGCCTTCTTGATCTCGGATGCGGTGGCACTCTTTCCAACCCCCAAAGTCGCATAAGGATCTTTCATCGCTTGGAAAGTTGAGGTCGCGGAGAAAGGTCGGACTTGGTTTGCCTGCGATCGGGAATATATTGATGAGGTTCGTTGTAATAACGGTCGTTTCGAAGCGGCGGAGTCGTAGAATCTCCTCGTCTGAGCTCTGCGAACAAAGTTGTTCCGTTGTTGAGGACGTTGAACCGTCCTCAGAATCGTCCGCATGGGAAGCGGAGCCGTCCCAACCAAGGTGGCTGGGCAAGCTGCGACATTCATGGGGAAATACTAGGAAATCTATCACGGATACCAATGTATGTGCATTGAGTCGTCCGGTGAGACCAATTCGGGGCGTCTGGAGGATGGTTTTAAGATGGGCGGGTTTGATGTGAATGGTGTTGCTTCGAAACTTCCAGGCACTTTTCGGCTTTTTTCCTCGGCAAAGTTTCCATTTCAAGTATAACCGATACAATGATATCAAAGACTGCAGTTATGCAAGAGTGTGCGCAATTCACCGTTGCCTTGAACTTTTGCTCTCCTCTTTGGTTTATCCTTCTTATTCTCCCTGGGCGGCCTGCATCTGACTCGACCGCATCCAGTCCGCCCTCATTCTCCTGCGCCCGTGCATTGCCTTGCCATTCAACCCTTGGGCAGCTACTCTCCGAATCTGCCAGAGCATGCTTCGCGGCCAAACATTACCATGGAGAACTGCACTCCGGGCGAATTCGCGCCACATCTGTAGAGACTGCAGGCGCCAACTTCTCCAGAGAAGCTCACTAGCGACCTCCGCGATTTCTCTGACTCCCTCTAATTACCTGCCCATCGCCGCCCGCCAGGGATTACAAATACGCCAGTTCACCTCTCATCCTGCTCGTAGGAAAGACAAGCCACCAGAGGATGACTCGCCGCCTAAAAAAGAAGATGCGGAGGCGAAGGCAAAGAAGGTAGAAAACGAACTGGACGAGGCACCACGGACGGAAGATGCTGCTGAATCCAAGAAGTCTCCCGCTGCACCGCAGCCAATACCCCAATCTGCAAGCGATGGCCGACCGGCGGCGGCAGGGGGTAGCGCCAATGACTCAACCCCAGGAACTGCACCAAACTCCGGTAGTGGAGGTGATGGTAGCAGGCGGGGGCGGCGGACCACACAGATCTCTAAACCCACCATTCCAGAGACCTATCCACAGGTGATGGCAATTCCTATCGCGAAACGGCCTCTTTTCCCAGGCTTCTACAAGGCGATCACTATCCGAGATCCCAATGTTGTTGCTGCGATAACGGAGATGATGAAGAGGGGCCAACCCTATGTGGGAGCGTTTCTCTTCAAGGACGACGCTGCCGACAAGGATATTATTGAGAAAATGGATGACGTTCATGACGTTGGTGTCTTCGCTCAAATTACGAGCGCATTTCCTGTGCACGGTGATGAACACAGCTTGACTGCGGTCTTGTACCCACACCGAAGAATCAGAATGACTGCGTTGATGCCCCCATCCACGACGGGAGAAGGAGCTTCGGTGGTTGAAGTTCAATCTGTCAAAGAGACAAAACCCAAATCCGATGGTACAGATACCAAGGGTGATGTTGTTGCGAGCTTCGAGGAACCGAACAAGGAGCAACCCACGCAATTGAGTGTCTACGAACCCACTGCCTTCCTGCGCAAATTCCCAGTGTCATTGGTCAATGTGGAAAATCTGACGGAACTACCTTTTGACAAGAAGAGCGGTGAAATCAAAGCCCTAACATCAGAGATTGTTAGTGTATTCAAGGAAGTCGCCAGCCTTAACCAACTATTTCGAGATCAGATCTCCGATTTTAGTGTCTCACAGTCCGCTGGGAATGTGCTCGAGGAACCGGCCAAGCTAGCTGACTTTGCAGCAGCCGTTTCGGCCGGTGAAATCGGAGAGTTACAGGACGTCCTCCAGACAATGGATGTTGCTCAAAGGCTTCACAAGGCTCTTGTCGTCCTGAAGAAGGAGCTTATGAATGCGCAGCTACAGTCGAAGATCTCAAAAGACGTCGAGAGCAAGATTCAAAAACGTCAGCGGGAGTATTGGTTGATGGAACAGATGAAAGGTATTCGCAGAGAGCTCGGGATTGAATCTGATGGCAAGGACAAATTAGTGGAAAAGTTCCGGGAAAAGGCCCAAAAATTGGCCATGCCTGAGGCTGTGAAGAAGGTCTTCGAAGAAGAGCTCAATAAACTTGCACACCTGGAGCCGGCGGCATCCGAATTCAACGTGACGAGGAACTATCTGGATTGGATTACTCAAGTTCCGTGGGGCCAGAGAAGTGCTGAAAATTTTGGCATCAAAAATGCCATGACTGTCCTAGACGAGGACCATTACGGCTTGAAAGATGTCAAGGACCGAATTCTCGAGTTTATTGCAGTTGGAAAGCTTCGCGGTACAGTCGAAGGCAAGATCTTATGCTTCGTTGGACCTCCCGGTGTGGGAAAGACATCTATCGGGAAATCGATTGCTCGAGCGTTGAACCGGCAGTACTATCGTTTCAGTGTGGGCGGTCTCACTGATGTCGCGGAGATCAAAGGCCATCGCAGGACATACGTCGGTGCGTTGCCGGGGAGGATAATCCAAGCGCTCAAAAAATGCCAGACCGAGAACCCACTGATTCTCATCGACGAAGTGGACAAAATTGGCCGCGGTCATCAGGGGGATCCGGCATCAGCGCTCCTCGAACTTCTTGACCCTGAACAAAACTCCAGTTTCTTGGATCATTACATGGATATTCCGGTCGACCTCTCAAAAGTCCTTTTCGTCTGTACCGCCAACATGACCGACACCATCCCTCGGCCCCTTCTCGACCGAATGGAGTTAATTGAACTCAGTGGTTACGTCGCGGACGAGAAGAAAGCCATCGCTGATCGATACCTTGCTCCACAGGCGAAGGAGCTTTCTGGATTGAAGGACGTAGACGTCAAATTGGACGAGTCTGCAATTGAAGAGCTAATCAACAAGTATTGCCGGGAGTCCGGGGTGCGTAATCTCAAAAAGCAAATTGAAAAGGTCTACCGCAAGTCAGCACTGAAGATTGTTCAAGACCTGGGAGAAGAAGCTTTCCCCGAAGCAGAGGCACTCACAGAAGAAGGCAAAGCAGCGCTCGAGGAGAGTAAGAAGGACCAGTCGGACGTTAAAGACACACCGGAAACGATCGAGCAAGAGACGACAGAAAAGCCTCGCGTTGCTCTGCAGGTTCCAGATTCTGTTCACGTCACGATCACAAAGAACAACTTGAAAGACTACGTGGGCCCACCCATCTTCACTGCCGACCGTCTCTACGAAACCACGCCACCAGGTGTAGCCATGGGTTTAGCCTGGACAAGCATGGGTGGGGCAGCACTATATGTCGAATCTATTCTCGAATCTGCTCTTTCTTCTTCCAGCCGACCCGGTCTCGAGCGTACGGGCAATCTCAAGCCAGTGATGAAAGAGTCGACATCGATTGCATACTCTTTTGCAAAGCACGTCATGGCCACAAGATTTCCGGACAATAAATTCTTCGACCACGCCAAGATACACCTCCATTGTCCCGAGGGCGCGGTTCAAAAGGATGGTCCTTCGGCGGGCATCACGATGGCGACATCTCTGCTCAGTCTTGCGATGGACAAAGAAGTAGATCCCGCCTTGGCAATGACAGGCGAGTTGACCGTTACAGGCAAAGTACTCCGGATAGGAGGACTGAGAGAGAAGACAGTCGCTGCGAGACGGGCTGGTTGTACAAAGATCCTGTTTCCGAAGGACAATTGGGGGGACTGGTGTGAGTTGCCAGAGGTATGTTCATCCCTCTCGTTTCTTTTCCGTCACGTCGTTCAGGAGGAGATGCTAACGTTGGTTTGAACGCCAGAATATCAAAGAAGGTATCGATGGTCACGCGGTTGACTGGTATGATGAGGTGTTCGATATTGTCTTTCCCAACGTTAACGTTGAGGAAATCGACTCTCGATGGAAAGATGCACTGGAAAGAAAAGAAAAAGACGTTAATGGGAGGAATAAAGATGGTAAGAACGACGATGATGACTGAGTCAGGTTGCAAAGACGAAGCTTGCTTCGGCATGCGGTGACGCCACTCTCTCTTGGGAACTGGGAATATTACGGTCATTCAGCATTCGACTTCGGTATGACGTTGGCATGTGGCAACCAAAATGGCGGAGAGTTCCGGGAGGGCATATGTGTATAGATGTATAGATCTGAGCCTTCCGCGGTTGTTGATCTTTCGAACCGGTGTACGTGCATACAAACAACAGCATAGGAGGACACGGGAGGAGCAGGAAGGCTCATGACAAAGACTGTGAAATTAGTGGACGGTCGCTGGGGCCATTTAGCCCCATGGCTCGTGGTATTTAGTTGGTTATGATATGGACTCCCTTCTCTGCTGCCAGGAATGTATATTATTTGTGATTCAAGGTATGACACTCCGTTGCCGGTCTCCAAACAGACCAGGAGATTGCCTCCAGGCTGATCGGGGCTTTCGCTTACTGGCACTATTGTCCACATACAATCCTAGTCCATCGCACAGAAGAATTTGTTCGTCTGCCGACTAATCCCCGCCTTTTCTTTGAATAGGTTGCTGAAATACCAAAATTCCCGCAAACGTCTTGAGCATTTTGGCAGTGCATGAGTGAGGAAAGTGGTCAAGCTTCGGTATTGAGGAGGCTGATGTTGCATTGTGGAGCGGTCTTGGGACATGTACGATATACGCTCTATCTTTCATAGCCAACACCTGTAGAGAATGGGTGACTAGCGCTGACATGGCGTCAAATAATGGTTGGAATGTTTTCGGCGTCTAAACCCCGTACGCAGGGTACTCCTAATGTGCGCGTGCTGAAGGCAGTGGACGCAGAACAGGGCCTCAATAATCGTAGGGACATCCTGGTCGTCCACATCGCCGCCTTTTGGAAGATCAAAACCAATCGCAAACGAGTACTCGTGCTCAAACTCGAACCCTTAAACTCCTTAGTAGTTAGACTCGTGCGCCAGTTTTGGCCACGTCCGATCTATCTCCAGGGGCAAGCTAATAGGGTGCAGTGACAAAAATCTGCTGCACACGATACAGGCTCGAAGAATCAGCATGCCCATTCTGGACCCCACTGCCTAGCTGATCGGTAAGTGCACTATGTACTCGGTATCCCCCGAGATTTAGACTTCATTGGGAAAATGAGACTGTATCCCTGCGCGATTCCTCATAAAGGAGATACGGGGGCGAGATTGTGCTGACCAACGACCCAAAGGGTCATCAAATCAAGCAGCTGCCAAGCTTTGCTTGGCCCCACCACGTGGAGGAAATTTATACCCGCAAGGCTCGGTGGATTCTATTCCTGTCATCACTAACACCTCTCTGGTACAGGTTAGCTGCTTACGGTATACGAGTGCGTAATAATAAGGTACGAGGTACCGATCCTTGACTCGGGACATTATTACTAACGCTAAGTAGCGCGGTGATTGTGCTCCAAAGTTCCCCGAGCAAGATACCTATGAGCACGGGACTCTATCGAGGCGGAAGATTGAAACATAGATAAGGGGGGGTGGATGGCCTTCCACTCGAAAATGCTCTCCCATCATACAACAGTTCAGAACAATAGCATTCACAATCACCTCAAGTTTCTTTTTATTCTATTCTATCCAGTCATTCTTTTGAATCTCCTTTTTGCCATCGGTTCCCATCAAGCATTTTCTAATAGCACGACCACCAATCAAAATGAAGTCATTCGTTGCTGCTTCACTGCTTGCCCTTGTCGGCGCTTCGGTCGCTGCCCCTTCAACCCTCAGATTCGCAAAGCGCGAGAATCCAGATAACAGCTGTGGACCCGACCCTGGCTCAGCCGCTATTGCCAACGCCATCAACCAATGGAATGGAGACGTTGTCACAGTCAACAGTTTCTTGGAGAAGGCCCCATCTTTAGACTCAACCACACTGCTTTTCGATCTTGAAAATGCCTTGACCGCAGCCCAGGACGAACCGAATCAACTCAACGTCCTTGCTTGTGAGGTGGACGTGGTGGGATCACCCGCTCAAACCGCAGCGAACGAACTCTTTAACGGCTTCGAAAACAATGTCCTTGTCCCACTCGGAAACATCATCTCTAATCCGAGCGACGCAAGTAATGTTGCAACACAACTTCAGACCATCAACCAGTTCCGGTGCTGCCACGTTCTCCCGGACCTCGATATACTGTGGTCGAGCACGGCGGAGGACGAGGGTGTCGCTAATATTGCGCCCATCTCTGCCCCAAGACCGAGTACCTGCGCTTCAATCAGCTGCTAGTGAGAGTTCTTGCTGGCTTCGGCAGGTGCAGGATGGTTACGACACAAAAAGTTGGTATAGGGGATACGGAGTTGAAATTCAGTAGGAGCTGTCTGGTAGCGACAGGGAGCATAAAGAAAAGAGACAACCAAATAAAATCCTCGATGCTCCAATAGCAGGAAGTGCCACTACCTAGTCATAACTATTAGTGCCCAGATGCTCACATTCTATCATTTCCTACTTCACCCATTCATGCATGCGGCGTAGAGAAAGCTTTGGCGAGTTTGGCCTCTTGGGCGCCAAGAAGCCGTTTAGTACTTTGATGCCCCAGCCAATCAATATCCTCAATATTCGGAGCCTTGGCTTGGCAAGAATTTGCAGTCGGAGGCGCAGCAGTCTGTAAATCTTCAGAGGCCGCGGCGCAGACATAATATTATTTTCTTCGCAACATTTGCGCCCGACGTTGCATTATACTTAGCGACACACAGCCATGCCGTCAACACACAAGAAGGATAAGCCGTGGGACACGGACGATATAGACAAGTGGAAGGTCGGAATTCTTCGTCCTGCATCTTACCTCTGCTGACTTTTGCACAGGTCGAAGAGTTCAAGCCGGAACACAATCTCGGCGGCACATTCGCAGAAGAATCGTCTTTCGCGTGTCTATTCCCGAAATATCGAGAACTATATCTGAAGCAAGCTTGGCCTTTGGTCACAAAGGCGTTGGAAAAGAGGGGAATCGCATGTACACTCGACTTGGTCGAAGGTCGTATGGAAGTCCGGACCACCAGAAAAACTTTTGATCCAGCTGCAATCCTCGACGCTCGAGACTTAATCAAGCTGCTGGCTCGAAGCGTGCCTGCTCCACAAGTAAGTCACGGTCTGAACTAGTGCTCCTCCTGTCTAACAGATGTCCTAGGCCATTAAGATTCTCCAGGATGACATGGCTTGCGACGTCATGAAAAGCAGAAGTCTGGTCCGGAACAAGGAGCGATTCGTCAAACGCCGGCAGCGTCTTCTCGGGCCTAATGGCTCTACCTTGAAAGCCCTCGAACTTCTCACTAATACTTACATCCTCGTCCAAGGAAACACAGTCAGTGCTATGGGCGGCTATAAAGGTCTAAAAGAAGTGAGGAGGGTTGTTGTAGACTGCATGAACAACATCCATCCTATCTACCATGTCAAAGAACTCATGATCAAGCGGGAGCTTGCAAAAGACCCTGCTCTGAAGAATGAAAGCTGGGATAGGTTCCTCCCCAACTTTAAGAAGAAGACTCTGAGCAAAAGACGCGTTCCCCACAGGGTTGTCGACAAGTCCAAGAAGATATACACGCCGTTCCCACCGCCGCAGGAGAAGAGCAAGATTGATTTGCAGATCGAAAGTGGTGAATATTTTCTTGCTAAGCAGGCCAAAGAGCGGGCCTTAGAACAAGAACGGCACGAAAAGCAGAAACAAAAGACGGAAGAAAAGCAACGGCAGCGAGAACAAGCATTCATTGCCCCGAAGGAAGATACGGGGCGGAAAAAGATAAAGAGGAAGGGTATGGACGAGAACGACGGCCCCAAACCAAAGAAGTCCAAGAAGACAGTGGACGGGTGAACACTTAGACAATGGGCTTCGCTCATATCCCGCGAATCGAACAATCAGCCACATTTTACGCATGGGCCTCAGTCGGTCAATCTGCCTAGTGGATATTGCGTCGCCCTTCCTATTCATCTAATCTCAAGGGTGTTACAACAGCCGAAACGTCATAGGAACAGAAAATCCAACCGCCCTCCTCAACTCAACAATGCGACCCCGGCTTAAAGACACGCTGCAGCTGCCGGGAGGCATTGGTCTCCAGCGCATGATGACCTTGCGCTTGCGGTATGGACGCTTCTGGACAGGCGGGTGCCAGCCCTCCGTTTTTGTATGCACCTTCTGGCGGGTGGGGAAAAGGAGCCCTCCAACTCTTTACTCGCATGCCACAAAATTCGGTGTGATTTGTTTGGGCTGAGAGAAATCGACCTCCTATCCCAAAGTTGTCCGCACATGTTCTTTACCTACAGGTTCAAAGTTGCCATTACAAAGTGGGCAACGAAATGGTCAAATACCGTCCGGCTACCAACGGACCAATCAGAATGTCGACGGAGGCCGACCTGCAAAGTATGCCAATCTCACACCATACGTTATTAATCATTCTGAGGATCTTTTTTCTTGGTCAGCACTCCTTCTAGCGGCCTTCTAGAAATACAGCTAGTTCTGGGCGAAGCTCCAGGCGAGGCTTCGATATTGTCGTCTTTCGAACACAATCTCAGCTTGCCCAACAGCCATCATCAGGCAGTTGCCATATTTCGTATGCTTATCTTTCGAAAGCCTTAGTCACGCCGGCAAAGCACCTTGTTAGTGGATGCCATGATAGATCTCTTCATATTCGTTTGATGGCACCCACTTGTGGGACGAGGAGCGATATCCAGACATCAGTATCGTGCGGCCATTCTGAGTGTTCTGTCGCCCTACGGTCTAGACACCGCCATCTGTTCGTGAAAGCTAGTCGAGTGGCGCGTTGGGTACGCCTCTACGTCTTCCGGCGTTGATCGGTCTTCCTCGCCGACAACTACATGAGATCTCAGTCCGAGATTCAAGTCCGAACTCTCAAGTGGTTCATCCAATTGCCGGAGTGGAGTCCTACCACGCAGTTAGCGGCCTCTTGTTGGGCAAATAGCTCGCCCGCTTCTGCAATGCATGACTTCTGGTGCATGGGTTGCAAGGGCTTCGGGGAAATTCGAACTTGGAAAAGGGCCGACGCTGGCTGAGGAGAATAGTTTCGCCGTTCCGACCAGTAGCCTTGTGCTCGCCCACGACGGTCAACCAATTACGACAGCTCGCTGGAATTGATACTGAGGAGGAGAAAGGCTGGGCGAACTCTTCTGGTGTCAAGGTCGACCAAGTTCTCCACTTCCTGTCTTTGAGGGCATGCAATAACTGTCACCGTTCTGGGGCGACATGCAGGCAGCTTGGCTAGAAAGGGTCAGGCCCAAGAGGCTTGTCGGCCAAACTCGCCCTGACGGGCTCGCTCGCAACAATTGAGCTTCACTAACTAACCAAGACCAGCACTGAATTGCTCCAGGCGGAGAGCGTATGGCTTCTCTGACAGAAGGCTAATTCACTTGGCTCACGACCGACAATGCCCTCACGGGAAGTATATAAGACCACCCAATCGATCTCCTTCCATTGCTTTGTCCATCACGATCAACAGAATACTTCCTCAATCCAGACTCTTGATCATCAGACATTACGAGACCATTGTGATTGACCTCTCCCGAGCTCTTTCCCCGCCTTCGAGCTATATACACCTCCCACTGTCCATCGGTTTTCTACAAGCTTCTTCCTTCCACTACAGCTTGACCCTTCTGCTGCACCCCAAAAACTAGCTCGTCCCCTCCTTGACGCACCACCGCTCCCACTATGGATCACGACTCGGTAGAACGTCAGCCATCCAATGCTGATGCAATGTCCAACCAACAGCGCAAGAGCGTCGCCAACAGAGGCTTGACTGGCGCTTCGGCTCTTACCGTCAGACAATCTATATTTCCCATCACACTGGTCACCATTCTCTTTTTCCTTTGGGGCTTTGCATACGGTCTCCTCGATGTGCTGAATGCCAAGTTCCAGACATCACTTAACATCACTGCCGCCAAGGCAGGCGGTCTTCAAGGATCATACTTCGGAGCGTACTTTATTGGACCTTTGACATATTCTGGCTGGATTGTCCGCAAATTTGGATAGTGAGTCTCCCTCTTTCAAAATAGTTTGTCTGTCGTCATACGAGGCAGGAAGGGCTAACGTTTATTCGCAGTCGCTGGACCTTCATCACCGGTCTCTGCATCTACGGCGTCGGTGCCCTGATGTTTTGGCCCTCGGCAGTCTACAAATCCTTTGGCGGCTTCTGTGGTTCTTTGTTCATCGTGGGATCCGGTCTGTCCACACTGGAGACGTCTGCCAACCCCTTCATCGCGACCTGCGGACCTCCGAGGTTGTCAGAGTTCCGCCTCGAGCTCTCGCAGTCATTCCAGGCTGTCGGGTCTGTTGTGGCGCCTCTTCTGGCCTCTCGCGTCTTCTTCAAGAACACAGACTCTACCGACCTCTCTCACGTCCAATGGACCTACGTCGGCATCGCAGCCTTCGTCTTCTGCCTTGCGGTCGTCTTCTTCTTCAGCCCTCTCCCGGAGGTTACCGATGCCGATATGGCTCTTCAGGCGGAGCAATGCTCTGACTTGACTGGATACGAGGAAAGGCCTCTCTCGAAGCAGTACAAGCTGTTTTTTGGAGTTGCCGCACAGTTCACATACGTCGGCGCCCAGGTCGCAGTTGCCTCCCAGTTCATCAAGTACGCTCAGGAATCAGCTGGGCTCTCGGCGGCCGCGGCTTCTGACCGATATGCCATCGGTCAATCACTGTTTGCCATCGGGCGATTTGCTGCCGCCGGATTGTTCATGTTCGTTAAGCCTCGCCTGGTTCTCATGGTGTTCATGACTATGATCATGATCTTCATTGCATTGGCCATCGGCATCTCGGGGGAAGCCGGTGTCGCCTTCCTCTCCCTGGTGCTGTTCTTCGAGTCCTGCATCTTCCCAACCATCTTTACCCTCTCCATCCGTGGCCTGAGCCGACATACCAAGAGAGGATCTTCCTGGATCGTGGCCAGCGTCTCCGGTGGTGCTTTGTTTCCCGCACTCACTGGGCTTGCGGCTGACCACATGACCTATCATAAGGCCATGTGCGTTCCCTTGGCTGGGTTCTTTGTCAGCTTCGTCTTCCCCATCTACTTGAACACAGTCTGCAAGAAAGAGCTGGACGGTTTCCGCGAGACCAAGATCGGCTACGTGGATGAGAGGCGGGGAACCATCATTGGAGATATCAACGATATCGAGACATTCGAGGCTATGGAGAAAAGACGGTCGGTCAATGTTGAGAAGGTGTGAATCCAGTGTGGTACAACCAGAGACAGTGAAGATACGGACTCCCAAACTGATCGACACTTATGATCCTTGTAAGGCTGCTATTGACGACGGGAAGGATGATGTGCGTGAACGACTATAGATATGATACCAATATAATTTTGCTCCAAGTTGACACGACTTCCGGCCCCTCGCAGTCGCCCACTGTTCTCTTCGTAAGTCATTTCCTTCTTTTTCCTAGGGGTCGCAGCTCATCCCAGGCGGTTGTGTCACCTAGACAAACCTCGAGTTTAGTAAGACCGCCGTATTTCCCATAGTGAACTAGTGACTGTTCTCTCTTCGCAGAACAAGCTTGGACTAAGAGCTCATCAGGGCGAGCGGGGTCAGCAGAATGAAGGACGGAGTGATGCAGGGCTAATGCATCCACGGGTAACAATCGTCACAATGGTCATGAGGCCCATGAGTTGGGTCGTTCCTCGTATTCAGCTTCGTCCAATCCGGCCCGACGTCGACCTCGTATATCACGAAAACACTGGGTAAGCACAAGCAAGGGTTCGGGGCAGGGAGAGCGGGGTTCTTTACGTTCCGACTGGACTTAATGACTTGTTCTTTTCAGCCTTTTATACCACTGGGCCACAACAATCTGGTCGGCAAGACAAACTAAAAAGACTTCTTCAGACCGCTCAGTCAACAAAACAATAGAAAGCTACAAACCCTGACTCCCAAGATAATACTTGTCACCATCTGACTTTCTCACCCGTCCAGCACAAGAGACAAGAGTATGGTTGCGATCAGCAGGTCCCTCTACCAGCTTGGACCCGTTTCACATGCAAGGCAAAAGTGATTTTGGCAGAGGTCACAGGTCTAACACCGTATCAACGCTATATCTTTGTGATGGAAGACGAATTGATTCTAATTAGGTGGCGTCTCTATCGAGGACGGGAAGCTCCGAGGATAGATAGAAGGGTAGAGCTGACACTATCTATAATACTTGCTGTCACTGAAGGCCCTCCTGTGCACATGTCCGACTGTATTATACATTCAATCGCGACCATTTGCTTTGAACAGGCCCCTTGTTGCGTACGTTTTTCAGCTTCTCAATATCCGCCTACACGTTGACGTCCGGGTAGAGACAGTCATGAAAAGGCCCTCTGTATATTGCCATAAGGGCTTCGGACCCAAAGAACCACTGAACCCGTTATCGAGGCCAGATAGAAGAATACCTGAAGCACAGCTGAATAAAGCTTAAGGCGCCCGTCCATCGGTCTCAGCAGCCCCGACTGTCCGTTTTGACGGCGGTGATCCGCATGAAGGATGATCCCGGCCACAGCTTTGCCCCAGGTCGACGACGGCTGCATTGAAGGCAGGACTATCAGAAACACATTCTGTGTGACACTGCCAGACGGTGCTGCTCCATTCCGTACATGGCGAAGTGACACAGCGCTTGGCCAAGACGTGGGTTTCGGACATTGGTTCGCGTTGTGCCTTCCAAGCGAGCTGAGGACGAGTTGATTCGAGTCGGGTTCGAAACGCATTTAATTCAACTCATATCCCACCGTTTCAACTTCTCCTCAAGAACACAAAGTCAGGACTGAACAGAAGTCAGAATGTACGCCCGTGACCCCTACACATTCGCCAATGCCTCGCACGTCCCCACCGACGTCCTCCGACTGATCACGACGATCCTCAAATCCTGGGACCAGGCCACGACAGACTACAAATATACCACTGTCTTTCACCCTCATGGGATCCTGCATGTGGCCCCTGAGCCGGCTGTTGGCGAAGCAGCGATGAAAAGACTGCACGACGACATGGTCCACCCAATCAACGGGCCCATCGTGGCGTTACAACACTACCTTGACCGTGTCTTTATGCTGGCCGGCCCCCCAGAGGGAGAGAAGACGGAGTTCGTGTCCACTGGGAAACTGACCAGTGTGTTAAAATCTGGAGAGGAGGTCACTTCGGATTACGCCACTTGGATCGTGGCTTCTCCCGACGCTTCGGGGGAGCTGAAGGTGGAATTGCTGAGGGTTTTCTCCGACACGAGCGAGTTGATGAAGAAGATTGGCGCAATGATGGCGGCAAAGAGCTAGCTCGAGGCAGCAAGCGTGCGGTCGCGAATGATATGAAAAAGCGAGTGAGCAAGAGGTCCCACTAGAGGAGCAAAACCACTCGAAGAGTGTCTTTCGGACAACTCAATTATGAAGTTGAATTATCAATGAAAGAATACAATTCAAGATGAAGGGATTTTGTATTCCTATCACGACTTCTATTTGTTTACTTAAGATTTAGCTAAGCCTTTCTTTCACACAGAAGTTACTCCTGACGAGGCTGTGGCGGAAAAGGGATGCACAGCGAGAAGCGACGCAGAGGCCACAGCTACTCCCTGGCGGCAGGCTAGGCACTCTGGAACAGCACCAAAATGATAAAACAGTTGCAGGTGTCAGAAAAATACATGAGATGGAAATGCATCATGATATCTTTAATTGGGCTATTTTAACGTGTCTAATTTGGACTTCTCATTCCACGTCCCAACTTTGCATTGCGAGATAGACAAGCGAGTTCCATCTACATAAGGAACACCGCGGCCCAGCCTAATGGCCCAAAGAAGCGTGCGTGCTGACCTTGGCGAGATGCTTGTGCTCGCGCTGCCAACGTTTCGAGTATCGCACGCCGAAGCCGGTTCGGAACACCTCCCGCACCGTCTCCAGCGGCATGCCCTTGCACTCCGGGTAGCAGAAGATGATGAACAGCCAGCCCACAAAGCAAATGCCAGCATACAGCGAAAACGCTCCCGTGGGACTTGATCCGCGCATGATTGAGAGGAACGTGGATGCAATGATGATGTTGGTGCTCCAGCATGTCACGGTGTTCTGTGCGAAGCCGGAGTGTCAAATATTTTGAGCCGGGACGCAAGTAGAAGAGGGATAGACTTACCAGCATGGTCCCAAGAGCTCGAACTTCAAGGGGGATCAGCTCCGTGCCGATCCACGCAATCGTAGCCACGCCCGACGAGAAACAGGCCACGTATACGATGATGGCGACGAGCACGAGAGTCGCGGGCCACCCGATGTGGTTGGACTCGACGACGAGATCCTTGTTAATCGGGATATAATGGAATGACACCGCGGCGACCATCATGCAGAGTGACATGCCGAGAACAGTGATGGTCAGGAGAGCGCGGCGACCGAACTTGTCAACCAGGACCAGATTGACGATGGAGAAGATGAAGTTGGTGCCTGAGACGGTGATGGCGACCGCTGTGGCGTTGGTGAAGCCGACGATCTTGAAGAGGGTGGCCGCATAGTACATGAGCTGTGGTGCTAGAGTTAGCAGCGGATTCTGTATCTCCTTAGGCGCACCAAGGAACACTTACCGTGTTGAAACCGCCCAGCTGGCTGATGGCCATAACGATGCAAGCCGTGAGGACAGCACGCCCGGTGGCTGGAGTTGTGAATATTCGCTTCAGCGTGGTCCAGAGCGATTCCTTGGACATGGCTGTGGTTGCTTCTTGGAGGGATAGTTCGATGGACTTGATCTTGGCCTGACGTTGGTCGCTTGTCGAGCTGGGATATATTTTGAGCAACACCTCCTCAGCAGCTGCGTATTTGCCATGGGAGACTAATTGGCGCGGAGACTCCGGGCAGAGCAGAAGTAGGCCGGCCAGAGCAATCGGAGGTGCAGCTCCAATGGCAACAGTCGCTCGCCAACCTTCACCATGGACATGCTGAAAGCCTGCTCCAAGGGCGGATGCCACGAGCTGGCCAAACGTGACGCTCATATTGTTGAAGGCGATCATTCGACCCCGATATTTGGCAGGTGCCAATTCGCCGACTGCAAAGAGGTCAGCGTTTCAAGCACTGTATCTGTTTGACGAGTTGCACTGACTGTACAGCGGGCAGATCATGGCCGCAGAACCTACGCCCAGGCCGACAACGAAGCGACCGACCGCGAATTGGACCAGACTATAGGCGCAAGTTTGGAGGACGGTGCCAATCACGAATAGAAGACAGGCACTCCAGATGGGCCATTTGCGGCCAAAACGATCAGCTATCAGGCCGGCAAACACAGCGCCCACGAGGGCCCCACCGCTAGTCAAGGAGGTGACCAGCTCTTGCTCATCCGAGCTCAATGCATGGCCGAGCGACGTTCCGATCGTGACAAGGACTGAGGAGATGTAGCCCGTGTCGTATCCTTAAGCAGATGTTAGTGTCGAGCGTTATGTCGAACGAGATATCGGGACATACCGAACAGGAAGCCTCCCACCGAGACAGTAATCGATATTAGCCATGCTGCCGTGGATGCAGCAGTTGCCTCGATGCCGCTGAGTTCGGTGACTTCTTCCGCAGTGGTCCCTCGACGCTCGACCGCCTCGACTTGGTCGGCTTCGTACTTCTCAATTACTTTTTCAGACATGCTGCTGCGAGAAGGTCTTCTGCGGGAAAAGAAGAGATTGGTGGTGCAATATTTGAGATTGAGCGCTGGAGGACTGGTCTCACATAGATGATCGTTGGGTCGACGGAAAGACATGCCTCTGGAAGAGGATCTCGGGTGCTTTAATAGTTTTTGTCTCCATGGTTGTCGCGGATCGAGACTTCGATGATCCTCGTAATGAAGACACACGAGATGGTCCACAATACCCCGAACCACCAGAGAGCTCCAAATTCCCGGTGGCGGAGAAAGATGGTACCCATCAACCCCATGGGGCGAGAGCGGCAGCGGTGCGAGCCAGTCAATTCCCCGGCTGGAGTTCACCGCAGACACCGAGACGGAGAAGGATGGCTCTTTTGAGACGAGCTGGTGGAGGAAGACTTCCTAAAATTCTGCACTTCGGCTCATTTGCCGGCAAAAGCTGAAGCCCAGCGTGTATCCGTCGGAAAGACACCGCCGGGAATGCCTCGTCTCGCATTGCCTCTGTTCTAGACTTTCCCGAGATCTCGAGCAGACGGGCAAGAGAGACTGCAATTTCAATACAACAAGGTCTGACGTCGCAACAAAGCGAATCGGCAACTCCTTACCCGGTTTCCAACGGAACGAGGCTCGGTTCGACGGTAGTATTCCGTGTATACCATGCATGTCGCCTGCTGGGAACGGATTCTAGTAGCCAGGCTCAGCCAGACAATGGAGGGTTAGGATATCGTGCAAATGAAGCTTTACCGTTGGAAAGACATGGTCGTATTCGCACAAATAATCAACGAAGAGGGACTATGCCCAGGCACCGAGTCTTTTGTCAGGAGGTGACATAAAATCTTTGAACTAACCTCCCACGGGTTGGGTATAGTCTATAAATAGGTATGTTTCGACGCAAAACCATCAAGCGGATTCCGGCACGCGCCTCCAGACCTTGACCGGCATCTCTCCCAGTAGCCAGTTCATGGTTTCCAACCTTTCAATCTCCCAATCTGGATGAGGCAGTGCAAACTCGTACCTCCGGAGCATAGAAGCCAACACCACTGTTTGCTCCAAGTAAGAAATGTTGCGACCAATGCATCCCCGAGCACCAGCAGAGAAGGCAAGGAAATAGGGTTGAAGATTCTTGCCTTCTTCGCCGAGCCACCGTTCGGGGATATACTTGTCAGCCTGGGGAAACTGATCTTCGTTTCTGTGAGCCACCAGGGCCGACATGCCAACCGAGACACCCCCAGGAATGTAGTCGTCCAAGATACTCAGGCCCTCGGGAGGGGTCTCGCGAGGAAGAGCGTGAGGGGTGGGTGGAAATAGTCGCAGCGACTCGTCCAGACAAGCTCTTAGGTATGGCAAATGCTTGACGCGATCGTAGGGCACCACGGCGTGCAGTTCCTCGTCATCCAGTGCAGCATCAAGCTCTTCCACCAACTTTTTCATCGCCTCGGGATTCTTGAGCAGTTGGTACAGGACGTTGGCCATGGCAATTGCGGTTGTGGCACTGCCTGCGTTCATCATAATGCTAACTTCGGCCACAATTTCGCCCCATTCGAGGTTGTTAGGGTGGCCGTTCTTGTCCTCCATAAGCGCCTGGAAGAAGTCGTCTAGTTTTTCTCCGCGACGATATCTCTGGAGTCGGCGATGGGCAAGTTCCAAAGGGATGCCATCCCAATCCCTAGCAAGCTTTCCCATACGTCCATAGAAGGGAATGGCGTTGGACAGCTTATTGATCAATGGATACCACTTGTACGGCCATATCAATAGTGATTGTTTTCGAGCATTCTGGTAGAGACACTCCCGAAAATTACACTCATATTTGGTGCCGTCAGTTCTGCGGCCGGTAACGCGATCGTGACCATTGTCAAGGAAGCCGAGGATCTCTGACAAGCCAATGTCGGCGATGGCATCTAGGGTGAAGTAGTTGGTCCACTCTCGGTAATCCACATTCAACTCACGGGCCTCAGGGAGTCGTCCGGGTGTTAGAGGAGCCGTGCAGCACCTGTCGAAATGTGCGATCATCCGTGCTGTCTTGTCCGCTACCTTGTGTTCCCAGCCTTCCAAGTTCTTCAAGGCGTACGCCGATGAGAGAACCTTGCGTTTCCTTGCATGGTCTGGTTTATCAATGACATCGGCAAGGTGGAAATGGGAGCCAGCAGTAATGTTATAGGAGCCATCCTTTGTGCACTTTGTATTGTGTCCGTAGATATCCTTGATGGCTCGAGGGTCCGAGTAAGATAATGTAGTCGGCCCAGTCCGAATAACGGGATGCTTCTTGTGAAGTTCGACTAAGCGAGCTGATCGAGCACCGGTGTGTGCCAATAACATGAATGGGATGGATGAGATACCAGACAATGGAGTCATGGCCGGAAACTTTCGAAGTCCTGCCCGGTAAGTTGGTATTGTGCTCATCAGGTTCGGTTGTGAATTGTAGGCTCACCTTTAGGGTCTCGAAAGTAGACGACCACCGGGTAGACCAAGAAGTAAAGGATGAAGCAAGTTCCCAGGAGGACTGCATAGGGGGCTGCCGGAATCGTGTACATACTGAAGCTATTTTCCATGAGTCGAAGGCGTCGAAGGAGGTCGAAGTGAAGCAAATCAGCCAGGACAATGGGCGACATCCACGTCCAGCAGAGCACCGCCTCCCAGGATATATATCCTCTCACGATCAATGACCGTGTGCCCCGCCATCCTCAGCGCAGTCCGCTTTCGAACAAGGTCCATCCTCTCCAGAGATGGAGAAGCCGGAGATAGTGACAAGGGACGAGTTCTGGAGAAATTCTAGAAAACTTCAGAAGGGAAATCTTTCGCCGATGCCAAAAGTCGACAACGGTGGATGCCGGAGAATTGGTGATCGACGCCTAGCGAGACTCGCCTGCGTCGCCGTCAGGTGGCTTCATGCCACCACAACGCAAGAGGAAATTTTTCGCCGGAACCACATGCGCCTAAGCAACTCAATCATCAGACAGCATCCAATCAAGTATCCCTTCGTGGCAATGGGACGGACTCGCCCTTCAGAGCAATCCTCCCCTCCGCTTCCGTCTTGCCTCAGGACATGAGGCTCACGAAGCCATCTATATCTAAACTGCCCTTCACCCTTCGTCCTCACGCCAACATGACACTACAATCCAACTCACAACCCTCGCCATGGCTTCTCAGGCCTTCGAAATCTCATCCGTCCCGCAGCTTGTCAGACTCGTTGCCAGAAGCTTGCAACCCACCTCGATTGCAGACTATGTGGCTCTGGTCATTGCAGCTGTGGTTGTCGCAGGATACCTGACTAGGGGGACGTTGTGGGATAAGCCAGATCCTTATTATCACATCTATTTCGAACGGCCCCAGCAACAAGAAGGCGCTGCAAACACGCAAGCCCAGGCGCAGCGCAATATCGCGAAGAAACTATCCGAGACCGACAAACGAGCTGTGATCTTTTGGGGTTCTCAGTCTGGCACAGCAGAACGCTTCGCTAATCACCTTGCGAAAGAAGTGCAATCACGGTTTGGCCTTGGTGCTCTCTCTGCTGATCTGTCGGATTACGATTCGGATTCTATCGCCCAACTATCTAACGGGCAACTGGCAATATTCATCCTCTCAACGTATGGCGAGGGTGACCCCAGCGACAATGCCAATGGCTTCTGGGACTGGATCAACAGTAACCCCCCGGATACACTTCCGGACCTGCAGTATGCTGCCTTTGGTCTCGGAAACAGTAACTACAAGTACTACAACCGTGTGGTCGACGTTGTGGTTGAAGCATTACAGAAGAAGGGTGCCACCCTTCTCCTGCCGGTGGGCAAAGCAGATGATGCAGAACGCTCCACCGACGAAGATTTCCTTTCATGGAAAGACGACCTCTTTGCCATGTTCCGGAACAGACTCGGATTGGAAGAACGACTGGTCGAGTATCAACCGACGATTGTTGTCACCGAAGACGACTCTTTAACACCAATCGACCTCCACCATGGCGAACCCGCCCATTCTAGAGACAACCCCAAAGCTGCTGCGTCATGCTCACCTATTCGACCACTGTCAATCACGAATCCCCGCGAACTCTTCCAATCTTCCGAGCGAAACTGTGTCCACATGGAGCTCGACCTTGCAGAGCACCCTGAGATCCACTACAAGACGGGTGACCATCTTGCCGTGTGGCCCACAAACCCGGAATCAGAAGTGGAAATACTTCTCACAGCTCTTCAACTACATGGTCGTCAAGACACTCCGATCAGCCTCAAATCCGTCGACGCTGCAACCAAGCTCCAAATTCCAACCCCGACCACAATTCACGCTCTCTTCCACAGATATCTCGAGATTTGCGCCCCCGTGTCACGGAGCACCATTCAAGGGCTTGCGGCGTTCGCTCCATCGCCAGACGCGAAGTCGTGGGTCCTCAGGCTCGGCCAAGACAAGATTTCCTATTTGTCTTATCTCAGGAAGAACCACCTGACACTGGGTCGTCTCCTCAAGCTTGCCAGTCCAGACGAACCGTGGGCACACCTGCCCCTGTCTTATGTGATAGAGGCTTTGCCTCTGATGCAACCTCGCTATTACTCGATCTCGTCAAGTAGCGTTCTCAGCCCCAGAAGGGCCGCCATAACTGCCCTTGTCGCATCGGACAATGTGCCTGAAAATCAGAAGCAGAAGATCCTCGGTGTGACTTCCAACTACCTTCTTGCCCTGTCGCAGTCACACTCCGGGTCGGTCGCCGCAGAGATGCAGACAGAGAAGGCGCTTCGTCCACAGTACGACCTCTCCGGCCCATCCAATCTTCTGCAGGGCACCAAGCTCTTCGCCCACGTGCGCAAAAGCAAGTTCAAACTTCCTATTCAATCTGGCTGTCCCATCATCATGGTCGCGGCCGGGACCGGAATAGCCCCATTCCGAGCCTTCATTGCCGAGCGTGCAAAACTCCATGCTATAGGAAAGCCTATCGGTGAGATGATCCTGTTCTTCGGATGTCGTCGGCCGCACGAAGACTTTATCTATTGTGAAGAACTGGAGCAGACACAAGCTGCTGTGGGAAAAGATGTGTTCAAGATCGTCACGGCCTTTTCGCGGGCCCTGGGCCAAGATAAAGTGTATGTCCAGCAACGCGTGCGAGAACATGGCAAAGAGGTTGCCACCTTGATTGGGGAAAAGGGTGCCAGCTTCTACATTTGTGGGCGCGCCTCGATGGCGAGAGAAGTCGGGTGCAGCCTGGGTGAGACGATGAAAGAGATCAAGGGATGGAGCGATTCTGAGGTGAGGAGCTGGAGTGAAGGGCTCAAGCGAACGGGCAAGTGGAAGGAAGATGTCTGGGGTTGAGAAGCCTTCAATGAACATTTTTAGATTGATAGAATTGAAATCTCGAAAGTTTTCCAGACCCGGATCCCCTGGGGTTTAGCTTTGCCATTGTTCCTTGAGGTCCCGGACGATATGTGAAGTCTGCCAACCCATTTTCTGGGTCATCTGCTCAAGGAAGCTGACCGCAGCCTCCTGTTCGTCTCGGTTGTTCAAGTACATGCCGCCTGTGATCCAGATGAGGACTTGGGCACGACTCTAGGAGGGAAGGGGAGCAACTCACATGCCGAAAGGATATGGGATGCTTGAAACATCGCCGTCTGGACATACTCGTTGCTGACGGCCAGACCGACAACCATGCGGAGACACTCGCGGACCATAGCCTGTAGCGGAACAGAGTCAGCCGGGGTTCGTTCCAATGTATAAGAGGGATAGCAGGACAAACGGGCACACCTCAGAGTCCCTTCTCAAGCGCAACGATCCAAAACTCAGCTTCGAGAGGCGAGGGTCATAGATGGCCAGGACGGCTTTAGCGAGATAGTAGTGCTGGAGTCCAACCACTGCACACGGGACAGTCAGAAAACGAGATCCTAGGAAGAAGGGTGTTTGTTGCACGTACCTTGTGCCGGGTTGCACACGTAAAGCTCCGGCCACGGACCCCTGTTGGGTTCGAGTGCAGAGATTCCAGGGCTCCCAATGAACAGGGGCGCAAAGTGCCACGGCTTGGAGACTTCCCAGGACGTGACGTCCGTGTCCAGCTCCGTCCACTGCTCCGCGGACAACGGCTCGTTGTCGTCGCAAAAGACACAGGTAAGGATCTGGGCAAAGATGAATATGATTCGATTTGCCCAGGACTCGTCATCCGATATCCGAAAGACGCTGGAATGGCGGTAATTCGTGAGGTTGATGGTGAGTGGATGCTGAGAGGTTAGGGAGATGTAGATGTGCTGTCTAAGTGACACCCAGCTAGCCGACTCGCGCAGTCCACCATCAGCAGCAAAGGAGGCTATCGAGTTCAAGATTCGTGTCGTGCCGAACAGGTGGCGTCGTTCGTCGTCCTCTAATTTCAGGTTTTTAGTGTCTCTTCTCTGACCCCCAGAACCTTATGGAACGCAACGCACCAGACATTTCCTCGTGAGTCCTCAAGAGAATGACGGCGGCCAGCAAATTCTCGTCAAAATGACTCATGGGGTCCTCCAAAGCCTTGATCAAGATCCGGAGACATTCGCTAACATGGTGAGGAGATTCGTCATCATGACTTCCTGCAAGCAGGCTCATCTGCCGTGAAGCTACGGCGAAAATGGCATTCTTGATGACGGGATAATGTGCAGCTCGCTTCGGTATCTCTTTTCCAAAATGTCGTTGCCTATCGCAAGAATCGAACTGCAGGTTGTCAGTAAAGACGGTATGGTATACCCAGGCTTGCTCGGGTGCCTTACCTGCATCGACATATGCACAATGTAATGGTGGAGAAGGCGTGCTTCATGTTGATTCTTGAAAGGCCAGCATGTGCCGAGTCCATAGTTTGGAGAGGATGTATCAGCAGCGGAATTCAGCAGGACAGAGGGTGAGCGATGCTGTGAAGATGGCCTTCCGCCAGAATGCACAGGAGACAGCACGACAGAGGCATGGGGATGCGCCGAAAAATGTGAGTCCGGGCTGCTGTGTTGAAGCGAAGCCTGCAGGGGCGTTAGAGGCAAGGCTGAACCATGCGGCGAATTCCAGTCGTGAGAAACCACTGAAGTAGCATCATGCTCAACACGGAAATTCGTTTCCGCCCCAGCTGCGTGAGGAGGTATAGGAGAAGCTGGAGCTTGAGCCTCTTCAACCTGGGTGTCAAGGTCTTGAGGATCCGTCTCGTGATCATGAGCGACGAACCGGACTGTATCTCACCGTATCAATAGAGCGAATGATGAATGATGCCAACGGTCAAGCCTACCTTCTGAAGGAAGGTCTACCCAGACCTGGCGCGGAGTATGCCTTAAGTCGTGCTTAACCCTCCGTCCGTCGACGTTCTTCAGCCGGACAGACGTGACGGGTCGAAAGTGCAACGGTGAGTCCACGAGACACTCCCGTTCGGTCTCAAGGCATTTCTGGCATTTCCGAGAGCCGACAACTTTAACGCCTTAGAACGGTGTGAGAGATCAGACAGACAGTGCGGAGACATGGACTTTACACTTGACATGTCGGTCACGACATGGCTGGCTGCGTGTATCCCGTTGTCAGCAATACCGAGACGTCGTAGAGAAATCTGAGAACTGACCACCCAGTCCTTGTGCGCATCCCAGACAGAGCTCAAGAGGTGGGCTGGTATAGAATCGAAATGTGGGAGTGGTCGAGAAAAGGCAATGAAACCCGAAGTCCACGGCAGATCTTTAAAGGATGGTCCACCCGTCTCCATGTTTCCCCTCTCGCATCCATGCTCGCGATAACATTGCTCTTTCTGACGATGGAGACGCGGAGATGTGGAGGATGAGGAGGCGAGACGCCCGGAGAGGAAGTTGAATCCCGGATCAGTTGCCGACGACGTAGAGGGTAGCCAGCATTACCGACGGCGTTTGAGCGAGCACAACGCCCACCTCCCACCAACTTTTGAGATATAGACACACGTCGTTCGGTGCTGGTTCCGTGGTCGCGAGGTGAGCATGCCTGTGGACGTCACATCACAGCGTCAAATCATGTCAGAACCTTAGGAGATCGCAACAGGTGAGCAACAACGTGGCAACTGTGAAAGTCATCTAAGACTGCTAGTACTCTACAAAAGACAAGAGTGAAAACACAGCTTACTCAGACTAGATACTTGATGCCTCGCAATAGGAATATCTAGCCACTTATCGTGCAGTCCCCTGCTCTGAGTCGAGCTGCTCATCTTCATATCCCATTGCAGCATTAGTCACTATTAACCCCTCAACAGGCATCTCCGGCCTGAATCACAATCGGCCCCTGCCAAGTCTATCCGATGGGAATTGCCGCGTCAACCCAATATATCTGGTTCGACTTCAGCGCGCTCAGGGCATCGTTCTGGCAAGCAAAAAAGCTGTTCTGTCCGTTGTGCAACAGGGCACCTCGAGCACTCAGTGAGAACTCCGTCGTAGTCTCCCCTTGAAGCGCGTTGCCGTGAGCGTCGTTGAATCCCACTGCCTGGCTCTGGTAGCGGCAAACGTACATCTGCTGGACACCTATCGAAAATTTCTGGCTGGGAAGAAAAGAGATCGAGTTGTCGCTGCCGCTGAGGGTCGAAACGACAAGGGGTTCAGCGCACGACTGGGATTCAATCTGACCGACGTCTACAGACGAATTCGCATTTGAGAGGCGGAACGTTTGCAAGTAAGTGATGTCGAAGTTAGCACCATCAAGGTAGAGGCCAATGGTGTTGTCGCCGCACTGGGCAGATTGACGGGCGAGAACATCTGCTGGGGCACTGGCCACATTGAGTAACAAGGAAGAGGGCAATTAAGGCAAAGATGATGGGCATGTGCATTGCAGGGACTGAGTAGTGGACGTGCTCGATAGGCTTTCCTGAAATCCAAGGGACTTTGGCTGAGGCTGAAAGTCTTGCGAGACAGTACATATGGTGTTCTGTTGCGCACCGTTGAGCTGCTTGAACACGCCAGGGGAAATATATGTTTGTCCTTTACGGGAGAATCATCAGAAGACACCTCAGTCGAAGGCTATGTCCACCCACATCTTCGTACCGCTTGCCGAGTTCATACGATCCATAATCGCGGAAGGGACAGGTTCAGTATGTGGGAGTATCAGGCCGCTAAAGATGAGAAAAGCAGATCTCGATAGACACTGAATCTTGCGTTAGGAAGTGGCATTGGTTGTTAAGGAAGAATAGGAGCAGCCCGTGGGGAAGCTACATGTCAGCCTGGTGGCCTCATCCGGTACATATCTTCCCATGACATGAGATGTTGATCCCGCTACAACTCAATTGCCTGAGCGAGTGGGTACTTCGCTCTTCGGAGAGACGAGGTCGTGACTGGGTGCAGCTTATGGGACAGGTAATGGTTACTGTTGTCATACTGTATACGATACAGGCTGACCACCTTGAGTCTTCCGTCGAACCCACACAACTCGCTCCATAAATGCTGCAACGCAAGTTGTATTCAAGTTTCCATGCAGCAAGCTCGACATCGCCGTCCATTCCTAAACCCCCTGCTGGAAGGCAATCATGTCTTGGAACGACAGAAGACTAAAAAACACCGATCAGAAAAACCTCGCTCGGACCATGGATCGTAGTCGCGAGTCGTAGAGGTCATCGTGGAAAAGCTCCACGATCCGTGGTTGCCAACCGCCTAAGACGGCCCGGAAAACCGTCAACTCTGCTTTCACATTGACCTGGCGAAATTCTTCCTCGTTCTCCCTGGCAAGGGCGAGAATCTGGAGTCCACAACGAAACAAAAATGCAACCAGCATACAGTGATGTTTGACTGTTGTGTGTTGTCCGTTGACACGAGAACACCGCTGGCTTCGGCAGCACCACGGTTTCTCAAAAGCTGCGTTGGCGAGGTAGAGGCCGTGGACGAGGTAGACCGATCGTTCAAGTGCCTTTAACGAAGGCAGTTGTGGTTCCTCGGGTTCCACAACGTTCTGCCTCTCGTTAGATGTCCGGCTTTCACACAACCACTTGCTCTCACGCTTGTACTGTTTGAGCAGCTTGTCCAGAAGATAAGAAAGGGCGACTCGATAGAAGACAAAAATCAGACGGCTCATGCCCTGCGCACTCTCCTGACACCAGACCGCAAGTCGGTATGCTTCAAGCTCGGCACATAGTTGCGCGATATCACCATTAACCCCCCTTCCACAGAAGCCCGCATTCTCCCAGGAAGTCATTCCAAACGCCTCAACCGTTTCACCCGGGGCGAAGCTTGCTAAGATGCTGTCAAAGGAGCAATTACCATGGCTGAGGCACGGATAATTTCGAAAGTATTGCCGGTCCACGTCGTCACGGAGAATGCTGCACAAAGAGTCCACCGACCTCGGAAAGTCGACGAAAGGGTCCATGTACTGGGCGTTGATTCGAAATTTCTCGATCTCCCTACGAAGTTTTTGTCTTCCAACTTCTGCAGAGGCAAATTCTGCGGGCGATGGCGCATTGGTGGACAGTTGCAGTTGCTTTATGATCTGAGGATCATGCATTTTGGCGAGGAAACTGCCTAGTCCTGCACCCAGCAGCTTAAAAAAGCACTCGAAGCCTCGGCCAAGCATGAATGCACCCCGATATATATATCGGGGTTCCGTCCTTTCGCGACTTTGTGTATTTTCGGGAAAGACTTCGCCGAATATGAGTGAAAGTGGCCGTAACGTCCCCCACTCAGAAGTGAGCAGGATCGATCTATCCGCGTCACAGTAAAGGGGCCTGGGGACATGAATACCCGCCCGTCTCTGAATATCGTACAACGACCCTTTGGATAGCGAGTCCAACGAACAACGAAATGGGAAACATTGAGCCAGCGCTCGGCATCTGGACGAAATAGTTCCGTCAGGCGGAGGGGAAGAGGGCTGTGAGAACAACACCAGTGCTGCTTCGTGGACACTCTGCAAGTCGGGTCAGTGATAGTCAAGGAGGTTGGTTTGGTTCATATGGCTTGAATGAGGGGAGGCATGCAGCTATAGGAAAATGAAAAGCATTTTGCCCTTACTATTGGTTTTGTTTGATCATCTGAAACTGTGAGAGGAAGATGGTGAAGGACCAGCAAGGCAGGTAAGGATGGGTCAGGATTCAGCTCACTACCTCCGCCGGACTGGTCACGGAGAGTTGCTTGGACAACGGTTGAGCGTACTGTACCCGGTGGGATAGGCAATGGGAGGATGGCGTATCTCTCATTTTGCTGTCTGTCGTTGAGACCATTTAGGTAGCCTTCAATGACAAGAGCGTATCCTAATGGCACCGAGGGTTGGGTCGATGAATTAAGGTGGACCATATCTTGATTTGGTCTCTGATGTGCGTTTGCGCGATGACGATCGCCGTCCGTCGTAGGAGAGTAAACACGGAGGGATAAAGACCAAGAACTCTTTAATACATTGGCAGTTAACTGTAGAAGATAAGAGGATGTGTCCATCGAACTGATCCGGCGTGCTGAAAATGAAAGAGGGGAACTTGACAAGCGCAGAATAAAAGTATGGGAAGGAGTATCTGAGGCTGCGGTTGGGACGCAAGAGGGTAGCATCTTGTGTTTTCGCGAAATGCTCCGGTAGGCACGACACACACCGAAGGAAATCCTGGCTCAACTGAAGCAATAACTGGCAAGCACAACCATATCGGCAGTATGCATGCAAATCTATTCATGATATCCATCTCCTGTCCAATCGGCGAACGGTTTCTGTTTGCTGAATGGGCGTGTGCACGGCGTGGAGAGCTCTGAGTCGCGGCGGTAGAAAACGTTGAGGCTGCATTGTACATTCCTGTGGCATCTATCTCCCCAAAATACCTGGACCCATCTGTGAACGTTTATTGAGATATGAAAGAAACGTGGGGAAATTGTCCACCTGAAAAGCGGCCACTTATGATTTCCCCGGGTATTTGGCCTTTCCGAACGAGAAAGGTACATAACGGTACTTGATCATATGTTGGATCTGCCGCCTCACTTGGACCGATTGTCAGTGATAATATTCGCCGCCCAAAGTAATGTATCGACTTACTGGTCAGGGAGAAGAGGATCAGCCAATACATGACGAGCACAGGCCAGAAGACAGGCAGATTGAAGATTTCGAACCAACTGCAGATGAAGCTGATCGTGATGGCTCTCGTTGCAGAATGCCAGAACTTGAACTCTGGTAGCCTTCTGATGAAAGGTCTGAACTCATCATCATTCTTGGTGGGCAAAGCTGAGCCCTCACCATCTTCGAGACCCTCGTCCTGCGACAGACTGGGATCAAATTTGGGCTGGAGGAATGCGAGGAAGAGGTTGAGCAGGTAGATGCCCAGACAATAGGCGACAATGTACCAGCCCTGGGACACGACGATCCGAAGGAAGAAGAGAAGGAGGAGTGTGGCGGTTGCCGACCATCGGTAGGCGACATAGGGGGTTGATTTGTCGAGGTAGGTTTGGTATTGCTTTACAAGGACTCTGTTAGCAAACCTGATACCCGGTTTCCTCCTTGTGCTGGGAGTGACTTCTCATTCTCATACCCTCAGGAGCTTATTGCTTTGTGTACTTATGGCGTCGAAGGGGGTAGTTTCCGGCTCCGGCCCATCCATCGTGGCAGCGCTTGTTGGTAGGGACGAGGAGATATAGGGTCTGCGCATGCGCTTCAGGTGTGATACGGGGCAGGGCGTGGGAAAGGTGCGCACTTCTGGAGAACTGTAAGTGCAACAAGAAACAAACTTGTCGTGCGCGAAATGATGATATTAGGCGATAAACAAGGAGTTGACACAGTGGTAAAATGTTGAAGGTAAGGAGTCCCGTTTGTTGAAGCCACGTCTTGTTTTTTCGCCGGTGGCAGCCTTTCACAAACGTTTGGAGTGGAGGTTCCAGGTCGCAGGGCAAATTCAAACTGCGCCTCACATTGTGGCAACCAGCATAACGGATCATCTGTTGTTCCGTTCCCCGGCCCCTGCGGCGAATCGTCGGGGTTCGTCCAACCTGCGGAGAGAAGCAGCCGAGGACAAACAGGAAAGTTGCGGCTGTCGTCGGCGGTGCAGAAAGCTCTCTCAATGCTTTCTTGCAATATGTAAAGCACCACTCTTCGAGATCTTCGTGGTCTCCTTGATATTACATAGCGACAACCTTCGCAATGGCTTCTCTGCGGTTATTCTCCCGTCCTGCAGCTGCTCTGTCAGCTGCACCACGGACCCTTCCTCGGCTGGTCCGATTTCAATCCACCTCCAGCAGCTACGAAAACATTCTAGTATCTACTCCCAGGCCAGGTGTTGGGCTCAGTACGCCTCAAAGCCTACTTTTATGTTCATGGGAGAGCAACATCTGACCATTTTAGTCACACTCAATCGTCCGAAGGCGCTGAACGCCCTCTCCAGCGCGTTATTTGTGGAATTAAATGATGCTCTCAAGAAATATGAAGAGGACAAGGACATCGGTGCCATTGTTTTGACAGGAAGCGACAAAGCATTTGCAGGTAAAGACAACACATATACTCCTGCAATGACGTGTACAGACACTGACGGAAAGTGGATAGCCGGCGCCGACATCAAAGAAATGGCCCCCTTGACCTTCTCCGATGCCTATGTCAATAATTTCATCGCTCCCTGGTCCTATATGATGACCTTGCGAAAACCGGTCATTGCAGCGGTATCGGGGCATGCTCTTGGTGGTGGCTGCGAGCTTGCTATGATGTGCGATATTCTATACTGCACGAAAACCGCAAACTTTGGACAACCTGAGATCAAGCTTGGGACCATCCCAGGCGCCGGAGGTTCTCAGCGCCTCACCGCAGCTATTGGGAAGAGCAAAGCCATGGAACTTATTCTCACGGGCAACAACTTCAGCGGTGAGGAGGCCGAGAAACATGGTCTAGCTGCCAAAGCCTTCGAGGGGGGGAACAAAGAGGTCCTTGAGGGTGCTCTGAACACAGCCGAAAAGATCGCCAGCTACAGTCGGGTGGCTGTCATCGCGGCCAAGGAAGTTGTCAATAAAAGTCAAGACCTTGGGGTGCGAGAGGGTGTCGAATACGAACGGCGTATCTTCCACAGCTTGTTCGGCAGTCAAGATCAGAAAATCGGCATGAAGGCCTTCGCGGAGAAGAAAAAAGCAGAGTGGACGAACTCATGATATCAGTAGTGACGGAGTCGAGACAGCAGGGTGATCACCGATCACATTCCTCAGAGCTGAGTCTGGGTTTCTTGTATAGTACGATAAGGAAAGTGGTCTAGTAGAACGGGATATCAAGCCAAAGGACAAGACTGGACTGGAAAAAGCCCGTTGACGACGATGTCATTCCTCGTATTCAACGCCGTGGTCCCCTAAGTCCGAATTTCACACGGCCGCATTGCACGAATCGTGAATCCACTATGCGGCGTCTAGTTCAGAGTGTGTATGACTATTGCTCCGAATATTGGCGTCTTGGAATAACTTTTCTATCTCGTACGCAACCGCTGACATTGTTTAGGCCACGGGCAGGCACGACCCACCTACACCTCCACCATATCTACCGCTGTCAGACACTATTACCTTTTACCTAATTACCACACAGCGCCTGTTAGAGCATGATACCAGGATACCAGGATACCAGTTACAGGTCTACAGTCGTACAATCGTACAACGTGGTGAGGGGCTCGAGCTTGGCACGTTCCCCCGATATACTACAGGTGCGCCTGCTCCGCCACACCATCCGGGGTTAGGTAAGTTATGTTCCCTGGTGCTTGTACACTGCCAGCCAAAACAGGGATAGGACCACCGCCCGTAACGAGTTCTCAGTTATCATCAAGTACCGAGTACAGAGTACGCTCGTATCCTCGAGTCACTAAAATCGTTGTCAGAAAGGGTTCCCCGAGCAACCTTCTGAGAATGGGTCCATCTGAACAGACGGCTATGGTCACCTGCGGAAGATGCGTTATCAAGGAGACACTTAACTCCAGTCGCACACCGCATCTGTCGAAGGATTGGGCTAGGCGAGACCCAAGAGCACAGCAGTCGTTGTAACGCACCATAGCACATTCAGGCCCGTTGGGGTCTATGTATAGCGGGATCCATTTGACTTGAAGTCCCAAAGAAAAACAAGTCTCACTGGACATGATTCGAGGACTAAGGAAGCGAATAGCAAGGCAAAAATGAACAGCACTTGCCCTTTCTAGCTATTCTGATCGTGCTTTGCAATCGACTGGTGCTTGGATAGTATCCCGTACCAGCATTATGTTCATCCCCACCTCCCGCCTCCCGCCGCGCCCTCCGCCTTTTGGTGTTGGGCGTCACGCACGACGTGACGGTACGGAGTATGGTGGTTGGTAAGAAGGCAAAAGTCGAGTGTAATACTGCCCAAAAGGACGAGGATGATCTCACTCCGCGTTACTCCCTAACCTCAACAGACGAGCACTCGAATTGTGCATAAGTATTGTCTCCAGATGAATCAGTCAGCGGTGGCGGGGGCTCGGCTTTACCGATCCGGAGTGACAGGGTCCGTTTAGATAAACACCGCTAACTGTCTTTTACCTGGCATGCCCAGCTGGGACGGTGGATTTCCTGGGTTGTGTGACTCAATTCACGGAGACAAGACTAGTAGTAATCCCAGATTTTAAAGGCCGTGCCAAGGGACGGACTTGTTACTGATCGATGACACTGGGGAGAGAATCGACTTGCCAGAGAGGATGCGAGGCGTGAGTACGATGACATTTGACGTCGCTGCCATTTCAGCTCTCCTGCAGACTGCTCTTCTTTCTTGCTCATTCATGATTCTCTCACCCTCATGACTTGAAAGCGAAACCAGTCATTCGTCGCTCCGACTCGAATTGTTCCCGTCGTCGTAAGAGCTGTCAGCACTGAACGAGATTCCAAAGCCTCGTCGGGCCCACCGTTGTTGAGTTACTGCTTACTCGACAAGGACTGCCCTACACCTTCCCAGGACAAAGGCTTTTTGCCAGATGAGAACGGTCGTAGCCTGCTGATTGAGCTATCCGGGCCGAGTATTGGTGGGGTAGCGGAGCTGGAGCCCTGCGTCGAGTGCTACCCGTTACGAGTCTGTGAGCGTCCTCATTTCCCCCCAAGACACAATGACCCCCACAGCGGTCGTCCCTTGAGCCAACGTGGTGAGGAGAGACGGACGACTATCTCGCTAATTGATTCGCCACACTCTTTCAAGATGGGCTAGGGCGTTATGGAATTCAAATCCAAGAACTTTGGTCTTGGAGTTGCTGGCCTGACGAAGGCATATGGTGGGCTTTGTTCCACAAGGGTTGCATCAGTGATCGTTGACTAGTAGTACTGGTGGCTTTGGGTTGCTGTATCGGAGCTTACCTTAGAGTGTGAGCTTTCTTTGGTGCATATATAAATCGTGCTCTGCCCAAGTGTTTCGGCTGCCGATCCATCTTCTCTTCTGCGACCTCGACGTGAATCACTCAGTGTTGACCAAAGCCCACCGCAAGCAAACAATTTCAGCCTTACTTACATAGCACACTCAACAATATGGCTCCTTCAGCAACCACGGATGGCCCCACCCAGGGATACCAGCCTAAGCACATCGAGGAGCGCCTCTTCATCAATGGTGAATTCGTTCCTTCCAAGTCCGGGAAGAAGTTCGATATCATCAACCCGAACAATGAGAAGTTTGCGGCATCTGTCTATGAAGCTGGTGCCGAGGATGTTGACGAGGCGGTCAAGGCGGCCCAAGCTGCTTTCCCTGCCTGGTCTGGTCTTTCTGCCGCTGAGAGACAGGGCTATATTGAAAAACTGGCCGACGCCATCGAGAAGAACCTGGAGGAAATCGGATACCTAGAAGCCATTAGCATGGGCAAGCCCTACATCGGTGACTGTAAGTCCACCGACTTCCTTCTCATCAGTGGCACGAACTGACGCTTTCCAGTTTTCGGTCAAGTCGCCGTTCAAATTCTGAGATACTTCGGCAGCAGAGCCCTCGACGTCCAAGGCGACTCATCCCTGAACACCAAGGACATGGTGAACATCACTTTCCGCCAACCCTTTGGTGTCTGTGGCGCCATCATTCCTTGGAACGTTCCCCTCCTCATGTTCGTCAACAAAGTCGGCCCTGCTCTGGCTACCGGTAACACTTTGGTTCTTAAGTCTTCTGAGAAATCACCCCTTTCTTCTCTCGTCATCGGGAGACTCTGCCAGGAGATTGGCCTGCCTAAGGGTGTTTTGAACATTCTCAGCGGGTTCGGGAGACCTTGTGGTGAAGCCATTGCCAAGCACATGGACATCCGAAAGGTCTCCTTCACCGGTTCAGTGATTGCTGGACGAGCCGTCAAGAAGGCTGCCGCCGAATCCAACCTCAAGAACGTCACCCTGGAACTGGGAGGAAAGAGCCCATTGATCGTCTTCGACGATGCTGACCTGGCAAAGGCTGTTCCCGCCTCTGCTTTCTCCATCCTCGCCAACTCTGGCCAGGCTTGCATCGCCAGCTCAAGAGTGTACGTGCACGCTAATATCGCCGATAAATTTATGGAAGCCATGAAAACCGCCATGGTCCAGATGGGCGTGTCTGGAGATGCCACGGTCGCTGGTACCCGGCGAGGGCCTCAGGCCGACAAGATTCAATTCGACCGCGTCATGAGCTACCTCAACTATGCGAAGGAGAAGGGCTTCGATATGCCCATTGGAGGTGGCCGTGAAGGCCAAACTGGCTATTTTATCGAGCCCACCATCATCGCCAACGCCCCTGAGGACTCCAAGGTCATGAAGGAAGAGATTTTTGGACCTGTCGTGTGCGTCAACACTTTCACCGACGAGGAGGAGGTGCTGAAGCGCGCCAACGACACCGAATACGGACTGTACGCAAGTGTATTCACCAAGGATATCTCGCGTGCATTGCGCGTGGCGAAGGCCCTCGAGGCTGGATCGGTGGGTGTCAACTGCACGAGCCCGACTATGGCCATTGACATGCCGTTTGGTGGCTTCAAGCAGAGCGGTGATGGCCGTGAGTTGAGCAAGTATTCCACTGACTATTGGACCGAGCTGAAGTCTGTCTTCATCTCCCTGTAAAAGAAAGTTGCTAGGATGGCCTGAAGTTTGAGCCTATAATTACGAAAGTACTCACGACCAGGACAGATAAAATGATTCATTACAAAACAATCAAAGATCAATCTATCTTCCTGTCTGTGCCTTTCTTTAGTAAAATGACCGTGCTGGCAGTTAAAAATGCCAACAGGAGGTGACGCTTTGCATTTGTTTCCTGCAGATTCTGCTCTCGGTGGCCGCAACCGGCATGATTTCGCTCTAGTTCGGTGCTACATAAACTAGGGGAGCCTCTCGGCCATACAATCTTCCAAATATGTGTTCGATTGGCTGAAGGCTACCCTTGTTTGGCGTCAGGGTGTACTCAGAAGTCAACTGGACCTCGTTAGCTCTATGTATACTCCAGGGGTATGCTGTCATGTCTAATGAGGCTCCCAGGTTATTCTTGATAAGGCCCGCCTCTGCAGTGTACACGATATGAACGTACAAACTTTGATATTTGGCTTGATCCGAGGGCCGGAATTCAAACGAGTTGCCGCCAGCTTCAATGCGACTGCTCCACTCTGCATTTCAGGGACCGGACCCGGACGCAGACACGGACTCCGGAGGATGAAAGAAGTCCTGGTGCCCACACGAGCCACGATCTGAATGCATTTGATCCCAGGAGCGCCTGGTTTCCTACTGCTGGCTGTCTGCTAGACGACAAATAGATCTGAGATGATGTCCATCGTGTCTTGAAAACTGGCAGGAGGTTGACATGAAGGCCGAGGAGGCGGAGGGCGGTCAAAATACACCCGCGTCGGAGTTTAGCATGCACGTTCAAGCCAAGAGAACGAAGCCAACTCCTATACAATTGAATCAATTGTGCAATGATGGTGGCCGCTACCGAGCTTCCGCCACCTCCGCCTCCTACTGATACGCCAGGTCTGAGAGCAAATCGGGCTTGTCGGCCTTGTGTTCAGATCAAAGCAAAATGCGTTCCTCTGGAAGGATTTACCAACTCGATTTGCGTACGATGCCACCGGTTGGGCAAGTTCTGCACAACTCCGGCACCGCTGCCACGTAAACGGCGCAACAATGGAAAATCAACCCGCGTGTCGCAACTAGAGGAGAAGGTCAATACTCTGACAGATCTCTTGACCTCCAATGACGGCGCTCTGATTCCACGGCGTAGTGAGCTCGATCTTGTCGCTACTCCAGGTGGCTGTGCCCAACACTCCCAGCCTACTCATCCTACTATCCCCGAAAGCGATGCTGGCTTTGCAAATGCCCAATGGTCAGCCTCGCTTTTGACTCCAAAGTCACTAGCGCCTGCGAACGGAAGCAATAACAACAACGCCACATTACAGACTCAGTCCACCACATCTCCTGGCACGGCCTGTGCAACTCCTATGAAGTCTGTGGAACCGGCTGGTGCAGATGCAAGCGACCACTTTCGAATAACCCTGGCTCCCGTGTTGGAAGAAAAGCTGTTCAGTGACTTCCGCACACAGATGAACCAACACTTCCCTTTTGTGGTGATTCCACCTCAGACAACGGCTGTTGCCCTTCGTCAAGAAAAACCGTTCCTTTTTCGGACTTGCATTACTGCCGCTGCTCAAGCTGACCCGTCACTCCTGAAGCAGCTGGCAGATGATTTGATGAGATACATTGGAGAGCGCATGCTCATCAAGGGGGAGAAGTCTCTCGATCTCTTGCAAGGGCTTTTGGTGTTCAGCTCTTGGTATCAATACTACAATCACTTCAACCCCCAGGTGATGAATCTCCTACATTTGGCAACTGCTATGGCCACAGACCTGGGGCTGAATCGGTCTAGACAGCCGGCAGTATTGGCTCCATTCGGCATGGTGTTTGATACTGCAGAGATGTTCCACGGCAGATTAGTCAAACAAGGCGTTCAGACCTCTGACGACCGACGAGCCCTTCTTGGAGTTTATCATCTTTCTGGACAATTGTCATCCTGCTTCCGGAGATCGGATCCTATGCGCTGGACTCAGCACCTGGAACAATGTTGCAATGCTCTTGTCGCTGCAGCCGAGTATCCCTCTGATATCTATGCTGTCCAGCTGGTCCGACTGCATCAGGTCATAGAAGCATATTCTCCCTCCCTCGGCTTGATGACGACATCGACTGTGCCTCTGCGGAGTCTCATGAGTTGTTTCGAGAAAGACCTGGAGCGATACCAGGAGGGTATACCTCCCAGCCTAGCAGGAAACCATCTTTTCCAGATCCAGATTCAGAGTGCTTATATTTGCCTCTTCGAGACCATATTCACAATCCAGGCGGACAGAGCATATCACCGAGCCGAAGCATTACATGCGTGTTTGGATCATATCAGTCAGTTGTTTGACTATTTAGAGGCCATCCCTGGGCAGTATGTTCCCAACTTGACCTTCTCATTCTGGCTGCATCTCGTTCACGCCTTGGTTGTTCTCGCCAAAATGTCGTTCCTCGTCCTCGATGGATGGGATTTGCGATCAATCAGGGGCTCCGGAATGAACTTTCCGTCCACTATAGATCGGGTTGCGCAAAAGCTGGAAACAGTCTCTCACCAGAGCCTTGCCTCCGGAGACACGCCGGCAAATAACGCTGTTTCAACGCGCTTTAGCCTGTTCGCTGAGAAAATGCGCCATTGCAAAAGGTGGTACGCGAGCAAGCTGAACGCAGAAACCAGCGATTCAGCCTCAGGGGTCGAAAATGGTGCGCTTCCAGATAGCATGTCTATGGAGGACTTATTTGGGAGTTTCGAAGACGGCAACTGGCCGGACCTGGTGTCTGATTGGAACGCCAACATACACTTTTAGTTCTGCGGAGAGCAAAGACACGCGGTCGATATGACATCCATGGATTCGACTATCACTTTGGAGCCGTAAACTCCGATGGACTACATCAGCCTCGACCTTGTACATCCACCATGGTGGGGACCGGATACGGAGTGAAGGGACGAAGAGTTGGTTCACCCACCGCACTCCCTGATCTGGGCAATTATAAACATGGCATTTCCATGTTTCTTTCGAATGTCGACCTCCTTTCCCAGTCACCCCTTAGCAGTCTGTTTTCTGGAGCGCCGCATTCGTCAAAATGAAGCCGCAAGCTGACCCCTCCCTCCCTGATTCGGTCGTGGCCTCAACGATTGTTGTTACTCAACCTGCTGGCAGCTGTGAAAATGAAGAGCCGGGCCAGACATCTTCCTCCAAGGGAGATGACGAACATCAATATTTGGGACCGCGGGCCTTGACACTTTTGGGCTGCTCCCTCTTGCTCGTTATATTACTCGTCACTCTCGATGCCTCCATTCTTGCGACTGCCATTCCAAAGATCACAGATCACTTCCATACCATCGCCGATAGTGAGTCATCCCCTTTGTTATACCGGCGATAGCCAGCTGCGGAAGTCGTTGTCCGTTGCGGATGGTTCTCCAGACAAGCTGACAGATGTTGGCAGTCGGCTGGTACCCTGCAGCTTACATGATAACAAATGCATCTTTGCAGCCTCTCACCGGAAAGGTGTTCACATACTTCTCACTGAAGCTTGCCTTTCTTGCTTTCGTCGCCGTGTTCGAACTGGGTTCCTTAGTCTGTGCCCTTTCCTCGTCTAGTACAATGCTGGTGGTGGGGCGAGCAGTGTCTGGTATCGGCGCGTCGGGTCTGATGAACGGAGTCCTCACCATACTTGCTGTTGCCACTCCTCCTTCTATCCGACCTACCGTGATGGGCATCCTCATGTCTTTCGCTGGAGCTGGACAACTCATCGGGCCGCTGGTTGGCGGTGCTCTGACTGAGCATGCCTCGTGGCGATGGTGCTTTTGGATCAACCTTCCCGTCGGAGCAGTGACAATAGTAGCCACAATATTCATCCGCTTCCCAGAGTACAAGGCTCGCAAGGCAAACTGGACATTCCGAGACATGATACACGACTTCGACATTACTGGATTTGTTGTTTTTGCGCCCGCATGCATGATGCTTCTACTCGCACTGGAGTGGGGCGGAATCACCTATCCATGGTCCTCCGCTACGATCATCGGGCTCCTCTGTGGATCAGCAGGGGCATTCACATGCTTCTTCGTTTGGGAGTACCGCCAGGGAGATTCTGCCATGATTTCAATATCGCTGATACGGAAGCGAGTCATTTACAGCAGTTTGATCAATGCCACATTGCAATTCGGAGGCTTATTGCTCTACGGTTATTACCTGCCTTTGTGGTTCCAAGTGGTCAAATCGGCGAGCCCAACCATGAGTGCAGTCTACATCCTCCCAACGTTTGGGCTGCAGATCTTCAGCGCGATTCTTGCTGGCGCCCTAACGTCACGGTTCGGCTATCTTGCACCATTTGCCGTGACGGGTTCAGTCTTTGTCACAATATCAGCGGGACTGATCAGTACACTTGGTACGCATACGAAGCCAGGGAAGTACATTGGGTACCAGATCCTCAACGGCGTTGGGCCAGGTCTCTCAATGCAACAACCCGTCCAAGCTGTCCAGTCCATCGTTTCCCCTGCCATGCTTCCCATTGCAACGGCTACTGTGGCGTTCTCACAGACGTTCGGCGCTGCGCTATTCCTCAGCCTTGGTCAAACCACCTTCCTCAACCTCCTTCGTCCCGCCTTGCACACTTATGCGCCCGATGTGAACGCACAGGACGTGATCAACAGCGGCGCCACGAACTACCTCGCCAAGCTCCCCACTGGGGCGGACAACGACGGTATTAGGGATGGTGTGCTGCTGGCATACAACGACGCGATCACCAAGACGTTCTACCTCGCTGTGGGATGCGGCGCTGGTGCCTTCGTGACAAGTCTGGGACTGGGGAAGACCAAAGTTCCGACGAAAAAGGAGAAGAAGGGCAAGGATGCTGAGAAGGGGAATGGAGGCAAGGAGCAGGGCAAGAGTTTAGGTGGTCCTGGGGACAGTGGTAGGGGTGGAAAGGAACTGAATAGCACATCGTGAGGAGTTGAGGCAGGTAGAACACGGTGTATGGTCCTCTGCTTCTCGTGTATTCCCTTCGACATCGAACTATCTCTCATCTTGTCTGGGAAGGGTGTGAGAATGTAAGAAGATATGGAAGATGATCACCTCTCCTCTACTCACATTTACACCAATGGCGCTCGACGACGAACTCAAAATGTTGAAATCATGGAGGTGTCAACAGGAGCTCCAGCTAGAAACACGGTCGATCGGTCTTGTTGGTCTTTTCTTTCAGTCTAATCATATTCGTCTAACTATCTAGTATAGATAGAGAACACCACTTTTATCTGTTGACCGATCGTTCTCCTAAGTCCTTTATACCGCGGACTTCAATAGAAACAGCCGTCTACTTGTCTAGTCCCTCTAGTTCCTTTTGCTTTTGTTCCGTGAACGCATGGGACATAGGCCGTTTCTCTCTGCCCCCCAAAAGCGAGGCTACCTTGCGCTTCAGTTCTCGAGACCACATTCGAAACTCACCCCTGCTGGTGTCTGTGGGCAACAAGCTGGCGCTTTAAGCACCGAGTTGGAGTAGTGACTTCACCGTATCCACAACACTTTCCTCTAGACTTCGGTACTTCAAGCCGAGCACTTCTTTCGATCTCGAGTTATCGTACTGATAGATGTCTTGAGGCATATCGCTTTCGATCTTGTCCGGCAGCTTACTAGCCAGTTCTGGGAAGCGGTGCTTGATAATCTGAGCAATGTCGGCATTGGAATAGAGGCCCGCTGTGCAAAAGAATCGTTTGCCACCTGCTTCAGGAATTTCCAGGGCTTTGACGTGAGCAAGTGCTACATCCCGAACGTCAACCCAGAGATAGGCGCCTGTGGGAGGGAGACCGGATTCTTTGGTACGGCCTTGGATCATATTTCGGATTCGCTCGTTGGACGTGTTGATGGTCTCAAGGGAATTGAGGTAGTGCACAACCGGCCCAAGGACGAGTGGTGGATTGATCGTCGCGACGTCGAAGTTGGGCTTTTCTTTTTCGACAAACTCCCATGCCGCCCGCTCAGCGAATGTCTTTGACGCACGGTATGTGGTTGCGGGATCCTGTGTGGCTTCCTCTTCTGTAACCGGGTTCCAGTTCTTCTCGCTGTAGACCTTCTCATGCGACTTGGGGTTAATGATTGCTGCAAAAGAACTGGTAATGACTACCCTCTTGACAGTAGGAGCATATTTCTTGACGGCCTTGAGAATTCCAGTAGTACCAATGATGGCAGGGTCCAAGAGATCTTTCTTGGGGTCCGTAACATTGAAGTGGAATGGCGACGCGGTGTGCAAAACGCCTTCGAAGGGAGGATCTGATTTGACGGCCTCGTCAAAGGCATTTTCTTGTGCGATGTCGCCAACGATCACGTAGTTGAGTTTATCCTTGGGTTGACCAGGATGATTCCTCAAGATCTTTTGGCCCTTTTCCGGCGATCGTACGGTAAAGACGACAGAGTGGCCATGCTGAAGCAGGTAGTCAACGCAATGAGCGGCGATGAAGCCGGATCCACCTGTCAGGAGAACTCTCATATTGTTCGGTGATTGATGGTAACGTCTTCTGAAGATTGTGGAGGAGAGGATTAGACGTGAATGAAGGAGTCCAAGATGATTCGTTTTATCGAGCAGCATCAAGACTCTTTATACCTTCCATTCGCGGCCTCGGATAGTTGATACGTGTCGGCTGTTATCGGTCAAAAGTCCGTTATGACAGAGATAGTCACCTTGCCAGAACAAATGAGCCAATGTAAGCACGTCATCATGTTCCTGACGCCAACCAGTAGGCGAATCCAACCCTAGCGTTTTTAAAACTCTTTATCCATTCGCCTCATTATGGAGTTGGTTGACTTCATCTCCGCTAAGCCCGTCGTAGTCGACATCGTCTCTCCACATGCCACGCTCTTTAAGGGCTTTTTGGGTCCAGTTCGGATATAACATAGCTTGTTCCTGTGGGTGATCTTGAGTCGCGAGCCAGACCATTCTTCTCAGACCCCGCCGGTATTGTTCTGCCTGTGTTGGGTTTATGTCCGGAAGTGCCTTGAGCTGTATAACGACATGGTTAGGGGAAACACTGCGAAGGTCGCGATAGGACGTGTAGCCGAGGCGGATCAAGAGACTGGCTGTCTTGGGAGTGATGGCCAAGTCGTGTTGTAGCTGTTGCTGTGCATTCATCTTCCACTAGATGCCTGATTTATCTACTCGTGAATGGTGGGATAAACCGTGTAGACAATTCCAGGATTCCAAAAGAAATACATTGATAGTCCTGCTCTGGCAGTGCGTATTCGTATCACAATATATCTGGTTGGTAGGGGTGGCGCATGGAGAGGCCACTAGGCTGGACCTAGAGGGGTGAAGTTGTGAAGGCTGCGGAGAAATCGTTGCCTCCCGCATAACACTGGCCGCGGCATTCCTAATTTCATTCCTTCGCGCAAATCATCCACACGGACTTACCCAGCACCATGGGCAATGATGGAGGAAGGTGAGTCGAGACTTTGTCACCGTGAGACATTACTGCCCGGTTTTCTGACAGTTGACAGTATTCCTACGCGACGGGAGCTCGTCAAGGAAGCGGCGCGGAACCCGACAGCCACCGAACTGAAAGACAAGCAAAAAGAGCACCTTGCGCATCGTTGGTCGACCTGTCCAGTCTCCCATAAGCCCCTTAGAAGACCTATTGTCTCAGATTACTCAGGCGACCTCTACAATAAGGATGCCATCATTCAGTTTCTGCTCCCCGCCGAAGCCAGCTCCGTCGACAAGCAAGAGTACGAGAAATTTATCCAAGGCCGCATCAACAGTCTGAAGGATGTAGTCGAAGTGCGATTTGAAACAGAACAGGATGAGAAGACCAAGTCAGATAAATGGATCTGTCCTGTCACATCCAAAGAGCTCGGTCCGAATGTTAAGGCAGTTTACCTCGTGCCCTGTGGCCATGCCTTTTCGCAAGAGGCCGTTAAAGAGACGAAGAGCGAGGGGAAATGTGTCCAATGTGGCACTCCGTACGAAGAAAGAGATGTCATACCTATTCTTCCTTGCACCGAGAAAGACAAGGCGTTCGTGATCGAGCGGATAGAGGCCTTGCACTCTCTGGGACTCACGCACTCCCTGAAGAAAGCCAGCGGGGGAAAGAAGCGGAAAGCAAATGGTAACACCAAGTCAGAAAAAGGACAGGACGCTTCGAAAGTGCAGGCAACCGGGGTAAATGGGCACGAGAAATCAATGCCGGCTAACACCTCGCGTCCTTCGACAACCCAATCAGGAACCTTGACGTCAAATATGCCTAATGGGATTAAGGATGTCGCAACCGCCAGTCTCACTGCCCGAGTCATGGAGGAGGAAGAAGCTAGGAAGAAAAGACGACGTGAGAACGAGAACATCAGCTCCCTGTACTCGAAGAAATCAGACGACCAGGCTCGAAGAGGCGGCGACTTCATGACTCGAGGATTTTCGATCCCTGCAAACGCCCGACACAAATAGTCACAACTTCACAACCTCATAACCTCAACGAATGCTGAAGCAAGCTTACGTCCCGTTGGGCGGAAAAACATTTGACCGACTCCCGTGGCGGTACTAGCCAATGTCGAGCGCAAGTATGCCGCCCTGTTAGTCAGATGGCATTGATACCATCTTTCAGCGTACAGCAGACGTTTGGCTCTCCGTCAATGGCCTTTGTGGGACCCCCGCCCTTGGAACGAGCATTCATAATCCAACGCCTTCGGCCTGTCGAAACAACGACAAACGGATACAGGTGGCCTATCACACATATTCCTGTCCAGGGATCGCGCCGAATTCGGCCGTTTCAAAGCTGGCTTGCTCTTCACGTTGGCTTATTGGAGGAATAAATGTAGCTCCTCCTGGAAGTCATCGACCTTTTTGTTCGAGATGGAATTTCTCATCGAGTGTTCCGCCTTTACTCCGTAACAATACCGATCCTTTTCATGGCTGCTGTGAAAGGAGTCAAGGGTCCCGGTGATGGTCAGCTCCGAGTCAACATGCGCGTGGCAATACCGTCATTGGCGTTCCCGAAAGATTTGATTCCGACCTTTGGGACTATCCAGATGAATTTCAACCGGTTGATATAGTCACAGAACGTGGCACTTTCAGCTACCTTGTCTGCCCCCATTGTGAGCCTTGCCCAGACCACGGCCACAGAGAGGACTGCCTTGTTATCGCTGCTAACGGCGCCTGCTCTGGAAACGGGAAGCAGAACTTCGAGGTGAAAGCAGGCATTGGTGTCTACTTCAGCGACGCCTTGCCCCACCATATACAAAGGAAACTCCCCAGCCAAATATCGACAAATCAGCAAGCAAAAATGATAGCGACGATCGTTGCCCTTGCGCAATTGAGAAGGATTATGGAGACCAGCCAGACATCGGATGATGTGAGCACTGTAAAAATCCAGACGAATTCGAACTATGTTGTGCAGGGAATGACTGCATGGATGAGAAAAATGGGCGAAGAATGGATTCCGCACCGATCGCGGTACTCCTGTTGCAAACTCTGATCTCTTCCAATTGCTGAGCAAAATGGTCAATTAGATACAGGATACTCTAGCCTGCTCAGTGTATTTCTGGCGTGTCCTCAGAGAATCCAACAAAGAGGCGGACAGGTTGGCTAAAGCGGCTCTGACAACTTCTGCTGTTGAGGATCCTGAGTTGGAGCTATGAGCAGGGGCGGTTGGAAACCCCATTTTGAACCATTCTGTGTTCCACACAAGATAATGTTCTGCCGTCTAGCTTCAAAGCTATCAATGGAAATACCGGGTCGAGACCTCCATTATCAACGCACCCTTTGCGATATGGTGGTTATTGGAGGCTTCCAGAGCATCAACAAGAAGATGGGACGGAGGCGGAGGCACCAAATGCAGGCGTGTTATATGTAGTTCCCGGCGTGCTGTTGTGACCCCGAAGCCGTCGGACCACAAGTGAGCCTGAGTCGTGCCTGTCTCATGTACTGAACGTTGCTATTGCACTGCTGTCAGGCACCACCAGAAAGAAACAAGTTACCTGAGTCGCTTCATCACCCTTGTTTTTGGCAATTCACCTGATTCATCCTCCTGTTCATACCAGTTCCATCCTCATGGCTGGTTCCTTAGACGTGACTTGTTGGGGCGAAGTCATGACGGATACTTGCACAGCTTTGCCCGGCGAGGGCCGCAAGAGACTCAGAGAGACTCTTATGACATTTTCTGCTCAGACCAAATCACATCCAGTCTCGGAGAACCAACACCCCCGACCATATTGTACACTCTGCATGATGCGTTCACTCAGCGCAAAGTTGGATCTCGGCCTCAACATCCGCCGTCGCCCTCGCGCAGTTGTATCATCCACCGAGGTCCCGGCCACCAACGGCCAGCCATCGAGTTTCGCGACTACCCCATGACAGGCATCGAAGTTGGTATCTGCGGCTACTTCCCTGTCGCAGCGAAGCAGCCTAAGGCATTGACTCTCTTTATGTACAGGCTCCATCTTAAACCCTGGCCGAAACCTGACGACGACTCTTCTGATGAGGAATTTGAGCATGAAATATGCAGTCACAAAACAGAGTTCGACCAACTCGATTCGCAAGGACAGCAGACACTGTTATCCCAGTACGGAGCGGAGCTACTTGGACACTTGAACTTGATGTTCTAGGACAAGGTGCAGATCCCGATTCGCAAGAACAGCAGAGACGACTTCAGCACGAGGTGGAGTTACTTGGACTCGATATTCTAGAAGAGTTCAACCAACCGCATTGATCCCGATGGTTTGTTATTCTCCTCGTGGAAAGAGCAGACAGGGAATCTTCAGGAACAACAGTCGAAGTGCGTGCTCTGCCTTTTCCCAGTGGCTGGCGCGGAAGGTTGGAGTTACTACACAGTGGAGCTGGTACAGTCCATTCAGCCACAATGTTGACCTGCTTGCAATGATCGGGAGAGGAAATCTATTTCACAAAGCAGTGAAACAAAACAAGGCTACATGGTGTCTGGCAAGCCACCCCATTGTCTGATGAGCGGCAGAATGAGATGGGGATAACAAATAACATGTAGATAGCCGTTCAGTCAAAGTCTATCAACATCCATTAGCAAATTTTGCTCCTGGCTTTTTCCATTTACTTGAATCCCCTTCACTGTGACCTAGTTCAATCCGCGAATACGGAGGAAATGCGCTCCAGACACTATTCGCCGTCGTTCAACATCGTCGTACATCATTGGCACCCTTAAAAGCGGCGTTTATTCCGCCTCACGGTTTACGCGTGAAGCGCGTCGACCTTTCTCATTTCATTGCTGCCAGAAGGACTCATGCGACCATTCGTTCAATCGCTCCATTGCCGAGACTTCCGACTACTAGAGAGTATCGCTCGCTCGCGGCCGTTCCTTATACCCTACAATCAGCATCGAGAAACTATCAAGCCGACCGGCAAGCCATGGCTCCCTACCCAAGGTCAGCGGAGAGGAGCAAAATCGGTGTCAAGGAAGAAGGTGAAGGAATTACAACAGGGTACGATCCAGGCTGAACCTCTCCCCGACCTGCCTGCCGATGATGAGCCCCAGTACCCGACGGTGCTCCAAGGCGCGAAATCCAACATGGCCAAATTTGACAACTGCGTCCTGCTCACGCGAGTCGGCAATTTCTACGAATTGTACTTCGAACAGGCGGAAGAATATGGGCCTCTCCTAAACCTCAAGGTCGGCCACAAGCAGACCAAGCTCGGTCCTGTTGCAATGGCGGGCTTCCCCTTTTTCCAGTTGGACAGGTTTTTGAAAATGCTTGTACAAGATCTCAACAAATACGTTGCCATATGCGAAGAATTCTTGGTCCAGGCCTCTGGCAAGGTCAAATCAGGTGGTCTCAAACACGACCGTCGTGTGACAAGAGTGATTACTCCGGGAACATTGATCGATGAGAAGTTCCTCGATCCATACGAGTACAATTTCCTACTATCTGTTCACCCGGAACCAATGGTCACCGACCCGAACAATGGTAGCATTCCGGAAGCTCCAAAGCCTGAACCTGAGCAGAAGATCGGTCTTGCTTGGCTGGATCTATCCACCGGTGACTTCTACACGCAGACCACTGGCCGTGGCTCATTGTCTTCGGCATTGACCAGAATCGATCCCCGGGAGATCATTCTGCCTTCTGACGTTTCTGAAGAAATTCACAATGAGGTGCAGAAAATCGTTGGTTATGATCATCGACTCCTGACAGTGCACGAGACGAAGGGTGTCTTTGTATCCATGACAGAGTGGAACGAGATGCTCGAGTCCCCCGTTCCTGAAAATTCAGACAGGGTCTTTAGCACAGCAGAAAAAAATGCTGGTCACTGGCTTCTGGACTATGTCCGCCAGCGGCTGCAGGGTTTGCAACTTCGGTTGCAGCCTCCACGTCAGAGGGAGCTCCAGGCCATTCTGAATATTGATCGCAATAGTCTAAGGGGCTTGGAGATTCTGGAAACCTCACGAGATGGTCTTGGGAAAGGCGGTTTGTTTCATGCCGTCAAGAGGACCTCAACTAAAAGCGGTGCTCGTCTTCTCCGAGACCGTCTCACATCGCCATCAGCGTCTCTGAGTGAGATCAATGACCGGCTTGACCTGGTGTCAGTGTTTGTTGAAAATGAGGAATTGACGGAATCTTTGATCTTTCGTCTTCGACGAACATTTGATGTCCAACGTATTGTTCAAAAGTTTGCCCTGAACAAAGGAGATGCTGATGACATGCTCTCGCTAGCGAGCGCCATCGCTGAAACCATTGCAACGAATGAGCTTTTGAGTTTATCGGAACGAGATTTGAAGATGGCGGAGACCCATGGGCTGAATCAAGCAAACGTGATACTTCCTCTGCAGAGGCTGTTACGACGTTTTGAGCTGCAAGGGCCGACTGAGCTTCAATCTCTGATTTCTTCGGCCATTGACGAGCAAGGCCTCATGCAGAAACACCGTCTTGAAGAAGACGAAGCGGCAAGTGTGGCAGCCATGGCACATGATGTCGTCCTACAAAGTGCTCCGGACGAAATGGAGTTGTTGCCCAAAGCTGCCAGAACACGGACCAAGTCAGAAGACCAGAAGAAAGACGAGATCGAACTCGAGGAGCCATGGATAATGCGTCGCAGTGCCAGCGAGGCGCTGCTACAGCTACACGAAGAGCTAGATTCACTGCAAAGAGAAAAAATCAGCCTAGCGAATAGACTGCGAAAGGAACTATCTGCGCCTAGTTTGATACTCAAGTCCACTCCGGGCCTGGGCCACATCTGCCATATCCGTAGCGCTACAGGATTTAATCGAGAGAAGCTGGAATCGCTTAATGCAAAAATGGTCTCGTCTTCGAAGAGTACTCGCTCCTTCTATCTGAGCGACTGGACACGGCTGGGCCGACGGATTGATCAAGCGGTTTTCAACATTCGGGACGAAGAAAAACGGATCTTTACCACGTTGAGGGAGCTTGTCATCAAGAACCTGGTCACCTTGAGGCGCAATGCGGCAGTCATCGACGAACTAGATGTTGCAAGCGGCTTTGCTCTCCTCGCGAAGGAGCAATCATGGGTTCGGCCCATCCTGAATAATGGTACCGAGCACAAAATTATCGGGGGCCGGCACCCTACCGTCAAAGAAGGACTGGAAGAGCAAGGCAGATCTTTTGTCAGCAACAATCTCATCCTTGACCACAACGAGCGCATGTGGCTAGTCACAGGGCCTAACATGGGGGGCAAGAGTACATTTCTCCGGCAGAATGCTCTGCTTACGATCCTTGCGCAGGCCGGCTCATATGTGCCAGCCGTCCACGCGGAGATTGGGCTTGTGGACCAGATCTTCAGCCGGATAGGCGCTGCGGATGATTTGTTTCGAGATCAGTCTACTTTCATGGTCGAGATGCTGGAGACTGCAGCCATTCTCAAACACGCCACTCCAAAGTCATTCGTGATCATGGACGAGGTAGGTCGAGGCACGACCCCTGATGATGGCACAGCCGTTGGGTATGCGAGTCTGCACCACCTTTATCATGTCAACAAATGCCGGACGCTTTTCGCGACCCATTTCCATGCACTCGCGGACATGACGCGGAGTTGGTCAAAATTGGGCTGTTACTGCACGGATGTGCTGGAGGACGAAAATGGCTCATTCATGTTTCTGCATCGGTTGAAGAAGGGTATCAACAAACACTCCCACGCATTGAAGGTTGCGAAATTGGCTGGACTGCCTCCAGCAGCGCTTAAAGTTGCAGAAGATGTTCTGCAACAGATTACGGCGGAGAAGAGTAAGAAAGAGGAACAAGGACCTCCATCAGAGGTAACAGGAGAAAGGGGAAAGGCATTGATGGGCGCAACCGGGTGACTACCGGTTTCGTCTCCTCATTCGTCTGGAAATCTCGGAGGCTGTTGAATCTCACCTGGTGCAGGTTTTGATGTTGCGACTGTGCCACAATTCTTACATGTCCGGGCAGCCATATCGTTCTCGAACGCCAGTACACCTTCCTTGATCTGCGTGCCCAGGTCTGTGAGGTGGAAGCTTGCCTCGTGGACAATGTTATGACAATTCTTACAATACCACCTCAGCGTATCAACCGAGTCCTCCGGCCGGGGCTGTTCTAGGACGACGCCCACGGTGTCCGCAAACCGGACAGGGTTATGAGGAGTGTTGGGAGGTAACAGGAACATCGAGTTCTCGTGAATGGGGATGTCGACGGGCGTGTGTGGTGTGGTTGATGTATCCATGGTCTTGAGCAGCATGGATCCTTTATGCTGGTAAAAGAACTCGGGTGTTGTATTGATGTGATAGTCTGTTCGCGCGTTTGGGCCTCCCACGACCATTACAGTCAGACCACCAGTGGAGGACGAGGGGGCATAGACACAATAGTTGTTGATAGGCGGTCTGAGCAGGTGCGAGTTGTCTTTGAGCCTGGAAGACTGGTCAGCGAGAACCTGTTCAACACAAACCCACTGAATGTTCTTGGTACCATTTAGGCAGATTCAACGCGCCAGCCATGGTGGATTGGCCTCTGGAGGAAAGTTGTATCAGTTTAGAGGGGGATGGACGCTGGCCCGACCGTGCAGCAGCAGCAACGAAGGGTCTGATTTGTGTACAGCTAACTGGAATGTATTTGTATGAACTCTTGACGACATTCATTGAGTGCGGTTGTGTTCCTGACTTACAAATGTAGCGAGCTGAAGAACGCGGCCCGCGACCATATGAGCTGCGGGAAGTCAAATGAAGATGATGGACGTCAGTCTCTCAAAAAGCGGCATGTGATGAACTGCAACTAATTCCGATGCGGAGAAAAATTTTGTGTGCGGAGAAAGCGAGATGGCACATGGTCGACTTTTCTCGTTGCCCTGAGCGCTGGCACAGACAGTTGCATGCACAAAAACATGATCTGACCTTCAATCTTTCTCTCCTCTCTATACCAAAATGTCGACCTCCCAAACCCCCCTCCGCTTCTCCTCCCACAAATCCCTCACCTCGCGCTTGATCCTCTCCACATTGCTCGGTCGCCCCATCCGTATCGATCAGATCCGCCCCAATTCACCCACCAACCCTGGCCTGGCGCCTCACGAGATCTCCTTCCTGAGACTTCTCGAAGCAGTCACCAATGGCGCTCACATTGAAATCTCATACACGGGCACGGTGCTGCTGTACAAGCCAGGATTGATCACCGGGTCGGCGCCGGGCAGTGGAGCGGACGGGGTGTCAGGAGTGTTGACGCACGAGATCCCGGCCACGAACACACGAGGACTGGCCTACTTTTTGATCCCAATGTGCTTACTTGCGCCGTTCAGCAAGGCCAAGTTCAACATCTTGTTCACTGGTCCCGGCGTGATCACCAGTTCTACCCCAGAGACTTGGGGGGATATGAGCGTGGATTCTGTCAGAACTGCGATTTTGCCTCTCTACGCGAAGTTTGGCATCGAGAGGGATATCGAGCTGAGGATTTTAAAACGATCTAATCCTGGGCCCAGGGGTCTGGGCGGAGCCGGGGAGGTACAGTTGGTGTTCGGCCACCAAGTGCGGCTGCCCAAGACTTTACATATGCTCAATCCAGGGAGAGTCAAGAAGATCAGAGGTGTGGCTTATTCGACAGGCGTGAGTGCGCAGAACAATGCAAGAATGATTGAAGCAGCAAGGGGCGTATTGAATCAATTCGCAGGGGACATTTACATCTTCTCGGACGTTAGCAGTGCTAGTCTAATGCCTGCACCCACAAAGGACAATCCAAGCGCCAAAAAGAAGGTCGGCCTCGGCTTTGGGCTCTCTCTCGTGGCGGAGACTTCAACAGGATGTCTGTATTCTGCAGATTCGGCGAGTCCGCCGGAGGGAGGTCAACCGCCGGAGGATATTGGACGGATGAGTGCATTCCAACTCCTCGAGAGCATTGAGAGAGGTGGCTGTGTGAGCCTGGAGGCTCTCGAGACAGTTTTCACCTTGATGACCATGGGATCTGAGGATGTTGGGAGAATCCAGGTGGGGCGAGATGTGATGGCGAACGAGCACACGATTCAACTAGCGAGAGATCTGAGTGCTTTCGGCTCTGCAGGGTGGGGAATAAGAGATGCTGAGGGTGAGAAGGGAGAAGGACAGCTCTGGGTCAGCATTGTGGGTAGGGGAGTTGGCAATGTCGGACGAAAAATTGGCTGAAAACGAGTCGACTCCATGGTCTACATACGATTGAACCTCGAACATTTTCAGCCCATGAGCTGTACGGCAGTCTCCGGGGAAGATCAGCCTCATTCGGCTTCGCGAACCGACAACTGCAACACAGATCCGTCGATCACAGTCAAATCGTGTCAGATTTCCTGCCATCAAGATCTGTCATGTCGGCACGGCGTTTGATAAGCACCTTGCTGACTAGAGGCAGAAGGATGCCAGTGACCGCATCCCGTCTAGATGCTCATGAATAGCAGTCATGGTTGGCAAATCACCGACAGTTGACGAGGCCGGCATCAGCACACGACAAATATGCCCAAGAATACGCCAGCGAAGGAAGTCTATTATCACATCTCGGCCAGCTGCCGGTGTTAATTTCGCGGCGATATTGGCGAGGCTCCGCTGGAGCAGCCAAGGAGAAGAAGGGATATCGGAAGGGATAACCGCGAGATCCTGTGACCCGGCATTCCCGGGACGCTCGGAAGTTTGGTGGGCAGGCTGGTGAGCTTGTGAAAGCTTCGGGGTCTTTTAGCTTTTGCATAACTAGACACTCGGGGTGTTGTGCATGAAATTTTAGAGAGTACGCCCATGCGATTGGAGCAATGAAAAGAAAAGAGAAGAGACCACTATCGAGTCTTTTGTCGATGGCCTGGCCAGGTACTATACCGAGTACGAGGTATACAAAGTAGAGAGTGGTAGAAGAGAGCGGGGCAGAAGCTGTGGGAATAAAAATCCACTGAATATGACGAAATCGCATCACCTTTTCCCCCCCTTCTGGGTACCCTCTGTCCCTCAGTCTCTTTCAAGCTTGATTGTGCAACTAATGCACGTACAAGTCACACCGGTGTTAAGCAAGAGCGAGACCCGACTTCGCCAACCGAGCCCGCGACGGACGAATCCCAAGGAACGAGCAGCTCAAGGGCCCAGGCAGGCTCTTACGACAAATGCCTCTTTGTGCAAGCCAAAAATGCATGGATGGAGCTGTCGGAACTCGGATAGCGTGCCTGATTACTTGATACGGGCAAGCCCCTGCCACCCCATGCTCCTTGTCAACGGTCCATTGGCTCGTTTCTATCGCTCTTTGTAGTCCAGGACGGAATCTGCTGACCTTGACGCCTGCGGGCAGCCAGTGAGCTCAGCTATTCTTCCAACCACGACAGTTCACTAAACCGCCGCTTGAAACTCTGGTCTCTGGGTCAGAGCCTCGGGGGTGCCCGGAATGGGCCTTGCCTTACTCATACGAGCTCCAGCGTGCAGCGTGTGAGGGACTGGAATGGGCGGCACTGGACAGCTTTTCCCTCTTCGAGAGGCGAGGCGAGGCGGTGGCTGGAATGTACCCTATGATGCCCTATCATTTGAGCTGGTACCCGGCTCGTCCGTCAGATGCCTGTCCCTTCCCCGGCCCATACATATGGCCTTCTGTCCCGCATTCTTGCGGCTCTCTTCCTGAATAGCTGACAATTTGCCTTCTGGATACCGTCTGCAACCGTGACGCAAAGCACAATACCGAGCGGACATCAGGATCAAAGCAGACGGCAATAAACGCACAGCCAAAGCAGGGGAATCGGCACCAAGACGGACAAAAGTCCTCGCAATGGGCGCAGGCGCATTCCTGGAGCCTCTGGCTGTTGTCGTCCTCCTCTTCGGTGGTGCGTGGATCAACCGTGCCCCAGATTCCTTTTCATCGTCGCGGAGCCCCCTCACTTTCTCGTTCGAAGAGGATGACACCGACGTCCCTGACCTCCCGCTCGCTCGCGCGGTCGACGGCGATGCAGACGCCGACGTCGAAAATCTACACATCTCTCGGTCGAAGCGATCTCTAAGCCCATCTCTATTGCCAAGTCAAGAGGACAAATGGCGGGAGCGGGAGCTGAAGATATCTGGGTTGGGCTACCGGAGGGTGATTCAGACACCAAATACAGCAGTGTTCAGGCATAGACTGCTGAGCAGAATATTGCACAAATTTCCGTTCTTGGTGGAGGCATGGTATTGGGCTCTGATATATTGGGTCAGTCAAAAATTACCCAGTGCAACTCCTGGCCCACATCATGGAAACTTCCGTCCTGACAGACTGATGGGAAATAGGTCTACCAACTCGGTCGCGCATTTACTGCCCTTACGTTGGTCGAAGGTACCGTCCACGTTGCGCGCCGACACGCGCTGCAAGTGATCGAACTCGAACAGCGACTGCACATCTTCTGGGAAATCCCCGTCCAGAACTTCTTCATGTCGTTTCCACGCTTGATGATGTGCATCAACTGGCTATACAGCTTCATCCACATCCCGGGCACCATCGCGTTCTTGGTGTGGCTGTACTACTATACAATCACGCGGAATCGGCTGATTCAACGCCGTGCAGCTTCACAGTCAGGTGAACAAGGGAGCGACATTGGACCGGCAGGATCGCCTTCAGGACCATGGCTCTACGAGGCCCGTAGACGAACCATGGCGGTCTGCAACCTGCTTGCATTCGTCGTTTTTACGCTCTGGCCATGTATGCCGCCTCGATTGCTGAGTGATCCGGAATACGATGGACCCCAGGCCGAAATCGCGAAGAGCTTCGGGTTTGTCGATACTGTGCATGGCAAAGAAGGCGCAAGCTCGGTGTGGACGCAGAACCGGTTCTGTAATCAATATGGTGGGTCAACAGTCCTCTTCTATGTGCCCTTGAATCAGCGAAGGGGCGTAGAGGCCTGAATGCAGTCAGTTGTAAGGTTGGTACGCTAACAGTTGGGTCTTGAATAGCGGCAATGCCCTCTCTGCACTTTGGCTACTCCCTCCTGATCGGCGTCACTATTATGACGATCCCACTTGCTCCCCAGCACTCGCAGCCAGGGAAGATGGTGCATCTTCCCTTCTTCAATAACTCCCACCCCCACCTCGCTCCTCATATCCGGCTGCCCAGCACGCGGCGCACGCTCTGCCTTGCCCTCGGCTTCCTGTATCCCTTCTCCATCCTGACGGCCATTGTGGCGACAGCGAACCACTTCATCCTCGACGCAGTTGCTGGCTCAATCGTATGCTTTCTGGGCTGGAAATTCAACGATGTACTCCTCAACCTGCTCGTGATTGAGGATTGGTTCCTCTGGTGCCTGAGAATCCACAAGCCTGTACAGGTGCCGCTGGAGACCGAAAGACTAGCCAAGGCATCGGGGTTGGGGCTCAAAGAGAAGGAAGGCTGGGAGCCGGAGAAGACCCCTGCGGTAGTGAATGCTGCCTGAGGTTGATTTCGTTTCCCGACCAGGGATTCGAATGGCTTGCAGCATTGACTGGGCGAAGGAACACAAGACTCACGACACTGGTCTGCAGGGCATCCGGCTTACTATCATGATCCGGCTAAAAAGGTTTCTGACCACAGCATTTGTTCGAGGACGCCTCTCTGGAAAGCAACCAACTGTCCATACCACTCAAGCTTGCCATTGAACGGACGTTTTTCAATCCTATTACTGGGTTGGCATTCCCTTTTACACGACTACGACAAACGGAGCGCTGGTCTTATTGAATAATGCTATATCGAGCGATTGATGGATTGGGTAGATATAAATTTGTCTTCTTATTACGAGATGTTGGACGATGTTACGATCTGACGATGCAGGGGGGGCAGACGGTCCTGTATTCTGTGTTCTGCATGCTGCATACCAAGTGTTGCAGCCGTTGGATTGGATAATATGGATGAGGGACGAAACGAAATGAAGGAGGTGTCTAGTGGGATGTGGACCTGGCTATTCTCCACTACGGTCAAGGTCTGTACCGTGTATCTGCCAGGTATTGATGAGTCCCTATCTCACAGATGCCCTGCGTAGATACCAGACTACGTGGATGAGAAGATGGGGTTCGAGAGCAAGAGATGTACTTACATGGGCATGTAATGTTTAATGAACGTCCATGTCAGTATGCAGAATTCCTGGCCTCAGTGGAGAGGATCCCAACCCGACGGTCTGATCCTGTTTCATTGTGTCTTCACTGTTCCTGAGGAAAAGAATAATTGTCTAGGATAGCAGCATTGCTGACGTGCAATGGAAGGAAGGGCTTTGATGGACGGAGAAGGTCTCTGATGTACCTATCTGCTAGCACCGACAACTCTTTCGCTGACCCAAGATGAGCTACTCCAACGTCTGAGATAGCAAAATGATTTTGTCTAAGCAAGGTCATTGTGTACCTTATGATTACCATGTTCAGCACTCAGATGTCGGTAAGCAAATACACTGAAGTGAGAGATGGCCATCAAAAAGCGGCAACGTCCGACTATCGATACGCGAGTCGAGTCATGTGCTTCACCGTACTTCTTGCAATCAGCCTTGTACCTCACCGTAATCGCCGTTCGTCGTGTTCTCGTCAGCGTCGCCGTTCATTATTTCCAAGGCTTTAACTTGGTTGCTGCTCAAATTCATCTTATGTTGGTGCTGATGACATACAAGAATCCATCAAAAAGATCTCAAAATATATATTCAGACAATGACCAGGTGAGCCAGAGCTGATCTCACCGGTGTCCCAAGGGATACCTTCCGAGTTGGTCCTGGGCCGATATCGATCTCTGATCTGAAGCACCGTTGCGCATTTGCCACCAGTCACCCGCGGGTGTGATCTTTCATCCCAGCCACTTCCTTTTGCATGGACAAGGGAATGAATGAGCTGAAATGTGTAATTGATCACCATCTTGTGAACCTCTTTTGATTCACCTCGCGACAACAATACCATCAGTACCAGCAAAACTCCCTCCAGGCCTCATACCGGACGCTTTGGGGAGGCAGTCCCAACCCTGCCTGTGTCTGACGCGGACATTGACCTCGTTTCCCCGCCCCATTCTATCGGAGCTTGAACGTCAGAGACCGGCAATCACAAAAGCAGATTTTGCTGCAGAAGAAGTCAGGTAAGCAGCCTTTATTGTTACCCTCTCAGGTTCGGATCGTGTCTTGAAGAGAGCAAAGAAAATCAGAAGGAGAAATCCTTTGCGTGGGTTGCCTGGCCGGGTTCAGGACATTGGCAATCGCCAGCCCGAGCTCATTTTCCACAGGGCAGCTTCCCCCAAGGGGCTTGGCGACCGGCGGTCCTGTGATTGGCTGCCGATCCGTTGCAGTGGCTTTTCTCTCTGCATTGCTTTGGGGCATTTCAATTCCCTTTCCCATCAGTGTCGCAGTCGCAGTCTTCACTTCTCATCCCATCGCGACCACTTGCATACCACCATCCACCCTTTGTCGCATCGATATCATCGTCGTCATCATCCATTCATCCAGAGTCGCTTGGTGTGTGGTTCTCCTCTTGTTTGCTGTTGTCGGGTGGCCGATCTGGTTCAATCCGGGGTTTGCAGGAGCTACTTTTGCTGTCGCGTCCCTCGCACTCCCAGCGCACGACCACCCGCGCCTTGATTTCACAAGGCTGACCGATCTTGCCCTCACTGATATCTGTTCAAGGACATCATTACTGATACCTTTGCCGGACAGATTCAACAACTTGCTCTCCTGCGCCCCTCACTCACGCGTCTCTTTCCTCGGCCCTCTTCACCCACTTCGGTCCACCATGGCTTCTGAGGAGTCGGCTCCCACCACAGAGGTCCCTGTGAAGGTGCCACAACCTGCCGATGGCGCTCCTCCGCCTTTAGCTCAGCCTGCCTCGGGGACAGTTGCGGAGATGTCGGGAGCTGTTCCCGCCGAGAAATCTACCGCGACCGAACCATCTCAAAGCACAGGTACTCCTGATGCATTCACTGTGCAGAGCATATGCTAATCTTCATTCACAGATGCTGCAACGGCGAATGGACCTGTCGAGACCGTATCAGAACAAGCTAAGGAACCGGAAAAGCCCGCGACTGAATCTGAAGCTGCGCCAGCTGTTGAGGATATGGAGAAGAAAGAGACGGATGACGCAGCGACTGCTCAACCGGAGACCAACGGGACAGCCTCTGCCGACAAGAAGTCCTCGAGAAGAAAGTCATCTGCCGCGGAGTCCAAGAGCAAGAAGCCCAATAAGAGGAAATCCATGTCTAAAATCACTCACGTTGATGCCGAACCGGGCGACTACTATCTGGCCAGGCTCAAAGGGTTTCCCCCTTGGCCATCAATCATCGCGGATGAAGAGATGCTTCCTGAAATGATGATCAACACCAGGCCCGTCACCACCAAGAAGTCCGATGGAACCTATAACGAAGCCTACGCAGATGGCGGTAAGAAAGTGGATGAACGAACATTCCCAATCATGTTCCTCGGCACAAATGAATTGTAATGCCCCCTCCTTATGTCCCTATTTTTGCGGTGAAGCTAACGGCAAATAGCATGTGGATTCACAATAAGGACCTTACTCCATTGACGCCCGATGAGTGCAAGGACGTCCAAGAAAAGGGCAAAAGCAAACCCCTGCTTGCCGCATACAAGGTTGCGGCTGAAGGTCACGACTTGCAATTCTTCAAGAACATGCTTGACGAGCATGCTGCAGCTTTGCAGTATGAATTCGATATGAAGGAGGCCCGAGAAGCTGAAAAGGCCGCCAAAACTGACAAGAAGAAGCGCAAGAGCGAGGCCAAAGTTGAAACCGAGGACGTAGAGATGGAAGACGCTGATGTCGATGTCGAGCCCAAGAAGTCGTCGAAAAAGCGCAAGAAGGAAGTCGACGAAGAGGAAGACGAAGACGAGAAGGTGAGTTATAGGGGCATTCGTCAACATTGGCGGTCAAGTTCTGACTCAGTGTAGCCAGCAAAGACCCCCAAGACCACGAAGATCAAGTTGACTACCAACAAGACTCCTAAGACTGAAGAGAAGAAGCCTAAGGAGAGGGCAACCAAGGCGAGATCGGAAAAGAGAAAGTCCCGCGCCGCCCAAGAGGACGACGAAATGGCGGATGTAGCCGAACCGGAACCAGAGGAGAAGCCTTTGGACCCAGTTGAGGCACGCAAGACTCGCGAGAAAGAAGGTGAGAATTCGGCAACACCATTCAATGCGCATCCGCTAACGGAGCACAGTCCTATTTCTCCGCCACAAGCTACAAAAAGGGTTCTTGTCCAGAGATCAAGCTCCTCAAGAAGACGAGATGGCGACGATGGCTACATACATCAAGAAGCTCGAAGCCTACGCGGACATCGAAGTTAGCATCATTCGAAGCACCAAGATCAACAAGGTCTTGAAAGGTATTATCAAGCTCAATACCATCCCCAAGGACGAAGAGTACCAGTTCCGAAAGCGCTCTGTGGATCTTTTGAGCCAGTGGAACAAGATGCTTGGTGCGGAACCTGCCGACGGCGATGCTGCCGGTGACAAGGAGACTGCTACGAACGGGGTCCATGATGAAAAATCCGAAGAAGCTCCAGAAGAAGAGAAGAAGGAAGAGTCTTCTGCTCCTCCTGAAAAGCCCACGGAGGCGGCCGAGGAGAAGGCCACGGCTGCACCTGAGGCGGAGAAACCTGCAGCGGACGCAGAGCCAAAGCCAGCCGAGGCCGAGGCCGAAGAGCCAGCAAAGACTGAAGCGGCGGTGCCGGCGGTGCCTGCAGTGCCTGAAACCGTGGAAAAGGCTCCAGAGTCAGCAACGGCTGCTACCGAAGCTGCGGACGTTGTCAAAGCGGCTGAGTGATTGTGCACACAAGACCTGCAATGCGTCGGTCTTCGAGGGAGAGGCATCATTGACGCACTTGCGATGTGCAATGTTTCTTGGGCGTCCAAGGGAGTTTTGGTTGGGATCGTCTGTCATCACTCCTGACGGATCCTCCTGGTCATATATTGAAGGACGCTCGTGTGTTGGTGACGGAGGGCCTAGAGATGTCCTCGACATTGAAACGACACAGGTTGAGCAGGGTTGGCAATGATCGAAACGGAGTCTTCACGCACATTGTCACGCTTCACGTCTCCGGAGGTCTGGGGAGAGGAACAAATGAGAGTTCAACAACCATGATTGGCCGTCTCTTGTACTTTTTGACTTCTTTACTCGTCTTGTATTCAGTCAGTTCATTTAGGAAAGAAAGACAGTGTGCTGAGAGGGTTGGCCAATGTAGCTAGGACACGAAAAGAAAATGCGATATATTACAAGTACAAAAGTCCGAAGCAGATACGGTACGAGACTTGTCACGGTTCCATCATATTTGTCCCCCCATGATTCGGGCCAGGAGGCACAATAGTGTGAGGACGCTTCATCCTCGTCATCCGTCCGAACAGTTGAAAACCTCATATATACCGTATGGATGAGCTTTATATATACCATGGCTGGGTCTTAAAAATCTCAAGCCCCTTAACCGAAACGATCACCATGGTACGTGGAAGCGTCTGCCGAGTGCGCACTGGAGGTAGGGTTGCACCACATATTACAGTACGAGGTAAATAGTCGATGCAGAAAAGCCCGACAAGCCTTACAATCGATCTCAACGGCTGGATCAATCGCACATGATGAGTGAGCCTTGCTCGCGTGGCCGTCAAGCTGATCGGACCGCCAGAGGCCGCGGAGGATCTATATAACAGTGGAGGCCGGTAGGTAGCTCAGTAGGTAGGTAGGGTTGGTAAGGAGAGACATCACAACTCGATTGTGAGTTATGGAGTATATCAGAGCCTACCACTTCGCCCCACGCCACGTCACGCCACGGATGGAGAGAACAGGCAGACAGGCAGACATATAGAAAGATGGACAGACAGACACCCAATGTACAGATCAGATCCCATTCGCTATTCCAGGCTGGCTGGCTGTGCTGCTCGGGGCCTTCTGAGAACTTTTCCAGTAGTAGAAGCGAAAAGAAGTAGTAATGTGTGCACAAACCACCCGATCAACGACACATCGGTGATCATAGGCACGGAGAGAAGGGTCAAAATAGCTAATATCAAAACGCCCCTATGGTCCTCACAACTCGCCATCGCCCTCTGAGCCACCGGTTTCGTCGTCCTCAGGTAACTCGCTCAGACATGTATCGATCAACGTCATCAACTCATCCACGTCCGGCCGCTCCGCCGGTTCCACTTGTAGACACCTCCTCACGACCTCTCTGGCGGCGGGGTGAGGGTATATCCTCCCGCCAGACGCTGGCGTGGCCGGATCGAGGGGCCTATTGGCGTCGCCATTTGCCGCCGTTGCGCCGCTTTGCGACGATACCGTGTTTGACCGTGCCGGTGCGGATCCGACTTTGTTCTTGCCCTTCGAAAGGTTTCCCTCGTCAGGCCACCTCCAATCTCCGCCCAACACGCAAATGCTGAGACTGCCGCCGGTCTCGTCGCTTCTGGCTTCAAAGGGCGATTTCCCCACAAGACAAGCGTACATCGTGCACCCGAGACTCCAGATGTCGACTTTCGTGTCGATAACGGAGCCGGTCTTCACGTCGAAGAGTTCGGGGGCGCGGTACGGCATGGTACTGTGTTCAGCCGCTGTATCTTGCACGGCAATGGCGAGGGACCGGGACGTAATAGGTGTTGGACTCGGAGCAAGGGATCCTAGGTCCATCAGAATCGGGGTGCGGCCGTCATCGTCAATCATGATGTTGCCAGGTTTGATGTCGCGGTGAGCATAGGCCCGCGTGTCACCAGGATTTTTGCCTTCTTGCGCACGAGTAACTTCGTCGGAGGGCATGAGCGGTTCTTCCTGTTCCTCGGCCAAGTCTTCGTCGTTTTCCTGCGACGCCGTCATTGTTCTTTTGTTGGCGCGAGCTTTCCGCTTGGCAGCGTCGGCATCTTCACTGGCGGCTTCGTTGCGGATCGACTGGGCGGCGGACCGTGATGGTGTGTTCCTAATGCGATATTGATGCATGGCTTTCAGTGCTTTGCAGACTCCGAGCATCAATTGCATGAGCCGTCTCTCGCCGAAGCGGGTGTGGTTGACCAAGTTCGCGTTGATCATGTCTTGCAGATTCCCTCTCCGGTAATACGGTAAGAGGATGTAGACGGTTTTGCTAGCCCCGTTGGCCGCATCGGTCCCGATCCCAGAGACTTTCGTTGTCGAATCGGTCTGCACCGCATGATCAACAGCGTGGATTATATTGGGATGCGGCGCAAACAGCGTATATGCCTCGACTTCCTTCAGAGCTTGGGAGACTGATTCTTGCCCGAACGGACAGCGGATCTTCTTGAGTGCGTAGAGCGCGGAGTCGGACGTGTCTTGGACGAGGTAGACGTAGGAGAAGCCACCCTATACAGAGAAAAGAACGGGTCAGCACTTTGGAGGTCTGATGGATCCAGGTTCTCGAAGGCACCAACCTCGCCCAGCAGCCGTAGCATACGAAAGCTTCTGTTGTTGATCTTTAACTGCGGACTGCTCGGAAAACAGCATATGCAGCTGGATAAAGAATAGAATATGTCTAGGAATGTGTTCGCCATGATGAGCAGCTGAGGAACAAAACGGGCGTAAGCCGACCGGTCAGTCAGGAGGATGTTGGGAGCCTATCGCACAGGCCACAACGGCCACGATAAACGTCAAGGTGAATTCGCACTTCTCGAGCAGGAACCAGGCTGGAAGACGATCAGGCAGGAGACCTGGCAGTGAAACTTGCGTACGTTTGGTGTTCAGTCTGTCGCATTTCATTCTAGAGTCCAAGGAACAGGCAAAGGTGTACTACTCCGTAATAATATGCATTGGACGCCGCATCCGCATGTGGAATGACCCGCGTGATGATGGCATGTGATCCACCGTACCTGGCTGCTACTATATACGGCGGAGGATGTGTTTGTCTGTCAGCCTTGTGGACGTCTCCCCTGTTTCGGATATTTTGGGCCCTTTTATTGTGGAGATCTGGAACGCATCAATGCGAGACATTTGGATTACGACAGTGCTTATACAATGTCAACTGTTCTAGGACCTCTCGATGTTGCAATCAGTGGAATATACCACTATCCTCCGCAAAGGTGATCCGTAGACAACGGGATACTGAAATATGCTGTTGGATGGAGGAAGGCAGCCATACGAACGGGGACCACAAGCATTGTGGCCGTTGGCAGAGACGGAGGGGGCATCCACGCCGTACCAAATCTAAGGTACTAGTGTCCCTCGTTGCGACTCGCTTTCGGAGCCTAGCGGTTTGTCAACGTTGGACACCGCTTCACCTGGTTAGAAGGCTAAAATCGATAAAATCGCTAGAATTTGTTGGCAGTGCTTCGGTCCTTGCCATTTCAGCTCGTTCTCGGCAAATAGGGCCAGTCCTACGCCGTGCAATGCCAGAAAACATTCATATACCTTTGCCTCAAGTCCACCGTCTTCTACGTCCGTACAAAAGCTCCTGAGCTGGCTATTAGACCGACGACCGGACATCCTACTCCACAAATAAATGCATGCCCACACGAAGACACTGAGTAAATCGAGCAACACCTCCGCTCTTGGCGAGCGCGAGATTCTTCTGTCACCGCGGTACACATATTCTCGGAAAAGCTCTCTGCCACAATCCCTCCTGTTCATCCCGTCACCATTCGACTTGTCACGAACTTGCTCACCGTTGGCGTTGGAGGCTCCCTAGCGTATACAATCATAACAAGAAATTCCACAAGAGACTCTCAACTTTTAGATCAGCAAGGCAAGAACTACCCGGCTTGGCCACAGATAGTATGGATGCAGCCAACGATCGTCCTATTGACCGCCGCTGGTATTTCTTGTCTGCTTGACTTGGCTGCATTGACCATGGCGTGTGCAGAGGTTGGATCCTCTGCCCGTCGTTGCTATGTTCCGTTGACAGGTCTCAGGTGCATCGCAGTGAGTTGTGGACAATCTGGCTGAAATCATCAGTTTTCACCGTCTGTATCTCATTCTGGATTTGCGGCATTGGTCTTTGCCAAAACATGGAACAATCGAGACTCCTCGTCGTCAGATCTGTGGTCTTGGTCTTGCGATAATCAAAGTGTCGACGTGAATTATGAAAATGACAGTCGTGAATTTGGGCCACTATGCCGATATATGGTAAGAATCACGGCTCTCTCAGATTACACACATAAAGTGACGCGCACCAAGAACTTTGTCTTCTGCGGAGGCATCGTAGTTTGCGCGCTGCAGTCCGTCAACTTCGTGGTATTCTGGATTATCCGAAACGGGAAAGAGCTCGGAAGATGTTCGCAAAGCGTAATGAGTATGCTAGAATGTACATTTTGGGGAGCCAGGGCACGCCTGAACAAGATCAATAACTATAATCGAGAACCACCATAACCTTGGAGCATGGTGCAAACGCTTGCTTTTGGAGATATATTTGCCCATAGAGACGGTATCTCCGTCAGGCGAAAGAGACTGGCAAGGTGCTGCGTGGTCGACCGGTAATTCGTGCCTCGACGGCGAACGCGATATTCATGCCGACATCTTGTTGCCATTGGGAGCAGCAAGATGACTTTCCTGGAAACGGGGAGAGATGGGAACGCATCAGGGGTTACAGCCTTTTTGAAGCTGTTGTCAATATTGAGTCGTGGGGAAGGTTTGCCGATGACTATGCCAAGATTGGAGACATGGAAACTTTTCTGAGTAGTTGAGGTCGCCATCGTATAGGCAGACACTCCTGCTGCCTGGCAAAAGTCTCTGAGTAACGAATAGTTAAGAAGCGCAGATCCTTTCATACCTGCCCATGGCCACCACTAGGTATCGTTTTCCTCAGTAACGGCTGGGACGAACTCCTCTGCATATCCTCTCCAGCGTCTGGAGCCCGCTTCGCATCTATCGCAACCCCTCAATCGGACCATAACGTTGCAATCCTTGGGCCGGCAAAATGGCAGACCCTAACAATGTGTCGCAATACAAATACTCGGCGATGTCGAACCTGGTTCTCCAGGCCGACCGTCGTTTTATCTCCCGCCGCACGGATGAGAATACCGGCGACCCCGAGTCTCTGGCTGGGAGACTGAACATCCGTGACATGGGTTCGCGGGTCGCTCGAGATCAGGTGCCGAAGCAGAAAAAGATTGCGCCAGGGTTACAAGGTGTCGAACGAGGCTCGATACGGGAGGGTGAAGATGTCTTGGAGCGAGAGCAGAGGAAGCGGAAGAGGGGTGAGCCTGCCCAACCTCGAGGTGCCGGCGTCCTGTCTGCTGGCGATGCATTGATCGAAGGGCTCAAGTATCGTCCTAGGACCCCCGCCACCCGGGCGACTTACGATTTACTGCTCACCGTGACTGCAAATGCACTTGGAGATGTCTCACAGGAAATCGTCCGAAGCGCAGCCGATGCCATCCTCGAGTATCTGAAAGACGAAAATATGAAAGACCTCGACAAAAAGAAAGAGATCGATGACATCGTTGGGATTACAATGACCCCGAAGCAATTCAATGAGTTGGTTAATCTTGGCAAAAAAATAACAGATTATGATGCGCAAGACGAGGACGACAATATGGCAGACGGTGCCGGAGCCGACGAAGCCGAACTTGACGAACGCCAGGGCGTCGCAGTCGTCTTTGACGAGGATGAAGATGTAGATGAAGACGGCATTGGGCGGACATACGAAGTTCGAGACGAAGATGACGAGGACTCTGATGAAGAGGCCGACATCCAGGACCAGCCAAGTCTTGAAGAATCCGCGTCAGCTGGCGGAGCAGCCGCCCCCGATCTTGACGCGGACGAAGATGAGGACGCCGAGCTGATCATAGACAGCGGCCTTGGTGACTCGGTTCGGAGAAAGCGAGAAGACTCCGACTTTATTCCCATCGACGAAATCGATGCTTATTGGCTTCAACGGCAGATCGGCTCGGTGTATTCTGACGCAGTGATTCAGCAGCAGAAAACTCGAGATGCACTCCAGATCCTGTCTGGCAAGTCTCTTGAGGGTGAAGAAATATCCCTTCGCGACATCGAAAATGACTTGATGGACTTGTTTGATTATGAACATCCTGACATGGTGGGGAAATTCGTTGCCAACAGAGATAGGATTGTGTGGGCGACTAGGTGGCGCAGAGCCGCAGAGGATGACGACGCTCGACACCTCGTGGAGAGCGAAATGGTCGAGGCAGGTCATCGAGCCATTTTGGACGAACTGTTAGGCAAATCAGATCGGAGTGGAGAGGAGCCAAGACCGGCGAAGAAGATGAAGCTGGATCTGATGGACATCGACATTCCCAAAGGACAGGAAGAGCAAGAAAAGAAAAAGGACGGTGGTCTTTCTGGTGGCCTACAACCACAACGCGTCATCAATCTTGACAACCTCGTCTTCGAGCAGGGAAATCATCTTATGACGAATCCGAAGGTCGTTCTTCCACAAGGCTCCACGAAGCGAACGTTCAAGGGCTATGAAGAAATCCATGTGCCGCCCCCCAAACCAAAACGAGACCCTGGCGAGAAGAATATTCCTACCACCGAGCTTCCTGATTGGGCAAGGCAAGGCTTTGGTTCTGCGAAGGAGCTGAATCGGATTCAGTCGAAATGCTTCCCCTCTGCTTTCCATGATGATGGCAACATGCTCATTTGTGCCCCGACGGGATCCGGCAAGACGAATGTTGCGATGCTGACGATTCTGCGTGAGATTGGCAAGCATAGAAATCCAGACACAGGCGAGATCATGTTGGACGACTTTAAGATCATCTACATTGCGCCTTTGAAGGCTTTGGTGCAGGAACAAGTAGGCAATTTCGGGAAGCGACTTGAGGTGTATGGGATCCGGGTCTCTGAGCTCACGGGAGATCGGCAGCTCACAAAACAACAAATTGCGGACACTCAGGTCATTGTAACAACACCAGAAAAGTGGGATGTCATAACACGAAAAGCAACTGATCAAAGCTACACTCGACTGGTTCGGCTCATCGTCATCGACGAAATCCATCTCCTGCACGACGACCGGGGCCCAGTCATCGAAAGTATCGTCAGTCGGACTATCCGGAAGATTGAACAGACTGGTGAACCTGTGCGGATTGTGGGCCTGAGTGCAACGCTTCCCAATTATCGAGATGTGGCCACTTTTTTGCGAGTCGACCCTGAAAAGGGTCTTTTCCACTTCGATGGATCCTTCAGACCCTGCCCTCTTCGGCAGGAATTTATTGGCGTGACCGACAAGAAAGCCATCAAGCAACTCAAGACGATGAACGATATCTGCTACGCCAAAGCCATCGAGCATGCAGGGACCAATCAACAACAAATGTTGATCTTTGTTCACTCTCGCAAGGAAACTGCCAAAACCGCCAAATATATCCGTGACAAGGCTGTTGAGCTGGAAACAATTGGCCAGATCATGCGAACTGATGCAGCTAGCAGATCCGTCCTGCAGGAGGAAGCTGAAGCAGTTAACGATGCCAACCTGAAAGACCTGTTGCCCTATGGGTTCGGAATCCATCATGCTGGAATGGGAGTTGCTGATAGGACATCCGTCCAGGATCTGTTCGCCGATGGCTATCTCAGAGTCCTGGTCTGTACCGCAACCCTTGCTTGGGGTGTCAACTTGCCTGCCCACACGGTCGTCATTAAAGGTACTCAGGTTTACTCCCCTGAAAAGGGAAGCTGGGTCGAATTGAGTCCACAAGATGTCCTCCAGATGCTTGGTCGGGCGGGTCGTCCACAGTTTGACTCATATGGTGAAGGGATCATCATCACATCTCAGGCAGAGATTCAGTACTACCTATCATTGATGAACCAGCAATTGCCTATTGAGAGCCAATTGATGGGCAAACTTGCCGACAACCTCAACGCAGAAATCGTCCTCGGAAACATCCGCACCCGCGACGAGGGGGTTGAATGGCTCGGCTACACTTATCTATTCGTTCGAATGATACGCTCACCAGGCCTCTACAGTGTAGGTGCAGACTACGGCGATGATGAGGCCTTGGAACAAAAGCGTGTTGACCTCATCCATTCCGCTGCCATTGTTCTTGAGAAGGCAGGACTTGTCAAGTACGAGAAAAAGACCGGAAAGCTGCAAGCTACCGACCTCGGCCGTATTGCTTCGCACTACTACATAACACATAATTCGATGCTGACCTACAACCACCATCTCCAACCGTCTATTGGCACAATCGAGCTCTTCCGAATTTTTGCTCTCAGTGATGAATTCAAATACATCCCTGTCCGACAAGACGAGAAGCTCGAGTTGGCGAAGCTGCTGGGCAGAGTACCGATTCCTGTCAAGGAAGGGATGGATGAGCCTCAAGCTAAAATCAACGTACTTCTACAGGCATTTATCTCTCGACTAAAGCTGGAGGGGTTGGCGTTGATGGCTGATCTAGTCTACGTCACACAATCAGCAGGGCGAATCATCAGAGCAATGTTCGAAATATGTATGAAAAAGGGCTGGGCTGGGGTGGCAAAGACTGCTTTGGATCTCTGCAAAATGGCCGAGAAGCGAATGTGGCCTACGATGACTCCATTAAGGCAATTCCCAATGTGTCCCAGAGAATACATTCAGAAAGCAGAGCGTATGGAAGTCCCCTGGTCCAGCTATTTCGACCTTGATCCGCCCCGCATGGGGGAGCTGATTGGTCTTCCAAAAGCTGGACGAGTTGTGTGCGACCTTGTTGCCAAATTTCCACGGTTAGAGGTTCAAGCGCAAGTGCAGCCGATTACCAGATCGCTGCTCCGTGTCGAGCTCACTATTACTCCCAACTTTGTATGGGATGAAGCACTGCATGGAACTGCTGAGTCGTTCTGGATCGTTGTGGAAGACTGTGACGGGGAGGAAATCTTGTTCCACGACCAATTCATCCTACGCCGGGAGTATGCGGAGGGTGACATGTCAGAACACTTGGTCGACTTCACTGTTCCTATCAGCGAACCTATTCCACCCAATTACTTCATTTCACTGATATCGGATCGATGGATGCACTCTGAGACTCGAATCCCCGTCTCGTTCCAGAAGTTGATCCTACCTGAGAGATTTCCTCCTCACACCCCACTTCTAGACCTGCAGCCTGTGCCTGTCCAGGCATTGAAGGTCAAAGACTACGTCGGGCTTTATCCCAAGTGGGACCGGTTTAATAAGATCCAAACTCAAGTCTTCAAATCCCTGTACGACAGCAATGACAGCGTCTTTGTGGGAGCACCAACGGGAAGCGGAAAGACGGTATGTGCCGAATTCGCTCTTCTACGACATTGGAAGAACCTGGACGCCGGCAAAGCAGTTTACGTCGCTCCCTTCCAAGAGCTGGTCGATGCCCGTTATGCTGACTGGAACGAACGATTGAGCCCTCTCGGTGGCGGAAAGAGCATCTCAACTCTGACGGGTGAAATCACGGCGGATCTGCGAATCTTGGAAAGATCTGACCTCGTTTTAGCGACTCCTACTCAATGGGATGTCTTGTCCAGACAATGGCAGCGCCGAAAGAACGTGCAGAACGTTGAGTTATTCATTGCCGACGAACTTCATATGATTGGTGGCGAAAATGGCGCCGTCTATGAAGTTGTGGTTTCCAGGATGCAGTACATTCATATCCAGCTGGAGAACAATATGAGGATTGTTGGCTTGAGCGTACCGCTATCCAACGCGCGGGACGTGGGTGAGTGGCTTGGTGCCAATAAACATACAATCTACAACTTCAGCCCCATGACACGACCAATCGGTTTGCAGTTGCACATCCAGTCATTCACTATCCCCCATTTCCCGTCTCTGATGATGGCAATGGCCCGTCCAACATACCAATCTATTGTGCAGCTATCTCCAGACAAGCCGGCCATCGTCTTCGTTCCTGGAAGGAAACAAGTTCGGGCTACGGCTCTTGACATTTTGCTAGCATGTATCATGGACGATGACGATGAAAGATTCCTACACACTGATGTGAATGAACTCAAACCTTTCCTGGAGCGAATTAATGAACGAGCATTGGCGGAGTCCTTGACACATGGCATTGGGTACTATCATGAGGCGCTATCGACCAGTGACAAGAGAATTGTCTCTCACCTGTTCAAGATTGGCGCTATACAAGTGATGCTTGCCTCCCGCGAAGTGTGTTGGGAAATTCCTTTCACAGCCCACCTTGTCATCATTATGGGCACGCAATACTTTTTGGGTCGCGAACACCGCTATGTTGATTATCAGATCAGCGAGATCCTGCAGATGTTTGGTCGGGCGTGCCGGCCTAGTGAAGACGATATCGGCAAGGGCGTGCTCATGGTGTCGGCCGTGAAGCGCGAATACTACAAAAAGTTCCTCAACGAGGCATTGCCCATAGAAAGCCACCTGCAGCTCTGGCTCCATGACGCATTCGTCACCGAGATCAGCACGAAGACAATCGCATCCACGCAAGACGCAGTCGATTGGACCACATACACATACTTCTACCGTCGTCTTCTGGCGAATCCGAGCTACTACGGCCTTAACGACACGTCCCACGATGGCCTTAGCACGCACCTTTCGGAGCTTGTTGAAGCCACGTTGAAGGAACTCTCTGAAGCCAAGATCATCGACCTGGACGAAGAAGACGATTCTGTGTCCCCATTGAACCCAGCCATGATTGCCGCGTACTATAACATCTCCTTCATTACTATGCAGACCTTCCTGCTTTCTCTGACAGCTCGCACAAAACTCAAGGGCCTCCTCGAAATTGTCACGTCTGCCACGGAGTTTGAGTCTATCCAACTCCGCCGCCATGAAGACCACATCCTCCGCCGCATCTACGATCGCGTCCCGGTAAAAATGTCTGAGCCGATCTACGATTCTCCACACTTCAAAGCCATGGTACTATTACAGGCACATTTTTCAAGAATGCAATTACCCATCGACCTCGCCAAAGATCAAGAAGTCATAGTCTCAAAAACCCTCGCGTTACTCTCCGCTTGTGTTGATGTGCTGAGTTCGGAGGGCCATCTCAACGCTATGAACGCCATGGAAATGTCACAGATGGTTGTGCAGGCCATGTGGGACCGCGACTCCCCGCTACTGCAGATCCCACACTTCGACTCTCATATTGTGGACGTCCTCGCCAAGCAGGGTATAAAGGATATCGACGATTTCATGACAGCAATGGATCCCTCGGAGAATCCTGATCAGGCGAAGCTCGTGCAGATGATGGGACTGAGCAATCGACAACTTGTGGAGGCGGCAAACTTCACGAACAACAAATATCCCAGCCTCGAACTAGAGTTTGATGTCGAGAATAAGGAGGAAGTTACTGCAGGCCAGCCGGCCTATCTGTCTATCCGGATCTCGAGGGAAGCAGATGACGAAGACGAAGACGAGGATGAGGAAGGCAAAGGCGGTGCTGAACAGGAGATTGATATCACAGTCCATGCTCCCTTCTATCCGCTCCGTAAGCTCGAAAACTGGTGGCTCGTTGTGGCCGAAGAGAAGACAAAGTCCCTCCTGGCCATCAAGCGCGTCACGATCGCGAGGAAGCATTTTGGCACCAAATTGGAGTATGTCGTTCCGACCGCCGGCAAGAAGGACCTGACCTTGTTCCTCATGTGCGACTCCTACGTCGGAGTCGACCAGAGCATGGCGTTCAGTGTGGATGTCAAGGAGGGAGAGGAGGACGAGGAGGACGAGGAAGAAGACGAAGATGAGGAAATGCAGGATGGTGGAGAGTAAATATGTACGTCCTCATGAGGCCGAAAAGAGGTTTCTGAGAGCACAATACGAGATACTTAACACTGTGAAAGCACGGCAAGTGGTAAATTTGGTGGATCGATAACATTGATTTATTGTGGCTTGTGGATGTTAAATGGGTTTACGCCCCTTCAGCTGGCTGAGCTCTCCTCAAAGGCTTTCAAAAGGATAGGGAAACATAACAAAGAATAAGGCAAAGTGTCATTTTACCGATGTCCGACACATCTATTTGGATCTGTGCTATCTTACATTTCTCCTGCACCGACTAGATGGCTGCCTCGTCCCCACTTGCCAGACTGCCTCTCGTCAGAACGAATCTCGATCAATGTCTTCAGCCAATAGTAAATCTCCCCACTTCGAAGGTGTTGATACATGTACATGAAAACCCTAACGTTGAGAGTTACATTCACACAACCGTGACTCTTTTTCCTTGAATCAGCCAGCCTACGCCCAATGTATCCCCATTTCTTTGAGCTCGCTAGGAGGAACTCTTCATATCCTTGTCGATCCAATTCCTATGAAGAGCAATCCATGATCAGACGATGGCTCTCGTAACCACATTTGCGGGCAACAAGCACGAATTCGTGATCGTTGCGGCACGGTTCTAGGTCACGGTAAATGCGGCCTTCGTCCCAATCCTGCACAGAGCCGTCCCCGTACATGTCGTCGGCCTGTACTGCCATCTGAAAGACGCACCGCATAAGTGCTTGTATGCTGCCTCCGCACCGGAAGAACTTCTCAATGAAATTGGGCTTGTCCTCTTTGGTTTCAACGATAAAATCGATGGTGGTCTCATTCGGCACGTTGCAGGCATCATGAACACAACATGCGATGTGATTACAGAGTCTCATACCGCCTTCCCGAGCCGCCCTGTAGCGGCTTAGGAGTCTGATGCAGTAAGACGGAAGATGAGAAAATATGCTCGCATTGTAATCAACCCATTCAGTACCTGGCTGATGGTTCGGGTCTTCGTCAAGGTGCTCAAATAGCATTTTGGCACTGAAGCACAATGCAAGCCTCATTCGTACACTAAGATAGCCGTCTTTGCACACGCCGCAAGTGCAGCCATACCGAAATTGTTCCAGGTCTTTGTCTGTGTCAATTTTAACACCTTTCAGCAAAGCAGTGCATCTTGCCATGGAAAGAGTATGGCCGTTGAAGTCATCCGATAATATGGTGATGGATGTGCCAGACAACGACCTTGTTCGCACGATTTCAAGCTTTTGCAGCAGTGCCTCTAGCGGAGTATTTCCACTGGAATTGCGCAGTGCGATCAAGTGAGCTGCGGCTGGCTGCTGCATGATCCAAGCTACACTCTCAGGAAGAAAGTCCAGGGCGGCAAGGTGTAACAAGGTGTTCGCTTCCTTGTCAGTGGCAAACCATGGCTGACTATCGGGTTTGATTTGTTGGAGATATTGTTGGGTGGCTTTGAGGAACTCTGTATCACCGACCTGACCTCGTATTGAGTTTGGCAAAGTATCTTGGGTGGCACGTTCGAAACCAGGAGGGTCGTTGTCGAGCTCAGCAGCCTGTGAGTCTCCGCACCAGCTTGGGAGACCGAACCAGATGGAAGAACCTATTCGTTTGAAACCGAGTGAACGGGTCCATGCAATCGCCACAGAGTCGTGATGGTCAAAAACCTCCGGCCTTCGATTATTTCCGCTGTCCCCAACTATGGCCGCGAGAAGATCCTCAAAATGGACCTCCTTGGAAGATTCAGGCCAAAGGATCGCGACGAAACTATCGATTGTAGTGCGCTTGTTGGTTGTTTCTAGCAATGCTGCAACAACCTTGCTCCCCAGCCCCAGCCGCCGATGTGGCTTCTCGATGATGATGTCTTCAATGAGCAGAATGTCACCATCATCGAGTAGGGGTCCCCAACTACACGACCCTTTTCTGATGGCATGGTTCTCGTAGTCGTCCTTTGGCATGCCAAATCGGTCGAATAAATCGAACGCTAACAACGCCGACTCATCGAAAGGCTTCGACATGGTCTGGTAGAATGTTCCGCGAATCATCTCCCGCCTGATCAGCTTTGCCCTGCAGAACCCAACCTTTTCCATAGGTTGATCAGGTGAAGAGCCTCCCGTGGTCACCAACACCTCCATCGGCTCTAGCCAGGAGAGATGAGAGAATTCATCACACTTGGCCGTGTTGCTGTCAAGATACTCGATGTCCAAAGCTACGCCATCAACATGCGCTGGAGAGGTGTGATCATTCTTCACTGCATTCTTCTCGGAGGAGATTCTTATCTTTAGATGAAATTGTGTCGGTGGAGGGCTTGGTAGATTGAATTGTTTTCTGTTGAGTACCTGTATGTCCTGACCAGGCTGCAATGGGGCATCGCCTGCAGGATCATCTGAAATACGCTGGATTTTCGAGGCAATAGGTATGGCAATACCCTCGCCAGGTCGCTTCCCGGTACCCATTTTCTTAATGCAGGGTGAAGTGTAGATCGCCGTGAGAACTCATGGTAAGAGATGATGTGTGCTGCCCTCAAAGGAGAGATCGAGTGGAAGTCTCGTACAAAAGAGTGTCAGAGCAAGGAGAAGGGAAAACAAGAGGACAAGAGCAGAAAGAACCACTAATAAGCAATCTGCGGAGGTTAGGAATGAAGGAGACGGAAAGGAGAAAAGAGGAAATGAAAGAAGCCTGGAAGGAAAGTTAGTTGGGAAACCTGATCAGTCAATGGAGCAAGCTACTAGCGCAAGGGAAGTCGTATTCACATGGGGCTTTCTGTGTCAACGCAGGGTGATGATTGCCCCTGCCGAATGGCTGTGGCTTTCCCATGTGTGTTGCTGGAAGGAATCGAAGTGAAGCAATTGTGGCAATTGAAGCACGTTGCGCATCGCACGTCATAGAATTTACCGTAGTTTCTATACTTCCGTCCCGGTCTATATACTCCGCCGCAGCGCCGGGCGGGGGGCCGAGTGTGGCTTCCGAGGCCCCTGCCCGCTTCCGATGGCGACGGTTCAATTGAGCGATATTCTTTACCCGACGACCACGCCTTCTCACGACTACCTTCCTATATATCGTTGCCCGCTGTTGTTGATACTTCCCTTTGCTTTTGAAGTCTTTTGCAAACCACTGATAGCCTGGAATCTGCCGTCCGAAATTCCCCATCAAACCCATCAAACATGGCAGCCGCCAAAGGTCTAAAGCAGATCCTCGCCAAACAGCCCAATGACGTTGTCATCCTCTCCTCTCTACGTACTCCTGTCACTCGAGCTGTCAAAGGCGGCTTCCGAGATGCTTACGATCATGAACTCCTCTCACACGTCCTGCGCGCGACCCTCGCCGCGAACCCGAACCTCGACCCCGCAAAAATCGACGATGTTGCGGTAGGTGTGGTCCTCGCTGAATTGGGTGGCTCAAAAGCCGCTCGGATGGCACAGCTACACGCCGGATACCATGAGCGAACGGCCTTGCACACGGTGAACCGGGCTTGCAGCTCAGGTCTCGCCGCCGTCACAAGCATTGGCAACATGATTGCAACGGGACAGATTGACGTCGGCATTGGCGCAGGCATGGAAAGTATGACAAAGAATTACGGGAGCAAGGCGATTCCCACTATGCTTTGGGACGAACTCAGGAACAGCCCCATCGACAACGCACGGGACTGCATTATGCCCATGGGTCTCACCAGCGAAAATGTGGCAAAGAGGTATGGGGTTAATCGACAAGATCAAGATGCCTTTGCTGCCGAGTCACACCGAAGGGCTTCCAAGGCACAGAAATCAGGTCTGTTCGACTCGGAAATTGTTCCTGTCAAGGTCAGGCAATATGCACCAGAGCACCCTGATGCGCCTCCCAATGAAGTCGTGGTCGACAAAGATGATGGCATCCGACATGATGCTAGCGTCGAGAAGATGGCCAAGTTAAAGCCCGCATTTTCACAAGATGGATCTTCCACAGCGGGTAACTCTAGCCAGATTTCGGACGGAGCTGCTGCAACGTTACTCATGCGCCGGTCAACAGCCAATGAGCTCGGCCTCACTAAGAGCATCATTGGGAAGTGGGCAGGCACCCAGGTCGCCGGCTGCAGACCGGATGAGATGGGTGTCGGACCCGCTGTGGTCATTCCGAAACTACTCGACTATACGGGCCTGAAGAAAGAAGACGTCACTATCTGGGAAATCAATGAAGCTTTTGCAAGCCAAGCTCTATATTGCATTCGCAAGTTGGGATTGGATATCGAAACGGTCAACCCAAGAGGTGGAGCGATTGCTCTGGGTCACCCATTGGGTATGACTGGGACGAGACAGCTCGCAACTCTGATGCCTCAATTGCAGGAGGGGCAAGTCGGTGTCGTGAGCATGTGTATCGGTACGGGTATGGGCATGGCAGGCCTCTTTGTCAGGGAGTAAGATCTCTTTCTACGGCGGCCGATCGTGGCAGAAGCAAAGCAGGCATCCAGGGTAAGGAGTGCACTATCAATATCTTCCTCGCATGTCTCGCCCTGTCGACCCACGGCACCAGAATCTAGCTTCCCCATCACCACTCTGCGCTATTCCGGTCCTCCTGTTATGCCCGTGCATTTCAGACTCACCCGAGCCTCGTCAGTCGAGTCGACACGACAAGACAACCACCATCTAATCACCCAGAAAATTGCAGGCTCGATCTCCTTCAATCGTTCATCGCCTTCACCCCTTTCATATATTTGGGTTTGTCTTCACAAGGATAGAGGCAAGTCGCCGTTCCAAAACCTCCAAAAAGCCAGCAAAATCCACAGCAGGAACTGTATATATTTGTCATCAGCCTGCAATCCCTCAGCATTTTCGTTCTCTATCAATTGGCAAAAGTTTGGGATACAGCATCAAATTGCAGAAGGAATGGTGCCTAAAAGGGAGTGTATAGAAGTTTACATTGAATTTAGGCAGACAGATCGAGCATTTTAGAGAATATATATTTTGTGTCCATGTTATATTTACCTTCTCTTTTTGATACAAATATTTCTCTACCTTCTGACGTGGCATACTGCTTGTCTTCCTCTAAAACCTACACATCGTAGAGGCCCTCCCCTTCTCCATATGTGGTGATGGTTGTGCTGAACAGGGTTTCTCTGTCGAGCCCGCTATCGAGGAGCCCTGTAGTATTGGCTCGCATTCACAGGTTCCTCTGCGCAGCTTCCCCTTCCGCTTCCTCTCGTCTCCACTGTTCTCCCTCTGGTACCAGCCTCGGAAGCGGGTAAACTGGCAAACCGCGATTCTCCAGTTCGCGCTTGACGACCTTCCAGCGTCCGACCTCCATTTCGCGATCAACTTCCGTCTCGCGGCGGGGGAAGATCATCACGTTGGGACCTAGGGGCTGAAAACTCGGTCGCTGCTTCTTCACCTTTGCCTGGGCAGGGTCTTCTGGCCGTACAGATTTCTCTGTCTCTGTCTGAATCGAAGATCGCGTCTCCCCAGCTTCGGCACGGAGTTTCTCCCTCGCCGCGAAATCAAGTGCTTTCTTCTGCTTGGCCAGGAGCAGTTCTGCGAATCTCTTGGGTTTGGGCTTGGCAGTTTGAGTGAGCAGGTCGACAAAAGTGGTCAGAGGTTTGCCGCTTCGCAAGACGGTGTTGAGGAGGGGGTCAGGGACGCGGTGTGAGGTGAGTTGGGAAAAGCGTTTGATAATCTATCGACGATTTAGTTTCAGGAGTTCAGCTTGATGAGAAGAAGACACAGGTGAAGAGCCTGTAGGGAGTCTGCGAGGGCGAGACGTACAGCAAATGTGAGAGGATCGCCGAAATCAAATCTTGCGCCAGAGAGCTGTTCTTCCACCTCGGAGATGGAAAGTTCGATCTCTTCTTGCCTCTCCAACTCAGGCCTGGGCTCTTCGTTGGCTTTCTGCAGAACATTTCTCGGATCTTCGAGATGTGACACAGTTCCAGAGCTCGACAGTTTGATCTTCAGCGAAGTCATATCACCATGGAAGTCGGGTGGACCCTGCTCAAAAAGGATCGCCGGATCCTTGCCAAGTTGTTTATATGCGAGGCACTCAACGACGGAGATGTAAAGGAAGGAGAGGAACTCGTCTCGCTGAAGAGGTGTTGTCGTGGTTGGATCGAGCCAGCTATAAAAAAATTCCACATTTAGATCGCGAGGTGTACAACTGAGGCGCGAAAGACTTACGGTTCATAATCATCCTTAGGATCAGCAGGTAGATCTCTCCAGTGTCCCTGATGGCCTATATGCTCCAATCCGTCCCAAGTCGACGCTTCGACATACTCCTCGATCCTCAAGGGATTCTCAGCTTCATTTGACAAGGGTTGTCGAGACTGTTGAGAGCGGCTGAGAGAATTGAAGGAGGCATGGCGGCGCTGTTCGTTGACGAGGCCTACGGTGCGTTGGATACAGTCTCTTGACGACAGGCTAGAGGAGTGTCGGGCTTGCTGTGCTTCGCGTTGCAGTAGTTGATGTTTGCATGTGCGACAGACATACCGGGGTCTCACAGCCGCAGCCGCAGCGAGTCCATTGCTTATTGATTTCGAGGCTCGGCCCACAGACGCCATGCTGAGTGATATGACGAACGAGTTCGTGGATGGACCTGATTTAAAGCGAGAGATCCTTATGAACTGATTGAGGTTGAAGTTTTGGAACTCATTGAAGCTGCGGACCTGCGCACAGAAATCTACGCCGAGCCATATCACCGTAACATGCAAAATGTTCGGTGGACCATTTGATCTCACAAATCGAACAGCTTCTCGTGGCAACTCACCACTCAAAAGCAATACAAGTCTTTTGATATTCGGTTCTTTATCATGTCTATTGTCCTCGGTTTTCCCTAGATTTGTATGCGAGATCATTCTAACTACTACGGCGTCTCGATGCCTTAAGAGATCCCATTAGGCTGCTTCCCCCGACTGGCTGAACGGATCGCAATACCTGATTCCAGGCCAGCTGAATATGACCTTGACCGCTTCTCAACATGAGTGCCATGGGATTGAATTTCGCATCGGGAAGCGGAGGGAGGCATACTTAGCTCGGGATCAGGTCGCAGTGAGAAATACGAGGTACAAGGTCCAGCAATGTGCTCCCGCCTCGGCGTTGGACCCCAGCTTTCTCCATTCTGGCGCCGGATTCGGACGAATGGTGTTACTTGGAAATTTCAGACGCAACAGGAACAGTGCTGGCATTCTTCTCGAACTCACAAATTGCATCGACCCCGCTCCGACTGATTCTACCATCGAGTTTCTTGTCGCCCGCCCCCCCAAGCGTGCTCTATGATCTCAACACGACATTTGATCTGGATTTCTCAATCTCTGCCGATTTGCTTGACGCCTTGCTTCGAAATTTCTTTCACTGCTTCTCCACACACTGATCGGCTGGACGCGGCCACAGGCCTGTTTGCAAGCCATCTTCTATGAGCTGCTTGTTAAACAACGCTCAACGGTGTGGACGTCTTGTTGCTGCGTATAGTCTGTAGTGAAAGGTTTTCTATGTCTTGCTCGAGTTCCCTCGAGTCAGAAGGTTCTCCTGGAAAGCGAGTTGCAGTGTTGGGGTCCTTAAAACCTCGCTTCAGGTAGGGCGTTGGCTTACTCTCGTGCTGGGAACAACGAGACTGGGATTGAGTACCACGCGAAAGGGCTTGATTAGGGGTGTGTGAGGGCGTCGAAACCTGGAGATACGACACCTTAGGAGATATGAGACGTTTGATTAACGCTTTAAGTGCTGGGGCTGATGCAAATATGATGGCAAGGTGCGCTTCAATGTCTGTCAAAGCCTGTTCTGGCTTTAGTATGTGGGAACAGCTAAGGAGATACGTAACTTACAAAAGTTGGCCAGCCATACCAGGTCACATCATGAGTATGTGAGCCCAGTTGGTAGTTCGTAGTCACTTTGGATAGGTATATCATCCTTGCAATCCCAATTCCGGCTGTCAGTAGCCCAGCCGAAAACAGAGTGTACAGGCTCAGCCTCTGTCTGCTCGTCAAATTAAGGTTCCGAACCCACATCATTGGTAGAACTGATGCGTAGATGTCGGAAAAGGCAGAAGCCGCTGCACTGAAGACAATGGGAACTTGTTCGTTCCCGCAGGTATACCTACTGGTAAACTCGGGATTGTAAGATTGCCAGTATGAACTCAGCGGGCGGCAGATGACAATCAGCTCCACGACCAGCCCAGCAGTATAAAAGATTGTAAATATGATTGCCGCCCAGGTAAGTCGAATGAACCATATGCTGTGGCTTCTAGACGACAGTCTGCGGTAGACAAGCAGGATCGAGAGCTTTGTGCAGGCGTTTCCGAGCAAGAAGAAAAGTTCAATAAGCCACGCAGATAGCCGGATGTATTCCAGGCGATCCACAGGAACATCCCAAAGATGCATGTTCCAACCACAGGTTGTGAGAGCCTTGTATTCGGCAAAAGTTTGTCCGATCGACAATAGCTGAAAATAATCAGCAATGAGATGATATGGCAGCGGTGCACCACTTACAAAGCCTGCAAGAAGCAGAGCATCGTCCACTCCAGGGGATTTCGTGATGCAGTAGCGGGAATATATTCTGAGCATCACCACCGTTGCCGTTATCGCGCAGATGAAATGAAAAGAGCAGGGGCGCCTCTCTTTGGGGGATCTTCAAAATTTGGTAAAGGCCAACCTTGAGGCCAGACCGAGGTCGCCATGGCAAGACTGATGTTGCCGAGGGTCTTCGTTGCCATTCGAAAAGCAAAAGGATCACAAAAGCAACGAGGAGGATTATTGATGAGAACAGGAAGCGACAGAAGATATGGAGATCTCAGAGTAGCTTCTGCTTCTAGGACGAAGCTTTGTACCTCATAAAGGGTGGGGTCGGGGCATCAAAGGGGGTGATAGTCACGATGCTGGTGACGGTTGTGATGTGGACCTCTGCGAATTACCTTTTGATGGTTGGAACCGAAAAGTAGGAGAGCTTGTGTCTATTCACTGTGCCACTGCATTGAAGCGGAGAGGTGAAGAAATGCGTGACAGTGGTCATGTTTTGCTAAATACTTACCAGGCCAAGGCTACCCCCTATGAGGGTGCGATCCGGGGCCGCTGCTACAGAAGGTATCGTATCTGGGGCGTAGTTGTATAAGTGGACCAGCGGACACCTCTAGAAAAGGGTAACGGTTCGACTGTAAACTTCGAGTTCGTCGTCAAAAGCAAATTCCAGTGCACAGCAACGCTGTGATGCCACTCTTGAAGGCATAACTGCATTCTGGAATGAATAATGAGTCCAGTCCTGTGAAGGGCAGCAAAACATCAATCCATGTGAGCTCGCTTTGCTCGAGTTTTGCATGCAGTCCACAGCCTCGCACTGCATAACCGCGGCCTGTCATGGAGACTCTTGGGATTCCTCTCGAACAAGTCGAGGGGGGGTGCTGGATCCTTACTGCTGGGGTGGCGAAGTTGAGTTGCTTTTTTCAAGCACAATTTGATCTACTGGATCTCAGTGTGCGTAAGCTGGGGAAAAGGAAATAATGATCTCCTAGTAGAATCGAGGTTAGTTTGAGTGTGTGAGAAGTTCCACTCTAAATCTGCGTAGCTTTTCTGGGGATGTGGCCGGATCTGATACCAAATCGGTCTGAACAGCCAAAGTGGAAAGGAGCTGATGAAAGCAGAGGAGTAACTAGGTTTTCAAAGGGCTTGTCGAAATGGGAGCAAAAGTCCTAGGTTGACTCGCTTGAAGTCTTACACGCTATATTCGTCGCTCGCGTTGCGCCTTGGACTGATTGAGAGGCCGCTGCAACCAGATCGATTCTCTTGTCCGTCTTGACCTTCGAAAGGAACAAGAGCGGGCAACCGAAAACACTCGATGGGCATCAACCTGAGCATTCGTCAGGGATGGTGTATTGTAAGAGACGCGAGAGGGGATCAACGGAATTGCGTCTTCACCACTGGCCACATGCTCGTCCGTATAGAAATCAGGTGACTGAATACCAAACCCCGATATCTCCGAAGAAGCCCCGAGCCTCCGATATCCTTAACAATAAGATAAGATTTTCACAATCAAAAGTGTCTATCATTGCCCTCGTCTTCCACACAGACGTCGAACCCGATCCAGACTGTCGCTATACAAATGCTTCGACACTTCCCTATCCCATGTGGAAGGGACGCTCGCCTTTGCCTCAACATAGCAGAACCGGCCCTGCGCGCACAAGGCTTGAGTCTGCAGACGTGGGCATCATCCTTTGTGCTCGCGAGCTTGCTTCATAAACTGTCTATCGATCTTTCATCCTCTGCTCGCATACCAGTCCTAGAGCTCGGTGCGGGCACTGGACTTGTCGGCCTAACTGCTGCGGCACTGTGGAAGTCTCCAGTGATCCTTACAGACCTCCCACCGATTGTCCCTGGACTGGCTAGTAATATCAAACTCAATGCGGCCACCGTGAAAGCCGTTGTCGAGTGTGGCTCGTTAGATTGGAGTTATCCGGAGACTCTTGCGCTTCAGGGCGGTACACTATACCACGCGGAAAAGGACAAAGCCCGCGTAATCCTCGCTGCAGACACGGTGTACTCAGAGGAGCACCCTGAATTGCTCTCCAAAGCTATCCTCCGCTGGCTTGCTCCGGGAATCTCGTCTCGTGTCATTTTGACATACCCTATGCGTGTGGCTTACCTGGACCAAATTCGGGAGCTGTGGCAACTTCTGGAGAAGGGTGGTCTCGAAGCTCTCCATGAGGGTCGAGAGCAGGCCGACCTTGATACTTGGGACGATGAAGGTCTTTGCGAGTGGAGTGTATGGAGGTGGCAGCAGGACTCCACTCATGCTGCGCAGGGCCAAACCAAGACATAAAATGTGAACGAGTCTTATCAAGAATGCCTGATCATTCCCCTGCCACCACGCTATTGACCAGGAGACGGACATACTTGGGCACCTGCTTTCGCAGCAGAACTCCACGCTAATAGACAAACAATAGATGGGTTTCTTACACAAGATATTGCACATTGCACGAATCTCTGAGCAGAATGTACCGGGTGTTGACCGAGTCCTTGCCGAGCTGGATCCAGCATCTGGAGATGGACTTTTGCCTCGCTCAATTCACCTTCCTATATCGACAACAAGCTGCTTCGGTGGTCACATACCGACTTTTCTTCCGGCAGGCGTTTGCCCCAACTGAGCGGCGTGCGATTGCTGTTGAATCAACTGTTGGTTCAAATACATCTTGTCGTGGAGATCCCTTTCCCGATTGGTCGTTAGTGGATGTCGTGATCGTATGTCGATATGGTATCATGGCCGTCAAACCCTCGAGAAAACCATTCGAATTGCAGGCGGGAGATGCTGCCGGTGCCATAATCCAGGAAGACGACCGATGATGTTGCAGCGTCATTGTGTTACAGTGCCCCACGAGGAGAGATCTGACGACACGCTGAAGTTACTTATATCTCATCACCAATGGCGTTTGCTGGACCACTTTGCTTGTGTTCCAGAAGACGGACAAGATGGCTGCCGACAAGGCTTCGGCTGACGCCGACAAGATCAGTGCCGTCCAAGCCAGTCCTGCTTCAGTCGCCAGTTCTCCAGCGAACTCAGCGGACCTCGACGACGACTATCATTTGTACAAGCGGAGTGATGATCAAGAGCTCGACCCTGCCGAATCCAAAAAGGTGCTGCGCAAGCTCGATGTGCGGATAGTCCCTATCCTCTTTCTCATCTATCTGCTGCAATATCTGGACAAGAATGGCATCAACTACGCCAGTGTGTATGGTTTGCAAAAAGGCACGAATCTCCATGGCCAAGACTACTCCTGGCTGGGCTCGATCTTCTATTTCGGTGCGTGCTGGCTCTGGCCCTGATGGTTCCCCTGCTGAACGTCCTAGGTTATCTCTGGGCGCAGTATCCGGCTGGATATTTGTTGCAAAGACTTCGGGTCGGGAAGGTGATTGGGTTCACCACGATCGCCTGGGGGATCATCCTGATCACGACGCCGGCATGTAGAAGTTTTGCCGGCATCGCCGTCAACCGCTTTTTGCTCGGCTCGTTCGAGGCGGTGGTGAACCCGGGTTTCATTCTCATTATGAGCATCTGGTACACGTCGTTGGAGCAGCCCTTGAGACTGGAGGCATATTATTGCACCAATGGCATTGCAACGATGTTTGGAGGGTGAGTTCTGCTATGTTCACTCCGTACAAATTAGGATACTGACAGCATATCGAGCTTGATTGGCTATGCTGTGGGCCATATCACAACCGGCCTCCCGCGCTGGATGTATGTCTTTATCATCTTCGGCAGCATTAGCATCGCCCTGGGCATTCTCGCGCTCGTCATGCTCCCGGACCTCCCGTCGACTGCGAAGTTCCTCACCGACGCGGAGAAAGTGATTGCGGCGAAGCGTGTCTCCGCCAACCGTCAAGGCATCAAGAACCGGCACTTCAAGTCCTACCAGATGTGGCAGACGTTCAAGGATCCCAAGACGTGGATTTTGTTTGTGATGGCCGTCGGTGCGCAAGTTCCAAATTCGGCCATCACGCAGTTTACATCGCTGGTGATCAAATCATTCAACGTCGACACCTTGGGGACGCAGTATCTCCAGATCCCTGGTGGCGCGGTCCAATTCGTCGCCCTCCTCGGCGGAGGAGTTGTATGCTCCAAGTGGCCGAATCTCAGGTGCATCACGATGATCGTGGCGAACACAATCTGTATTGTGGGTTCCGCGCTCCTCGTTGGTTTACCAGACAGCAACAAATGGGGTCGGTTGGTCGGGCTGTGGTTGTGTTTCTTCCAAGGCCTGGGTTTCAGCATGAGTTTGACCATGGTCAGCTCCAATATTGCGGGCTATACCAAGAAACAACTCACGGCAGCGATCCTATTCACCGGCTACTGCGTGGGAAACATCATCGGGTGAGGACTGTCGCATCATCCATCCCTTTTAATCGTCCTCTAGAACTAACGCGAAGATCAACAGGCCGCAAACATTCAAGTCGAGCGAGGCGCCGCGGTATCATTCCGCCTACGTGGCGATGCTGGTCGGCTACACGATCAAGTTAGTGGCGATCGTTGTCTTGTATGTTTACATGTTCCTCGAGAACAAGAGGCGCGACCGCGAAGCTGCCGTGTCTGGTGTGGTGGATCTCGACGAAGAGAAAGAGGCTATCGAACGAGGAATGCACGATGTCACGGAGCTGGATAACAAGGGATTCAGATACACGCTATAACGCAAGGTAACTCTCCGAATATCGAAGAGCTAGGACCACCGTCGCAGAAACGGCCTCCGGGGTCAACAAATTGAACCATTCCGCCGCCTGTTTTTTTCCTTTTTCTAAAAGAAATTTCGTCGCGTTGTCAACTTGAAGTTTTTTGTTCCACCACCTTTTCCCACAGCTCCTTTGCACATGGTACGAGCTTGTCATGCCATAGGAATCTCTTCAGCATTTCTAGAAACGCGTCGAGCCGTCTCGCGGCAGGGACTCTCATGTAGAGAATCCGGAGCATCTCGTCCCGCATGGATGCTGGCACGCCGTAATTGACCCCAGCAGAAGCGAGGAGGAAGACGGCCCAGGCGACAAAGTCCTGGCCGGCCTCGTCAAGACGTCCAAAGATCGAGTGGCACAAGCCGCGCAACGACTCCTCCATGGATCTGAAAGTGCGCTTTGAGCTGTTGGCGGGGCGGCCTTTGGTGGTCACGTCGACGAGGAACCGTCCAAACGCAAAACTCAGCGTGACAATGGCCTTCTCGAGCTGACGGACGGAGGAGTCCATCGACAATCGCATCATCTCCACCGCGATAGACGTGTCCTCTGTGAACGCTGCAGGGCCTTTTCCGAGGATTTTAGTCATCCGGTAAAGAAGACGAATGACCTGGTGCGACAGGAGCGTTTTCAGCGCCATGTCGCTGAAGCCTTCAGGCAACTCCGATAGGACTTTGGACAGGGATGGCGGGAATGGATGGGTTGGATACGTCAACGTGCTGTCGGGTGTGATGTTGGTCTTGGGGGAGCGATTGCGCCTCCGGATCGCGTAGTCGCACATCATCTCAGTCCTGTTGAGGGTGTCAGAGAGGACTCGATTTCCGAGATCTGGCCCTGGTGGACGAGAGGGACTCACGCAGTGACAGAATATCGTGTCTGAGGTTGGAGGTCACTGTTTGCCAGTCCGCCCCGAAGATCCACGATGCGTCGGAGTCCTTCTCGGTGCAGCTCGACATGGTCGTCCTGTCCGCGGTGAAACTGCAGAAGTGCACCGTTAACACTTTTGGCAGAGAGAGCAATAAGCGACGGGATCGCTTACATCTCCGGCCATCAATGACAGTACGGTATGGATGGTCACATCGTCGCAGCGCAGCTGTGGTACGGTCAGACGATGATGGAGTTTCCGCATTACACTTCCTCGGAGGCTCATCAAGGTTCGCTCGAGATCTTCCGGAGAAGATCCCAGCTGACTCGCGGGGAGCTGGCTCCATATGAACAGGACGGTCGCTTCAAAGAGCAGATCGGCCTGCAGTGCAACGCGGAAGAGGTACGACAGGAGCCAGTTGCCTCCTTGGCCGTCCCGGTAGTTGCCTGCATTCATAGGGGCGTATATCTGGGTGACTTGGAAGCATTAGTTGTGTGTGTTGCGTTTCGACTGGACGATTCAGTCAGAGAGAGAGAGAGGGAGGGAGAGGGAGAGAGCGTGGGTGGAGGAGTGACGGGCAGTGTGGCGTACAGTAATCCACAGTCGCCTGTACTCGGCCGGTGGGCTCCATGGGATACGAGTTGAAAGGATCGCAACGCAGACCTCCCGGGGCGGTTGGTAGAGGGGATTCAAAGAGGACTATCGCCACATGCTCATCGTCGCCTTCATCAATACCACCGGCGTCCGAACTGCCCCCAACCGACCTTCCCCTGTTGAGATGCCGACGCAGCGCCTCATCAGACCCGGAGGGGACTTGCTTCTTCCACGACAATACTTTGGGTCGTTGGGACCGAGCCGAGTTGTCGGTCGCGGGCAGGGTGGCCTTGAGTTCCCTACGGCGCTGGTTCTGGTAGGAGTTGACCTGCCATTTTTTGGCGCGCGACTTCAGCTGGTCCACGTGCGTGTATGTGATGAACATGGGGGAATAGGGGGGAATAATAATGTAAGGAAGAGGAAGAGGAAGCTGTGCCCTCGACGTGGCAGTGTCATCGAGACACAGGACACGAGGTGGTGAGGGTTAGGGTCTGGCTCAGGGTCAGACCAAGTCCCGAATGATCTAGAAAACTGGAAAAGGAAAAAAGGAGTCCAGGGAGGGACAGGCACACACAGAAAGATTAGATAGAGATGGAGAGAATCGCTCGATGTACGAGGTAGGGACTGAAGATTCGCAAACTCGTCATCTGGACCACAAGTTGAACCCATGTTTGAGCCCGCCGTCGCTCGCCAGGACATAGTGTAACTAATCACATGTTCTGCTGTCCGGAGTAAAATGCACCACCCCCATTACGAGGTAGGGATACTACAAAACGACTAGCGGCGCGTACATTGACCATGAAGGGCAAGTGGTAGTCTTGGCCCGGCAGCCTTATCAGACTCGGAAACGCCTTGATTTTCATCTCGCTTCCTTTGAAACCAAGCTATGTGGTTGGTGGCCTGGAAGGAGAGAGGAGGCGGGCCCATTTGTCGCGTATACGACACATTTGTTTAAGACTTTTCTTCGGCGGAATACGGGCAAAAAATACTACTGTAGTGCAGTATGTACCGAGTCCTACCTGCCTACCTATACCTAGGTAAATAAATGTGCTCGGTAGGGGCGAGGCGCATACTCGAAATGCATCGGTATGGGGCGTACCGAGCACTAACACTATTAAGTACATAGATCCTGCAATCCGTTTGCAGTAATAATGGATGATAGGAATAGGTTAGATATGTATCTGGACTGAACGGTGAGACGCCGAGCCGCAACAGCCCCGACGCCACAACTTGCCTGTTTTGTGGGCTTCGATGGGATTTGCATATTAACTATTAATCAATCGTTTGAGGGCCAGAAAAATGTAGGGACAGATCGATGAATGACGTGCTTGATAGTGACTCGCTGGGTTTATCTCCTTTTTCGGGGGGGTGAACAGGACTTCGGCAGCTTGCTGGCCACCAGATGGCTTCCTAAAAGAGGTCAGATCGGACGTCAACACGGACACGACACCAAACGACACGAACCAACAACAGCTAGTACTAACGGGGCACAACAACCATCTCGTGTGCTACTGGGGCAGGGGAAAAAACATGGGCATTCACAATCTGATGCACACTAGAGACTTTTCCCATTCCTACTTCTCGTCCCGTCCCGTTCCAGCAACGACCGACGCAATCCTCATCTCAGTCAGAAGTAGCATTCTGTCCCCCCGGCTCACATTCCTCTCCTCTCCTTTCCCAAGCCCTCACCCTTCACGCACTAATCTTCGCGGCCGGCAGTCCCTTCAAGTCCTCAGCGGTATACTCGTCGTGTCTCTTGAACCCCAACCCTCCCACGCCGCTCAGCCCATCCTGCCTCCCCAAAGGGGTCATGTCAAGCCAGGTGAAGGTGTTGATGATGGGCTCGCCGCCGCGCGCGTAGCTGCTGTAGCTGTGGTAGACTTTGCCCTGGTCGCCGATGCCGGTCAGTGGGCCACCGATCACAAAGACCGAGTGGCCAGGCTGCTCGCCCTTGATGAAATGGGCGAGGCCGCCACGCCGCTCCATCTCCTCCTTGGTTTTGAAGTTGTATTTGATGGGCTGGACGGCCTCGTCCTGCGTGGCGCCAAAGTCGTAGTTGAAGGGCGACCCGAACGACGACACCCACGGAAACGACCAGCCCATGCGTTTCTTATACGCCCGGATCTTGTCGATGGGCGCGCGGCTCACCGCCACGAACGTGGTCGAGTGGCCGTGCAGGTGGCTCAGGTCTGGCACCGAGTCGCCCAGCAGCGAGCAGCTGGCGCACGCCGCGTCCCAGTCCGGGCTGAACATCAGGTGGTAGATGATGAGCTGGGCCCGGCCGTCGAACAGATCCGCCAGCCCAACTTCCCTCCCGTCCTCGTTGGTGAAGGTGTAGGGGGTGGTCACTTCGACCACGGGGAGGGCCCGGCGTTGGCGGGCGAGCTCGTCGCGGGCCCTGGTGTTTTCCTTTTCCGCTGCGAGGAGGGACAGCCGGAGAGGGAGGTACTCGGCCTGCGAGACGATCTAGGGGTGGAAGAGGAGTTTAGCGGAGGACGAAATGGCTTGGCTGTGAGAGAGGCAGATTGAATGGGTAGGAGTTTTGGAGGGCCAGTGAGTGGTGGGCTACTCCATCTTACCTTGACATTGGCCATGTTCTTCCTTTACTAGATCTTTCTTGGTCCTGGTACTGTAGCTGGGCACGTCAAAGGGTTTCAAGGATGTCGTGAAGTCGAGGACCGAGACTTTCTTTCTTGGTACCAAAGAGTTACACTTGAGATTTGGATGTAGACTTAGGCAGATGAAATTGTTATTCTCTCACCTGGCTTGCTGAGATGAGAGAGTCTGTGACTGGAGGCAGAACCTAACTCACCGTTTGCTTCAGCTCTTTATATGTCCTTTCTGGTCTGTGGTGTCGTGTCGAAGATGCAGATCGCAGGCAGGTGGCAGGCTGAATTGTCCCGTCGCCGACGTATCCATGGTCTCGAATACGAGGGATGCCTCTATTTTCTTCAGCTCTGTTCGGCAATAGGTGAGGACGGGAGAAGTTGCCAACTGCCCATTGAACCCTGCGGCTTAAGATGCGCAAGACGCGTCGTCAGGTGATTTGGCGTGCGCGTCGGCCTCACCAGCCCCTCACTGCCCCTGTCTCTCCGTCCTTTGCTGCCTGGCGGTGCCTGGAACTGTCTGTCGAGATCAATGCCAGCAACAACGCATTTCCAGTTTCTAATCAATGCTGATAAATCAACATCCGAGCACAGAAGTAACTGCTTCACTCGCCCGTCATGGGAAATGCCAGCATGTGGAAATGCACAAAGTCCAGGTTAGTGGTTGGTGAGCACTGTGGTGCGAAGAAAGCAGGTGAGGATCAATCAATAATGAGCATCAGTTTGAACAGAGTACAGCTATGCACAGGTGATTCTCTGATGCTCCCACTCCGAGCAAAGGGCATCCGACACAGTGACATCTCTGCACGAACAGTATAGTATAGGTATGGAGCACCGAGTACGGTATTCGAGAACGCAGCACTCGTTCCCCACTGCGTCTTTCAAGCCTCCACCACCTCCTGCTTTCGCGGAACGAAGCACAAGTTCAACGGCGCCAGCTCCATGGTGAACGTGTCCAGCGTCTTCTCCAACAGAGTGGTCCCGTCCTCACCCGGTCCGAACGTGACGTCGAAATTCAAGAGGATCTGCGCCGTCACGGACCGGATCTCCATCAACGCCAGCTGTTTGCCGATGCAGGAATACGGTCCTGGACAGGAAAAGTCAGGATGTAATCAGGCGTGAGGCCTTGTTCCAAACTCACCGATAAGAAAAGGGGCGAACGCGTCGCTACGCTTCAGCAATTCTGGCTTGCTATACCTGATAACACGATCAGCCACGTACACTGGCAAGATCACATGGTTGGTGCGCTTACCATCGCTCGGGAATGAATTCGTCCGGATATTCATAACACTCGGGAGCTGCGAGATCATCTTGAGTGCCGGACCCAAACATGGACAGGTGGGGATCAACTCACATCGGAACAATGGATACGACGGCGCCAGCACATTGACATTGCCAGGGATATACGTGCCTCCGATGGTGATGCCCTCTGGCGGTGTGAGCCGGCCAACTCCACTCGGGACAGGTGGATGAAGTCGGAGTGCCTCATTGATGGCGCCGTTCAAGTGCTTGAGAGTGAGCAACTTCGAGGCTTGCAGGTCGCCCTCCAGAGATTGGACCTCTTCCCGCAGCAGTTCGAGCTGGGATTGATCCTTGGCCAGGTGATAGAACAGATGGGTCAATGTCGCCGCGGTCGTGTCACTTCCCGCCACGATGATGAGCCGCGAGTCGCCGGTAAGCCAAGCCCGTTCGCTGTACCGGGTGCCCGTCATGGGTGGGGACTGCAAGATCCAGGACGATATGTCCGGCCGGTCGACCTTCATCTTCATCCTCTCCTCCATCATGTCCTCGCAGAACTGGATGAACTTGCGGAACTCCTTGGTGATCTGGGGGATGCTGCTGATGATGATGAACAGCCACGGCACGGGGCCAAAGACGCCGATGCCGCGCTGTCCGGCGTTCAGGATCTCGATGGCCCAGTGCTTCTGGCCGTTCTTGAGCATGTCGAAGTCCTTGGCAAAGGCCAGGTCGCCCATGACGTCGAAGCTGTAGTAGTTGAACCACTGTGCGGCGTTGATCGGCTGGCCCGAGAAGGCCCGGATCTGTTCGATCAAGCTCTGTGTGTACCGTTCGACGCGAGGTTCATATTCTCGCAATGCTGGCAGGCGGCGGCACGTCAGTCAGTCATGGGCAGGGTCACGCCGTCGACCTCGAGAGCGGAACGCCATGATACTTACAGTTTTGGGTGAATCCTCTCGCCCAGGCTTTGCGTCGGAGGTCATGATGTCGTCTGGACCGGGTCGAATGCATCGAGGTCAAATCCGAGTTGCCTTCGTAGCCGGCGCCCTTGGTACATTTGGAGGACGCGCCATAGAGCACTTCGATGGCGTCGGGATGGATCGTGGAGACTTCGTTCGGTCCTGGGAGAAGACGCATCAATCAATCAGTCAGTCAGTCAGCCCAGTCAAAAGGTCTTCTCGCGTCTCTGCTCTGTGTCTTACGAACCGGTGCGCACAAAGGTCCCGTATTGCGCGTGCATGCGGGTGAGGTGCTTGTAATTGTCGATGGTGGGCGCCACCTTCCAGACGTGCCAGAGTTTCGAGATCTTCGCGCCGAACGGGCCGGGGAACGCGTGGAGGCGGTGGAAAAAGGCGCGGTAGAGGAAGACGCTCGCGTACAGGCCTGTCAGGTAGGCGGTGTAAAACAGGGCCGTCTGTCGGACTGCCCCCACCACGGTAGGGACTCCCAGAACGAGGAGCTGGGCGGCGGTCGCGGCGACGGGGAAGGTCAGAAAGGCCACAAAATACCGGAACGCCTGGTGGTGGTGTTCGCCGTGGATGAAGTACGCCAGGTGCGAGACCACGCCCAGCACGGCGCCGGCGCCGGCGATGATCTGGGGTGAGGCGAGGAGGATCATGGAGGGTAGCAGGTTTGTCGGTCCTCTCAAAAAGACTCACATATAGTTACACATACACATTCTAGAGAGTGGGTATATGTATATATGTATGTACGTATGTAATGTATGGTTTTTGCTCCCGCCGCTGCTGCCAGATATAAGTACCATGGCATGGCTGGCTGGCTGGAGCATCCGTTTGTATGCATACGAAAGCGCTGCCCAGCACGTCTCACCGGGCGGGGTTCGTTCGTGATTCGATCGATAGGTAGATAGGTAGGCACACGCTGAACCATCCATCACTACGAGGTACACCATCATCGATCAATCGGGAGGCTTTGCAAAAGCTCAAAGCCGGTTGGGGCACCTCCCCCGCCCGCGCGCTGGTCGACGTCGTATCAGCCCAGTCCTATGTATGTACCGACGTGATGCCTCGGGAGCTTGTCAAGGTCGACGAGTCGACAAGTCGGTCGACCACCTACCTCTCTGCACTGTCTCCACACGCACGAGTCAACCAAGGACGTTCTCACCCCGGATTCTCCACCAATTGCGACGGGGTCGATACCTCGGGTTTTCGGGCTGCGGGTCTTGACTCCCCCGGCTGATGTTATGCAGTGAACGAGATTCTGGGGGAGCAATTAATTACTTACATAAAGCGTGGGGAAGTGGAGGTCATAATCAACATACTACTATCAATGAATGGCAAGGGAATGTATTCATTTGGATCCATTCAGTCAGGTTCAATCTCTTAATCACAACGGGATCCGCAACAGTAATGTGACGGGTGTGACGAAGGTGCGACGAAATGTCTAAGAGTTTTACCACCGGCCGATATTTGATCACCGGCGGTCTCGACGTTCCACCGAAAGTTTGCAGAGGAAAGGAGTCTGCGAGTTTGGAGAACTATTCAACTTAGTCCGGGTCTTCTTCTTGGTCGCAGTGTCTCTCTTTGACCCCGCCTCGAACTGCCTCAGGCTCTCCCCGACAGCATCTTCTAGGGCAACCTGCTGGAAGCTCGATTTGCGGCTCACCGCTGCCCAAACTATCGTTAGGCACATGAAAGCGGAGTTTGTGCTTTGTCCATGTATTGGGCTGTGTCGAGGTATTGGCAGAGCTCTCCGGCCGTGATATGGATCTTCCAAGGTATTCTGGGAGCTGAGCTGTCCATGCACAGGTTGCATCCTAAGCAGCAACATCAGATGGAACCAAGTGGGCCGGCGAGTCTGGTTTGGGCAAACCACCACTCATACGAAAGACAGGAATTTGGATGGTTGGTCGCCGACGCGAAAGCACAATTCACATAGCTTACCTGATCCTTGACTGCTCCCTTCACGCTGCACTTGCGACCGTTATTGTCCAAGATAGTGATCTATTTCACGCTCCCACACCGACAGTAACGCCAAGTTGTTGCCTGCTGCGCCGGACTGGAGGTTGAGACCAACGACACACGGGGCACCGCCCGCTCCCAGACAATAGTACATCGCAAGTTTGGCCAGGTCTTCCTTTGGCTGCGAGTAGGTGGACGACCTCGAGGACGATGCCAGGAGAATGAATAGGCCTTTTTGAGGACGACGGCCACGTCCAGATTAGGTTTGAGCCCGTGGCTTTTCACGAGAAGAGGTGAGCTCTGCCACTATCACCATTGTGAATCATATGTTAGAGACGAACGATTCCAGGTCGTGATCTTGAGATGTTGCGGGGACCACCAGCTGACGGTCGACGTGGCGTGCAGCCGAAGCAGCGAACGACGCGTGGGCGAATGGTTCCGTTACAACTGAGAATTCACCGTTGTGGTCACCTTTAGATAGCCTCCAGCAGCAAATCGATCCTGAAGGAGCTTGATGAGGTCGCCGTATGTGCAAGGGCCAATGTTCAAGCGCAGAGCATGGGGCAGGGACTTATCTTTGTGAATTGTCTTCTATAATGGGCTGGTGGGAAAGAGAGGAGGAGGCAGGCTGCGAGGTAGGTGAATTGTCTTCTGTAACAAAGGGTTTCAGTGCCGATGTGATCAGACTTGTGTGGCACGTACAGCTATGCTCCTCATTTCTTTTTGCCTTCCGATACTGAAAGAGACCGTTGTCTGGACAGTTTGTTCAAGACGTTGGATGACGCTGGTGAATCGTGGTACGTTGCAGCCTTGCACATGAAATGACGTCAATTCGTAAGGGAAATATTACGTTCGACTGTTCAGCATAATAATGCAATCTTTACGGTCGATCAGGAGGCATTCTCGCAAACTCAAATCCTTGGCGACCGTGGACACGAAACGTGTTACTGGTTTCAGTGTGTTTGCAAGTCTGCAGTAGTACAGTATATAAGTCATGCTGACAACCATCCATTTCTCTCTGTTGCTGGTGTGATGATCATTGATCGTTCGACCACCTCGTCTCGTCCACCGCGACGGTATCGCTACCGACTAGGCTCAATATTACCGAGTACATACCTACATACGGCTGGGCTGCAGATTGAGCCGGCCGGCCACCCAGGAGCCCAGGACAGCCAGGCCTAGAAGTCTCAACACTAACAACAATTCTTCGACAGGGCTGACCACAAGGGCTGTGTGAACTCCCAGAAGACAGGACGAGACCGGAGACGTCCAGATCCGAAATGAGCCGAGTCTGTTCTGAGACGAACTCGCCCTCCGTGTGGGGAGGGGGAGTGCATGTTTCAAGGGGAGATCGCGTCGTCTTGATCGATTGGCTGAGAGCCGCCACAACAAGAGTTTGTTGAGCCTCGACCCGACCACAGAAGTTGGCGATACACTTCTATCGGCGAGGTACAGCACCCGAGAGCCATCAATGATGGATGGAAGGCAAAAACGTTACTCCTGTGCAGTTCTGGTCTGAGTCTCTCGATTCGATTCAGCTTGCTAGCTAGTCCGCTATCCACAATGTGCACAGACGCTTTTTTTCTCTGTGGCGGGTCTTGCTCGATCCCGCACGCCCTCCTCCAAATCAGAGTCCCATTTGTCGTTGGCATGAACGACTTTTTGCTTCTCCCCTGCTCTGCTCTGCTGCTTCTTCTTGCTCGTCGTTTCCCGCCAAAAACACAAACTTGCCCAATTTCCTGGCGTCTGAGCCCTCCAAAGCAGAAAGACTGATGGATCCTGGTTATACACTCTATGACATAGAAAAGAAAAATAGGGATAGTATGCTGCATCATGTGGAGATCTGTAAGATGCTCCTTTTCTGGTCTCGTGTTTTTCTGGCGTCATCACCTATGTTGTTGATGGAGTCGGAAAATCATGCGACGATGTCGCGAGCAGCAAATCGTCCACGGCCACGCCCGTAGCGGCCTCGGCCACCGCCAAATCTTCCGCCCCGGCCGAAACCGCTGTTTCCTCCAGACGTGGAGTTTGTGCCACCAGAGGAGGCACTCTCAGTAGAGACAGCGGCTGTTGTGGTGGTGGTGGTGGTGGCGGCAGCTTCACCGTTTCCAGAGCCGTTTCCGCCAGCATTCTTGTTGCCAGAGCCGCCTGCAGCAGCGCTAGTTGTAGCAGAGGCAGCGGTGGTGGTAGAAGCGGCCGCGTTGCCGCTGCCACCTGCGTTGCCGCTGTTGCCAGCGTTGCCACCAGCATTGCCACCAGCATTGCCGCTACCTTGGCCGACAGTGAATTTCTGGCAATCATCTTGACCACCTCGTTGGGCGACCTACACTCAATTAGTCTCTCGATTCTCGTCATGGATAGTGTCGTCAGCAGGACTTACCGGCATGAGGACAGGTTGGTGGTTAGATGCGCTGTTCAGGGTGCAGATACGGTAGAATCCAGCAGGGAGACCGTTGGTGACGGTAGCCTGGAGAAGACCCTTTCCGTTTCCATCGTCATCGATACCCTTGAAGAAAGCAAAGGTCTTCGGGTCCGGGGGAGTGGTGGGTGCGAGAGAGTCGCCGAGATCCTGAACAGTGACGTGGCAGTGGCCAACGATGTTGCCGCCTTCCAGCTGTTGAGGAGCAGCGTAGTATGTGGTGAGAGGATCCGTGAAGGAACCGGCAACCAAGTTGGTCAATTGGACTTGAATGTTGAACGACTGGTTGGGGGTCAGGTCGTCTCCGGGGCCGGGGAAGAGGACAATGGCAGAGACCATGTTGTTGTTGGAAGGAATGTCACCCATAACCACGCCGTTACATGAACCGGCGGTGTTCTGAGTGCCATTGGTCAGGGTCTTGCCTGTACAGAAGTTGATGAAGTTGGCCGGGTCACTGGTAAAGTTAGTATATGCATTTTCTGTGAATGAGAAGGTCCCAAAACATACGTGTCAGAGTTGGCTTGACCAGCCGCGGCGTTACCAATGAAGTCACTGGCAGCTTGGACGTTGGAAGAAAGCAAGAGAAGCGGGTTGCCGCCGTCATTGCCGCTGTTGCCGCCATTGTTGCCGCTGTTGCCTCCAGCAGCGTTGTTGTTTCCAGAGGCCGAGGAGGAGGTGGCGGCGGCGGCGGTCGTCGTAGCGCCAGTGTTTCCACCACGATTGCGCTGAGCGACGGTTCCTGTCGTGAGACCAAAAGTGGCAACTGCCAAGGTCAAAAGCTGAGAGGTCTTCATCGTGTCGTCGGGTCGGAATTTGTTATATCACAAAAAAGGGCTTCTTCGGGGGAAATTGGACTTGGGAGTGCGGGATCAAGGTATGATTCTTTTTTGGGGATAGCAATCGAACGAGAGACTTCGCGGTCAACGCGGTCTGAACCAGGAAAAAAGGAGTGTACGTAAAAAGAATTGCTTGAATGTATTCAATACAATTGATGCGAAAGGAATGTAGAGGCACTGCCACGATGGAGAGAAAGAAACACCTTGGATGCGAAGGAAAAACCGACCTCTTATGCATTCTGCTTGGCACAGGTCTCAGGTCTCTCCGGACCGCAACGTCGCTGGGGGGGATCTGGGTGGGTGGTCCATGGTGATTTCGTCTGAGGCTGCAAATGTTTCCAAGACGGAAGATGACACAGAAGAGGCTCACCAGGCGTCCCCGTGCGTCAGGTTGGGGAAGGCATAGTGCCAGCCTCGAAGGTTACAGGTTGGTCGCAGCCTGCCGCCAACGTGCGGTTGGGAGGGCGATCAAGCATCGCCAATGTTTTGAAAGCACAATTAGCTCACCCAGAGTCCAGACAGGGAGGGAGGATGGAGAGGGGACCAAGATGAAGCTGAGATGGTTTCGAGAAGTGTCGGAGAATCCAGGGAGAAGAACCAGGCGTGTCTGAAACGGGCGGCTGTAGCGAAAGTCCTCGGGGCGGCCACCCAATTGGTACTCTGAAGTCTTGGTAAGGTTCCACTATTGGCCGAGGCTAGCTTGATCCGGGTCACTTTGCTGGTTAATATCCTCCCAGCCGCGTTTAGCGTGTCTTGGTGAATCACTAGGAAGCTCCTGTCTTTCTCCTGTCGACGTCATATCTCCTCCCGGAAATCCCTCCTCCAACCTCCATATTACGAGTGATGGAGTAGCACCAACACACAAGCCTTCCTCCTGCAATGTCCTCCTTTTCTTCGAGAGATCTGCCCATGGACGACTCCACCTCTGCTGGCTCACCTTTGTAACCGCCTACGACCACGTTCGCTCGGATGTGCCCATTCCCTCTCCTAAAAATAATCCCAAACAAGCACCACGTTTGCCCCTTAGACCACTCCACCTTCCCCATCATCTCTTAGCTTTTACGGAGTCCCTTGTACTCCACGATCCAGAGAAAAATGCCCCTGCCAGTCACTCACACCCAAGCTTTTGGTCAAGCTTTGCTTGTGCCGATTACCGAATCATCAACTCTCCGGACTCAATTTGAAGCGTTGGATGGTTCGAGATCCTAGCCAACGTCCGACTAAATTGTCCTGTGCGGAACGCACCCCTCCGGGGGCCAAGGCTTCGATGACTCGGCTGGCATCGTCAGGTCTTACTGACATTGCACAAGCACGGATCACGGCATCGAAGCGCCTTCGACCCTGCACTCACGATTGCATCGAGGACCAAGGCTCTCGCTTAATCTTGGCCCGGTGAGGGGACTATTACTCAGTGGCATGTTACACGATAACTCGAACCGGGCAAAAGCTTGTCAATGAACGTCGCAACGTGGGCGGATCCATCTTGCTCCGTGGACGGATCTGGTGAACCCGCACGAGGAATGCTTGCTTGCTCGGCCCCCAGGTGTGAAGCTATCCGAGTTCTACCTAGAATACGAGGATTGTGGACTTCCAATTACTCTGCAAGCGCGTAAAACTCCTTCTCTCCTCAGCAAGGGATTAGAAACCCAGAATTTCCCCTTTCAGATGCATGTTAGCCCTCCCTGACAAGATCACGTTCGCGATGCTTGTCTTCCCGTGCGCATCGGTCTTGATGTCCACCTCGACCGCGATGGTGCACAGTCTGCCCATCTCTACTCCCTGTTGAATGCCAAATACCTTCCTCTCAGTCTTTTCCTCTCCTAGCTTCAGCTCTTCTGCCTTCTTTGTGAGTTCGGAATCCGCTGTCTCCTTGTCCGTTGCTTCCTCTGCAGGGTTCTTGGGCTCCGACGAAGAGCCTGCCTCTTTCAACGCCAGATAGCAGGCCAGCGCGCAGCACGCACTCCCCGTTCCGGGATCCTCGATACCGTGAGAAATCATCCTAGCCTGGACGTTATGGATAGCTGGTTCTCCCGGCTGTTCCGACTTTGCTACGAGCTTGTAATACAAACATCCTACAAAGCTCGGTGACCACTCAGCGTCCAGCTCAACTTCGGGGGACTTCCCTGCTTGTAGGGCGCTGAAAATCTCAGCATTCTCGGAAAAGTCGACGAGGACAAAGGTCATGCCCTTCACGATCGAGACCAGTGGAAACGTCTTGTCTCTTTCCTTGTCGATGGTCGGGACGATTTGAACTTGGGGCTGTGTGGAGATGATCTTCTCGATCGGCACACGGTGGGAATGAATGTGGTAGTCGAACGGGACTGCGCAAGCGGCCACTTGACGGTAGGGGTTGAAGAAGATAGGTATTCGGCCAGCCTTTGTCAAGAGCACGGCGGTTTGCTTCTGGGTGTCTCGGTCAGCCGGCCCGCCGTAATGCATTCTCTCGAGATAGCTGAATATCTAGCATAGCACGGTCAGTTGTTTTCACTCGGTCAAGCACCATAGCGAACGCACATAATACGCTACTCCGATGACCTGGAACGCTCGTCAGCGTGATCTCATCTTCCATCAACGACGGCATCTACGCCGTGAAGACTCACAGGATGACCCGCAAAGGGCACCTCCTCTCCCGTCTCCGTAAAAATTTCCAGCTGCCGGGGCTGACCGGGAAAGGGAGCGTCATGCAAGAACGCTGTCTCGGAGAGCCGGAACTCCCGTGCGATTTGAGACTTGCGTTTATGCGAGAGCGCGTTCCCGTGCACGGAAACTATGGCTAACGGGTTGCCCTGGAATTTTTCCGGGGAAAAGACCTAGAATTGGACGATATCCCATCAATATCTGCAGTGTCTGACGTGTTCGAACAGCAGCAGTCGTCAGAATCTTGCAAGCAAGAGAAGCATCGCGGAAGCAGCAAGCAGCATCTGTCGTAGAATAGAATCCGAGAAGGCCCGGATCAACATCGAACCCAACGGCGAGAATAGATAAGCTGCATAGATCTTTCAACTGAGGTAACTCGCCTCATGTCCCCCGCCACGTTATCTTCTCCGCTGCGGGAGAGCCAAACGAACAATCGAGAACGCTATCATAGACGACAAAGCGTGCGGATGAGACATACCACCATGGTCGCGAAGGTGTGGGGGCCCGACGCCATTTTTTTTTCTTCTGGTTGGTTGCTGTGAAGAGTTGCAAGGTCAAAAAGAGATATAAGGCAGACACTTGCTCGGCAAAGACGTTATATCCCTCGATCTTGTCGTCCTCCGTACAAGTCAGGAAGCTTGACCATGACCCGATCTGTGAGGATCCTTCAGCAGCAGCCTTCTGGGTCAGATCTGCTCCTTCGATAGAGCGGTCTACGTTGATCACACGTACGACATCAGCTTGAATCAGTTTTCGGAAGACCAGGGTCGGCGCCACGGAGGAATGTTATTCCGGGGAGATGACTCGGCAAACTTTCCGCAGTCTCTCTCCAGGTTTACTAGTGAGCCGCCTCTGTGCTAAGTTGTTCTCGTATATCAACAGCAGGACAGACCATGACCTCGACAATGGCCAACAACTCGCATTCTGCCTTGTGAGTCTGGTGATCCCAGAGTCCTTGTGAATACTAACCACATTCATCACCTTCATAGCTGACCTCTACACGTTTTGGTGCGAGGTCAGCAGCATAATAGGGACATTCTCTGCGCCCATATTCAACCATTTTTTGCACTAACAATGACATTTCAGTCGCTGTCTGAAGAGCGTGATGCTCGAGTAGCCGCATGCCCGAAGCACTTTCTGAGACATCTGACAGGTCACACCGTCAATCTCGACGGATGGGTGTGACGGGTAAGGAATGGTCGCTGTGTATTGAACAATGCCTTTCGAACCAGATTCTGAAGTGGAAACGACAGGGGAAAAGAGGATTGTGTCTTGGTGGCCCTCGCCGAAGACGAAGTATGTGATGGTTGCTGTGCGCGATCGGTTGCACGCCTGGATGACATGTAGTCTGATCCGGCGATGGATCCGATCCGCGGGCTTATCTTCAACACGAAGACCATCGAGTCCGACTTCTTCCTCGCGGATCACGAAACGAGCAATTGCAAATGCCATGCAGCTTGTCCATCCCCTCTCACTAACACTTGCTTCGTGCAAGAGTTCGAGAGCTTCGCGACGCAATCTCGGTTGGCGGCAGCGCGTTGCCACGAAAAACAAAGGGGATAAGACCCCGAGACTTGGACGCAGCACGCTCTGCTTCCTTCGTGGATCAGCGCCATTTAGGTGTATAATCCTGCTGCAGCTGTCGACAATGAAACTGAAGTCAGTATCATATGCGTCGAATATTGCCTCATCAGGCGACCCAATTGTCAAGAACATAACATTCGCCACTCGCAGGTGGAGGCAGAGGTGGATATAGTCGAATTCATCCCCTGAAAGGATATCCGTGTCGAGCAGTTCCTGTAATTTGTGGCTCAGACACTCAAATGCTGCAGCAATTTTCTTCTCGAGATAGTACGGCATCTCAGGCATTGAAGTTGCTCGCAAAACACATTTCAGAAGCCGGTCGACTGCATCAAGAGCCCCAGTCGCGTCTGGAATGCTGCACATCTGACCCACATCATAGTCGAGATGATAGTTTGCTGGTATGCCTGACCCCGGTGGGGGAAAGTTGTCGGAAAAAGTGCAGGCATGGTTGATGAGCTCGTCCAGCGTGGGGATGAAAGTTGCAGCAAATTCGTGGGGCATATCCGGAGTCCTGGCCCCTAAAGACGTCTCGATGCCGAACTTCTCTTGCACAATACGATATGCCGCCATGATATGCACGGTGGCGGATGAGGTCTTCTCGATCCAGAACTGCATGGCCAAAAACAACATGCAACAAGTCAGCGACACCTCAATCGGCAATGTCACCGGATCAGCGGTCCGAACCATGTGCATTGCCTTGTGCGCGTGCGACATGGCGAGCGCAGAGATTTCGGGACGGGCTTGTGCTTGCATCTCGGCCACTGTGATATTGTGAAATGGGGCCTGGAGGGCTCCCAATGCGGTCAGACCGTGTCGAACAGCGTCATGGCGGAAGCCTAGCTGTGGTGCTAGCTGTGTCCAGAAGGGCATCGAGTTCAACTGGAACGTCGCCAGGATTCTGCTTCCGACTTCGACAAAGTATTGGTACCTAGTTTTCTCCAACTCAGAATCAAATTGCAGAGCTGACCGTGGTTGGTATTCGAAGATGCGTGCGACGGGCACCTTGTAACCTGGACATGGTAGACCCAGTTTGATGCATCGAGCACAGTTTGGATGCTCTTCGCTGCATTTTGTTCGCCTTTGTTTGCATCGAAGACAGCCAGTCAATACCTTCGGGTGCCATCTCCTTTTTCTCTTCCGAGGACAATCACGGGATGCCGACCCGGTGGCAGAGCCTCGAAGATCGATGATAGACATGAGAGCTGGCATCTTCGCAGGTGCGGCCGTCATTGCTGCTGGACCTCAGATCGGTCCCGTCCTGATGATTCACACTTAGACTCGAGAACTCGAAGCTGAAAAGGAACACGGACCAAATGTTTCATTCGAGAGCAATAGATTCATTGCAAGAATTGTCTCTCGCAGATTTCCGGCTTTCCAAGTCCCCGTACTGTGCCAATAGCGAAGAGCGGGACCACTCCTCGTCACCGGCCTTCGCCTCAGACAATGCCACTGAACGAGCGCGGGCTGGCAGACCTGTCGGTTGCCCTATTGGAACCGAGATATGTACAGGAGTAGATGCACCTATAAGGCTTAGAGTACATGCTGAAGGGCCGTCCAGGTTAATGACTGGTGAGCTGGGATCGACTAGATGCATTGCTGCGGGTGGCCTTGGAAAGTATCGTCCCGTCTCGCAGCTTCTCCGCAGCCCCAGTCTCTCCACGTTATTGCAAGGCCGACCGTCGAACCGGGAGGATCTTCTATTCTTGCGGATCTCGGCTCCTTGGTGTGTGTTGAGGGCAGCCAAGTTGTTCAACATTGGGCGGGGACATGATAGCCCTACAGCTTAGGCCCACCGCGTGTGTACCAGAAAAGAAACAAATTGAGCTGAGCAGGTCACGTTACATTCAGCTATTTTCCTGAGGAAACAAAGTAATATCGCGCCCCAGAATCGATTAGGTATCGAAAACGCGCTCGGCTCAAATCAGGTAGGCATCGAGCACAGGCTGAGCTGGGCATAACGAGAACGCCCGTAGGTCTTGCTCGGCTGTACTCTTGTATTCGATGCAGGAATTTTGAAAGCTGAATGCTTCTGACCCAGCCAAGATAGTCTCGTTTCAACACAGTCGGGACTTGGACGTTTTTCGAGGGGATTGCACTGGCCTCCTGTGGAGAAGGCTAAACATTTTCCTTGAGTGATATCTTGTCCGGGCGAATATCGCCACACCGGCAATAGTGGTGAAGCATATCTCGCTAGAAGTAGATGAAAACCGCCAGTTTCTTACGACCATCTTCCACAACCGACTGCAAAGCAGTGCCAGCAGCAACAAGCCCGCCAGCCTCAGCACTGAAGGAGGCAGCTGCGAGATCCAGCTCAGAGAATCCCAAGTGTCGTAGCCAACGTTGTGCGAGCATGCCGATCATATATCCGAAGATGGCCAGCAGATGTAGCGTGAAAGGCTCACATTTTGATGTTATAGTTGTATGATCTGAAGAAAATTAGTACATCAGTATACCTAAAAGAAGAGAAATATTTACCATGTTCCTTCAAAGTGCCCTGAGATATCATGTTAACATGTTCTTGCTCACCATAGTCGAATCCCAGCATTTTAATTGCATCATTGAACTCCTTGAGCATGCCTCTCTTATCTGCGTATGGCGGGAAGGCATGGCGGAAAAATACGCCCACTTCTGCACCAAATTCTTCATAGATGTACTCCATGTAGTCCTCGTTCTTTTGACAGATATCTTCGCACCTTTGGTCAACTCCGTCCACTCCCTCAACTTCTTCACAGAAGTCTCGCAGTCGGAAAATCAATTCCTTCGCTGAGAATCCGCATGATTTAGTGCCCTCTGCATCAGCTCCATGCAGCAGCAGCTTCCTGGCCGATTCGAATGATCGTAAGATAATGACCATCATCAACGGGGTTAACGCATTAGAGTCTTCCCATTCAACATCAATGACCTCAGTCAGAACAGTTTCGAGGATTATTTGGTCTCCGTAAAGCACAGCTGCGCCCACAATAACCCCTACTCCCCAAGAGTCCATTCCAAAATTATGACTTGGGCTGCTGCCAAGTGTGCATGTGGTTGCAACAACGGGAGAAAATGTGTAACCTACTAGAGCTCTATCGATCCTGAATACTGTTCGGCCCCTTGCAGTGGGTTCCGAGCAGATAATCGATAGATGGTGACTGGCCCGTGTAGTCAAGGAAGGGCGTATCCAGGGCTTCAAAAACGGCAAACACGAAGCAAATGATGGTGATGGATCTGGCAGAAGCTGTAACTGGATCACGTCACAAGAGTTGTCGAAATGCGCACCGACACCGGCCCCCCATATTGAATCCCATCGCTTCTGATGGGTGGTGATCTCACATCCCGCCTCAATCAGACGCCTGAAGACCGTAGAGCTCCCAAAGGAGGCGGACACTTCAAGGTACCGAATAAAGAAACCTGGCACTATCGTGATTAGGGTCAAGTTCGGGCACCTCGCTTGGGTAAGATAAAAGGACGTCGAGTTCTGCGGCAGTACCTCTTGCACACGTAGCCGACAAATAGAGGTCGCGCCCCTTGGAGTCAGCCAGGCACATATCGTTCAACTGTGTCTGAAGACTGAAATCTGGCCCAGCTTTCCTAATTCGGTCGTTACATGCTGGATTGACTTCTTGATGCTCGCGAATTAGTTTAGTACGAAGTCTTGGTCCTGGTCGGGCTATGGTTCGAAGAAGCCATGAATTTGCCGGGGTCATGTCATGATACTCGAATAGACCAACATGTCGATGCACAAAATCGTGAGCAAAGGCCCTTGGGCCAGCAGCGTAGAGGATCAGGAGATCGTATGTTCATAGAATAGCGACCCATTCAAGACGTATGCGAGATCGACTCCTCGTTCGATGACCATATCAACAACTTCTCTTTTCTCATATGCCTGGTTCTCCATAGGACTCGCAAGCATCCTAGACAGTGTCAGCGTGGCCACTGGGTGCCTCGTTGTCACCTACTGTAGAGCCTCCTCCCCTTCCGTCTTGTGGGGACATGTCTGATCAAGCATCAAACGGCACAGTCGAGGCCACGAGCGTTGAGTACGATAGGCTCCCACAATCTCTTGATTGCTGTATTGTAGAAACAACTGCTTCGTGTCAGGATCGGAGTTCTGGAAGTCGTGACAAGACACTTGCCTCGAACAATGATTCCGGTGCCTCTTTAACATAGGTTGAACTCGACGTATCCGCTAGCTCAGAATGGTGATAGGGTGGTACAGTAGAAGGTCTAGAGGATGGGCTAGCCCATTGGCAAACATGCTTGGTAGACCGGGCACGTCACAGGATAATAGGTAATTGAAAGTCTCGGGTCAGAGTTGACATGCGACCTCCGCAATCGGAGAGGTGCTGAAGGCGTGGATGAGACAGCAACACACATATCCGATAGCCACCTTGGAGGAACAGAGTTGAACTCGACGTATGTGTGTTCCCGGGATGCTTCCCAAGCGGACGGATCTTGCTGGATCGGGTCACGAGTCACCTTAACTCTCAAAACTCCAAAGATTGATCGTTCCGGAACTGCAGTCTCTTCAGCAGAAAACCGCCGAGCAATAATCCAGGTATAGGGCAAGTTGAACTATGTTGTTGAATAAGATTTGGACATTTTGGGGGTCATCTGAGTAGATGTATGGTACAGGGGAAGGTGAGCTAACTGAAGCATGCCTCGTGCTCACTTCCGACGCTTCATAACCTTCATACACATCTCTTCTAGCCCATCCTTGGCTTCGCCAGGTGGAAACGCACTGATTGAGGAAACAGCTTTGTCGGCATATTCCTGGGCCAACGCACGGGTCTGCTCGAGACCGTCGCTCTGTGATACGATATCCCTTGCCTGTCGAAGGTGGTCAGCTCCAGATTACAACGACATCAAGAAATCAAGTGCAATTCACCTTCTGAACATCACCCTCCTTGGAAAACTTCCTACCCACCAACAACCCCAACTCTGGCCTATTCCTCCATGCGAATAACAAGGGCGCCGTCGCCAACCCCAGCTCCAAGTCCGCACCGGCGGGCTTTCCCAATTCAGTCCCAGATATCGTATAGTCCAGCATGTCGTCCACGAGCTGAAACGCCAGCCCCAGGTTTTTCCCATATTGGTATGCAGCCTCGACCACATTAGGGGCGCACTGTCCGAGTAACGCGGCCGCACGACAGCTTTTACTGATCAGACTTGCAGATTTCAGGTATGTCTTTTGTAAATAATATGAAATAGTCTGCTCGCTCCAGCTGGGGTTCTTCTCATCGCTCGCAGTGTTCTTCAGTTGCATGAATTCGCCTTCCACCAAATTCGCAATCACTGTTGCAAGCAGCTCTGTGACCTCGGGATCTCGTAACCGTGCGAGTGCAACGGAGGCACGCCCGAGCATAAAGTCGCCTGCCAGCACGGCCATCTTGTTCCCGAATGTCGTGTTCGCGGAAGGTGCGGAGCGGCGAGTGGTCGAGTGGTCTATCACATCATCGTGGAGGAGGGAAGCGGTATGGATAAGTTCCGTGATCTCCGCCAGTCGTCGCTGGGAAGGGAGGATTGCGGTATCATTGGGGAAGGCGTATTTGGTTTCGTTCGAGGCGTCCGTCAACGGCGACACGGCGGAGGAATAATTCATCAGGTCCTTGTCTGGGTTCTTGTCTAGAAGCACTGACGGGCTTGAGATCGGCGTGTCAATGGCACTTCTGCTCAGAGTATGCTGCACATCGTATCTGGGTCGCGGCTGTTTCGCAGCAAATGCAGTCGCCCTCGACATCAGCAGCACGAGCAGCGGCCTCACATGCTTCCCTTCGCTCTGCGTATAGTATTTTGCAACCGTGTCTAGTATCGGGTGCCCCGAGCCAAGCAGCTGGCGGATGTTCTTGTTGAGGAATTTTAACTCTTTCGCGACAATCTTGAGAGGATCAATGGTGATATTACCAGTGGATTGTCGGGAGGAGGAAATGGTAGTAGAGGGGAGGACCTCGGCGACGGTGCTTTGAATCTTCTGGACGGCGGCAGCCCATGATGTCTGAGGGGAGGAGCTTGAGAAGAGACGTCTCGATTGCACCTGGACAGCTGGTGAAGCTGATTTGGAATAGTGTGATCTCGTCCGACACCACAGGCAAACTGATGGATTTAGATTCAATCGAGAAGAAGCTGTCGTGGGAGCCGTCGCCGTGGACTGCCAAATAATCGTCGACTTCGGTGAAATACGCCCGCGTCCTCCCATGACTGCGAATGGCATTAATAAAAGCTAGCAACAGACATCCATGAAGCTGCAGAGGCCTGGGAACAGCTGAAGGAAAAGAGTACAAGAAAAGAGCGGCGAGTGTAATGGCAAGCTCTCAGGTAGGTCGAGGGAAAGGGTATGGAGGTCTTCGGGACGCAGCGCGATTGACTTTTTTTGACTTTTGGGGATTTCCAGGGCCAGTCATTATGTAAGCCGCAGCCAGCACATGCCACAGAATTGTCCAACAAATGCTATCAACTTGTCGAGGACTCCTTAGAACGCTGCAACTTCATGCAATCCGAATACGTCCACTTCACAACTAGGCAGATGACCCGAAGCTACCAGGTCGATGTCGGTCTCCCTGCGCCTACTCCGGTTTTCTCCTGAATACGGGAGACGTATTTCCCCGGAATATACTCCCTACAGCTACGCTCTAGGACGTAAGCTTTGGTTTGTACGCGTCGAAGGGGAATTTGATAGATGAGTGATCTAGATCCAGTTATTGATGCCTTGAGTCAACGTGCAGAGCGAGCCGGGGGGTCTATCCAAACCCTGTCATGAAACTCCCGACATATCTTGCAATGCATCGAACCTGGGCGCAGCTCTTGTTCCTCTATTCGCTCAATCAGGAGACGCATGTTGACCAAGCATATTCCATTGAGGAGAGATGAACACACGGACCACAGGAAGCCGCCCTTCTCAACGAATGAGGCTTGAGCTTCCATTCCAAACGATGGCTATGGCCCGGACTCAGCCCGTAACCCCAAGTTTCAGGCTGTGAAGAGCTTTCACATCACTCCAAAAGATCACGGCGAGGCCGCGACGTTCATCAAGATCGTTGTTCCTCACTTGAGTCCGTTCTTCTCCACCCAGTCGCGCCATTCCTGCCACTCGGAATATGATGCACTCGACTTCAGCCCCGTATACCTGATCGCCTTGAAATCTTGGACTTCCTCCCAAGGCTTTGGCGGTTGGGACTGTTGCTGATCGCTTGCAGACCCTCTAATCGACCCTCGTAGGAGCCTTCTCGCAACGCCGTGACCTGTGTACCCTCCGTCCCATCCTGCTTTCTTCATTAAACTCTCCACCGTCTCCTCTTTGGTCCACCCTTGCTCGACCGCCACGTCTGGCAGATACGTCGCGCCGTGTCGCCGATTTCGGTAGTTGAAGCTTATCCGTAAGCCGTGTACGCCTAGTGTCCAGTCCATGGCATCCCGGCAGGGCTCGAAGTCTGCAAGTAATGTCAGAGAACAGGAGAGTGCGGGCAACAGTGCAGCCGGGATGGGCGAGAATCGCGTGTCATCAAAGGCCGATGTCAAGGCGTAAGTGCTGAGTCCCGTCGCGAGGGGGAGGGCCTCAAATGTCCCGATGCATCCTCTTAGAGCTTTGTTGCCAGAGCGGCCTACAGTGTTCCAGGTGACGAAGAGCGGATACGACTCGGTAGCCGAGAGCTGTGACGCGTACGTGGAGCGAGTATGGGAGCTCGAGGAGGTTGTACTCGATGAGTTTGTCAGCTGCGAATTGGACGAGCTCGCGGAGAAGAGTGAAGGTGAAGACGCCGACGACGACCGCGACGACGAACTCGACGCTTGCAACCGAGAGATGCTGGCCAGTTGAGGCCCGGCGTTGCTGTTATTGTGGCGACGATCAAAACGTTGGATCTCTTCTTCCCCAGCATCGTCGTCTTCTTCTTCATCTTCCTCCTCTTCTTCGTCACCGCCCCGATCTTCCTCTTCAGAGTCCATTACTTTGGCTGGACGTTTGCCATTTTCTAATTCTTCATCCCCTGCTGTAGCTCTTCCACTAGGTTGACGAGCTGTTTTGTAGGCCTCATACCATTCGAGCACTTTTGGTAAGGTGGGAGGATCTCGACGTTCAAAGCTGGCCGATAGAACTTCGAAACAATAGAAGCAATGCGCAGGGCTCGCCATAGATTTCACCCGGTGTAGATCGAGTACTTGCTAGGACCGTAGGAATGCAGCCAGATGAGCAAGGAAGAGGAGCAGTCAAGTATAGGAGACACGGCTCAAATTGACCAAAGTCTGGAACATGCGGTTCAGAGGCAAAAGGAACCCTGGGAGAGACCGCAGTGGAAATTCGACGGGTAATGGAGTACGACAGAAGGAAACAGGCAGAAGAGAGGGACCGAGAGCGAGTGTCGGAGGTAAGGGAAAGGAGAGGCTGGTACTATAGATACGGTGGCGGTGGTAGTGGTGTTGGTGGTGCAGGTCGAGTTGAGGGTTGACTCTGAACCGCCTCACCCCGAGCGGGTCCTCGTTATCGATCATCATCAGGAGGCGGAGATCCCCAGGAATCACAAGCACCAAGTCAGCCACCACGTCCCAAAAGCCCCCACTACAGATGGGCACGCCCACCAGTTTCTCGTCCGGCACCCTGGGCTTGTTGAGGGCCTTTGTTGAAGACCGAGTTGGTTCATTTCCAAGCATCCACGTAGCTTACACTTATGCCCAAGCCTGCATCACTCTGTCCCACTGAGGTGCCAACGACAGACCCAGCAGGAGCACCAGCACCGGGCAGGGGACTCCTTGTTGTGCTTCTCTCCTGGCTTCTCTCCGTCCTGGACGACGTGTCTCCTTCGCCGTCGCTTTCGTTCTCTTGTGGTACCAGTCTGACGGAGCCACCCCCTCGCCCTCTTCTCTCGCTGGCCCGCATCTCGTCTTCTGCTTTCCTCTTCTCCCACTCCGCAACTAAATTCCGGTAGTAGACCTCTGCCTGCACTGTGATACTGTAGTACTCGGGAGTCCAGCCGGCCTTGTTCTTACTCAATGGGTCTGCGCCCGCTTGGATTAAGGCACGAATGGCTTTGAGGTTCCCCCACGCACTCGCGTTGTGAAGACATGTGTTTCCCAGCTCGTCCTTCGCGTTCACATCCGCACCGCTGGCGAGGAGTATTTCTATTGTTCGATTGTCCTCCGGGGTCGACCTTGGAGGGCCGTTGGCAGCGTTGCTCAGATTCGGTCGAGAAATGATCTGGGAGCATGCGGCGAGGTGGAGGGGTGATTGGCCTTTGCGATCTCTTCGATTTACGGTCTGTGGGAACTGCCTGCACAAGAGCTCAACCACGCCGGCTTGAGAAGAGGCCGCAGCCAGATGTAGAGGTGTTTGGCCATCTGTGTTGACAGATATGCCCCGATTGTCGGGTTGGGCACTGTAGATCCAGTCTTCTACTGGCCGAGAACAATCGTGACCGAGAGATACAAGGAATTCCTGTGGTGCGCTTGAGTGGTCTGTGATGGTAACTGTTGCCGCGAGGTGTACTTACTGCGATCTCCTCCAGCCCATACTTCGCAGCAAGATGCAATGAGGTGTTACTCTTGTCCGCAAAGTCCGGATTCTGGAGGTACGGAAGATTGTGCTTGAGGATTCGCTGCACTAATGCGATGTCGTTGAGCAGAATAGCTTGTCGCAGGGACAGGTCAACTCGGGTCATGGTCGAGCGTCAGTATCCTTGCCAGAGGGACTGAGGGCAGCATGGCCATGTGCGCTGATACAAACAAAGCCGATGCATCAATGAAGCACAACAAACAGATAGGTTTACGGGTTTACGGGCTGGAGGCCGGGGCAAGGAAAGTCAAGGGTGTACAGCGGGGGTTGAAGCCGTTGTGTGTCAGTGGTTCGCTGGCAGTGATGCCCCTGGCGTGCCTTGGGATTCCCCACACGCGACTAGTGGCTAAAGGCACATGCAAAGGAGCTCGACTGTTCCATTAACACCACCTAGTAACCCTCTACACTTTGGTGCTGGTAATTCCACATGCGACGTTCGTACAGCTCAACCGTCATGCAGCCTTCTTGCCCTTCTGTGCCTCTCGCTCCGCCTTCTTCAATGCCCTTCTCCGGATATCCACATGCATCTTCTTATTGATTCCAAGTAGGATGCTGTTCATGGGACCGAGGACGCCGGTGATCAGTGCTGCGACAAGGGCGTGGCTCCAGTACGGACTCCCACTGTAGGGGTAACCAATGCTCCCACCTCTGCGGCCGATTTTGGCCAGTGCAGATCTCACGAACGCTTTTTCCGTAGGGACCTGCCAGTTCGCGCGGCGGATCTTGGACATCGAGGACGTGACCAGGTATGAATGGACAAAGAACACGTCAATGCCACTTGAGGCCAGCTCGGAGGCTAGAGCGTTGGACCATTGTTGAAGGAAGGCTTTAGAGCCAGAGTATGTGGCCAACAAGGGTGTGGGTGTCAGGCCGCCAAAGGATCCCATGGTCAAGATCAGCCCCTTCTTTTGTGGTAGCATGCTGGGAAGCACCGTCTGGGTGGCCCGGAGTGTGCCCAGGCAGTTAATGTTGATGATGCTTGTCATTTCGGGCAAGGGTGTCTCGGCGAAAGGCACTGGAATACTGTGACTCTGGCCCACGTTGTTGATCAGGATGGCAACCAGTTTACCTTGTACCAGTGATGCCAGCGCCGCGTAGTCTTTATCCAGGTTCTGCGAGAAATCCATGGCTAGGGTCTCCACCGAGACATTCGGAGAAGAGGTCTTGATCTGCGCTGAGAGGGATTCAAGCTTCGACGCCGTGCGGGAGACAAGGATGAGACTGAAGCCCTTCTTTGCCAGTTGTAGAGCGTACTCCTTTCCAATGCCGTCGGAGGCCCCGGTGATGACGGCCCATGAACCTTTGCTCCCGTACGAGGACAGCTATTGAACGACACCAGTTAGCCGTAAAGCCCTGTATGCTCTGCTGCAGACTCACAGATTTTCCTGGCAAGATAAAAGTACTCAGAAACACTCTTGTCACTGTGAATGCGACGGAGGCGAGGGTGAGCGCCCCAATGCCCAGAAGAAGAGCGGAAGGGAGGTTTTGCTGGCCCAGGGGGCCCAGATCGATTGTCGTCGCCATGTTCGAGCTCAAAGCAGACGATCAGACTCGGTTATGACAGAGGGAAAGAGCAGAAGATCATATGTACATTCAAGATCATTGTAATAATCTGTATGGAGCATGTGCGGAACTGGACTGGGGCGGCACCCGTTGAATTATTTTACCCGCCAACAAACAAGGATTGCTTGGGGGGCTGCGTTGATTCTCAATCCACACCCACACCAGACACGGCTCGCGTTCATCCGCGTCAACAAAAATTCGATAAATTTGGTTTCTACGGGTTGCTTTGAGCGTTTCGTGGTCCTCGATTCACACCCATCATTGTGTCTCTCAGATGGCGTCTTTTCTTCCTCAATCAGAGGGCTACCTCCCCCTGTACATTTTGTTCGTACGTCGAACTACAGTCTCAAAATACATTGCTCACTACTAACCCGCGAATCCAGGTGGGCGTCACGGCGATTGGAAATGCCATCCAATGCTACAACACCCTCTCCTACACGCGACGTCTCTATCCGGGCCAACCTTCAGCGACGACTCAATCCAAGGACAAAACATCTCCGGGAGGGAGCTCTCCGGCCACGCCTCTCTCCTCCAGGACATTTGGGACTTGGACAGCAGCAGTCGGGATCGTCAGAATATTTGCCGCATATCACATCAACGAGGCGTCGTGGTTTCAGATGCAGATGTTGACCAACGTCGTGGGGCTGGTGCACTTCAGCCTGGAGGCGTTCGTGTACAAGACATGCTCGCCGTCAGGACCGTGGCTCGCGCCTGTCACTGTTGCCCTGATTGGTTTGGTGTGGAGCACGTTGCAATATGGCTTCTATGTCAGATAAGAGGTGGCTCAAGATATCACCATTCGGCCATCATGAGCTGGGCTGTGTGGTGGGCTTGTCGGCTGCGGGCGGCTTCTGAACCTCCTCTCCCTCCTTGGTACCCAACTTCTTCCTGTACAATTCTCCTCCGCAGTTCTGCAGCCTGACTGTAGCTTGTTCCGGTGTAATATCTCTCTGGGGCTCTCCCAGCATTTCATACCCGACGAGGAATTTCCTGACTGTGGCACTCCTCAGGAGTGGAGGGTAGAAATGCAGATGAAGACTGGAGCACTCAATCTCCTCATCGTTGCCGTCCAGTGGCGCTTGATGGATGCCCATACTGTACGGGAAACTCGTTTCAAAGAGGTTGTCGTATCGCCGGGTGATCTCTGCGATAGCCTGTGCCAGGTCTATCTGTTCTTTCTCGCTCATATCGACGAGAGAGCGGATGTGTTTGACGGGTAGGATCATGGTCTCGAACGGCCAGGTCGCCCACCATGGACAGATGACCAGAAAAGTCTCGTTTTGGAAGACGACCCGTTCGTTCTTCTCTCGTTCCAAGCGGGCATAGTCCACCAGCATGTGTCCCCCGCCTTGTTGGCGATTGTATTTCCTCAACTGCTCCAACTCAATTGCCGGCTCTTCGGGCAGAGACGTGGTCGTCCAGATCTGCCCGTGCGGGTGAGGATTGGAGCAGCCCATGGCGGCACCTTTGTTCTCGAATATTTGCATCCACCGGTACTGGTCCTTGGGTCGTCCGACGTCTGCATGGGGGTTCGACGGCGGCAGATGAGTCGGTTTAGCCTGTGCCGCCAAGGGCGACCGGGGGGATATATGCGCCGTATAGATGTCTGTCCACGTTTTCACAATTGGGAGGATCTCGGCTGGGGTCATGTCTGCCAACGTGACATTGTGGGCGGCACTGAAGGTCAAGACATAGCATTTGCCCTTGACGGGCTCGGCCTGTAACAGCAGGCTGGGCAGGCTTCCTGGTTCGTCTGGTGACTTGTAATCTTCTTGCGACTCCTTCACGGCGCTGAAGTCGTTCACGAAGACGTAGGTGTTCTCGTACTGGGGGTTGACATCCCCGGACGCCCTCGTGTTTCCCGGACACAGGTAGCATTTGGGGTCGTACACGGGCAGGTCGATGACTCCAGGACTCTCCTGCTGGCCTTGCCATGGTCTCTTGGTGCGATGGGGAGAGACTAGGATCCAACTGCCCCGGAGAGGATTGTATCGGCGGTGCGAGATGTCATCGAGGATCGTGTCAGGCATTTTTCACGTTCTTCTTGTGCGTGTCGTGGCAGGGGGATTGTTTGTTGGGTGATGAAGCGTTGTCCCGTTCTCCAGCACCTCTCTAATCAATATTCGGAGGAGGAGTGGACCTCATTCAGCAATCCAATGCAACATGGACAAGTCGACTAGGATCCAGCCATATGGCAAACCGACCTTGTTGTCTCCACCTCCGAGAGTTCGTCGTAGGCCGTGTCCAGAGCACGGATCTGGAGCTCTGGTATCGAGCCAAAATGATCTCGAAAAAGCCCCTCAATCATTACGTCAATGGGGCCTTTGTGCTTATCGGGCGCCCGGGGCACAGGTGTATGATTGTCTCGGTTGCCGGAGGCCGTGACCATGTTTCCGATCTCGGGTCGCATCACGGCATCTCCTGACAACATTAATATTAATGATATTCTTATTACTATACATCCATCCTCCGAGTCATCCTTACCTCTTGTGTGTGTTTGCGAGAGAGGGAGTGAGGATGAACTGACTCGAACGAAGCTTTGCTGCGGGCCAGCTACATACTACTCTCTCGAGCTCGTGGTGGCCTGCTGGATGTAGCCCGCCAAACTTCTCGTCGGATCAATATCCTCGTTGACCAAGCCGACGTCAATGGGCGCCGTTTCGTCCGTCTTGTGAAATGGCTTGTGATCCTCGATGTCTGTACGATCTCCCAAATGAGGTATGCCTGCCCGTGCGCCGTAGAGGGGAAAAGTTCGCCTGCTAACTTTCACAGATACTCGTGTCTATCCTCTCGGGCTTTGAAACTCAAGACCTGCTGCCTCTGGTGGTAGTCTCGCGGCGGTTTCATTCCATCATCCTTAGAATTCTCCATTTCCGACTTCTCCTCGCCGCCGCCCTCCCGGACTACAAACTGATCCTGGAGGCGTACCATCCGAGCAAGCGATACAGCGACCCTTATTTATTTTGCACCTACCTCGGCACCGATGGTCTCAGCTCGAAACATGAAGGTGAGGGAAGCCTCTATGAAGACTGTGACGGCGAAGAAGGCAGGCTCGCGAAATTAGGTGGGCTCTACAGTCGCTTTAGACCTGAGCGGCCAGGAATACAGGGTTCAATGCCTGCACGCCGGATTGCGGGTGCTGTGCTGAACACGGCGTCGTCCTCCACAGCATCTGGGACAATGCCGATTTACGCCGATGGAGGCGATGGAGGCTTCACCAAAGTCAGCCACACCCTGAATCTCGATCCCGACGAGTTGTTTGGCCAGTTTTGCGCTTATGCGAGTCTGGTGCGGCTGGGGCCCCGGAGAGGCGTCTTTCTGAGCAATGTACACATCGTGCGATCGGGCCAAGGCGTCATGCGAGTGTGGAAACAATGGCTCCAGGACCGTGCTCTGGATCTATGGCAACAAGAGCAAGAGACAGAGGGCGTGCAGCTGGGTCCGACGCCAACCATGAGCTGCCCCACGATAGGCGCCGACAAAAACATCATGTGGACGGACTACAGAAAGAATGTCGGTCTGCGGGTTGCAGTGCGTGACCAGAATGAAGCATGTTATGGGAATCGAGTTTCCGATGTCGACAATGTGCAGATGAGCTTCTCGATAGAGATCCAAGGTGAGTTTCTTGCTCTACCTCCCAGTCCAGTTCAAATGCCAACTGTCCCTGCAGAGCTGGTTGTGCGAACAACGCATCTGATGCTGGCCGTGGAGGCGTCCACGCAGCAACAGGGCAATATATCAGGTAAAGCCCTTATATTCGGGAATTTTGCCACTGTAGCCTCGTCATAAGGCTGGTATGCTCAGGGGCACGTGAGTTGCCTGGCCTCCAATAGCCTCCTACAACCTCCTCCCAACCTCTATCCTATCTTTTCCCGACGTTCGCGATCTTGGTCTGCTCTGGAATATCGACCGGCAGCAGAAACTCGGGCCAGGGCGCTGACTGCGCCATAGGGACATCCATGAGCCCCTTGGCGTTCCTGGCATGGGTAGCCAGCGGACAATTGATGTAGGCATAGAATTGGGCACTCCAAGGCTGGAACACGGATGGTTTTGTACTAGATACGTGGATGCAAACACTTGGGTTTCCTTCGACTCCCACGCAGGAAGGGATCTCGATTTCACCGCTTATTCATGCTGCATGACATGGCAGCGATTTGCCTGCTCGTAAAACGCTTCGCCAGGGAGGTGGTACCATTCTGTTCTGGTCTAGCCGAGCAGGCCATCCGAGTGGGAATGCATTGGCTTCCTCCTGGTCGGTGCTGACCTTACTGGGGCTCTTGTCTTCGTTCGTTTTGTGCTGTTCTGCATTTTCTCCTTCCCTTCGATATCGTCACTGTCACCTCCCTGTCCGTCCTCGTGTGTATTGCCCATTTGACTCGAGAATCGTCGAGGGCAGGAAAATGTCTTCTGGATCAGGTGCTTCGGCTATCAACGAGCCCTGCAGCAAGCGACCTGCAAGCCACAAGCTCGCGGCCCACCCGCCCGTGTTCAAAGCTGTCCAACTCGATGGACAAGCAATTTCTTGTGTCCCTCCGCGAGCTCTCTCGGACCATGATATTGGTGGATAAGGGTTGATGGCTTGCATCCACGGCCTACGTGGCCTTTGGACCACCACAAGGACAAACCCGTTGACCCTCACCGGTTGGAGGGGGACGTCGTCGACCTGAGGCTCTTCGGCTTGGAGGGACAATCGACGGGCAGTCAATACCCCGCTCCTGCTCGCTCGCGGTCTCGAAGCTCCCACATGGCGTCGATTGGCAGCTCGCAATCCCAACCCGCAACCCGGCCAGCTCCCTCCCACCAGCTTTCCCGCTCCGTTATTTCAGCAGCAATCCCCGCGACCCAGGTTTTCGTCTTTCTTTTTCGCCACTGATGATCTCTCCGTCTCGACGCTTCCTTGCATGAATCCTTCCGCTTGGCTGCGAGAATCAGATCCTGTGACCCCACCAGGCAACTGTTGCCCTCCCTGGACCCATTGTGATTGACGATGCCTCAGTATAACACCTTTGCCATCCCGAAAGAGGGGATATCGCGAGAGGTGGTCGAGGCCGACTTGCCCTTCTACCTTGGCCGAGATGCCAAGGTCATGGAGAATAATGTAGTTTGAGGCCGGGACACAGCACAGCCTCGAGTAGCAAGCTGACAGCGCGGCAGAAAGGCGACCGATATGTCATTCAGTCGTTTTCTGAGCCACCGAGAGTAAGTGTTACAAATTCCCTGCCCAATCGCAACCACTGAATGGTATGCTGCAGCACATGATCACATCTCTGCGAGATGACACAGCACGGTGGCATAGAAGCGACGACCATCGAAAGCGACTGCGTGCGTATCGCCGTACTTCCTCCCACTTGAAGGGTACTGATGCACAATAGGTTACTCAGAGAGTCGAATCCATCAGGACCGCAAGCGGGCTTGTCATGGACAGGCTGAATCTCAACCTCAACTGACAAGGCACAGCTCTCGTGACGCGACCTCGGGAAATGCGGCTACAGGTGTATCTCCAATCCCTGTGCCTTCGAGACCCCCTTTGGCGCCACGATATAGCTCGAGCAATGGCTCAGTCTATGGTTCAATGCAAGTGTCGCCCGGTTCGGCCTTCGAGAGCGCTTCTCGATGCCAGTCAAGACGGGAGTCCGACGCCATGTCGTCGCTGGATGGTGGCATGATCAGTCGCACCATGTCGGCCTCCAGCACGTCCAGCAGTTATGGGACGAATGGAACGTATGGCTTCAATAAGGATCTGCCAGGTGGCCGGAACGGTGAATGTAAGACTCGCCGCTACCCGAGGAGTTGATGGCTGAATGTTTGGGGGCCGTTTGTTTTGATGGCAGACGGTCCGAGGCTGAGTGTGCCTGTCGGTGACCTTGTCGAACCGCAATGCTGACTGGCCACAAACAACAAAGACGGCTTCGCCAGCGCCGACCGAGGGCCTGCTGCGTATTTTGGCCGGTCATAGGCCAGCGCGCAGTGCCAAGGCCTGGAAGAGTCGATTCCTTGACCGTGAGAGCTGATGGGAATTAAGTTGTATGTATACCCTGTCTCAACGAACCCCATATGGTGACTGTTGGCGCTCACACCATTCGGATAGTGTATCTGCCTCGAATATCCTGCCTTGTGCCTTGAGGATGTCTCTGAGGAGTTGGAAAGAGTGAGTCGACTTCGGGTTGGATTCACCCAGAATGCGATGTCTGTGCCGCACGACTTCACGCAGCAGCTGCTCGCCAAGCTGCAGGTGGATGCTCTTCTTTGCCCCGGTCTCCTTTTTGGCTAGTTGGAAGAGGAAGAACGCGTGTCGGTGCTTTGCTTCCCAACTATACGCATGCTGCTCGGGGAAGTTCTTCCGCACTCGGGGCAGGACAGACTGGACAATGATGGCTTCAGCCCCTTCCGCATCTCCGCAATAGAAGGTGGCCCTGGCCAGTGTGGCGGCGGCCATGATGGTCTCGATGCGGTCGTCTCCAAATTGCTCCCACTGACGGGTGAGGTCAAGCAGCTCTCTTCGAGCTGGCTCAAAGTTCTCAGGAGCCCTCACTTCCTTTTTCAGCTCGTTCTCCAGCATTGCCCAGGCCAAGTTGTACCTGGCCGTCAAGGCGGGCGCAGACGACTCGGAGAAGCGGATCTTCATCTGAGCTACAATGAGCGAAAGACGAGCGATATCGTGAGGCGGACAACCCGCACCACCACGTTGGAGCATGTTCTTTTTGAACTCAATCGTCATGGTCAATGGGTTGTCGAGGCCGCAGTGGTTCTTGGTCAATTCGTCGCATTTGGTCAGCAGTTCGGAGAGCCTCTCCCACTGGCCGTAGCAGTCGAACAGCACCGATACAATGCTCAGCGCCCCCAGGCATTCCCCGGCAGGGAAGCTCTCGTTCGTGAGCATGCACAAGAAGTTGAACAGGGCATTCGTCAAGTAATATTCGGTTTTTGGTCGGATCCGGGCATCATTCTGGCCGGCACAAATCAACCAATACAGACAGTACATGACGAATTCCGCCGACAGACTCTTGTCATTGAGTTGCCGACTGTGAGTATTGTCGCCGAACCGGTAGATGTCAACTTCAAGGTCGCTAATTTCTTCAACGACCGCCGGTGTCGCGGACAGCACGGCGTTGGTAAAGTCAGCCGGCCACTGCTTGCTCGGATCATCGCTGTCCCACAACTCGCACCAGCTCGATGGAATCGGCTCTTGCTGAGCACGCCAGAAAGGACCCAGGATGTTCGGGATGGCTGGCTGGCTGCGGGTCAAGACTGCCTGCTGTGCGGACACGCGCTCCTGGACGAAGGTCAACTCGAGAGACACTGCTTCATCACCACCATATCTGGGTTCTGATGGACCCGCGGCATGATTGGCATCGTACGAAAATTCGCCCGAATGTCGAGGGCTTGACTCTGGTGACGGGATGGGGACCTTCATTGGAGATATGGGCCGAAAGGCATGAGATTCCAGAGAGCCAAACGAGCTTGCGGATGGAGGTGTTGGCGGCAAGTGGGAGGGCGGTGGCTGCTGGACTTCTTCGACAGGGAAGGTGATATAAGGGGGGGTCCTGTCTTCGTCGGTGATACAGGACAGCAGGTCGTCTTCATCGGCAACTTTGTCATTTCTCTGGATGTACTTTGTGATGTCCTCTCGTCGTCGAGGGTGTCCGGAGAAGATGACGACCTCGTCGCGGCCCTCGCTCTTGGCTTGGTCCAGCAACCTCAAGATGAAGGCGGCATCCCGCTTTGTGAGTTTGTGTCTGAGGCCCCAGGTCTTCAACTGACTCTTGTACTGTTTCACTCTGGGATGGCGTGGTTAGTACAGGTGGACGGCACCGGGGGAATGGGATATGCTCGTACGACAGATTGATACCATACTCCCTTCTCATATAGTCCATGATCCAGTTCAGGGGTCGCTCATCGTGGATATACAACTTTTGGATGCGGTCCTTGTGAGGGCCGAAAGCGACATCGCGAGTCTGTTTTGATTGGACTCGTTTGAAGGCCGACTTAGGCTGGGGACGAGGTCGTGGCAGGTTCGAGGGTCCCATGGTTGGTTACCCACAGCCTTAAGCCACACAACCTGAATGTGGGATAGAAAGTATGCAAAGACGCCAGCCCTTAAGGCTGCCGGTAAGGTTGTACACTTGTCAAGCAGGAGACAGACACGGGATGCATGGAGGAGCAGGATTGCACCCAATCTAAAGAAGAGCTACAAACGCCAGATGCTGCAGGCCAGGCCACTTTGGACTCTTTGTAGCGAGCGAAGCCAACATTTTGTTTCGCTGCCAGTGGCAAAAGAAGCCATGACATCGGGCATATGCTTCTGGGGGGGTCGGTGGCAAGCCTCGTGAACAAGGCACCAGGGGTGCTCGGGGGTTGCGCCTTGTGTGCCTTTGGCCCCCTTGGGAGATGACGTTGGAGAGGATAGGAACAAGGCCGGGCTGCAGCCAGGGGTAATAGAGGACGACGGACGGAACGAGGCCATAAGCATGGCTAGCAGTTCACGGCCTAGTGAGAGGCTCGTAAAAACCCACCCTGCAAAGGTTCTCCAAAAGGGCCCATGAGTGTTGCAGGCAGTAGTCTAGGCAGGCTGGGAGTGGTATACAAAGATTCCATAGCTTCGCACGTTTCTTTTTCTGGTGGGATGTTGTAGAGGAGACCTGTGGCATGACCCAGCCATCCTGGGGCGGCATGCTCTTTACCTCTCTCTTTTTCTGTTTCCCTCTCTTTGACAAAAGTTCCACCAGTCATCACTGGCTCCCCCAGCCATCAGCATCTTACCTCGAGGCTTGACCGGAGCGGGCGCGGTCCATCCCTTTGGGCTCGGATGAGATGCACTTGTGCCTGAGCCGGCCAGGCTGGACGTGATACGGAGGTGGGTGGGGGAAAGGATAAGCACTCGGAAGAAGAAAAGAAGATGAAGAGGAAAAGAGGGAGGGGTGTGTCTCTGCCGTGCCCGCGTGGTCTTTTCCCTGTCCTGGTGCCTGGTAGAGAGCGACACGAGTAGGTACCAAGAGGTAGATGATGGTTCGCTTCAAAGATTCCAAATCCATGGGGGGGGGGCACCTGGGGGTGCCGCCCAAAAGATCCCTTCCATGAAAGGCGTCCATTATTATTACCTAGGAGCACCTACTCCGTCCGCAACAAGGCAACCGCGTCTCTGCATTCTCTTTCGTCGGCTCGTTCATTGCTTGGTGTCTGGCCCCCAAAGTCCCAAGTGCTAGGCACCCTAGGTGGCTCCATGTTCTATGACTCTATGGTCAGCTGAAAGGTCCTGCTGGTCCTGCAGGTGCTGCCCCTTGCAGGAGCCCGGCATCCTCCCGGCATCCCGGTGACCACTACTCGATATGCACACATATTGATCATTAGAAAGGCCGCGTGGTTTCCCTCTTTCTTCGACAATCACTCCCTTTTTGAGCAGGGTGTTGTTTGTGTGTCTCTGTGAGAAACAATGGCCCAACAAAATGCCGCATTTCTTTTTTTTCTGAGTCTCCGAGGAGAGCAGCAGAACTTGGGTTTGTCACTTTCTTCGCCCAAGTGAGGGAGTTTAATCTACTGGGAGGAGATGATCCATCGCCTATCCATCCACCGTTAAGCGCCCGTTGCGGCATTGCAGGCTCATCCCGGGGCTCCAGTGTCTAGAGTTCCAGAGCCCAGTCTAATGAGACCTATCATCTTTTGGCCATTGCCCATTACTATCCCGTTCATCAGCGTCGTCTTGGCTGCTGACCTTCAGGAGCTCCCTTCTAACTCTCCTTCTCCTTCCACCCCCTGGTCCTGCGCTGGAGCGACGATTCCCTTGACCGTTCGTCAGAAATACTCCGTACTCGGTATGTTTGTCACCGATCATCCCCGAACCCATCACCTGAGCATGACGACTGCCAATGCTGTCGCTGCTCCGCCAGTGCCGATCATCGGTGAGAACAAAAGCCCTCACAAAGTCCTTGCTGACGGCTAGTTGCTTAAGCGATCCGGTTCCCTGGCACATCAGGCTGCGCACTTTTGTTTGTGGCCTTGATGCCCCCAAAGCCTCAGGCATCCACTTGGCGGGGCTATTGTGTTCACAGGCTCTTGTCTTGTTACTCATGGCCGTTCTGGCTTTCTCCCTTTCGTCTCAGATGCTGCTCAGCTTCTGAGAAATCGAGTTCATTTGTGGGGTCGGGGCACGAGCTTCTTCCCTCGTTTCTACTTGCTTGCGTGTTTGCATGGCTTGCTTATTGAAGGCATGGAGACTCGTTGAGCGCGTATCCACCGCTGTTGACGGTCCAGACTCCCATGGGACTTTTGATCATCCTGTGCCATGCTTGGTACCACGGAGTCCCCATTGTAAAGGAGCAGAAGCTAAGAAGTACGGGAATTTTGTTAATCTGCTAACGCACACCCGTTCAGATGTGATGGATACAACGGTAGGGGTATGAATGAGAGCTGTGATCGCGCTCTGCGGCAACACCCAGCGAAGTGCACGAGAACCTTTGTAGGCCACATCAGGACACAAGTACCGCATTGAGCCTTCCTCTCCGTTACATTACTGCGCCATCGCCGGGACTGGACATGATGGCTGCCAACGACAACTGTCTTGTTGATATATCCTATGTTGATCCATCCACTAACTAGCACAGGCTCTTTTTTTCCTCCTCATCCAAGTCTAAGAGTGTTAATGAGAACATGGTGTTGAGCATACATCTTATTCGTTGACAGGAGTCTCTGAGAAACACAGCATCAGTTGACCGCGGATCACGGAACGTCTTGCTCTATCCTGTATTGAATCGAGCCAGCTCAAAATTTTGCATCCTCGCTATCGGTAGGATTTTCAACACAGAGAAGGGAAAGCAAAAGGTAACACCGCCCTTCTACGTCATCTCCATCCCACTGTGGCCGAGAAGTCATCGACGAGACAGTCTTCCGCCACACGGCAAGAGGCCAGAACGACTTGTTCCCAGAACCTGACAAGTCCTAGGCCGACGCAGGGAGGCCCCCCAGAACTATAACCACAAGTCACCGTGCCGAGTCCAAAGGACGAAGATCAACGGACAGAAAATCCCGAGAATGCCGCCTGCAACATCCTCCGACACTACCAAATCCGCTCGCCAGCACGCCTGGAGCACCACCAGCGTCGTGAGCGGCAGCACAAGTGGAGGCCACCATCAACATCATCAACGAGACCAACAACCGCAGCACTACGGGCAGCCTCAGAGTGGCGCCAGGAAGGAAGCCGGCGCGGCGACGGTGCAGCAATGGCTGGACACCGACCAACCCGCCCGAGAGGACGTACTGGATCGCGTGGAGCGGGCATTTGCGCATGCCAAGGACAAGCGTGAGGGTGAGGCGAAGATGAAGATGAAGACGAAGTTGTGAGGGTAGACACGATGTTGAGGAGCACGACAAAGGTCTTACGAGGGCGACAACGAAGATGGTAATGAGGGAGAGTCTGACTGTCCTCACACACAAACACCAAGGGGAGAAGAATTCCATGTACCCCTGTCAAGATCCATACCCGCACTCACACCCATACCCATACTCACACATGCAAGAACCAGCCTTGCTTGGACTTGGTCTCGCGCCTATCTTTTCTATCAGACCGTCAGGAATTTCCCACTTCAGAATCGGAGAGTCTTAAGGTTTCCTTTTTTCAACGGGCGCTTCAACGTGTGCGATAAGGTTGTTAACAATACGAGTGGAGTTGCTGATCTTGGGGCATTTACAAAGTTATTCATCTTTATGTTCCGGCTCGCCATGTATTCGGAGTATAAGTGGATTGGCTGGGTCAGTCGGATGGAGTAAAACATCACGCATCAGATACAGGATATCATCAAGATTGGTCCAAGAGGCAGTAACATCAGTCACTATGCAACCAATACAACAAGAATGACTATGTCAGATTTTCTTTTCTTTGATGATCTTCTGTCCACCCTCATCTCCATTATCAGCATCAACACCCTCTCGTATTGGAGCGCCCTCTCAACCCAACCCTCATTACTTTCCACTCCTATTGACGCACCCTCTTGATTCAACTTTTATTACCCTCCTCTTGTATCGGTACGCCCCATCAACCCAACAATAGTCCTCTTTTCAGGCCGGAGAATCTTCCTCGGAACCCCTCAACCTTTCAGATGCGACTCCGTAATGCTCCCATCCGACCTCTCCCATTTGTACCTCCATCCAGATTCCTCTATCTCGGATCCCACTTTATCAGAGTTCTCATTGCAGGCGCAAACATCGCCGTCACATTCAACACACTCCCATCTGAGTGAGTTCTCTAGGTTCTCCACCACAGCCTTTGAGGCGGCAGACGACAGAAATCTACTACTGCAAAAATGCAATGATACGAAATGGGCCGCCGACACCATAAACGCAGAGCTGGCTGGAAATGAGAGGCTTCGAATCAGACCTGCTGTATTTGATCTCCTCAAATACGATGGGAGGTCCTACATCAAGGCCAAGCTCAACGCCAACACATGGGAGAAAAGCTGCTACCTGTTTCGTTCGCTATCTGCTACCGGCGATTGACCGACATTGTCAGGACAGAGTGAGTCGGGAATGAGAGGGACACCGACACCAAACCGTCTTCTTTGATCTTCGACTACGACGGGAGCTCCTACATTAAAATCAAGCTCAATATGACTCTGGAGCACAAGGCCGGGGAGAAACGACAAGGTTAAGCTGTAAGTTGCCCGGCCTATCGGTATGTGAGAGGTGGATGATACTAACTTATTACTAACGTCCAACCGAGAGAGGTGAATATTATCCTGGAGGTGACGTCTGACTGAATTAATATACTGTATGCGAGTGGGTTGGTGAATGGTAGACCGCCCACGGTACGGTATGATAACTCCTTCTGGAGTCCTGGCTCGCCATAATTACTATATATTATACCTACCTACCTCTGCGATGGGCTCGTCCTGAACACGGTCACCTAAGCTCACTACCTCAACCTTTCCTGCGACCCCAGCTGCGAAGTGTGCGACTTCGAAGACTCGCAGTGGTGACAGTGGTTGATTAGTTGAGTTACCAGCCAGTGCACGGCGAGCCAGATATCTACACCTACGTACAGTAGGTAGGAAGACATTGTGTTTGAATGCTAGGGACCACTCTTCTCAACGACTAGTAACAGGCGACGGATGCCCTCTACAGTAACTTAGCTTCTCAACTAGACATAGCCGTCATTATGGTCGAGAAACACCACCACCAGCACAGGTTGATTGTGGTGTCTGTCGCTGTGGGGGGCGGGTGAGGTAACGGAGAGGTAACGGTTTGACAGCTGGTGACAGGACGCCGTTCAGACCTCTAGCCTACCCTGGCAGCGGGCCATGAGATCTGAGGATGGAGAGCCGTTAGTTCTGACGGCGGGCAAAACACCTTTTACGAATAACGGCTACCCTCTTTCTATCGACGACCAGATGACACTTGAAGTACTGGAGGACGTAAGACCGTTGATTGATAGACAGGTCGCCGTGGTCAGGCTCGTCTTGGAGGGGTTGGGGGGAGGGGGCATGTTGTGCAATAGAACCAGGGTTTGGTTTCTTCTAGTCGGAGTATGCACACTGACAATATGCATCGCAACCCATTTGATTGTCCATCTATCGCACTGAAATTCTTGTCGCCTTAACAATGCCTGGATTTCCACTAGTGCGCATATCTCGCCTGCCTCCCTAGCTGTAGCAGACGAAATGCCACCCACATATTAAGCGATTCACATCCTAATCGCTGTACTCTTAGTGCCTGTATTCCCACTCCCATGGTTTATAGCCCGACGCCTTCGCTGTGCATGAAACCAAAAAAAACGGAAAACGGACGGCTGCCATCAGCATTCAGTAATGCTTCCAACGACGCTCACTGGTGCTTAAGATCCAATTCAACACGACGAGAGCAAACAGCCACAACGTGTTGGGGGTTGCCAAATATTGGCGCCCGACCCATTACAAGCGCTTCGGCAACATGATGCAGAGGCCCAGAGATGTACTCTGTCTTGCCTTTTGTCCACAGTTGAACTTTGACCAGATTGAGGACCATCCCATCTTGTGAATCCCTCTCCGGGAGATCTCAGCCACTTGTATCCTCGGTATTCTTATCATCGATTTCTTGTTGCTCCGCCAGTAGTTGGCTTGGTGAAGGACTCGGAGCCCGCACACTCCTCGGTGCATCATATATTGAGCTGGTATACCTGGCACGAAGCGCCTCTTCGCATGCCAGCTCCTGGTCATAAGCTGGCATCACTCTGCGCATGGCTTCTAGCCAGTCACCCATAGTCTTCGGTGTCAAATGGCACATCTGAGTGTACTCCCAGTATTCAGGATACCATCCAGCCGACTCCCAGCCTACCAGGGCACATATGCGACCGGCATCATCCACTAGGATATTTTGAGGACAAAGGCTGGCATGTGTGAATTTGAGCTGGTAGGGTTTCTTGGGTGCGTGAACCATCTGGATCTCTTTCTCTGGGAAATGGTCCGCCGGGTGTCCTCTCCGCTCAAACTCTTGAAACGCCTCGATTGAAAAGAAGGGGCCTATGCGACCCGAACCAAATCGGTGATCCAGTGCAGCTCCCAAGGTGGCATCCCCCACGACGCATTGTTTGGGTGGTTGCATCTTTCTGAGTTGCTCGACGAAGCGCCCCAGGTCGGCCACAACTTTATTCTGTTTGTGTGCAGACATGGTCGGCCATACTTGGTCCAAAGGTTTCCCTGGATATGCTTCGTACTCGACCAGTTTTCCCTCCGGTCGATTGTACACCGCGAGGACTTTGTAAGAGGGAACCGAAGTGTGTCGGTCGATCAGCAGCAGCGCTTGGTATTCGGTGTTGGCACAGTGGGTTTTGATGATTCGATTGTTGCTGAGGCGTAGAACCGCTTCGCCAGTACGAGGATCGGTCTCTTTCTTGCCCCAATGCATGCGCCATTTCAGACCGAAAGGGATCTGGTCGTATTCGTCTTTTGGCTCTTCGTCATCCTTACTCCCGAAACACAATGGCATGACTGCAAGAACACTCTAGGCCCGTGGAGGGCAGCTCAGGGAGTGGATCGAACACAAGGGGGGATGGCAGTCAGTTGCATTGATGTCGGTCGCAGATTATCCGGCCGACAAGTCGATCGATCATGGGAACAGAAGGTGCGTGATCGATGGGGAGGCTTATGTGCGTTGCGACTCGAAGTGTGACCTTTGACGTGGATCGGGGAGAAGACAAGGAAAGGCAGTGTGGCTTCGAGATAGCGGTGAGTTCACGTTAAGATTCATGTCTGTACGATGGACATCTAGAGAACACGGAGAATGCGAGGTGTTTTGGCGGGGTTTAGGAGAGACGAAGGCGAGGAGAGAGCGGACGAGGACGAAGATGTGAGGTCGGGACGTAGATAGCTGGCTTGAGGGATTGGCTTTCGCCTACCCGTAGTAACTGGTTGAGCCCATTGACAGGAAGAACAAAGGCGAGGGCGAAGAGGCCAACGACGAATTCATGTCGGAGGCGTAGGCGGGACGAGAAAAAGAGGGACAGAAACCCCCATTAATTAGTCCTCGATAGTTGACTCGATACCGGTGCTTGCACTTGCTTGCTGGGCATCGGCATTCTCCCTCCACACTCTGCCCGCCTGCGTCTGTGCGTCTGTCTCATCACATCTCATCCCCTTCATCCATTCACCCATTCGACCCCATTCATTCATTCTATCCCATCCCATCCCATCCTTCAGCTGAGCGAATCAGCTGAAATGAGGCTAAAAGGGAAGCTCGATTCCCACCTGCAGCTCCCCTCCACTCCCACCCACTCCTCAATCCACCTGTACCGAGTTCTCGTCCTTAACTCCAATCAGTCTTGGTTCCTGACTCCCGAGGTTGCATCTCCCAAAGCCCTAGATTGACCGCGGAAAAGAGAACGAACACAACAACCAGGCCCCTCCAGCCCTTCTCCAGACCTACGTATGCATCTCGGTTGGGGATAACCCTTCCGCTCCTCTTTCGGGTGGGTGTGTCTACGCAGTACCAAGGCTCTGAGGGCACTGACCAAGACTCCCTGCCACTAGCCTTGGGCCTGTGCTAACCCGGACTACTCAGGAAGAAGTAAGTGGGACGCACGTCTGGCTCTCCGATCGACGGCAGATGCCCATTCTTCTGGAAGACGACGTCCATATCCGTACTTGCCCCTGAACAAAGATTCTCTACCACAGCCTCGACCAGTGCCTGATCTGTCAATGATCAATTTGACAAGCAGCTGCAAATCCACCTCCAAGAAGAGCCAAGCAAAGCCTTGTGCCGATCCTCTGGGTTGGCATCCCCCAAAGAATGGTGTGGGCAATCATTTCGTGTCGCATCTGACTTGGAACAATGACCTGAGTCAACAAAGAGCACGGACGCTGTCTTGAGCGGTAGTGCATTCCGATCGAGCATTGAATAAAGCACAGGTAAAACCCCCCTCCCGTTCGACTGCCACAATCGGATTCTACAGGGTATCCTGGGAGATGTCATGGTCTGCGATGCCGCTATCGCCAACTGATTGACCACTATACATCAAGCTCTTGGAAATGCACAACCGCAGATATCCTCTTTCTCTCTTTTCGAGAGTCCAGTGTCGCTGGTCGTCATCCGTTGTCTCGATCTTCGGAATGGCACATTTCAAACAAAGGACCGTCGTCCGGTCTGGTTCTGATCACAATGAGGCCCGAAACTGCCAAATTTATCATGGTCAAAGAACAGCGCCCATGCATCACCTATTCTAAGCCGACTCTGCTCATTGTCTTCAAGATGTGGCCTGGATCTAGCCCGGCCTTTGGTAATGATGGACCTCTCTCATAACCGTTACTGCTCCTGCTGCAACATTCTTTTGCAGCAACCTCTTCGTTGGGTTGTCGCAACATCTCAATTTTCCAACAGTGTATACCAATCTCTAGTTATCAAACAGAGCAGCTTATCAAACAAGCAGCCATGGCTTCATCTAACCCGACATCTCCCACTCTTCCCGCCTTGTCGCCATTATCGCCGCACTCGTCGAGAGCTGTTGAAAATCCTCTGGCCGAGCCGCTTCCCGCCCTTGTGACCACGTTCTCTGCTCTGACCCCTACCCAACCATCCATGCCCAGCCCGAACCCTCGGTCCAGCTGCAATGCCAATGGCACAATTCGTCGACGAAACAGCCTCGCATCACCAGTGATGTCTCCTGCGCAAGCCGCTTTTGCGCCAATGTCTCCTGCACGAGCCCGGGATCGAATTCGGACGCCTGAAAGAGCACACTTTCACTACGCCCACACACCAGTCACAGCTAGTTTCCCTCGCGAGAACGGCCGGCAGAGTCGCATGGCCATGCGCAGCCCGGCGTATGAAAGAGTCTTGACTCTGCCTTTGCGTGTCAATACAGTACTTACCAGTGAGACCATTCGTGAAGAAGACCAGGCAGAATGCGTACCTACCCCATTCTCTGACGCACCGACGCCTATGGACTGGACACCAGCAATCGTCACCAAATCCGCATCGCCCACGACCAGCGCTAGACGCCTCATCCGCTCTCACACTCCTGCCCCTATTCGAACTCAGGCTCGCACTCCTATTCGCAGACAACCTCAGAAAAACAGCCGCCTTCCCTCGCCGCCCAAATATCACATTCAGGTCATCCCCACCATTTCGCCCACAACCCAACGAAACAGACAGCATTACCTGTCCAGCCTCGAGCACTTGCGTGCCCCCTTGGTTCCTCTGATATCCGTGACGACGGGCCTCCCACACCCGGAATTCCCAACGAGTCTCCTGCAGTACCACCTCCTTACCCATGAGCAACTGGACTCTCTGGCACGATGGTATCACCAAGTCACACCACCGGTTGAGGAGACGTTCCAATACCCAGCCTGGATTCCTGCTTGGACGAGTCTTCACCGGCCGCGCGAGCACACCTCGACCAATACCGCTGCCGAGGTGAGGGTGGACCTTGATACGAAGCGAAGGAGATGGGGACGGTTTATCGGCCTACGAGGATGCGAGAGTCCCACCACGGACGAAGCAGGGAACGGTGCTGCAGACGGAGACGGGGACGGAGACGGGGACGGAGACGATGGCGAAGAAGGAAGGACCGAACGGCCCGACGAGCTTGCCAGACGCATGGAACGCGAGTGGAGGCGGGCGCTTGAACGCGCAGAAGAGGAGGCCCGCGCGTACGAGAAGAGCTGGAGGGGCCGGTGGTGACGTGGCGACGGGACAATGTGATAATTTCATACAATCAGACTGAGAAGACAAGGAATTCAGGGTTTGAGAACGACATGAAGGTGTCTGGGTCCACGAATCAGACGCAAAAGACTGGGTCGCCGCAGGTCTGTGTTTTTGTAACACGGTAGGAATATTGAGCAAGAGAGAGGCTTGAACGTTCACTAGTTCTGCTTTTGTGCATCATCAACCATGTCTATCTACTACTGTAAATATCAAATCCCCGAGCTGGCATCTACACATGGAGTCGATAGTCAGTTAGCGATATCTACATATAATGAAATAAGTAAAGCAACACCTTGATCCATTACCGCTGCCTTGTCTCCCAACAAGAAAAAGTTCTACACGATCTCCAGGTTTGCGATCCTCACGCCCTTGGTCTCGACATGGTACCGTCTTTTGACGCCCACGGCGACCGCGGCGTTCTTCAATGCGTCGTACACCCTCTGCCCGCCACCCACGAGGACCATCGGGAGCGGATTCCGCCGCGGTAGGCCCGCCGGCGTGGCTTGTCGTCGGTGCAGGTATGGCCGGACCAGGCTGAGTTCGTCGTAGTAGGCGGTATCGGGATGTGCGTCGTTATCATCGCTCGGGAGGATACGCTCTTCTCCCCCTGCTTCTCGCTCACCACCGCCGTGCTCGTCGGCGTCGTTTTGCTCGTACGACACGACAATCACCAACTGCAGCGCCTGCGGGCCCGGTTTGTATGCCGGGATATTCTCCAGCTTCGCGCTGAAGTCGCACCCTCCCCTCTTTACCACAAGAACCTGATGCTGCCTGGCCACGCTCAGAGGTAACCTGTGGTCGCAAAGTTCATCCGTCACGTAGATCTTCGTCCACGACAATGCAGGCAGGGTGGCGCCAGGTGATAGCAGGGTGGAGGCTTCAGGCCAGTCTGGCAGTGGTGCGGCGCCTGGGCCGGTTGGCGTTACTGCGGAGAGGTGGTACCGCAGCAAATTGCTCCCCCCACCTTTTGTTGAGGGTGATGACATAGAGGTAGAGGCAAGCTTCGATGTCGGGGGTGTAATGAGTGAAAGAGGCGTTGAGAAGGGCCATGGAGAGGGCGCACGACTTTCTCTGATGAGGTTGGAGATCTGAGAGACAATAGCGTTCCATGCCGCGCGCATGGCGCCGTCATTCGCAACATCTTCGAATTGTGGAAGATCGATGACCAACGATGCTTCTCCATTGTTTTCAGATCCCTGGCCTGCAGTCGCAGCTGGTTCATCGGCCTCCGCAGCGTCAGAGTCTTCAATGGATGCGTCCAGATCAATTACCAAATCCAGCAGAACGGCATCACGAATGCGCATAAAATTAGGATCTGCTGGACTAAGAACATCTCTGCCCGTCTCGCGCGCCAGGTATACCCTTTCATCTTTGCCAAGGGGAATATTGTTGATTGTTTGGATTCGGAATGTGTCGTGGAATCCGTCGTCGAAGAGAAAAGGATGGTCCTGAATCATTCCGAGCCGCAAGCCACCGATTGTATTGATCAAGATGCCGTCTTTGACACGTTGGAGAGGAGCGACAGGTTGGCCTGTGGGAACCATGGCGGGGAAAGAAATGTCGAGGGTCGGTCTAGTTGGGATGAGAGAGCTTGAGGCATTCCAAGGGACGAGCTCAGGGGGTAGCGTCCATGGATAATACGTATGATTGGAAGGTGAGCTGATATCCAGCAGCGTAATACTCGGGTGGTCCGCCGCGTATTCACCAAGAGCAGATTCGACATTGTCCCTGAGCGGCATGAGATGAAGCCTGGCCAGATTGGCAGCGTGGTAGACATCACCCCTCGAGGCAACGCGGGAAATAGTCAATGGTAGAGGCGAAGGCTTGACGGGGCAGAATGACGCTTCGCTGTGTGCTGGATGCCAAAGAGCTTCTCCATGGGAGCTGGCGCCAACACTTCGGGGAATCATCAGAGGATGGCCTTCAGTCGTGAAGACGAAAGGTTCATCTATGTGATTGAGAGGGTGTGTAGGATCGAAAAGGAGAAAGAGGTATTTTGCAGTCTCCCCGAGGAAGAAGCTCTCCATCCTGTCCGTCTGCTCTCCGGTAAGCACGTTTTGGATGCTCGCCCAGCCACACCTGGTCCAACATCGTCGTTTGATATCCCGCAATACCATTTCCCCGACGTGAATATACCACGGATCTTCTGTGGCACGGTAGAGATAGTAGGTAGACTCAATGAACTCTGGTCGGCCTATCCACCAACCAAGCCCCCCTTCAATACCTCCGGTCACGATATTCCACCGCTCCGGTAGAGCAGAGAATCTGGTCCAGAGGGCGGTCTGTAAAAGATGGGTTTCCACGGCTTCGTCAACGTGTCCGGCAAGGGTGAGAAGGCCAGGATAGTACGCACTCAATGCGTCAATCCAGAATCCCCTTGCTGCGCCCGTGGAGAAATCAGCTTGGATGTAATGTGGGTGCTGATACGTTGGGCCACGATAGAGGTGCCGCTTGATGGCGGCGTGAGCAACGTTCCAGGCATCAAGAAAGGCCCCAGAAGTCGAGTCTTCCACGGGTAAGGATTCATGAAGTATCCTTGGATCTTGCAAGGCGTCTATGTTTTGGTAGACTGGATGGGCTTCCCGCGACAGCAGGATGTGCGACTTCAGAGCGTATTCGAAAAAGCTGTCAATCCCAGCACCAACGCCTGTCCAGGTGCCGATCCAGTTTCCACTCTCCGCGTCAATTCCGCCCCCGATCAAATCGATGGCGCTGCGCCTCTGCCAAATCGCCCAAAACGCTCTTTTCGCGAGTTCCTCAAAGCGGGGATCCCCAGTCAGCCTGCTCAAGACTGTAAACTCAAGCACCAAACTTCCTGCACCAGCACTGCATGTCTCGGTGATTTCAGGCGGTCCGGGGCGAGCATCGCATTGGGCGGCCTCAGCGCCAGCATTAAAGGGAGAATTGACGTAGAAGGGGATCCCGTGCCGGAGGTTGACGCGAGGATACGGGATGCCGGTTGAAGACCAGAAGGCGGGAATCAGGCGGTTACCCAGGTCATACGCCAGCCGCAGGAGTTGGCCGTCATATTCAAATCCATTAGACCAGAGTACGCCCTGCCTCTTGCCATCAAACTGATCCTTGTGCCATGCTTGAGCATATGCAACCTGCCTGCGAGGAGGAGCGTAGCCGCGGATCGGTAGTTCGCCAACAGCAAATAGATGAGCACTCAACAGCCCCCCAAGACCTCGTATCGCTGTCTCGAAGACCTGCACCTTGCTGTCCAGATCGAATCCTCTTGCTCTTAGCCCTTGGCCCGACGGACCGTCGGAGCCATCGCCGTACTGCTCGACCAAATCCCTGACGCTGTCCTGAAAAAGCCGCAGGGGTTTATTGCGCTTCGAACTCGACGGGTTGGAGGCGATGATGGCGAGAGTGGACAGACTGTCGATGAGGGTCAAGGAGTAGTTTCCCAAAGGGTCATTGACTTCGATATGCGCGGGGTTCTCCCGGTCGCGGGTCAAGGGCTTGCAGGAGATCGGGCGCAGCTCATCCTCGGGAAAGGCGTAGGACATGTAGTTCTCGAAGCCATGATAGAAGAGATCTTCAGCCTCTTTTCTGAGTGCCTTGATCTGGCCTGGTGTCTGTGCGTGTACGGTGGCTATTGAAGCCAGACAGGCTAGGAGCAGGACGAGACGAACGCCTCTCAGCCATTGCCAAAGCCGTGCCGGTGCGAAGAATGGAGACAATGATCCAGCTGGAGGCGTCACATGGCGGCAAATCATGCGCATGGCACACTCACGGGCGACGGTGCCACAGAGCACATATCAAAGGTGGTCGCGTGCGAAGTGAACAGTACACACGCTGTGTCCTGCGGTGATTCGGTGTGCTCGTCGATAATAAAAATGGTGGAGTGTCTGACCCGACATTTCCTAGCTCTGAAGCTGGTTGATCACAATTAATCCCCCTCTCGGTTTCTGTCAGACGAACCCACCTTTCTGACCAGTCTGGCGGGCTGCATACCAGGGGGCTTTTTGGTGCTGCCGGGAATTTTATCGGCTTCTCACCATCCTCCACTCCCAGCAACATGGTTTCGCGGCTGACAAACTGCTGAACAGGACCAGTAGTGGCACTGCTGGCATCCACAGTATGACTAGATTGCTACGTGACCGGCAGAGGCGCCGTCAAACTCCGACCAGCCAAAGCAGACAGATGTTGACACTCGGCTTGACCCAGGAGCTCCAGGGCATCGGCCTCCATTGCAGATCTATGGGCAATCAATCCAATCTTCGTTCCTGATCGTTTCATGAATCTCGTGCCTCGTCTCCCTGTTGCGATGAAAAAGCTGGGGACAATCTTTCTGGTGGTCGTCGCTTATCACCGCAGGCTTGGAAATCAATGGGAAGACGGCAGCGAATGGCGAATTGCCGGACACGGACATAAGACAACGACCATGGAACAAAATATATGTAAAGGGCCTCCCGGTCTTTCCTGCCATGGCCGGCATTTCCATCAGAGATCATAGGGCAGAAGTACTGGCCATCAAGGACCAATAAAGAGCAGGGTTTTATATCATTCCCCATCATGAAGGTCTTGCTCACTGGAGGCAGCGGGTTTCTAGCTGTTCATTGCTTAGATGCGCTGCTCAAACGAGGGTAAATTCTATTTGGGCTTGACTTCTCCCTCGAGCGTCGTCCAGGATTGACCATTCCTTAGGCACAACGTAGTTGTCACTGTCCGTTCGGACGAAAAGGGACACTACCTTCAAGAATTGTTCAAGGGCAAACCAGTGTCATACACGATCGTCAGAGATATTGCGGTGGACGGCGCCTTTGACGAGGCTGTCAAGGCTGACCCGCCCTTTGAAGCTGTGGTGCACACTGCCAGCCCTTTTCATTTCAACGTCACCGACAACAAGAGAGACCTGCTGGATCCCGCCATCAATGGAACGAGAGGAATTTTAAAGGCCATCCACCAGTCAGCAAGGTCTGTCAAGCATGTGGTGATCACGTCATCCTTCGCTGCCTTGTCGAATTATCGCAACCCACCTGCTGTGTACAATGAAGAGATCTGGAATGATATGACCATGGAAGAAGCTCTGGCGGCGCCGAACCCACAGGCAGCCTATAGAGCGAGCAAGAAGTTCGCCGAAAAGGCTGCCTGGGACTTCGTGGAGACGGAGAAGCCCAGCTTCACCCTGACGACTCTCTGTCCCCCCATGATATACGGACCGGTGCTTCATCAAGTCAAGTCATTGGACGAATTGAACACTTCCAGCCAGCGGATTTTGAATCTCTATCGTGGGACGCCACGAGCTGGTCCGGTGGGATCCCCTGTCCACGTCGATGTTCGGGACTTGGCTCTGGCTCATGTGCTCGCCATCGAAAGAGCTGAAGCTGCCAATCAGAGGTTCTTTGTCGTTGCTCAAGCAGCCTCGGAGAAGCAGCTCCGGGAGATCATGGAAGAAGCCTTTCCAGAAATCAAGGGGAATCTTCGCGATGAAGTGACCGACACGCTTCCACCCTGGGGGATCGACAACAGCAAGTCCGTCAACGTACTGGGCATCACATACAGGCCGATCAAAGAGACTATCGTCGACGCTGTCAATTCACTGAAGGTGCTTGGGGCCTAGAGCGTTGGAGGTACTCGGGTAGATATAGACAGACGGCAGATATTTGTCTTCCGATACCGTGTTGTTAAGACTGTCGCTCTTTATCCCTTTCACATCCTCCTGTTCATCTGGCAAACTCTTGATATGTCGCCATACATCAGAAGGCTGACCAGTGGTCCCCGCCATATTCGTGACACGGTAGATGTGGAAGAAACACAGCTCGACCCTGGACATTAGTAATTCTTGTCTATCTCATGGCAAGTATTATAGAATCTATGCATCGCCATTGCGAGCCTTTACAAAGCTGTTCTCCTGTAGATTCATGGGCCGACGTGGGAAAGACTCGGCGATTTCATGGCATTGAATCCCTCCCAATTTGCCGCGGCGCTTGTCATGTTTCGCCTTCTCGACGATTTTGTCTCTCTCCGCCCATCCCTCTCGTCCCATCCACGGCGTTGTCGACATCGCCGCGGCGAAATGTCCCTTACAGACAATGAAGATCCGAGCTGGGTGAATTCGACCAAATCGGATCCATCGGTGCCAGGAACCTCCAAACAAGGCAGCGCCTGCGAGGCCTGCCACACCAGAAAAGTCCGATGTGACAAGAATCTCCATGAGAGCACACGCGAATCTTGCTCGAATTGCCGGGACGCTGGAAGAGCGTGTCTGTAAGGGAAACCCCGTTTCTATTTGACGTTCACTATCAATCGCAGAGGGTCCCTGCACTGACAGTCGAGGAACAAGGCCGCATACCAGGAAACGCAGACGACAAGTCCTGCGCCACGACGAGATCCCATTGTCTGGGGAAGAGAAGAAGGTCCGGCGTGCAACAAATGGCGAGAAGACCTCGACGCCGTCCCAGCAACCCAGCTATCTCGGTCGTGCCGACTACATCTCGGCCCACGCAGAGATCGACGAGGACGACGCGACTCACTACCACAGTCCCGGCCCCCGCGCCGGCTCATGGCACACCTTCGAGGTGAAGATCCGGCGGCACTTGTCCGTGCTCGAGCAGCCTCAGGGGACGCTCCGACAGACGCTGCTGAGGAATTTCCTACAGAGATGTCGTCCGTGGATGCCGTTGGTGAGCGAGGCGGACCTCGAACGGCTCGACTCGAAGAACAAAGACACTCTGCTTGTCACGGCCATGCTGGTGGCGGGAAGCATCGTCTCGTCCACGCCCCAGGCGGCAGAACAGGGCCAGCGGTGCTACCAGCGCGCCAAAGTGCTCTTCTACACGAATGCCGAGCAAAATCACCTCCACGCCATCATGGCCACCATCTTCCTGCAGTGGCTGAACCCCTCCGGTCCGGAGCATGTGTCGATTGACAACAGCAGCTTCTGGCTCAGGATCAGCGTCGCCCTCGCACACCAGCTGGGCCTCCACCGTGAGCCGGACTGGCGCATGGCAGATGCAAAGTTGAGGCGGAGGATCTGGTGGGCTCTGGTCGTAAGGAGTTGTTGCCCTTTTCCCAATTACGGTCCACACAACTAACACGATAAAGTCTAGGGATAATCTGATCGCTGCCAGTCACGGACGTCCGAGGGCGACCAATGCAGAAGACTCCAATGTGCGACCCCTTCGCATGGACGATTTTGATAGCGCCGACGAGGACGCACTTCTATTCATGCATTTTGTCCAGATCACGTCCATTCTAGGAGATATGACGGCGGAGCACCGTCGTGGCACGCTCTCAGACCGCAAAAAGATCGACTTTGAGGACACCCTTCGCCGATGGCTGAAAGCTGTGCCACCGAGCTTACGTCTCTACAACCCCGAGACGAAGAGGCTGAATGACTACAACTTCAAATCCCGGCAGCTCCACACAATCTACTTCACATCCCTGATCATCCTCTTCCGACAAGACAAGAGAGATCAGCCTCCGTCGCCCGTCGCCCTCCTCGCCGCCTCCTTCATCTCGGGCATCTTCGAAGAGTATCTCACCTGGGAGGATGTCTCGCATCTCGCCGTGACCTCGATATTCTACCTCATGGTCGCCGCACTCCTGCAACTGTCGTACCAGCGGTTTCCCTCGTTGGCCACACATCGGACCGAAGAGATCGAAATCATCAGATCATCACTGAACGAGTTCAAGAAGAGATTCCCGTCCGGCCTCGGCGCCGAGAGAGTGGTGAACCAGATGATGAAGCATTCCTCGACACTTCCAGAGACGGCGCAGTCTGTCCGGATAGTTCTGACGCCGGATCAGGCAGAGTTTTTCGCGCCCTTTGGCCCTGAACTGTGTCGGAAATGGCAGCTGGTGGTCGAAAATCCACCATTGGGGCCGTTGGACGGCATTGAATGTTGTGCCTCCGGTGTAAGCCAGCCTGCCGACAGCGGGGCGGTCAACGCAGGACACACTGCAACTCATCACCTGCCGGCGAGCACGGATTTGCCGCAACAAGAACCACAGGCCATGATTCCCGCCGAGTCGGCATGGGGTGGTGGTGGCACGCCGTTCGCGTTCAGCATGGACGATCCCAATCTGTTCCCGGATCAACTGGGCCTCGACAGCGTCGGTCGCTGGTGGTGGGCGGACTGGATGCCCGAAGCAGACTTGGACTTCTTGTCCCGGACGCTGTAAGGGACGGGTTGTCTAACTGCAACAGCAGAAGCATTCATCTCATGTTTGTTTTTTACTTTTGGCCTGGATGGTCCTTCGAGACGATGCCTTAGCTGAACACTCTTTCTCCTCGACCTCCATCAGGCCCTCTTGAGGTATCTAGGTTAAGAAAAAACACGGGAGATAAAAGAGAGAGGCAGAGCAACGTAGGAAAGAAGACGAGTGATGACGGCCGAGAAGAACATTGGCACCAGCCCACCCCCGGAAAGCCACTTGGAAACTTTCGCTTCTCAAGGACCCGAACATGACGCAGGGTGAGGTTTTTTTGAATGTGGTATATTGCAAATGATTGCTGGGTATCTTCGATAGTAATCCATAACACAAAAAAGGGGGCCGGGGAATGTACAAGATGTACACGATCTAACTGGACAAAGGGGGCACGTTTGTCATATTGTGTAACGTCAAAATTCATCATCCTTTTCCAAAATTCCATTTTCACTCTGTCGCGTTGGTGTGGTGCGGTGCATATCCTTCGATTATATGATGTTTGCAATTGTCATTCGTGCTCGGTTCGGATCTGGGGTCGTTTCGGTCGGTGTGCTGATCGGTGCCAATGTTAGCCCGCCTTGTGCTGGGCCGGGCCCGTTGGATAGTGGTGATATAGGTAAAGATGGGGGTGCGACATGCATCTGATTCTGTTGGTAGAGCTGTCTCTCAGAAAGTTGCTGGAGGTATCTGGCTGATTGCTCAATGTGTTGCCAACCACCCCAGTCGTGTTGTTCTTCCTCGGACAACATATTATCCCACGACGGTGACTGTGCGCCTGAGGAATGGGGATCATGTTCAATAAACTGGTGCCGTGGTCTGCCGTGCTTTTGCCGGCGACTGAGGTGGGTGCCTGTTTCGGCGTTGCCCCATACCCAGCTATTTGTGCTGGCTTGCAGATCCGCCGACAGGAAGACTAGCAACTCCTCGTCGTGGTCGATGTCCATGATGCTCGGCTGCTCAATTCTCTCAATCAAGCATCGCAGAAAGAAAGACAAGTGTCTTCCGCAGCATGTGTTGATGCTTCGAGCATCATTGATCGTAGCAGCCGCTCTCAGGATGAGAAAAAACCCGTCGTAAACTTGTCGAAACAACAAGAAGAGCATACACCGCCATAAATGGGTGCATAGCAGGGTGGTCGCGGAGAGAATGAACCGCTGCTCCCACTCGTGCGATTGGACATGTGGGACCATGCACCTGGAGAGGATGGTTGCGGTGTCGCGAGAAGCATGAAGACACTGCTCAATGGCATGAGCTCTCTGCTCTGAAGAGCATGATGGGGATAAATTATGCCGATGAAGCATTATTCGTGTATTTTGAAACGAGATAAGCGGAGCCATGATACATGGATCCAGAGGAGATGTCGAAGAGAGTTGTAGTGGTCGGGGAAACAAGAGCAAGCATTCACCCAGGTGACCCTCGAACTTGGCCAACGTCTCACTGGTGATGCAAAGAGACCGAAAAGCCTTCGCCAGCGGCGCCATGAGCCGGGCTATGTGAACATTGGCCAGCAATAATTTAGGTGCGAGGGGAGTGTGCGTATGGTCGGACATCAGGCGCTCTTCGTCGAGGACTTCGGGATACTCGGTATCGCACTCATCGTCATTGATGAGCATCGGCTTTCCGAGTTCCAGAGCAAGCACGCTGTCCTTGTTAGCGGGAGGAAAACATCGGGGCAATCAAGAATCGAGCCCTACCGGTCCCAGACATAGAACGACCACCAAATGCGCTTGCGCATCTCACCCTCAATGGGCGACCATTGACCCCCTTGTACGTGCAACCCAAGGTCCTGGACAATGCGAATTGCAGAGCCTAGCCATATCCAACTGGCAGATTTCCGGTTCATCTCTATCAGCGCAATGCTGGCGAGAAACGCCACGATTGCTTGATTTGTAGACACGTCATCTTCCCAGAAATTGATGGTGGAGATTGCCCTTGTCAGGTATTCCTGCGCCTCTGGGACCCGGCCCCGATCGTGTGTCGCAAGGGCGCCGCATGCGAGGACGGCGTACAACGTCGCCACCCAGTCGGTCGGTAGGGATTGTCCGTTCCCTCTTTCCATTGCTGCTGCAAAATTTCGCTGGAATTTGGGCCAGTAGAGGACGGGGAAAAGACGGTGGAGATATTCGTGATAGTAGTGAAGTAGATTTTCTGCAACGGGTTGCGAAGGCAAGCCCTGTAGGTCCGAAATACGAGTGTGTGTGGTATGTGATCGAGGTTGGACTCCCGTAACTGGAGGCTTCAACAAACCGCGACCAACGTCATTCAACTGCGTCCTGGCACTTGTGAGGTCCTGAGGTGCTCTTGCTTTCAACATCCGTCGCGGCGATTTGCCGATGGACGGGAACTCCGCGAAGCCCGGCGAGGCAGTTTCGGCGTGAAGGTCAGCGGAGAGATCAGCATTTCGCTCAACTGAATGATATCGCTCCAGCTGTTGTCGGGCTTCCATTAGTTGTCGCTCCAAGTCCTGTACGAGCCTGGACGGTGGTTAGACGGCGTCATGTGAGATCTGGAACCGACTTGACTCACTTGATCGAGGACATGCGCCGGTTGGTGTCCTTGGTAAACTGGCAACGGACATTGCGACTCGAACACTCGGTACAACTCGACGTCTCGGTCGCATCGCACTTAATCACCCGTCAGCGAAATGACAGCAGGAATGATGTTGTCCCGACTAACCTTGACCTTGCGCTCGCGGCAAGCATCACAGCTCGGGTCTTTTCTCCTTTGCCTGTATGCTCTTTTCGGATTGTGCATCATCATGGCTGAAATCTGACCTGGAGACGGGGTGCTCGCCCCTCCACTGCCCGGTCTTAGATTGTCCCCCGTGCGAGATACTCCTTCGCTCGGAGAGAGACGGCCCATATCATGGAGACCAAAGAACGACGACATGGTGGCTGCTCCTGATGTAAAGTGCCCGGCAAGATGCTGCGACGGCGCAGGTCTTGGATGTGGTGTTCGGTCCAGGTCATGGGCGGTTGTCGATGGTCCTGAGGTGGCGACAGACGTCGACTCGAAGACGGGCAAAGACTCGTTCATCGTCTCAGGCGCATCGATAATTGCCAGGCATCGCAGGAAATCCGAGGGAGGTGAGTTTTATTTTTGCCCCGTTGTACTCAGACCCGAGTCCCCTCGTTATAACGAGACATGCCCGCCGCTCCTCAAACCCAGATTCAGAACCAACAACAGCGCTCAGGACCCTCACTCCATAACAAACAAACAAAGAGACTCTCTCTCGATTCAAGGACACCTCAAACAGGTGCTTTTTCGACAGGTTACTGCAACGACAGAAGCGAGATGCAGGAATGGAGACAGGTAAAATGTCCGACCTTGGCCTACTGGTCCACTGAGGGACGGCGAGTTGATGCGAAGCGAGTGGTCGCCACTTTCTCAGTCAGGTCAGCCGAGATTGTCGCTAGAACAGTGGTAGAGGGTGCTGCCGGCGGGCAGAAGGAACCTGGAGTCTCGAGGGCACGACCGTGGTCTCGCGATAGCCATGCGCCTTTTCCCACTGATCTGTCGATCGGCAACCAGCGAAATTTGGGGCCAGATCGTCAAGACTTCTAAGCAAGGACAAGTATAGATTGGGGGAGGAGGAAACCACAGAAGTTTAGCCCACTCGAGGTCCGTTAAGGGGGTAGAGATGTGGTCCACGAGCGGCGCACGAGGGGTGAACTGCCGGTGCGCGTGGCGTTGGGAGCGTGCCAGGGAAGAAGAGAAGGGTCCCGCTGGAACATCGAGAACCCAGCTAGGTGGTGGATTGAGGCCTCTGACCGTAGACCTGGCTGATGCTGGGGCACATCAGCGGAAAGCCAAAACCCACGTCTCAGTGGGAGCAGATTCGGATTGATGCGCAGCCCTGAAAAAGCTAGGGCCCTCTAGGAGCCTCCCCGGTTCTAGCAGCCGAAGTGAAAGAAGCTAGCAGCAACGTTCTCAACAGCCGAATGGGGCATGACCGGCATTCGGCTTGCCGCCTAGCTGGTTTGCGCCAAAACACCACTGGAGCCATTCTCGAAAAGAGTGCCCCTGTTCGAGGAAAGTGACCAGGAGGACCCATGAAGATGTTTGACCCATCCCCAAGCCACAGCCACAGTTCGGACTGTCTAGGCTGAGAACATCCCGGAACTTTGACGTGTTCATGATACGTAGGAGGCACTCGATGCATGTTGTCTAAAGGCGCTGTGAACGTCCTTCAGGGTCGACTGGCTGAAGAATGAGGGCGCCTCCCCCCCGACCGGACTATGGTGTCATACGCGTGGCATGAATGGCAGGTGAACGAGATCACCGGTTCTTCAGCCATCATGATGGCTCCCATGCTGCTGACACTGACGGCCTCCTTGACTACCTGTGTGGCGGGCCTCTTGTGGAGGCGGACCGAGGACGATCATAGGCCTTGGCTGGTGTCGCTGGGTAGCTCTAAGCGGCCCTAGGCAAGGCAGATCAGAAACAAACACGCTATCCCGTACCTCAAGCGGACTCGGCTCGAGCTGCTCTGAGGCCACAGGGCCTGATCCCTGCTCATCTATTGAACTTCATCTGCGGCGAAATACTTGGTTCTAGAAGGCTTTGGCGGTGCCTGAAACATCCGACCAGGCCACTTCCGTCATATTGTAGGCGAAATGAATTTTTCGTTTTTATTTTTTCCCTAGGAGATGTAGCGCCTTGCTGTGGCGGACGGAGAAAATACCGGCCAGAGGCAGCATTCGTCAGACATGTGTGCTATGCGCGTCTGAACGTCTTCCTTGCTCCTTCAAAGCGCTCAATCTGCATATCTTGATTTTTGGTGCCATAGGGTATGGAAAGAGGAAAGTGGAACATACCGAAGGTCCACATGAGGAGCGCATGATTCCTGGCTGAGGCTGTACCTACCTACTGTACTCGTATCTTTCTCCCTTGCTGTCCAATGCTGTGTGGCATTCCAATTTTGCACTCTTTAGTGTGATCGAATGTGGCTCATTGTTCTCCGTTTCTTCCGACTGGCATCAAACAGATGAACAATCTAAGCGTAAGGATGGTGCATGGATGCGACGGAGAAAGTCGAACCAACCCGTCACCCTAGCCAGCCATCAGCAAGGGGGGTGGACTGCGTCGTCGATCATGGGGTCATGTTGGAAGCATGGAGCCCTTCGCCGGAAGTAGTGATTTAGTTCCCAGAGCTGAAAATTGGCCCCCTTCCTGGATTCGTCAACCTCATCTCTGTTGACCAGGCTTCTAACCCACGGTAAGTACCCAAGGCCAGTGCGGAGGACGTGCCCCAGCGCCTATTCCCGCTGGAGTCAGAGTATCTGCGACGTGACGAATTGGTTGAAGCTAAAGCTGCAAGTTCTCAAGACCGGTGCTGCAGATGCAAGATTCCAGGTGGGGAGGAGGATACCTGCGTGGTCAACCTCATAACGACTTCCGTCTCTTCTCGAAGGACGGGGTAGGACGTAGGTGGCCAGTCAACTTGCATCGTAAGATACTAAGTAAAAGTGGGAGGAGTAACGGATCACTTGCGGACAGCAGGATCTAAGGATCCACAGGTACGGAGTACTTCTTCGAGTTGTAGCTTTGCCTTGATCCTTGGCCCCAAGTGTTTTGTGGCGGTCAACCCCGTCATCTCTGCCTGTTTCCATTGAGGTGCAGAATTAGGCCGGAGACTTGACGGAATTGTACAACAGCCGTAGGGGGAATCATCGCCAACATCTTACCGTGTGAGCAATGATGTGCAGCGGTGTCTTTCCCCCCAAGCTGATTAGCAGGAACATCCACAGCTCAACCGTTTTCCCTTTTTGTTCAGGATCGTGCCAGCAACTGTCGCTCATCTCTCGGCTTGGTGGCGCAAAAAGATCCCAAGAGACTGATGGAAACAGCCAATAGTTCCAGAAGACTGGTTTCTGGTCCTAGCGTGGAGCTTTGAGGAGACCTGGAACTTAGATTAAACGCCAGGGTTCCCGCAAGCCAGGGTGTCTAGGATGTCCTCTGTAAGGATGCCCCCCGGGTAACGCCATCCAGTCGGTTGCAAGGACCACTTGCAAGCCGTTGGGACGGAACTTAGGCCTCGGATCTACACGACCCTCAAACAGGATCGACTTTGCAGCTCGCAGTTCGCAATGCAGCAGGGTGGGATTTCCCCCTGGCATCTCAGTTCCGCATTGGCGCAACAAGGGTGGTTCGACCGGCTCACCACATCGCAAGGTGTTTCGAACTCGACCAACTCTTTCCGTGCTCTCCGTGAAACATTGCGTTCGGCGAGGGCCTGGCGATATCTTGAGACAGAACGCAACATGATAGGCGCTGGCGGACGAACATCGAGCGACATTGCACTCTTCCTTGGTCTTCCAATAGATCCTCAACTAGTTTCATAAATGGACTGACGCAGTTGAACTGTTCCATAGGCGCGACCGGATTTGGCAGATCCAATCTGCTGCGCATACGTTGAAGAGGTTTTGGGAAAAGTTCTTAATTTTACCCACATCGCCCGATCTATTCCCTATGCTGCTCCATTCCTGGTCAGGACAATTGTCCGCAGCGCGTCTATTGGCTGCTGACTGGAGTCGTCGTGGTTATTGGATTTGTGTTCCGAGTAGGTCTTTTGCTGGCATCCGTCATATACCTCAACAGAACCAATTACGCCGCGGACTGAGAGAATTGAGGGGAGGATCGACAAGCTGCAGGAAGGAGGCGCCGATTGTCTCCCCCCCCTTGTCATCTGACCCAGTAGGTATGACTCAAATTAAAGTGAGTTCGATAATGTGTCTGACCATAGAACCCCCCCATCCTTGGGCGACTTCGAGAAGTTAATACTGAGAAGTCCCTTCTAGCTGTGGGACAGTCGTACAGAGTTTGGTCGATGCCTGTGTTCGTATGCGTCACAGTGAGAGCACCGCAAACGTCGCTATTGAGCCACCTAAGTGTAAGGACACGATCGGCAACATGAGATATACCTATTGAGAGTTGAAGGGTGAAAGCCCGTCGAGCTGATCATGCTGCTCGAGTCAACAACGCGGCCACTCGCCGAAAGTTAAGATAGTGCAGAGGACCATTGCGACAAGCCCCTGCATAGGGCAGGATGTGAGGCGTTGCTGCATATCTCTGTTACTTCAGCCGTTTTGCTAGACTTCTCTGAAGAAAAAGATCCCCAGGAGGGGTTGACGTGTAAGCTCCGCGGTGACAGTTAAACTATGACTTTCTGTTTGATGATTGCCAATTTAGTTTCTACTGACGTTGGGGCCGTCAATTTCCAGGGTTCTGAGTGGTGTCATCAGGTGTGATCCGCCTGGGGTGGGTGTGCAGTTCCCAGAGGGGTTGCTCTCTGTAAGGGCCAAGCTTCGATCAACAACCTTAACCAGAGAGATGCCCTTCGGTGCCTATCACCGCCGGGGTTTGCTCGCAACCGGTAGCCCTGCCGAGAATTGGCGAAGGACGGTGATCGATCTCCAGGTGTTTCTCTCACTCAACAGAGATTCCGAAGGGCCTAAGCGACGATCTTGGTGTATCAGGAGGCATTTAGTCACAGGCTCCAGGTTCTTGCAGTGGTGCAGATGGTCGATGAGGCTCTAAAGTGCCGAATTCCAGCAGCGGGCAGGAATAGTCCCGATTTGTTTGCTCATGCCTGGTCCCCGACCCAATGAGACATCGGGGCGCAGCATACCGACCCTTGTATATCGGGGACCTCTTTTTGACCGCTTTCTAGAACATTGACCCAACGGGAGAAGAGGGACCAGGCGGATTCACGATTTTAGGTTCCACCTCTTCATTATGTGATCGACGACGGCGGCGAAGCCTTCCATTTCCTCTTCGGCTGTCGTGCCAGTGAAATCCATGCTGCAACCCACGTACACTGGGTGTTTCATCTTTCGCGCAAGTATCTTAGCCATCCTAGTGGCGTAGTCAATGCTGGAGCCCGAGGTCGCGAGAGGAGTGCTGATCACATTGCGGTTGTCTCTCATCTAGAACCCGTCAGGCAGACTGCAATAGTCCTTGTAAGGAAATTTCTACGTACGTCAGGCATTGCGTAGACAAAACTTCCCATTGGTGGCAGGGTGCTCTCAGCATGACCGATGTCCGTGGTGGTCAAATGAACCATGGTGCAATTTCCCATGAAACTCAGGTGGGCATGGAAATTCAGGTGAGGGTGCCTAGGCACGGGGAATGAGATGTGGACGGGCTTGAATGAGGGTTCCATGGCTGCCTGGGTCGCCCAAGGATATTGTGTGAGATGGAGACCTGGAATCAGCCTCAGATCCGTAGACACGTCGGTGGTACGGTTGGGAGGGTGATTAAGTCCACGAGAGCTGTTTCTCGGAAGAGTACTCCGTATTGTAAGCGTAGACAGTGTGCAGGAGGTGGTGAGTTGGTGGCATGGAAGAAAGAAAAGAGACTTGGATGTTTGCTTGTGAATATCTGGCTTGGCACGGCTTCGACTTCAGCTTCCACTTCCATTGTAGCAACCCAACCATCAAACCACCCACAAGCTCTATCCATTGGCAATCATCGAGTCTACCTTCTCCTACCTGGCGCTTCCGAGGCATCTGCAGGATGGCTGGAATCCAGAACACCGACGATGCTGCCCTCTCACAGCCCAACCCATTATTTCATGCTGCTGGTCCCCTTGCTGATCCTCTGGAACGGCGAGTTATCTTCGCCGCCCTGGATTCTTTTCAGTAAGTGGACCGGGAAATTTCATGCAATGGCCTTGGCTCTGCAACCAAGTCTTCAGGGCTGCATATGGCGAGGCCGAACCGGGATGTGCTTGGCTTGCTGTGGCAGTGTCTTGAAAGGGAGGTCCAAGTCCTGCAGCAACACTACATTTGATCCCTCCTCGCCACGGGTCACTGCATTGAGAATCGGGAATGTCTTGAGTGGTGGTGTCGTCCTTGGGTCTTGATCATGAGATCGGCTCTCCAGCCTCATCTCCTACGGTTGTGGGCTTGGACGCAGGTTGGATCTACTGGGAGTTGTCCCACAAAAGAACCACCAGCTCCTCCGGCAAGATCTATGCGTCTGCTTTGGGCTTCACTGGTTTTCGACTTCTCTGAATAAACTGTTTGAACTGACACAGCTGACCTAGATTGAAGTCAGTACCGGAAAAACTCACACTTCAACACAACCCACCGCCGGCGGCAGAATCTCTACGCTCTACCGTCATTACAATGGCAAATGCTTGCAGCGCCTCCCTTTTCAATCCTTGACACCTTGAACGCCGTTGACGATGCATTGGACCACAATGCCGATATGGCAGACCAAATAGTTCATTTAGGATTGGACGCATTTGGGCTTCCTGAAATGCCAGCCAAAGACTCGGAGATGAATTGGCAAGGGAAAGCAAAATCGAACGACATCTCCAAAGCACATTCGACTATCCGTCAGTTCTATAGAGATTGGTCTCAGGAGGGGTTCAGTCTCGAGGTCGAACCGCTCCTCAAGACGATCCTTACAGATCTCGAATCAAGTCTCCCAAAAGGACAAACCCATAACCACCCTCCGTCGCTCCTTCTTCCAGGTGCCGGACTTGGTCGTGTCCTCTTTGAGCTCGCCCTGCGAGGCTTTCATGCCACAGGTAACGAGATCTCCTACCACCAACTGCTCGCGAGCAATTTCATCCTCAACAACTGCGAACATGCCAACCAATACCCAATCTACCCTTTTGCACATACATTCACAAACTTGGTAACCCGGGCAAATCAACTCAAACGCTACACCGTTCCGGATGTCCATCCAGGCGAAGCCTTCTCTGCTCGCCTTTCTGCAGGATTACCAGTCGGTGAAATGAACATGACCGCCGGAGATTTCGTGCTCTCCTACTCCACCCCGGAATCCAAGGAGACATTCGATGGATTGGTGTCGCTTTTCTTCATCGACACGGCGCCAAACCTCCTTCGATATATTGAGACGGTACGGAATTGCTTGAAGGAGGGCGGTGTGTGGATCAACATTGGCCCTCTGCTGTGGCACTTCGACGATCGTGCACAAGGAGGAAATACTGACGGAGCCGACGACCACGATGAAGAGAACGAGGGCTCAGGGCCTGGAAGCAGTAGCCAGCCAAAGCCCGACCTCGAAGATAAAGGCATTGGCGAACCAGGATCTTTCGAACTCACAGACGAGGAAGTCGTCACGCTGGTTTCGCGCATGGGCTTCGACATCATTACGCACGAGATCCTCGCCGCAGATTCGGGCTACATTCAGGATCCGAACAGCTTGTTGCAGAATCGGTACCGGTGCAGCCACTGGATAGCGAGGAAGGTCTGTTGATGGTTTGATCAATACGTGGTCAAGCTTCCAGACCCTCCTCCCACCGACGCTCAGTCCTTGTTGCCCGCAATCGATTCCACTCAAAAAGAGCTGGATGAGTTTTTCAATTCAAGGGGTTCCCAGATAATCCGCTACGCTCCACGTATCACCAGTCTGAAGCGAGCCATACCACACATCATGGAGGTTAGATTAGGCATTCGATATACTTAGGCGAGGCTGGCATCTACCGGAATTCGGGGCTATGCGGCCCTTGAGAAGGCCGACAGGAGAGATCAAGAACGAGAACTCCTACCCGTTTGGTCATCGTCATGGGTTTTGAGGGAGGTCGTCTGGGATAGGTTCGACCGGAGCAGAGTACGGAGGGGCATAGCAATCAATCAAACGTCCCCTTTCCCATATAAAATCTTCTTGCAGGCAATCAATATCTTGTTTGTTTTCAAGGCAAAAGTTGAATGGACCTATCTGTTTTATTGTATCTCGCGTTCTCAAAAGGTTTCATTGCTTTCGCTCATGGATAATATGCAACTCCTGGCTTTTTCCGTCTTGGTCTTCTTCACTTCGTGTCAACGTCACTGTGCCAACGACACCATCGTCAACCCTTAAGCCATACATCTCAAGCTCAACGTACTTACACTGTGATCGTCTCCACATCAGCAATCATCAAAAGTGTAGCCTGGCCAGCAACGGGGCCGTTCCCGGCTTCTGCTCGTCTGTCGCCGCTGTCGTTCCCTCGTACGTCGTCCTCAACTCTCGTACTCATTACATCGCCGTTTTCTCTTGCCGTTCCCCTCCCACTGGCATGATTCCACTCATGATATTGGAATCATCTTCATTTACGGGTGAAACCAATGCACCGCCTTATCTGAATCTTGCGCTACATCTTCCCATCACTTCGCCCTGGCACACCAGTTCGGCGTTAAATTCGGACCCGTCCAAGGTCAGGTAAATATCAAAGTACACTCTGTAGAATGTACCTTGTGGAGTATCCATTCTTTCGAAGTCCTTCTCGAGATTCTTTCTTGACAAGTCTGAAGTAAGTGTGACTACTTCCTTGATGCGAGGGTCTTTGGTATATTCAGGGCTGTTACACAGTTAGCTGGGAAACACAAAGCGCGTAGGACCAAAGAGATCGAGGAAACTCACCAGACATCCTCGTCACAAGCATAAAGAATATCCTCGTACATCAATGTCGCCCCCGGTGCCACCTGTCTGAAGAACGAAACTTTGACGGGCTCGCCAATCTTGACTCTCTCGCCCTTCTGCACGAAGATCTGCCTTGTGTATTTACACCGATCCTTGCCGTCGAGGCTGGGCACGCGATATTGTTCGGGATGGTGACCTTCTTTGAACGGTTGAAGGGTGGCCATGAGGTAATGTCGTCTGGCAACACGAGACGTGATGACACGCTCAGTAATACCTGCCGTGACGGCGCCCTTGACAATCGCAGCCACCGAGTCCATGGGCCTGACGACTTTCGATTGAAATTGCGGAGGGACGTGCAGCTTGATCTGCTGGAAGAGATATTCGGATGCACCAAACCCACCCACCACCAGCACATTCTGTAGTGATCGGTTCTGCGCCTGGATAGCAATGATTTGGTTGCGAACAAGCTCCAGGATTCTGTTGACGACAGGTTCGAAGCATTGAAGAATTTCCTCGTTGGTAAACGTCATGTAGCCTTCTTCGATGCCGGCCTCGGGAAATTCAGCCTCGATGCCAACATCGACGGCCCATTTCTGGCCGTTGTTGCGGAAATCGGCCTTTATTCTGTTCTCAAAGTCCATAATACATTTCGCGTACACTCGACCCGCGGTTTTCGACCCGTCCGGCAACTTCATTTTCCTAATCTTCGCACGGAGGATGTTGGAGAAGTTGCGGTTGAGGGCAGTCGAACCGCAGGAGTCACCACTACCGGCCGTACATTCGGCAACAGTGAAAGGGGTCTCTTCTTCGACCTCGTACGCAATCAAATCGACAGTTCCACCTCCACAGTCCACGATCAGGACCGCATCGTGGATCTTAAGGTTGAGAAGACCAGTCTTGGAACAGAACATGGCTGCCGCTTCGGGTTCAGTGATGAGAGTTAGTCGGTTGTCATTCTCATCACGAATGAATCCGGCTTGAATGGCTGCCGCTCTCGTGGCTGCCTTACCGGCATCGTTCCAAATGGCGGGGACGGTCAAAAAGTATCGAATATTGCGCTCTTCTCTATTGAAGACCTCACCTAGTGTCTTTTGCAATTGGACCCGCATAGCTTGCCGAAGCTTGAAGAGATAGTCGGCCGCCACGTCGATCTCGGACTTCCCAGGTGGCAGAGGCGGTAGGTTAATGGGGTCTATGTAGGTGTTGCCTGAGAGCATGAGTTGCAGCTTGAACCATTCGACTTTTTGCACGCCTGGTTTGGGATAGCCCGTAGGAGCTAGGGCGTCCGCAATATCGGGACCCCAACCCACGACCTTCTGATATTGATCGTAGTATAGCACAGTGGGAATCTATTCACGTCAGTCCCACGTCACAGGATTTCCATTGGGATGTCTGCTCCGACCCACCTTTTGTTTCGTTTGGTTGCCTGCACCTGGCCATTCTGTTATAATGTCCTCCTTTGCTTCTGTGTTGGTCGCAAAGGCAAATGCCACACCCGAGAAAGTGGTGCCCTGAGGAACAAAAAGCAGTCAGTTTACCACACCATCAAATCATTCGAAGCAAGGGCTTATCTTACAAAATCGATGCCGACGATCAACTGGGCTTTGCTCCTCCCTGCGCCTTCGACTTCAGCGGGACGAGCACCGGGTGGAAACTGATTGGCCATATGTTGAACACCGGGTTGCGGACCGATAGTCTGATGCCCGTATGCACCACCGTACCCTGGAGGTTGCGGGGGACCCAGCTGAGGAGCACCTCCAACATAAGCACCGGCTCTGGTATCGATGGGAGCAGGGTGGTGTGCCATTTGGTTCTGCGCAGGGGGCATGGGCGACTGGGGACGTCCCTGCACAGTGTTGTACGAGTAGCTGGGAGGACGTCCAGGCGCGCCGGGCTGATTGGGATTCATAGGCGGCAGACTGGTTTGCGAGGAGTTTTGGGGAGGGGGAGGAGTCGTGGCGTTCGAGATGGAGCCGTTGGGTGAAGCGACAGAGGTGGAGGTAGTTGAGGCGGTTTGGATGTTGGCACTACTCTTTCGTTTGGAACCGAAGGCTAGAGACTTGAAGCGCGAGCTCATGACATCGACATTGAAGAGCAGAGCGAGGGAAAGAGCGAGTGCACTGGGTCAAGTTGTTCTGTTGTAGTTGTAGGGTTTTTTGTTGTTGAGAGCAGTCAACACAAGGTGGTTTGGATTGGTAAGGCGAGTGAGACCGGTGGCTGAGCGAAGGAAGGAGCACTGGTCTGGGGGCGATGTCGACAGGTAACCAGAATCCAAATTGCAGTCAAGAGGCACAAATGCTAGGACAAGCAACACGACGCCGGGTTGTTGAGAATTGGATAGACAGCTGAAGAAAGAGGTATGTAGCGATAGAGGCAAAGAGGGACGTGCGGCTGCGGCTGTGTTGCTTGCGCTGAAGAAGGCGGCGGAACTCAGAGGGCTAGACGACCCAAACAGCGGCCACGGTGCCCGTAATGATGTGTAATGATACGGGGGTATTGGGTATCTGGGAGAACAACTAGTGGTCCTCTCGCCCTCTAAATTATCAGGCTGAGATACGAAAGGATTTCAGTCCCGTTCACCGTCCTTCAGGCAAGAAATATGTGATTCACTGGGTCACGGAACCTGCTTCAGATCCTGATGCTGCAACCTCGTGGTTTACTTTCCCCTTGTCTCCTTGTCATCAGTCATAGATTGCAAATTGTAGACACGGGAGATGAAAGAAAGACAATGAACACATAAAGGTGGTGGCCAAGGAAGGGGGCCTTCTAGGCCTAGTGAGCCTGTGCTAGGGGCTGGTAGCGGCGTCTAGTGGCTTCCCAGGTGGCAGGTCTCGTATTGTCTGACACCTAGCTGGAATCTGAAGGCTGATTTTGGGGGCTGACAAGCAGTGACTTCCTCTGCCAGATTCCAGTGAGACACAGATAAAGAGCGGTGAAATCCACTCACCCACATCCCTATGGTAGGCACTCTTTCGCTCTGTTCTTTCGAGTTCGCCCTTTCCAAACTGTCGTCTCGACGCCCACATCACCAAAATACCAAGACATCAGGGTAAGAATCTGCTGGGAAGACGCAGATGCTAAGAGTCGATAGGGCTGACATCCCGCCCCCTCCTTCATCTTCCACATCCCGCTCAAGGCCCATCATCTTGTGTTCCCTCGGCGGCCCAATCCAATCAAAGTGGCTCGTTTCAGCCTTTGAACAAATGTGCAGTCGGATAATTTCTTCTCTCCCGCGTCTCGACGCCTGGATATGAAAGCCAGGAGAGGCCTCTCGGGTTCGTGAAACTGTCAACTGGCCAATCTCCCTCTTGTTTCAGCCTTTCCTGCGAGCCTCGAATGTTCTAGTCGATCTATCCTATTACCATATATGTACGAACGGAACAGATCTACGAGCAGCATACTGCCGAGCTGCGTAATACACACATGTGGCCGATCCCTGGTGAGAAGCCCCACTGGAGAGAGGCGCCGGTCGATCACACAAGTGTGCGGCTGACAGTGGCACCAGTGGCTCGCGCTTCTATGTACATATGTCTTGTGGCAGTTCTCCTTCTATTGGCTGGATGTATCCTTCAGACAACCAGGGATATGGGCTGGCAGAGCTCAAGATGTGGATGGTGGTGAAGTGGCCTGTATGTATTGATGCAAAAGTAATGATTCTGCATGTTTTTAAGCCTCAGAATCTACAACTCGTCCTTGTTGTTCTTCTTCGACGTGGCCGTCGGCGTCGAGGATGAGCTCGAGGATTCATTCGCTTTAGAGGTCGTGCTGCCACTCGAGCTGGAGGACTTGGTCTTCTTGGCCTTTCCCTTCCCTGTCCCTGTCCCTGTCCCTTTCTTTCCATTTCCTGTCTTCCCCCTTTTTGGGATTTCTTGCATTTTGATTGTTTTCATAATGGTATCCGAGACCAGTTTCTGTAGTTCTTGCCCCTTGCTCTGCAATTCGGTAACCAGCAGGGCCGGATCGTCATGTGGCCCAAGTTTGCCCTGAAGGGCAAGTTTCTCGTCGAGCCATTTCTTCACCTCCTCATATTTCGTCGTCAATGCTGCGAGATCTTCGTTCGTGTATTCATATGGTTTGATGGGGGGCGGTTCGTCGGTCTGCGTTGCTTCGCCTGCTGACGTGCTGCTATAGGGATCCTCGTCGAGGTCATCCACATCCACTGCAGACGAGCTCGTGGAGGTGCTTGAGGTGGCAGACTCTGCAGCCTCGCTTGCACTCGAAGCCGCAAACTCTGCTGCCTTCTTGACGCTTCCTTCCACCATTGTGATCATACCATTGAGGTTCTCTAGACCCTCTTTCAAGGCCTTGATCGCATCAGGCCGTTTTACAGCTTCTTCCTGGCGCTTCAATACGGGATCGACCAGGTCATGGAGGTGCTTCAGCTTGTCCTTGAAGTCTTGTAGTTTGGCGTCAAGGCCGTCACTATATAGCCACTCGGAGATGCTCGACAGTTGCTCTTCCAGTTCTGTCCGAACAGACTCACTCGAAGCAGCTATGAAATTGTCGTCTCCTAGATAGTCCCTTGCTCGGTATGTGAAAGCTTCGAGAGTGTTCAGAGCCTCAGCTCGGAGAACGGCATTCCGATCTGATGTATCAAACTGAGATAGACGCTGCCGGAGTCGAGGCAAAATCTGTAGCGGTGGAGAATTGAGCCCAACGACACTTGATCTCAAGGCAAGCGGGATTGAAATGCTTGTTGGCGTGGCTTTGCTCGTTTTGGCAGATTTTGTCGTCGAGGAGGAAGCGGGCGGCTCCGGGGGTGACGACGAAGCAGACGATATGGTCGATCCAGAACTTGTTGGATCAGAAGCAGGTAATGGTGTTTGTGATTCCGAGACCTCACTAGGCGCATCTTCGCCTCCGACGACCTTTTGATCGCCGTCCTTCTTCGAGCCGAAGCCAAATAGCCCTTTGACGTTGTCCATGACGGTGCCACCTTTGTTACTCTCGCTTTCGCAGCTAACAGACCCCGAAACGACTTCAGGTAATCCATCCACATGGCTTAACCGCATAGTGAAAACGGTGCTGATGTTTGCCGCTGCACAGCCGTGCTTTTCTTTCAGTTCGCCCGCTGATTTCGTCAAGTTGAAAGCTTCGATCTCTGTCACAGGAATTTCTACCTCCTTGGCTGATTGGGTGAACCGTAAAGTGACATCTTCCAGTGTTTTGATAGGCACTTGCTTCTCAGCCCCAACTTGAGAGGACGGCTGGAACATTTTTTGTGCCCTTTCTTTGTCATCCACACTCCACCTCAAGAAAAAGGAGAAACCTGAAATATCTGCGTCGCGGATGTCTTTGACCCGAAAGCTGGGGCTTAGCGATGCAGCTTTGAAAGCTGCTCCCATCACGGCAGCTTCGTCTGCGTTGACGTTGGTCTTGAGCTTGGATGAGCCCCCGGCCACCTTTTCGAGCTGCTTCTGCACGAATGGAGTCCTCACTGCGCCTCCGTGCAGAATTATTGAGTTGAGGTCGTCCAGTTGCAGCCCGGCCGACAGGAGAGCCGAATCAATGGGGGAGCCTACGCGTGAAGCATGATCTGCGGCGAGCTCTTCGAATTTATCACGGGATAGGCTGTACTTGAAGGTAATATCATCGTCATAGAGCCCTTCGAAGGTCGCAGTTGAAACCGCATTAGCACTGAGAAGTTGCCGAATTCGTTCGGCCTCTTTCCAGATTCTTGCCTTTGACTTTCCGTGAGACTGGACCTGATCACGATCCAAGCCGAACTTCTTAGCGCTTGGCGAATTGAGAAACTGGGAGATGATGTCCTCGACAATAACATCGTTTAACGAATCCCCTCCCAGCGACGTATCGAATCCCACACCAAGGGCGATGACTTCTTGAACAGTGGAATTCCGCTTGCCAGTGCCTTTGATTGTCCTGCCTTGAAACTTGAGCACAGTTGCCGTTGTCGATCCCGCACCCATGTCATAGACGAGATGATACTCTGGTTTACCCCCATCCGTCACGCTATCGAACGTCCGATGTGTTGCATAGTTGAGCCCGACAGCAAGTCCGTCGCTGACAAGGCCTAGAACTCTCAATCCCGCCAGGTCCGCAGCCAATTGAATGGCTCGCTTTTCCTCGGCGGTGTAGAAAGCAGGATATGTGATGACCACATCAGTGACATAGACGCCCTTTGCGACCATAGCTTCCGCATTGCTCTTGAGGTTCTTCAACTGCATTGCCAGTAGTTCTTCCACCATGAATATTTCGTCTTTCTTGGTTCCAAAGCTCTGACTCTTGAAGCCCACTGTTCCTGCATCCCTGTCCTTCCCGTTGCCTCTTGGGATGAGTTCGAGGTTTAACCCAGGGTAACGAGAGGCATACTTCTGCACAGCCTCTGCGGAGTATTCGAGGCCCAGCAAAGTTTTCAGGTTGGGGTATACATCGCTCGGAAATCTCGCGGAGAGCGCCACGGCATCTCCTCCATACAGGCGTTCGGGAAAGGCGTCAGCATCCTTCGCCTGAGCCCTGGATGGTTTGAATGCGAGCGTTGCTGCTTCTCTTCTCTTAGAGTCTTTAGAAAGGACAATTTCGATGGGAGATCCAGGTTTAGCAATAGCGCCCTTCAGGTACTCTGTACCCAGATCGATGCCCAGGACTGCAGAAGCGGCATGGGCTGCCGTAGCGAAGAACAGGAGGAGAGAGAGTGTGAGCAGGCTGGAAGTCGAGAGCTTCCGTCGTCCAGGTGGTGCCATTGTGTATATGTGCGAGGAAATCGTCAATTTGACCGGGCGTGATCGTCGTAAGTCAACTCAAGGAAAGAATAATTTGCTACTTGGGGGTTGCGAGCACATTTCCAGAACGACGCTCAGGGAGGAGTTTTAGGTAGGGATTAATGAGCAAAGAGATGACAAGCCCCGTCTATGACACCGTTTCCATTTGTGATGCTCGTGTGCTCATCGATGTACTCCTTTGCAGGCTTGTGAACAAGTTGTCCAGAAAATCAGTACCACGAATCATGCAGATTGGATACATGAATCGCGGAGCCAAGGGGGGGCGAACAAATGACACCGTCTGACACAGAATAAACGCCACATCTCACGTAGCCGACCACCAGGAGAGCGGGTTATCACAATATAGTTGGAGGTATGAGGGAAGAATACCATGCTGCTCTTCGTGGAGGCAGATAAGACATTCCTTTTCTGCTGAGAGAGCTCTCTTAACATAAAGGTATTTTTGCTCTGACATTCGAAAATTGCGGTCAGACACAGTGCCCCTCGGTTTCTCATGTTCGTATCTCCCACAGCCTTTCAGCCTCCATCCATTGTGCAAAGCCTTCACCTCCCGTCTTTCCTCCTAGGCTCGTTATATCTGAGAAGGCAATCAAGATTGACGCTCGGAATCCGAAACCCTCCCGCGGACCGTGTCGCGCCTAGGGCTTCTCCAAGCTCAGAATGATCCTCTCCGCTAAAAATGCATGAAATCATCACTCTTCAGCTTGGAAGCAAGAGCAACTATCTAGCTACCCATTTCTGGAACGCGCAGGTATCCTATACTCGACTGTACCAATGGCTCGTCTAACTCTTGTTCGCAGGAATCATATTTCACATACTCTGATGACGAGGAACCCCTGGTCAACCCAGACATCCACTTTCGGCCAGGCCTTGGTTCGGATGGCTCGGAGACGTTCACGCCTCGAACCATAATATATGACCTGAAGGGTGGCTTTGGCACTCTTCGTAAATTCAACGAGTTATATGACATCCCGGGTGACACTCATACTGCTCCGGGCCTTTGGTACGTTACCTTCAGAGACGCTCCCCGGGCTGGATGTGAATCTAATCACTTTCAGGGATGGAAACACTGCACGACATCATGAACAACCCATTGCACCGTCTGAGTATCAAAGAAACTTAGACCAGGGTCTCCCGACCACTCAACTCCACGCCTCGGACGTGAGGTATTGGTCCGATTTCAACCGTGTCTTCTATCATCCCAGGTCCATTGTCCAACTCCATGAGTACGAGGTAAACTCGCAACTTATGCCCTTTGAAAACTGGTCTGCAGGTGAGGACTTGTTCGAAAGCCTGGACAAGGAAGTCGATCTACTCGATCGTGATGTCAGACCATTCGTAGAAGAGTGCGACCAAATGCAAGGTTTTCAGTTCTTCAGCAGCGCGGATGACGCATGGGCAGGCTTTGCAGCGAAGTATGTGGACAGTGTAAGGGATGAGTATGGGAAGACAAGTATCTGGGTCTGGGGCATTGAGGACGGTTCCAGGACGACCAGGGTAAGTCTTTGTCTGTCGGTCCGCAGACTAGTTGCTCAACAGGGAATAGGAAAAGCTGTCAATACGAGCGTGCAATGCCTCACGGACTCTCCATTCAATTGGTCAGCAAGCATCTGCATACGTTCGACTTGCTGCTCCTCCGTCGATTCTTCCTCGATATGTGAATATCGACAGTGGCTCCACTTGGATGAGCACGGCCCTCCTCTGTGCAGGCATTGAATCTGTCACACTCCCGACCAGGCTCCATGCCGAAGCAGGGAAAAGAAGCTCGTTGAGCCTATTGGAGGACACTTTGAATACTAACGGTGTACAAAATGTGTTTGAGCTTCATGCAAGCGTCACCAGCTCCAAGATTGGAGCAAGCCACTCCTCCAACGGAACTGCGACGGGCCACGGGAATGGATATGGAGAGAATCAAAAAACTGATTTGCCGGAGCCATCACATTTTGACCTGGACTACAGCCCAAGTCTCAGCAGTCCGTCGGCCGCGAGGTCCAGTCATGTTTTTGCTCAGGTGGAATGTGAGCGTGACCACCTCGAGTCGGACCCCCGGCCGTTGACCCTGACTCCAGAAGAGCGACTTCGAAGGAGAATAAACGAGGAGAGCGTGGTAGAGATGTGAGTCGATCCCTTTCCCTCTTTGGTTCCCTTACCTCAAGCACATCAGCTTCCGGAAAGCAGATGAGTCGACGGAAAAAGCTGACGGCCGCTCAGATTTCAAACCAGCCTACAATTTCCTCTGCTGGACACGTTCCCAGACACACTCTTCGAGACTAGTCGAAGACCGCGCGGGCTGGACATGTCGGCAGCCTTAGAATGCAACTCGAGAATGAAGAGTCGGATTCTGGATCTCAGGAACGCGACTTCTCGCCTAATGCCACTGGAAGAACGAGAAGTGCATTACAACGACCTCACGCAGATGGCCCAGAATTACGACATTGGATGGGATTCGGGATCAGATTCTGGAATCGACGATGAGTGAAGCTCTGTCGCACAACCCAAGTGCCCAAGTGCCCCAGTCACTCTCACTCTGGTATATTTTTGCCGAAGCTTATCGCAGTTCCGGGTCCAAAAGAGCAAAGTCGGGCTGGTCAACACAGGCGCCAATGATGTAGCGTAGAAGGTGGCAGGTCAGTGGGCCAGGTGGAAGGGCTGGAGTGTCTGGGGCGCATGATGTGATTCCTCACGGAGACTCATACATGGGGGCGCCTGTGAGTCGTGACTAGCTTTACGAGGTGCAGACCATACAAAAAAGCTGCTTCCGAACTTGTGTGGAACTCTTGCAGAGCCGCTAAAGCACAGCTCATAGCGATCCCAAAGCACGTCAACTCCGTCATACTGTAGAAAATAATAGTTTTCCAGGCCGAGCTGTGGAAAAAGATCTACTAGCTCGAACGCCTATCTTCAAATTTTCTTCGGCCAGCTGGTGACCATCAAGGTCCCAAGCGGCCGCCAATCGATAAAGCAGAGGCAGGCGCTGACAGGCAGTAGTGGCCAGCCAACGCCCCCCTGGACTGGCAAAAGAGTCCGTCTTTTGCTCTAACCCCAAAGGGCACAAGTGTCAACGAGACAGCCACCAAACAAGGCACAAGAGCTGGAACAATGGCAAGTTTCGGTCCGAATTCATGATGCTCCAAGCACCCAGCCAAGCTGTGGCAGCCGACAATGTCTCTGCTAAGGAGCTTCTGACTTTTCGGAGGATGTGAGGGAGATGCACACGGGCGATACAGTTGGCACTGAGGCAGGAACATGGAGTCAGCGGGAAGGAAGGAGTCTTGCACAGCTTCTGCTACTGGGTCGAACAGCTGAGAAATTCCCCGAGCGAGCTCTGGCACGCTCTTGCCGCTGTCGATAACGTGGAAAAACAGGGATGGATCCCTGGCAGTTGCAAAGCTTGATTAGACCGGTAGCCAATGATCGCATTGTTCCTGGCGCCACCAACCGCTAAAGTGAGACATGCAGTCTTGGCGCCTCCAAGTCTTGTTGCAACTTCCTTGACAATGCCCAACCTCATCCGATAAAGCGACCAACCTTATGTCAGTCCTGCGCCAGTGACCAAGCTATGGGACCTGGCTTCGATTGATGTCGACCGTCTTCGGTGGTGGCTTCGGCGGTCTCAAGAATACTACGAGCATCGTCATACGATCACGCTACGAGAAAGAGGTTCTGATGGGTCGCAGTCCCAATGCTTGTCGGGTACGAGTATGTCGGCTGATGAGGTCGAATCGGTATTGATTTCTGACTTCATTGGATTAAGTACTCGGACCACACCACCACCTGTGGACCCCTGTTCAACTGTGGCTTCCCCCATCTTTGGCACGCAAGGAAGGGGGCAGGACACCAGCCCGTTGCCCTGGAGGTGCCTTGTCAGTGGCTGACTTGATTCTCGACCTTCCGCCATGCCGGGCGTCGTGAAATGCAGGATCTGGTCTACAGTCACACAGCCTACGGACTATAGTCATGTCCGCCTGCGAAATGTTTTGGGATGGTTGCGTGAGGCTGAAGACACTACACTCCAAACATGGCCAACGGTGAGCTCATGGCAGCTAGCCACACGACTCCAGGCTGTCTAACGACGGGGAACTCTACAGCCAATGTGAAGAGGTTGGCAGGCAGATTTTCCACTCGTTTGTCTTTCCACTCGCCTAATTGGACACTGGGGCAGCAGACCTTCCAGGCCAACGACTGCCAGCCTCGGACGAGCCAATGTTCCATTGAGGAAGCTATTCCCAGGCTGACCCGGTCGGCATGGCCTTTTGGAAACTCCACTCTGATGGACAGTTGACACTACCGGGGCTGGAAAAACTCGGTTGTTACTCTGCAGTCTCCACAGGGTTCACCTCGACTCCCCACCCTCCACTACGACTTATGACATGATTCTGAGAGGAACAGGCTTGGTGGCATGGGAGAATGCTGCACGCCCACTGAACTCGCCACATCCCCAGCACTCTGATTTATTCATTAGGTATGATGCTTGCGTGACAGAATCCACAGCCGAAGACACTGGAGAGAAAGGTGCCTGCCCGGCGAGGAACTTACTACAAAATCGGCCATATCCCTTCCGCAACTGTGTTTCTCTTCTTCCCATCTCCCGGCACTCGTATTCGAGCTTGTACCCCATCCAAAGTCTTGTTGTATTATACTCTACCCTCAAAAAACACTTACACCTTCAACATGAAGTCATCACTCGTTCTGCTGGCTGTCACCAGCTTGGCGAATGCCGGAATAATGCAAAAGAGAGGAAGTAGCTCGTGGGCTGATTGGACGACGACGACGACGACGACCACTACCACTACCACCACCACCACAACGACAACCCCCACGACCACCTGGGAAGATTGGACTACCACGACGACCACGACCACGACTCCATCGACCACCTGGGAGGACTGGACGACCACGACCACCACTACCACCACCACGACTCCTTCGACCACCTGGGAGGACTGGACCACCACCACCACCACTACTACTCCTTCGACCACTTGGGAGGACTGGACCACCACTACGACCACAACAACGACGACGACCCCATCTACCACCTGGGAGGACTGGACCACCACCACGACTACCACTACTCCTTCGACTACCTGGGAGGACTGGACCACCACCACCACCACCACCACTACGACTACGACTCCTTCTACTACTTGGGAGGACTGGACCACCACCACCACCACTACGACTACGACTCCTTCTACTACCTGGGAAGACTGGACGACGACGACGACCACCACCACCACCACCACCACCACCACCACTACGACTACGACTCCTTGGGCTGAGTGGACCACATCTGTTTACACTTCCTCGTGGGCTCCTGCTCCGGCCCCCGTCGAGAGTACTCCATCGCCAGCCACTTGGTCCGACTGGAGCAGCACGTCGGTCTACCCCTCTGAAACCCCGGTCTATACCAGCACCTGGTCTTCTGCTAGTCCCGTCTACACCAGCAGCAGCGTCTGGACCAGCATCGCTCCCATTGCCAGCACTACCACGGCTGCCCCGGTGGTGACTTATACCGGCGCTGCCAGCAGCAACAACAAGCCTGCCATGGCGCTCTTGGCTGGTGTTGTTGGCTTGGTCGCCCTGGCATAAATGAGAATGTCATTGAAATCTCCCTGAGTCAAGGACTCGCGGAAAGCGAAAAAGAAAAAGCATATCTTCAATTCTTTGATCAACATCTTCCGTCGACTTATCCCAACCCTCATGCTTATATGCTTGTGTACCAGGTACAAAGATGGGGAAGTCGACGCTCGACGCTGATCTTTATTTTGGCACCACACGAATGGTGTCTTTTCATGGCTCAGCCCTTGGAACCAGACCACCGGCACGAGCGTACGATCCTTACGACTGAAAGACACACGAGACACGCTCCTTACGGCATAGCGATGACATAGACGCTCCTTTACGACCCATGTTAAAAATTATGCAGAGACTGCACATCATCAACGTGCTGGAAGGTATTTATTGCTTGGGAATTAATATCACCTCTTTGATGAGGTGGGGAGGTGGGTTGGACTATATGGGAAGGGGTGGTGATGAATATTGGAAGGAGAAATATAATCGAGACTTGACTATCAGACTAATTGAAAACTCGAGTTGGGTTTGTAAATAGCTCCATCCACCTGAAGTCATCGCCCCGAGTCGAGAGAAATAGTAATCATATAGCCTGGAAGGGGAACGGGGCGACGGTAGCATGTCAAACCAATTCCAATTCTTCAATCCTCAAAAAAATTGACACGATAATGCTCGTCCTTGCTCACCAAGTTTATTCGATTTCATCTCGACGTGATTAGGATGTACTGTCGAAGCTACCACGGAGAATTGTTCACTCCTTCTCCGTCCGGACACGCGCGTTCGAGCTCATGTCAATATCATAGAAGCAGCGAATGGAGCTGTAAAGAGGCTTCAAGAGCTGGACGGACCTACAGATCATAACAAGTCTACCTTTAGTGGACGTCTCGAGACGGTATGTGCCTTTCGTTACCATATGCATCATGTGCATAACGTAACCACCATCGTGGGTTTGAGAACCAATCTGTGCTCTGTGTGTGTATGCAGTTCAAGAGCGAAGGGTATAATTGGGCAGGGACCATCCTGACAGGGATGCTTTGCAATATCGCTGATTCCTATACTCTTTGTGCTCGAGGAGAAGAAAAAGAGTTCATCCATATGCGAGACAACACATGGACGACGACGACGACCTCACACTTCCGTCCCTTGAACGGCCATCCTTCGCTTTATACCGAGTACCTCGTACACAGAGCTCGTTCGCTAAGGCTCCCGGCACTCGTATTCGAGCTTGTACCCCATCCAAAGTCTTGTTGTATTATACTCTACCCTCAAAAAACACTTACACCTTCAACATGAAGGGATCAATCACAATTGGGATTTTCCTCCTTTGTTATTAGCAGCTATGGGATCACACGTGCCAGCCGGCCATGTCTCTTGGTCGGTCCTTCAAGGGAAACTTGCTCCGACCCGACTGGACTTCATCCAGTCTGTCCGGCATATTCTCTCTAGGGGGACAGGTGTGGGCAATCCCAGGGAGGAAAGTATGAATGCCAGAGTCAGGCGAGCAGATCAAAGCCCATGGCACTCCTGCCGGCCTCGCCGCTCAACAGACCCTTCTCGCCCGTGAACAGCTGAAACGTCTTCTCGCTGGACCCGTTGCGGAAGTCCTCGGGCGGGAGGCCGTTGAGAAAGTCCTCCAGCTGGCCCTTGATGTAGCGTTTGTTCTCGTCGGTGCTGGGCGTGGCGGCGATGTAGGCGACGCTGGCGTCGTGGTCGCCGTTGTGCTCGACCTCGACCGCGTGGCACATGTCGGCGTGCCACCACACCGTGTCCCCCGGTTCCATCCGTGGGATGCCCACCATGCACTCGCGTAACCGTAGGTGCGGGTGAGACGATGGGCTCAGCAGTTGGCTGTCCTCCCGAAAGGTGCCGGGGAACCATGGGCTCTCGGCGTTGAAGGTCCATTTGCTGGCGTCCATGATGTCCTCCTCATTCTCGGAGTCGGGGGGTTGGAAAAACGGCCGCAGCAGAAGGTACGCGATCGTCCACTTGACATTGGGGTACAGCATCAAGCTGCCTTCGCCGAGCCCGGCCGCGGTCAGGGCCGTCCACCCCTGGAAGCTGCGAAAGACTCGCGAGTGTGCGGAACCGGGGAACATGGCCTGGTTGGCGGTTTTGCGGGCGGTCAAGTCGTAGTTGTCCAACGACTCAGGGTTTCCCGAAAACACGGCCGCGTACACGGACTGATACGTCGGATCGGCCCAGCGACACAGGCTGCCTGCGTCGATATGGGGACCAAGACCGCGGAACGGCACCCCTGGGGGTCGGATGCGCACCCCATCGGCATATGACAACGGCGCTGGGGAATAAGATCCATCCTTGTCATGCCACCAGGAGTTGAGCTCCTCGCTGAGTTTCAGCTGGTTGGGATGTGATCGTGCCGCCATTTGTGTGGGCGAAAAGTACAAGTTGAGGATGAAGGGCGTCTCTTGGGGCCAGCCTAGAGATCGGTCAGACACAGATAAATACGAAAGTTTCACTTCATGATGTTCGTGTATAGAACTCTGGTACTTCCAGATGGAACATACGTACCCCGAATCTGCGACCGATTAGCAGCAACGTATTCCTTCAGATCCGAGAACCATTTGTCTGCTTGCTCGCGGCTGAAGACGTTGCGGACGACAAAGCATCCCACATCCTTCAAGGCCTGCTTCTTCTCAGACGTCAGGCTGAACATGTCGTCATATTGGACCTCAGGGATGACGGCGGTACCCTGCTCGGCGATGCGGTCGGTCACGGATTCCAGTTCCTTGCAGACCTTGAGCCAGCTCTTGACGATGTTGTCCTTTCCATACTTGTCCACGATGGCTTTCTTGTATCCGACCAGGTCGTCGCCCAACTCTGCCTTGGCAGCGGTGAACTCGGGCCAGTCTGGCCAGCTCAGTAGTCTTCCTGGCATTCTTGCGGTCTTGATCTTAGCCTCCTATTCTTGCAGTGTACCTAACGTCTCTTCTTTCCTGCTGGTTCGAAGATACCAGGGATTAATAGTTCAAGACGACCACTGGATCAAGACGTAATATGCTCTTCTCGGACATCCACGCCGCACGGGGCAGCGGTGGCACGACCAAGCAACTCAATTGGAATCGCAGGATATAGTCCCCAAGAGCACCAGGGTGACACTCAACCTGCACTTGGTCAATGTAAAACTTTCAAAGACCAGGCCACACGGAGATCTTCACTCACAAGCCTGGGCTCATCAAGTGGGAGATGGGGATGTCAAATCTGTGCTCTCGGATATTACCGTTCCACAGCCCCAGAATTCCAAGGCCATTGAGCAAAGGGGCAAGCCGAGGGCCAGTTTGCCAGCCTCGTCGCCTATCAGGACATGGGTCTCTTCTCCAGATAACGCGAAACCCAAATGGACTGGACACTAGGGCTAGAACCACAGTCCCGGAGCTGGTCGTTGGAAGGAGATTCGCCTTGATATCCGTCCCACGAGGGCGGGCACCTCCATATCTGCACACCAAAGGGTTTGTGATAACGGGTTATGCTGATCCAGGGAAGCGAGCCATGTGCCGTCTCTATTCCGCAGGAGAATTTCAAGTTGGTGTATATAATGGAGCGGGGCCTCAGTCGATAGTGGACTTGAAAGCCACATCGAAGTACCGACGGTCCCCAACGAGCCTTCTGCGCAAAGAAAAGACTTGATATCCAAGTCACAATGTCGCCGGTACCTTGGGAGCTCCCTGCATGGGTGCCACAGCGGTCGTGGCTTGCTTGTACCATCTTGATCTTCACCTCATGTGTGACTTCCACTGTGAGTACCTCTCTGCACCAAACAGTTTGGTTCTGGTGCGGTCCAGCGCCTTGGTGGCGATCATAGGTTGACACAGGCTGCCCTGCAGACTCTAGGCTTCGATGGTTCTATGATGAACGGCCTCAACATCCTCCCCTCGTACACGGACTACTTCACCCTCACCACAGCCACTCTGGCGCTCAACACGGCTTCGGTGTGGATGGGCAGTGCCGTAGCAGGTATCGGGTACGCCAAAGTCCCCGACTGGATTGGTCGCAAATGGGCTCTATTCTTTGGTGCGGTCTCCACCATCATCGGCGTCGTCCTCCAAACCGCCGCGCAGAATATCGCCATGTTTGTGATCGCCAGGATCATCATCGGCTTTGGAACTGGCGCCTCATCCATCGCCGCGCCAGTCTACCTGTCAGAGACCGTGCCTGTGAAGTTTCGTGCTGTTTCCTTAGCCCTTCTGTATGACTTTTGGTATGTCGGTAAGTCATCTCTGGCCCTTTCTTCTCGCTAGTGACGGGATCCATGGGTAATTGACAAACAAATAGGTGGTCTAATCGCTGCTGGTGTCACGTACGGCACCGCAAAGATGGATTCTACCTGGGCCTGGCGTCTGCCATCGGCCCTGCAAGGCCTCTTCAGCATTCTCTGCATCATCCTCATCCCCTTCACACCAGAGTCTCCTCGATGGCTTCAGAATCAGGGACGCAGCGAAGAAGCTCTCCTGGCGTTGGCGCAGACTCATGCGGACGGAAATATCGATGATCCGGCCGTCACAGTTCAGTTCCGCCAGATCGTGGATACCCTGGCGTTCGAGAAATCGTTCGAGAGCCCCTCTTTCGTCAAGCAATTCGCCAACAGTGCATCCACACGCAAGCGGATATTCTTGGTCTGCACCGTCGCCGTCTTCTCCATGCTCTCCGGAAACAACATCATTTCCTATTATTTCGGAACCATGCTCACGCAGGCGGGAGTCACAGACTCGACCACACAGCTGGAGATCAACATCATCCTCAATGCATGGTGTCTGGTCGTTTCCCTGGTTGGTACTGCTATGGCAGACAAACTAGGCCGCAAGGCTCTGGCTGCCATTTCCACAGCGTTGTTGACCGTCTTCATCTTCATGGTGGGCGCGTTAACCAAAGTCTATGGCGATTCGACGAACAACTCCGGTATCTACGGAACCGTGGCCACAATCTTCCTCTTCCAGGGAGCATACAGCTTCGGCTGGACGCCTCTGACTGTCTTATACCCCCCGGAGGTCCTCAATTATGGCCTCCGTTCGCTCGGCATGGGTATTTATACCTTCCTTGTGAACGGAGTGGGGTTGATGGTGACCTTCGCTTTCCCCTTTGCGCTTGAAGCTATAGGTTGGAAGACGTACATGATCAACGGTGCCTGGGATGTTCTTGAGCTGGTTGTGGTCTTGGTGTTCTGGGTCGAGACCAGTGGACGTACATTGGAGGAGATTGATGAGAATCTCGACGGTGAGGTCCACAGCGAAGCGCCCAAGTTGAGGGCTATCATGGGGGTAGCGCCAGAAGACAGGGAGGAAATCGTGGACGCCTTGGCCTTGGGCAAGGACAAGAAGATGGAGATACTGGGTGAGGTGAGCGAGGTGGCTAAGGAGTAGATTTGCGGTTTCGTCTCGACTCGAGCAGTGGACAGTGGACAGTGCTGAGCATTCTCTTGAGCCGCCGTGCCATTCTTATATCCACGTAGCCGCCGGTTGGTATCCATTCAAAAAACACGTTATCCAAGAACGGCTTCCACGCATCAGATATGAGCACTCTTGACATTGCGACCCGGGTCAGTCCAGGTGATCAGAAGATACCGGACACGTGCTGACAATGGGAATCAATGGGTCTTGAGATTCAAAGGCCACTATCTCAACTTGAGAGGAATGGACCTCGAAGACAGGGGCCATGCATTTTCATGTGCTGATAATGATCATTTGTCCCGTCCAGCTCGCGGTCGCCGTCATTTCATGGGTTATCATAAATTTGCGATAATGGCCACGAGAAGCCTTGTTGCCCGTACATTCCGAGGTGCTGAAGGTGCCCAGGATTCATGGTGGTCGGCTGTGTAAGAAGGTCGAAATCATTCAGTAGTGTATCCCATCTTTGCCAGTCCATTCCCATGGTGTCCATGACAGAGAAGTCATGGGCGGAAAACGTAGGGTCCAAGGTGTCGTTGACGGGCTGTTCAAATTGCTGGACACTGGGGATGGTCTCTGCGTTAGTGGCATCCGATGCCTGTGTCTCTGCTGCCAGCTTCGTCTCTTCAACTTGAAGGGCGGAAGGAAAGTGTAGCACTGTGGCTCGACTGGCACCGGTCTTCCCTTCTTGAGCCTCTCGCTGTTTACGAAACTGTAGAATGAACTGCGGAGTTTCAAGCCATTGCAAACTGTGAGGGCTTTCCATTTGCGCCTTTTCGCGTGCTCGCCATGCCTTCAGGCACAAATTGCCAATTGCGATATGGAGTGGCTTCTTCTGGTCGGAGATGAATCTTCAGAGAGAAACGTAGGAGTAAGCCGTGAGTTCTTGAAAACAATGCACCATGGATATTGAACGGGGGGGGGAGGTCTTAACCAGGATGATGAAGAAGCGACGCAGGTGGGCTAAGGGAAAAGAAACCGAGGAGACATCGAGGGAAAAGACGACTTACGTGGGATGATACTTGAAAATGTCCTCAATCTGCACCCACGCATCGTCCTTGCCATCGCCGGTTGGCCTGGCTATGAGCTCCCCTAGCGCAAATATGAAAGAATGCCACTGGAACCCGGCGTCAATGTGCCAACTGAACCTCTGTAGTGACCGATGAGAATGCGCCAGGTTATCGGCCTCGATCAGTGCCATGCTGGTGGTCCACAGGAAGTGGCGCTCGTTGTCCGGGATATCTTTCTCCTTTGCATAGCGTCGAGGGTGATGTGCCATGAATCTTATGCTCTTGCACATTGTCCGCCCAATGATCAAAGCCATCATCTCGAGCGGTATGGAAGGGTCACAATATCTCAGCACCTTTTCTTCCAATTCAGCCTGGAATTCGTCGACGAAGCTATCCTTTTCCGACAACGTCTTCGTTGCCACCCAGCGCTGGATGGCCCGGCCAAGTTCGTCTTCAGGAGTGCCTGCCTGCAGAAGCTTCTGCCGCCAGAAGGCTCCCACCGCATAATGGAGCAAGCAGACCACCATCTCAGTTGGGCGAGTGTGTTCGAGAGGTTTTTCTTTCATGCCTGGCCAAATATCCACGTCATTGACGTTAGATGGCGTCTTGGTGTTCCACCAGTTGATTTCCGTGAAGCCGCCAAAACCGCTCAGCTCGGCAGCCCTGAAGTCGAGTAAGTTGATTTGCCACCAAAGCCTGCGGCGCATTTCCGTTTCGAATGGAGGAAGGCCAAGGACGGTGCCATCACGATGCACGCCCAAGCCTTGGGCTATGCGACTCGCGACACCTGAAAGTGTCCATAGCGTGCGAGCGTCCAGAACCTGACGCGTGGTGAGCTATTGTCGGTTAGTCACGGACGATTGGAGGGCTGAATCTCTTCTTACAAGATAGATGACAAGTGCTTGTAGAACAACGATGTCGGATGTTGCCATAAATCGTGCCTTTGTTAAGGCCCGGCGTATGCCCAACCTATATCTGGATTGCAGAGCCGCCCGTGACTCGCCGAATGTTGCTTCACATTCCCCATCACGCATGGAGAGCACAGCGCCGCCATAGATAGCGAACATCAAGGCTTCCAGCCCACGGGGTATATTGTCCGTGTCCTGAATGGCTTCTTCGATGCTACTCTGCAGGGTTGGTTGATGGACAATCTTCATTAGCGGGTTGACATTGGTGAGGAAGATCTGCCATAGTTTGAGGACATGATCAGGACTCGGGTGCAAACTCGATGTCTGAGTCGGGTAGGGTGTGACGCCAAGGACAAAGTCAGTGTTGTCATCGGCAAGAGTATCCAAATCATCCTCGCTCTCGGTATCTTGGATCACATCCTTGCTGTGATGGAGCTGTGATTGTGGTTAGTTGACTGAATAAGCCAGACGTGCAGAGACAAACCTCCTCGCTGACAGCAGTCCACAACTTACTATTGACGTTTAGCTTGGAAGAGATTGTGGCAGAAGGTGGGGGACATACTTCTGGATGAACCGAGACCTGCCCTGGTCCACGATCAATCTCCCTTGAAGTGAACCCGATGTCCACAGAGGCTCCGTGGGCCTGGATGTCGACGTGCTGGAGGGGTCGGCATCGTCAAGGGGAGGAGATGTGGTGTCGGCTTTCGTGGGTGTGGTCGACGGAGTGTTTGGATCGATGCCTTGATCACGAAGCAACTCCTCATAGTGCTTCAGACGAGCGAGCACGTCGTCTTCTCGGCTCTTGCGTTTCCGACGGCGAGGAGCAGGGGGGATACGGAAGACGCTACAGAGGTAGTGGTCAGTGAATATCTTGGCTAGCGACGAGAGGGTATCGATGAGCCAAATCGGAATCCAATGGCTGGCTGGAGTGTGTCCTTGGTGGATGTGGCATGTCATCACACTGGCACCAGGCAGCAACGAAGCAAATTGTCAGACTTGCCATTCGACTTTGGAGCGGACACAGCCACTGCACGGATGCTGCTTGTCGCATTTGACCTTGCGTTCGAAGCAGCGGACGCATGAGTAAGCCTTGGGAGGCCGAGGCTCTAAATTGCTAGACTTGGGCTCCATGAGGGGAGTTGCAGCATTGCCGATGTGGTTGTTGGTATCTCGAAGTGTGGGTGTCGTGGGCGTCATGACAAGAGCAAATTGACGAGAGTCCATGACTAAGAAATGAGTAAGCAAAAAGAAAGATTTGCTACAAGATTTGCTACCACGTGACTGGCTTATCATTAACCAGGCTTCAAGGCTTGGCACTCAAGGTCGCCATTTTGCAGCTTCTTCACTTTGCATGTTTACAGAAGTCATTGTACCACATTTGGCGCTGTGGCTGGGTCGATATCCCGGTGCCTATGATATTAGTCCAACAACCCTCAAAGTCGACCACTTCGTTTGCCGTGAAGCGTCATAACGAAGCCACGGAGCCCGAGACAGCTTCGCGATAATCGAAAGCAAACTCTATGCCAAAAAGAGCGTGTCTTCTGAAGAATGTTGAGGTCGGAGATATAAGTGAGTGAGGCTGTTTCCAATCATTGCAACCCGTTGTATCTTGTGTGAACGGCAGCCTTTGGAGGTAGATTTTGCGTTGGGGTTGTCGATATCGGGTCCGGGGTGATAATATGGGGTGCGTCGTGTTCGCGGCTACGGCTAACTAGCCAATGGAGGTCGGAGAAAAAGAAAATAGTGGAGTACTACGATCAGTTAAATAGTTGCCATCGTATTTGATGTTGTCCGTGTGTTTGGGTTTGTGTTATGTGCTGACGATGGTGCTCCATTTTCGAGGTGGCTCTTCGTTGATTCTATGACCGTGGCCTTGAATGAAGGTATCATTTGGAATAAGAAAGTTAAGGCTCACATAGGATCCACAGTGTCGTTTGATCCTGGGACTACAGTGATTATGGAAGGGCGCAACGAAGAAGATAAAAGTCGTTCTTCAATGTCTGCACGATGACAGCTCCAACCACATGTTCTGAGAATGGGGAGTATTTTGGGATCACGGCTCTACTTGCCCTGGAAATGGAAGAATACAAAGAAGAGCCATGGTTGCAGGTCTCGACGAACAAAAGCGAACTCAGACGGACATCTCTAGCCATTTTTGCCACGACTTCAACCCAGACAAGTGGTGCCACAGCCGTCCGAGCCTTCCAAAGGAGTGTATTTCTTATTTCTGTCTCTTGACCTGAGAAATTCAGCCCTCCCCTCGGGGCGCGTCCGCTCATGAAAGGAAGGCTACAGTCCATCTTCTATGGGAATCTCAGGGTTAGCACGAGAAAGACCCACTGCCATGGCCATAGTATTCCAGACTTTTGTCTCCTGGCAGGCAGACTTCTCAACATCTCTACAATCGTTTGGTTCGGCCGCAAGCTTCTCTTCTTGGCCGGTCCCGGAAGTTGAATGAGCATCTGTGGCGCCCAAACTTGGAGAACGCCTTGACCAGTCTGATACAGGCACACACTCCGCCGGTTCTATCTTCCTACTGCTTGCTAGATTCCGTTGCACAAGGCCAGGAGAGAGGAAGTCACACCCTCGAACGAAGCAAGAACATCCCTCACGCCCAGAGGGAGGAGGGAGAGGTCATAATATAATAAATCGCTCAGTCCGCATACGCCCGATACACGACCAACCTATCTTGCGCATCCATCTCGACCTCAACGCCCTGACCAACGAAAAAGATGCTTCCCTCTGGCAAGTCATAGTCCTGCCCACCGACCTTCATTTTCCCGCTTCCTTCCGTGACGATCATGATGCTGGGTCCTGCGATAGCTTTGACCATTTCTTTCTCTCCGCCCGAGAGCTCCGTCACGAGCATATTGAACTCGCTCATGGGCGGCTTGAACTCGCCGGTCTTGCCGTTCTGGCTCTTGTCGCTGGCTTGTCGCTTGAGGATGGGTTCCGACGGGTCGTGTTGCTTGAACGTCAATGACTTGGCGAACAGATCGACCGAATCGCGATCCGCTCGGGGACAGAAACCCGTGTTGATAACGTTGTTCGACCGCGCCATGCACTCGACGATGTCGCCGGAGAGGTACGCGTGGATGCCGTCTGCGGGAATGTATAGTGCCGAGCCGGCATCCAAGACCAAGAAATTCATGCACACCAACGCCACGAGGTTCCCATTGTCCTGCTGGCCGTACTGCTCCTGCAGCCTCTGGGCCAGGTCGAGCACATACCCCTGTTTGCCGAACTGCTCAACCGGCGTCGCCAGCAGGCCCTTCATCGTCCTTGCGACGAGGTCCTCCTCCGCCTTCAGCATGTTCGTACAGATCTGCCGCAGTGTCTCATCATCGCTCAGGGTCAGACCCTCGGTAGTGGTGGGCAGAAACGGCCGAAGGATCTCCAACTTCATCAGCTCCTGGATGTCTGCGAGGGGTTTGAAACCGACAAAGGCCTCGAATTTGGACAGAGCAACGGCAATCTCCGGCTTGTGGTTGGGATCCGTGAACTGGTCTGGATTTTCCTGGTGCAGTTTCTCCGACAGTTTCTTGTCCGGGTGGATCTGCAGGGGGAGCGCCTTTGCGATGGACAGGATCTTGGGGAGGAAAGGCAGGTCGGGGCCGAACTTGTCGTACACTTGCCTGCCGATCAGTTCCTCCTTGTGCTGCTTCAGGATGTCCTGCAAGTCCTCGCCCGTCTTGAGCGAGTACGACGGCAGTTCGGGGTACGTGCCCATCCACATCTCGGCATACTCCTTGGAGTCATCGAGCTGGAAATCTGGATTCGTCTTCGAGCAGAGTCGCGCGGCCAGCGACTCGCGACCCGTCCTGCCCCAGGGATAGTTGTTGCAATTGCATTTCAGCTGGATCACCGGGTCGGGCATGGCTGTGGTCAGGGGAGGGGGAAAGTGGAATTGCGATGGAGTTATGACAAGGGAATACAGAGAGTGGAAGTTCTGTTTACCTCTGAAAGAAGTGAAGAAATTGTCTTTTTTCACTTCTAAATACTTTCTCATTTGTATCCGGCCGCCCCATATTGTGCTTGTCATGATGTAAATCGGCCGATGATGTCAGTTCTCAGCAAATGGCAAAACACTGTAATTGCATGAAATTGTAAGAAAAACGGAATTGAAGTCCGTTGGGAAGCAAGGACGAGCATAACACAGATCGAGAAACGAGAACCAGGAGAGATTCCGGGCTCGAGCTCGACATCTCTTCTGTAGTAACTTCCACCGGTCGTCTAAGTAGGTGTTTCGTGCCACGTCAAGGTCTGTGGTGGTGGCGGAGACGTTCTGAAAAATAGTCGGTCTGGCAAACACAGTAAAGGTGCGAAGAGGGGAACAAGGGATGTGTCAGACAAAATTAAATTTCATCTGCCTGAATCAGAAAGTACGAGCTCAAGTCTGCGTGCTAATATCACATGTGACAAGATCCTTTGCCCATTAAATGCCTTTTTTTTTCCAGCTCACATCCATCCCGTAACCTGTCAAAGACATATCGTTAACCATCATAGAATCAGAATACCCAACCACGACAAACTGAAATGATACGAGTACAGCAGAAGACCCTGAAAATACCACGCAAAACGTCCACCCCCCATCCCACCTCTTAAAAATCGCGATAATACCTCGTGTCCAAACTGGCGAAGGGATCCATCGCCCCTATGACCCCATCACCCATTGCTGTCCCAGTTGTAAACTCACTCACAGCGTCTTCCAAGTGCAAGTCCAGATTGACGCCTGAAAATTCCTGGAAAGGAGTATTTAGGGCCTCGAAGTTGATTGCAGATTCTGGTACAGGACTTGGTTCCCTTGGGGACTCCGGTGCTTTTCGTCTGTTTCTGTTCTTCCTAGCTTTCGATATTATACCGGACTTTGTCTGTGTCCCAGGAGGAGAGGCTGAAGAGGATGCTGATGCTGTGGACGAAGCGTGACCAAGACTGCCATAACCCGAGTCGACGGATGACGTCGTGGAGTGCTTAGGTTTTAAATCAGTAACTCCCGTCGATGCTTGCCCCGAAGGGTCATGCAAACTGGAGAGCTTGACCGGATTGAAATCGGAAGCCGGGAGAGGCACTGCCATACCTTGCATGTTGTTCAGCTCCTCAAATGCAGAGGCAAAATCGAAGTCGAATTCGGTCGGCATGGCGTCTGTCGATATGGCAAGACCACGCTCATCCCCAACGCTCCAGCTGTGACAATGGTCATCATACTGGTCATTCTCTGGATCAACAGCCAGAGACACAGGAAACGTCACCGCAGAGGGAGACACTTCCACGGGCTGAGCTTTCTGAGCAGGTTCAGATGTATTTAACGTTGGAGCCATCCTGGCCGGGAAGGGACGACTGAAACTTTGGCGATGGCCCGGTAGAAGAAAGTGTGAGTCTACCCCAGTCCTGCTTGCGGCACCAGGACCATGAACAGGTGAGGGCGGCATGGAGGATGTCGGTGTCAGAGAGATTGAGCCGCGTCGCGCTGAACCCGGTGGGATCGAACAGGGCGACACTTCGACAGACGGGTTCCCTAAGGAAGGACTGTTGATGGGCCTCAATCTTTGGAGAACGTCTGTCATGGATGCCCTCAACTGTTCACGGATAAGTTGTCGCGCTTCCGCTGACTGAAGCCACCCCTGACCAGGAACCGTTGTTAGCTGATCCAAGCGTGATTCAAAGACTTCTCCAAGCACATCCATTGTGTCCTGAGTTTCAGCTGCCGCTGGGCTGAGTGCCGAAGGCTCACCCGTATTATCGGCATACGGGCTTGTTGGCGGCGGCACAACCGGAAACAAAATACCGTAGATTGTGTACCAGACCTGCTCAGGGGTGCTGGCAGGCCGTTTCCGCCGGATCTCGTTGTATTGCGTCTCATCAAACTTCTCCGGGCAGGGGCATTCGACAAGCGCACAGGGCACCGTCTCTCGGAGATGTTGATCCAGTTGATCTTTGTGGTCAAACTTTGTATAGCACCGCATACAATGGATCCGTCGCCAATGGACACGGTACAGATGCTGCTTGAGTCGCGAAATGTCAGGCCAGTACCCACTCGAGCAGCCTCTGTAATGCTTCTCGTGCCTGTTCTGCTCTGAATATCTCGATTTGTCGAACTTGGAGAAAGGACAAGCGAATAGCTTCTCTGTCGTGACTCCTGGGTCTGGGTCCGGTTTGATCTTCTTCGGTGTTCCTCCAGTGGCGTCCTCGTCTTCTTCGTCAGGATTCTGTCCGCCGTTCGGCATACGCTTCGGCGAGGACTTGTGGTTCGAGCCGGTAGAATTGGAGGGCGAGACCATTGCGGAGCCAGCCCCCGCCTTACGTTTGGTGGCATGTGTCCTCATATTGTTATTCTGAAAGTGGTTATCAGAACGATGTCCAGCTGGGAGAAAAGACAAGGAGTTTAGGTGAACAAGAATACTTACCTGGGACAGATCTTGGAACTGCGCACCGACTCCGGCGGACAGTTCCGACATTTGTCTTGCGACTGCTGAGTGCATTTGTAGTGTGAACATCTGTTGTTGTTTCACATGGAGAGCAGCTTCCTGCTCCCTGATCGAGGCCTGTTGCTCTCGCACAGCAGCTTCTCGTTCTCGCAGGGTGATTTCTTTTTCGCGGAAAACTATGTCTTGTACACGTTGGCGGAAATCAAGCTCTTCAGCGTCCATAGATCTCTGAGTTTGGCGCATGCTCCGCTGTTGTGTTTCATGCGATCTCTTCTGATCTAGAATATCGTGATATGCCCATGGACTGTCCGCCGACATTGTTGCTTGGGCGGGTGACTCGGTCCATCGGTGATGGTGGGCAGGGAGATCCGACAGATTCAGTCCCCACATTGCCGTGGCATATTGCTGTGCCTCTGAGCGAGTTTGTTCTCCGCTTACGTTTGCAGTGTCGACTTTCTGAGAAGCGCCCGGGCGAGATACACTTCGGACCCTTTCCGTAAGGTTGTGGCGACAGCTCCAGCCGGCCTGGTCGCACGAGGAACACAGTATACGGTCGCCATGGTCACAAATTGAGCAGTGGTAGTAGACCTGCTGCAGACGAATGGGGCTCTTACAGGAGTCGCACCTCATCGACCTTGGAGTCAGAGGAGCATTGTTTGCTCTGGCGTCGTCGTTTTCGAGGGGGGACAAAACGTCCTTTTCTTTCGAGACATGAGCATCTTCCAGCAGAACGGCAGGCTCGTTCCTTTCGGTCCTTGTCGAGTCTTGAAACGGCGTATACTGAGGCAGTTCGGCGGGTAGCTCAGCGATTTGGGTGGATGGCGGAGGTGGAGGAGAAGGATTGAGATAGTCTCTGAACGCTTGCTTGCTGTCAAAATCGTCCAGCGTTGGCGGGTCTGACTTGTCTCTCCTGACATGACGACTGAGTCGGTTCAATGGGGCCTTCAGACTCAAGGTCTTGACAACTTGTGACGCTATGCTCCTCGTGCTTTTCGTGCGGCGTGGGATCGAATCGCCTCTCGCCGATGCCAATTTCCGTGATGCGGTAACTTCAGCAGCCAACGCCTCTCGACGCAGCTGATCCTCCTCCTTTTGTGCCTTCCGCAGCTCCTTCTCCTCCCTTTTCATAAGCTTTCTCAAACGCTTCTGGTATTTGCGCTGTTGGCTCAAGGTCTCTACCCGCAGTGGGGGCCGCGGTGGGCACGGGTCCTGAAGCTCGGAGTCGACGTCAGGTGTCCATAGTAATGACGCTGATGGCGGGGCACACGGAGGACTGATGGCAGAGATGGGTGACCCTCTATATAAACTGAGTGATGCCGCTTCCGTCTCTCGTTGTATGGTTGACAGGGAGTTGAGGCTGTTCGACCGATTCAACGGACAAGGTAGAGGGTCGGAGGCGGGGAGGTCGTGGAAGTGGCCCGGGCGATAAGGATAAGGAAGCGTCCTGGTCTTGCGTAACACCGCCCGATGCAAAGATCCCAGGGCTTCCGCAGGAGGAGTCCAGGACTGTCTCGACCGTAGAGCTTTCTGTGTCTGGTCGGCGATCAGGAGTTCTTTGATATCATTGGGAGACTCGTCGTGGGTGCTGATCCGCGCCCGAATATCAGGCAACTCCCGAGTGCGGAGAGCCAAGTCAGCCATGGCTCTGGAAAACGGAGGTTTTGTTCTGATGGCGACGAACGAGACGGGTCGTGGCGAGACTGGGTCTCAGAGGTGGCAAGACGATGGCAAACTCATGCGAGAGGAGGAGGAGTCGAGCATGACTTTGGAGGCCGCAGAAGCTGCTTGTCGAAACGACAAGAATGAGCCTTTTGATGAGCTTGTGAGAAAGGACTCACTTTTGTTCAATGACATGTCCCCCCCCAAAAACCCCCCAGTTGCCCCGTTGGAGGGCTGCTTGTTCGCTGGGCGGCATCCAGGCGGCATCTAGGCAGCATGCCCCAATCGACCCCCGGTATGACGGTGTGGCACGAGCACCTAGTGCCCTGTCCCATTGGCTCCTGTGCCTAGTAGCCTATCGGGTTTTCTAAAATTCCCGTCCCGGACAGGGCGCCTGAGGCTACTGGAGGCTCACAAGCCACGGTCAACGCCACAGAAACACCTTCCACCAGCCATATTGTGGGCGTTGAGTCTGCCTTGCCTGAGGCTTCCTAAGCCAGTTCAATGCTAGCGGGACGGGAGAAGACACGGGGTGATTCTGTATGACATGTGAAAATGTGCCCCAGAAGAGAGCTGTCAACCGTCACAAGTGTTATTCCGGCTGTCAGACACGTCTGGGCGTCTCTTTGCCGAGAACCACCCATGACGTGCTTTTCTAGTTTATTGCTCACTCACTGCCCACCCACCATCGGCGAGACACGAAGAGGTTTTATTATTCTTCGACTTTCCGAAATCTGTTGTGCAACCCATTGACTCCCTACAAAGAAAAGTCAGCCTCACCATCATGGAAGCCGCCGCCAAGAGATTCTTCACCTCACAGTACTTTGCCGTAGTTGGGGCGAGCCAGGACAAGACCAAGTTCGGATACAGAATCTTGGCCTGGTACCATGTGCACGCGTTGCCCGTGACACCTATCAACCCGAGTCGGCCCTCGATCTCGCTGCCCTCCAAATCGTACAATACTGTGCCGACGGTGTCGGCTCTTCCTCACCCGTCTCAGACTGCGCTCTCGTTCCTCACCCCGCCGGCAGTCACGAGGAAGGTCTTGGAGGAGGCAAAGACGGCCGGGGTGAAGTCCGTCTGGTTACAGCCGGGCAGCTTCGAGGACCAGGACCTGGAGTACGCCAAGGAGAACTTCGAGTCAGCCGTGGGAGGGTTTGAGGATGGCACGGTAGGGGGAGAGGGCTGGTGTGTGTTGGTTGATGGCGAGAATATGCTGAGAGCTGCGGGCAAGAAGATCGAGAGGCAGAAATTATAGGATGGGGAGTTGGGGCGGTTGGTGTGTTTTGCCTGGGTATAGAACTCTGTTACACTATGACTGAAAGACACGATCCGCACGATCAGTTCACGGCATCGATCTCTCAGAGAACATGTTCACGCGGGCACGAGAAATGCCACGGCCGAAGAGGGGGCTACGACGAGTCCATCACCTACGAGCGCGCCAATCCCCGAGGGGAACTGGAACTTGGCCCGACATCGTACGACTTCGTGTACAGTTCGCTGGCCCTGCACTACCTCCCGACCGACGCCCCTTGGAGACCTACTCACACAGGTCTTCGCCACGCTCCGCCCGGGAGGCCGCTTCGTTTTCTCGATCGAGCACCCCGTACTGACGGCGCCGGCGGACGCCTCGTGGCACCGCGACGTCGCGCGGGGGATGGTGTTCTGGCCACTGAACCAGTACTGGGACGAAGGAGTGCGTGTGACGGACTGGCTCGCCGAGGGCGTCCGGAAGTAGCACCGCACGCTGGAAACGTATGTCTCGCTGCTGCTGGGGGCGGGGTTCGTGCTGGCTGCGCTCAAGGAGTCCTGGGAGGGATCGGACCGAAGGCCTCCCCTGGACGAGGTGGGCGAGGCGCACAGGCCTTTTTTCTTGCTCGTGGGGCTCAGGAGGCCGATGGAGTAGATGGATGGGAAAAGGAAAGGGCTGGCATGGATGGCAGGGTATGAGAGGAGAGGAGAGGCCGAGTCGAGGGGAGTGGAATGGTTTGTACCGCGCAAGCCATAATTTGCAATATGACATGAGGCTAGTCACCAAGGCACATACATACATCACCAGCTTACGCAATACACAATACACAAATACACCTGTCTCTCTCTCTCACACACACGTACACACATACGAGAAACAGAGTCCTTTCCTTGTCTCTTGCGGCCAGCCAGCCAGCCAGCTAGTTCCTCCTCTCATTATTCATCATCACTGCAGCCTGGTAGGAAGGCAGCAACAGCTGACCATAATCCCCTTGTTGTTGGTGTTGTTGTTGTTTCTCCCCGTATCCATGACGCTGGTCCTGGCCGTACTGTCGTCGTCCCTGCTCTTGGTCCTCGTCCTGCTCTTGCTCTTGCACATTCCAACCACGAGGCTTCTCATCGTGGTGGTAATCATTGCGGGCAGCGATGCTGTTCCCACCCCCAGCATACCTGTCCAGCTCTTTCTTCTCTTCTGCTTCCTCCTCACTGTCACCACTCCTGCTATCTGGTCTCGTCATGTCGCGAAGAGACCTTCTGTTGTCGTCGGGCGCCTGTCTGTGGCTCGTTCGTGGCCCCGAAACACTTCGAGCGCCATTGGCATCACGGGCTGCACTGACGTGGTCTCTGTCGTCGTACAGATTCCTCCCCGTTGGAGGAGGATATCCCCACCGCTGCTGCTGCTGCTGCTGCATCATCACATCCCGCTCTATGCGTCGGTCGTGGGCGGCGGCGTCTATCATTTGCCGCTGTTGCTGTGCACGCATGTTGTTGGCCTGATGGTCAGCGACAGCAAGGTCGATGAGGCCGCCGATCAAGCCGACTCGACGACCACGCCGGCCCAATCCGAATCCCAATCCGATGCCGAAGCCGTCGCAGCCTCTGCATCGGAGTCGACCACAGTTGGGGCAACCCAGGCCTCTTCCGTCGTTGTTGTAATTGCAGACGTATGTGTTGCCGAGTCCAGGGTCGTATCCCGAGCCGTATTCGGGACCGTAGTTGGGATTGTTGTAAGGATGATCCACGGGACGACCCTCGAAGCTCTGGCCTCTGTTGTTGCCTCGCCGGAACATGTTTGAAACACAATTTCTGGAAATAATGGGTGAGGGTAGTATAGATACGAGGAAGCCTTTGTGTTAAGAACTGTTCGGAGGAAGGAATAAGAGGGGAAGAAGGAATGTAGCAAGTTTAACAACGGTGGCAGAAGCAGCATACTATATACCTCGTACTGCAAATAAACTGGCCCTGGCTCAGCCCCAGCTCGTCTTTCCCAGTAAGAGGATCAACACCGGCTACAGGAGGTGAAACCGTTTGGTTGACCCATCCCATGCATGCTCCATCCATTAATCCAGCCAGCCAGCCCGACCGGACGCCACTCGCCTTCTTCTTCATCTACATATCTATACCTAAGATGGCTGGGAAAAGAGGTCAACAATACGACGACGGTTAGCTGGGGCCGGCGATCGCTGTACTTTTGCAGTGTGGTAGCTCCCTTACACGGGGCATTGTTGTCGATCTGGTAGGGGGCCTGAATACCTACCAGGTGGTGTATGAGGTACAGAGTATATGCAGTATACCTGTTTCAGCTAAGTGTGCGACGTACGTTACAGCTATACGAGGTATTATTTACTGTAATTCTGACGCGCGGACGTTACATACACAAGACACCCAGAAGGGGACCCACGTTTAGATTACTCAGCTCAGCCTCAGACCAGAGTAGGTAGGTACTGTAGGTGGTATGGTCAGCCGTCTGAAGGCGTTTGTAGATCATATACTGTCGGTCCGTAGCTGGACAATCACTCGCTATCGACTGAAATAAATCGATTCCATGGCTTCCGTATGTCGTATGTATCCAACGATCGGTATGTGTGACCTCCCCCACAAGCTTGGACTATACATACATCATCTTCACCCCCTGCTGTATTTGCTAGCCCGGAGTCAATTTCGACGCTGGTCCGTATTCCAAGATCGCCTCGTGTCTAATCCAACCAATTAATGTCAGACAGACACCAAGATGTCTGGAGAACGCTCCCCCGATAGCTTTTCCCTTGCCGGCCGACACCGCCACCAAGACACACACCCCTCTCTATGCGTGTTTGAACTCTTCTGCCTCCCCGTTCTCCATTGGATTGACCACACTCGGACGCCGCTTGTCGTTTCCGCCCTCGATCTTCGCCAGACCAAACAATTGGGCGAACTCTCGCCAGAAGCCCACCGGCGGATCCAAGAAGGTCTCCTCGTATGCGTCGATAATGGGCCGCTCCCACACGAGATCGACATCCTGCGGTCGCAGCCACTTGGTCCGCTTGATGATCTTCCAAATCAAAAAGAGCCAGGGAATGAACAGTTGCATGGTGTAGTTGGAGAAGAAGTTGGACGTGTTCCAGGGCGTGTAGCTCGTGTAGCCATAAATGGCCGTGACAATGACCAGCCAGACGAGAGCAAAGTAGGCACAGAATGGCTGCAGATAGCCCGTATAGGGAAGACTCTTGCGATCGAACCCTTGCGCCTTACAGGCATTGTAGAATTGGATGTAGGTGATCGTCATGATGATGAAATCGATGAGTCCTAGTGCACCAGGATTAGCTAAAACTCACGGCAAAGGCATCATACATGTAGATCATACCTCCCCCAGTCACGATATTGGCGAACCAAGTGACCACAATAGACGAACTGCTCGAGCACTGCAGGAAAGAGAGCAGCGGGAAAATCATGACAACACAGAAACTCCAGATTGGGACTCCCTTCTTAGTACAGCGTGCGAAGATGCGTGGTGCCCGTCCCTCCAGCGCCAGGCCGTAGAGCGTGCGTGTGGCGGCATACGTGTAAGTGTTGCCCGCCGAGAAGATTGACGTCAACAGAAGTCTAGACACTTCGTCAGACACAAGAGCAAATGCGACGCCTGACGAGATATGGGGCAGTACTTACGCGTTGACGATGTGTGGAAAGACGTGCACGCCCATATTTTTCATCGCAATCACATACGGTGATGCTCCGGCCCCGACTCCGCTCCCGCCTTCGACGACATTCACCAAGCCCGGGTCTCGGGAACCGCAAACAATACCCACAAAGAAAGCTCCGCCGATGAAAAAGATACCGAATCGGAGGTAGACCATCTTGAACGCGGCCTTGATATAAACGCGCGGGCGGATTGCTTCGGCGGCGACGATGGAAATGTACTCGGGACCGACGATGGTGAATACCGCCGAGGTCAAGGCACCAATGAACCCTTGGAATCGACCTAAGTCGCCCGTATGAATATATTCTCGGAACGCCCCTCCATGTTTCCAGTTCGTAAAACCATAGGCCTCGTGTTTGGGGTTGCCGCCAACCATCTGTTTGTCCGAATGGCTCAGCATTGTTGGACTTCAATATACGCGATCGAGGAACTTACGGTGATAAAGGTAAAGAAGAAGAGAGAAAAGATCAGAATGACCTTGCCACCAGAGAGCCAGAACTCGGCTTCTCCGTACGCTCGGACAGCAAGAATGTTGATAGAGCTTCACCAACCAACGACAATCAGTTTTCAAGTTCCCAGGACAGAGCGAAGTTAGGCAGGCTTACGCATAGGCTATAACGATACCAGCCACGACGCCAGCAATAGGGCCCGGCTCGGTGAGCTTGTCACTCCAGAAAGACGCCACGAGAGTAAAGGCCGAGATCTCAAACGGGATCAGGAGAGCTTCGTAAAAGCTAGATACCACGTCAGAATGAGTGGGGTTTGCTTAAGGCAGCAATTGGGAAATATGAAACCAAGGGGGACTGACAAGAAGTTCCAGCCACACATGAAGCCGAGGGCATCGTCTACCCATTTACCTGCGAGACGAATGAAGCCACCGCTGACTGGGCTGTCAACACTCGTTCGTTAGCATTTCCAACGAGCACAGTTGTGGTAAAGACGAGGAAAGTACTGACAATGCCGTGCTCATCTCGGCGATACAGTTGTTGACCATGGCCAACACACAGCTGTGGATGAGGTAGGCGAGGAACAAGTTCGCCGCACCGCCATGATAGAGACCACTTCCAATGCTCACGAACAACGCTGTTCCAATCGAACCTCCGATGGCAATGAGCTGGATCTGTCGATTGTTCAGGTGACGTTGAAGCTGGTCAGCGTTTTCGGCCACAAAGGCCACCTGGATATCCGGCGCCTGCACATCACTGGAGTGCTTCTCCTTGCTGCCCTTACGGTAGTCCTCCATACTGGCCATGTCTTTTTCGTGTGAAGAGAAGAGAGAAGCATCTCAACTGCACGAAAAGTGGAAAGAGATCAGGTGAAAAGGCCAGCGCCGCGCCTCGAGGAGCGGGGTATTGATGGCGTCGGTAAAAGACTCCTAATCAACCCATTGTGGCAACGATCATTGGCAGGATGATCAGTTACAGCCTCAGTTTGCCTTGCCGCGTGCAAGTGTGAAGAGTACCACGATCTGGGGTCTTCGTTAGCCGAACCTTCTCTCGCTTTTCAGCTCCCGGACTGGACAAGGCTGGCTGCCCCTTCGCCCCGGCCCCAGGCGCGTTCGGACTTTTAGTCCCAATCCACTCAGTTCTGGCACCAGCGTGGTGGACTCGGGCTGATACTGACGCAATTAATTCCCTTATTAGTGATGATCGCCTATCAGACCTACCAATCGATGGTGCAGCCACCTGAGGCCAAGGATCACTCTCAGATTATCCGATCGCCTGGGAGATGGCTAATCGTGGCACTCGAGCTCAATTGGCAGAGATATCTTTGATATCTTTGATATCTTTGATAACAAGCAGTTATTCGCCAACTCTTGCGTGAAACGGATAGGACTTGCGATGTTCGACTCGATCTGGATCGATGGAAGAGAGCAGAGAGCAGAAATGGCTGCAGGGATAATTTCGGCGATGGGCACGTGACTGGCACTACCAAGACTCAACGAGTGCCACAATAATGGGGTTCAGGCAGCCGATGATTATTCGTTCTTTTGCCGTACAGCCGGTTCTAATTTTCTAGCCGAAGGTAAGCCCCGTATCAATTTGGTCTCTACGGTTCAACCTATCGTTGTGACTAATGACTACGCATCCATTTCATATGCCCAACCGGGGGGACGAGAACGTAGTCGACGGTCTAAAGGACGTACTGCGTAGAAGAGAGAACGGTCAACGCGTAGGTTTCAGTCCGGGTCTTGGCGGGCGCGGCACACGGTGGAGTAGGTGCGTCATTATATGTAGACGCGGCAGGACCCGGGGGAGACGCACGTGAGCTCCGAGCAGTGCAGCTGTGACTCAATGGAGGAACATGGTGAATTCTACCAGGTCCTGGGGACCGTCTGACTATATACCTTCTAGTAATTTACAGGGTCCTGTCGACGCTAGTCCGAAGGCCTTCGGCCGAAGACCTTAGCGTGACAGTCATTACATTGGCTTGGCAACCCTGTCAGTCACACAGCTTTTGACTCATGCTCTCTTGCCAAGGTATACCAACTTGGGGTGGGAGGACGGGAGGTGCTTAATGTTGTGTAACCAGTTTGCGACCAGTACGATGGTGGAGTGGGACAAAGCTAGAAAGATCAAGGCGGGGTGAAAGGCGTGGCGAGTTCAGTCTCCTCTTTTCTCACCTGTGGCACAGGGCTGCTCCCACTGCCTCAGCGACCTCGCCACGAGTCTCCTGTCCTCTCCAATCGCCATCACTGCCATCATGGCCAAGTCTCGTGAAGAGCTCAATCAGCTCGCTCGCCAGCTCAAATCCCTTCATGTCTCGGGCCACCCTCTGATCCTGACCAACGTCTACGATGCCTGCACCGCCGCCGTGGTCGCTGGCCTCCCTTCAACCAAGGCCGTGGCGACCGCTTCTTTCGCCATCGGGGCCAGTGCCGGCTTCAAGGATGAAAACACCATGTCCCTGGGCGACAATCTGGATGGGGTTCGCCGGGTGGCCAGGGGACTCCGCAACGCTGGCAAGGCCGACACATTGCCCCTGACGGCTGATTTACAAGACGGCTACGCTGACCCTGCAGAGGCCGTTAGACAGGCGATCGAAATAGGAGTGGTTGGCTGCAATATCGAGGATGTGGACAACAGCTTCCAACCACCGAAATTGAGACCCCTTGCAGAAGCAAGGAGCCGCATCGAGGCTGCCGTTCGGGGGGCCAGGGAGGCAGGAGTGCCTGATTTCGTGGTCAACGCACGCACAGACGTCTTTGGGTTCGACGGCACGATTGACGACGTGGTGGAGCGTGGGCGCGCATATCTCGACGCAGGGGCTACCACGGTCTTTGTCTGGGGCGTGAGGAAGAAAGCCATCACGGAGCAGGAGGTGAGAGACATGGCCACCAGACTGGACGGGAAGTTGGCCGTGCTCGCACAGGGCTGTACCATCGAAGCGCTGACCCGGGCTGGTGTCAGCCGCATCTCCGTAGGTCCGACATTACTGGTCAAAACACTCAAGTTCGTTGAGAATGAAGCTACGGCTATTCTGGAGGCGAAGGAATGGTCTATGTGATACCAGAGGGCCGCTCTCAAAAAGACGATGATGGGTTTCGTAAAGCAGGCGAGGTCAACTACAGATTCATAAGTGTATGTTCTACTGACTTCATCGGACACTATGGATCAGTGGAATTTCTAGGGTTCTTTGCTCTTGCCTCTTTTTTGGCTGCTACGCTGCGCTTCGTCGACCTGATCCTCCTCGGAAAAACCAAACGACTCAAGTGGATTCTCAGCTTCGGCACGCCTTAGGTAGAATCCTGCCATTCGCTAGGGGAATGCGCTCGACGGCATCTATACGAGGCACGTCCCTTGGCTAGCTTGGCTCAGGCCGGGCTGGTGGACACCGCCAATCAATCTCCAGCTACTGCTGACTCAGGATGTCACGCCGTGGGACAACAGATTGTGGCAATTCTGGCATATACATCAAGAGTGTGTGTGGCAGAGAAGGGGAGTGCTGTTCGATTCGAGCAAGTAACCTGCTATCTTCATACAGACGTTTGTTGGAGGGACGCGCGTCGGAGGACGGTACGAAGTCTTTGCGACAGCTGCGACGCCTGTCTCTATACAGACTCCGGCGACAGATTCGCCAACCTTGGGCCCACGGTATGCCCAAAGTCAGAGTCTTCTTTGTTAACTGCCACCCAAACCGCCCACGAAGAGATCGTGAGCTGGACGATGCCGAGCGCAGGGCTCATGCGGCCCGTGAGACACACAGGAAAAGGGAGGCCGAGAGGGACAGACTTCAGTCGCGCCGTGTCCCATCTCCCACCAGTCAGTCAATCCTCCTGAGGACCGATCCCTTCGGCACAACATCTGTCACAATCGACAATGCGGTAGCCGGTCTACTCCATTACTACGTCTACTTTTACCATCCCACCCTGTGGCCCAACGAAATGGCGGTCCTTCGGCAGGGACTGTACACGTTCAAAAGCGCAGTGAACTATGTTATGCGAATGGTCGTCGAGGACAGTCTTACCATGTACTGTCTTCTCAGTGCCGCTGCTTGTCGACTGCAGTTCATTGATCGCCTTCCATGCGCATTGGTGGAGGGGAAGCACGGCTACTACATGCGCAACGCCCTCCAGTTACTGCGCTCTCGGATTGACACACGCTCTTTTCAGACCTCCGATCAGCAGAGACTACTACTGATATGCATCATGTTCTTGACGTCAGCCGAGTGCTATCGCGACGATGTATCAGCAGCCAAGACACATCTCCAGGCTGCTGTCAGCATCCTTGAACAGAATGGCGGGATCATGTCCATCCAGGACGAGAATCTGCGAGGCCAGCTGGCGATGGCCGATCTATATCTAGCCTGCATCAAGCTGAAACCCTGTCTGTTTTCATTTGACTACGACCCAGGGCCCGCTAGTATTCTTGGCCTGATGGACCACGAGTTGTCCTCTGTCCCATCCGAGAGCGTCGCCGCTTCTCTACTGGACAGAGACACGCAGATTGTGCCCTTGGAGCTGAGAGTGGTGATCGAACAGCTCGTGGAGTCGTACGAGGTCAAGAGCCGCCTCCAAACTTCGGCCATGTCAGCGTCACGAGCGATGGAGATCACTCACTGGATCACCACACGAAACATGGCCATCAGAAACAGGCTGCTTGCACTCACCACCGCTGATTTGCGAATCCACGCGCTGAGGACCGCAATCATTATGTGGACCTTGCTTGCGATGAACGTGACGGGGCGCGCAAAGACCGTCAAGATCATGGCGCCCATGCTGCAAGGCATCCTCACGCAAATCCCTGCGCCACTCGGCTGGGCTGGTCATGAAGACATCAGGCTATGGATTCTGATCGTGGGGTTCTCATGCGCTGTCGAAGCCAGCGACGTGGCGGGGTGGTTCGCGGCGCAATCCTCCGACATTGCCCGCGGTTGGCCTCTGGACACGACGGACTCAACGTGCTGGCGTCGTGACGACGAAGACGACGACGACGATGACTACTGCTGCCGCCTCCTTGCCGTGAGACTCGAAATCTTTCAGCGACAAGGCTTCTTCTTCGACGCCCCTATTCAGAGGCCCCGGACTCGGAAACTGGCCCAGTATATACGTACCTCATTTTTGCACTAGCCTAATCGGGCTCAAAAGAACCTTGCATAATAGGACGAAGGGTCTGAGCGCCAGCTGGGAAAACCCCTGTATCATCATATACATAGATTGCTTAGCGGATCTGAAGATTTTGAGAAATATCAAGCTTCAATTGACATACCTTTTTACGCTTTCTACCTAAAAAGGCCCGATCAACGCTCTGAGCCGCGGGTTTTCCTTTTCCGTGCTGAGACGGGTTGGCGAACAAGTTTATCATTGTTTGCTTTGCACCGCATATTGGCCCAAACAAAGTGATAGTCGTTCAACAAGCTCGGGCAGGCTGCGTGGTCCAATTTACTTGAGACAAGCACCCAATAAGTATGCACCGACCCTGGAAACAACATTTATTTTCAATATCACGGCCTGAGATACAAGATTCGAGTCGGTCTCCCCCCTCCCTACGCCGTAATCAAATGTCGCGGTAGAAGAATCATGTCCAGGGAGGAACTCAGCAGACGGCACCCCCCCCCCAAATCACTGGCTGGAGATATCCGAGCAAAAATGCTCACGGACGAGATACAGTTCGGGGGGTCGATACAGTAATGTACATGACGTACCTCGTTCTATCACTATGGTACGGAGAGTGTTTCTCGTACAATGCCCACATCTGTGAACTGACAGAGATAAAAACACGCATTCGCTCAGCTTTCTTCGGCCGTCGCGCCGAGACCTACCTGCCTGCCAGGAACTGTCCAGGAGCTGCTCTGGTGTACATACGGTCAATCTATGAACAGCAACAGGCATCGAGCACTCTCTTTTCCACGGCTTAGCTCAGATATCGGGGGACTTGATGTCGTGGCAGGACCGGAAGTGCCGTCTGCTCGTAGAAAAGTCTCATCGGAGTGTCCTGCCCAAGCCTCTCGGCAAAGCTGGAGGGTCGTGCAAGCTAGGAATTTCTCTCTTGGATATTGTACTTGGTCCTGGTGGTGTAGCAAGCAAGCTAGAAATACAAGCAAGGGTATCTCCATCATCTTTACAGCCCAAAAGCAGCCTCGGCCTCCCAAGTCTAGCCAATCCTAACGCTGCAGTATCAACTTGACGGCCTCTCGATCTTGAATCTCACATCCACATCCCCCTCGCCAGGTGGAATCGGATTCGACTCTTGGTCAAATAGTGTCCGTTCAAAAAATCGAACATTCATATCTTGATCAGCGAGCACAACGGTCTGCTTCTGCGTCCCGTAAAGGCCGCTGACGCCCAGTTGTCGAGCCCGAAACGGAGGGTTGATGGACGGAGAGTGGCGCCGGACCGGTGTATTGTGCCCGACAATATCGACTTTCTCGTGTCTTTTGGCGGCGGCTATCTCGTCATCTGCAAGGGGTTGACTCATGTCTTTTCGTCCCAAGGTTGGAACATAGATGGTGTTTCTCAGTGAGGGAATATACGTTTCGAGGCCGGCTCCGTCAGGTTCACCGTTTCGGGGAAGGGTCTCGTGACTCAGGAGATCAAGAAACCGTCCGATCAGCTGATCTTCGGTCTCTTCGTTTTCGATGCTGTGGCGGATGGTGTTCAACATGAGTTCTTCGCCTAGGGTGACCTTCTTCCATGATCGGTCTGAGAAGTCGGCATTACTGAGGCCGACTGTGTGCACCACGTCCCCCGCTATCCAAGGAACCTGACTTTGGTCTTCTGCACGATTGGAGATGACAGCGAGCTTTTCGCCGATGTGACCACACACGAGACTGAACCCGCCAGCGTCCTTGGCAACGCCAGTGTTGACCACGTCTCTGACGAACTCCTCCACGGGACCGACATCTTCAGACAAGAACTTTTTGATGATGGCGCCACGGCTGACGGCGGTGGGAGGCGGCGTAACGTCTTCTTTGAAATTGGTGAGGACAGCAATCTTGCCTGTCTTCGTCACTCCCAGCCATGTCCCGTGGATCTCGCGGAGCATATCCCGGCCTCCAAGAACATGCGAGTGAGGATCGGGCCACCACCCAGCAGTATCCGTAGGTCGGTTCAGATATTCGTCGCGGTTGTCGATTAGAATGAGCCGATAGGACGGGTGTGCGGTGGAAATTATCGCGATACACATTTTGAAGTAAGTTGAGCGTTTACCTGAGTAGAGTATGGCTCTCGTTGGCGACGAAATTTGGGACCGGGAAACGCAGGAGATATTTCAAGCGGCCAAATTTATCTGCAAACCGTGACGAAGTGATGGGTCTTGCCGGTTGGCGTCACACCACCCACGCTCCAAGCCCTGGTGTCTGGGTAGCAAGACTCACGAAAACGTTGACGTCGGTTTGAAGGAGCCCAAGGGGAAGGGTTTTGGCTGGTTGGTCTGTGGAAAAGACCTCAATGCCACGTAGTTCCAAGGGGACCTGCAGCAGTAGGCAGAAATGACGGCTGCTGAACAAATACAATTCAAGAGAGGGTCGTCGGGAACCGAGGCGAGAAGTTTAAAAGGCATGCAGAAGGCAGCCAGTAGGAAGAGCCCGAGTGGGTGGTCAACTGACTGGATTTTTCGCCCGGAGGGAGCAAGGCTTAGGCTGACGTGTAGGACAAGTCTCTTGCTGGATTTTCGCGTGGAAACCGGGATTGCCAGCCTTGATCAGAATGGATTTCCCCTACCCCAGAGACGAAGAAGTGACGGATTGATATTGATTGATATCCCCTTCTGGAAAACATCGAAGCTGCGGATGACGTTCGCTAACTCCACCGTAGATGACGTCCCGAGTACGGCGGAGCATTTATATCGGATCTGCCCCGCGTCTTATCGATAAGAGTCCGCAGGGCTGAGCCGCCTGTACTGCGGAGTCCGCGTAGGATCATCCTCTGACTGTTAGGCACACCGACTTTGGTCACCACAAGCTTTCCTCAAATCCTCTCTCCGTACAGGACATCTGTTGTCTGAAGAGGCCACCTTGTGCCACATGCTGTGTCCGTTTTGGCTGCCTTTGGGTGTCCTCGAAATACTTACACTGTTTTCCCTACGCCCGGGCCATTGACCTCCCATCCTCAGCCCTCGATCACTCCCCCAAGTCACCATGTTCGGGATCATTGCAGACCTCATTGCGTGAGTACAGCAATAGCAAACTCCTTTCACATATTGCTAGCTCACAACTAACATCCCACTTCTACTCCTGCACGCAGCTCCGCTACCACCATCGTCCTCCCGGCGTACCTCTCCTACAAAGCACTGCGCACCAACGACCCGGCTCAAACGCACCCCTGGCTGATCTACTTCACCATTCTCTCCCTCACCCTGCTATTCGAATCTTGGACCCTGTTCATTATTGGCTGGATCCCCTTCTACTCGTGGCTCCGCCTCATCTTCCTCCTCTACCTCGTCCTGCCTCAGACACAAGGTGCCAAGATCCTCTACCTGGACTACCTGGAACCCTACATCGTCCACCATGAACGGCAGATTGACCAGTTCATTGGCGAAACTCATGACAAGCTGCAGCAGATGGGCTTGGGGTATCTGAACATAGCAATTGAATGGGCACGAGAGAAGATTCTGGGCCAGAAGAGTCCGCAGCAGGATACTAGTCAGCAGCAGGCAGCCGGAGTAGGGGGCTATGCCAGCTACGCATCAGACCTCCTTTCCCGCTTTGCCATGCCGGGCGCAAGGACGAACACCCCCACCCAGCCCGGCACCACATCTGCGGGAGTGTACAACATGGTATCGAGCTTCGCTGCCGGCCTGGCTTCGACATCCGGCTCTCAAGGCACATATCGCTCTGCAGCCGCCGAAGCCGCTTCCATCTCCATACCCCCGAACCTCTTCCAGTTTGAGAACATCCCCGGCCAGTCCACGGCCGAGAAGTCCTCCTTCATCACCGCACAGCGTGACAGGCTGATGGGTTTGGTGAAGATGCTAGACAGCGAGCAGCAGAACTTGGACCTTGCCTACGGTGCCGCTCCCGGTGAAAGCAGCGGACGAGGCGGGAATGGCGGGCATAGCAAGCGGCCCTCGAGCTCTGGGTCTGGCTTAGCCATGGGCGGCGGCTTGAAGACAAAGGCGCCGAGCGAGCAGTCCTTTGAGAACGTCGACTACGACGAAGCCACCGGGGGCTCGAATACGCCGGCCGACCCGCAAGATCGTCGGCGGACAAGCGGTGGTGACGGTGGCGGCGCGGGCTGGATGCCCTCAGGCGTTAGTGGATGGTTCTCAGGTAGTGGCCCCGGTGGCGCCCCTGAAGGCGATCGCCACTATGACCGCGCCGAGCGGGACATGGACAGGGATCCGATGCGAGGTTCCGGGCCCGGGTCGTCGCCGTCCGCGAGAGGATCCCGCGGATGGACTGCGGCGAGGGATATCACGGACGAGATCTCCCGCGGCATGAGCAGTGGCGTGGACTCGTTGATGGGAGACTACGAGCGACGGCGATGAAGCCAAAGCCAAAGCCACCCCTCCCAGCCAACAAAAGTAATGGGCGCAAAAGAAGGAACTCGTACGTACAATTGTCAATCACGGACCGGACATGTCAGGACGGAATCGCTCAGATTGGGATGGGACCGGAGTCATGACGTGGGAGAGGAAGAAGAAGGAGGAGGAGGAAGAGGAGGAGAAGAAGAAGAAGCAGCAGCAGCAGCAGCAGCAGAAGAAGAAGCGACACGTCCTTCTCTCCCATGCTATGTATGGTAAATAAGCAGACTAAATCAACAAATGAATAAATAAATAAATAATCTGTTCAGAGTATGGAGAAAGGAGAATGTTGTGAGAGAGAAAGGCGCTCCTGTCCGGGATTGCATACACTCAATCTGGCTATGTGAATGGAAGATGCACGCAGCAATACAGCAATACAGCTCTACAGGTCCCAGACAAGCGCAGTGTGACCCCAAGAACCATAATATCGAGAGCAAAGACGGACGATAGATGCATCCGATCGGATCAGTCACTTCGCAGTGTAGAGATATCTGGCATTCTCCTCCAAATCACATATTTGCGCTATCATTGAGTCTTCCATATATCTCGTGCTCCATCAATTCATACGCACATGGTCCACGGTACACCAAGGCCCTTGTTGACCCCCACGAGTCAATATCAGAATACCAACCATGACTCGGATCAATGTACTCCAGAATGTCCATCCACACCCAAAAATTGTACAGCCTGCAAATATATGCCAGTCCACTAACCCATAGGATCCCTTAGATGGACGAGTTTCACCCAAAATCGCTTATGAAATCGAACACTACACAGAATGCGGTATCCGCCGTTCACGTCGTGTCGCATTCCAACCCTTCTCCTTGCCAAAGCTGAAAAATTCATATTCATCGCGTCACTGCATCGTGTGCACCAAAACAGATCAAACTTTTGAATCGTTGCCGAGCACAAAACCCATGCGTGGGTGATCATGCGATCACTGCAGGCGGTCGAAGCCTGTAAATAACGTCCGGAGCCGCTCATTCCGTCGTCGTCCCGCGCCTCTCTGTTCGAATTCGGAATCGTTCTCTGAATCTCCTGGCAAGACCGGATCGCTCTTCATCGTTTTCTGGACGATTCGACCTCAGCGTCTCCTGCCGCAACCGCCTCAACGCCGCAATGCGCTCTTCTCGAGACCCGGAAGCGAGATGTCGGAGATTGGCCACAGTTTCCCTTCGTCCACCCCTCTGTGGACTACCGGTGGCGTCGGCAGTCCCAGCAGGAGGTAGCGGCGGTGGGAATTGGCCATCCTGATCCGCTGTCGCGGTGGAACCTCTGCGTTCCTCGCCCTCGATGTCTTGAGTGTGTGGCCTGAGGTCGATCCGACACAGCGGACATGTTCCGCTGACGTTCAAAAGCCATGGGTCAACGCAGTCAGGATGGAATTTGTGGTTACAGGGCAACACACGCACTTCCTCTCCCTTATTGAAATCCTCGGTACATATCGAACAGCCCAGGTGACCTTCGGCATCAGTACCATCGGGGTTGCTGGTGGCGATGACGGCTTGTGTGTGGTCGCTGCTGGACTCGGAAGTGACAACTTCGCCCGCCACAGCTTTGTTCGTCGAGTCTTGGTTGATGGCGTCGGGCGTGGGGGTGTTTCCAGAACCCATTTCAATGTCCGAACCTTCCGTTGGCTTCGTGGCGTGGAGATCTTGATGGTCACCAAACTTGACGATCGGGAGGGTCTCGAGCATAGCGCGCGCAATACCCTTGGCGCGACTTTGTCTACCTCTGCCTGCGATGTTCCTGGGCCCGTACCTTTCAGGATGTCTATGTGCCCGGATGGCACCAGTGACGATGATGACAACGAACAGCGCGGTGATAATGCCCGTGATGGAATACAAAATGATCATGGCGACCGCGGTCGTTGGAGATTGCCCGATGTTACCATTTCCATTGAATCCAGGCGCAGAGGAGTTGGTGTAGGACGTCAGATCTGGGAGGATTGTGGCTGTGCCAGGACTCTCTTGGGTCAGGCTCAGTTTTGCCAACCTCGACGCTGTCGCACGGTTAGTTGTCGTCAAGATTCCCCCGATTGTCGGAAGCCCATCCAGCCCCGCTGCGGTGCAATGGTCACTTGTCTCGCTGTATAGGATGACGATGTTGGCGCGCGGTGAGTTCACCACAATACGGAAGACTTCACTTGCATCCAAGTTGTCAGGATAATCTTGAGGGTCGCAGGAGAGGTAGGAAAATTGATCCATGTCGGCGATGTCGTTGGCGTTGGATGCATCGATGTTGACCAGATGCCCTTCCACCCGAACTTGGAGGAAGCCTTCATGCGACATTTGCGCATAAGGGCCCAGGGGTGCCATCTGTACCGCAGGAAGATTGGGGAATTCGGTGCCATTCAACAAGAATCTGGGGGACGTCGAGAGTGGAAGTATATCTTGTGTGCTGTTCGAGGGTGTGATGGTCTGGGCCGTTGTTCTTGAGCATAACAGCACCAGCGCTGCAATGAGGATGGCCAGCCATCTCTGACAGGTTCGAGCAACAGCCATGTCTGTCGTATATGGTACTACCACTGGCTCTTTTGTGTCCAAAAACAATTAACGCTCTTCCGGCTCGTCGCAGAGACCCCACCTTCTGATCAACTATACGGGCGTTCGACCGGCTAGGTGCGTCCAGGTTGGACAAGATATCGGGACGCGGGGCCTTGTTGATGAACAGACAGGACTGGGGAGTGTATTATATCGAGCAAAGAATCAGGAAGTGTGCCATGACACCCTCTCGAGGCAATTCAGAGGCACGAGGTTAGCGGCCGGGCGATGCTGCTTACATCCGTCGACGAAGGATCGACACAGAGGATGGGTGATAGGCGGATAGGTGTTCGTTAACAGTGGACGAGGGCTGGATAGGGGGATGGTGATGATTTGGAAGCACGATTGAGGCTGTGTTGGACGGACTGGCGACCGCAACAGTTTCGTGTTTGAGAACTTGTCACAGAAGTTGTGCTTCGTCTGCGATCGAGGGTTCCTCCAAGGTGCAGCTGATCGGAACGCCGGGATGCGTGTGGAGTGATCCACAGACAACCTTGGCCGAACCAGGATGCCGGAGGCCTCAATCGATTGGTGTGGGATAGCGTATGCCAGGTGCACAGCACGGAGCCCGTCCAACCTTCAATACGAGGTGATGGGGATATCCGGCGGTTATCCTACCAGCATTTCGCGAGAAGAAAAAAGAAAAGTGCTCTTGGAACATGGATGGGCGTCACACCGTCGTGGCTTTGTGATTGATCCCCTTGTCCCTGCGTCAATATCGACGTGGAGGACGGTTGGGCGTCAGGCGTGAGAGGCCAGTAAGAGCAACCAGGGGCATAGAACCCTTGCGAACGTCTGCGACAAGCATGAGCGCAGTTTCCGGCCCAAAGTCAGCACAAGGGGGAAGGAGAGGAGGGAGGGTGGGACTTGTTACAGAGGCCGTGAGGGGTTGGTGGAAACCGACCGAGGGGCGACAATTATGTCGAGGGGCCGGGACAGGTGTGTTGCCGAAGCCCGGCTCTCGTTAAGCAACCCCTAACGATGGCCTGTCAGTGCCTATCACGTCGCCTATCGACCAGGCAAGCCTCGGCCTCCCTAGGCATGGTTGCCACGGGGCTAGCCTCCCACTGCCAGCTAAAGGAAGTCATGACGCGTATTCGCAACCATCATCTCAAATTCTCCATCCATCATCGACGCTACCATCGTCAACCCGCAATTATGTACCGAGTACAAGAAGATGTACACCATCTGATCTTGTCATTCCTCGAAAGAGCTTAAGCAACCGCACGCGACAAATCAACCTACGCTGGACGCGTATTCATCTTCGTATATCTCTGCCCGGTGGTCATGTTGCTAATAATACCCCAGATGTACCTAGTGGAAGACCACCTCTCCAACCTCCCACACACATCCTTGTGCAGTGCATATATGAATATAAGTTGTGACCGGTGACAATCCGCAGGGAGCCTATACTCCCTACCGAGGGTACTCTAGCCATCATCCAGCGAAATGGACACGGCACGCAGGAACAATGCCGTGCTCATCCCACCCAGTACTTCCGAGACACGGTCAGATCATTCACGACGACGTCAGTGTTCCGGCAAGTTCCCATTCTTTGCCTGAGACACACATGGTCAGATGAGTGCAAAGTTTCATCAATACCAAACTGTATATCAAATGCGAATGAGCTGCTCAAATGTTCTCGACAAAAGAACCAGTCTCGTCGATGCCATCTGACTAGAAAACGTGCCCATTTGTCTGTTGCTCGACTTGTTGCATGAATCATGCACCTCATACCCACCAAGCATGGGAACATGGTGGGAACATTCTCCCTAGACCTCGCCTATATGCACTTGGTATATGCTGGCTTCATGCAGAATGGCCGGTAAACAAGTTGATATTTCTCTTCTCTTCTCGCCCACTCTGTATCGTTGCAGGGAGTATTGCAGCCTCTGTCCTGCTGCAGTGGAAGAGATACTCACAGCTTGCGGCATCGTCCTCCAAGAGCTGATTGGGTGGCTCTTCGCAACGGTGGCTGAAGCCGCAATGGCCGATGAGTTTCCGCAAAGGGGATTTCTAACCCTAAGTCTGAGGCTAGTGAGGCTGAGGCGATCTCAGTTCATCATCTCATTGCCAACGCAACGCTTACGGGCCTTCAATGTCAGCGACCCTCCAATTTTGGTTGTTTCCAGAATCACCCGCACCCGCCTTTATGGCATAAGGAAGCTCATTTTCTTGTCAGGAGATGTCAACGGTAGATCTTGCAGTCGTCTCGATGATATCTGCTTCATCACAGCCCCCTGGCTTGGCGACGCTCCCGTCTGACACGGATCGAGGCGCATCCCGTCTGGGGATTCTGAGCCTTGATCGATGCCACGAAATAAGTGAACAAGAGTGATGTACACAGGTGGGAAGCCATTTACTTGAGCCACTGCAAAGGGGATATGTGTTCCGCGTTGCCATCCACGGAAGCTCAACTGCACGGGCTTGATTTCAAACCTTTCCCGCAATCATCCAGCCACTAGAAGCCGCATCGATGCTCCAAAGCACGGCGCCGGTAGCGACAGCTACTGATCGCCGGGGTATTCAAACATTTCTACATGCCAATGACTTGCAGTTTACTCGTATTTACAAATACAACTCCCGCCAAATTCCCAGATCTGCGAGGCCCACAAGTTCTGGCTGATATCCTTGCTGGACTTCAGAGCCGTCCACTTTCCTGAGGTTGGGGGGGAGAATATAGAGTTGCGATGGAAGATGTTGTCAGAATCTGACTATCCAGACGCAATGCTTGTGACTTTGGGTATCCACCTGAATCTGCTGCTGTGGAGAGCATTCATCTGCCCGCGCAGTTTAGACAAGTCTAGACACTGCTCAAGCACATGGCTTGCCTCGACTCGATCGGCCTCTATGGGACGACGACCTCTGGGATATAAACAGGCTTGTCACCCACTGTTGAGGACTCCAGGTAAACATGAGACCCTCTGTAACGTCCTTTCCATCCTGATTTGCGCCGTGAAATGGCGTTCTCAAAGAACAACGTCTATCGTCTATTTAGCTACACCGCCCCTTTTGACAAGAGTCACAGTTTTGTCGCCTCCTGGGCTCTTCCTCCAGTCGTCCACAGTTGTCTGCGCGTGCTGCTTGGCCTCTATGTGTTCACCGCCATTATCTACTCCTACATCTGGTTCTCTGGCAACATCGACATCTACCACCTGCATGACGTTGATGAACCTTCCTACACAACCGTGATCGGCTCCTCTGCAATCGGCCGGTCTTTCTCTTACTTCACATACCTTTCCTACTATGGCCAAGGGTTCTATTTCTTTGTCACCGCGGCGCATGGCTTTTTCTACGCCAAAACGGGGACGAGTTGGCTGCATACCCGTTTTCCGCCGTCATTGCAAGTCTTGCATTCCTTGTTCTACAGCATGGTGACATGTTTTCCGATCCTCGTCACGCTCACCTTCTGGTGCACCATGTATGTCGGGCCGTGGTACACGGTGACCTTCAACGCCTGGGCCAATATATCCGTGCACGCCATGAACACATTCATGGCCTTGCTCGAGATCACTCTCCCCACCACGGAGCCGTTGCCCTGGATGCATTTGCCTTTCCTCATGACCACATTGTCGCTCTACCTCGGCCTGGCGTATCTGACCCGTGCAACTGGTGGGTTTTGGGTCTATGAATGGCTGGACCCGGAGTTGGGCAAGTGGAAGGTCGTGGTCCATGTCGTCTGTTACACGGTGGCCATTGTCGTCATCTTTGTCTTTGTGAGATATGCCATCTGGGCCAGGAACTGGCTCGTCGGGCGATTTACCGGGGCCAGTTTCGGGCTGGGCGAAGAGAATATAGAGAGGGTTTTGGGCATGGCAGACTCTTCGCGGTCCAGCGGGACCTTGGTGGCAGATACAGAAGCGCAGATTCTCACAGAGGGACTCTGGCCGCCGCCAAAGCTCCATACGGCGCCCCGGCTAGCCCATCGAGTGGATTTGTAGGTGAAGTGGTTTATATATGGATGCATTTCCCGTCGGATGGGATGTTGCAACGCGCGCGCTCTCTCTCTAGCATACTTGAATACACAACGGGATCATGGACTCCAGGTTCTCTAATTGACATATGGACAAAGTATATTATATTACTTGACCCTCTTTGCCTCTTCCACCGGACACTTTGTCTCCCAGAACCTCTCAGTGTTAGGACAGACAACGGTAAAGTGCCTCGCCTGACGACAGGATCTAACTCGGCGAGACGGTACAATATAAGGTAGGTAGTATGTTTGGTCACATCGTCAATTCTATTGAACAGGCCACCGTTCCACCCCAATCATCCGGTCTAGCGCTCTATCAATTCTAGTGGTTTATTTTGTAGACATGGGGAACGACAATGGCCGCCTCTTGTATACCGGTGCTGTACGCTGCTGCAAGTCACCTGGTCGGCACGCACATAGTCGAGAGAAGGTGGGTACAGGGATATAGCACCCCCGAGTCAAAGCCCTCCCAACATATGGCCTACAGGCCGGGTCGACCAGCGCAGTCATCTGGATGCTTTCTTGTGTTTTTTGTTCTCTCCTCCACTGCAGTGTCTGTCAGTGCGCTGCGGATGCGATGGCTAACACCACGTTGGGGCGACCCGGGTCAGATACTTGATGAATTTCCAGAGCCCGACGGCGCTTTCGGTGTTGCCGGCCGGATCGGTGACTCTTTCGGGGAAGGCAATACCGGCGCCATAAGCGTGCGGGACAGCGTGGCCGTTCCCGTCCAGAAGACAGCCCGTGGTTGGGTCGTAAGTGATGCCCTCAAGCGGCGTGTCGTCGACTGAGAGCTGCGGGAGCGGGTCTCTCGTGTAGCCGATTGCCTCCACGACATGTGTACACGAGGAGAGGGCCGGTGTCATTGACGCGTCGCGGACGTCCGGGCAGTCGACCTTGGTGAGGATCTTGCCCACCGGCGACTCCGGCAATTTATCGTCCTCCAAGTGCTCGCGGGCAAATTCCGCAGAGGCACCTTTGAGGCCGGTGTTGTCGCGCAGGATCCAACCGTCCATGTAGACGGCGTAGGTCATGGGACTGCGGACAAACCACTTGATCTGAAGGTGGGGGTGAGTGCTTGTTGCCAGCTCGTACAGGTTCATGATGGCGACGATGGCGCTGTGAGACGTGCCTATCACTCCCACAACCGGTGCTTTACCGGCCGAGGGCAGGCTGGTTCGCAGTTTCTGTCGGTCCAGCACGTCGTCGAGGTCGAGGATGGTGGGCGATGTACAAGGTAGAGGTATCGTCGTGGGCGATGAGCCGGTACACATAATGACATTTCGAGAGGAGATGTTTTGGTCTGACCCCTGGCTGATCGGGTCGAGACACATGAACCAAGAGGCTGACGATGTTTGGAAATTCGCCCGAGAGGCGTTTGCAACATGGGTCTCGACACTGGGATGTCGGCGTAGGCCGCTCGTCAACATTGTCAGCATGTCTGCTGCATACTTGAGACGGCAGCCGCGGTCCTGATCGAGCGCTTCGAGCACAGTCACAGCATGAGGCTTCGGTGTCGAAGCCACAATCTGACGGAATGGTTCGAATGCATCGGCATATTGACGAAACAGAGATGTTTTGGTGTTGCTAGATAAGAGAAAAGAAATCAGTCCACAGGCCATTCTTGGGGAGGGTAGACAGGGTCCTCTGTACCTCGATACATCTCTATATCGCTTTGAGATTCTTCCCCCCGAAAAGTCAGGATCTACCCATCCGATCCTGAAGTCTCTATGAAAGTGGAGGAGCGCACCAACTGCTGCAACACCTGCACCTCCAGCGCCAACGACCACTGCGTCGTAAACTTTCTTTGGCACACCTATTGACATTGTGCGCTGGTCGATCCAAGCATCACAGGAAGGCCCATTGTAAGGATAAGCTGTGAACTCACCTTTGAAGGCTGATGTGGAAAGGACGCGGAGTTTTCCCGATCAAAATCCGATATCGCACCATTCCATTTTCAGGAAATTGATGGGCTTGCCTAATATCCACTTATCTGTACGTCCTGTATACATTTATAGTGTGGAAACCTTGGGGTTCAACAGGTAGCAGGGTCCATGAGGGCAATGCCAGCATATTGTAGGAATTGGTAATTTTCCTCGCTCCAAGCTCATGGGTGCTCTGATAAAGGCTGAGATGGCCAAGTGCAAGGACAGTTGGCTGTGAATTGGCCTTCTTGTCCGCGTGCAAGGAGGAAATACATTCTAAAGGTGGTGATATTCTCCATCTGTAAAAATATAGACTCATATCTATTGGGGCAGAAAGCGCTTTCGGGAAGCGGGACAGCTGCCTCAGTACTGTGATCTGGATGGTTGGGGAGTGGTTGTACCCTTCAGGACTGACCATGTGTGTTCCTGGAAGGTGTTGCACAAAGGGCAAAATACCTGCGTGAATCTATATCTCGGCATGATTCGTGCTTTGCATAGCAGCTTGGTCATGGTGAAAGATGAAGAGAAAGCCTGAAAGAGAGGAAGCTTGACCGAGCAGAAGTGCACAAAAGTAATGCTTCAACCTCGAATCTGATGAGGCTGTGTCGTGCACTCACCAATTACGTCACGATGCATCATCGCTGAATCTAGGTGAAGCTGTCGCCAGCTGTCCACATGCACCAATCTTGCCATCAAATCCATTCCTCAAACCCAATCCCCAAGCTACTGTTGACCCAATGGCACCTTCTAGGGGAAAGGCGGCGATTGTCTCAGCTGCAGATGAGGGCGACACTGCCGTTCAACAACAATCCAACTCGGCACTAATCTCCGCCAAACGAAACCTGAACTACCTCTTCTCGCCGACCGCAGCTGAAAAGCCTGCTCGATTTCGAACGCGCGCACTGCTCCGCACAGTCCGTTACCTGGGTCAGTTCGTCATATGGCGGCTGGTTCGTTGGGCAAAGTATGTCGCCGTTGGAGCCTTGGTGGCGGCAGTGGGAGCTACTGCATTTGGTGGCATGATATCTGGAGTGGCGTGGCTGGCTGCACCTCCGACAATAGGAGCGAGCATCCTTGCAGCGGGTGTCTGGGGAGTGGGCAGGTTTGCAGCGAGGAGGCTACATAGGAGATGGAAGAGCAGCGGAGGTGATATGGGCGAGGAAGTCAGGGAGCGGGTGATGGATCAAGAGGGAGGGATCAGGCGAGAGGGCTCGTACGGGCTGGACGTTGGACCGAGAGCTGTTCCTTGGTGAGCCAACAGGGCGGTGAGGTCGTACTACTTGTGTACCAAGGCATGCTCGCCCAGATAACCAGTCAACGATGCTCAGAATGGCTGGCTGATGCTACATAGTCGTCAGATTACGTCGACAAGCCGTCCTCTGAGATCATGACAGGTGACAGAGCATGTTGTAGGTTTTCAACAGCGTGTTCTCAATGCGATCAGTTCCCAACACTTTCCACATGTCGAGAGTGCTTCACATGTCCAGAGTGATTCGCATGCGTGCAACAGGGGGACACTGTATCCAGGAATCATATGACAGTGTCCGCAGCCCATGTGGTGAAGGAAGAGCCAATGATATATGACTCCTTCTGGACGGAAGATAATGGTGGCCGGATAAGAGGAAAAGAGAAAGGACCGTCTGCCACAGTGGTACGAAATACGGCCACCGAAACGAAGAGCGAGGGCCCAACCGTTCCAGCCACCCCTTGGTGCCTCGGAGGAACAGACCCGAGATCTGACCAGTTCCCAGCTCCCAGCTTCCTCAGCAGCCGCCAGTCTAATGATTTCGTTGAGAAATAATCCGATTACTGTTATTACGAGTTGTTGCACACAGGGATTCCAGGATTAGTACCCGGGCAGATGAGGCTCTGTGCAACCCTCCTCCCCCAGTAGTAGCCCTCCTCCTGCGTCTGCTCTCAATTCTATTCTTGCACTGTGCCGTCCGACCGGAAATGCAGTCCACGGTGTTATGTTGGGGAAACCCAGTTAAAATTCCCCTAGGGGGAGCGATCTGGGGTTCTAGAGGGCTTCTAGCGCAAGGCACCGAAGGCGATCCCCCAATCATCAAACACGCCGTGGTCGGAGGACGCTGCCGACAGGCGCTAGTGACGTTGCTCTTCCCCAACAAAAATCACAAAACCCTGGGATGAGTTGCCGCTTCCCAACTCCAGCGAGTTTTTTTTTTTGTTGTGGGCAAATCGTCAGCCAACCCGTCGAGACTCTCAGGAGACAAAAGGCAACATCTCTGTCCCAAAAGGCCCTGTCAGATTTCCCAGTCCACAGTTAATGATCCGTCTGTCAGGCAACTGGCTCTCCTGGGTGGCTCTCGGTATCCACCAAGCAATGATTGTCTTTCCCTCGAAGCATTTCTTGCCTCCGATCAATCAATTGCCTGTGCCTCTGGCCCATTCCACCGCCTTCCCCACAATCGCCTCTCAACATATCTGAGAAAGCTCAAACACACTACCGCCGTTTCGGACTATCCTCACCCTTCTCATAAATATAGCCTCGGGCCCCGAGTCCTCTGAGCTCCTCCTCTCCGTTCCTTCATCCCATCCTGAGTTCTCATCTCACTACCTGTGGCATCAGTTGGATCTCTCATCAGCTTCAACAATGCCTTCTTCTCAACCCACCGCCGGAGACCTGGCTGTCAAGCCCGAGTTCCAGTCCTCTCAGCCAACGCCCATGGCTAAACCCTCTGAGCCCAACAGAAGCACCAAGTATGACCCCAAGAAAATCCACATCACCGAGATGCCCATGACAAGGTCGAACTGGTATAAGCACGTCAACTGGCTCAACGTCACCCTTATCGTCGGCATTCCACTCTGGGGCTGCATCCAGGCCTTCTGGACGCCGCTGCAGGTCAAGACAGCTGTCTGGGCAGTGCTATATTACTTTGCCACCGGCTTGGGCATCACAGCTGGATATCACAGATTATGGGCTCATACCTCGTACTCCGCCACACTTCCCTTGAGAGTATTCCTCGCCGCCGTCGGCGGTGGTGCCGTTGAAGGCTCGATCAGATGGTGGTCACGCGACCACCGAGCACACCACAGATATACCGACACGGAAAAGGACCCGTACTCTGTCCGCAAGGGCCTGCTGTATTCTCACATTGGCTGGATGGTCATGAAACAAAACCCCAAGAGAATTGGACGTACTGATATCTCCGACCTGAACGAAGACCCGATCGTCGTCTGGCAGCACAAGAACTATCTCAAGGTCGTGATCTTCATGGGTCTCATCCTGCCCACGATTGTTGCAGGCCTTGGTTGGGGTGACTGGTGGGGTGGTTTCATCTACGCTGGCATTCTCCGAATCTTCTTCGTCCAGCAAGCCACCTTCTGCGTCAACTCTTTGGCCCACTGGCTGGGAGACCAACCTTTCGACGACCGCAACTCACCACGTGACCACGTCATCACGGCTTTGGTCACTCTGGGTGAGGGTTACCACAACTTCCACCACGAGTTCCCCTCGGACTACCGCAACGCGATCGAGTGGCACCAATATGATCCCACCAAGTGGTTCATCTGGACCTGCAAGCAGCTCGGTCTAGCATACGACCTGAAGCAATTCCGCAGCAACGAAATCGAGAAGGGCCGCCTCCAACAACAACAGAAGAAACTGGATCAGAAGCGTGCCAAACTCGACTGGGGTGTCCCTCTCGACCAGCTTCCGGTCATGGAATGGGATGACTATGTTGACCAATGCAAGAATGGGCGTGGTCTCATTGCCATCGCCGGTATTGTTCACGATGTGACGGATTTCATCAAGGACCACCCTGGTGGCAAGGCTATGATCGGCTCCGGTGTTGGCAAGGATGCCACCGCCGTGTTCAATGGTGGTGTCTACATGCACAGCAATGCGGCTCACAACTTGCTCTCGACGATGAGAGTTGGTGTCATCCGTGGTGGAGGTGAGGTTGATATCTGGCGGCGGTCACAACTGGAGGCCAAGGGTGAAGTCAGCCGTGACTCTTCTGGCGAGAGAATCATCCGAGCTGGTTACCAGCCTACCAAAGTGCTCCAGAACACTCCGACGGCAGGTGCTGCTTGAATGCAGTGCTCGTGGGAAAATGAGACGGATTTATGAGTTTTAGAGATGCATGGAAAATATTTGACCTGCTGGCGATGAGTAGAGTTCGGTTCGGCGTTTTAGGAAAGCGGCGAACGGGCAAACGGTCTGCGCGTGGACGGACTATGGGATACGAGGTACAGGATTCCACTTGTGATTCCGGAGTGATCAAAACAGGGTGTAAAAACGCTTGAAATACCCATGACATATCATAGCCGTATGAAATCAAAACACTCTATTCATTGTGACTGTCGGTCTTCTGTTCACGTTGAGGGCATTGGTGGATGGAGAAGATGTGTTGCCGAGTCGGGGGCGAGTTTCTCCGCATCCAGCATCGCTTGACCTGTGCCTGCGCTTCCAACTTCGTCCGAATTCCGCCTTGCGCTGCGCTGCGCTGTGTGCTGGTCTTCCTCGCCAGGTATCCAAACGCATCCATCAGCTTCTGTCCCCAAGGCTGACTTGCCACGATACCCGAGCATCGACCTGGTGTCGCACGATCGGTCTTCAGCATTGATTTATACAGCCATGCTTCCTGGCTGTTCGTATTTCATGATTGTAGCTGCGCTTGCTTGGTCGCCCTCGCCCTCCACTCCCTGCATTCGCTCCTTTGCTATTACCTGATCAACTGACTTGCCGATTCATTGGGACATCGTCTTTATCATTGACAATCCGTCTCCCCTAGAGTCTAGAGTATTTTGACCATCATTCAGCCATGTCGTCTTTTCGGGAACTCGGGAACGAGAAGTTCAAAGCCGGCGAGTACAAGGAGGCCGAGCAACTCTACACACAAGCGTGCGTCTCTCGTTCTCCGTTTGAGCCCGCCTTACTCCTTGAGATTACAATGTCCTAACCTGGCCGATGGAACAGCATCGCCGAACATTCCCGTTCAGACCCCAAAGTCTTTGCGAACCGCTCCCTCACCCGGATCCGTCTCCAAGATTGGGCCGGCGCCGAATATGATGCGCGCAAGGCGATAGAATTGTACGGCCCCAAGAACAAGAATGCTGCCATGAAGTCCCATTATTATTTAGCGCAAGCATTGCTTCAGCAACGGCATGTCGGGGAAGCGCTGAAAGAGGCCAAAACCGCGTACGCCATATGTCTCGAGACACTCGACAGCTCGGCCGAGCTGATTGGCAGTTTCATTCTGAAAGCGAAGCAAGCACAATGGCAGGCAAAAGAGACGGCGCGGTTGAGAGAAATGAATGAGACGTTGGCCTTGGTGGAAGACTTGCTGGATGCGCAATTACAACGGGACCTTGACAAAGTGGAAGAAAGGTTCCGGACGGGCGAGATCGGGGAGACAGGCCGTCGGGAGGAGGTTGAAGAACTCCAGAGAGAGGCAGAAGAGAGACGGTCAAATATCAGGCGGGGATTCGAGGACAGGAGTGTGCCAGATTCGGCAGAGAGGGTAGGGCCTAGATACACTGCATCTCTACATGATCGTGTTGCTAACGTTACTGCCCGGTACAGGTTGTCCCCGACTGGCTCATTGACCCCATAACCTTCGAAGTGATGCACGACCCGGTGGTCACAAGTACTGGCGTCTCATACGAGCGAGCGACTTTGTTGAAACACATCAAGGCCGTGGGAGTTGACCCCATCTCCAGACGGCCCCTTAAGCCGGACCAACTGATACCCAATGTGGCGTTGAAGAATGCTTGCGAAGAGTTCCTGGAGAAGAATGGCTGGGCTGCCGATTGGTAGGCATTGCGAACTGAGAAGAGGAGTTCCTTTTGCAAGCTGCCTGGCTGGTGGCTGTCTTGTCGGACAACGTCTGCCTAGAGGTTGGATGTCAACACGTGAAGCCATTGCCAATCACCGACCGTTCTCGGTGTGAGTACTGCATGCACTTGGCCATGAATGAGGACGAGCGTCTTGGAAGCCAGGACTTCCGACTACAACCGGCGGGCAACAGGGTTGGGGCATATGCGGAGGGAATTCTACCTTGTTCTTTTTTAGAGGATTTGCCTTGGTGCAACACTTGGTTCTATGCTCATGACACGTTTTAGCATACACAACAGCCGGCTATCCAGGATGTATTGGGGCCTGACGGGAAAGGCTCAGTTGGGTAGCGACTTTAATATAGACTGAGAGGAGAGGTGGCGGCTGCGGCATCTTCATCGATCGGTAACACCGTGAGACTGATATTACTATCAGTAGACCATTCATGTGTACCAACTTGACTATATACTGTATGTACTGTACTCGTTAAGTGGTCAACTTAAGGGGTGGCACTGGTGGCCCAGACGGTCCTCGGCCAGCGTTCGGGGATTTCCAGCTTTCATGCCCCCCGCCAAAAGCCCAAAGAGTGAGTAGTTGGGCAGCACCAGAGCTGGACGTTGGACTCTGACGTCGTTTTTTGGTTGGGGCCATCAATCACGATTCACCACCCGGACCCCCCACCTGGGACCTCATCAACTGTGTTTAATAACCATATTGAGATCTCTCTTGCCTGCGAGTGGTTTCCCAACTTCTGTCCAAATCTGCTCTAGAGACTCTGGAGACATAACGCTTGAACTTCTCAGTGTCGGAACCAAAGGAATCACCAGAGGTACGTAGATATTAGCTGTTCCTCTTCTCCTGGCCCTCTTGTCCGTTCATTTGATCAATGCGTCATGGGTCACCTCGCTGGTCGACAAGACAGAAAGAGAGACTTGTCCACCAACAGGGTTGGGCCTCAACTTGGAGATTGAATCCGTCTCATAGACTCGTCTCGAGATCCTCCCTCCAGTGGGCTCTCTCATTCCCTCCGTCCAATCGATCGTCTCGGCCATGCTTTCGCCAGAGCACTCGTCACTGACTCTGCATGTTGCTATTCAGGCACATCCCTCCCACCATCCCTCCGTCTCTGTGTGTCTCTCTCTCGCGACCCCTCAACTCTACACGCACGCCCACCGTGCGTTATCCGCTAGACGCACATCGCGTTACCGCTAAAGATGCCTTCCGCCGCTTTCCAAAAGGCCGCCGACGAGAGTCGTCAGCTCAAGGCCAAGCCCAGCAACGACGAGTTATTGGAGGTGAGTACGACTCATGATACTTCTTTGTTTGTGCATGTTCGTGTCAAGAGAGGAAGGGGTCTACCACAGAAGGCTCTGGTGGGGAAGCTGGCGAAAGTGAACAGACACCCTACTACGCAAAGAACTGGGGAGGGCGAGGCGTTAAAACCAGTACGCTGGATGCCGTTGTCGAAAAGGATTCGGCAGATGGAAATGCAGAGGATTCAGAGACTTGGAAACATCCTCTCTTCCCCGGGGCCTGCCTTCTCTCGCCACACTTGGTTGTAAAGTCTCTCGACAGCTGGCATTTCTCTTCCGGAACCATTGCTTACTCCCAACAATTGCCCGGCGACGGTTCACTTGGTAGACACGAAACTCGACATTGACAAGAATCGAACTAATGTCTTCGCACACCTAGCTCTACGCACTCTTCAAAGTCGCAAATGGCGAGGACATCTCCAAGGCACCAGCTCCAGGAATGTTTGACCTGAAGGTAAAGCCACCGCCTCCACCTTACCCTTGAGCCCTCATGAAAATTCCACGCCACTAACTTGCTCCTGTTTTTCATGAATAGGGCAAAGCGAAACACAAGGCCTGGCAGAAGGAGGTTGATGCCGGCACCACCGCCGCGCAGGCAGAGGACCGCTATATCAAGCTCGTCGAGAGTCTCAAGACGAAGTACGGCTTCGATCCGAGTAAAGCGCCCGAGACGGTTGGTGGGAACTAGAGCGCCCTTAGGGGATAATAGGGGAAGAAGGCTATGAAACGGGCAATGTGAGAAGGTTGGTCTGGGATTGTTATGGCTCCGGCCACCACCGCTCCTTTCAGCCATCACTTTTCTCGTCTCGACGGCAGTGATGCTGGCTGACATTTCCTCGCACTGTAAGGGGTTTCGGACGGGAGAGAGGTCCTTCACAGCAAGCGACTGGCCTCTGAGCACAGGTATAGGAGAGCAAACAGAGGCTTTGAATCCTCGCAATCAATACAACTCTTGACTTACACGCCTCTACTCCTTCTCTCGACCGTGTTTCTCATCCAATACGTCACCATCTCCCTCGTCTTTCTCGTCCGTCTCATCGTCATCGTCGTCGTCGTCCTCGGTAATCTCCTGCCCGGCAAACATCATCCACTGCCCGCCCAGCACACTCTTGCGCCACACCCGCGTCACCCCGTCACTGCCGGTGCTCATGAGGACCTGGCCCTGGGCGTCGAACGCGAGGGCCCACGCGTCCGTGTGCGCCGGGGCGAGTGTGGTGGCTGACGAGAGGGTGGTCAGGTACGGGAACGCCGTGTACCCTGTCCGTGAGGGATTCGCTGCGTGAGCGGCGCTCGCCGCCGCCGAGGACGAGGATGAGGACGGGTGTTGTTGTTGTGTCGCCGCGGAGTGTCGGCCGGTGATTTGGGTCGTTAGACTCGACTGTTGTTGCTGGTAGCGCTGCTGCTGCTGCTGCGTGCTCGTACTTCGTGACGGGGTCGGGGTGGTGTGCTGCTGCTGTTCTGTGCCATCGTTGCGGTGGCTGCCGCCATTGTCGTTTCCGTTTCCGTTCCTGTGTCCGTGTCCATGTCCATCGGGTCCCTCTGCAACACCGAGCTCAAAGACCCGCACCGCGCCGTCTTTGCATGCCGTCGCGATGCGATCGGTGCCCCGCACGCTGAACGGCGCCCACGCCACGTCCCTCACCAACGCCGGATGCACGGGCAGCCGGATGGCCTCGTAAAACATCAGCCGATGGCTGGCGTTGCCGCCCCCGCTCGAGATCCCCGTCCCGACACCAATGCCCATGCCGATGCCTCCGACACTCACGTCCGCTCCGGTGCCGGAGTTCGAGGGCACGACGCTGCGGTAGATCTTGACCTCGTTCAGCGCGCAGACCACCAAACCCAGCTGGTCGCGGTCGTCGCTGACCGAGTTGATATACGCCAACGGAGTCGGGTTCGGGTCGAAGCGCACCTTGAAGCTGGTCTCCTCGCCGCGGCCGGGCACGTTGGCCGGGGCGGCGCACACGTTGAAGCAGTCCAACAGCGCCCACTCACGCAGGTCGTCCACGCTGCTCGGCTCGTACACACTCAGCAAGCCCTGCCGGTCGATCAGCGCCAGGAACGTCGAGACGTGGTCTGTCGCCAGCGTCTTGACGTCCATGCTCACAAAGGGCACGCGCGGCGTCGACGGGATCGTGGCCGTGCGTCGGAACCGGTGGCCGCCCCGGGGAGCCTGCGACGCGTCTTCGCTCCAGAGGTGGAATTTCAGGTCGTTGCCGATGCTGGCCAGGTGCGTGCCCAGCGTTGGGTGGAGGAATTTGGCCTTTTTTAAATATTGTGGCGTAGTTAGCATGGCATGAGCATGAAAATATATTAAAAATAAGAGCGAAATGCAAACACGTCTTTGCCAGAACAGGGCATCTCTCGGGTAGTAAGGAGTGCAGAGGCCAAGGAAGACTCACATCCCTAACGTCGGAATCGTGCGCCGTAAAGGTGTCGAGCAACGTCCTCTCGCCCGTCTTCGGGTTGCGCTCCCACACTTTGATGCGGTGGTCTATTGAGGCTGTCAGGATGCGGGTACCGTTGAAGTTGGTGTGCAGCACTGTGACGCGGTCGTGGTGACCCGGGTCAAAAGAGGAGCTTTTGACCATCTTCGACAACGGGAGATATCACACGCGGAGACCCACGATATGGCGCCTCCTCTATCTGCAAGGCAAGCAAGCACAAGCCCGGCTCAGTGGAGATAGTCGGGCGTCTTCTTGTGGAAGTAAATGCTTCATCGCTGGGGTGGACGGGGTAGATGAGGTAGGTATTAGCCTAGGCCATGCTGAGAGATTGCATCCCAGTTATGCCACAGAGCAGACTGGCATAAATAAAAGATATAAAGGCATCTCGGCGGATGTTGATAGTAACTTTTCGAGAAGTGAGGTTGGTTTGTTGCCAAAAGGCTGCTTCTGATTGGCGGAATCTCGGAGAGGACCGAGGACCCCGGATTATCATTGTTCCGAGGACTGTACCCCGAGAGAACTGATCAAAGGACAGATTGTCACCCTCGCCGGGCCGCCATCTTGATATATCGCAACGTCCTATCGCTATTCTGACGGAAAGAGGATACTGCCCAAGCTTGGTCGGGCTATTCTCCCCTCTAGATCCTTGAATCGTCATGGCTGCTGTCCACATGTGTTCGAGGTAGCACAAAGAAGCCCCTGGCAGAAAGTAAAATACCATGGCTTCCTCCACGCTCAATCCCTCAGAGAAATGGCTCCTCATTGTGGCCGCCGGAGCTTCTCTGGCTGTCATTGCAAACACGTTTCAGGGTGATGGAGCGCCCCTCGTGGCGTCACTCGCGTTCTCGACCTTGGCTTTCTCCATGACTTATGCTTTCGTGCGATGGTCGGGTCCGGCGTTTGTCAAGGCCGGGCTAAAGGGGAGAGACATGAGCAAAACCATGCCGAAAGAGATGTGAGGAATTTCTATGGCCAGTTACAGGGCGAATGCTGACTTGTCTAGCCCTGAAGCCATGGGAGCAGTTGCGGCGGCGGTCTACATCCTGGCTCTGATGGCATTCATCCCTTTCGCCTTTTACAAGGATATCGTTGCCGCTACGTCCGGTGGTGGAAACAGGGATGTCGTGCTCACAGTGACGGAGGTCGAGACGGGGCGCTTCTTGCACCGGTTTCCTCACTCCAAACTGTCCTCGTACCAATCGGCACTCAATACTCTCCAGGCCACGACCATACTGGGCATATGCGACGACCTCCTCGACCTCCGCTGGCGACATAAGTTTTTCATTCCGGCGGTGGCATCGCTACCCCTGCTCATCGTGTACTATGTCGACTTTGGCGTCACCTCCGTGGTCGTGCCCAATTTTCTCATCCCCTACATGCCGAACCAAGCTCGTCTCATCAACCTGTGGTTTTTCTACTATTTGTACATGTCGGCGCTGTCGATATTTGCGCCAAACTCGATCAACATCCTTGCAGGCATCAACGGAATCGAGGTTGGACAGGCATTGGTGATCGCGGGATTGTTGGTGCTCAATTCAGCACTCTATCTGGTCCCATTCCCAGGGAACCCCGTCCTGAATCACGCCTATGCCACCCGTCCCCACCCTGCCACTGACGGCCATCTTATGACGCTGTATATCTTGCTGCCATTCTTGGCCGTGTCGACCGCGCTGTACATTCACAACAGATACCCAGCTCGCGTTTTTGTCGGGGACACATACTGCTATGTCGCGGGCATGACATTCGCGGTCGTGGCAATCATGGCACATTTCAGCAAGACACTTCTGTTACTTCTGATTCCACAAATCGTCAACTTCCTCTACAGCACCCCGCAGCTTTTCCACCTGATGCCGTGTCCCCGACATCGACTACCCAAATTCAACGCAAGGACCGGCCTTCTCGAGCCCAGTGTGACTCCATGGCCCCCGGGGAGACCACCCAGCAAGCTGCTGACGGCGGTTTTCTTCTTTCTAGACAAGTTACACTTGATCCAAGTCACTGTGGACTCCAAGACGAACCGAATCTCGAGCACGTCGAACCTGACCATCATCAATCTATGGCTGGTGTGGAGAGGTCCCATGAGAGAAGATCAGTTGACGAGGGAGTTGCTGGTCATGCAGACCTGCTGTGGCCTCCTGGGGCTGTTTATGCGCCACACGATGGCTTTGCTGATTTTCGGCATGGATAATCGGGGACCAGGCTCTGCGGTGTAGCAACCATGCGGTCTAGATTGTTGTATAGATCTGGAAAGACTCCTTTTAAAATGGGCAATGAAGTTAATCAGCCCTGCCACGTGCCTGTCTCGTGTATATAAATCCCAAAGAGGAGGTTAGCCGAAGATGATCCGAAGTCAACGTCGGCCATTGCTTGTCCGTATTATATTGTGGTCGAGTCCAACATGCCTCACGACAGATGTCCAAAGGTGAGGATTGGACATTATTGACAATATGAAGTCGTTGCGTTACCATTTGCAGTGCAGGTCTTTCACGAACGTCCATGTCCTGCATCTCTCCCAGGATCCTCCGGTTCACTTCTCACTCAACTGCCTCCCACTTCTTTGCTGAAAGCTGTCCGAACTCTGCATCTGCTCACACCTGTAGACGGCAGCTTTCTGGCTCTCCTGTAATGGCCTCGAGACCTTCGAAACGAGTCAAACTCGACTCCAGCCGGAACGATTCTCGATCAGTCTCACAGAGATCGTCCCCCGACAGCAATGCGGCAGACCCAGCATCCATCCGTGCGAAGAGATCTGCCTTTCTCAGTTCGATTTCGAGGTCAATCTCGCCACCAGGGATCTCGAGGTCTGGGACAACGACGCCTGGGCCCCGAGCTGAGACGAACGAGGCTCCGGGAGGGGAGGTTACTCCTCGCCCTCTGCCGTCACGGAAACATTCTCCCAAGCCTGTCCATAGAGACTCAGAAGTTCGCTCCACCAACTCTGAATCCAAGCCGGTCTCTGCGATGAAGGTCCTTCCGTCCCCCTTCAGACTCACGACGATTCGTGACCTTCCACCTTCCAAGAATGTCGACACTGTTTCCCTGCATGATATCCTGGGAAACCCACTGATCAAGGAAGCCTGGATTTTCAACTACTGCTTTGACGTCGATTGGCTAATGACCCATTTCGATCCCGACATTCGCCCCAGTGTCAAAGTGAAGATCATCCATGGGTCATGGAAGAATGACTCGCCGAATAAGATCGCCATTGACGATGCCTGCCGAAGATGGACCAACGTTGAAGCCGTCACGGCTTATCTGCCGGACCGGTTTGGAACTCACCATAGCAAGATGTTTGTTCTCTTCACCCACGACGACCTTGCGCACGTCGTGATCCACACCGCGAACATGTTGGAGAAGGATTGGGCAAACATGACCCAGGCAGCGTGGCTGTCCCCGATGCTCCCGCTGCTCGAGGGCAAGCAGGTGACCGGTCCCGGAAAGGTAGGAACTGGGACGAGGTTCAAGCATGATCTGGTGGCCTATCTGCGCGCATACGGATCAAAAACAAAGGCTCTGGTGGAACAGCTCGCACAGTTCGATTTTAGGAGCGTCAGAGGTGCCCTGATTGCCTCTGTCCCATCACGAATGAAGGAGTCCTCGGCCACGCAACATAATGAGGCCGCGTGGGATTTAAAACTCTGGGGCTATCCAAGTCTGTTGCGAGCGTTGAGATCGATCCTCTTGCAACAGCAGCAGACCAACCCCTCGGACAAGAAACCAGGCACGGAGTCTCCCCACATTGTTTGCCAGGTTTCCTCCATCGCCACCCTCCCAACAAGCTGGCTGAATCTGTTCTTCCCGGTCTTTTACTCGGCCCTGCAATCTACTCCATCCACTACGGCACGGGAGTGGGAACCGAAGCACATCTCAATCATCTTCCCGACGCCTCAAAATGTCGCGACCTCACTCGATGGCTATGCGTCGGGCGGATCTATCCACACCAAGGCACAGTCCGCGGCTCAGTTGAAACAAATCGCCGGCCTTCGAAGTTCCTTGTGCCAGTGGACCAAGGGCACGACCACGGAAACAAGGGCGGGAAGAGACGAGGCGGCCCCGCATATCAAGACGTACGTGTGCTTCACCAGTCAGCCGACAACGACGAATCCAAGACCGGAGGTGAAATGGGCGCTGTTGACCAGTGCGAATCTGAGCCAACAGGCCTGGGGCTCGCTCCGCCCAAAAGACAAGGAGATTGTGGTGCAGAGCTATGAGATCGGGGTGCTTGTCTGGCCAGAGCTGTTCGCGGAGAACTTTGACGCCGAAGAAGTCAGTGAGCAGGCGGACGAGTGCGACGCAGAACGTGAATGTGTCGAGGACGACGTCGACAACGGCAGTCACCACGCGGGAAAGATTAAGATGATCCCCGTCTTCGGCAAAGACACACCTCAGGCGTCCTACCCCCTACAGAGCGCCGCTCAGCCGTTTGGGCCCGAAACACTGGTCGGCCTGCGCATCCCCTATGACCTTCCCCTCACGCCCTACGAGAAGGCCGACATGCCCTGGAGTCCTCAGGGTGTGTATGAGCAGCGGGACCGATGGGGCCGACGATGGCCTCGAGATTTTGCTTGAGATACTTTCCCGAGATTTCCTCTCCCAAGCCTGTGAACGAGCCATGACCATGTTTTTTATTCATCACGGTGCCTTTGATACGCGTGGGCAGATGGGGATGCACGGGCAACGGCGATCAATAGGTTGTCTCGGAGGGTGGTTATTATGGCTGTGCCTACGAGCTACAGTCCTCGCCGGCCGAAGATATGCATATATTCTTTACCCGTCGGTAGTAATTACAGGTCAAGGTTTGGTTGCTGAAGGGAAACTGGCACATGTTCAAGGGCTTCATCTGTGCACTTGCATTTTAGCCTGAGCGCCCAAACGGTACACTGTTTACATAGCACTGGCTACTGGTACCATGTGTCCTGCTGCGACTTCTCCAGGGAGTCAAGGTAGGTAGCTAGCTCGGGAAGTATGGACTCGTCACTTTCGTGCTGTCCCGTCTCAACCGTCGTCTGGCTGTGGCTGGAGTGCCGTCCGGCTGAGCTCTCGACCGCTTCGCGTTGGAGGTGACCTCGGTGGTTGACTTGGTCTTTGCCTTCGACAGGCGCGTTGTCATGTCATTGTCATTGCCAGTCCCATCTTTGCTGTCATCCACGCCGCCCGGGGCTGGACTAGAGAAAGGCCTCACGGCAACCCCGGTGCTGGTTCTCGTCCGTCTCCGTGAGGACGGCTGTGACGTGGTGTTCGAGCTGCGCTGAATCCGAGGCTTGCGCGCCGACGCACTGCGTTTTGCGGGCACGTAGTCGTCCGACGCCGTATCATCCGAGTTTTCATCCTCATCGTCATCAGCATCGTCAGCATGGTCAACACCGTCTGGGCTGCTTCCAAGGTCGGATGGATGATCGAATCCTCCACCACCGTCCACGTCGATTTCATCCTCGCTGGGAGGTGCCGACACGCCAGAACTATCCTGCTCACTGCCGTCGACATCTTCGAGAATAGATTGTCCTGGTCGCCGCCGTCGAAGTGGTGGCTTCAACGGCGAGACAGAAGCTGGTGTTGGATACTGATAGTCCGGGACGGCTCGTTCCTTTCCCTTCGCAACGGACTGGTTCGGGACAGGCGACTTCCGTTGATCGTGATGATGGACCACTTCTAGATCACTACCAGCCAGGTGCTCTTCGTCTGATTCCAGGAAGAAGCCGCCTTCCCCGCCGAATTCGTCCTCAGCGGTCAGAGTTTGAGGTATACCTCTCCGCGTCGAAGGTGCTCCATCGTCACTTTCCAACATGATCGGTTGTTCTTTGCTCCTCCCGACCGTCAGTTCATCTGCCGCGTTCTGATCGCCGTATGTGTCCCTCACTCTTTCTCTAATCCGCAGCCCAATAACGAACTTTCTCCACCGCTCCAACACCATGGACTCCATCTTCTTTTCCTCCTTCTTTCTCTGCTCCTCGTTGAATTTGTGCCATGCCTCTTTCACAGCCCGCTCATTTTCTGTCGCGACAACCACGCCGGTACAGATGGGCACCGCGCGCTTGTTGCCGAACTCAAAGCCCGTGACTGCCTCAGCAAAGTCGATCTGCAGCTTTTTACAGATCCGTACAGTGCCCCTCAGAGGAATATGAACGGCACCTTTGGGCACCATCGAAGGAACAAAGCAGTCAATGTTGCCATACGCGTTCTTCGGAATCACCCCGTTCTCTATGGGCGGAGGAATGATGTATTCGGTCTGGTCCCAACTGTAAAGGCCCTGCATCTGTTTCTCTCCTGTTTGGCGTTCGTGTTCTTCTGCTTCTCGTTTACGAGTCAATGTAACCGCGCGCACGGGGACAAGTTTGAGTGGAGCTTCTCCGGCTCTGGGGCGTCGCCCTTCCTTATGCCACGACTCTGCTGTCAAGCAACGTTCAACGTCGGATCGGCGGTATACGGGCTCCTCCTTTTGGTTCTCACCTTTCCCTGAAATAAAGGTACGGACGGGTTCGGCGTGGGGTCGAAGCGCCTCTTCGCGGCGGAGGAACCGTTCGAGCACATAATCGGCGGACGACTTGAGAGATTGCAAGGTATCGACTTCTTGGCCACCGTTCTCCTTCTTCTCTGGAAGCTGAGGAACAAGGTCCGTGGCATCTTCCACATCGTCGACCGTTGTTCTCATCAAGTCAGGCCGAGTATAGCCGCTCATTACGCGCTTGAACCAGTCGTAGTCCTCGTACCTCTTGACCTTGCCATGTTTGTTGTATACGGGGATCTTCTCCACCGGAAATCGAAACCCCTTTGTCTTGCCGGGCCAAATTCTTTTCCTCAGGTATCGTACGGTCACATCCTTGGCTGTGCCATCGGAGGAGTACGCAATAACGTAGGCCATCACGGTCTTTGTCTTCTCAGCTTTGATGCCGCGTGGTTCGAAGGTCGCGAGGATTTCAGGGGTGGTGGCGACGGGAGACGCAAGGACGAGTGGAGAGACAGGGAGGATCTTGTTCGTTACTGGCGACACGGCCTCAGTCCAGTAGATGGGGAAGGGGTTCTCCCTGTCGTATTTTTGAGGTCGTTTCCTGGGCATCGAAGGGGTAATCTCCACAACTGAGTCCTCATCGTTCTCTGACTCGGAACCATTTCCCGACGTTTTGGGCGGGCCGCTGCGCCGTCGTGCTGGGGTTTTGGTGATCTCTGATATTGACTTGGCGTTCTCCGAGCCCGAATCGTCAAAAGACATATCGAGATCGACCGCTTCATTGGCCTTCCGGGGCAACGCCTGTTCTGCCTTGGTCCAGCCATATCCACTGGGCTGGAGGCTCGCGACCAACCTGGCCTCGATGCCTAGACCTCTCAGCAGCGCGGTGAACAATTGAGCACCCACATCCCTCGAACCCTCAGACTTCCTCGCAAGCTCGCGAAACTCCTGGATGTCTCTGATGCGCTCTCCATGCTCCTCCGGATTGTGTTCGTCATCGCGCTGAGATCGGATGATCTGCTTCAATCCCAGCCTGGTGCCATAGCCACGCTTCCGCAGACCCGGAGCAGTAATGGCGAATTTCTTCTTCCAATATGCAGCCAGGACTTTCATAAGAGAGATCAACGGGTCGCCGTTGCTCATGTCGGGTTTGCCCTGCTCAAGGCGTTTGCTAGGTCTTCCCCAATCTCTTTCATCGCGTGAGTTGATAGCCTTCTGTTTGCCATGTCTCTTATTCTTGCCCTTGGCCGTTGCAGCTTCCCCTGAGGGCTCTGCATCCGCAGATGGTAATCCACTTGCTCTCTTCCACTTTTCGACCTCCTTTCTGATGGGAGGGGGTAATTGTCGGACGAGGATCTGCTGAACCTCCTTGTCCGAGATCCAGCTGTTCCGGACCGAATTGTGCCAGAGAAGGAATTGCACGTGCAGCTGATGAGTGCAGACCCTGACCTGCTTCTCTCGCTTGGACGGGCCCTTCCTCTTGTTGGCGGCCTGCGCGATCCAGTCGTCGGTTTCATGGTATGTTTTGCGCAAGGTTATCTCAATAGGGCCGTCCGACTGGGGTTTATATGCCGGTAGCTCCTGTTCGTGGTCGTAGCCCGCAGCATCCTCCCATTCTATGTCTTCATCATCGTCCTCCTCTTTTTCATCATCGTCATGAGTCACGGCTGACAGCTGCTTGAGGTTAGATGGGACGTTTTCGAACTGTTCGCTGTCTACGTCGCTGAGGGAAGACTCCGAGTCATCACTTCCAAGAGAGAATGTCTTTGTCAGTTGCAGCGCTGGAGTGCTTTTCGACTCGGCGTCCAAGATGTCTGCGAGTCTTGCCTTCTTCGCAGGCGTTTCCCGAGAGGAGGCCGGTGGCGACGTAGAGAGCCTCTTTCTCGGTAGAAAAGGTGGCATGGCACTCTGCCCTTCTAGGGCACGGCGCTTGAAGTTCTAGATCATGCAGGTCAGAAATCGAAGACAACTCGCTCTCAGATACCCCAATGCAGGCATCGACAGCGGGTGACAGCGACATGCGCAACTTCCCAAGGGCGGTAAAGTGGTGACGTCGCTAAGATCGCTGGAGAGGGTTTAACCGATGCAATAATCCCGCAGGGGCAGATGCCGCCTAGAACGAATCCATTGGTGCTTCTGGAAATTTTTGCGGGGGATGAACCATCGAGGCACGCACGCGCAGCGCAGCCCTTCTCACCAAACACGAGTAAACAGCGCATTCTACTCGGTAGAAAGGACCTACTGCTCCATCAGCTACCTTCGTCAAGCCCGGTCTGGACTCAATGGCCACAGCTTCATCGTCGCCGCCTATTCACACCTACCACTGTCTATGCACAACCCTCGTCCTCACCACCGCACATGATCTGAGCTCACTTCCTCGTCGCAATGAGCCTGTTCAAGACGACGCACTCATCCTCGCTCCACCTGTCGACATCACTCGAGCCGAGACTCTGGAGATACAAGGGTCCAAACCCACGAGTTCTGTGCTACTTAATGTGGTGCCAGAGCGGAGACCCGTCATGATTCGAAGAGAAGACGGATTTGAGAAAAGAACACTTCTTAGATGCGTCAGGTGCAAGTTGGTTGTAGGGTACAATCTCGACGAGGGTCACGTTGGGGAACAGGAAGAAAATCCAAAGCCAGTCTATTTGTTGCCTGGTGGACTACTCAGTACCCAGGATATGGTAGAGGGGAAACAGCCAGAGACTCCTTCCTGGGCGGCGCAAAAGTGACTGCGGGTGTGGGATTCAATTGTGTTTATTAGCATCTGAGATACCCTCTAGACCAATAAACTCTGCCAGAATGCACTCGGGCCTTGTATCGCCCGAGAACCAAGACAATGTGGTGGTGGTGGTGGTGTCCTGACCACTGTTGCGCCGACCAAAACTATGCACATCGGATTCCATTGCCATCAAACCATACGCTCGTAAAAGGAAGATAGAGTGCCTAGTTGGCCAGGATCGTTCGGACGAGTTCCATGTAGTTGATCTCCCCACTGCTGGTGTCGACCGCCTTCAGAAGCTCGTCCACCTCTTCGTCGCTCATCTTCTCGCCCAGGTTTGTCAGAATGTATCTCAACTGGCCCACTCCGATGAAGCCGGTCATGTCCTTGTCAAACACCTGGAAACCACGACAGTATTCTTCCGGTTCGCCAGGGTCTCGGAAGCCGCCCGGTCGGTTGAGTACCTTGCTGAAGGAGTCAAAGTCGACTGCGGGCGCACGTTAGCTCGCGTCTACACGCTCTTGGGCTGTCTTAAAATTCTTACAGTCGCCCCCAACTTGTTTCTCTAGGTCTCTGATCTCAGCCAGGGTGGGATTTTGGCCGCAGGCACGCAGGAGGTCGCCTAGGGATTCGAGGGCAACACGGCCATTGCCACGCTTGTCATACAGCGAAAACGCCTCTTTGTAGTTGGTAGAAGTCTGTGCAGCAGAGGATTGAGGATTAGCCATAATGAATTATGATTCAGGGTGACACTTGGGGATGGAGGGGAGAGGAAGCAGAGTGAGATGGTTGTGGTTGTGGTTGTCGTGTCTTTGTTTGTTGGTTCACGGCAACGTAAATGATCGACCCTGGTTCCTCTGCGGAAAATTCCTGGGCGAATGGGAGGAAAGAACTCACCATTTTCCAAATCTGAGTTCTCCCACAGCGGTGTTTCCTACCAAAGCACTCGACTTGCTCTTTGCTGGAGTGATCTTGTCTTTGTTGTTCGAGTCGAAATACAGTCGCAGGTCGGTGTCAAGAGGTGGAAGATAACACAGATGGCTCCTGAAGCCAGATGGCGCGTGCACAGGCCCTTTCTGTTGACACTAGTTCCTGCGTGGCCCTCGACCAGAAACCCACTCCATCGGCCCCCGTCTCCCAGCAACGGTTGCCAACAGCCAGCCTCATTCATCACCGCCTCGAGCCCCTCCCTTTCGGCTCCCTAGCATGAAAATCACGTTGGCTATCACGATGCATACCCTCAGAATCTTCTGCTCCTTCTTGGGCAGCAGCCGGAAGAGGAGGCTCATCTGGTCTTGGACGCTCTCTGTAGGGCTCTCCGCCTCATCCTAGAGAGAGGGATTCGCAAGTTTTGACAGGGCTTTTACCGATCACCGGACTGGCTGGGCCATCAAGTACCCCTATTGTCTACGAGCACGCGAGTACACGACCTCCTCCTCTCCCTCGTTTCTAATATGCTGTTCAGTGGCAACCAGGTCCTCAACCTCTTCTTCCGGGCTTCACATGGTATGGCGGCACCACACCCGTTTATTCCCTCAACCATGAATATTATCTCACACTTCCTGATTGGGTATCCCAGGCGTCCAATATGAGGAGGGCTCCGTCTACCACCCATTATGTCACGTCTTCGGACTTAACTCGCCTGGAAGTCGTTGGTGTCGTTGGGTCGGACAACAATTGTACAAGGCCCAGAACAGCCCCCTAGACGGCCCCCGGTGGTAAGACCGAACTTCAAATAACAGGTGCGCCGGTCATACATCGCTTATGGGGTTGTCTCCTTTTTTCCCCCATCAAGGCTACACGCGGAACTGAAATGCCTGTCCATTGCAACCTTGGTCTCCTGTCCACGCAAGTGTTTGAGGAATTCCTTCTCTCCACATGATCGTCCAAAGTCGGTTACTTATGCCTCTCAAGCAGTTTCTAAATCTAGCCTATGTCACAGCCTAAACGTGCTCGGGTGGGTAATCGTGGAGGAAGCGTGATATCTCGACGAACTACTGTCCATTTGGCATGCGACGTATCTTTTATCCCTGCCATGTACCCTTGCTCCTTTACAAGGTAGGGACTTTACTCGGCCAGTCAGATTGGTATTGTCATTGCGCCATCAACAACAGCCCTTGCCATTAGCCCCATGTTGGCCGCATGCATTGATATAGAAGCGACGTGGACGCCCGTTGAGAGTCTCAGCTTTCAAGCAGCATACACTCAATTGCACATAACTTGACAGGTGTGAAGACAACTCCACCCTCTATCTCGATCCTGGGACTATTTCAACACAGTCAGTTGACATAACCCGACATCGCATCCTCAACGAGCACTTTACAGAGCTACACTTGGACGAATCATGTCTTCTCCCTCGTCGCCTGTTGTTGAAAGGCCTGCTATGGCTGTCCACAGTCGCCAGCACTCTTCTTCTCAGTCTTCCGTCAACACCCTCCGAAACACACCCACCTCGTCCAGCTGGGCCTGTCCGTCATCAGAAATGCATTCCAAACTCACCAAACAAATGCAGGCCCGCTCCAACAATCAACAACGTTGGCAGTCCTGGCAAGCCAAGCAAATTGAATGCTTCCAAGGTGCGGCGATGGAGGCAGGAAAGGACGCCAAATCAAGCAAAGGATTCACGTCGAAGCGGCCGCATATCCACCTGGACAGCATTTCGAGGGGACTTAGGAGACTGAGGGGTTAAGGATGGCAAGGGGGCGCAAGTGAGACGGACACGCTACACCAGACGCAGTCTCACTAATCGGTCTTGCATGCGAGGATCAGTGGCGACGAGCGAACAACACCGCCTCGTATGCCCATGGATGAAGACAAATGGAAGCCTTCGTGGAAGTGTCGGAGGCATTTCTCTCCCCGCAACTCCCACTTTCATCTCGGTCCTTTGGGGATGCTTACCAACGGATACCAAATGCGCCGCCCATTTAGCCAGAATGCCAACCCAACTTCAAGAACCTCTCGCCCATGGAAGAAAATCACGTCACGCGAGTACAACAATATCTGGGCTACGGGTCCAGAGACACAGAACCGCAGCCTGTGCAAAATAGGCATTTCGGTAACTTGTCAGGGACCCTGGTCTGCGTGACCAGTCAATGCTCTTTGCAAGTCTACACCGGCAAAATGGTCTGGCGCATTTTTACCAAGAGGCCAACTTTGGGGAAGCGCAGAGCACGAGCATAACGTCTCATGACTGATTCCACCCCGCAGTCAAGCAGGGAGTCATGATATCGTATATCGTATATCAATGCCAGGACGGTTTGAGAGCACCAGGATAAAGGCACACTTGCATGGGTTGACCACGGTTCAGACATCTTTATAGCATCAGGAATCTACTGTACAATAACCCCAACTCGCTCTTACGAATTTACATTCAGCCCCTCTCTCGATACTCAGCATCGCAGTAACCACATGTGGCCGAGCGTTCCGGTCGACCACCAAGTCACAAAAGGTGATAGAGAGTACAACCCTTTCCTACATGTTTGCCGTTGACTGCTGGATTTGGATGGCCGCCATCAGGAAAAGAACACGCGGGGTGAAGTGCCAGGGCTCAATTGACGATCCATGTGGCATGGCTTTATGCAACATAGTAAGTTCTTCTTGTCGATTCGCTCGGGGTCTTGTGGCGTGCTCCCAAAACCAGTCTCTGGACACGGAAACCTGAAGGAGGAACGCACCACTCTCTCATGTCCTGTCCCTTCATGCACGAGCATCGATTTCACCCGCACCGGACTGAAGGACTCCCTTGCCCTTGTCTTCAGTCTTCAGTTTACTTTTGCCGTGGACGCCCTCGATCCGGGCATGGATATGCTCCTCCGCGGTCCTCCCGGCTCCGGCATATCGCGGCACCCACCCCTGTTTCTCCATACCCTGCATGGGCACAAGAACGGCATCCTTGTCCGGATGTAAAAAGTAGGCAAAGGTGTACCGATCAAGCCCGCCTTCCGTCGCCGTGGGGACGACACGGTGCCAGGTGCTCTTCAACTTGCCTGCCGTCCAGAACTCGAGCATGTCCCCGATGTTCACCAGGATCAGGTCGGGCAGAGCGGGTGCTGGTGTCCAGGTTTCCGTGTCCAGAGACAGATCTGGGGAGGTGTATTTGGGCGGACGCACTTCGAGGCCGCCCACGGTGGTTTGGAAGAGAAGAGTCAACGTACCCCAGTCCGTGTGCGGCGAGATGCGGAATGCCGGAACACGTTGGGAAGTATCCGAGCCGGCCGTGACGGGGGGATAGTGCATCAACTCGAAATTGTCGAAGTTCTCCTTGTCCGGGCCATGGTACCGAGCGAACGTCGTCTGCGGGAGATCGAGCGCCAACGCCATGAGTTCGAGGAGCTGCTTGGTGAAGACACGGACACGCTGTTGGAAGGAGAAGATCTGTTGGCGTGCGTCGTTGAGGATGGGCGGAAGGGCCGCTGCCGTGGCGTGCTCGACCGTGGGCCATTTGTTGATGCTGATGGCCTCACGAGGATCGGTGAATCTGGCATCCGCGCTGCGTGACAGCTCTTGTGTTAAATGCCGTCAGAAAGTCATTTTCGCGCAAAAACTCACCCATACGAGCTGGCGGGTTTGTAGCCGGCGTTCTTGGAGGCAATGTAGGGTGCTTCGAGCTTGGCCGAGAGCGGCTGAGCGAAGAACCGTCTCTCCTGTGATGCTTGTCAGTGTGACGCCAACTTGGCTGTAGGAAAGTACAACCGCCAACATATATCTTGACGGGGAGATGGGAGACAACCCTAGTGCAATATTCTTCCCAGGGAGGGAGGGTCTTTGTTCCTCGTTCTACTATATATGCATATCAAGACGAGAAGTTCGAGGCATCTCCAAGACACAAACCGTATGGGACAACAACAGTACGGCAGAAGATACTCTCCTGAGAAGACGACTTACCAGGTCAAAGATGCCGTCAATGGCGTCCTGGGGGATCGGATGGTTTTTGACAAAGAAGAAGCCTGGATGTGATAGGGACAGAAGATCAGCACCGGGCCACATGGCACCCTTGTTCATGTCAGGACGCTCACCCCAGTCTGTGCACGCTCTGAGCAGCTCCCTGGCCACCTGGTCTGGCGACGACGAGGCCTGGGTGAAGTCGATGATGGGGATGTCAGTGCCAACAGCCATAGCAGTGGGATTGGGGGGGTTGCAGAAACAGATGGATGATACGAGGACAGACGGTGCCGCCTCCTGTCGACTATTCTTCTAACTACGGAGTACAGTAGGATGACTATTGTGTACAGTAACTCGGCAAGTCGTCGTGCGTATCTGCGAGATAGCCAAGTAATGGCTGTGTGTCACATTCACGAGCCTACCCACGAGCACCGGTTCGCAGGCGTGTCGATTGGCGAATAATGAATAAACGGGCCACGAGCCGGATCAACGGGCGGGGATGGCGGTGCCTGTACATGACAAGATACTGTAGGTGCAAGCAGCTAATAATAAGGCACCCAGGCACCTTACAGTACTGGCTCGCCGGGTACCCGGGTACATGTACCTATTATTTGCATTTCCACCAAGGGGACTGTAGCATCAATCAGGTCGAGCTCGACCGAGTACGCAGCTGCCCTCTTCGTCAACGAATATTAATGGTTATCTTCAGCCCAGAACAATTCTCTCTGGCTCAATCATTGCTTTTTGTCTTGATAGGGGCCAAATCTCGAAGCCCCTTGATCCTTTGTGGCAAGTTGCCGCCTAGTGCCGTGGAGTCTCTCTCGCCCTGATGGTCAAGAGATAAGAGTCCCTCCTCTGGCCTCGTAAATGCCTTTGGTCACCGATCCCGCCTCTCGGGGTTGGCCGAACTTCATCTCCTCTTGGCTCCTAGGATACAGGAAACAGGCCGGTCAGAAATCGAGACGCCCGCCCTCCATCCAAGCAAATGCCTAGAAGAGCTTGAGCAGGCTTGATGGTGTGGCCAAGTTCAACCCCTTCACCTTTTCAATCATGATCTTCTCGCCAAGCGCCCATCTCGACCAACTCCTTGCCGTGCCATCGAGATTGAACGCAACCCTACAAGGAATATCAAATACTCCTGGTGCTCTCATTGGGGCGTGAGTCAGACCAAGATGTCTTGTGGTTGCGAGGGATCCAGCTTGACGCACCGTGTGGTATGGCACCTTTCATGACCGTGGTTCCCCTTGACAGTGGTGACCCCGAGCTCTCGTCCGTACGAGTACCTATACATATGTATTACTATCTTCTATCCCACAGCACCTCGCGAGTCGCAACGCCCTCAGGACTCCTATCAGGTCCTCAGCCGTTACAACAACACCCCACGACGTGGACTGCCGAGATAGCTCATCCTAACAAACCACCCAGTACGCGGACCAGTTCCCCAAGGGAGACCATGGCCCGCGCATTGCTGCATCGAAGATGTGGCGCTGGCCGGCCATGCGAGACTCCTGACTGGATCGCCCTTATCAGAGGCTCGCCTGGCGTTTCCCACTTGATCTCTCGGCCTGTGCAATCCCGTGCAATCATCGGCTCTCTCCGCGTTTCTCACTCGCTAACATCTTCGAGATCATCCTTCTGTGGAGATGCAGAGTCGTATTTCCACCCCCCGGAACGGGACTCGCCCGTTCGAACGACACCCTTCTGGTCTTCCGGGCGTGAGTTTAACGAGGGTAAGATACGATCAAGCTCGCGAAGCAAGACCTTCGTGCGTGGGACGGCGTCAAGCGTTGCGTCCATTCGTTATCTACAGTCGCACCCTGCTATATTTAATGTCTGTTGGTTGCCCAGGTGTCGCGTCTCCGATCTTTGTGTGACTGAGTGATTCTCATTCCTTTGCCCTTTGCCTGCACGGCGACTGTTGTTTCCAGTGAGGGCACGAAAAACACCCCTTTGTCGTCACTAACATGGCCTCCATTGAGCCTACCAACTCCTCCTCCGGGACGCCGTCAAAGGATGTCGATATTGAAAAGCTCCCCGGCGTCAACGAGACGATCGAACCCGAAGTCCGCCATGGCAGTGTCACGCCAGCCTTTGAAGTCGCAAAGGCAAGACATATTCAGACCAGCATTGCGCCTCTCCGCTGGTTGAGCAGGGGCGAGGAATGGCTGGACGAGAAGATGGGCATCGAAACCCAGGGCATTGACCGGATCCCGGAAGAAGAGAAACGCCCACCCGCCCTCATCAACACCTTTTTCATGTGGTTTTCCATGACCTGCCACGTCGGCACCCTGCCGCTCGGTGTGCTGGGTCCTGAATTTGGCTTGACTCTCGGTCAGTCTGTCTCGGCGGTCGTGGTGGGCACCATCCTCGGAGCTCTCTGTACAGCATATACCGGCACCCTCGGTCCTAAAACTGGTCTTCGTCAGATCGCCACCTCTCGATATTCGTTCGGTTTCTGGGGTGCCAAGCTCTGCAGTGTGCTCAACGTGATTGTCGGCGGTGGATTCGCGGTGGTCAACGTGGTCGTCACCGGCCAAATGCTCAGTGCCGTGTCGGACTACTCGATGACGATTGCCGTGGGGTGCGTGATTGTCGCCGTGGTTTCGTACGTGGTATCGGTCTTTGGCTTTGCCATCATCCACACGTTTGAGAAGTACAGCTGGATTGTCTCCTTCATTCTCCTCTGCGTCTTGATCGGTCAGGCTGCGCCCCATGTCGGTCCCAATGCGCCTGGATTCCCTGCCTCCAACCTGGAAATTGGTGGTTCGTGGCTCAGCTTCATGGCCATCTGCTTCTCCAGCTCGTCCGGCTGGTGTTCCATCGCTGCCGACTACTATTGCAACTACCCTGCCAACACCAAGTCGTGGAAAATCTTCTTCCTCACCTTGGCCGGTATCACCATCCCGACCGTGTTTGTGACCGTCATTGGTTCCTGCATTGGAAACGCTGCCATCTTGAACGCATATCCCCCTTATTCGGATGCCTATAACAACCATGGCCTGGGTGGCTTGCTGCGCGAGATCTACCATCCGGTGGGTTGGGCCAAGTTCTGCTTGGTGATCCTCACCTTCAGCGTGCTGGGCAACAACATCGCCATCAACTACTCCTCCGGTCTCTCCATCCAACTCCTGGGTCACTACTTCCACGCCGTGCCCCGATTTATCTGGTCCTTCTTGGTCGCCTTGGTCGTGGCGCTGCTCGCCATTGTCGGAAAGGACCATTTGTCGAACATTGTCTCCGATTTCGTGTCCTTGCTGGGCTACTGGACCATCTCCTTCACGCTCATTCTCCTGATCGAGGACCAATATTTCCGCAAGCGATCGGGCGAGGGCTACAACCTCGAGGTTTGGGATATGCCCGACAAGCTGCCATGGGGTGCCGCGGCTGTCTTTTCGCTGTTGGCAGGCTACCTGGCGGGTGGTTTGCCCGGCATGGCGCAAGTTTGGGTAAGTGACTCCGACCAATGCCTCTTTTTTTCCGTCGGTTCCATCGCTAACGAATCATTGCAGTATGTCGGCCCTATCGCCGCCAAATTCGGACCGTTCGGTGGTGATGTCGGTATTTACATGTCTGGCGCCATCACTGTAGTCTGCTATTTCCCCTTGAGATATCTGGAGAGGAAGAAGACGGGACGGTAGATATGCTACCTGTGGGTATAGCAGCGTTCTAGAAAGCTAACTTTTTCACCACCTCACGTTTGTGTACCTGATAGCCTCAAAAAACCATCTAGCATCCCTCTAATAGCAGCTCTCATTGGCCTGAAGCTGCCTCATAGCGGTCGGAAGCAACATCCCGCCCAAAAAGAAAAATCCAGATTCCATTTCTTTGCTCGTTGGACGCTCTTTGGCTCTTTGGTTTCTCGCCCTTGGCAATCTGCTCACCTGTGTTCCGTCTTCCCGTCACCATGGCGAGCAACGAAGGAATCAGAACCGTGCCCTCCGCAGTACTCCAGGCTCTCCTGCGTTGTCATCCTGGGTCGATTCTCGGAACCGAGGCCTTAGTCTCTCTGTGTCTCTCTTCGCCCCTTGCTTCTCGATCGTGGACACGGCACGTTCCACGTGGCAAATCCGATACTCTGGTTCCCTCGAAACGCTTCCGCACAGAGTTAATGCAGAACTGACCAGGATTGGGTCTGGATTGCGCCAAAGCCAGGCGGTCTTCTCTTCTGAACCCCTGTTATCGCAGGCTAAGGGGTGCTGACCTCCGCCCCGTCGAACCAACAGCAATCAAGGAAGAGAGGATATGGATCGCCTCACCTGCGAGAAAGCGCATGGCCAGCCAACGGTGAATGCCCATTTTCTCGTGGTCCCAGACCGAGATTTCCCTGAAAACGCTGATCAAGCAACGATAAGATTGCTCTTAGTCGCTGCCACCGCCGGCGCTGGGGACTTTCTCCTTCGAACAACTCGTCGTGGCTAAACTTCTCCGCATCTTCGAGCCTCAATAGGCATGGTGCTTCCCCGTAAGCTCGCCGCCAGACTTGGCTGGCTTGCTTGATAACGGACTTCTGCAATCCTGCCATCCTGATAGGCATCATCGCTGTTGCCCTGGACAAAGCTATCACCGTATAGTGCAGAAGTCCGAAATGAGTTGACACCTCTCTCAGACGCGCGCGAGCATGCATAACTACATAACACCGAAGATCAACGGCTCTTCCAGGATGTCGGCCAGTCTCAGGTCTCCCTCCACTCTTCCTGCCCCGGGGCATCTTCCCTCTTCACCATGGCTACTACCGTTGAGAAAGCTTCGGCACAGATGGATGTCAAGGATACATCTACTCCATCAGACCCGCCTTCCATTACGGAAGGCGTTCAGGACAACGTCGGCGTCGGCGTCGTCCTGACCCATGACGAATACCATCTGGCCACCCTGGGTTACAAGCAAGAGTTCATCCGGTCCCTGGGCTTTTTTGAGAGCTGGGCAGCGACCTTTACGTCGATGAACTTCATCTCCGGCATCCCCGTCCTGTTCGGCTGGGTTTTATACACCGGAGGACCCCAAGCGGCCTTCGCGAACTGGACGATGGTGGGCGGCCTGTCGTGCGTCGTGAGCTTGGTGATGGCGGAGCTGGCGGCGGCCCTGCCCACCACCGGCGGCATCTACTTCTGGAGTTACCGTCTGGGCGGACAGAAGTACGGGCCCTTCCTGAGCTGGATGACGGCCTGGTGGAACTGGGCGGGCTGGATCACCGTCGTGCCCGGCGTGCAACAAGGCTCGACCAACTTCCTGGTCTCGGGCCTGATGATCAAGTACCCCGACGCCGAAGTCCTCCACAAGGGGTGGTTCCTGTGGCTGCTCACGAGCATCGGCATGATCTTCGCCATGATCCCCAACATCTACAACCCGCGGCTGCTGCGCTACTACTTCCGCTTCGCCGTGGTCATCTTCTTCTCCCTGTTCTTCATGTACTGGATCTGGTTCCCGATCAAGGCGTCCGAGAAGCATTTCAACAGCAGCCACGGCGCGTTTGGCTTGTTCTACAACGGCATCAACTTGGGAGACAAGAAGGAGGCCTCGGATGGCTACTGTTGGTGAGTTCTCGGCGTTGGGCCCTCTCCTCCGCCACCTCACGCATTCATGCTGACGTCGTGTAAAAAGGGTCATTTCTGTCCTGTTCGGAGCCTGGGTCTTTTACGGGTACGATGCATCGGCACATTTGGCCGAAGAAACCAAACAGGCCTCCACCGTCGTCGCCAAAGGGATCTACAGTAAGTCTCTCTTCTCATGTGTCATTCGGCGGGCGCTATGGACGACAAGAAACTGATAGATGTCGGCCAGTGTCCACTTTCTCGGCCTGGTTTCTGTCGATCCCGACCCTCATCATCATTCTCTTCTGCATGCAAGATTTCGACGGCATCATCTCAGCGACATACGCAAACAACTGGGCCGAGTACCTGGTGCAACTCATCGGTGAGAACGGCGCGGTCGCCATCCTGTCCCTGCTCTGGGTCGACAGCACGTGTGCCACGGCAAGCTGCTTCATGTCCGCCCAGCGAGTCACCTATGCCATCTCCCGCGACGGTGTGCTGCCCTTCAGCTTCTTCTTCAGGAAGCTCTCCAAGCGCAAGATGGCCGTCAATGCCGCGCTGCTCGTGTTTGTCATGTCTGTGGCGATCACGACGGCCGTCATCGGCTCTGCAGTCGCCTTCTCCGCCATCACCGCCACGGCCACCATCGCCACGAACTTCTCGTATCTGATCCCCATCGTCGCGCGACAGACCGTGGGACGCAAGTCGTTTGTGCCGGCCAAGTGGAATCTCGGAAAGTTTTCCGCTCCGCTGGCCGTGGTGGCCAGTGCGTACATCCTGTTCCTCTTCGCGGTCCTTCTCCTGCCGCAACTGTACCCGGTGGACGCCAACACGCTGAACTATGCACCCATCTGCATCGGGATCATCACCATCATCAGCTTGGTGGGATGGTTCCTCCCCGTCTGGGGTGCCATGCACTGGTTCCAAGGTCCGATCAAGACCATCTCCGAAGAAGAGTTTCGAAATGCCCGGGTCGAAGGAGGCGTGGCGACGGTCGAGGAAGGAGACGCCGCGGCAAACTTTGAGTACGGACACCGGCGGAAGAGCGTGTGAGAAGACCTTGTAGTTTGAGATGAGTGTGGAGGTAAATAGGATTGCACAATAAATGAGTAACAGATATATCATAAAAACCAGGCGTGGACGGCGACATCGGTGGGGACAGAACCATTCATTGCCCGAAAACCACAAGAGAAAGTGTCTCCAACGAGAAGGTAGGTATAACATATAGTACTGGAAGTAGTTGATGCCCAGCCTTGTGCCAAATGTGCTTTTCCCATCCGTCCAAATTTTGATGACAACAACCAAGTTGCGATGCCAACCGATGGATGCAATGCTGTCTGTTGGCATACAGACCTGCTTGACCCTCTCAAACACATTCATGCCTCACCACAGTTCACACACCGGTTCCTTCTTCGCACACTGGAAACTCTCCCTGAAGTCTCGAGAGTTGGCCATCGTTCCTAGAATCCTCGCAAACTTGGGCGCATGGGGATCCAAGTAGATGCGTTGAATGGCCGTTTCTTTTCGGGTCTTTCCGCACCACCAATTGGCATAGTTCACAAAAAACAGCTGCTCCTGCGTGAAGAAATCCAGGCCGGGAAGATCCTGGTTTGGCTTCTCCGCCGCACGCTTCTTCCATGCCGCGAATGCTGCAGAGAGACCTCCTGCATCGGCGATATTCTCGCCCAGAGTCAATCGACCATTGACATGGAGCGGTTTGTCGTCGGGTCCCGGTACAGAGAAGTTGGAGTACTGCTCGACGAAACACTCGGCGCGCTTCTTAAAGTTCTCGACCGTCTTCTCCGTCCACCAGTCGGTGAAATTACCGTTCTGGTCGTAGTGGCGACCGGTGGAATCGAAAGCGTGAGAGAGCTCGTGGCCAGAGACCGAACCGAAGGCGCCGTAACTGAGATACTGGGGGACGTCGACATCAAACACGGGGAACTGTTCGGGTTAGCTCTCTGAATGTGCATTTGAACCCCAGTAACTGACCTGCATGATCCCGGCTGGGAAAACGATTTCGTTGCCCGGAGGATTGTAATCTACAAATTAGCAGGGTAACAAGGCAAAGGCGCGAACTAAACAAGCACATACATGCGTTCACAGTCGGGACAGTCATATCCCTGCGAAATGGTTAGCACTTTGCATCCAGAAATATCGACCAGAAGCCGTAACGAACCATTGATTCCGGTCCACAGGCTTGCCGAGGGCCGCCCACTCACGGGCGAGCTCGGCACGGATGACGGACACTGCATTGCCAAAGTACGACGAGGACGTAATGTTCACAGGAGCGTAGTATTTCTTCAGACTGACGGGATCCATAATGTTTGGGCTCTGCAGACAGATGATCTCAGTGCTGTACAACCGTGGTTGATGATGCTTGACCTACCTTGTCTGGATATCCAATTTTTTGGACAATGTTGTGGACCTTGGAAATGGCCAGCTCAATCACTTCCTTTTCCATCCACTCAGTGACCTTGAGCTTCTCGATAAACTGGTCCTTGATATCGGACACAATCTGGTCGCCGAATTCTTTGGCTTTGGCGGAGAAGGCTTTCTCGACAAAGAAGCGGCTCAGGATCCAGCCCACGCCAAAGTCGACATGGGACACGCACGTCCTCCACCGTTCCGGTTTTGTTTCTGGATCCTAAGGCGTGTCAACATGGGAAGAAGAGCCTGGGAGGAAGTGTACTTACCTTGCCCGCCAATTCGTTCGAAAATCTTTTGAGGGGAGCAACAGCATCGGCCTCAATGAAGCTAGCATATGACTGGACTGCCTTCCAGATGAAGTACGAGTGCAGTGTCTGCTGCGGTGTGTCATCCAGCAGTTTACTGAGCTTCTTCATATATTCTGGAGCCATGACTATAACTCGATCCAGTTTGTAGTCCGCAGGGACAAGACTGTCGAGAATTTCCGAGAGCTTCAGTTGTGGAGTGAGAGCATCTGCATCGGCCAGAGACATAGGGTTGTAGTATTTCTGCACAGTATGTTAGTCCGTTCGGAGTGTGAGGACAAACTTCTTGCTCACCGTAACGTCGTTGCGGTCTTCAGCACTTGGTGAGGCCTTTGCGAGCTGCTTCTCAAACTCCACCAAAGCATGAGCATCCACTGCAGACGCAGCAGCTTGCTCGTGGAGAGCTGAAAGCACTTCCGAGGCCGTCTCCTCGTACTTCTTCACGAGCTTTTCGTCTTCGTACATTTCCTGTGCCGGCAGTCCGACACTCCACGGAGCTGAAATAGAGACGACCACGGTGTCCGGGTCCTTGTCGTCGGCGCCAGTGTCAGCAGATATCACCGTCGACATTCCCGTCTGGAGCATAAACAGGATGGTGGAAGAAAGGTTGCCGGACGAGAAATGGTTCGAAGTGGCGTTGACCATATCGACTAACGGGGCCACCCCAAGTTTCTTGATGGTGTCCTCATCCAAGCAGGCATCATAGGCAGCTTTAAGCTTGTCGAAGTTCTCCTTGTCAACAGAGCCAGTCGCACTGTCGAGCGCGGCAGGAGAGAAGTAGGAATGCTAGTGCACATATCAGCATGGACCAAACCCATCGACTTGCAACCAGGAACTCACCGCAGACAATCCGGGATATGGAGCTTCGAGAATGTGGCGGAGCAACATCTGAGAATTCTCAGACATGATGGTGCCAGTAAAGGCATCACCTTGGTCGGGGCGCAGATCGTGACGGTCCCGCCACCCTCCGCACACGAGTTCCTCGAAGTCGGTGCACGGATCGAGGGTCTTGTAGTCGGGCGACAGGTTGTAAAGCAGCTCGGACGAGGCATGAACACACGCAGGAGTGAGGCAGACATCGGCCTCGTTTCGTTCTGGCTCCTTTTTGTCCGCTTCAGATGGTTAACGACTACTCCTCCCCAGCTTCACAGCACGACTCACCATTGATCGAGAAGGACCAGCTGTTGGGCCAGGGGGTTATATTCGATAGAAATTGCCTGAGAGAAAACCCGGCAAAAACAAGCCATATCACGAAGAGGGCCATGAACGCGGCAAAGGAAGGCCAAGAGAATGGCTTTTGACGAGGACGGCCGCAAGAAGAGCAGCGGTGGGCGGGAGGGGGGGCATTGCTTTCTTCATCGTGAAGCAGCGGTGCCTTTTCGCCAATGGGATGATGGCGACTTGACGATAGATGGCGACCCATCGTGGCAGGAGAGTCGTGCACAGAATGAAGATGAGATGAGGTTCGAGTTTGAAGAAACATGTTTTGGAGGTGGTGGCGTGTTGGTTGCTGTCCAACGCCGTGATTAGTGAGTCAGTGCCACCAGGGGCGGAAGCGCCCTTAACACTTGCTAGGCGTGCCCATAAGAGCTTCCGAATGGGCACGGTAAGCTTAGAGCTTCCCCGCACCGGGGAGAGCAACAACGGGTACAGTAGTAACTGTACCAGCTAATACTCGAAGCTAGTGGGCTAACCACCTGCAGTTAGCGTGGGCAGCCCGCCCCTAAGACGTCCCAAAGTCCATCGTAGGCGCCATTTCCTCGAAGTGTATACTGTATTAATATCACAAAATACTTGGCTCTGTCGACTCTCGGACCTTGAGAGATATTAATACTGTCCAAGTAGAGCCACATACGGTACCTGCCTGACATCGGCCAAAGTACAGGAACATCCATCTCTCTACGCCATGTCGGGCCTCTGCTAAAATGAAAGTGCCTGGACATCTTCACCAGTCCTATTACTTACTCTTCGAGATGAAGACTCTGTTATATCAGACCGTCACCGAGTGAATGTATCGAGATAGAAGGAGGATGATACAGTAGTGCGTATATGTGTGGCTTGGTACCTCGTACTCGGTACATTATTATGTAGTTATGAGTCCCGGGGGAAACTTAGACGAGCCCCTTATTCTCCACCACCTCGTCGACGTCGTCCTACAGTATCCTGTCTCTACCAACGACAAGGATATGCATCGACAATCAACCCTCTCCCTTCAATGGCCCCTAGACACCCCTCGACCTCCTCCCTGCCAAAGAACTGGCCCAAAGCATCATCTATCTGTCAACACTGCACATCCCGCCCCCTCTCACCCCAGGCCTCCTCCAAACCAGCACACTTCCACCGTCTTCTCTCCCCATCATCCCCGCCGCCAGTGCACTCACCAGCCCGTGCCCTCTCGTGCAGATCAAGCCCATAACCGACCCCTCCCACCCGGCGTACACACAACACGGACTTTTCGCGACGCGGGCGCTCGCCCCGTCGTCCTTCGTGGTCCTCTATCTCGGCTGTCTGCACTACTCGTCGTCGTCGTCGTCAGACCCGGCGTCGGACTACGACCTCAGCCTGGACCGGGAACTCGACCTGGCCATCGACGCGGCGCGGTGCGGCAACGAGGCGCGCTTCATCAACGACTACCGCGCCGGCGTGCGGCCTGAGGGGCCCAACGCCGAGTTCCGGGATTGCTGGATCGAGCGTCGGGTTTCCGGCGGGAGCACAGCGTGGGAGAGGCGGATCGGCGTGTTCGTGCTGAGTCCCGGCAAGGCGGGGAGGGCTGGGAAGGACGGAGGGAGGAGAGCCAGGGGGATCGCCAAGGGCGAAGAGATCGTGGTCAGTTACGGCAAGGGCTTTTGGAAGGCCAGGCAGTGCGAGGGAATGGGCCAGTCCGAGTCAAAGGACAAGGTGAAGGAGGGAGGCTGAGACTCGGGAGCGAGGGAAGCATCTCGACGGCTCCGTGTCACGGCTCAGTGTATGGAGGGATCTTCCACCTTCTCGATATCCGACTTCCAGGAACATCTCCCTCTCAAACCTCAAGCCGACGTCATTCGCAAGTCAGTATCGGTTGCAAGAATTGTTACGCCTGCATGTCCGTCAATCTTTTGGCAGTCCTATCAATCTCTATCAAGGGAATTATATGTACTAGGTACGTCCCCGCAATGCTCGTGTCGATCTAACGACCAACACCATCATTGGGGCTCTGGGGTCACTTGATCACATCGAACCCCTGGAAAACAAGCGCTCACACCAACCAAACTATTGGAACTCCTTCCGTCTCCTCACCCGCACTTTGGCGCTCATCGGCGGGACGTGGTTTGGTCCCACCCAGTAACTCTCGGGCCGGATGCCCTTGCCATTCCAGTTCCCGCCGAGTCCTCCTTCCATGACCATTTGGATCTCATACCGCGACAGCAGATACGCGATCAACAGCTTCAGTTCCTGCGAAGCGAAGAATCTTCCCGGACAGGCGTGTCGACCATGCCCAAACCCGAGGTAGGAAGGGGAGGTGGCGATGAAGGAGAGGTGGGCTTTGTCCAGGTACTCCTTCTCCCGTTCTGCTTTGTCTCTATCACCGTCCCCGACACCGCTCGAGATCTTGTCTCTCAACTCGACGAACCGAAAAGGCTTATATTTGTCGGCTGCCTCGTAAAGGTTGTCGTCATTATGGCACCCCCAACTGTGCGTGGCGACCATACAGCCTTCGGGTAAATGTGTGCCATCGGGCGTCGTGACACCACCAGGGGCAACGACCTTTTGGTTCACACCCACTCCGATGATACTCGCGCGGCGGGAACTCTCCCGGAGAGCTGAGTCGAGGTAGTGCATCTTGGCGATAGCTGTGCGTGACCACATCCTCGAAGTCGGTCCAGACCCTGCATCTGGCTCCATGTTGTCCAAAGCCTCCTTCCGCAGCGTTTCCAGGACGCGCTCCTGGAGTGGTGCAGCAAGGATGTCCAGTAAGGCGTTGGTACCGATGAAACTGGTCGTGTGGACGGATGCAAAGTTTACATGCAGAAGACGCGCACTGATGATTTGCGGATCGGTTTCGTCGGGTGAGTTATATGATTTAGTGAGCGAGCGGGTCAAGAGCCATTGGAGGAAGTCGTTCTTCACGGCGTCTTCGGTCTTGGAGTCGCCGGTGGATTGCTGGAGGCGTTGACGCCGAATAATCTCAGGCCTAAGGATTTCCGTGTATTCACGAGTGTGCTTGCGGTTGAACCTTGTCGCTATTGGGGCGACCAGAGAGCGGATGATGCCGGGGAAGAGTCGCAGGACCGTTGCCGAAATGGCAATGTCTTCGGCGAAACCGATTGCGTTCTTGAGGTATTGCTCATCACGACCTGCGATCAAAGCCGGGTTAGCGTGCAGTACCAGGCGGACCCATCCTACACATTGCCAGCCCTTTACCCATCCCTGACAACCCACCATTCGAGCAGAAGAAGAGAATCTACTCACAAAGCGGCAACCCGACAAAGACCCTGTTGGAGATCCTGGCGATGATCTTGGTGAGACTGTCAAAGAGCACGACAGTCTTCCACCCTTCGGCGTCATAGTATTCAAAATCAGGATCAGCTTCGCTGCCCCAGATCTGATCCACTGCCGCGGCCAATTCGTCGCACACTTCGGGCGTGACGTTGAAGACTTGCCTGGTCAACTCGGACTTGATGACGTCTGGCGAGGGACAGGAGAAATGTCAGCCATGGCTGAAGCGGAGAGTGGACGGTCAGAAATCGAGATATTCCCGGAGATATACGTACCGAAATGAACCGTGGGGTCCATAATCTCAGGCCTAGGAAAAGTGTATCGGGTCTGGAGGATATGCTTGTGCGCGCCGTTGACGCTGAGGACGTTGTCGGGCTGGGCGATCAGCCAGGGCGTGTTGGAGGGCGGCAGAAGAACGACCTCGCCGTCGAGGGTGGCGAGTATACAGGGCTTGTTGTGGCGGGCATACTGTTTGGAGAGTTATTAGGTTGGCGGCTGTGTGCAGGCGGTTGTAGTGGGTGTAAGTTGCTGAAGAGAATGAAGCAGTGCAGTGGGACAGGCGTGAAAAAGAGAGGAAATTGATCATAGAGAACGAATATTACAGCCTGAGCAAGGGCATCGTTCTCCTTCCCTCTTCTCTCTCGTCTCGTCTCTTCTTCTCCTTTCCTGCTCTCCCACCCGCCGGAAAGCACAACAAGGAGAAGTAAGGATACAAATTAAACAAGCAAACAAACAAGCCTACCTGCTCATACGCCCTCCGGAGGGCCTCCTCATAATTGACCGAGCACCACAGCCTGGTCCTCAGGCCGGGCAAGATCCAGGCCCTGTCGTTGCGGGCCACCCACGGCAGATCCGGCAGGGACGGGGAGGTGGTGCTCCGGCACCACCACCGGAGCAGCAGAAGCAGAGCGGCGGCGGCGGCGGCGAGCAGGGCCACCCACGAGGATGAAGGGGTGGAAGCCATGACGAGACCAGAATGAGCTTGAGCTGGTGCTGGTGCTGGTGCTGGGCGGCTGGGCGTGGTGTGGAGGCACCCTCCTTGGCTGGGCTGGGCTGGGCTGGGCTGCTGTCTAATTAGGTAGGGACGGGATCTTAAGGGGGGAAAAATCAATCATCCGCAAAAGGGCAGTAATTCAATTATCTGAACACTGAAGAAATTGGCAGTGCAGAAGAGTAAAGTGGTCGTCGAGAACGGAGAGAGAGAGAGAGAGAGAGAGGAGGAGAGGGAGAAAAAAGGGCTCACTCAAGTGAGGTAGCTGAGTATTAGAATGCAGTAGCAGTAGCTACCAAAAAAGTACCACGTAAGTAAATATATATATCTTCTTCTTTCTCTGCTGCCACAGTACCCAGTAGTAAGTATCCAGTAATACTCCGTACATTCTCTATCTTTTCGTCTAATAAACTCCCCTGGTTGCCCCCCCACGTGCCCGCCCGTCAATGAGACAAAGTCCACCTCTCCCAATATTAATAATTCTCACGCACAATCCACAATCTACTCGGTACAGTATCTACCTCGTACATCCACCACAGCTACTCCTACATCCCGCAACCGCAACCGCAACCTGCTCATCCGCCCAATAAGAGACCGCCACACACACAGCAGAGACGCAACTCGACACTCTCCCAAGCCGTGCCCAGACACAGCAGCAGCAGCAGCCGCAGCACGCGATCTTATCATGCATCTCTCTGTTTTCTGCCGGCACTTTGCCTAATGGTCTGATGGTTTGTGGTTTGATGATGCTGTCTCAATGCACAAGATGCGTGTCACCCGCTAACGCAGTCTTGACGGGCTAGAGGGCCGAGATACCACTATTATGCGGACATACAAGTCCGTCCATCTGAAGTGACACTTGGTGAAGCCAACGAGCACATCTCGGGTCGAACTACATAGTGGCAGCATCTCGGTTCTCAGGAGGGGACGGGCTCGACTCCTCCGGGACCGATGGTGCGGCCTCGTTCCAGACATCCCAGCACCGCGGCTGCAAAACATGGTCCCACCACAAGAAATGCGACATCAGAGTCTGGAACAGGATCCAGTCCAACAGTCGACCGTCCTCACGCAAGGTACACCCCAACTGCGCGACATACCATTCCTGGTGGACTGTCCCGTATGATGCCATGGTTCCCATAATTAGACACCAGAGCGTGAGCTCGCGTTCGGCCTTTGCTTCCAGGGTCTCGCCCGTGAAGAACAGTTCCAGCGCTTTCCGCAGGTCGTACGCAAGCTGCGACTTGACACTCACGGATTCGCCGAGCGGGAAAATCACTAGGTCGCTGTATATCAGTGCAGCAAGCCGGACCATGTTGTAGAGCGAGTCGTCATGTGAAGGCACCAGATCAGACGGCGGGTCGAGCGCGCACAGCTGGTGCTGCACGGCATTCCTGGCCATGCAGAGTTCCCTCATCGAGGGTGCGGTGGGACACTTTCGGTGATACAGATCGATGGCCAATGTGGTTCGGCATGCCAACATCAGGAGACGGCGGAGTCGAGCATCTTTCACGCAGGAGAAGCCGCGCCCCATCACCAGGGACAGTTGAAATGCACGCGGGTCAAGCACAAGGTCGTCAAATGCGTCCAAGGCGTGGTGCAGCTTGTTGGGCCACGGCCAAAGCGGACGGACGCCGAGTCGGGACGACACAAACGCGTCCGCACTAGATGGTCAGGGTCAGCATGACCGACTCAGAGCATGCCAAGGATGGAACGCACAAGCTGAAAACCTGCAAGTGATCAAGCGTCGAGAGACCTTCCAATCCACCTAGAGGCTCGAGGATGTGGTAGAATCGCTGGATCTGCTGGATTCTGCCCGGTGTCAATATCATGTTGTTGAAAAGGTGTAGATTCTGCCCCCGCGCCATGGGGGAAACTGGATACTTGGACGGGCCTTCCTCGTGAGTTCCCGCCGGCCACGTCACCAAAATCAGCGCCGCAACTATGCTCTCCCAGGGCGGCCCCGGGTTCTTTTGTAGTATCTCCGCAACTGCTTCGAGGGCCTTCCGTTCATGGTACGATACTGCTTGTGCTATGAGTGACCGAGATGGGTCTCCAGCCGGAAGCAGCCGGAGTCGGTGCCCCCCAGCACTGGCAATCTGTGCATGAAGAACAAAAGGATTCTCCCGCGCGCTCCTCGATCTCATGACCGCGTATTGTTCAGCGTCTTTCGGGTCTCGGTTCAGCACGATAGGCCAAACGAAGCGGTAGGCTGGGAAGATCGCGCGCGAGGATCAGTAACGCTCACAGACCCGACAGGATCCCGACACCCTACTGCATCACAAGGCCAGGGACACAAAACCGATCGGGGTCAGAGAAGGTGCCACTCACAATGGTTCAGGATATCGTAAATGAAAGGAGGGAGCCCACTAACTGAGGCGGTGTCGAAAGGATCGTGGTTACCCTGACCCAAGAGAACGCGGGGGGTCAACGTGTTTGGCGTGAGAGATGGCACAGCCGTGGTCTGCCGACGTCCGCGAGCCCGTGGTCGGACAGCCAGCTGCTGTTTGACGAGTGGAAGAGCCGGATCGTCACCGTCCTGTTGGACCTCTTCATCCGGACGACGACTGGATCTTTTGGAGGAGCGGCTTATCAAGCTGGCAGCTTCGTCTTCCGGCTGCTGAGCGGATCGCTTGAGTCTAGAGTTGCGAGCGGCATGAGCCCGACGATCGGCATCCTGGAGCTCTTTCTCCCTCTGCGAACGGGGCTGGGAAGTTAGAGACTGGTTCAGGAACAAAAACTCTCTCTGCGGGTCGGAAGCCATGCAGATAGATATGGTACGGCAAACCCGTCATGACGGGGGGAAGTGATTGATATCGTCCGCAAGATTGCCATTCACCAAGGAAGGAAGGTAGAATGAAGGGATCTGGGGATCGCATGACCCCAACTCTAAGCGACAAGGGCCATGTCGAAAACGGCGTGTGCAAAAGCCCAGAGGTGAAAGACCTGAACAGGGTTGAAAGCTCTGCTTCCCAGGTAAGACGCTGCCGGAAGCCGGGACGGACGCTGGGAATGGTTTGTGCAGGGGCTTTGATAATCAACACGGTTCGGACTGGTTTGGACTGCTATTTCTCGCTCTTTGTATGCCGTAGTAAGAAATGAGTCAGCGGCGGGTTTCGTCTTCCATTGGAGCGACGGCAATCGAATAGTTGATTCGGTTGTGTAATTTCAGATCATGCTCGACCCCTAATTCTACCGTCTGTCGGTTCGGCACTCGCCGTAAGGGCAGAGATTGCGTCTCGTTTGGGGTCAAACGTTCGTATGCTGTCTCATCAAAGATGACAATGCGGCGGTGAACCAATTGAAGGGCGCATTCCAGACGTGGGGCCGAGGCTGGTCCGGCTGCCATGGGGCAGTGGTGGCAGCAATCCGTTATACAAGTGGAGGTGTGTATATACACCCAGTATGGGAAGAGAAACGTAAGCAAGCCGCTCGCCTCGCTTGCACCCATCTTGCTTTTGTGCTTGGCGCCTTTCCTCCGTGAAACCCCCATGAAGAAGGGCTCGGCTACCGCGGGCGCAGGGAGCCGACGACAACGAAAAGATATGACAGTTGTAGCGGGAGCGTAGAAAAAAATGAACAAAAATACTCGGAGGTGTAATGGCTCCGCTTCTTCCTCGAGTTTTGACAGCCACAGCTTTTCTAAAGGAAGCAAAGCATCGTCGCGCCGGGGAAATGAAAGTTCGGGACTTGCCTGAGACCCAACTCGGGTATCTCTTCCTTTACGAGTCTCTCAGCCACCAGACGCGAAGGTTGTTGAATGCGGCGTATCGTAATACGTTTCCAACCCGGGCGAGTGCGCTCCTGTCCTGGTTTTGGGCGACTCTAGGTATCAGATGCTGCTTTGATCATATTTCAGGTCCGTCTAATCCACCTGTCCGACCGCCCAGGTTGTCCGTGTACGAACCTCCAGGAGAGAATCTCTGATCCAGACTCGATCTCCTGCAATTGCAACGTTCCTCAGTTGTTATCGGTCGAAGCCCCTGCTGGGCGTCGCGATAGAGATAATCGAGGCATTGTGCACCGCGAGTTTTAGGTGCAAGCCTGTCAATTCCACGCGAGCTAGTGCGACTTTGTGCTTGCCAACGAAGTGCATGCTGCGACTCGTGGCAATCACGAAGGCCCTATTTTTTCCTGAGACCATCTTCAGGATCTTCAGGATCTGCATTGCTTGTGAATGCCTCGTTGAATGATGATTCAGCTTAGCCATCGCACCAGCGACTCCATGAGAAGTCTTCTGTCCACAGGCTTGGCAATATAGTCGTTCATGCCTTCTGCGAGATACCCCTCTTCGTCTCCTTTCAACGCATTCGCAGTCATGGCAATTATAGGAACCACATGGCCAGCTTCTCGAATCTTCCGTGTGGCGGTCACACCGTCCATCACCGGCATGGAAATGTCCATCAAGATCAGGCTGTACGCCAGAGGCTTCTGGGTGACCATCCTCACCCCTTCGGCGCCGTCGGCGGCCACATCCACCTTCTCCAGGCCAAAGCTTCGCAAAAGGCGAACCATGATAGTTTGATTGATGGCGTTATCTTCGACGAGAAGTATGTGCTTCGTCCGCGCCAGTCTTTTGAGATCCGCTTCCAGCGACAACTTGGGGGATGGTTTGGCCGGTGAGACTTCGATTTTGTTGACCTTGGATGTGAAATAGAAGGTGCTTCCCTGGTTCTCAGGATTCCGCAGATAACCTACCATACCGCCCATGAGTTCGGCCAAGCTCTTGCAGATGGAAAGACCTAGTCCCGTGCCTTTGTATCTTTTGGTCGAAGAGGTGTCGAGCTGGGTGAAAGGGGTGAACAAGACATTCTCAGCCTCGGGGGTGACACCGATCCCGGAATCGATCACTTCTGTTTTTATGTCATACGAGGCGTCGTCCTCGTGGGTGAGAGCAACTTTGACGCGTACAAAGCCTCTGTCAGTGAATTTGATCGCGTTAGACACTAGGTTTTGTAAAATCTGGCGATAGCGGAGAGGATCTCCCTGGGCGAAGGTTGGGAGACGAGGATCCAGATCGATTTCAAATCTCAGGTTATCGGATGAGCCGATGTTGAAACACCGTCGGACGGCCGCAACGATTTCCGCAATGTTCATGACCTCCTTGTTGAGGGAAAAGGTCCCGGAGCTGAGCTTAGAATAGTCGAGGATGTCATTGATGACCTGCAACAGGATGGCTCCCGATTCATCGATGATGTTGGCGAGCTCTTTCTGTTCGTCCGTGAGTCCCGTGTCGATCAGTAACGACAAGGCCGAGAGCATCCCGTGCATCGGCGTTCGAATTTCATGGCTCATGTTGGCCAAGAAGTCGGACTTCATCTTGGACGCCTCTTCGTATGCAGCAATCAGTCGTGCCTCTCCCGCCCTTCGTTCCGTCAAATCTCTGGTGATTTTACTATAACCAGTCAAGACTCCGTCGCGGTAGACGGGGGCGATGATGACATTTGCCCAAAACCTGGACCCATCCTTCTTGACCCGCCAACCTTCGTCTTCCACTTTGCCCTCTCGCAGAGCCACTTGAAGCTCTTTTTCAGGTTTTCGTGCCTTTCGATCCTCTTCGCTGTAGAAGGTCGAGAAGTGTTTGCCCACTATTTCTTCCTGGGTATACTGTTTGAGCAGCATGGCGCCGGTGTTCCAGGTGGCTATGTAGCCTTTCTCGTCGAGCATGAAGATGGCGTAATCGCGAAGGGTGCTGACCAGAATGCGATAGGTCTCTGCCGATGTCAATTGAGCGAGTTGTTCTCGGGCCTTCTCGACCTCTTCCGTAGCGTCAAGAGCCTCAATAACCACGTAGAGGAGTTCGTCCTTGTCAAAAATGGGGACTACTCGAATCCGCCAATGGCTGTTGTCCTTGAACCCTGGGACGGGTTCAGAGCGCTGCTCTTTGCGGCTCGTGATTGCACCCTGAATCAGTTGGGTGGTGGTGACGGCATCCAAGGGCAGGTGCAAAATGTCGATCGTCTCCAGAAAGAATTTGCCACGAACTATGTCCAGTGAGATTGGACCCTGGTCTTGCCAGGCATTCGACAGCGTGAGTATTTGTAAATCCTTGTCGAGGACGACAGTCGGCGTCGGCGACAGAGCGAAGATTCGTTCCATGCCGGCGGCGGGTTTTTGGCAACTACAACTTGAAGTTGGACTTGGAGGAGGACTGAGGTGATCAGACGTCAAAGAGTTGGTTAGCGGGGCGGCAAAATATGATTTGCTCGCCGCCCTGACGACACCATCAGGATGTTCTTCTCCGCCGCGTTTTCGAGACACCATCTTCGCTTATCAGTGAATCTTCATGTTTATGTTGGCGACAAGGAACCGGTTCCCAAGCCCGAGAGACGGCCCGACTTTCGAGACGCGGGGTGGAGGCTGGCTGCAAATAACAATGATAAATATCACGGGTCCTTAGTTAGAAGGAAAGTTGCTTGACACAGTCGAATCTACCATGAATAAGAACGGACGTGCAGAGAAGGGCTATGCGAGATTTGGTGTAGGCACAACGGGCGCCACGGGCGGGATGCACCTTGTCAAAACTTGGAAGGAGGACACTTCATAAGCTCCGAAAAAGGCTCCTGGAGTTCAGATGGTTTTCCTGGGGCTCAAGGTCCCACAAGATGACTTGAGCAGCGTGCTTTCGAAAGAGCCTGGATCGGAGGGAAGTTGTTGGGAACAGAATTGGTTGACAGTCGGTGTCACAAGGTCAGAACCACCAAGAGCGCTCACCTAGACCGACGTGACCGACTCCCAGCGCAATGATGGTCGAGTTCGAATCGAAACGTAGGCTTGTTGTCCTTGTCCACGCATCCGGCTCCAAGCGGTTTCGCAAGATGGGGACCACCGGCATGCAGCCACTAGGGCGGCGTTCAGGGGCGCCAGAGGGCCTCTGGCTGCAAGATCTGCGCTGCAACTAGCAGTCCCCTAATTGCGCGGGTTGGTCTGAGATTCCTTCTGTTAGGCTTTTTGGCTTCCTCGCTTGTTCAAGCGTTGCGGCAAATTCCATGCAAGCCTGTCGTAGAAAATTTTTGGTTCTTGCAGCCGCCAAAACAGGATTTCCACAGGGTGCCCCACGAGACACTAGCCGCACTCGTACCGTAGTTATTGAAACGTCTTGTGTAGGACTCGTATTCGAGGGCCCGGCGGGTGCAGGAGGCGTTGGAGGGTGCGAATAGGAGTTGAAACAAGCCGGGGGAAGGGACTAGGCTGGCTGCAGAAGCAGCACCGTTTGCTTCGACTGGCACTGAACAGGGCCCGGTGAGCCGCCCCCTTGAAAGGACCGAGTAACATGGCCAGCGGAGCCCGATATGCCCGGAGCAACGATCCGTGGGTCTGGGGCTTCTGCCTTGTAGGTGTGGGAGATAATAGAAATCGATAATAAATAAACGGAGATGGGTGGGTGAGTGGGTGAACTGGGAGGTCAGATTTTGGCGCTGAGCATTGCTGTGGACCTAGAGGTCAAATATTGAACAAGATACGAAAGGGGCCAGCGGAAAGAGAACAGATTGTTGCACATCCGGATCTCACAGCATGATTTTAGCTGCTCGTATAGGTCAGGGCAACCCATGCAAGGTCACCACACGGGGTGGTGAAGGGTGGATGATGATTTTGGACGGGCGGTCACGGAGAAGAGTCGGAGCACCTGAAGGGCGATGGAATGAGTAACACCCCTCTTTTCCCAACTTCCACAAGTCTGTATTAGGTATGTTGTCATTACTGTATTAACGACTGTCTGGGTGGCACCGAGGCCTACTCGGTACAGTTAAAAGTCCATGGGCCCTAACAGTGCTCAGTAATAATGCTGGTGACGGCTTGACGTGGCTTTGGTAGCCCTGGTGGCCCCGCGCCATCTGCATATGCAGCGTGCCATAATCAGATTGCCTCATGGATCGACGCCCTAAAACATACAGTACAAGCCCAATGCTCGCAAGCGACGCTGCCAATTTCGGCATTCGTGCTGTGTGGTAAACAGGTCGTCTATCCCATTGTCGCCGTTGTGGAGCGCTCGAAATAGTAACACCTATGGTTAGGATGGAAAAGTACTGTAGTGCTGGAACAAAAGCATTCCAGAGTTAATCATCCGTCATAGTTCAGGTACTGGACATGACTACCAGTATATCTGCTAGGTCCTACCGTGCTGGTTGATGCTCCCTTACTCGAGAGAGTACAGTATAGCACCTGCTTGGTAATATATGCGATCCCATAAAAGACTCGCCGCTCAGGCCTGTGGCTGTGGCCACTGCTTTTTGAATTTAAACCCTGACGCCGTTGACGCCTTGCTCTGTACGCCCTCATTTGGGTGAGTGGTTTGACCATCTCTCAAGGTTCGCTTCCGCTCGCCCTGCCCTGTCCCAAGCGAAAGACTGAAATTTCGGTTCTTGTACTTTTCAAGATTTGAACCCAGAGACGCGCAGGAAGTAACGGCCAGATCAGTCCGCAAGGGTGTGGATCGTGGGAAGCTGGCCTTTTCGTGCTTGAAAAATCACACTGCGACTTCGCTGTGCCACTCAGTCTGATTTGCTGTGTTTCCTTCGATGGCTGTCCGTCGGCTTTCATGCAATTTACAGACTCAGCCGGTCTAAGCTGCGAACTCTTCTTCCCGTGCCTCCTGTTACCAGGCCAAGTTTGTAGAAGGTCTCTTCACCCGCTGCATTTCGGCCGCCAATGTACCACTTGTCTGGACCCAGCGCATCAATAAACCCTCCGGAAGAATTGGAGCTGTCGCTGCCACGTCTCTGTCGCCCTCTCGTCATCGGGGTCGACGTGCCGGGCGGCGACATGGATAGGTTGGCGGTTGCGTGCGTTCCGTGGGGGCCAGGAGAACTCGTCCCTGGTGATCTGGATAGAGGCGTGGCGTATCGGTGTGAACTTGGGTTGGACGAGAAAGGAAGAGGCGTGGTCGAGCTAGGTTTGGACTGTCCTTGTTGTGACGGGGCTGAGGTCTCTCCTGGTCCTTTCGTAGCTATTGTTCTTGTCCCTGACGCGGTCACCGTCGCTGTGGTTGTAGAAACATGTGCCGCTGCCACGAGCGAACCGGGTGAAACGGCATCGTAGGTCGAGCTGGATTTTGCCTGGAACGCCGGGCTCGTGCGGGCTCGAAAGGCCGAAAAGAAGTTTGCAAAGAACGGTCGGTTGGTGGGCATGGTGCCTGCAGACCTGGCTCTGTAGCGGGCAATGCCAGATGGCAGAGGGAAACTGTCGTTGACGGACAGTCGTCGCGGCCCAGGTCAGGACTTTAAGGAAATGACCTGATGCTCGGTAACCGATTAGGAATTGCTGAGCGCAGGCTGCGATAGGCCTAGATGTGCCTGACCCTACACACTGCAGACGCCCTTCACCCGCACCCTTCCGTAAGGTCCCTCCGCACTCTTAACCCTTTTATGTTTGGGCCCTCCGCAAGACGACCATGTGTATCTCGTATGGATTGGTTAGCGCGCTCTGACCGAGCTGGACAGGGTCCGAAATGGTGGAGAGTCGCTCAGCAGCGGGCGGCGCAGGCGGATATTGTTGTATCGTCAAGTTCGGGAGGAACTTCCGAGATGCAGCAGGGCTGAGCTAGACAGAAACGTTCTTTGATGCTGGACGGATAGCAGCAACTGAGAAGGCGATGGAGAGTGAGGCAGGGAGATTAAGCGCAAGTCTTGTAAGATGGGATTTGTGAGAGAAGATAAAACATTAGATATGAATCACGGTGGAACGAGGAGTAGATTTCAGAAGCAATATCGTCACAGGCAGGCAGTGGGACTGCCTGGTAATCCATCCGTCCATCATCCCCCATCGGACGATGATGGAGACGAGGAACAAACCGGGATTGTGGAAGCGAAGTACATAATAGTGGCAAGCGGAGTGAGTTGCAATTATACGGAGTGTTATTGGTGAAGATGTCAGTCTCCGCCTGGGCTTCCCTCGGCATTACTTTCATCCCGCCATATTCCTCCTCCGCCTTGTCAGTCGACCACTACAGCAATAAATCTTACGAGAACAATGACCTGCGCTCTGGATCAAAGGGATTTTTGTCACTGGAGATGGCTCGACTGTGATTGTGGTCGAAAATTGAGCATGGCATATACTGCCTCCATGTGCCCGATATCAGCCCATGATACAAAAGTAGAATAATCCCATGCCAGCCGCAAAATGCCTTCATCTTCATTTCCTGGTACGTCAATACCCGTACATATACATCACGATCGTCCCAGGTAGCGCAACAAGGCTTTCAACTCGACGTGTTCTTCGTCAACCTCATTTGCTGCTTCCACGGCGTCATCTACACATCATCTTTCATGGAAAGGCACTGCCAACCTACTTTGCCGCACGGCATCCCGAGACAAGAAGCACAAACATCCACAACGTCCTCCGATCAGAGCGTGTGGCTTTCAGGATCTGAGCCCCTAGGGGTTTCAAGGAGCAATGGCGACCAGGGGCGGTTGGTAAAGTGGCGGTCAGGTGGGTTCGTAGCGGCATAATCTGCGTCTAATCGTCGTCTTCATGATTGAATTCGAGTATCTGACTTCAGGTTAGCCCAAATTGGTACAGAGTCATGATGCTGAGAGTCACCATATTATTCCAGTTTCCGCCGTGGGATGTAACCGTACTTGGTCCCATGTTTTCAAAACCCAGGCCCGTGTAGAATGGAACGAGATGATCGTGTGCGAGCAAAGCTATGCGGTCAGCAATCTTGGAATCTTTCATACGTTGAATATACGATTTCATCAAGATCGAGCCCAGGCCCATTTTCTGAAACTCGGGTGCCACAGCCAAAGAGTGAACACAGATAGTCCCACCCATATCTTGGTGTCCCAAAGGCTCTTTATCCTCGCTGGTCGGTAGCGAAGACCTCCTCGCCCTCCAATTTGAGGGGACGCCCATCGAAGCCTCAGTAACGCAAGGTGCCGGAGTTCTGGTCGAGACAATATGCCCTATTAGGCGTCGCTGAGGTGGTGTGGGCGCATCCTTTGCTTCTGCTTTAGTCGGCTGGGTGAACAGTCCTAAACTCAACTCGGGGCATCTTGTAAGACGGTATTGAAACTGAGTACAGGCTCTTGTCAGTGGGACGACCAAGTATCGGTGAAAAAGAGGGTTCAGATAGTGGTCCGCAAAGGGAAAAAAGTTTGGGTTTCGCCATACCTTTTCGCGAGTTGCCCTCTCTTCCGGGGGAAATGCCGCCTCTTCAAGTGAGGTGCACTGGTCCACGTCGGACACAGACAATGCTTGGTTTTCAGGATGAAGACGATCCCATTTATGCGAAGAGCCTCGTCGACGGGCCCCCAGCCGCCCAGTCAACATATTCAACAAGGGATGGTTGGCCATGAAGTCACGGTCGTCCTCAGAATCGTCTTCTTCGTCCGGGACCTCCTCCGCGTGGTCGGAATGACTAATACGCTGGAGCTCTAAAGTATCAGACGGCGCTTTCGAAGGTGGAGCAACAGCATCCGAATCGCTGTCTTGCATTTCCACGTCTTCGGGCTGAATGTCGATGAAGCCATCTTCGTCTTGTGAGGACTGACCGCTTCTGGTGTCGACCTTGGCGGAACTCGGCTTGGTCGGTCCGTCTGATTGGCTCGATGAATCTTTGGTTGGGGCCATTTTTACTGGTTCTGAGGGGTCATCAACCGGATAAACATGCGATTTCGACTGTGAGATGCCGGTTGAAGAGGGATTGGACAGGAAATGAACTTGCGCCGGTTAGCTGGTGGCTGACTTGGGTGTTTTATTGGGAGGCTCCAAGAAGGCTCCGTCATAAGACCCCGGGCAAGGAAATTCAAGGGGAGAAAAGGAGCCAGAAATGGTGTGAGGTGAAAATTCAATTTGTGGCTGGCCTTGCACAAGACGGGACGCAAGCGGAGTGGAAGAGAGATACAATGGTTTGTTGAGGTTGGCAGAGCAATTGTGTGAGAACAATGTCCGAAGACCTGGCCAGGCACTTGATTAATAGAGGATTGAAAAGACAAAAGGTGTGGATGGGAATATGTTGTGGCTTGTTGGTAGTAAGTGAGATGAAGAAATTGCCATGGCACGCGACTTTAGGGCAGCAGTGGGTGGCAGGCACTTTGCGAGAGGCTGACAGGCGCCAGTCGCCCTCTTGCTCCTCCCAATTCTCCGAGTAGTGGGCATCATAGGCACAGCGAGGCTTGGTTACAATGGGGGGCAATGCCTGGACTGATCTCCCCACTCTGGGTCTACGAGCACTCTGTATTTGTGGCAATTATCTTTTTAGTGTTGATACAGAGCTGGATAGCTAGATGAAGAGTATTTTTATTGTTCCTGCCGGTAACACGGGGAAGATCAACAGGCACGGACCATTTGAATCCTCCACAGGGGATGCAGCACGTAGCAAGGTAAATTACTTCCTTACCATCCGCTCTACCCCACGAAGGAGTTTATCTCTAAATAGATAAAGGTGGCATGGGTAGTTTCGGTAGGTACTCTGTGCCTGTGGAATGCTTAGCTACCTCTTGGGTGGCTCCCTGGAGAGCCTGTTAGATGATTAAAAGACCCTTCCAAAATGGCAGTTCCAGGTAATACTAATAGTCAGGATGCCTGTATACAGTAAGTTAAGCGGGCCGGCCTGCATGGTGCGTCATCGCAATTGTGCCTGAGCCGTTCATTCTATGAACATCCAATTCTTTCACAAGGCAAATATTCCCTTGGTAGGCCACGTTGATGAGAAATCACTCTCAACAGCGTGCTCCCCTTTTCGCTATTCGTCTTATACGGCGTTCTTCAAAACGTGTCCTTTCACTCCATTCAGATCGTCATTGTCGTGTTGTCTGAGCCGTTCAAGGTCTGCCTGCCGCGGCCTCACATCACATCTGATCCAACCTCGTCCTCAACAATCAAGCCGCCATCATGTAAGTGCAGGTGATCCAGAGACACTATCGGAGCTGCTCTGTACTAACATCCCCACAGGCGCACGTCCATAACCATTATCTCGTCTGACAGAGAGTTACCGACAGATCTCATTCCTCTCGATGTCGGCCCCGACATGACCCTTAACGACATCAAAGCCTTCGTCGAAGCTGAGATCGGTGTTCCTCCCTCAGCCCAAATATTCTTAAGAGATGGGAAGGCGGTCACAGACACCTCCATGACGCTTGCAGATTTCAACATCCAGGAAGGTGGTATCATACCGATGGCCATCCAAGCCAATCCTCCGAGACGACGGGCGGCTCAGGGAGCAACTACCGGCCAGCCGTCCACACAGGTCGACAGAGGCGTTAACGATTCCGAGGCATTGAGAACCCGTATATTGCAAGATCCTGGCGTCATGGCTGATTTTCGGATACGAGATCCCGAACTTGTTGCTGCTGCTCAAGATGGACAGAGATTCCGCGACCTACTGGAAGAGAGGTTTAGACAGAATGAGCGGATGCAGAGAGAGAAGGAAGAGCAGATTGCTTTGCTAGAGGCGGACCCTTTCAACGTCGATGCACAACAGAAGATTGAGGAAATGATTCGACAGGAACGTGTCTCGGAAAATCTGCAAAAAGCAATGGACGAGTTTCCTGAAGGTAAGGCGCCGACCTTCTGCTCTAGTCCGAGCTAATCTGACGTCGTCTTACAGCATTTGGCAAGGTCACCATGCTTTATATCGATGTCGTCGTAAATGGCCATCCTATCAAAGCTTTCGTGGATTCAGGCGCACAAACGACAATCATGTCCCCGTCAGCCGCCGAACGGTGCGGGATCCTGCGCTTGGTCGACAAACGGTTCGGAGGAATAGCCAAAGGTGTTGGTACTGCTCAAATCTTAGGTCGAGTGCATTCAGCCGAAATCCAAATCGGACAGTACGACCTAGCCAGCAGCTTCACCGTCATGGAAGGCAAAGACGTGGATCTGTTACTGGGGCTCGACATGCTCAAGCGGCATCAGATGTGCATCGATCTGAAAAAGAACTGTCTGCGCATCGAAAACGACGAGATCCCGTTCTTACCGGAAAGCGAACTCCCTAAGATGATGGAAGAAGTTCTGGAAAACGAGCCTAAAGTTGCAGGCCCTGGAGGGAGCACGGTTGGCGCGAAAACCGGAACTGTTATGCCAGGGGCATCAACATCCTCAACTCAGGGGAGGTCCGGTCAGGCAAGCGCCAGCACCCCAGGCCCATCGGATCGGTCAGGGTCGACCGCTACAGCTATCCCATCGTCTGTCGTCCAGCCTCATTCAGGTTCCAGTGCCTTTGGGGAGCCACAGCCTATCACCGCAGAAACGATAGCGCAAGTAACCGAGCTGGGTTTCACAAGAGAAGAGGCCATTGCAGCGCTTCAACAGACCGGCGGTAATGTCGAACTCGCTATAGGGTTGTTGCTTTGAGCACTTTTCGGTGATGGTGAGCGTGGCGTTATTTGGCCGAGTTATCGTCTTCTCGAAAGAACCATTGATGGACGGGGCCGGTCCAGTCACATCAACCCACGGGCCTTTCATAGCTCACGCCTTTGATGATTAGATACCAGAACACGCTTTGAGCTGTTGAGATCGTGGGAAGGTTTGGGAAAATCAGGGACCACAAGAGCGTTGTAGACAAGCTATTCTAATGATAACGATCCCTGGCGAATTTGAAAGACGCCATAGCTTCTTCTTCTTCCTCTTCTTCGTCATGTCTAAACCAATGCTAGGAGGTAAGTCCTCTGAAGTGCTAATGAATACGTCGTGCTTCGTGTTTTCGGCGTTCATGGTTTTAGGCTCCGAGTCGCGCCAAGGCCAGGAAGGTTGAATCCGGACTGCGCCCTGAGCCTCCAGGGACAGTGTGAACAACAGCTGGAGAACAACCACACCTTTCTCGACCTCCTCATTACTGACTCGCACGTCAACACACGGCCGATCCGAGATCTGCGCACCGAGCGACTACTCTCTCCTCAGCGAGGGCATTTGGGGGTTGGTCTAGACTGTCAAGTCCAAGACCGAGATGAATCGACAAGGTGGGTTTAAGGATCTCTCACACGGCACACTGCGTTCACTTTTCTCTTCGATGCACTCTGGGACGTGAGATGTATCTGCAGCATCGCCTGCTCGCTCAGGATTGGGACTACGGGGCCTGGATGGGTCGAAAGAGGAAGCAATCTGCACATTCGGCTTAGAACGAGGATATTATCCCTTGCGGCTTTACGGCGAAAATACAGAACGATCAAGTGCCAGTCGAAGATACGATGCTTTTCTACAAGAGTGGGCTACTCTCGCACATACTGGAATCTCTTCGGTGAATGGATATGCTGCGAATGTTTGATGCAGTTGCATGGAATTCACCGCACCCAATCTGGGGCAGTGGCGCCGCAGCGACAATCGTGGGAAAAGATACGCTGAAGATACGCTGAGCCTGCGCAATGGCAGCAGTTCTGTCCTGCAGCTGCGGCTGGAATATGTGCTTTGGCAGGTGGATATCGATGCAGACACGTTCTTCGAATGCCAACATCCCCAATCACAGGGCAAATGCCCGTTGAGCGGCGTTGCAGTCTTGGAGTTCTCTCGCGGAAATCTCAGATCTGTCTCCGTTACACCCTTTCCAGTTGGGATGAACCGGCAGCGACAGGTTTGCCAGGTCACGTGCATCTCTCACGCTGAAGTGGACCTTTCTGTAAATAGCTCGTTAACATTGTTGTGCTTTCGTACCTTGCATTGGTGCCACGTGCTAACTAATCTTCTCTAGGACAAGGACGACAACTTCCTACTGCGAACAACATGAATCAACATACACAAGGCCGGGCCGCCAACAGCGGCAGACTGGTCGGGGGTAAGCCTGGTATGTCAACCGATCAGTCACCAAGATGCAACCTGACGCAATGCAGCAACTTGGGGGCAGAGCGGCCTTCCTGCGCCCTCACAACAAGCCCGAGACTCTGTAGCACCTGACAGCTGGGCCCAGGCTATGAGTTCGAGGGCAAACACTCAGCTAGACCTATCCGCATCTTCCTTCCCTAGCCTCAACAACAGCAGCCTCCAATCACAGGGCCACAGTGTGGGCTCCAGTGCATGGCAGACTGGGCCGCCTCAGAATGAACAGGCACAAAGACAGCAAATGCAAGCTTCACGAGCTCACATCTCCTCTCGGCAGCCACAGGGTACCGCCGCTCGAGAAGGCTTCTACCCTACCGATACCTACTCCAGGAATGCCCCGATGGAGTTCTCTTCGGAACCTTCTCAGCCTGTGCGACGAGCAAGTCAAGCACCAAGTGGACCTCCCGGACTTGCGCAGCGACAACCAAATCAACCGGGCGACAGCACGCCAGGTGATCCCAGCAGAGTCACGTCGCCATCCGGACAGACACAAATATGTACAGTTCCCCCACCACGTCACCGAGCCGATTGCTGACGGAGAGACTTTAGCGCGATCACCCATATCTCAGAGTATCAATGCGGCCATAGGCCATGAGAGATTCTTGGGACAAGATGGAAGGACGCAATTACAAGACTCACCGTCGCAGTCGTTGGGACTCCAGCCGCGAGATATGTTCGCCGATCGAGAAATTGGAACACGAGCCGACCACGACTCAATATTTGCAGCCATGACTGAAAAGGACAGATTCGGAATGAAGGGCTATGTTGCTGAACAAGACAACGCGAGTCCAGCGGCAAGAGGTTTGATGAGGGGAGTGGACCTGTCAACGCTCGGCATCAATATGGGCTCCCAAGAACCGTTACTGTCATCTTACCCAGGGCCGTGGGCTGAACCCAACGCCACGCCGCTACGACCGTTGGACTCGGAGTACAGCATCCCCGACTGCTACACCGTCAAGAAAATTGCACCATTGTCGACACGGATCACCGGATTTGTGGACGAAACATTGTTCTTCATCTTCTACACCATGCCTCGAGATTACATCCAGATGCTGGTGGCGCAAGAGTTGGTGGCGCGCAAATGGCGGTATCACATGAGAGAGAAGCAGTGGCTCACTCGGGACGACGCGTCACCCAGTCCCGTGCTGCTGGATGACAAGGTAAGCGAGCAAGGCTACTACATCTGGTGGGACACGAAACTATGGAAGAAGGTTCGACGCATTTACACGTTGAGATATGAGGACCTAGAAGAACAACCCAGCATGGGCAATCGACCAATCCATGCAGGCGTCATGGGTGCCATGTCAGGAAATATCAACGGAGGAATGGGCGTTGGCAACTTCAATGCCGTGCCTAGTCTCGAGAGAATGGCGGCCACTGGCAGAGGCTTCTAGGCCACCATGCTCACCATGGCACCAGTACCACTACGAGCTGAATGTATTGCGTATCGCCGGGACCCAAGTCATGCCAATGACGGCCCCGTCGCATTACCGGGCTCAGGGCAGTTTCCTGTCACAGACAACAGAGACGAGCTTGTACTTGATCGAATGTCAATACACACAGTAACTGCAGGCCCCCTACCGTACACTTCGTTTTTTGATATCACGTGGCGCCAAGTACGTACGTCAAGTCCAACGTACGTACTCGGTATTACTGTAATATTACCTCGTAGATATCCCTCTGCGATTCCGCCCCGCCAACCGGCTGCCACATCAGGACGCGCTGCGACTTCTTCATCCTCCATGCTAATGACTCTTTCATTTTCTTCGACTTACCACTGCCATCTTAGTCGATCTCCTTCTCACGACGCTCTCTCCTTGTTGGTTTCACATGTATTAGTCACTCACTTTAATGGCCGTTCTTTCTATCCAGACTCTTCAGACCTCGATTGCCGCACATTTTGCGCTTCTGATCCACCCCGCGGATTGTACGGATGCGTGAAGGCGCTCTTGTTTCAGTTTTCTCCCGGTCACATGGTCGAATAGAGTGCAATTAGGGATTGGCGCTCAAACTTCGTACTCAAGTTGCTATTTCTTTAGCACTGAAGTCCCTGTGGCCCACAAGTTGGCCGGGTCTCGTCTACAGCGTATTGGCGTCCCCGTTTGTGGATCTCCGGCGTTATGGCGCTTCTGCCCTGGCTTTCACCATTCAGAGGCAAGCCTGATGCTATCGAGAGCAATGATGTCCAAGCCGCCAGTCGAGGCACAGTGGACGCAGTGACGCCCTCTGAGGATATGGACTTCAATGCCCTCGCAGACAAAGTGGAAGCTTTACAGTCTGAACTCGAATATGCTCATGAACTTTGTGGCGAAGCAAACCTTCAATTTGACAAATACCGCACAGAAATTCACGAACTCCGCATGTTGCTGGCATCTGAGCAGCAAAGAAGCGACGAAGCGGACCGCTTACTTGTCGAGGAGCGGCAAAAATATGTGGCACTCCAGGCACAGGTTAGGAGCCTTCAAAACAGCTTGCGAAACGGGTCTGTTCTTGCCGGTCAACTCCAAGCAAGACTCAACACCGAGATGGCGTCTTTGAGAGCTATGACTAAATATACCCGCAAAGTCGAGGAGAAGTTGATTGACACCCAGCTGGATCTAGAATACCTCAGGTGTACCACAAGGCCCGAGCCGCTTAAGGACTCTTTAGTCACCCCTGCACTGGACTTTCCTCTGCCGGCGCAACCATTTGTTGTGGTGCTAGTGGACGGCGATGCATACTTTGTGAGAATTTTCCGGGCAGTGTTGTACTGTGTGATCTGCTGACACTGGGGGAATCAAACAGTGGGCTCCTGATATTTACATAAATGGCGATGCTTCTGGCCCGGGTGCCATAGCCGCTACGAGAATCCGTAACGAAGTCGTCAAATATCTCTTGAATCAGAGTGGAACCGTTCCCGTGACATCCAAGGTCGTCACTCGCGTTTTCCTCAACTACGGGAGTGCGGGTCGACTGGGGATGCTGCAAAGCCGACATCGAGCTGGCCGTTCAGGTGTGGCCGTGGCCGATTTTGCAGTCCAGTTCACCGAGAAAATCCCCTTGTTCGATTTCTTCGATGCAGGAAGAGGGAAAGAGAGGGCGGATGACAAAATTAGAGGTACGCCCTCATTCCTGTGGCCGAAAGTTCTTCTCAAATCAACTCACCGTTTGTGATACCAGAAAATTTCCATCTTTATCTGTCGACGCCGAACTGTCACGCTATATTTGTTGCTGCCTGTCTCGACAATGGGTTTGCTCGGATGCTCGAGCAATACAGTGACCATCCGCTGGCTCGTCAAAAGATCGTTCTGGTCTCGCCTGGCTACGTCGCCATTGAGATCCAGAGATTGGAGTTCAAAGTGGTTGAGTGGCCTAGTGTGTTTGCTGTACGGACGATACCTCCCGATGCGGTGGCCAAACACAAGAAAGAAATGCAGAGAGCACGCACCCAGCGCAGTGTGTCTACACCGGCAATGACTTCGGGAGATGCTCTGTCCAGGTTAGTACCACAGTTGTTGGACTTGGTGCCTGCCTGGGATCCGAACAGAGCGATGAGCAAGGTGTCGAACGGCGTTGGCTTCAGGGTTCAGCAAGCAGCAGCTGGTGTTATCGAGAGGCTTGATCTTGCACAGATGGTCGAGACCGACGCAGACATCGACTGAGGACTGTTCGGAGTAATGGCAGCGTTATTTGTCTATCTGTGGGAAACCAGGGAGAGCGTCCTGCATGGCGTACCAGACCGTTTGATTTGATGACCGGACATGAGCGCTCTTCCTGCATATTCGTTTCTTCGACCTTTTCTTCTCGACTTTGTATACCTCTTACGTTGACGGGGAATCACTCGTTGGAAGGGCAGGGCCAGTGTCAGTGTCACGTTCTTGTATGCTAGTATCATTTCACATCTACGGTGTCTGTCCAGAATCATGCAGCTGCCATTCGTTGCTTCTTGTGCTCTCCTCCTCTTCTCTGTCCCCCGTTTCTCTGCCGCATCATGCGGCTGCGATCTCCACGAACCTTCCAACCCATGCTATATCGCTGGAGGAGGTGGTGGTGGTGGCGCCAGCGACCTCGGTGCCGACCCTGTGCCCTTCTCCACCCGGGCTCACTGGATGCGACGTGCCATTGCGGCCCTGGCGGACGTCAACGAGGGGAGTCCGTGTCCCTTTGCGGCCTTTGGTTCTGTTATCGTGAACCATACGGCGTCCGGGACCGACGGGCTGGGCGGGGAGGTGTGTATTGGTGCGAATGCGATGGTGAAGGATGGGAATCCGACGTTGCATGGTGAGTTAGCAACCAATTAGCCAGTCCAGTTCAGTCCAGCCAGCCAGCCAAGTGGAAGGATCTATATCCCGTGGATGGAGGAACAAGAAGCATGGTTTTGAGGGGGGCTCGGCCTCCTTTTTCTGTTGTTGCTGCTGCTGCTGCCGACGCTCGAGGCTTTTTGAGAAAGCTGAGCTTGCAAGCAGCTCTGGATGGATGGTGCTGAGTTGCGGACGAACACATCTCCCATCTCTTTCCATTCCCATTCTCGTTCTCCCGATCTCTAGCGAGCGTCCTGCCCAGGTTCAAGATCCAGGTTCCACGAAACCCGAGCGGGGAAACGGCACCATGCCATGAGAAAAGAGAAGATAGTGCTGACTTGTGTTGGGGGGAAACAAAAAGGCGAGGTCGCAGCCATCAACAACTGCAGCCGCATCCTGACTGACCCGGACGGCCCGTACAAGCTCTCGGGCCCAGACGCGCTCAAGGCGTTGGGCGATTTGAGTCTGTATACCACGGCGGAAGCATGTCCTATGGTAAGTCCAAGTTCAAGCAATTTGTCCCGGTTGAGAAATGACCAGCTCCCCCTTTTTGTTTGTGGATATATATAACTCTTTTGTCTCTTTCTCTGACCTGTTGTTGTTGTCGTCGTCGTCGTGGGATCCTTGTCTGAGGTTCAAACAAATAGTGCTCGGCCGCAATCCTCTACGGCGGATTCCGCGAGTACATCTTCTCGACGTCGATCCCCACGCTGCGCTCGCACAACTGGCCGCAGATCGTCATCCGGTCGAGGGAGGTCTTCGCCCGCAGCGTCGGGCGGCTGTCGGCGCACCGCACGCGCATCATCGGGGACGTGCTGGCGAACGAGACCGAGGCCCTGTTCAAGTGGCAGTTTGCGGACGGGGAGTGTCCTGGTGGGTGTGAGAAGGAGGGCAGTGGCTGTGTTGTGACATCCACGAAGTTGGATCGTGGCACGGGGAAAGATGAATTGTAAAACGTTGCGAGAGCGAGTTGAGGAGAGCGGCCATGGTTGGTATACAGGACTGCAGACCACCCCCCAGCAGAGCAGTCCGGGGAGTGTGATATGCTTCTGTTCAGAGGCAAGCGTGGGTTCAAAAGCCATGCCATTCATAAAAATCTGTTGTTCGCCAGAGTGCGTGCCACTCCCGGCCACTCCTTTCGCTTGTCTATCCTCTTCAATTGTGGTAGAAGTCGACAATTCCCAAAAACCTTCTAGGCTCAATCCTGGCTCCCATACTTTTCACGGTAGGCTTTCATCAGCTCGAGCTGTTCCTGTCCGGCTCCTTCGACCTTCCCAGCCTGAATAGCTTCCACCAAGTCTTCGAATGTCAGCACAGCCCTCACTGGCACACCCATCTCGTCTTCAGCCACCTTCATTGCACTTCTCGGCTCGGTGTCGGAGACACGTTCTTGACGGGTCAACAGCAGGACCACTCCGACCACGATGCCACCCTGAGCCCTGATGATGGAGACGGCCTCTCGCAGGGCGGTGCCGGCAGTCATGACATCGTCCACAATGATGACTCGCTTGCCCTTCAACGGTGCCCCTGCGACGATGCCCCCTTCCCCGTGATCCTTTGCTTCTTTTCTGTTGTATGCGTATGAGACTCCCGCAAAGTTCTCGCCGGCGAAGAACAACTCTCGCACCACGATAGCACTCAATGGGATCCCCTTGTATGCCGGTCCAAAGACCACGTCAAAATGAGGAGCGAACGAGCCATCTGCTGCTGCACCAGCCTCTTCGGTACCGAGCGGGAGAGAATAAGGAGGAGAGGTCAGCACTGAAGCAAACCCACGTGCAAGAGCGTCGAGGAGGGACGAAGTATGCAGCAGGGAAGAGTTGAAGAAGTAGGGGGAGATGCGGCCGGATTTGAGAGTGTAGGTGCCAAAGGTGAGGGCAGACGCCTTCAAGAGCAACGTGAGGAGGGCGTCCTTGTAGGAGGTATCCGTGGCCATTGTGACGGGCGTAGATTGCAAGAAGTCGGGCGGGATTTGAGAGGACCTTCGAACTATTAAGTACGGAGGGGCGTCCAGCCCACAAGCGAGAGAGAGATCTGGATGCCTTTGCAATGACCGTGCCTGCCAAGAGCAAACTTTTCTGGTCTCGAAGCCAAAAATACAGATTCGGCGTGGCGCCTGTGAGTGGATGCAAGATGATGTGTTGGTGTTGGTGTTGCGGTGAGCTGCGAAAAAGTCATAGAGTTAGTTCTTCATGACTTCTTCCCGAGGGCTTCCCTCTCAACTCCCCTCATTTTTTTTGAACTTGGATCCCAAATCAATCGGCAGACTCATCTTTTCCACTGAAGGTCTGACCCTCAATGCAGCGAGAGCTGGCCGATAGGTGGGCTCGCAACCGTTATTTCGGTTGAGTTAGGTTTCTCTCTTTCTTCTGGTGGTTTGGAGGAGGACTTTTCGTCCTACACCTACACCTACACCGTGACCTACGGACTCGGTCACACAAGAGGCAGAGAGGATCATTGAGAACAAACGCTCGTTCCAGACTGTCCGAACCTTCTCGTTCTTTATTGCAGTCGTTTTTCCTTCCAGCTGTTCCCTCGTTTCTCTCACTTCCCACGTCTCCGAAGACATGCACGTCACCAAGAAACTCGAGCTGGCTCACCAGCAGAACAAGCCCACCTTCTCTTTCGAGTTCTTCCCTCCCAAGACGGCGCAGGGCGTGCAGAATCTGTACGACCGCATGGACCGCATGCACAATTTGGGCCCGGCATTCGTCGACATCACCTGGGGCGCAGGCGGGAGGCATTCCCAGTTGACCTCGGAGATGGTCAACGCCAGTCAGAATTTCTATGGGTTAGAAACGTGCATGCATTTGACCTGCACGGACATGGAACGACACCAAGTCGACGAAGCACTTCGTCGTGCATACAAGGCAGGCTGTACAAATATTCTCGCGCTGCGTGGAGATCCGCCCCGCGACCAAGAAAAGTGGGAGGCAAAGGAAGGTGGTTTCCGGTATGCAAAAGATCTGGTCAAGTACATCAGAGCAAGATACAAGAACCATTTCGACATCGGAGTTGCCGGCTACCCCGAGGGCTGCGACGACCAAAGGGATGTGGACGTGCTGATCGACCATCTCAAGGAAAAGGTCGATGCTGGAGCCAGTTTCATTATCACACAGATGTTCTACGATGTCGATATCTTTCTTGGCTGGGTGAAGAAATGTCGTGATCGGGGAATCAGTGTTCCGATACTTCCTGGGATCATGCCTATTCAAACGTACGCTGCGTTCGTGAGACGAGCTAACTGGACCAAATGTCACGTCCCGCCCGGATGGTTCGAGGCCTTGGAGCCGGTCAAGAACGACGACGCTGCCGTCAGGGCCATTGGAAAAGACCTGGTGGCTGACATGTGCCGCAAGATTCTCAATTCCGGAATTCAACATCTTCACTTCTACACCATGAATCTCGCGCAAGCTACTCGCATGGTCCTCGAGGATTTGTCGCTGACACCTGAAACCTCCGGAATGCCACTCGAGAAACCGCTACCCTGGCGCCAGTCTTTGGGATTCAACCGCCGGGACGAGACGGTCAGGCCAATCTTCTGGAGAAATCGGAATGCATCGTACATCAGCAGGACAGCCGACTGGGACGAGTTTCCCAACGGCCGTTGGGGCGACAGCAGGTCTCCCGCCTTTGGCGAACTGGATGCTTATAGCATCGGGCTGAAGGGCACCAACGAAGCCAACATCAAGCTATGGGGAAAACCAAAGTCCCTTCGCGATGTGACGGGGCTATTCGTACGCTTTCTGCAAGGTGACTTGGATCGACTCCCGTGGAGCGAAGGTGCCATCTCTGCCGAAGCCGACGTCATCAAGGATGATTTGCTACAGTTGAACAAGCACGGATTCTTGACCATCAATTCTCAGCCCGCCGTGGATGGTGCGTCTTCCACCCATCCAGTCTATGGATGGGGTCCTGCAGGCGGCTGGGTCTACCAGAAAGCATACCTGGAACTGCTTGTCTTCCCCTCCATGTTCAAGGCCGTGATGGACCGACTCAACGCCGACAAAAACCTCACCTATTACGCGGTAAATCGGAAGGGCGAACTGTACACAAACACCAAGGACGAAGGTCCGAACGCCGTCACTTGGGGCATCTTTCCGAACCGCGAGATCGTGCAGCCAACCATCGTGGAAACAGTTTCCTTCCTGGCCTGGAAAGACGAAGCGTTCCGTCTCGGGCAGGATTGGGCGAACTGCTACCCTGCGGGTTCCGGAAGCAGAAAGCTGATCGAGAAAATCATGGACGAGTGCTACCTGGTCAACATTGTCAACAACGATTTCCACCAAAACAAGGAGATCTTCAAGGTGTTTGAGGGTCTAGAGACCAAGGATCTCGATTTAGTCATCGACGACAATGCTTCCGGTCACATAGAAAACGGGACCAAAGACGTCCCAAACGGTGACGCTGAGAAAGGCCTTACGAACGGGGCACAACGCAAAGCCCCTGTCAAGGCCGATGGAGAGGTTCTCTCCAACTGAGCATAGCCTCTGGATTTCCCGCTTGCCAGGTTTCCTTAGCTTTTCTTTTTGTTTTTACTTGTGTACTCGCGGTCATCTGACACGAAGCATGATCAACTCTGCTTAACTTGGATGGGCCGTGGCTTTTTTTTTTCTCTTACGAGCAACATTGGGAGTTTTCGGGGCGTTTCGTTTTCAACACAAAACTACTGGGGCTGGCGGGTGGGGGTAAAAGGTGATCAGATCGATCGATGTGATACTCGAAAAGGATGGAAGGCGACCCCAGAAGAAAAAAGCATCTCATTTCAACATGATACCCCCACGCGTGAAGAGCCAAAAGCAGCTCATTTCAACATGATGATACCCCCAGCATAGACGAGATATATTTTTTTAACGAGGACATGATTTGATGAAGATAGGGAGGAAAAAGATATGTTTGCTACACAGAATACGCCCCCAGTGAGTGGGTGGTATGCCCTGCAGTAATATCGAGATATTGAAAGGTGGAGAAGGGAGGAAGGAGAAGAGGAGGAGGGAAACAGATGGAGAGGCCAATAAACGAAAGTTTTTTTATTTATTTAGGAGGGACGGAGTCACGATAGACAGACAGATAGGAAAGAGAAGAAAGGAGACGCGCCGAGACCCTTTTTCAACATGGGTCGAACGTGCCTCTCACTCTTTTGCTTCCTGGCTATGTCTGTGTAACTGTCATCTACATATACATACATACATATCTAAATTTGGCGATATCTATCCTGACAGCAGCAGGGTGCCCTTGCAGCTACGAGACAAAATAAGACTTTGTTTGACAGTTCTCCACGCAATTGAAGCAGTCGACGGTCGTAGTCGTCGAAGGTGGACGTGTACCGAGTACTCGGTGGTATTATATTCTTCAGGACCCCCTGACAAGAGCCGATCGAGTCGCTTACTTCCTCGTTTCGTGCGTTATATAATTACTGAGTGAGTGAGTGATTCTCTGTTGATCCATATCTTCATGTCCCGAATCTATCCACCCGTCACCACCACCTCCTCCCAATAGAGAGGACCAACCAACCATCCATCCATCCTGTCATCCGCCCATCCATCCATCGTGTGCATTTTGTGTAGGAGAAAACGGAAATGGAACAAGACATATACCCTTTCGTAACCGTCCATATTCGCCCCGTTTCCCGGCCTGAGGTCGCCCTCGTGTACCTCGTATGTGTTTTGTGTGCTGGGCTTTTTGCCCGCCCTGATCCCCCCTTTTCTAGATGTACCTGTTCCAGGCCTTTTCTCTTCCCCCTTTTTTGTTCTTTATCCGCTTCAGGAGCAGACCCTCCCGTATCTGAAGGAAAAACAAGGTACCAAAAGAGAGAGAGAGAGAAAGAGAGAGAAAGCCCAAGAGAAAGAACCATGCCGTCGTGAAGGAGAGACATTTCGTGGCCGTGCCGCATTGATTTAAACCCCCCCTCCCCCCCAAAGAGAGAGCCCTAAGCAAAATAGCGATAGACAAAACTTCACGTCAAATCGAAACCAAACAACCAAAACAGATCGGGATATATTGCGCATGTTTTGATGCAAAGTAGAAAACCCATTTTCCTCCTTCCTTGTAGGGACCAGAACCGAGACTCGTTTCCATTTTCCCTATAAAGCGTGACAGATCGGTATCGCGTGACAGACAAAAAGATTCGTTAGATTGTGCTCGATTGGTGGCTTTGTTGAATAAGACGTGCGCTTAAAGTGCTGTAGGTAGGTAGGTGGTGTCAAAGGCTGTATCCCTCAGCACGGCTCGACTCTGAGAAGGGGGGAGAGCATGTTCATATCATCGTGTGAAGCCCAGTCAGACCCAGGCCCTTCTGGCCCATCAAAACCTGCGGCATCTTCGAGATTCTAGGACCGTCAATGGCTATCGTATCACCGTCTGCTTTGTCCTCGCCGTCCCATGTTTGGAGCACGTTGAATTGCGGTTCCGGCTCCACGGCCGCCGTATTGAAGAGCCCGTCGCACAACGCTTCGAAATCGTCAATGTCCAGAGCCAACTCAAGCTCTTCATCCGGCAAGATCTGGTCCACGTCGATCTGCCACGGTTGCTTCGAAAGTGGTGAAACTTGGCGCACAACCGGTCTGTGTTTCTCTGGAGTGTGCTGCACTGACAAAGGTTTGACGGGCGAGTGTTTAGGTGACACGGGCGGAGGGCTCATTTCACACCCCGAATCTGAGTCTGACCTTGACGAGTTGTAGAATATAGGAGGCGAATCAACAGTCGGCTGGGACGGGGTACTTGAATGGCGGTCGTCGAGGATGGTAAGCTTTCGGGCCATGGCACCCAACGTGGTCGAGTCGGCGCGTTTCAAGCCGACATCATCGTCGTTCTTCTTCTTCCGAGTCTCACTTCTGTTCGATTTGGCCGGGCTCGCTTGGATGGCTGGTAGAATACCAATGCCGGCTCCAGCCTGGCCAGAGGTTCGTCGACTTGTCGCGGAGCTGGTCCGTTTCGACCTGGTCATAGGCGACGAGACTGACGTCCGTGGCGTCGTCATATGAGTGGTCGCTGATTGCCATGATTTAGTGCGGCTGGTTGACTGCCGGCTGGCTGATCTGAGACTGCTATCCACCGAGGCATACGACACGAGCGAGGGAGTCTCCTTCTTGGATCGAGGCTTCTTCACTGGCGGATCAGGCAGAGGTGGGAGAGGAGTGTGGGCTTCGATGGCATGAAGATAAGTCGTGCGCATTTCATCGACAATCTTGCGAATGTCGTCTCTGCTGATGCTGGGATCTTCGGCGATGCTGGTCCGCGTCGTAAAGGAAGACGAGGCAGCGCTCGAAGAAAGGTGCGAATATCTGGCGTGAGATGAGCGATCAGAGTGTTCATCCAGATAGGCGAGGTCGAGGTTGGGCGTCGATCCGGAGGCCTTGATTCCAAGGCCACGTCTGATTGAATCCGGTGGCCGCTGAAAGATCTGGTTAAGTGACACCGACGACGCCGAGTAAGGGATATTCCGGGTGGAAAGCAAAGGCGGTGGTTGAACGCCTTGCGCTCGATCTCTGTTGAGCTCTCCTATGGTTCGGTCGACGCCGTCTTGTCCGTATATAGAGACTAGCCGGCCGTATTCCGCCTTCCAAAGCGCTTGGATCGTCGGGTTTTGCTCTTCATGGGGCTCGAGGAGCGATGTGGTTGACGCCATGTAGGGTGAGAAGAATGACTGGGCTGGGCTGGAGATGCCGAAGCCGTAAGTGTTGGAAACGGGACTGGAGACGCAAGAATGAAATTCCTGTGCAGAATGTGAGCGTTCTTGGTGACCGAAGGAGCCTGAGGCCCCGCTGGAAGAGGTGGGTGGTGCCACATCACCGAGTACGGATGGAGGCTGCCAAATGGGACTGGAAAAGGACACCTGATCTCGCGGGGAATTAGAAGCAGTCGGGACGAACTTGAAACTGGGAGGCTCGGTGAGTGGCTTTGGCTGCGACGAGGTTCGAGAAGTCCTTCGTTCCTTGCCGCCGACAATATACTCCCCCTGTTTGATGTCTTCAAGTGTTCGATCGTAGTCCTGCTCGGTGACCAGGAGCTCCCCGGAGCTCAGGCGACGACTTGTCTGGAGTTTAACTGGGCCATTCCCCCGGTGAGGTCGGTCTCCCAGCTCAGGCGGCTTCCCTGGCGCGGCCTCATCATAGGACCATGACCGGAGACGATCTGGAGGTGAGTTGACTTTGCTCTGCTTGGTCGTAACACCGCCCGCTTTGTGGAAGAGCGGTAACCGGTTTTGTTGGGGAGCTGTCGTGTATGGGACGCTATGCAAATCCAACTCGGGAGCAGTGTCATTTCGCTGTTGTCCTTTATGCCTTCTGGGCGAGAGCAACTTCCGTAACCGCGCTTCCATGTTTCTGGAAATGTTATAATTCGGTGAAGCATTGACCAGGAGGGATGGTGTTGTGCGCGGCTGGCGGGCGACGCTCTGGGTGTCAAACAAGTACGTCAGAAGGGCGATTGGCGTGCTTTAATAGAAAGACGCCGGCGCGTTGACCCGGTCGCTGGTATACAGAAGTGGTCAGATTCTATTTGAGAGACCATGCGCTGGATTGGAAACACAATGTTCTGGTCGAGAACAGGAGAGACACGTCGAAGATGCAAGAAGAGGATTAGACATGGCTCTCTGAGGAGGAAGGGAAAGAGAGCAAATAATCTCTGACGGACAGGACCAGGGCTATACTCCGTAGCTCGAGGAGAAGGGAAAAGAGGGCGTTTTGGAAGTCAAACAGTGAACAGGGAAGCGGCTTGAAGCATGGGGAGGTTGGCAGGGACAAGGGGACAAGGGTCGATCTTATGACACAAGGCACAACAAGGCTCATGAAAAGCGGTGGTTGGATCGTCCATGGGCTCCACGCGGGTCCTGGAGTTTTCGGAGACTTTGTCATACGAGGGACCTCCTGGCCATCGACGAGTGGATGGACTGCCTCAGTGTTGACGTCGCTAAGTCGCGACGAACCCACGGGGGCACGCGAGAGGCAAATCCGCAGCACCCCGGACTGGAGCCAAAACAAACAAACCACTCCGAGGTAAACACTGGAAGCGCGCCTGGAGTCTGTATAGCTGAACGCCTCTCCGTCTCTTAAAAGCCGTCTAGAATGATCACTGTGCCGATCAGCGTGTGGCCGGCAGTTAGCTCCAGTCAGGACAAGTGAGCCCGAGGTCCCGGTGCTGGGGAATTTGACATGAAATCTCATCAACCGCCATGGGTGACCCCTCGACGCCCAGGACAATGGTCCCAAGGGCCCCCCAGTGCAGCCGAGACGAGACCTTATCGGAATAAGCGAATAGAGGCGAGCCGGAAGACGAACATGTGCACAAACAGCCAGCCACATCCCTGCCGATCAGCCTCACTAGCCCTTGGTAACTGGTACACCCCAGAAGACGGGACCATTGAAATAGGAGGCGTTTGGGGGCGTTCTCCTAAAGTCAATGCTCTTCCCTGAACACTGCGTACTCGGTACACTGGAAAAACATACCTGCAAACACACCAATTCTTTTCTTACTGCGTACTCCTCCTGGCGCCACAGCAGACACATCTCATGCATAATAACTTGAGTAAGTGTGTATGCTCTTGTGACAGGGCAACCCCTCCACAGGGCACGCGGCCTTGTTCGACCTTCGTAAGCCTATGTTGTGCCCAAAGCGAGCCTAGATTCTGAAATACTCGGCCACCGCTACATGTCTCTGTTTTTGTCTGGTGATGGTGGATGGACGGCTAACCAGAGGGAAATCGCAAGCGACGAACCACCAAAATGGCGGTCAAGGGTGAGCAAAGACTGGTGCGCAGGACCTTTTCGGTTCCTTACATATATCGAGGTTGGACTTGGCCCTTTCACAGCCTCAGTCGCGTTCAGGACCAGACCGATCGAGAGAACAAGTCACTCTGTACTCGAAGACTGCCGAATCGGGTTACACTTTGAGGTGCCGGAAATGTCAAGCGACCGATCAAAGAGCGAATCCACCCTCTTCGAGACGTCGCAATCTCACCAGAGAGTCCCCGGCAATCTTGTCTTCGGCGGAGCGGCCGTCGTCGCGAACAAGGGTGCTGTTGCAAAAGTCCTTGGCCGTCAAGATCATGGTGCATATCCTGTAGAATGGACGATGCAGGATAGGTATATACATAGCAATGGTTATAGGGGCATTGTGCATAGCAGAATCACGCAGGCATGATCCTAGCCATTGTGTCTTTCAGCGGCACGACCCATGGGTAACACAGGTGCTGACACCTGCCTTGTGGCATGCATAAGCAGCTAGTAGTGGTGACTTTGCGCCGCACTCTGCAGATCCTCCTCTCTCCCATCCAGACTGAGACCACTGGCGTGTCTTGACCGAATTTTATAGATGGAGTCTCGTCATACTCGACGAGGCTAGAATTTCAAAAAGGTCAATCTCAAATCGGCCGGTCAGTCTCAATGATACATTTCTGGCCCCTTTGACCGTGTTTCAGAGCTGCACGCCATCCTTGGGTTGGTTCTAGGTCGATGGAGGTTCATCCGTCATGGCCGGATGTTCTGCGGGAAAGGGGCGAGTGAGGACTGAGGATTTGGTTGTCAGATGAAATGATGGGCTCTCTACCACTGTTATGAGTCAGCCGTAAGACCAGACCAGTGAAGACCAGTGAAGACACTGTCACCAGTAGTGTGTCGGAGGCCACTTAGATGTGACGGAACAAACCAGACACACCTCTCACCAAAGCCGGAGGAGAGTAACGTGACGACGGTGATGCAGATTGGATGATTGAGGAAAGCGACTTCGGCATCTGATGAGTGAGTTACATTGAAAAAACCCCATGGTTGAGTGACGGATGGCGAAAGAGGAAGCGCAGAGAGACGATCCAATACGCACCAATGTAACCTGTAACCTGTAACCTGTACCCTGAGAGTGCGAGGGTAACCTGCCGTGCCTGCGCCCGCCCCCCGTTGGTGGGAGTGGTGGGCTGCGCTGCGGTCAATCGCTAAGGGAGAAGTCGCAGTTGCGCTCAGCTCACCGTAGCATCCCCCTCTGGTGCCCTCTACAGTTACATACAATTCCCCATCTCCATCTGCGCCTTTTTCCACTGTACGGAGCGACGGAGGAATTGATCTTTTCATTCCTACCGTGATGCCCTATGCACGGTCGGTGCCCATTTCCACTGGCACAATGCCTTGTTGACGAGCCAACCATCCGTCCAACCCCCCATCCCCATCCCATCCTCGCATCCCCCATTCCCCCCCCCATACGCCGCCCCCCAAAAACCACAGAAATTGAACGCTATGCTACTACTCCAGCAATCTCCAATACCACGGCCATTACCACTTCAACTCCCTCTTCCTGCTGGCTTCGTCCTCGCTGCTCCTGCTACACTACCGATCCTGACCCTCTCTGACTCCATGTCACGGCAGAATTCTCTTTGCTTTCCTTACCCTTGACACCTCACCTCACCTCACCACCTCAGCCTGGCCGTCCTCACCACAAACAAAAACCTTCCCTTCGAGCCCATCATGATTCTCCTTGATCCCTTCGACGACTAAGACCATCACTCGAACCTGTGAGGCGGTCTGTCGGGCCCGGCCTCCGTCACCATGACCATCATCGATTTCTTCCGCAGCATCTTGCGCCGACTGGCCGCCATGATCCTCTTTCCTTCTTCCTTCAAGACCATGAATGTCTCTGTCAAATCCCCCAACACCGAGGTCACGGTGGTCGAGGCCGTGGACAGTCTCCATTCCTTGGACTCGCTCAAGGACGAAATCATGCGCCTCTTCCGATACCCCTGTACCATGCGTCGAATGTTGTCCATGTCCTCGGCCTTCCGCATCCAATACAAGGCTAAACTTCAAGAAAGCGACGCGTGCATGCTCCCCTCCTACTGCGACACATTGCCGACAGGAAAAGAGATGGGCACCTACATCGCTCTCGACGTGGGTGGCTCCACCTTCCGAGTGGCATTGATTGAACTGCGAGGACGAGAGAGTCGACACGGTCCGATGGTGATCAAGCACATGTCCACCAGTAAGATTGACGAGCGAATACGCAAGCTCCCTGGTACAGAGTTCTTTGATTGGATGGCCAGCAGGATACATGCCATGTTGGAAGAAGAGAAGGGATCGTGGTCCCCTGACCAGACGTTGGCCCTGGGGTTGGCATGGAGTTTTCCGATCGAGCAGACAAGTCACCGGGGTGGCAAGGTTCAGGGCATGGGCAAAGGATTTGCTTGCCACGAAGAGACCATTGGTATGGATCTAGGCGAACTCATCGAGGCCGCCTGCGCCAGGAGGAAGTTGAAAGTGCGCGTCGACGCCATCGTCAACGATTCCTCTGCCACCCTTCTGTCTCAAGCTTACCTTGACCCCGCTACGTCCATGGGGCTTATACTGGGGACTGGAACGAACGCCGCTGCATATCTGCCAACATCGTGCATGGGGAAGTCCAAGTTCGGGGTGCGCGATCATTCATGGTTCGACAAGGCTGAGCGGGTCATCACGAACACGGAGGTGTCGATGTTCGGCAAGTCGATTCTCCCGGAAACGCGGTGGGACGAAGTTCTCAATCACCAGCATGTGAGGCCGGACTTTCAGCCTCTCGAGTACATGACGACTGGTCGCTACTTGGGAGAGCTGTTGAGGTTGATCATTATTGAGGGCGTTGCCACCGGGGAACTATTCCACGGCGTCATGCCCGATGTGCTACGTGAGTCCTACTCCTTGGACACCGAGATCATGGCCAAGCTTGAGCTGGACCAGACGAAGAGCATGAGAAGCTCTATCTCGATGATCAAAAAGGCTTTCGGGTTGAAAAAGAGCCCGACCGTGAGAGAGGTTGCGTTCCTCCGAGAGGCGGCCGAATCAATCTCCTATCGAGCATCTGCCTACATCGCCGTTGCCGTCCACGCTCTCTGGGCTCTGCAGAAAGACACCGATATCAACCCCATCACTCCGACCGGGATTCCCAAGACATCGATTGCGTGCAACGGCAGTGTGATCCTGAAATACCCCGGCTTTAAAGATCGATGTGAAGGTTTTATCCGACAAATGATCTCGACCGGGTCATCAGCTGGAGCCGCCTTTGGCACCGAAAAGGTCGTCCTGGAACCGACTCATGAAGCAGCTGTGTTTGGGGCCGCCGTTGCTGTGGCCCTGGCCGTCGCGCCCTGATGTGATGGGAACTCATAGACTCACAAAATCATCAACATACAACACCCTCCAGCGGTGTCCAGGTAGCCGCGAGTCAGCGGCAAAGCATCAGGTCTGGCCGCGTCAGTTGGCTCGAAATCAGCTTAGACGAGTTCCCCAAAAAGGACTGCACAGCCTTGCATCGCCTGACATCGGCGACCGGCCGACAAACAAAGTGCCAGACCCAACAGGAGATATCCCTGACCTGCTCATCATTGTTCATGTCAGCATTACCACCATCGAGATTTCGACTAGCGCTATTTGCGCGTGTTTGACGTTTTGCTCGTCTGGAGTTGGGCTGGAGGCAGATGACAGACATGGCATCTGAAACGACCCACCGAACGGTGCCCAGGGAATAGGTACAGTTTGGTTGGGTGGTTAACACAAAACTATGCGTAGGATAGAAGGAAAGATGCATTTGGGATGGGGATGAATCTCGTATGCTGGCCAAGGCATCTCAGATGGCTTTTGCTGTGAGAGCCGCGCTTCACCTTTGATGGCGGCGGCGGTGGTGGTATTTGGCAGTCAGGAATGTTTGCTCCGGTTCGCAGAGCTCCTGAAACATCTACCATGGACACAGGCACTGTACAAAGATGTGTCGTCTTGAGCATTCAGCACAATGTAACCCATTGCCCATATGCTCTGGTCTCCCTCTTTCGTTCCGTCAAGTTAGTCTTTGCATAGACGAGAGAAGCACGATAGGCATGATCAGGCAGGGGTAATGGTGGTGGTGGTCCAGCTTTGAAGCTGCGATTCTGATTCCTTCGTGGCTGGCGTTCAGCGTGGTGCGGCTTCCGATGCTATTCCGCATTCTGGCTTTTGTCTAGTTTTGTGGTTGTAGTTGTATGTCTCCGCACGGAGTGTGTGATCCGAGAAGGAAATACGTCCGCATCGGGAAGATCTGATTCATGGTGGTGAAGGGTGCAGCCGACAAACAAGACGGACAAGCTTGCGGAACCGCATTCCGTGGTGGTGTTGATCGAGGCGGATACGTGATGATGGTGATGGTGATGGTGATGATGATGATGTGATGAGGAACGGGCTACTTTCGATGAGATAGCGACGGTAAGGCATGCAGCGAATCGATGGTTGGTTGGTTGGTTGGTTGGAAAGAGGAGGACGAGGACGAGGAGGAGACGAAGACGCAGCTTGTGCCCGCAGCACTCGCCGGAGCTCCAAGGGTGCAGATCCGGGCGGGATGGTTGGTATTAGCATGTCTTCACTCTTAACTCGGGCACCACTAATATCTAATTAATACTGTAAACGAATTAATTAATTCAGTAATAGCAACTATCTTCCTATCTTACTATCTCGAGCCTCCCGATTGTTGCTCAGGGTCCCCTCGCTACCACCCCTCGACCCCCTTGGCAGTTTCTGCCCCCATCCTGCTGCAGACTTGTCCCGTCTTCCCATCCATCCATCCATCAATGCTATGTATCTATGTATCTATGTATCTACGTATTCGCATTTGTTACCCACCATGCTGATCCCTGCCTCTCTGCCCACCATCTCCTATCTCCACCTCAGCCTGACTTCCCCGACAATATTCCATTCCGCTGGCTGGGTGTTTGTGTCCTTTCGTACGACCAACGAGCTCCGTGTCCGTGTGCCGGGTACGTCGCGATCTCTGACAAAAAAAAGGAAAAGCTTGATTTCCTCCGGGGCCCGACTCCTGGTGCCCGATTGTTTCCCTCTCATCCGCTAAACCCCTCTAATATCTTTTCGATTTTCGATTTTTTGTACCTCGCCCAACAAACTCAATCCACATCCGCGCTCTCTCCCCCCTTCACATTTTGTTGGTGATGGATGGTGAAGAAGCGAAGATGGGACGGTGCAACGATGATCTGTGTGTGTCCTGTCTCCTCCTTCCATCCATTGCATACGCTGGGCATGAGGAGGACTGAGCCAAGGATGGGAGACATCATCGTCAGCTACTTCAGACCGACTGCCTAGGTCGGCGCCGGAAGTCACTCAGGGTCCATCGAGATCAGGGAGCTTTCTCGGGCGAAAGATAGATGCATAGCACCGTCACCTCAATCAGCACCAGCACCCAGCAAACGAAAGACTCCGTCCGGCGCTCCTTGGAGCGAGAGAGCGAGGCAGTTCTTACACCTCATCACAGACTGGGTTGTTGATGGGCACGGACTACTCACCGAGCCACTTCAGAAGCCAAGACTCAAGGCGACAAGAGGCAAGTGTTAATCGTTCCTCCTATGCCTTCCCTTCCGGTCAAAGAATACAAGTGAGTTTCTTGACGAAGGGGGCCTTCTTGGGGCACCATCGAGTGGGTAGCACATGATGGAGGCATCCCCATGGGCCGGGTTACCGCCACCACCGCCGTCACCAACGTCACCCCTAACACCGACAGTATAATGAAGTCACGGACACCTGCGGGCGGCTCGTTATGGAGAGCTTCAGCAAGAGGACGTCCACCGCCTGGAAGTCTATCCAACCGAAGAATTGCGAAGATTTTTCTCAGGAAGTAAGTCATCTTTCCAATCGAGAATTACCAATCCAGAGGTCGCCGCAGACGAACCCTCAGTCCTCGTGTTTGATATTCATTGCGACTATCGCTACGGAGCGCAACCGCTGCCGCTACTGCTAGCACTACGACTGCGCGGTTTCCATCCTTCCCTGGAGTTCCGAGTGTCGTGCGATGCCAAACTTGAAGGGAGCGCCCTGTGCGGGTCGTCGGGCCTCTTCCAGGGGATTACTGCTCGGAGCACTCCCGCTGATGCTGCTGCTGCTGCTGCCGCCGCCGCCACCACCACTTCAATGACTTCTTCTGGCCCGACGACATCTGCGATGTGTAGACTAGTGGAGCTGAGTGCAGGTGGGTTTGTGGATGTTGTACGGCCTTGCATCGGCCTCAGTACGCCGCCTTCGTGGCGGGAGACTAGAAGACTAGACCAGGGAGCGGGCATAAGGAAGTTCCATTGTCAGTGGAGGTGACGGGGAAAGGAAAGTGGTCCTGGGCCTTTTCTAGTGGATGACATGGAAAGGGACGAGGCGAAGGGATTCGACTTACGGACATGGATCGGTGGCGGTGTCATGTCTATGAGCGAGATATTCGACGAGGAAACGAACTCTCCACCTGTAAGTCCCTTTTTTGCGAATTACCGAGAAGAAAAAAAAGAGGAAGAAGAAGAAGAAGAGACGGTGGCAGGGAAAGGGAAAGGCACGAAGGGGAAGGTGAAGATGGTACCCACGGTTGGGTCTGTCTGTCTGTCTGCCCGCCCGCCCGTTTTTGTAAGGAATACCATACCACAGATAACATGCACAACGGCGAGGAGAAGAACCAAGAACCAACACTCTCCCAAGGTGGTGATTGACCTAAGAAAAGCGTCAACAAAAAGGGCCCCCCATCTGATCCTTCGTCTGTTCCCTCTCCTCCTCTCTTTGAGTAATCACGAACAGAAGTTGTTGTTCCTGGATGGGGAGGGAGGGAGGCAGGGAGGGAGGGCATTGAGCCTGGGCCTTGACTGAGGCGCTGCGTGTTACTATACAGTAGCTCTATAGATTATTATGTCCTTTCACCCACTGATTTAGCCCGACTTAGTATTATACTTCATCTATCTAAATAGGTAGCTTGTAGCAGTCGTCCCTGAACACATGTAATACATTTAGTACATTCAATACATTCAATCCTTTGCTTGTAAGCATGAATGTTCCCGTCTCCGCCCATACAGTCCAGTCCTTCGACCTGGACGGCCTCGTCCACCATACAGTGTCTCTCCAAGGGACTAACTCAACTAACCACCTGCAGTACATTCTGTAAAACAAGGGGCACCGAATAATACAAGAAACTAGGAAAATCAGCTTCAGCTTCAGCCCCCTGGCCGGAAACCAAACCGTGCAGCCACTGACTTGCGGTTCCGGAACTCAATCCTGCTGCGCCGTCCATGGATCCGTGATCCTTCTCGCTCGTGTCTGTCTGTCCGTCCGTCTATCCCGCCCCCGCCTGTCCCGTCCATGTATGATAATAGGAAATACTAATACTAATAAGTAAGGTTAGGAGCCTCGTGTTCGTCAACTCATGAAAAACCCATCTTCAACTTTCGATCACTGTCGTGATCAGTCGTTAGCTATCGTCGTCATTCATGTGTTGTCATATTTCATGCCACCCGTTCGTGGCTCGGGATGTATCTTGATGATTACTTTCTTTTCATTCGCTCGGTTGCGGGTGCGGGGTCCGGTGGGCAAGAATGGATAGTACAGGATAAGACTTGGGGGGTGGGTATTGGTTCTTGAAAAATGGTTCATCAACTTTTGGGGGGTATCGTCGACTGCCTCTCTATTATTCGTACATGCGGCTCCGCCGTGGGTATCGCAAGGTATAGTTCGTTCTTTTGTTCTTTGTCTGGCATTCTGGTTTTTGGATCTCCCGGCTCTTTTTGGAATTTGCATTCTGGATTCTGGATTCTGGATTCTGGATTCGTCGTTCTCGGTGCTGAGGTCCTTAGCTATAGGAGCTTAATATTTCGTCCGGCGCCGCTTCAATCTGAGGGGTTGGCATGGGTCAATCATCCAATGAGTGACCCCGGTCCAACCGTTCTCGGCGCGACTTCAGACAACATTATTTCCGCATGGGATAGATCCCTCAGCAGGGACTCGTGTTTTGCTCAGACTGTGCGGGATGGCGCGGCCCTCCTGTTTGCCTTGCCCCGCTTCGCCTTCGGGCACGATGAGAAGCGGAGTGAAGAGGAGTTCGGGGCAGCAGTGGTGACAAATAGCCATGATGTCCAGCGTATCAGTCACTCGCTCGCTCGCGCCAGAGGGTCTGTGTGGTGTGTCTCAGGGTTCCATCGCGGAGACAGCACCTCTTCGAGCCCATCGATATCTGGCCGCCCAGACGGTTCGCAGCGATGGAGGTAGCGGCTCATGAGCTGCACCAAGTCATCGCCTGCTGCAGAGGCAGGCGGAGACAATCCAACCGTCCGGCTCCGCCACTCGAAAAACATCTGTCGTGCTAGTCCAAGAAACCACTCTCGAGGGTTTGCCTCTTCGCTGAGTAATGGCGCTGTTGATGGTCCTGCTGTCGCTGCTTGTGCCGACGGAGCCGTGGGCACAGTTGACCCAGCCGCGGCCGCCTGGACACCAAGACACGCCATCCAAAGGATGACTTCCTCGTGTTGTTCCTGCCAGTTTTCCTCCAACTGCACGAGGGCGGAGAGGGCGAGCCGGAGGCGATTGACATCAAACCAAGAGAAATTACTTGGGTCTCTGAAGGACTCGGTCTGTGCTCTGGCCTGCCTCGCTTCCTCCAGGTCCGCGATGACAATCAGGAAGCTCTGCTTGATACACTCTGACAGTAAGCCCTGTGCTCGGTCACCCGGGGAACCCGGTGGCATGGAAAGTAGACGATGGACGAGGGCGTGTGCCCGCCTGGTGGCCCATTGCTCCAGGGGAGATCGGCTGAAGTTCTGGATCTGATTGTATTGATGCACCTGGAACCATTGTATGGTGTCGACGAGGATGGGCGCTAACTCAGGTTGTACCAGCGATCCATACTGAAGAAGACTGGAACCACTGGGGATGACTCCGCTTTGTGCGAGAGCGGGAAGAATTTCATCTCGCATTTGCTGACGTGGAAGCAAACCGGGATCCCAGGTAAGAGGCATCAAAGGAGTCTCGCCCGTGCCACCGGCCACCAACAGGTCCCAAAGCCAGCAGACCAGCCGCATGGGCGGTTCCAAGACCTCGAGGCCACCAAGTGACTGCACCAGGTGTTGAACCATCCGTAGATGCGTCCTAGCCCCCTCGAAGTTGTCCACGTAGCGTTCGAACGTCGACAGTGCTTTGAGATCAAAGATCAGACTCTCGTTGGGCTGTGGGGCACTGGCCAAGTGGTGTCGCAGGTATTGAAGAGCTTTACCCATGCAGTATTCGGGGGAGTCGTATCGATCCAGCTGAAGCCTCAACACGTACTTGAGAAACCCCGTGCTGGCAGCGAGCAGCGAGAACATGTGCATTCGGTTGGCGAGGCAGCCCTGCACGATGCGATCGATCGTGGCAAGAGTAGACTCGGAGGTTGGGAGTGTACCATCCAGCACCCCTAAGCCTTGAAACACCGACGGCAACCACGACTCGACGGCGTATCTGAATGCATTGTGTGACCACCACGCATCGTCGGGCGACTCCAGGTAGGTGAACGGATCAGTAGAGTTCCCCGTAAGATGTGTCATTGCAGCAGGCGAGGGCGCGGCGGAGGTCTCGGCGGAGCTGGTCTCTGAGAGCGTGCCTTGCCTCCCCCAGCCGACGATGCTTTGTGCGTGAGTGGCCTCGGTCTGGGCACTGTAGAGCCTCTGTTGGCGACGGAGTGCCGCACGCCATTGACGGGCATGACTAGTAATGGTTCGAAGTTCATCACGTTCTTGTCGGGTGGCAGACAGTCTCTCAGAATCGGGGGTCCGGTTGACCCAGAGAAAGTCTGGGTTCGAGCTGCCTGGTCGTCCTCTTCCTCGTCGCGACGACATGGTACGGTATACATGATCCAAGGGCCATGATGTATATGCCCGATGGCGACAGGGGACCGGCGGACATATCTACTTTGCGCATCTCTGAGGGTGTTCCGAATCAAGCCCGACAGGAAAAGTGGTAAGCGTAATCGATGACGGGCTAAGCACGCTTCCATTGTGTCGTTATGAGATCAAAGCAACTTCGTAAAAGCACGGTTTGACAGCTCGACGTCTGATAGTGGTCGCCATAAAGACTCAAGGGGACTGAACCGCAGGGGGGGTGGCCACTGCGGGTCGAGTAGTGCCTTGCAGGGGTTGGTATACAAAGACCGGGCCGGCATGGAGCGACAGGGGGGTCGAGCTGCGACGTGAGTGGTGCCGTGAGAAGCTGTATCCATCTCGCTCTCCACCAGCACACGAGCCAACCAGTTCTTGTCGATGGTCGACATCATTCAGCCTAGCGCCACACTGGGTGACGGCCCTCTTCCGTACTGCCTTAACCGCGACGCTGGGATCCGAATCGTACAACATGCATGCCCGTCTTTCCCTCTTTTCCAAAATCCTTTTTGCGGGAATACCCTTCGTAAACTCTGTACGCCTGCGACGAGGGGAAGCTTTTGGCTTACCTTTAGCAATCTTCATTGCCACGATCCGAATTGTGCCAACTATGAAAGGCTCCGGATCATGGCGCATGTTTCTGAGTACCTATCCTGTGGGAGCGTCTCTCCGCTGGTGCTCCGACCTTACTGCGAAAGGATTTAGTCAGCCGAGGTGCGTGTTTGGGGGTTCCCGGGGGCTGCAACTAAAGTCGGAATCTTTTCTCGTTCCTACGGATCCAAAAAATCCGCTGGTCCTTGGACCGTGATTCAAAAGGGTACGGAATACTTGCCCTTCAAGGCTGCATGGTCAAAGCAGCCAGACAGGACAATAGAGTTCACGCCTGGAACGTTGACGGGTAGCCACCGGTTCAAGAGACCGGATAGCGCCAATTTCTTGGTATATTGCGCACGGTTGGTAGGTAGACGTCACATTCACACCCTGTGAGGCATCACTCGTGACTGATATCAACGGATATTTTGGGGAGGCGTGTTGCAGATGAGAAAATTTTCCTTCTAACGGCATTGAGCATGATGCCCTGACATGCTTGCTCATTGTGCGACTCATGTTATGCAATCATTTGAGATACCTTGCCATCGTACAGCTAAATCCGCCGGCCATCTACGCAGATACATTGACCGCACCGAAGGGGAGACGGCTCCTTACCTTTTTCGTGCGGACTTTTGCCTGTGATTGAACGAAGCCCACTCGCTTGCATCCCCTCGCAGACGGGCGTGATAGTGACCATGTCGTGAGCTCGGAAATGGTTAGATTAAAATAGAGCTGAAGTGGGCTTGTCCCTTGCAGAGGTAGTTCTTCAGCCTTGCTGCAAGGTGATGAGGAAGACCTTCGTAATCGCAGTCCAGGGACTCACTGGCTGATCCCCCGGTGTGTTGTGAGTTGCGGCTCTCTTGATGTGATGTTGAGGTCATAGATTCCAAGAACCTCGGAGACCCCTAGAGGAGATGAGCATAGCAAGCCTGTCGAAGGGCCGAACTGAAGGCCGATAAGACCGACAATTTGACAGAGACCGTAATCACTATTATTTACCGTGGAGCGACGAAATGGAAAAATGTGCAGGGCGGGATCAACCAATTGCCGCTTTAGTAGCTAGCGAGACTCCGTTGCTGGTGGCGAAAGCAGCGAGAGTTATGGGCCCTGAGTCAAGCGTCTTCGCATGCGCAGTTCGCGAATCGGCGGAAGGGACAGGAACAACAAAAAGAGATGAGAAGGGCACAGACAGGGCACAATAAGGCTCTGGAGTCTGCGTGAAAAGGATGAATGTTTATGCTCTGCTCATCTCGTGTGCCCCAGCTGCCCTTATGGAGGGGCCGTTGTCCGAAACTTACCGATGCATGCAAGGCACACAGACACGCACACTATTGCCACCAACGGTTGGCGACGGTGGATACTGAGGGGAAGACCTCACTATGCTGCTGTGAGCTGGAGCTTGACAGTCACCGTGAAGACTTTGGTGGACGAGGTTGAACTTAGTAAGTTGCTTCACCCAACCCTCTCGGCGGCTTACATAGTTGTCGCACGCTCTCAGCCATGGCCTCCATCAAGGCAAACTGTCGCAAGGTCATCTGCATTGGTCGAAACTATGCGTATGCTCCCCCCCTCTCTTCTTGCATTGTGACTGGCAAATACTGACATATCCCCGTCGCAGTGATCATATTACGGAGCTTTCTTCTGCTCGTCCGGCGCAGCCCTTTTTCTTCCTCAAGCCGCCCTCCTCTATCCTCCTGCCGGACAAAGGCCCTATTGTCCGTCCCCGTGGCGTGAATCTGCACCATGAAGTCGAGCTAGGCCTCGTTATTGGAGAAACACCAACCCCGCTGAAGAATTTGCAAGCAGACGATACCCGGTTCCTCGACCACATCAAGTGCTATTTCCTGGGCATCGATGTGACCGCTCGAAATGTACAGGATGAGGCAAAGAAGAAGGGTCTTCCTTGGTCCATTGCCAAGGGCTTCGATACCTTCCTGCCCATCAGCCATGAGATCCCCTTCGATCGCATCCCCGACCCCCACAACGTCCTGCTGTGGCTGAAGGTCAACGGCGAGTACAGGCAAAAGGACAACTCCAATTTGATGTTGTTTAACATCCCCAGGATGCTGAGTGACATTAGCAAGGTCATGGCGCTCGAAGAAGGCGACATTATCTTGACGGGGACTCCCAAGGGTGTCGGACCGCTGAAGGGCGGAGACAAGGTGCAATGCGGTCTGGAGGCGGATGGACTGGAAGTTGTCGAGGCCAAGATTGACGTCGACGTTGTGGATGACGAGTCCGAAGATGGATATATTTTCAAGGAGACTTGACGTTGCGACGACTCGATGTCCAGATCAACATGACTTTGGGGACGCTATCCCGGCTGAGATTTGCAATTGGTACGCCACCTACTCTTCGTCCGTGGTGGGTAGAATAGGGATCTCTGGCGGCGGTGGCAGGGGCAGTCCTCTCCTTTTGTGCACTCGTCGACCTGTTTTGGAAGCTGACGGTCTGGAGAGGTTTGCCTTGTACAGAAACCCTTCGTCATTGCTGCTTTCTTCCACGGACATTTGCTTTTGTTGACGAAATGACACAAGTTGAGGAACCGAGATGTCGTGACGGTCTCCAGCCCGAGCTGTCGAGTGAGACTTCAGTCGCTTGGCCGGATGCCCAAGTTCAACCGCAACGGCATTTCTCTTGTGACTTTGAAGCTCTGCCGGGATCGTTGTTGACTGAACCATGCCCGTTGTCCCCCGGCCTTTTACACCTCCCCGTTCAGATCCTTGCAGACGGGCTTGCGGTTCGGTGGCCTGGTCAAACTGCAGCTGTATTTGCGTCTCAGCGCGGACATTGTCAGACTTGGTGTTGTGTTTCGATCCCTGAACTATATCTTGTTCTGAACTGTGAGTCGGTGGACCTGGTCTCGATTTGTCTTCAGCTGGTTGTCCTGTATAGTAAGCGTTGGAAATCTTTTTCTGGACTACGCGTTGGCTTCGCCGCAGCGGTGCATCGACCCCAAATTGTTGTACTTTGTATTTGCTCCCTTTTTTGCTTTTCATGCCGTCCGTATTTCGCCTCGAGTTGTCTCCTGCGGTAAGCATCGCACCCATCTGCTTTGGACGTGCTGCAGCTTCTGTCTCCATTGCTTCCCTGGATGCGTTGTCTGCGAGGAGCTGTGAGCACAAATTGCCAAAGATGGTAACATTGGCCCAGGTCCATCCACTTGAATCGAGCCACTGCCGACATTGTTTCTTATGGCTGTCCTTGAAGAGTCCATCCACAAAGTTGCGCACGATCGTCCCTTCAAAGTCATGCGGCAGGTCTTGGACAAGTTTCTGACCTTGGTCGTAGTAGGTATCCCAGCCGTCGAATCTCCTCTGTTGCAGGGTCTTGATCTCAGCGAGCTGCGTCGCCTGTGCTGGAGACGGGGACAGCATCTTCAAAGAGTCATTTGGTTGCGATCTGTGGCCCCCATGGCCAGCGTAACTGATTGTGTGTGCGTTGGCGTCGAGGTCGAGATCATCAGGCACCGTCATCTCTCGAGGTCGATGAGGTCCTGGACGGCCAAAGGTTTCGCGGCGTACATGTTTTCCATGCTGGGAACCCTGAACCTGGACCGACTCATCTGCATTGAGGTCAGCTGTCATTTGATCTGTTCAACCGGGATGATGTGTACCTGGCTCATGCTGGGGGCACCTGTGCTCAACAGTGTCTGACACATGGCTGATAGAGTCACCTGCAACAGGACCGGCGCCATGGTCACTTGCAAGTCCGTTCAGGCGAGCCTCGAGAAGATTGACAGCTGCGGCATCTGCCTTGCCACCGAGAGCGCGTTGCAGGTTTTCGAGGGAAGCCCGGGTCTGTTGATCTTGCTGGTGTTGCGCAGTCGCTCGGTTCTGACACGTCATCCGCACTGCTCCAATCTGCTCCTCAACAATCGCCCTTTGTGTCCTTTGGGTTTCCTGTATCTTGTGATATGACGCCTTGACATCTGCGGTCTCCGTTTGCACTACTTTGCACGACTGCTGTACGGTCTATATTTAACAAGCCTGGTCGGTGAGTTGGATTTCATGCCTTTCCACTAGAATAAAGGCTCTGGAGGTGGTGTCGATTGATTCCCGGATGGGTTTGATCTGGTTTTCAACGGCAACCAGGCGGTTGGCCTTCAAGTCTTGCATCTCTTCCCGCAAAGTGGCGAGCTCTTTGACACAGGTTTTGAGCTGCTCATGCAGCAGCACATTTTCTCGACGAATTTGATGGGCTCTCAGCAAGTCGATGGCATAATTGACCGTCATCTTTCGATCGGAAAGTAGAGAGGCAGGCATGGTGAGGGATGGTCGATTGATACGAGGTGTGAGGAGATGTCCACAGTGAGAAGTATGAAGCATGCAAAAGAATTTTAGTGAGACATCACTCTCCCTGCAGACGCCTTTTGTGGTACATGAACCTTTCATATTTCTACCTATCTATCGCAAAGCAAAAGAAACCATCGTTCCTGCGTTGTACATGCAAATGCACTGGGATTCTTTCTTGAGAGACAGCCAACAACGAACTGTCAGCTAAACATTAAAGAGCAGAAACGCCCGCGAGATCTGCCCACATAAGCGACATCAGCCGTTAGTTGTGACATCACCACGTCCGTGCTCATGATAAGAAAGGAAAAAAACATGACTTTTTTGTGTGGAGCGACCATCTTGAGCCAAGCAGTCGGAGACAGGCTTCATCCCACTTTTCTCGAGGAGTCGCATTTCGGTGTAGCAACAAACGCCGTCCACATGCCCGGTCGGAAGGATTAGATGAGGTCTAGGATTGTTAGCATAGCCATGACACCTTTTGGGAGTCACTTACCAGCAACGTTCATGGGCATCTCTTCGATTTGAGTGCTGTAAAATTGCTCGATTTCTCTCATCATGCGAACATCGTCAGCGGTGACGAAGTTGATGGCGACACCCTTTCGGCCGAACCGACCACCACGTCCGATGCGGTGGATGTAGTTCTCACGGTTGGCGGGGAGATCGTAGTTGATGACCAGTGAGACTTGTTGAACATCGATGCCACGCGCCAGGAGGTCGGTGGCAATCAGAACTCGTGACGATCCCGATCGGAACTCCTTCATGATCACATCCCGCTGAGCCTGCTCCATATCACCGTGCATGGCTGAGACCGTGAAGTCACGAGCCTGGAGCTTGTCGGTAAGCCAGTCAACCTTTCTTCGGGTGTTGCAGAAGATGACTGCTTGAGTGATAGTGACCGTCTCGTAGAGATCAGAGAGCGTATCGAGCTTCCATTCCTCCTTTTCGACCGCAATGTAGAACTGTTTGATACCCTCGAGGGTCAACTCCGCCTTCTTGACAAGGATACGGATTGGGTCGCGCATGAACTTGGTGGTGACTTCCAACACGTCTTGTGGCATGGTGGCGGACAAGAGGACCACTTGAGTGGATTGCGGGAGGAGTTGGAAAATGTCGTAGATTTGTTCGGTAAAACCACGCTGCAAACAAGTCAATATTTTCTGGGTGGCGACATCGAGGTTTAGAGTGGCAACTTACCGAGAGCATCTCATCGGCCTCGTCCAAAATGAACATCTTCATGCTGTCGGTCTTCAACACGCGACGCTGAATCATATCGTGCACTCGACCGGGAGTACCAACGACGACCTGCGGCCCATCCTGCAACGCCTTCATATCTTCGCGCACATTCGTTCCACCGATGCAAGCGTGGCACTCGATGTTCATGAAATCCCCAATTGCCACAACCACCTTTTGAATCTGCTGTGCCAACTCACGGGTTGGAGCCAGGATGAGCGCCTGGCAAGCCTTGAGGTTCGGGTCGATCTTCTGCAGGCACGAGATACTGAATGTCGCTGTCTTCCCGGTGCCGCTCTGTGCTTGAGCAATAACATCATGCCCCTGAAAAATTGTCAGCCTTTGATCGCTACGAACTTGATCACCAAGTTTTGGGGAGCCTTCAAACCTTTATGACCGGCATGATAGCGCGGGATTGGATCGCGCTTGGACGCTCAAAGCCGTATGCGAAGATTCCTGGCATGTGTTAGCATGGAGAACATGTTGAGGTATTGTGGTGGTATCTGGGGGACCGATGTGGTCGACAACGGGGTTGCGGCAACATACCTCGCAGAAGTTCGGGTTTGAGACCCATGGCGTCGAAAGAGTCGGTAACTTCATCGTAGTTGGACTCAATTTGAGACTCTGGGACTTCTTCGAGACCTTTGTCGGCCATGATTGCGGTTAGAAGTTGAATTTGCTGTTTTGCGAAATTTTGCTGAGAGAGGTGATTTTCACTCGCTGAAGAGTGAGTATGCGTCAGTTGAAAGTGATGTGAAATATGTAGAGAGACAATCTCGAGAGCGAGAGTTGTCGTGGGTGTGGGTGGGATGTCTTTAATGAAGAGGTGAAGGCGAAGGGAAATAAAAAATTTCGATAGAAGCGTCCAGAGGAACTAGTCGCACGTGAGTGGCTTGGCAGGGTGGCGAACTTACGAACGACAGGCTTGGTCACCTGATACCCGCCAAGTGTATCAGCCTTGTCAGCCTCGTCGACAGCGACGTCCTTTCGGTGGCAAAGGCCACGGCCTCGTCGTAGACAGCCTCTTCTTCTACACATTAGCATTGGTGCGCTTCTATAAGATAACTCAGATCGTGCTGGTCTTTGGTGTGATAACTTCAGCTACAGCCGGCATCTAAGTCTAAACCACAACCAATATCCATCAATGTTTCTATAGATGTCAGATTCACATCCGACACTGGATGTGCTATACTCCCGTCTGTGTACACCGACAACGCAAAGGATTCTAAATGTCTTTCAGATGCCTTGGAAGTCTTAAGCAATCAAGGTTCCGCATGTATTCAAAACAGTTTTCTCAACCAGGATACCTATACAGGCAGCGGCGTGCACATCCGCCCAGAGCACCACCTCTCACCAAATCCGATCCAGAGGGGCTCTCGGACACGGAATCCAGTCCAAGGGGCCATCGGTAGAGCAGACAATTTGCGTCACTTTCTGCCCGACGAACAGTCGGAAACATTTGGAGCTTGAAATTGCTCGCTTGGCACTTCGGTATCTAAGACTTGAAATCACCCTGTATCAACACGGAGAGTCACATAAAGAACGGAATGATCCTGCTTCCCCTCTCTTTCTATTATGGAACCGATAAAACATCTTGGTATGACGGCTCAAGAGGGACTCACCCTCCCTTAAAGTATGGTCACAGTGAAGCCGTGGAAGGAGATATTAGTCCGCATACCTGTGGATGAATCCTTACAGCAACAACCTTTCGCACGGCCAATTTCGCATCAATTGCTCGTCCTGAGTTTCCACTCGAGCCCGACTCTGTATTCTCTTGAGACCAAGCTCTCTCAGCCCTCGATATTTTTCCGCGGCGGATCACCACGAAGCTATAGAAATGTGGAAGAGTTGATGAGGGGTGGTGCTCTAGGCGGATGTGCACGCCGCTGCCTGTAAAGGTATCCTGGCTGAGAAAGCTGTTTTGAATGCATGCGGAACCTTGATTGCTTGAGACTTCCAAGGCATCACGGGGATGGGAAAGGATGGTAAAGCTTTTTTCTATATAGTTGTTAGCCATATAATGACTGTAATTGTTGTAGTATAACAGAGGCGGAAACATGTATGGTGAATGGTAAAGGTAAAGTTCGATCACCTATGGAGGACGTTGATGGAGGCCGATTGGCGGTGTGGCCGCTGTGGCCTGAGTTAATTAATAGCGCTGGGGCGCTGGTCTCCAACCAAAGACTAGCGTTTGTCGTGTTGTTGTATTGTAACTTTTTTTCTGACCGTCCACCTCCTAGCGCACAAAATCTCCAAAACGAATGAGCCAAACCAGCATTCTCCAGACAGGGCGGACTCTTGCCGCAAGCCCAACCTATGTCGACCATGGTATGTCTAGCAAGAACGACGCTGTCGTCAATGCAGAGACTTCACCAGAATTCGAAGCCGATCAGCATCCCCTGGGCGTGAAGCCGGCTGGGAACGGCCTCGACTCCCAGCACAATGCACAGACCTTTATGGGATCCTTTGGGCTTCTGCCGGACACCTTGCTCTTGATTCTCCTGGAATCTCTCAACCGACAGAGCCTTGCCAACCTCGGTGCAACCTGCCGAGGTCTCTACGCCTACTGCACGTACGACCAGCTATGGAGAGATATTGCCGTCAACGAGATGGACGAGGGGTTTGAGTGGCGAGGCAGCTGGCGAGCATCACTTCTGCACCTCCCGTCCGCAAGGCTGGCCAAGGTGGATTGCCGATATGTCTTTTCCGATGCTTTGTATCGGCCGTTCCAATGCTCCCGCACGCCATTGGGGCCATACGTCTCACACATTCCACCCGCGAATGAGATTCCGCGATTGGACGACATCTCTCCAGAAGAGTTCAATGAGTCCTGGGTAAGCAGGCCATTCATCCTGACGGCACCTGTGAAGAAATGGGAGGTCTTCAGGGCGTGGGACATGCAGCATCTCCTCGCGAAGCATGGGGACGTTTCGTTTCGTTGCGAAGCCGTAGACTGGCCGCTGAAGACCTACGTTGAGTACATGGAAAGTTCCACGGACGAGTCGCCATTGTACCTTTTTGATCGAGCCTTTGTGGAGAAGATGGGGCTGCAGGATGCGTATGAACCGCCCAAGGCATTCCAGGAAGATTTCTTCACCCTCCTCAAAGACCAGAGACCAGATCGACGGTGGCTGATCGTTGGACCTGAAAGAAGCGGTAGCACGTTTCACAAAGACCCGAACGCCACCAGTGCGTGGAATGCCATCATCAGAGGCTCAAAATATTGGATCATGTTCCCGAGCTCGATCCTCCCTCCTGGAGTCTACATGTCTGAAGATCAAAGCGAGGTCACTTCGCCATTGAGCATTGCCGAGTGGATGTTGTCGTACCACGCGGAAGCTCGGAGGACCAGTGGTTGTCTTGAGGGCATCTGTCGAGAAGGCGAGGTCCTCCATGTCCCGTCGGGGTGGTGGCATTTGGTCGTCAACCTGGAGCACGCGATTGCAATAACCCAAAACTTCGTCCCTAGAGCTCACGTCCGATCAACGATTCGCTTCCTCAGAGACAGGGCAGACCAAGTCTCCGGATTCAGTGACAAAGTGACAGACCCATACAACCTCTTTATGGATCGGTTAAAAGAGACTGATCCTGACTTGGCGGCATCTCTCGACGATTCTCGCAAACGCAAGTGGAAGCAAGTTGTGGGTCAAGACGAAACGGAGGAAGAGCGGCAGGGCTTTAGCTTCGGATTCGGTGATGATCTAGATGAGGATGAATGAGAGGTTCTATCTGCCTGTGCGCCTCAGTGACATGCCGCCGTTTTGGTGGGCGAAGTCTTGTAACTGAATGTCAAATATCCGATGAACGCCCCCACCGCTACCGCCGCCATGACGAATCCGTTGTAGGTCATGAAAAGGAGCCTCAAGTCGATTAGCCAAGATCACCGCAAAAGGATTGGGCCGTACATGATGAAGAAGCTGTAGAATACTTGCAAGGCATAGAGGCCCGCTCTGGTGACGGTGCCTTGCTGCCCTGCTCCATCCCTCGAGTCCGATCCTGCAAGCAGTGAGCTTGATTCCTCTGGACGACCTGGAGTGTCTCAGCGAGGGCGTAGCGGAACGTCCAGCAGCATGGCAACGTACTTGTGCTGTATGCGTTCATTGTGGCATTGCATTTCTCGTCATATCTCCTGCTGATTTCCCGAACAAACTCGTAGCCTGCCGTAAGGAGGGCGATGGCGACCAGAGAGAGGAGGAGTGACATGGGTCCTGTGACTCTCCATGACTCGAAAACGATACAGAGGCCTTTCACTTGCCAGTTGAAGAGCATCTGGTGTCTGTCAGTGATACCCCTAGATAAGCCCACAGTCATTTGAAGACTCACATTCATGGAACATTGGCCACCGTCCATACCGCCATGACCCATTCCACCATGGTCCATACCGCTGTGGTCCATCTCGCCAAAGAGATTGTTCAAAGTATGAAGAAGGGTGGTTGAGTGAGTGATGGCGTGAGTGAGACGGTGAAAGTTGCTCTGGCCGCCAAAACGCGGTTAGGTACTTCGCCGAAGTAATAGCGCGTTAGCCACTTCCGCAGTCATATGTAGAATTTCTTGTCCACCCTCCCACCTCTACCTCAGCGACTCACGACACCGTTCCCGTTCAATTGACTCACAATGGCTGAGAATGTCCCTCCGGGCTCAGGCTCCGTGGCAAAGCCTACAGCAAACGGCGACCGGCCGGGATTGCCTTGTAAGTGGTGCCCACGAAGGACGTCTTCGGCGCATGCTGCCCCAACGGCACTCGATCCTGACGTGGAACAGACTACGAGAAATTGAGGCGGGATCTACGGGACACCTTACAGAAGAAACGACTCCTCGATCGGAATCTAGTGAGTCTTAGAATCTGTGCGCAAAGGTCTAGAATGAAGCTGATGTCTCAGGCTGTCATTGAGGACCAGATCTACCGGCAAGAAACGGCGTACCTTGAAGAAACCGCAGTCGCAGGCAACATCGTCAAAGGCTTCGACAACTACATCAAGGCATCTGCAGTATCGGCAGCCGCCAACTCAGCGGGCGGGACAATCTCAGGCAGCGCAGTTGGTGGCGGGTTGGGTGCAGGACGCCGTAAAGCGGTCATCAACGACACAGACCGAGTGTTCTCCAAGAGCTCAGTATCATACATGAGAGATTCGGACTCCCCCAGCAGCGCCACGAGCACACCCAACCACGCAGCTACGCCGACGGGAAGTTTCACGGCGGAGAAGACGGGTGACAAGAAGAAGAAAAAGAATGCGGCTGCAAACGACGAAGACACAGAAGGGAGAACTACCAAGCGCCAGAAGATTAGTTTTGGGGGAGCACGCAGGAACCACGACGACTAGAGACAGACGGGGTCGATATTTGGGCGTCTGGACACATGGCAGGGCGACCACGGGCATCATTGGAGACTCGTTATTGGGGTCAAGTGGGAGGCCAGCGTGCGTGAGTGAATGCCTCGGCTATCCACCTCGGTCTCTGACAACCTTGGAACTTTTCATCATCTTTCCGACCACATATCAGCATCAATCTTTGGACTTGTTCAATGTTTTCCAGGCGAGGATCGACCATCAGCAGGTTTTCGTATCTTGTACTGTGTAGAAGGGCGCTCTCACAACATTCTTCGATCAACATGCCGCGTCTCTCCCCAATCTCGGCGGTATGTTCCAGAAACCAGGCAATTTTCTCCCACTAATTGTCCCTTCCAGAAAGCCATTGATCGGTTGAGATCGTACAAATCTCCAGAAACAGTATGGCAGACAATGCCGCTCACGCGGAAGGCTGCCGTCTTGATTCTACTTTTCGCAGACCCAAATGGGGAGCTGAGAGTGGTCATCACCATGCGAGCAAGCACCCTAAGCTCATATTCCGGCCAAGCTGCCTTACCGGGCGGCAAAGCTGAAGAGGGCGAGACAGCCTTTGAATGCGCGAGGCGTGAGGCTTCGGAGGAGATAGGTCTTCCTCGGCGTGCATCGGCTCTACCACGACCTTTCAAAGTCGAGCATTTATGTGAGATGGCAACGAATTTAAGCAAGAACGCACTTGTAGTTCGTCCTTGTGTTGCATTCCTACATTCTTACGACCCAGAGACTGGGGAAGATGCCAATGTGGGAGAAAAGCTACTCCCAAGGCTGGACGCGAGAGAAGTAGCGGCGGTCTTTTCGGCCCCCTTCAGAAACTTCCTGTACATGGAAGATCTGCCGGATCAACCAAATCTCCCGGGCAAACCAAGTGACTGGTACAAAGGAAGCTGGACAGACTGGCATCAGAGTCAATGGCGCATGCACAATTTCTTTGTTCCCGTCACCAACCAGATCGTCTCCAAGCCGAAAAGAAGTGAAGATCAGAAGGCTGCGGCAAGCCACCTGGACAAATATTCTAGGTACCGGGTATTTGGCATGACCGCCCGGATTCTCGTCGACGCCGCTCGTTATGCCTACGACCAAGAACCCACCTTCGAGCACAATTCTCACTTTGGAGACGAAGACATGATTGTCCGCTTAAGAAAAATTGGCTTTTTGGGTGAAATCAGAAACCGGGACGATGAGTTGTCCAAGGAAGACCTGGTCAAAGCTGCAAACCTCTGAGCACCATCCCTCAAATTCCAATGTGATGCTTCACCCCTCATTTGCCAACACCTGAGGAATGTGGCAATCAACTTGAAAATTTCTGCAAAGTTGTGTCTGCTGCGTGTATATGCGAGCGTTGGTGGCAGTATCGTGAACAATAGAGCGTCCATTGAGCACGGGTCAACATGTACAATGCAGCTGAAAACGGTCCTCTTTGTCTTGTGTTGCGGGGTGTCGGTTGCGTCGGAGCCTGCAAATCTTCAACCATGGAGTCGAAGGGAAGGTGGTGCATTCCGAGACAGGAAGAATCCCCGTTGTTCAAGAATGATGTTATATCCAGCTATTTGATTTCGGACCGAAATGAGCTTGCGGCAAGGATCATCCCATCCATGGCGGCTGACCTCTCCGCCACCATCAAAGGCACTGCTGGGACTGCAGAGGCAGGGCTTGGAGTTGTCAGTTTCTCCTCCGCCAAATACTCTCCGACCGACCTCAAATCACGCGTCCGGGAGATCGACGCCGTCAGATCGGGATAAGCCATTGCCTCTGGAACCATCGGAGGAGAAGAGGAGGTCGTCGAGTGTATATAGTACCGATACGACAATCACCAACATCATCCGCATGTATGGCGGAGGCTATCGTGAGTTGGACGACATCTCACCTTTGCCAACGCTGCATCATCCGCAGGCCTATCGAGACACCGTTGCGCCTCTTCTCATCAGGCGACTCAGTCTGGACCATAGCCCATCACTGGGGGTGAAGGATGCGCCACGCGAGGCAGTCTCGATCTCCTCGCTCAGATCTGCTGCTACTTCTGCCAATGCGGTCCCCAGCAACAAGACGGCTCCTTCGTTCACTGAGTTCTCCCGTCAGCTCCAAAGGCGCCGGAACGAACTGGTCTCGCCGCTTTCTGTGTCCTCGGCAGACCTGCATCGACAAGCGGCGTACGATCAACTGGCTCCGCCCTCGCCGCAAGTCTCGTCCGTTGGCCAGCCCGTAACACTCTCTCAAACCCCACCCTTGCTTGATGCCATGTCCGGGACGGTCTCCGACACTGACGATTCCGACCTTCTTCCACCCCCATTGGGCTTGAGTAGCTCGAGTCTTCCGAGTCCACCCTTCGATGACTGGGAAAAGCCCGCTGAATTCGATCCTGCCCGACATCATGATCCCTGTGTAGAACAATTGCAACCGCACAACGATGGCAGAAGTTGGTCACAAAATTGGTTGGAGGATGGTTCCCTCAACCAGAGTCCAGAGTCTTCACCGCTTGAACCACAGCCCCGGAAGAGCTTCCGACTGAGAAGAAGTTCGACGGAGAAGGAACGAGAGAGGGTGATTTCTTATGCTGAGACCAAGCATCCAGCCATGAAAAGAGACGGTGCTGAGCGGAAGACGGCCCGCAATAGCAGCGCGAGATCTAGTCTGCAACAGAACGTTACTCACTTACTCCGGTCTCTGTCGCGGAAAGGAGCCTCGGGCGGCAAAGATAGCCATGGGCAGGATCTTCCACGAGAAAGACAGCTGGCTATTCCTGCAACGCCGTATCAAATGTACGGTGCTGAGGTCTTCTCGGACAAACTGCAGAAGAGGCAGCAAAAAGAGGCGCGGGAGGCACAGCGGACTCGTCAACGGGGAAAATCAGTCAGTCTCGTTACGGCCTACCAGAACAGTCAAAGTCAAATCATCGGCGTTCTCGAAGGGGCAAGACGCAAATTGAGGCGGAAGTCATCGCAGAAGAGACAGCGCAAGTTGAAGGACAGTATCATCGTCGTTGGCCCAAGTGCGCCGACGGGGGCTGAACACGCCATGAATCAATTTGCAGTCAACGGCGACAACTCATGGATCTAAAGGCGGTGATTGTCTCTGCCGCAGAGAAGTAAGATATGTACTGGACATGTGCGACAGGGTCGGTCTGATAGAGGAACATAGAGACCATAGAGACCATAGAAACCCGGCAAAGCTGCAGTGTTTACGTTTCTCCAACAACGCAGTCAGCATTGACCAGAGCCGCAGCAGCTAGCTAAATACATACCCCGCAGCGTCAAGTCATTGAAGCTGTCACCGACTCTTCTGCGCTCTGTATCCCTTGTGCTTCAAGCCACGTCTCTCGTTTGACCTGTTTGCCCAAAAAGTTGCTCTGATAGCTATCTTCCCGTTGCATCCTAACCTTCGCTCAAGCTTAGAACAATGGGGGGCGAGACGTCTTCTCGTGCTACATCGTCCTACCCAAGACTCAGCGCCCATCCCGTGGGACAAAAGATTCAGAGCATCTATACCGATCGCTTACGGCAATTCACATCTGGCGGCCAATACGAGAAGGAGAATCTCCTCGACAAGCTCTACCACAATGTTTGCGACGACGAAGAGCATGTGAAGCTCTCCGTCTACTCTCCACCCAACCTCTCCAGACCTACTTTTCAGGATGCCACCTCCCATGCCTTTCGTCCAACACATCGTGGTGAATCCTTCGGACCCGCGTGGGCGACCCATTGGTTCAAGATTCAAATCACTGTGCCGAAACACATGCTGGATGGGGAACATCTAGAGTTCCACTGGGATGCAAACAATGAAGGCATGGTATGGACGGAGGATGGAAACCCTCTACAAGGCCTAACTGGTGGAGATCGGGTTGAATGGATTCTACCGACCAGTTGGCGGGATGGGAAAGAGCACGTCTTCTACATTGAGATGGCGTGCAACGGCATGTTTGGCAATGCACCGGGAGGTGACAGCATTCAACCCCCGGACCCAAACAAGTACTACATGCTTTGGAAGGCGCAGATTGTGGATGTCAATCTGGCCGCTCGTCAGCTGTACGTCGACTTTTGGATCATCGGCGACGCTGCTCGAGAATTTCCTGGTGACAGCTGGGAAAAGCACGAAGCCTTACAGGTCTGCAATCAGATCATGGATGCGTTCATCGCCGGTAACGGATCCGCTGCTTCGATTGCAAAGGGCCGTGAGATCGCCCAAAAATATATCGGGAAGAAGGTCGATTCAGCCAAGGTCTATGACTCCGATGAGAAAAGCATCGTGTACGGCATTGGACACTGCCACATTGATACGTGTTGGCTGTGGCCGTGGGCAGAGACCAAGCGTAAAGTTGCACGAAGCTGGTCCAACCAGTGTGACTTGATGGATCGATACCCAGAACACCGGTTCGCGTGCAGTCAGGCACAGCAGTACAAGTGGCTGAAGATGTACTATCCCTACGTCTTCGACCGGGTCAAAGCCAAGGTCAAGGAAGGGAGATTCCATCCCATCGGTGGCAGCTGGGTCGAGCACGACACGAATATGCCCAGCGGCGAATCCTTGGTCAGGCAATTTCTGTACGGCCAGCGGTTCTTCGAAAGCAACTTTGGTGAAAGGTGTCAGACTTTCTGGCTTCCCGACACGTTCGGTTATTCTGCTCAGCTTCCGCAAATATGCCGTCTTGCAGGCATGACACGCTTCTTCACTCAAAAGCTCAGCTGGAACAATATCAACAACTTCCCGCACACGACGTTCAACTGGGTGAGTTTGGATGGAAGCCAGGTCATCTGCCACATGGCTCCCAGTGAGACATACACGGCTGATGCAAACTTTGGAGACGTCAGAAGGAGCGTCACGCAACATAAAAGCATGGACCAGGACAACACATCGCTGCTCGTCTTTGGCAAGGGCGACGGCGGAGGTGGGCCCACCTGGTCAATGCTGGAGAAGTTAAGGAGATGCCGTGGCATGAGCGACACGGTGGGACTTCTCCCTCGTGTGCACATGGGAAATTCGGTGGACGATTTTTATGCAAACCTGGAGAAGAAGGTTGCGGAAGGTACCGAGCTCGTCACATGGTACGGCGAGCTCTACTTTGAACTGCATCGCGGCACGTACACGACACAAGCCAACAACAAGCTCAACAATCGGAAGCAGGAGATTATGTTGCACGATGTCGAATATCTGGCAACTTTGGCCAGCCTGAAGAGCAAGAGCTACAAGTATCCCAAAAAGGAGATCGATGAGATGTGGGAGAATGTACTTCTTTGCCAGTTTCACGACTGCTTGCCTGGCAGCTCCATCGAGATGTGCTATGACGACTCGAACGCCCTTTACGCCCACAACGCCAAACTGGGAGAGAAGGTGAAAGAGGAGGCTCTGACGGTTTTGGGACTGTCCCAGCACCTCAAAGCCAACGCGGAGCTTGCGGCCGTCAACACCGCTCCCTGGAAACGTTCGGAGCTGGTGAGGATCCCGCATGCCACCGCCAAGTCGCAGGAACAGAAGTACACATACGTATCCGGCGGGCCGGGTGTATGTAAGACGCACGCGGCGTCGGCGATTCAATCGACGGCCTCGGTTGAGGAAGTGCGGAAGGGGGTCTTTGTCTTGAAAAACAGCTTGTTCCAGGCGGAAGTCGAGGCGGGTTGCATCACATCGTTGATTGACCTGAGAGCTAATCGAGAAGTGATTGCCAAGGGCGGCAAGGGCAATCAACTGGTGATCTTTGACGACAAGCCGTTGTACTGGCAGGCCTGGGATGTGGAGGTTTTCCATCTCGAGTCCAGGAAAGAGCTCACGTCGGAAGCATCCGAGATTGTTGAACATGGACCGTACCGGGTGAGCGTGGCGACCAAGACACAGGTGAGCAAGGACAGCTGGGTCAAGACCACGATCAGTCTCGACGCATGCGACAGCCAGACCCAAATAGGGTACGTGCGGGTGGAAGCCGAAGTGGAATGGCACGAGAACATGAAGTTCTTGAAGGTCGAATTTCCCGTGGACGTAGTCAACACGGAGGCCAACTACGAGACTCAATACGGAATCATCCGCCGCCCGACACATTACAACACGAGGTAGGATTCGGCAATGTCTGATTCGTGAACAATCTTGAATGCTGACGATTACAGTTGGGATATGGCCAAGTTCGAAGTGTGCTGCCATAAGTTTGCCGACCTCTCCGAGGCCAATTATGGTGTGTCAATCCTGAACGACTCCAAGTATGGGTTTGCGACATGCGGCAATCTCATGCGGTTATCACTGCTGCGGGCTCCCAAAGCACCCGATGCGCACGCCGACATGGGCCGTCACCACATCAAGTGGGCCATCATGCCTCACCAAGGAGCGCTGGGCAGCGACACTGTCCGAGCGGCGTACAACTTCAACCATCCGATGACGCTGGTGTCGGTGGTGGACGCCCGACCTCCCAAGGAGCTCTTCAATGCCGTGAGCGTTACAGGCGCGCCATCCTTGGTGCTGGACTGCATCAAGCGAGGAGAAGACGACGAGGACGTCTCCCGAGGAGAACTCACCCAGCGAAAGGGACAGAGTGTGATACTAAGAGTTTACGAGAGCCTGGGCGGTAAGAGTCGCGGAGTGATTGAGACGACCCTACCGGTCAAAAAGGTGTACGAGACCAACGTGTTGGAGGACGACGGCAAGCAACTAGACATGTCCGGGAAGACCAAGATCAGTATCCCGATTGAGTTGCGGCCGTTTGAGGTCAAGACATTCCGGTTGCAGCTGTAGATGTTGTTACGGGTCGAAGAGATGGAGCTGCTATCTTTGAGATGCAACAAAAGTATCATTCTCTTCCACTACAGAGTATCATATATTGTGACAGGAAAGGGGCATTCTCTACCTTCTTTACAGAAAAATCTGATAGGGATCGAAGGAAGAGTGGAAATTGGCTTTCCGTGGCGCCAGACTGGCCGGTTTGTGCGCGACAAGGCTGAAGCAGTCGGATATGTTTAGCGAACCAGAGTTCCGGTGAAGTCCTTCTCCTGCAATTTCGGCGCCGACAGAGATGGAGACGGAGGGAAGCCGGGGGAGGAGGAGAGAAGTCAAACGAGGGAATAGGCGAGTATCTGGCATCTAGGCTATCTATCAGGAAGCCCATGACCAGTCCGGTGGGATCTTGTTGGCTTGGAGGCCTGGAGCAGCCCTGGAACCCTAGGGCCTAGAGGCCCCCGGGTAGTGCCGGCCGTGTGTATCCCTGCCGCCCCAATGCGCCCGTCAGCGGCCCAGGACCGTTGTGAATGGAGGGATGAATTTAGCTCCATATTCGCTAAGCAAATCAGACAATTTCTTCGCCAGTTGTCCTCGCCTGCGGCCTGCACCATGAGCCATTCACTGTCCGCCAAATCTCACAACACAACAACCCAAATGCTTCAGCTTGATTCTTTGACGCTTGACTTGCGATTCGGCACGAGCCCCCCCCAAAACTATGCTTAGGCGGCCCTGCTGCTGCTGTCACGTCGTTTGTTTACCTCCCTGTGTCAACCGGTCCAACCAGCCGTCGCCCGTCGCAGCAGCGACACCAACACTCGCCCTGCCTCCCCCTTGTCTATCATTTTCCCTCACAGCGTCTACGACATCCGTATCTTGAGCAGCCAACGGTCGATGGTTGCTACCAGTGTCTCCTGTATCTGACGACGTTGGACCGTCCCGTTTCCTGCTCGACTCTCCCTCAGTCCGAGGTCCTTCCCCACAACTTCCCGGCGGACTGCAGATCTCTCTTCAATGGACACCGCAACGTCCACCGTGGCTTGAATCGCCGCTCGGCTTCCCTTCCCCCTCCGCGAAGATTCGAGACAAAAGGAAAGCAGCCGGTCTGATCGTTCCGACCGCCTGGCATTAGCATCGAGCCCGATCCTCCTTGTTCCCGGAAGAGCCTCCTTCGCCCGCCGCCATGGCGACCGTCAGCGTGGGGGACACCGTCATGGTCCCCGGCGACATGCATGGCGTCGTCAAATTCATTGGCCCTGTCGCCGGGAAAAAGGGAATATTTGCAGGCGTACAACTCGCGACGGAGTATGCGCCTCGCGGCAAGAACTCTGGTGAAGTGGATGGAAAATACTATTTCAGAACCTCGATCCCGGGCTCAGGCATATTTCTGCCTCTGGAGAAGGCTGTAAAGAAACCCGGCAGTTCGGGCAGTCTGGGACCGGGAGGACTGGGACTCAGTGGTCTCAGAGCGAGTCCTGGGCCCGGGACACCCACCAACAGACTGGCCAGCTTCAATCAGGGCGGGAGAACACCCGGCGTGACGACGGGTATTGCAAAACCCTCCTTCAGTCAGTCCATGGGTCCGGGCGCCATGAGACCGTCGGGCGCCGCCAGCCCGGCCCTCAAACCGCCACCCCTGAGAAGGGAATCCCTCCCACGACCCTCGAGTCCGCTGCGAAAAATCAATACGCCTACACCCAGAACACTGGCCACGCCGAAGACGCGGCCCAGCGGTATTGGTCTCGCAAAGAGCACCAACGGAGGAGGACCAGGCGGGCCTTACGCCAAACCGGGCCAGCAACGGGGTGTCAACAACTTCAGCCAGAGCTTGCGACAGGGCAGCTCGACCACATCCGCAAGCCCGTCGTTAGGGCCTGAATCGAGTTTTGACGAAATTCCCGAGCAAGAGGCGGAGTCCACGCCCACGCCCACGCCCAACTTTAGTAGAAAGACGACTGAGACCAACGTGGAAAAGTACGAGACCAAGATCCGCGAATTGAGCGAAGAACTGGAGAACGCGAGACGCCAACTACACGATCAAGGCACGAGTTTTGCCGAGATGGAGCGCAATTTCAACGAAATACAAAAGCTTCTACCCGGCCTGGAGGAAGACCAGCAGGTCGCGAAAAGGAACCGGGAGGACGGCGAAGAAGACCTACCCCGGGACATCGTTTCCCTGAGGGAAGCGCTCCGGGAGAAGAACGACAAGATCAAAATTCTCACGGCGGAATTTGACGCCAATCGTGCGGATTTCCGCTCGACGATCGATACGTTGGAGATGGCGAGCACCGAAACCGAACGTGTCTACGAGAAGAGAGTCGATGAGCTGTTAGAAGAAGTGAGAAATCTCCAGGACCGAAGCGAGGATGTCGAAAACGTCGCACAGCAACTTAAGCAGTTGGAAGAACTGGTGCAGGAGCTCGAAGAAGGCCTCGAGGACGCGAGGCGAGGAGAGGCTGAGGCGCGGGGAGAGGTCGAGTTCTTGAGGGGCGAGGTTGAGAGGTCGAGAAGCGAGTTGAGGAGGGAGAAGGAGAGAATGAAGACGGAAGAGCAACTCAACGGTGGCGGTGGCTATTCGTCTTCCTCGAAGGTGCAGGAGCTCGAAGCCCAGTTAACCGCAAAGGATGATGAGATCCGGGGCTTGAAGGCCATCATCCAGAATCTCAACGCCAACAGCCCCAAAAGACCCAACGGCATCACGGTCACGAATGGACATCAGAGAAAAGACTCGACGCTCAGTGGTGACGCTGGAGAGGATGCCCTGCAGCAACAGATCCGTGATCTTGAAGTTCTCCTACAGCAAAAAAGCGCCCACGAAGAGGAACTGGTGCAGGAAGTCCGACAGCTCCGGAATAGCGTCACACTTTCCAAGTTCCCTATGCCGATGGGTGGCACTGCATTTGGCATCCACACCGGGATGCGCACGGGGCACTCGAGGGGCAACAGCGAGGAATTGGATCGCAAGCACCTCAGCACTGGCAGTCAGCGGACGGTGGTCCTTGGGCCGGTAAAACGAAACGGCGCAAATGGGCATGAGCGGCAAGACAGCCAACCCATCGGTGAGGAGTCCTGGCATGATGCTCCCTCGGGGGGAATGTCGCCGGTCAGACAGCATCACGATTATGACACTGGTGCGCGGGAACGTGAGAGGTCCGATGACGGCGTAACGGATGTCTCTACTTCTGAAAGCGCCGTGTTATGGTGCGAGATCTGTGAAGAAGGCGGGCACGACATCTTGACCTGTGGAAACATGTTTGGCCCCGGCAAGAAGATGACGACAGACGTCGAACCGCCTGGTGTGGACGACAAGAATGGCAGAGATGTCGTGGGAGGGGACGTTGACCATACTGAACAGACGCTGGGCGTGACAGCAGGACCACGGGATCCCGATCGACCACTTCCCCTGATGAGTCGCAAATCGACGAATAACACCATCACTTCGCCGTCGGACGTGCACCCGAACCCACCGCCGACAGAAGACTTGCCTTCGCCGCCGGTGGCAATGGAAGCACCAGAATCTCCAACTTCGAAGATGGCGCATGCTCCCCTTCCCTCCACCTCCATGCCCGCTGCTGCTCCACCTCCACCTCCAGCTCCTACGAAACTCATCGAAGGCACGGGTGCACAAGCGGGCATGTTGGCCGGACGGTCAACGGGCGTCATCGACCCGGAGAAGTGGTGTGCATTGTGTGAGCGTGACGGACACGACAGCGTCGACTGTCCCGTTGAAGAGGCTTTCTAGAGGGGAGATCTCTTTTGAAAATTGCGATGCGGGTACGAAAACAACAATCAACGGTGTCGTCGACCGGCGAGGCTGGAGTAAGCCTGGTTCTGACAAGAGAGGGGAGTTACTGTCGAGTTACTGTCGATATATACCCCCTCCTCTCTCTTTCCCTCTGTCGTGGTGAAGGGTTTCAGGGAAATGAAGAACTATGACACCAGGAGGTCCCTCGTGTGACTGCTGTCGGGAGTTTGTGGAATGGTATTGGGAAAAGAAACGAAACGGAGCCCAGATGACTACAAAAAGGTGCTCGGATCGTCCATCCATCCATGTGTGTGTGTATTAAAGTGGGTCGGTAGTGTAGATGTGTAGATATGTAATCTCCTGTTTTGTCCTGCTTAGTTACTTACTGTACTTATTGCACTTACTTGCCTGCTTTGCCTGCTTATGCTTGAAGAGAAAGCTGTATTTGTATAGATTTTGACTCTTTTTTTTTTGACCGATCTGGAGTGGAATTGTAGATATGTATATACCACATGTATACATAGGGAGTATATATTATTGTCCTATAATAATTACTACGGGGCATAAAGCTGTGTGTTGTCTGTCCAGAGCTGCGTCTATATAGTATATACTCGGTATACAGTATATAGTTAAAGCCAAATACAATACACACAGAGCAGCCAAGCCGATCCAATCGATCCCATCAATTCAATCCAATGACTATTGTGACTGTGACTTGACCTCCTGTGTCCCTGTGTCCCGTCTCGTCCCGTCTCGTCTCGTCCAGTTGTCTCGTTGTTCTCCTTTCATCCCTGCCTAACGTATAGGCCTCGCGAGCTTCTTCATCACGTCCAACGTCCAGGGCACATCCTCCGTCTTCATCCTGCCCATGCCGCACTCGGTGGCAATGCCCCACGTGAGAGGCGGCGTTCCTGGTACGCCGGTGCCGTCGCCGTCCACGACCCTGCGCGCCGTCTCGATGCGTCTGACCGTGCCGGCCTCGTCGCCCTCGCGCACCAACCCCAGATACAGCACCGTGCCGTGCGCGCGGAGCAACGGGAGTAGATCGACCAGCGGCGCGAAGTAGGCCTCGTCGTCGCGCCCCCGCGGCACCGGCATGTGGATGTAGTTGACGCGCCGGCCGAGACGAGGCAGGATGGCCAGGGCCGCGCGCACCATGGTCCGCGTGTCGGTTGGCTCGAGGAAGTGCTTGTGCCCGAAGTCGCCGTAGCAGAAGTGCAGGCCCAGCTCGACGTCGGGCGCGATGTGGTCGGCCCCGGCGAACGCGACGACCCGGTCGACCACGCCGCGGAAGATGGCCGCGTGGAGAGTGTCCGTGGGTGGACCGCCGTCGCCGTCGCCGTCGACGTCGCACCACCACGGCTTCGACCGCTCCATGCCGTCCACACGCGCCCACGCCTCCTCCAGCACGGCGAACTCGTGCGCGCAGTCGATCTGGATGGCGAGGTCGCGGTGCGGAATTGCGGCCTGAATCCGCGCGAGCGCGCGTTTCAGCGCCGCCGTGTAGTGAGGCTCCACGAAGGCCTTGTAGTTCGGGGCCACGATGGCGGTCAGTGCGTTGAGTGGAGTCGGGATGCCGACTTGGAACTTGACGCCGTCGTCGCAACCGTCGGGTGTCATTGACGACGATGACGACGACCAGTGCGTCCGCATATCCGTGAAGGTCGCGTACGACGCGATGGCCGCCGCGTCGTAGCCCGTCTCCAGCCTCTCGAGGTGTCGAGTGACCGCGTCGACGTCGGTGAGTGGCTGGCCCGACGTGGCGGTCGGGTTGTGGCGCGAGTTGACGAGCTGCGGGTACGGCAGGAACAGGTCGCGCTGGAACTGCACGAAGTTCTTCCGCGACGAGGGCTCGCCGTCGGGAATACGTCGGACGTGCGAGGTCATGGTGGTGCCGAGCAGCTCGAACACGTCGCGTGTCGTGGGCAGTGGGAGAGAGCCCACGAAGTGCACGCCCTGAGGGTTGTTGCTCGGGCCTGTGGACGGCATGATGGGTGGTTGGCGGTCCAGGTGAGGGAAAAGGTGAGGAGATTCTCGGTCTTCACCCGACGAGTTCAATGGGTGTATCAAAAAGGCCTCGTGATAGAATATTAGTTTGCCCAGGGCTGTTGTGCTCCTTATATGTTATGTGGCTGCCTCATTTCACATTGTAGAGTCGGGGTATGGCCGTTTGAGCTGCTGTCTCCTCCTCCTGTTGCCCCATATTATACGACAAGACAAACATGCTGGGCCTGACGGAGAAAGAAGCTGGGAGTTAGGCCATTCACCGGCTGCTGGACGACGACCCTTACGGTACCGTCTTTCTCAGAAGAGGCGTCGTTCAAAAGCACCTTGACCAGTGTGAGCCTCGTCGAGTCCGTGATTGGTGGCGTATCTGCTGGGTGGGTAAGAAGTATAGCGAGATGTATGCGGGTGAAAGGATGTATACGTAGTCCACGGAATAAGAATGCCGTCTCCACTGACGAAGCGGAAGCCCTCTTTCTTCTTCATGTATCGCCAGCCGGTCAGCCTTCCTTCCATTCGTTGCGGAGAGGGCATGAACTGCACCAGACTGGTATCGACGGATCTCCCTCTCGCGTGAGACGGGCATTGAAGGGCCTGCGATTTCCAGATCGGAGTTAGAGCGAGGCCATCCCATTCATCTTTCTCGGATACCCCAGCTTATGTGGCACTATTGCATTGCTGACACGGGATAATATCAGCACCCGTCAAGCAGAGACGTATCCTGGCAAGGAAAAGAAACAAGTAAGCAGTCAAGCAAACAAGATTGTAATATACAAGGTTTGGGAGTGTAAGCATAGGAAAGGAGACAGGAAAAGAGAAATTTGTGCATATTGAAAGGGGGCCGAAGCCTTGTCCACGTGATGCAGGCCGTGGCGTGTATATCGCTGAACGCCTGCATATGGTTATGCTGAAACAGGCCAACGGGTTGAGAACACGGGTTGGGAACACCAACTACCGTAAGAGGATAGAGAGGAGCTGTGCGCCACGGGTTGTCGTTGGTGGTCGAGCAATTCCTATAAATATGCCTGCTGAGAGAGGAGGGAGACGTCGTGCATGACTCGACGTTGAGGCCTTTTGGCTATAAAAAACCCGTCAAAGAGCGTCAGGATGTTGCAACACTGGCTACACCCCTTGGCCACGCACCATCCCCAAGGTGAAAGGGGTCTCAGATAAACGCTCTGAGTGCCTTCGACCACCCCGTTCGTCCTTTTTCCGCCGCAATCTCGAGACTTCCTCTCCGAATACCCATCGTAACGTCCATCTCGCTCGCACGAATAAAAAGCTTCCAGTCACGGGAGTAGAGTTTCCATCCAATGTACAAAGCAATGACGATCGGCGCGGCAAGAAAATTCTCAAAAAACACCTCGGCGTCCGGGCTGGATCCCAACGGGAACAACGAAGTGTAGAATGTCGCAATGATGGCGATGATGTTCAGGAACAATCCAATGTAAGATCCCCAGATGCCAAAAGCAGCCTGATAAGGCAGTTGATGCTTAGTAAATCCGTGGGCATACCTGGAACGCAAAGGTTAGCCTCTCGATTACGCACGAAGGGGTTACAGGGTATTACCATCCGTATCGGAACCCTGGAGATTGTTAGCACATTGGTCATGCCAACCGCCCAGTAGGACTTGACTTACGAATATGTGCCAGATTGATGCTCAGCCACAGGAAGAAAAAGCTCAAGCCCGACAGCGAGAGCAACCAGGTGAAGATGGTGTCGGAAGCATTGGCCTCACCGATGTACGCAAGGCACCCGAACAATAGTTGAATCACGATACACCAGAGTGGTCGTCCCTGCCTGTCGACATACATCAGGAATTTCGGGCCCATGCCTCTCGCTGCAAGGGCCTGCATGGTGCGTGACGAGCCATATGTGCAGCTGTTGGCGACACTAATGACAGAGATGGTAATGACCGCATTCATCACCGATGGCAACCCCTTGACACCGGCATACTTGATGGCCAGGACAAAGGGAGAGGCTTTCGTATTGGCGCCGCTGGCGCCCAGCAGGTCTTTGCTATCAGATGGCACGATGAGACCGACGATGAAGAGGGAAAGAACGTAAAATGTCGCAATCCGCCAAAACACTTGTCGAGTCGCTTTGGGCAGGGAGCGATGGGGGTCTGCAGCTTCAGCGGCTGCCAATCCGACGAGCTCGGTTCCCCCAAAGGCAAACGCCGCGGTGACAAAGACACTGAGACGTCAGCTAGATTCCAATCGAGATAGTCGGCGAAAGTGACATACGTGCAGAAGCCTTTGAAGCCATTCTGAAAAGCGCCAGGATTGTGCCAATAGCGAGCACCAATATAACCCCGGTTATCGGAGGACACGCCGCCACAGTCAACCACAATTCCGAAGATGATGAATCCTATGCAGGCTGTGATTTTGATCATCGCCAGTACAAATTCAACCTCGCCGTAGCCGAGCACGCCGAAGACCTGGACCAGACACAGGAACACTAAGAAGACAGTGATCCAGACGCTGACGTGGATATCATCTCTCCAATATTCGATCGTGATTGACGCCGCCGTGAGTTCAAAGGGCAAGACGGTCAACCAGCCGATAGCGTAGTCCTGTCTGGTGGTCAACACTCTGCAGTTTTGACATATCATCAGGAAGCTCTTACCCAACCAACAGCAAAACCGAGGGACGGGTCGACGAATCGAACGATGTAGGTGTAAAAGGCGCCGTTCACGGGATACAGAACTAGCCACCATTGTCAGGAACAAAGGACAAGCAGTGAGATGCAATTCTGAGCACTTACTGGCCAGTTCACCCAGCGCCTGCATCGTGCAGAGTAACATGAAGCCGATGATAATGAAGCCCAGCAGCACACTCCCAGGGCCACCCTTGTGCAACGCACTGCCAGACCCGACGAATAGACCCGCGCCGATCGAACCGCCTTGACTGTGTCTTAGCATGGACAAGCTTTGGATGGTATCCAGAAAAAGTCTTACCGATGGCAATCATCTGCATGTGACGCGACCGCAGCTTTTGAGCAAGCGGGTTGTGCTGTCTGTTTACCGGATCTGTCTCATCTTCATATGTGATTTCACCAGCCAATTTCTGCATTTTGGGGTCGTTGAGCTTCTCGGGATCGATGTCACGGTCCGTGCCAGAGGCATTGTACCGGGAAGACGCCGATTCATCGTGTGAAACGATTTCCTTGTCAGTAGGTTCTGCCATCTTGAGTAGTAGCCCAGGTCAAACTGAGAGAAGCGATACAGAAGGGAGAGTGATCAAACCGGGGGAGGTGCGCAGTTTTAAGATGAACAGCCAACCCCCAGTCAAGGAGGGTTGCATTTATGTGAACCCGTCCACAAGCTCATCATTTCCCAGGGCGAAGCTTCTGGACTGGGGGTCAAGTCAAAGTGGTGATCGCACCCAGGGAAAAACGGTGACAGCATCCTAGGAGGAGAAAGGGGCACCCCTGCGCCGACGACAACCGCCCTGAAGCGTGGAAGGACGTGCCAAGGAGTGCACGTCCAGGTGTCCTGTCGTGGACTCGTGGTGGCGATGGTGGCATTCTCGAAGGCATGGTGGATGTCGAAATCTGGGGGATCGGAAAGCAGTATGGCATGCTGTGGTTTGAATTTGCGGGGGAACAGGTACAGACGGCCAATGGACGGATTCTCCTTAGCAAATAATAGAGCAGGAGAGAAAACTTCAATAGAGACGAAGACCAATCACTACCAGCACACGGACACACTATCCCACTTAGTCCAGTAGAGTGAGGCAGGTGGCCAGCAACGAGGTGGGCGACGGTAAGGGACGGCCGGGGGCATGTGGACGATGGTGGTGTCCGGTGGTGCTGATCTCTGGGCGGCCACCGGCACTTTTTCACGCCCGGGAGAGCCATGGCAATATGCCCGTGGTTCCCGTGAAACAGGCCTAGTGCCTAAAAAGTGGAGGGCAGCCACGCCAGCGTCAGAGGCGGCGGGAACACCGTCATCCCACAGATCGATCTTGTCCCCGCCTCAGTCTTCTCAGAATGGCTTCTGGAGCTGCCTCGATAATAGCATCCACTCACCAATAGCCGGCCAGATGGATGATCATTACACCTTCCCCAGGAAATTTGTCCGCGGACAGACTCTTCAGTTCAAAAGCTTTGCTCCAGCATTTATACTCCTCTTCGGACTCCTTGTCGTGGTTGCTTTTGCCATTGTCTTCTTCTGTCCCTCTCCGCCCCGTCCTCCTCGGGAATCTCCTGCCTCTGACCCCGACCGCGAGAGACAGCCTCTAATCTCGGATCAATCTCCACCACGATGAATCGTGACAAAGGCGAAAGACCCGACGTGGGCACCCTCACGGGAGAAGAAGTGGCCAAACACAACTCCAAAGAGTCGTGTTGGGTAATTGTCCATGGCAAAGCCTATGATGTGACCGAGTTTCTTCCAGGTTTGTGGTGACGACTCCAGGACGATGCCCACCAGCTGACTGGTCTCTCCTAGAACACCCTGGTGGTCCTAAGATCATTCTCAAGTACGCCGGCAAAGATGCTACTGAGGAATTCGACCCCATCCACCCCCCCGATACACTGGACAAGTATCTGCCTCAAGAGAAGCATTTGGGTCCCGTGAACATGGAGACGGTGCAGCAGGAAGAAAAGGAAGAGTCTCCCGAGGAGAAGGCACGACAAGAGCGCATCAAGAACATGCCCCCTCTTGAAGCATGTTACAATCTCATGGACTTTGAAAGCGTGGCAAGACAGGTCATGAAGAAACCCGCCTGGGCCTACTACAGCTCCGGCGCCGACGACGAGATCACCATGAGAGAAAACCACTCCGCTTTTCATAAGATCTGGTTCAGACCGAGAATCCTGGTCGATGTGGAGAAAGTGGACATCAGTACCACCATGCTCGGGACTAAATGCGACATTCCTTTCTATGTCACCGCGACTGCGTTGGGCAAGTTGGGCAATCCCGAGGGAGAGGTCGTCCTCACAAGGGGGGCAAAGAAGCACAACGTCATCCAGATGATCCCAACTTTGGCCTCTTGCAGTTTCGACGAAATTTGCGATGCTCGACAAGGCGACCAATGCCAATGGCTTCAGCTGTACGTCAACAAAGACCGAGAGATCACCAAGAAGATCGTCCAACATGCCGAAGCACGGGGCTGCAAGGGTCTCTTCATCACGGTCGATGCTCCCCAGCTGGGCAGGCGAGAGAAAGACATGCGTAGCAAGTTCGACGACACCGGCTCTAACGTCCAAAACACCAGTGGCGAGAACGTCGATCGATCCCAAGGTGCCGCCAGAGCCATTTCGAGCTTCATCGACCCCAGTCTGAGCTGGAAAGACATTCCCTGGTTCTTGAGTATCACGAAGATGCCCATCATTCTCAAGGGTGTCCAGCGGGTTGAGGATGTCCTCATGGCCATCGAGGCGGGTGTCCACGGCGTTGTCCTTTCCAACCACGGTGGTCGCCAGCTGGACTTTGCGCGTTCTGGCGTCGAGGTCCTCGCCGAGGTCATGCCCGTTCTCCGCGAGCGGGGTTTGCAGGATAAACTGGAGATTTTCATTGACGGTGGCATTCGCCGAGCAACCGACATTATCAAGGCTTTGTGTCTGGGGGCCAAAGGTGTTGGCATTGGCCGACCATTCCTCTTCGCCATGTCTGCATATGGACTGCCCGGTGTGGATCGTGCCATGCAACTGTTGAAAGACGAAATGGTGATGAACATGAGGCTCATCGGTGCTTCCAAGGTGGAAGACCTAACCCCCGATATGGTCGATACCGCTGGCTTACGGTACCATACATCGACCGTCCCCCAGGACACTCTCGGCATTCGAGCCTACGATCCTTTGATTACACCCCACGAGATGCTGAAGGCCCGACTGTGAGTTCTAGCGTTTGCTCGAGGTCGCTGGGGAGCATTTGTAAATGTTTTTGGGATACACGATATAGGGGCCGCCAGGACCATGCATGTTGCTTGTGACAAAACTTGGAGCATAGTAGAGGAGGCTCTCTCCTCGCCGTAGACTTATTACTACTGAAGATCGTTCTCAAGATGTAACTATCCACACCGTCCATCTCCTCGTATGCAGCCTTCTCCGTTGGTGAATATAATATTATTATGACGCTCAGACACTGCTGAATTCAGCTTACCACTCAGTGTTTTGGCCCCATCCGGCGCACGCGAGCGCGGGCGCGTGACTAACTAGCACTACTCCGTATGCACCGTTGCACCGAAGAAATACTGGCTGCACCACATGCTCCATAAAGTTATGTCATACCGATCGCATCCCGATGCTATGGCAGCCCTACTCACCCGGCCTGCACCTTATCCTCGGTGATTCTTCATGTCATGGACACGATGGCGACTCTAGGAACAGCAGTTCGAAGCATCAGTCACCAAACATCATGCAGCTGAGGGCCGTCTTCGAGTTCTGCACCAACGTCTATCCCTTCTAGCCCGTCAAGAATGGTTCGAAACACATGAGGCTCTCTCGGGTTTGAACAGTGTGTTAGTGCAGATCGCGGCATGTACACTCTACCTCCAGAAACATGCTCCTGCTCCATCAGACTGGCGCTGTCCGGGTCGGTGAGGTCGTGAGGTACGGTGTCGATTTCCCCGTCTGTATGCCTGCTGGCTAACCTCTGGCTACACAGATATACTGTAACCTATACCCCTAGCCTCGACCGCATCCTTCCGCCCCCGACACACTTGCACGTGAAGATCAAGAACACGGTTGCTGCACCTCTCCGTGCTGCCTATCTCCATGGGCCTTACACTCTATACGTGGCGTGCTACCCGTCCACATTCGATCCGTACAAGAAACATGAAGCTGCCGACACGGAAGGCGTACCGTACTTTGAACCGCAGTTGAAGGCCGGTGGGCAGTGGAACGCGAAACTCACGGTCCCCGAGCATGTCAGAGAAGATGCCCAGAGACAGAGCATCGACGTACGACGCGGAGATCGAGGGGGAAGTGAGCGGAAAAGCTTCACCTGGATCATCGAAATTGCCTCGCAGGTGATCTTTTCCAAGACCGCGAGCGTGGACTATGAAGTCCTCGTGGGACGCGATGAGAAGTCCGTGGAACTGGGGTTCCATGGTGTCATTGGATCGGGCCAAGGTGCACCAGGTCGACTCGAAGACCATCAACAGGCTCGGTCGCAAAAAGCCACCTCTCCGCAGCACCCGAGGGGCGTCTTCTCCAAGGCAGTCCGACTGGTGGTCGATGACACCCACAGCCTCTGGAACACTCCTCCCTTTCCCGAGTGGGAGGAGGAGGCCGACGGGCAAACCAAAGTCCGGGTGGAACAGGGGCCCCAGCACGGCGACAAGAGAGATGCTGACGCCAAACCGGAGAAGACGCAGAGGAAGCAGAAGAAGATCCACCTGGTCCTTCTCACCCATGGCATTCACAGCAATGTGGGTGCGGACATGTTGTTTATGAAGGAGAGCATCGACACGGCCGCGAGGCAGGCGAGGGAAGACGCCAAAAGGAGGCGGGCCGAGCTTAGGGCTCGACGTGTGGCCCGGGAGAATGAATTCGGGCGAGATGCTCTAGGACAGCGATCACAATCCATGCCGGACATTACGAGAGCCGGGGATCTTCCTCCTGAAGCTGCTAACCCTGTTGACTTGGAGGAGGGTCATCAGGAGGAGGAAGATGAGGAAGACGAAGAAGAAATCTACGTACGAGGCTTCACCGGCAACACCATGAAGACCGAAAGAGGCATCCAGTATCTGGGCAAGCGTTTCGCCAAATACGTCCTCTCCATCACCTATCCGGACCAACCGTACTTACCGGTCAAGTCGTCCATGGGGAAGTCCCTCTCACAATCTCTAGCATCATCCTTGTCCAATAAACCAAGCCCGCAAGACCAGGGCAGCACGCAACCGGCACATAAAAACAGCAGCATCATCAAAGACGAAAATCACCGAGCTCACAAGCTGCCGTACCGCATCACCTCCATCAGTTTCATCAGCCACAGCCTGGGCGGGTTAATACAAACGTACGCCATCGCGTACATCCAGAAGCATTCTCCCGAGTTCTTCAACCTGATCAAACCGATCAATTTCGTCGCCATGGCCACACCATTTCTGGGCCTGAGCAACGAGAATCCCATCTACGTCAAGTTTGCCCTGGATTTTGGCTTGGTTGGGAGGACCGGCCAGGACCTGGGTCTGACGTGGAGGCCGCCAACGTTGGCGAAGAGCGGCTGGGGAGCTGTGGTGGCTGGATTCACGAACGAGTCTCACAAAAGCGGCCCAGGAAAGGAGTCTGATCCGGGGGCCAAACCTTTACTGCGGATTCTGCCCACGGGACCAGCGCATGTGGCGTTGAAGAAGTTCCGAAATCGCACCGTCTACTCCAACGTGGTCAATGACGGGATTGTGCCTTTGAGAACGTCCTGCCTGCTGTTCTTGGACTGGCGAGGGCTGGGTCGCGTGGAAAAGGCCAGACGAGAAAGCGGCCTGGTCGGGACCATGGTGGGATGGGGTTGGGCTGAAATGACGGGACAAAATGCCAGCGACCCTAGAAAGGCGCTGACCTGGAACAACTTGTTCAGCGACAGTGGCGAGGACGTGAGCGCCCACAAGTCCGGCAAATCGACCCCGGATCCCGAATCGAAAGTGCCGCAGGCGGAGACCAGCGAAGGCTTCGATCACGACCAGCGAGCGCCCGAACCGGAAGAGAGTCAGTTCCTGGAGAAGAAGGACAGCCTGTCGTCGGAACGGTCGACAAACGCCGCCGAAGTACGATCAACATCCGCACCGAACTTGTGGACAGAACTGTTGAACTTCTTCAAGCCACATGCCGGACAGCGAAAGTCACCACCGGGCAGTCCGCCCAAGAGTCCGAGGAAGACGCAGAAGATCTACCGACGAGGGCAGACAATGTATCACCAGCAAGAGCAACAAGACTCTGGCGAAGCGTCACAAGAAATCCCTCAAGCAGAAAGCAATGGAAATGCCGAGAGGGGTGTGGTCCGCGGCGCATCATTATATACCAACAGTTCCCAGGACGGCGGCGCCGGCGACGTCGAGGCGCCTCCCAAAACTACCTTTTTCGAGTCGGCAGGAGATCTCCTCAACCCACCACTGCCCCCGAAGGACTTCATCCTTGATCCTGCGGCTCGCCCGAGGACGATTTTCCATGACCGTGTGTATCACCCACAAGACATCCCTCCGCCGCCAGCGAAACGGCAGCGGACTTTTGGAATCAAGCGCTCCGCATCGAGCATTGGGTCTCAGTCATCATCCTCTCAACTCCCATCCGCGCCGGCTTCTCCCTCTGATGCTCGCCGCCCTTCCTCGGGACACTCTCCAGACAATCCCACGGATGCTAGTCAGGCACCACAACAGTCTCAGGCTCAAGAGGTCGGTGCCATGAAAATCGAGGAGAAAATTGCTCGTGCCTACCATAAAGATCTGTCGTGGCGTAAGGTTTTGGTGCGGCTCGAGCCTGATGCGCACAACAACATGGTGGTCCGCCGGATGTTTGCGAATGCGTACGGGTGGCCGGTTGTGCGGCACCTGTGTGATACACATTTCGGGTACACGGCGGCGGCGAGGACCAGAGATGAAGATGAAGAGAATGTGGAAAGAGCAGTGGGACGAGAAGAATTCGCTCCCGGTGAGGAGAGGGAAGGGGAGAGTGTTAGGGGCCAACGAGACCTCCCCGAGGAGAAGGGGACCCAAGGAGGCGTTGATGACGGTGAAAAGAAAGCAAAGACTACTGATAATATCAGAGTCACCGAGTCGAGTCCGACCGAAGTTGCGGATATCCATGCGGATCTGCAGAAGTTACACACGGCTTGGAAAGTGCGAGATCGCGACAAGCAAGTTACTCCCACCCGACGTGCGACGAAGCGGACCGAATCCGAAATCCGGGAGTCCCGAGACGATGTCGCAGAGCTGGTGTCCCGGATTAGTGCCACAGGGGAGAGCAGCTACAGCGGCATGAACTCCAGCAAAGCTGCACTGTCCCGGCTTGTCCGGCAGGACAGCGCACGATGGAGTGATCGGTTTTTCGAGGGAAGTTCGGACGGCGACGAGGAAGACGAAGAAGACGGGTTGGGTGAGGAGTTGAGGAAAGCGAAGTATCGAGGGCAACTCGATCGCATGTTCAACATTGACTTCGACATCGACTCGGCCGATGAGGGAATGACCACGTCGAGGCTTGTGGATGGGCCACTCACCGCCAGCCCGCAGGGTACGAAGCTGAGTAGGCCCAAAAAAGGAAAAGAAAGGGAGGACGATAGATCATCAGCGTCTGGGGGCAAGGATGGGCACATCATCATCGATCCACAAGCGCCCTTCTCTGCGGAGCCCGGTGAGCTGGAGCCTCTCTCACATTCTTCGGCGGGCACAAGCACGTCGACACGCCATGTCAACGATGGGGAAGTCAAGCCGGAGGCACACCTGGAGCCTGAATCGATCCCTTCCATGAGCACCAGTGCAGCATTGGGCCTGTCGCTGGGCGAGAACGTCGATGAGAGATGGAAAAGGGAGACAAGGCCTGCAAACGTGGGAGAAGCTGGCGGTGGTGTGGCGGAACAGGTCGCTCTGGCCACCAGAAGAAGCAAGGAGGAGCAAAGGCAGACATAGGACTCTTCAGCCATGCTGTGTGATGCTTTGAAACGGGGGCATTGGCATTGGCGCCACTGAGAGCGGAGCGCCTGTACAACTTTATGTGTTCTATGTTTCTGTAGAAATAAATTTAATCATCTTTGTCTAGACACTGCCGGCCTGGAGACTCAGTCCTCTGACGTTACCATGTAATGACCGATGGCTCCTGATGCAGAAAGGACATGGTGATTGGAGTGGACAGACAAATCCGGAGAACTGGCAGCAAAGGGACGGCCTCTTGTCTTGTTTGACCTCACCAACGAGATCTCCAAGGTGCGTCCGTTGGAACCGGGCGAGTGCATCGTTCTCACCCCCGTAACCCTCGCGGAGGGATTTCGCGAGTTCCAAGAGCGGGTACGAGATGCGACCAACAAAAAGACTCTGGCGTCGGTCAAGGATGCTCTTAAAGAGACTATCAAGAAAGTCGAACAGTGCGAGGGGGAAGTGGTCGCGGCGAGAGACACCGTGGGGATAGCCGGGAGGAAGCGGAAACGCCGTGCAATGGATGCTGTTGACGAGCAGATGGAAGTGGTCGTCGGGTTGAGGAAGCGGTTGAAGACGAATCCACTGGAGGCTGAAGACGATGTCTCTGATACCGAGAACGGGGCCGAATCTCAGGAATCTGGAACTCTCCGTCGCCTGTGATGGATTGGCAAAGCGAGAGCATCGACGTCGAAGACTGATGACGGGTTGTTGAAGGCAAGCAAGGGAGAACTGCAGACTTGAACAAGCACGATGTCATGATTGTGGACGAGGATATGAGAAATTGTGGAGTGTTGTCATTTTTTATCAGAGAATGCAATCTCCCGCGCTCACCAGTTACAGGACTTGTGCTTCGGACGACTTGTCCTGGCGCCGCGGGCGAGGTCGACTTTACACAGGCCGAGCCAATTTCAAAACATGAAGGAAGCCTGCTGTTCTTGGTTGCAAAGAAAGGTAATTGTGATTCATCAGAGTTAAGGGTACATATGTAGGGTGGTGGTGGTAGTAGTAGTGGTAGAATATATATCCCTTTTTTCTCTCTTTCTCTCCCCCCTGTGCGACTGGCTGGTGTCATAGAAAATGGGTGGTTGTTCTGAGTGTGATATGCAGGAAGGATGAATGCATCGATGGCCGCAATGGGCGACGGAAGGAGCTTGTGAATTTCTTTCGGCTCTGGTTGCCATCACCCCGTCAAATCAACTCTTCTTCAGTGTTTCTCTCGTACACCAGCCCCATTAGATAGGTCTCGAAGAAACTTTCGTCCGTCTCTGCTCGTCCCCCTTCCACGTCCTCAACGACACATTTCTGTGTCAAGAGGAGTCGTGGGGAGTCAAATCGGTTCCCGTCATTCCGACTCCACGACTCCCTTCGTAAGAATGATTTCTTCCCGCTTAAACCTTCTCCTGCTTCTCTGCCATCATGCCCTCGGCACCCACGATGGGTCCGACCGGGCTCGGGGGCAGGACGTCCGCCCTCGTCTCGTCGGTGAACTTCAGATCCTCGTCGATGTCGGTCGTGTCCTTGACCTTAATCCAGATGACCGGGGCCGCCACGACGAGAGAGCCGGCCAGCATGCCCCAGTTGACGGCGAACTCGGTCATGAAAGAAACATAGTTGGCATCAAGTTGCGGTGAGATGGCGGACCCGGCGGACTGAATACCCTTGTAGAAGCCGGTGAAGTTGGCGAGTTTGCGCCCGTTGTTGGTCAGTGCGCCCATGAGCCTGTGTGGAAACGCAGTCAGTGGGACCAATTCATTGGGTTCACCTTTGGGGGAATTAATTCTGACTTACCAATACGAAGTGGTCTGCCACACAGAGTCGTATGCTCCATAGAACATGTACAGGAACATAGGGCCGACATAGCCCGGGTCGGTAAAGTCGAGCTTGTGGTAGTCGTCGGCACTGGTCTCGGTGCGGTTGTATCGTTTCTGGAAGTCGTAGCCGCCACCCCAGATGACAAAGGTGAGCACGAAGAGCGTTCCGATGGCGATCTTGGCACGGGTGGTGCGGCGGAAGTAGGTGGTGTCGAGCAAGAAGCCGAAGATCCAGGCGCCGATGATTTGGGACAGGTAGTACAAGACGTTGTTCAAGGAGCGAGTGCGGATGTTGAAGTAGGGCAGGTTCACGTCTTGGAAGTGGTAGGTGTAGAACCAGTTGGAGGCGAAGAACATGGGGAAGAGGAAGATGATGTACCAATCCGTCACCAGGACCTCGAACAGGCCCTTGATCTCGGATTTCCAGGTCGGGTTCTTCATCAGGATGACGCGCGAGCCGTCACTGCGTCGAACGAGGAAAGGATTGCAGAGAAATCCGGCCAGCACAAAGCCCACGGCCATCAGGACGATGAAGGCAATGTATGTACCATCCTTCACCTTGTTGGCCGTGGAATGCAGGTTCTGGCCGAGGGGGATCAGAGCACCTATCACGGCACCCAAGTTGAAAATCATCCAGAACACGGCGATGTACCGACCCTTGGATTTCTCCGGGGGGTAAGACATCATCACCGCACCCTGGGCAGTCCAGAGAAGACCAGCGCACACACCCAGCAGGGCACCAGCGAAGATGAGGAAGCCTGCGTTCTGATTGTGGTTGTAGGACAAGATCGAGGCAATGTACAGGGTGTATCCGAAACCCCCCAAGCCCAGGGTCAAGCGCAGACCAATCTTGTTGGCGATACTGCCGGCGAAGAAGCCCACCACGGAGAAGGTGGAGTACAGGGCGGTGCTGGCATTGTTAATGTCGTGCGCATTGACCTGACCGGCGGCACCCAGACCATTGACTGCATTGAACATGCCGGGGCACAGGAAGCACACCAGCGCAACGAAGACAATCTGGAACTGAGGTGAGGCATATGCGGGAATGGTGATGGGCCCCAGTTTAAATTCCTTGTACATCCATGGCTTCCCGGTGGGCTGCCTCTCTTCTTGGCTGTGGATGATCTCGGGCGGCGTGTCGGTGCCGCCAGACTTCTCGGTCGTGGAAGCCATTTTCTCGTTGGAGATATCAGACATTGCAGAGCACCCAAGCAATGCTGAGAGGGAGAAGAGAAGGAGGAAGGGAGAGAGGGAGGGCGAGCAGCGAGGTTTTCGGGGGGGGAGGCTCAAAAGATTTAAAGTTGGGACGATTTTAGGTGGCGAGCGGAGATCAAGTGCGGAGTCTCGGGGCAGATTCCTAGTGGAGTCTGGCTCATGTGGACGGAGGACTCGAAGGAGCAGATGAGGTCGCGTGCGAGAGCTGGAGGGAACAGGAGGGACAGACGAGAGAGGAGAGAAGGAAGTAATATAGAAAGAACCGTCTCAACCAGGTCAATGGTAGAGTTCCGTCCAACAGTGTCACCAGTCACCCTCAGGCGAATGGTTACCTTGGGGGAGTTCACAAGAGAGATAGAGAGATGGAGAGATAGAGCCGTAGCATTGTAGCCTCACACAAATGCAGTTACAGGGAGCATATTGGAGGGGGGTGGAATGATGGCGGCAAAAGATGGGGTTTTTGGGGGGGTGGGAGAGATAGGGAGGAAGGATGGAGGAGTAGTAGCAGTGGTTGTGGTGGTAGTAGGAGTACTGTGAACGGAGTCCCTACCAGGTGTATCTCAGAGTCTCTCCGTCTCTCCACACAATGTCAGACGGGATGCCAAGCGCCCACGTGACGTCGATAACAGAGTCGCATTCTTCTCCGCCTCAGGGTTACATACACACACACCATACACTGCACCCCAATCTCACCCTTTGCTATCCCATTGCTACCCTGCCACCCTGCCTTTCTCAGCTTCTCGACGTCTCATTCTCTAATTCCCATTCCCATCGTCAATGTGGCTATCGTTGCATCCATTACCCCCTTGAATCCTCACCTCTAGGCTCTGCTCTACCACCGATTCCATCCCCCTTCCCATCCTGCAAAATGCCCAGCCGTCGTGGGCTACAACGTGCTTACACACTGCAACGTGACAGGAGAACACCCCGTCCTACTCCTTTCCCGCCGGCCCTCTCATCTGCTCACCTTGAGTTTCCCTTACCAACAAATCCATGGCTTGTCGCGCTCATTTCCGCAGCCTGCCGTGCCCCCCGGATGTCAGGATGCGCTGGGAACCAGTAGAATGTTCGATGCACCTGTCACAGCAGGAGAAAAAAAGATTCCCAGACAAACCTTATGACGTGACCTTCGGGCGAAAATATGTGGTTATCCGGCTACCACCCTCGTCCACCATATTATTTCAATGTCTATACTGCTGCCTCCGGGGTTTGGGCTTGTTGGTTCCTTTCATTCTTGTAGGGCTTCCCTACGAGCAATCGTCCCTTCCTTTCTCCTTGTCCCGCTTGATCCCTGTGCTGTAACGATCCCTACTCGTATCGTTGACTGACTCCGAACCTCCCTTTCCGCCATGTCGACGTCATCTCCGCGTGTGGTTAGATTCACCAATGGCTACCTCCTCAAGGATGGTGAATTGGTGGCCGGTGATCTCTGGGTGTCCGCCGAGACGGGACGGATCATAAGTCCCCAGACAGCCTTCTATTCCTCGCATCTGAGACCGGACAGAACAGTGGACCTTCGAGGCAGGATCCTATCCCCCGGCTTTATCGATGTTCAGATCAACGGCTCCCACAACTTCGACTTCTCAACTCCCGACGCAGACTTTCCCGCAAAGCTGACCCACACTACCCAGCAGATGATCAAGTCGGGCCTCACGTCGTTTGTCCCGACCGTCATCAGCACCACACCAGAGAGCTATCGTGCCGTGCTCCCTTATCTTGGCCCATCTGGAAAAGCCCGTGATGCCAGCAGCGGCTCAGAAAGCCTCGGAGCACACATCGAAGGCCCCTTTCTCTCGCCAGTGAGAAATGGAATCCACAACAAGGAAGTCTTGCGGGAAGCGCATTCTTGGGCCGACATCGAGGAATGCTACGGTGCAGAAAACCTCCACAATGTCAGATATATCACCGCGGCTCCCGAGCGGGGGAACATGATCAACCTGATCCCTGAATTCATCAAACGGGGCATCGTCTTTTCCGTGGGACACTCTGATGCTACGTTCGAACAGGCGCAGGCGGCCATGGCTGCCGGTGCCTCGATGGTCACACATCTTTTCAACGCCATGCGTCCCTTTGGACATCGGGATCCCGGTATTTTTGGCCTTTTGGGACAGTCGGCGCCTTCGACCCCTGTGGCCACACCCAAGACCAGCCGCCCCGCCAGTCCGGTGGGTTCACCACAAGGCTCTCCTCGATCGTCGAGGTCCACCCCTCGTTCCAGCCTCAGCATCAGCACCTCCATGTCGGATCTGGAGGATGAGGCGGCACGCTACAAGCAGCCGTACTTTGGCCTCATTGCCGATGGCATCCACTTGTCGGCGCAGACCCTCAAGATCGCCTATTCCGCTCACCCGGAAGGCGCCATCCTTGTGACTGATGCGCAGAAGTTTGCCGGATGTCCCGACGGCGCTTACGAGTGGCGAGGAGAAGATCGCTTCGTCAAGGAAGGCAAGCTGCTCAAGCTGGAAAGCAACGGGCGTATTGCCGGCAGTGTAGTGGACTTGATCGACTGCATCAACAACTTCAAGCGATGGACGGGCTGTGGCACGGCAAAAGCGCTGGAATGCGTGACAAGCACGCCGGCCAAGATGCTGGGCAAGGACGTGGAGAAGAGCAAAGGAAGGCTTGAGGTGGGCATGGATGCGGATCTGGTGGTGCTGGAGGAAGGTCTCGAGGGAGATCTGACGGTACAACAGGTATGGAAGTTTGGAGTCCAGGTGGCCTAAACCTTTTGGGCCAATGTTATAGTGTGGTTGCAAGTGCTCTGGTCAAAAAGTTTTGGTTGAGCTCGGCGTTGCAGGCACCATGGTTCATGATATGATGGAAGATGTATTGGGAAAGCTGTGGCTGACCATGCCATGATCGATAGAGACTTTTTGTTATTGTTTGACGCAACACCAGTGTTGTGCCGGAACGACGGGCGTAAAACGAGATACCTCTAGAGTGTGGCTGAGATGCCAGATGTTGTGTATATTAAGTGAGAGACATCTGTCAATGTGTAATTATTATGTATATTATTTGATAGACATTCGTCAATGTGTTGTATTATTATTATCATTATCATTACCACCGTCATCATCAACAAGACCAGGTTCTGTATGTATGTATTTGTTTGATTGTTGACCTGTTGTATACGGTAGATACCGGGAGGCACACACGGTACATATGTAACTGCGTGGTCTGCAGGGTCTGACGACGTCTCCTACTTCTCCCGACACTCGGATGGTCTCCGTGCCTTTTCCACCCATCAAAGCGCTGCAATGATTTGCGCGTTTAAACCTTTTTGTATTCCTACGTCAGGCGTCGACCAAGATGCACAGCGTGATGTCTTGCCACATATTGAGCCATATATACTGCCCGTGGCGGTGGAACGGAGAGCTCACCATGTCGCTCTGCTCAGCACCACCAGCAGCACCAGCGGCACGTGGCGGTCTAGACCTCTGGGCTGGCTGCCCCGTGAGACGCAAGAATAGCAACAGGGGTCGGTGGTTAATTAGCTCTCCCCGCGTTTTTTCTTTTTTGTTGAGCCAATTCACCGCGTCACGACGGCCCTGAGCATTGCTTTGGCCCTCTACTATTCGAATTGGATTGCCCGTCAGAAGCCTCTTCTCTGATTTTTCCGAGGCCAAAGGCTATCAGCAAGCACTGGAGCCATGACACTCCGGAAACACTACACCCCAGAGTAAGCCATCTCCTGACCAGCTCATTTCACATGGGCACCTATTCACAATTCCTAGGGTCCTTCTGAGTGCTCCAAGGAGGTCAGCAGCAGTTCCAAGTCCGGATGGGAAGCTCGCGCTCTACACGCAGTCCTCCTATTCGTTCGACACCCACTCTCGAACCAGCGAGATTGGTTGTCTGGACCTGACTCAGGGCACCACCGTCTCCATCAGCAAAGACCCCAAGGCCAGCGAGCCCAGGTGGCTGGGGACCAACTACGAAGTCGTCTGGTTGAAGGAGTGCGAGAATGGCAATACGTGCTTGATCGTCACCGACGCTACTCTCCCTGGAAAATGCTACACCGCCGGCACCATTTCAGGCCCCGTCTCCAGTCTCAAGCTCTATGTCATCGAACCGGGTAAAGTCGCCATTGCGGTTGCCGGCCAGGCAAATCAAGATGGCAGCTTGCACAATCCCAAGGACGTCCCGAAATCCCACACGTCGGCTCGTGTCTATGACTCCCTGTTTGTCCGACATTGGGACGCTTGGATCACCGAGCAGCGAAACTCCATCTTCGTAGGCTTGCTGCAGAAATCACAACCAATGGTGACTTCACGCCAAGGACGATACAGCTTGCTGGGCTTCAGGAACGCGTTACTGGGCTCCGAGCTGGAATGCCCTATTCCGCCGTTTGGCGGAGTCGACCACTTCGACATTGGCCCGACAGGCCTGACAATTGTGGCCAAGGACGCCCACCTCAACCCTGCCACACACACCAAGTGCGATTGCTGGTTTATACCGAAAACGGACCTCTTGGATCCGAAACCCGCAAGCTTCCACAAGCTTCATGCATCGGGGTTGAATGGAGCAGCTTCATCACCTGTCTTCTCGCCCGATGGCGAATCCCTGGCGTTCCTGCAGATGGCAACCGACGGCTATGAGAGTGACAAGAATCGGATCGTCTTTGTTCACGGCCTGACTGGGCTCGAGAAGGGCGAGTCTGTGTCTGCGGTCGAACTCATGCGCACCGACGATGGGAAAGGCGGCTGGGCCAAGTCTCCCACCGCGTTGAAGTGGTCTGTGGACGGCAAAATGCTATTGATGGAAGCTGAAGACACTGGCCGCGGATGTCTCTTTGCGCTCGACTTGTCGGCGGCTCCAGGCCCAGAATGGCAACCTCGCCAATTGACCCATGCCGGATACATCATTGACTTCGCACCGATGTCGACCCAGACTAATCTCTTACTCGTCTCCAGCAACAGCTTGGTCGACAACAGCACATACACTCTCGTCAACCCCGATCCCCTGGCCGAGACGCGACCGGTAGTCATTTCGTCGCTCAGCAGAAATGGAAGCATGTTCGGCCTCTCTCCTGAGCAAGTTTCCTCGCTGTGGTGGAAAGGCGCGAATGATCACCCAGTGCATGCGTGGATGATGAAGCCCTCGTTCTTCCGGGCGGACCAGAAATATCCGCTGGCGTACTTGATTCATGGTGGCCCGCAAGGTGCCTGGAACGACCAGTGGTCGACACGTTGGAACCCTGCCGTCTTCGCCGAGCAGGGCTACGTGGTCGTCTGTCCTAATCCGACGGGATCGACCGGATATGGCCAGGCCTTTACCGATGCAATTCGAAATCAGTGGGGTGGTCTCCCGTACGAGGACCTCGTCAAAGGGTTTGAATACATCGAGTCGGAATTGGGATTCGTTGACACCTCACGGGCCGTTGCCTTGGGCGCTAGCTATGGCGGGTACATGATGAACTGGATTCAAGGACACGACCTCGGCCGCAAATTCAAGGCGCTGGTCTGCCACGACGGGGTGTTCAGTATGACTGGCCAGTTGGCGTCTGAGGAGCAATACTTCCCGGTGCACGACCTCGGAGGGCCCATCTGGGAGCGACAAGAGATCTACGACAAGTGGGACCCCAGTCGCTTTACCAAATTCTGGGAGACTCCCATGCTCGTGATCCACAACGAGCTTGACTACCGCCTGACGGTCGCCGAGGGTCTGTCGGCATTCAACGTGCTCCAGATGAAGGGGATCGAAAGTCGGTTCCTGAGTTTCCCGGACGAGAACCACTGGGTGTTGAAACCGGAGAACAGCCTCGTCTGGCATCTCGTCGTGATCAACTGGATCAACAAGTTCGTGGGGTTGCCCAAGATTGTCGATCGCCAAGGCAGGGATGGCTCGGGGTTTTGCAGACAGGAAAGCAGGAGGACCTGGAGTCGGAGTCATGGGGCGTCTCGTCTCGAGCAGTGAGAAAAAGGGTGGAACATTCTTGCGGCTGAGCGGCGTTGTGCAGATATTTGGACAGCTGAGATACCCGAACCAAAGAAAACGGCTCTCCTCTCAAGAAATGGAAAGGGTGAGCTCTGTCTGGTGCTCTTTGGCCCACCTCATCCCCCTCATCCGTGATTTTAATACAAAGTAGTGCAGCCAACATCAGGTGTGTCCTCACCCTCGTGATCACGAGGGATTATGGTTGCTGAACAGCTCCTCTCTCACTAACTCGGCCAGTATCTTGTTGTCCAGTGGCTTCCCGTCCAACTCGCCTCCGGGTTTCAATAGCTCTTTCATAATGACGCCTTGCTTCAGTTCCCCCTGCGTCGTGGCCCTCAACGTCTCTATCTTCCCCCGAACCACTAATCTGACAACTGCGGGATCCATCAGCTTCACACTCCCCACCAATTCATCAATCACCTCCATCTCTTTCGCTTGCTTCTCTGCCAGGTCTGGTCGCTTGGCCGCCTCAGCCTCCTTGATCGCTGTCTCTGTGGCTGCTTTCCGCTTGCGCAGTAGAGCGAGAATCTGCAGGTCTGTCTTTACGGGCGTGGAAGAGGAGGCCGCTTGGTTGATCTCGGAGATGGTGCCCCGGAGGACGGATAATCTTACCGCGGGGTTTATCTCAGCATCTAGAAGTATTGGAAGGGAGTGTGTAGCAGACGGTTTTGTGTGTGAAAGAGAAAGACGGTGCGGCCCTTACCTTGATGTGTCCTTTGCGCGCATGGCAGTCTTCAGTTCATTCTTGATCTTGACCAGCAGAGGCGAAGCTGGGGCTTCGGTGGAGGTGGACAACCAGCGAACGCCAACCGGTGTATTCCTGGGGATACATCGAGAGCAAATTGGCTGGTCGAGGAGAAACAAAAGCTTGGAGTTGCGGATGGACGCCATGTTCAGCACCTCACCAAGACCAGGTACAAGCTGCGAGGCAAGAAGAGATCAAGACACAACTGCTACATAAGTTTGTATGTAAATCGATGGGAGAGAACGAAATTGTTTACGCGAGTCATGGTACCTGACGCTAAACTCGTTTGGGGCTGCCCGCATTACTTGCCATTCCAGTCGCGTCTATATTTCCATCTTTGTCTCTATAACACCAAAAGTGAACACTTCTGTGAGGCTGGAGCTCGGCTGTGTATGGGCTGAATATTGCTCTTTAGCCCATCTGCCTCTGTCCATATTGCCGTCGCCCTCTGTACCGACTTCCAGGATCGCCCTTTTTTTGTGCTGTCTTTGCACAAGCGACGCCTTGCTTCATGTCTGTACACAATTAAAACCGGTCTTTCCTCCACCTGCGACAACAACAACGATAATATCCCCGGCGAATGATGGCCTCTGTAGTTACGCAGACGCCTGCCCGGCCTGTTCCCGGCATCTGGCCTCAGACTCCCGCCGCGCGCCCTCCAGCAATACCTGCTCCCTCCTTCCAGTCTCCCTCGACTCCACGTCCTGCCCTCGTACCTTCGCAGTCCTCGACCAACCTCATCACCGCAAATCCCTCCGATGCGCCCATCCAAGCGTCGATGCGCCCGCCCGAGGCGCTGGAACCCGTCGAAAGAGCTGCGCGCACAATCAATGAATCCCTCGTCAGTGAATCGCGGTTCCCAGAGGTCGACAGTTACCTGTCTCAGGGCTACTCGGCCGACTATGAAATTCAGTCATCGCCGACGTGGGCGCCCTTTCAGAGAGCCGGCTTCTACCGCATTCCCGATGAGATCTTCGAGCAGTACAACAATGCGCAGTTGACCACTAGCATGGGGCTGTTTGCGGAGTTGAGGTATGCGTGGACGACAATCGACAATGCCTTGTACATGTGGGATTACTCTGCACCAAGGCCTGAATTACTGGGGTTCGAGGGACAGTCGCACAGCATCCTTGCCGTCAAGCTCGCCGTCCCTCGCGCGGGGGTGTTTCTGCCCAACATCAAACACGTCATTGCCATTGCAACCACTGCAGACATATTTCTGCTGGGACTCGGGACGGAGTCGGCTCCGGGCAGCTCGTCTGCTCTGTCTCTCTTCCAAACTGGTATGTCGGTCTCAGTCAGAGGTCTCGACGTCAGCGTCATCGCTTCCTCGGCAAAAACGGGGAGGATATTCTTTGGTGGCCGGACGGACAACGACATCTATGAAGTTACGTATCAGCAAGAGGATCGGTGGTTTGCAAGTCGATGCGCGAAGATTTGTCACACTAGTGGTGCTGCCAAATCTTTGACGTGGACGTTTAGCAGCTTTGCCCACGGACAGAGGGAGCATGTGGAACAGATCGTGGTGGATGACAGCAGAGACCTGCTTTACACGCTGTCTTCCGCGTCGAATATTCGCGTGTTCCACATCAAGCCGGAAGGCGGCCTGCCTCTGTTGGTCACGAAACCGGCATCCGAGATCTACGACAACATTGGCCACATCATTAACCAGAGCGAGTCCCTCAACAGCCGAGTCAAGATTGTATCCATATCAGCTCTTCCAGCTTCGGAAGCGTCGAGGTATTCCCTGGTAGCCATTACGGCCAGTGGGTACCGGATATACCTCAGTGCCAAAAGCGCCACCTACAGCTACGGGTCTTCAGCTAGGTCCGGCGCGCCCATCAGTGTACAGGCTCAACATGTCAAGATACCGCCAGTGTCCCCCAATCCCGGTCACTCGAACACATGGGGACCTGATTCGTCCGGCGACATCCATCAACCTATCAAGACGTTGACGACCACTCGACTCGCTGCACGGTACCCGCCTGGCTACTTCTTTTGCTTTACGGCCAGGGACGCCAATTCACCTACCGACCAGTTATTTATTTCAGCCCCCGACGCCGGAAGACTCCTGAGGAGTTCGGAACCTGGTCAGACAAGTCGAACTGCCGAATCTGCAATATGGCTCTCGCTGGGCAGTCGCGCGGAGGACATAGGGTTGGTGACCCCGTACTCTGCTCCAAGTTCAAATCCCGTCGGCTATGGGAACGACTTGGCTGTCCAATTCGACAAGCCCATTCCAGAAATTGCCATCTTGACGAATACCGGCATCCACATCATCCGAAGGCGCCGCTTGGTGGACATTTTTGCGGCGCTAAGCAGTCAAGGTGGTGGTCCCGAAGGATTTCAGCACGAGGTCAGCAACTTGATCCGGGCCTATGGTCGGACGGAGACTCTGGCGACAGCACTTGCGGTGGCATGTGGTCAAGGAGTCGAAGACACAGGCAGTGCTCAGTCCGTACGGGTTAACGACCCAGAAGTCCTCGAGCTTGCCCGCAAGACCTTTATCGAGTACGGTGGTAAACCAAGCATCAATCAAAACTCCATCACGGATAGGTCTGTCCCCTTGATCGATGCTGTACGACCGTCGCCGCGCCACGCCGCCATTGCCTTGTACCTTTCGCGCTTGTTGAGGTCGACGTGGAAGAATGTGATTGCTGTGGCGTCGACATCACCGGCCGGCTACCAGATCAATCCTGCGGTGCCTCTCAGAAAGTTAAGGGACGTTCAAGAGTCTCTGTCTGCACTGCAACGCTTCTTCCAGACGAACAAGAGTTTCATCAAAGGTCTGAGTGGGCCGGATGATCTTTCAGCAACAAGCACCAAGGACGACGAGATCGCTCTGCAAGGAGAACACCGTGCCTTGCATTCGTTGGTCAAGTTTACATCCGACACTATTGAAGGTCTCTCGTTTATTCTGGTCTTATTCGAAGAGAAGGTCGCGGAGATAGTACCCCTGCTGCCCGAGGCTTCGAGACCGGAGATGCTGAAGCTGACTTTTGAGGAGCTCTTCACGACGAAGAAGGGCTACGAGCTTGCCAAGGAGCTCGTCAAAGCTATTGTGAATCGCAACATCGCCAAAGGGTCGAATGTGGAGACGGTGGCCGAAGCTCTGCGCAGAAAATGTGGCAGCTTCTGCAGCGCGGACGATGTGGTGATTTTCAAAGCACAAGAACAACTCAGGCGGGCGGCCGAAGCAGGGGCCAACAATGACTCTTCGCGGAATCTTCTCAATGAAAGCTTGAAGCTTTTTGAGAAAGTGGCTCACAGCTTGCCCCATGACTATTTGGAGTCGGCGGTGAAACAATACACAGATCTGCAGTTCTTTGCTGGGGCCATTCAACTTGTTCTTCGGGTCGCTCACGAAAAGGACAAGGCGAACGAGGCCTTGTCCTGGATGGCAGAAGGTCGACCGGAGCCAGACCCTCGGAAAGCCAAGTTCGATCTCAGAAGCCAGTGCTACGACCTGATCCACGCGATCATTGTGGCCGTGGACAAGACCACAGAGCACGGCCCGAGTTTTGTGGATGGTCACCCAACGCTGGCTACCACCAGACGGAACGAAGCATACGATGTCATCAGCCGGGCCAAGGATGAGGCGTTTTTGACCAATCTCTACGACTGGTATCTCCGACAGGGATGGTACGATCGCCTGCTCGCGACCGAGTCTCCGTTCATCGTGACGTACCTCCAACGCAAGTCCAGTGAGGACATTCTGTACGCGGATCTGCTCTGGAAATACTACAGCCAGACGAATCAATTTTCCGAGGCGGCCAAGATTCAATTGCAACTTGCCCGAAGCTCGTTCCCACTCTCGCTCGAAAAGAGGATGGAGTATCTGAGCCGCGCGAGAACCAATGCCTCCACTTACACGCCAGGGGGCAACCGGAAGACGAAACAGCAGCTCCTCCAAGAAATCAACGAACTCCTCGACATCGCGACCATACAAGATGAAGTTCTCCAGCGCCTGCGGGACGACTATCGACTGGGGCCGGATCGGAGACAAGAAGTGCTCGATCAGGTCAATGGACAGATCTTGGACATCAACACGCTGTTCAACAACTACGCCGACAACGCCGGGTACTATGACCTGTGTCTCTTGATCTACCAAGTGGCGGATCACCGGGACCCGGCCCAGATCAAGCAAACATGGCAACAGCTCCTCCAGTCGGTGCACGACAAAGTGCAGGAAGAAGCGCAGATTGAACCCTTTGAAGCCATTGCCGACGAAGTGCGAAGTCTGGGCAGCAAACTGCGCGTCTCGGAGACGACGTTCCCGGTTCAGACGTTGCTGCCGATCCTGGAGAAATACTCGTACGAACACCAACGCAACGTGGCGCCGCCGCACTGGGTGGTTGACATCTTTCTGTCCCTGGAGATCCCCTGTGAGCGGCTTTTTGAGATCTTGGAGATGATGTTCTTCGCGGCGGATCCTCCGTTTGTGGGATCGAACCGAAAGTACATCGCCTCGGAGTTGGTTTACGTGGTGGGCCGATGGTTCCACGATTCCACCCGAGCCGGGTCTGTGATCTTTGGAAGTGAGGTGGCGGCGGTGAGGGTGCAGGAGACGATGCAGGTCTTGCTACAGCAGGGCAGAGCGGCGGGACTGGACGAGGAAACCACGAGGGTGGCCAGGGAGGTTGTCGAGAGAGTCGGGCGACTTTTGGGGTGAGAGGAGGAAGACACTACACACACACACACACACACACCATGTATTTTGTAACTCCATGTGCTCGGAAAAGTCATGACCAGGTAGCAGTAGTCACTGAGGATTCTGGATCTTGGAGTCTGTGAAGTTCGAGTACCAGAACCATCAGTGGGGATCATTTCGCCAGTGTTGTTACACAAGATTGGAATGGGGAAATCTGACGCCAGTTCTTGCCCGATTGAGGAAGTTCAGAATGAAGCCCTGAATTTTGTTTGGGCAGAAGATGGAATAGAATGGATGGATGGATGGATGGATGTAATACCTGTTCCTCAACTGTATTAGTTCCTGTGGGTTCAGATACATAAACGATACACACACACATACACACACACACATACACACACACACATACACACACACACATACACACACACACATACACATACACATACACACACACACACTCACCTTGTCCTCGTGTGTGTGCTTGGTTACCTCTCACCTTACCTCACCTCACCACCAGTATCTTGTGCTTTGACCGCCACACACATATATTAATCAATAGTACCTATAAGACAATGGCACAGAGGGTGACCACAACACCACCCGCGACCGCGACCGCGACCGCGACCGCGACGCGACGAACCCGCCGTCGTCCCCTCTCGGCCCGGAAGCTCGACGTGGTGTATCTGTGCTTCTTCATCGTGCATGTGCCGATCATGTTCTGTACGTTTTGCATTGAACAGACACACGTTGACACATTGACACCCAGGGGCTACTCATCCATCTATCTATCTATCCTTCTTCTATCCACCCATCACCTATTATTTACTTGCCCACACAGCACTACTTGTACACTCACATTGACGCATTGACACGCCGATATCTTTATCTTCACATTACATTGAGAAAATAAACCTAACAAATATTTGAGTAGTGGTCGACCTGGCCTCGATCCTCCCATCCATCCTGGTCTCACCGCTCTCGCACAGCCTGCGCGCCTACCAGCTCCAGCGCTTCCAGGACCAGTTCTTCGTCCGTCCGCCCGCGTGGTTTACCGCGTACATGTACCTCGAGGCCGTGTACCACGTGCCGATCAGTCTGTGGATGGTGTGGGGGATTGTCAAGGGTGAGTAGTAGTGGAAGTATGATAGCTTTCTCGGAGGACAGCCAATCTGTCTACGGAGTCATTCAGCCACACCTCGTGCTTGTTCTTGTCTTGAATGTGTTCCTGCTGGGATTGATGGCACTTTCTGAAAGAAGCGGGAGGGAAGTGTCTCATGAGATGGGATTTCGTCGTGTTCTGATCTATTAAGATCCTTTATCCCTTGCTGACCTGTCCTGCCCTGCCCTGTTCTTCCAGATCACCCTCTCGTCCCCCTACACCTCTTGATCTTCGCCCTCGAGGTTGCCGTCACCACGCTCACCTGCGTCGTCGACATTTCCGCCTGGGAGGGCTACACCTCTGCGCAAAAGTCGGACCTGTACGGGCTGTACGTGCCGTACTTGGTTCTCGGTACGTTCTTGACTCTTGACTCTTGACTCTTGACCTCTTGACCCTTTCTCCCTTTTTTCTCTCTGAATATATATCTCCCTCTCTTTCTCCCCGAGATATACGGCTTGGTATGGTCGGGCACGAGCTCGTTGATCAACTGACGTCTGTGATGCAGCGTGCTTGATGGGCATCGACGCGTTCGTCAGAGTCAAGAGACAGATTCTGCACTGCACCGGCTCCGGCTCCTCGGAGAAGGGCAAGACTTCATAAAACGCTGGCATGGTGCGCAGGTATCATTTGCATGGTTAGTTGGTTGATATTGAAGAGTGTGTGTGTGTATGTCAAACGAAGATGCCAGGTGACATGCATGCATGCTCTTTTATATATATGTATGCGCCATGGCAGATTTTTTTTGGTTCCCGCGTGGTCCCAAAATCCACAAGAGAGAACACCTGCAACCCCCGAAAATGCACAGGATCAAGACCAGTCGCGCAGAGATTCGTCGTCTTCGTCGTCGCCGTCGTCCTTCTCTTCCTCCTCTTCTTCGACTTCCCCATATTCGTTGTTTTTACCCAACCACCCCCTTTTCCCTCTCTCTTTATGATAATGGTCTTTCTCCCCCCTCCTCCTTTTCCCCTTTCAAGTATATGTATACACATCCTACAACTCTCCAAACTGCTCCTCATACTTGGAGATGTGGGCGACCTTCTCGGCGCTGGCGCTGGTCTCGTCGAAGCGCAGCTCGACCCACTCGTCGACCAGCTTCTTGGCCAGCTCGAGCCCGATGACGCGCTGGCCGAAGCACAGCACCTGCGCGTTGTTGGACAGCACGCTGCGCTCCACGCTGTACGGGTCGTGCGCCGTCACCGCCCGGATGCCCTCGACCTTGTTGGCCGAGATGGCCACGCCCAGGCCCGTGCCGCAGATCAGGAGGGCGCGGTCGGCCTGTGAATCGTTCGCCGCCCATCGTCAGTATTCGTCCCCGGCGAAAGTGAAAGGGGGGCCAAGTAACGAAGTGACAAATCAGTCAGTCACGCACCTCTCCCGCCTTGATCTTCTTGCACGCATCGACCGCCAGGTGCGGGTATGCGGTGGAGTCGTCGGCGTCGACCACCCCGACATCCAGGACGTGCGTCACGCCCGCGTGCTTCTTGAGCACCTCCTTGAGCGCCGTCTTGTAGGCGTGGCCGGCGTTGTCGCTGCCCACGACGATGCGGAGCGGGGTTTTGGTGGTGCCGTTGGTCGCCATGCTGGAGAATGTGAGGGTATAGAGAGGGGGGCCTGGGATCGGTTGGCTGGGTTGCTCTCTGTGTAGGTGTGGTGGTAGGTGGGGGTGGGAAATATATCTATCTATCCCCTTGATGTTTTTCTCAACAATATCTCAACCAGTGTCTGTCTGTGTTGACTGAACAATCCACCTTAAAAAAAAAATGAAGACGAAGAGAAATTACATATTAGGCACAACCCCATCGCTGCTCGCTCGCTCGCTCGAATTGGCGGCGACGGCGTGCATTGCCGTATCCGATGGCCGCCCTCGCCGCCGACTGGCGTCATTGTCTAATTTTCTAGGCCGGCGGGATTGCCGTATCGAGGCTCCCGGGCCGGTTAAATTCACACGTGGGGGAAAGAAAGGGTCTCTACCTGTGTGGGGGAGAATTCCGCCGCTATAACAACGCAGTGCGAAGCACCTACTAAAGTGTTCAAGAATCCTCGGCATACCTCCCTCTTAGGTGCTGCTGACGCCGTTCCGAGATCAGTTGACCTTTTAATTTAGCTGAATTCACACTTGAAGACCCACTAAGAGCAAGCACCCCTTTGCGCATATTACCCAAAGATGCCCACGAAAGAGGAAGAGGCCGATCTGGCCATGGTCATCAGAGACCGCGAAACGTCAAATGAACATGTGGGTATACGTAATCTGAAAAGGTGGCCCACGATTCAACGGAGCGGTTGTCACTCAGGCTGACGACTTCTCTAAGCTTCTTCGGTTCCCCCAAGTTCTCCGACTTTACCATCAAAGTTGATGAACGTGAATTCAAAGTCCACAAGATAGTTATATATGGCCAGTCAGAATATTTCAATCGCTTGTTCAACAGCGATTGGAAAGTACGCTTAAACTCCAATTCTGATAGAGCTGTCTCTAAGTTTGATGCATAGGAAGCTCTGGATAATAAGATCGAGCTCAAAGAAGACGATCCAGGTGCTGTCGAAGCGATGCTCCGCTTCATGTATGAAAATGAATACGACAGCGGCGAACACAGCTGGGGACGAATATCTCCCATGCTTTTCCACGTGAGGGTGCATGCAGTCGCAGACAAGTATGGCGTCGCAGCCCTGAAAAAGCTCTCGAAGCAAAAGTTCGACCATGCGACGAGTGTTTGCTGGGATATGGACGACTTTCCCCACGTGGTAGCCGATGTCTATGATAATACCCTCGGATGTGAAGAACTTCGGGACACTGTCGCTCGCGCGTCTCACGAACACATCGAGGCGTTACTCATCAAGGACACGTTCATACGCGTGCTTCGCGACACCAGCGGCTTTGCCGCCGACATCATTGGGCTCATGAGGGATGGGATCACTCCGCAAGCTCGATACGAATGCCCCAAGTGTGGAGTTGAATGGGAAGCAAAGCTTGTTCCTGGGAAAACTTATTGCTGCCTGCATTGCGGCTCTCGTCAGTCTAACTGGAGCTCATATATTATTAGCGGTAAAGACTAGGTGAAATCTTTGCGATTGGCTCATAATTGGTGAGTCCACAAGTCCTGTTCAACATCTTCTCTCGGTGTAGTTAATGCCGACCGTCTATAATTATGGCTTCATTCAATGCTGCGTTTTGGTGGATTCTGTGTAAACGAGGTACCTACATAACCATTTCATGTCCTTCCGGTTATCGAGCAAGCTTCTGAAGATGGATTCAAAGCCCACACGGGACTTTCATCAGGCTGGCCGAATCGATTGCAACACGCTTACTGTCCCTCGACAGATGTCTGCTCGATTGTAGATTGCGAGCTCACATCTTCATGGTCTTCAACGGTCGCAAGCAACAGATCCCAGTTGAAACCTAACGCAATCTGAAATTCACAATATGCCCATCCGAGGCTACCTAACCATACAGGGCAGACATGACAATAGGCACAGCCTTCCATCTTGGAGAGTATTGATATCTGGTCCGATAGCGTCCACCCCCTCCGAAAACGCAGTCTGAATATTCTCCGATGCCCCCGACAGACCCGGTGATGTTTACAGATGGAGCGGGCATTTCGTGTATACAATACCCGAAATTTCACGCTCTACAGCACCTCGGTAGCCCAAGTAGACCCGACTTTAGTTGCGACATACATCTTCGCATCCTGTCCCACAAAGAAGAGCTTGATCCCCGAGGAGACCTTCACGAGACACATGCTGCTCGGCTGTCTTGCTTGTTGATCGACCACGCCACCCATCTGCCAGCTTCCAGCGACCTGAGATGACGGTTGCACTTCAACCAAGTTGGTGAAAGTCGTATTTTCCGTATTGGCGACCTCAATGAAAATGACATGTGCATCGTTGCCCTCCTGAAAGCTGGCCATGGCGCCGCCCTGTGGGACGGTGATCGGCCCGGCGGGTCCTGGAAGGAACAGTTCGGCATTCTCCCAGTGGTCGCCCATCCAGTTCATTGCGCTGAGTCGGTTGAATTCGCCAGAGTAATAGACTCTTGAATCGCTCCCGTTCAGTGCGAAGCACGTCACACCACTGTAGGGCGCAGCGGGATGACCGGGAGATGCGTCAGATGGCAGGACCGTGTTAACCCACCTTCCGACCCATGCCAGCTCATTGACAAGGTTCTGCGAGTCGATGTAGTAGATGCGCTGGTCGCCGTTGGAGAGAGTGAGGCCGGTCAATGGACTGTCGCTGCGCACTGGGTGGGAGGGGAGGACGTTGTTCGACCACGCCGCTGTTTTTGACGTGGTGGAAGCAGACAGTTCGTTGATGCGATTGACGCTATCGATATAATACACTCCCACCTCGTGCGTTTTCTTGATGCTGATGATAGAGCTTCCAGACCGAACCTCGAGAGATGGCAAGACCATGCTTTCATATGCGCTCGAGCTGCCCAATGTGCCATTCCAGATGGTTTGGTTGACGCGTGAAGTGGTGTCGGTGTAGTATACTCGAGTATCCGTGTCACTAATTCCACAAGATGTGAGGCCACTACCTCTCTGAACGTTTCGTCCGGGCAGGCCATTTATGATTGTCCAGGATCTCGGTCCTGATGGATTGGTCGTTGTGGGTACTGACACGGCATGCTGGAGGGGATCTCCTCCATGAGTGAAGAAGGCAGTAGGTATATTCCCATCGGGAGAACTGCCAGTGATTGAGCTGAATTGCGGACCTGCCAACCATTGAGCGGCATTCACCCAATAGGACTGCAGTGCTTCGAGGACCGATGCCCCCTCCGATGTGTTGAAACCGACGACCTTAGCACCGGTGCTGCAGGGGTCCCCAGTGGTGTTGAGGTCCAGGTAATGATGAAAAGACGAGTCCGTAATGATTCGGCCGACACCAGCGACGTGACCATCATAGACTGCCAGTATGTTGATCTGCTTTTCAGTAGTGAGAGAGGGGTCGTTGAAGAACTGTGATTCACAGGGCCGGCCAGTGTTCTCCACGAAAGTAGGGTGACCTCCCTGCACCTGGCCCGTGGCAATGACCAACGGCAATTCTTGGTGCCCGTTGATGATGGGATACTCCACGAACGTCTGACCACTGAACGTGAGCGCGTCATCGAGCTTCCATGGTGTCCGAAGGCCTGGTCCGCTTACACCGTTGAACCCAAGGACCTCTCCCTCATGCATGTGATCTGGAAATTGGTTTATAGGCCCAGCTGGTCCCGACAAGATTGGATGCGCGACCCCGTTGGGAAAGGACAGCACTTGTGGCAAATCGTCGGACTGATTATCGAAGTCCCATTGTCCGTCTCTGCCTTGGACCAAAGTATCGGCTCGATCTCCTGTAGAACCGGGCCAGTTTGCAGGGGCTCCAGCTGGGATATCTGGTTCTCCGGCGCCGTACCATTTGCGCATGGATCGGACACGTGGGATCTTTCCACACATCAGTGAGCCTAGCCCGGCATGGTCACCGGTAGCCAGTACTCCGCCGCCTCTTTCCATGAATACTGCAATTGCCCTCACCTCATCGTCGGAGATGCTAGGTCCACCGCCATTGGTACCAGCGTAGCCAAACAACCAAATTTCGTCGTAAGCATTCAGATCTGTCAGGGTGGTAGAGAAATTGAAGGGGGCCTTGAAGGTTGCATTCGAGTCTCCTGAGCGATGCGCAGTATGGACCAAGATCATATTCTCTGATTGCAGAGTGAGCACCAGATTGTGGAGCGTGAAGAGTGTATCGTCAGGCGAAGGGCCCCAAGTGAAGCCTCCATCTGCGACCGGGTCAGGACCGGAGTCTACAACGATGAGAATTGTGATGGGCAGCATCGCACTTAAGATTGATGATTAGGATTCATGTGAGGCTGGCCATCATGAAGTGAGGCTGACGGTGATTATATATATGTATCTATGTCCTGGGGCTGAGGAGCTCAAGCATTCGGGTGTGCTGCTCGTATTCGTGTAGCGCCGCGTACCTTGTGACTCTTCAGCTGGGAAGTGCCAGAAAGGGGGAGAGGCAGCTTGTGCTCGTTTGACCGGATCTTTGATTGCGGATGATGTCTAGGCGAGGTGCGGTCTAGACTCTAGACTCGGCGGCGAAATACGAGAAAGAAAGAAACCCCGAAGGACACGAGGCAGATTCGTGATAGGAAACCCATCATAGTCCATTTTCACCCCTGTATATTTCAGCCCGCGCGAGCTCGTGTTGCGTGCAGTAGCTGAGGCTTCTAACCTGCAACGATCAGGCCAGCGGACTCGTTGTTGCTCAGAGTCCGTCTGCGTCTCGCATGCCTGGTGTAGTGAACACCGAAAAAGTCTTATAAATCACCATTCGCGGTTTTCGAGACTATCTAACGCGGCCTAGGGGTCGCCTCTTTGCTCGGGGTCAAATTGAACATGTATAAATGAGATATAACTGATTGGCGGCGGCGTCGTCGTCGTCGTCGTGGTTGTGGTGGTGGTGGTGGTGGTGGTGGTGGTGGTGGAGAGAAACAACAGCGTGCATCTTGTAAAAATTGTGGGGTGTTGCATCACATGATGTCCCGACACAGCCTAGTGAGGCTTGGCGCCCAATGGAGGGGCAAGAGGGCTCATTATAGGCGGATGCCGGAAACGCCAAATATGGGCATGCCGAGAGACGCCAAGATCAGTCACGAGTCTGGACACAGATACTAGGAAGGTATTCACCACGGTATAATGGGCTTCATGGTTACTATACAATACTACTACTGCTGCTCTCTCTGTGTGTGTATGTGTGTGTCTGGATGAGTCTTCCATAATAATTGGGAGAGGCTTCGAACTAGGCACTGTTATGTCATATACTTATTACTGAGGATTCTTGGGGACACTCACAACCTCGCCTTCCTCCTTCTTCCCACCTATATATAAGACACCCCCTCCCTCTCACACACATACAAACACACACACATCGACAATGTCTGCATCACCACCACCATCATCATACCCCCGCCTCCCCTCCAAGCTGATCCTCACTTCCACCAAGGCCTACTTCTCCCCGTCCCGCACCATCACGTACCTTGCCTCCCTGCTCGACCCGGGGAACCACATCCTCCCCCTTCTCCAACGCCACCGCGCCGACGTGCTCTTCGTGCTGATCCCGGACTTTCTCACCATTTACCCGTGCGCCCAGGCTCTGAGTAGCAGCAGCAGCAGCAGCACGACAGGGTTCAATGAGTCCCCTGGGCCAGAGAGACAGGCTCTAGATACGGCAGCGTCGGCCGCGTGGCCCATCGCCCTGGGCGCCCAGAACGTCTACCCCTCGACCACCTACGGTGCGTACACGGGCGAGATCGTCGTGCCCGGGCTCCAGGAGCTGGGATGCTCGGTGGTCGAGCTCAACCACGCCGAACGCCGACGGTACCTGGGCGAGGACGACGCCACGGCCGCGAAGAAGGCGGCCGCCGTGTGCGCCGCGCACATGGTGCCGCTGGTGTGCATCGGCGAGCTGGACCGGCCCGACCTCCGCGGACCGCTGAGCCAGTCCGTCGGCGCCGCCGTGGCTCAGCTACGGCCGCAGATCCAGAGCGTCTTGGCCGCCGTGCCGCACGACGCCCCTGTCATCTTCGCCTACGAGCCCGTCTGGGCCATCGGGGCTGCGGAGCCCGCCGGGGTCGAGTACGTCGGCCCCGTGGTCCAGGCCATCCGCGAGCTCGCCAGGCAAGTCGTGCCCGAGAGAACGGCAGAGGTCAAGGTGGTGTATGGGGGCAGCGCGGGTCCGGGGCTGTGGAGTGGGAAGACCAATGGGGGAAACGGGCTGGGGAAATGGGTCGATGGGCTGTTCCTGGGGCGGTTCGCCCACGAGATCTCGGGCGTGAGAGGAGTCGTGGAAGAAGTGGTCGAGAGTCTGGAAACACGGTGAGAGGACCGAGATGGTTGAACAAGATGATTCGACCCAGCAAGCAAAAAAGATCACCCACTGTACACTGCGAAACATGCCCTCGTCAAGTCATGAACTCATCATCCAAACCAACAGGTAGTTCCCAAAAAAGGACGCAGATCGCCCCTCTCAAACATATCACATCAATCCCAAAATGCCCGCAGATGACTCCACCCAGCCAGAGAACCTGGCGACGAAAGCAAACCCTCCTCAATCAACCCTTCAACTCTCCAGGTGTCATGACCGACACCACGCTTGTTCCCTCGCTGAACCGCGTCCGGAACACGCGGTTGGCGTTCTGAAACATGCCGTCCTTCAAACTGACGACGATAAATTGCGAGCCCTGGAATCTGGTCTTGATGATCCGACCAATATTCTGAGTGTGGGAGAGATCCAGTGCCGCGTCCACCTCGTCCAGGATATACATCGGAGCCGGCTTGAACTGTAACAAGGCCAGAATGAGGGACAGGGCAATGAGCGATCTATGACCACGGATAAGTAAGTGCTGCGCCGACCCAAGGGGGAAGAATGCCATACCTTTGACCACCAGAAAGCTCCGTGAGACTCTGTTTCCAGACCTTCCCCAGACAAACCTTCACCTCCAACCCTTCCTGGATCCGATCGATGTTGTCGTCCAACGGCACCAACTTCGCCGTGTTGTTCCCCGGCAACAGGTCCGAAAAGATGTTGCCAAAGTCCTCGGTGACCTTGCGCCATGTCTTGATGAGCGCCTCTTTCTTGTACTCGTCCAGCGTGCTGATCGTCTCCTCAATCTTCTTCTTGTCCCGGATCACGGTACGGAGCATGTTTTTCAGGGATGCCTCTTTCTTCTCGACACTATCGATCATGGGCATCACCTTGGGGTTGATCTTTTTCTTCATCCCCTGGAATCTCTCCGTGACGTTTTTCAGAGTTGCTCGACTCTCGGACAAGTTCTTGCCGTGGAAATCGTACGGCGTGCCGGGGCGACCAAATTGATCCTTGTTGTCTTCAATCCAGTCATGTTCCTTCTCCAGCGCTGCCACCAGTTGTGCCGCGGCCTGGGCGTCCTTCTGGGCTTTCTCAACCGCATGACCCAGTTTTTGCGCCTCCAGTGCCTCTTCGGTGATCTGTTTGGATTTCTTGGATTTGGCTTGTTCCAGTTCGCGCAGCTCGTCATCGAATCCCGTCAGTTTTGCTCGTTCGTCGTCCAGTTCAGCCTGAGCGATGTCGTGGTTGCTCTTCACCGTCGCTTCTTCTTGCCGGAGGTTCTGGAGTTCTTCTTTCTGGGTCTCAATGGCCGCATCCGCCTCGGAAAGTTGCTCCAAGGCGGCGTTCAAATCGCTTTCTGCTTGTTCACAGTCGATCTTCGTGTCCTGCAACTCTTTCTGAAGCATTTTGATTGCGGCTGATGTCTTGCTGAGTGACTTTTTCAGGTCGGCCAATGACTTTTCGAGTTCCTTGAGCTTGCTGTCCTTGTTCTTACTGAAATCCTCCATGTCCTTTTCGATCCGCTTGACGTCTCTCGCGGCCTCGGTTTCCCGGGCTTTGGCACTTGCCATATCTTGCTTCAGCTGCACGATCGACGCTTTCATCTCTTCGACTGCCTGGATGATCGACGAGGAAGAATTGCCCGAGATCTGCTCCTCTGCCAGTTTGATTTCATGGCTTTTGAGATCGAGAACTTGCTTGACTGACTTGATATTGGCGAGCTTTGAATGCTCCTGTCTCATGGTCTCTTGGAGCTGCCGAAGTTCTGATTGGCGCTGTTGCAGTTCCTTGGTGACCTCATTCAGCTTCTGAAGGATCACGAGGACACCACTGGAGTTCGGAGCACTTCCTCCAGAAAGTGTACCCGATGGGTCATAGACGTCTCCTTCGAGCGTCACGCTCTTCAGTCTTACCGAGGGATCGAAAGTTACTCGTTTCGCCGTTTCTGCATCCTGACAGATCAATGTGGTCCCAAACACGTAGTCCATGGCGGCAGACACTTCGTGGTCGTACCCGATCAAGGACAAGGCAAGATCGACCTTGCCGGGTGCTATCCGTTGTGCGGCTCCAATTTTCTCTGCTGAAGCTCTGAAAGCTGAAATCTTGTTGAGGGGAATGATGGTCACTCGCTTTTTCAGCTTTCCGTGCTGGAGCAACTGTGTCCCCGTCTCTGCCGTGTCCACGACGACGTTGTATAATCGACCACCAGCACATATTTCGAGTGCGGTCCCGGCGACAGACTTGTCCTTGTCCAAAGTAAAGAGTTGAGCAACCAATCCCTTCACCCTCGAGCGGTCAAAATTGGGCGAAGGATCACTGAAATGAAAGTCAACGTTCGCAACCCTCCGCTTGAGGTCATCGGCTTGTTGGGTGAGAGTGCGGATACTCTTTTGAAGGGCAACTTCCTGTTCTCTCATGCTCTCCTCCCGTCCAGGTTCAAATCCCAAAGTTTGCAGGTCGCTCTCCAGCTTCTGTGCTTCCTTACGGAGTACTTCAAGACCCTTGAGGAGATCAGCATTCTGTTCACGGGCTTTTTTGGCTCGTGGCTCGTCTTCCTTTATTCGCTTCTCAAGGTGCGAGATCTTCATCTTGGCTTGTTCCTGTTCGGTGGTTGCGGCCGTCACTCGATTTCTGGCTTCCTGCAGCTGACCTTGATAGCCACTTTCCTGGCCCTCGCGAGACGCGACTCCGGTCTGTAACGTTGACAGGAGCTCCTCCTTCTTCTCGACTTCGGCGTTCTGCGAATCATGCTCGGCTTTGGCGCTGTCCCACTGCGACTGCAGTTTCGCGAGTCCTGCTTTTTTGTCATTGACCTGCTTCTCCAGACCCTTGACAGATTTCGCAATGTCTTTCTTCTTTTGCTCTTCTTCAGACAGACTCGAATTCTTCAGATCAAGCACAGTTGCCAGTCGTACAAGTTCGTGGCTGAGCTCTTTCACTTGAGCCTCAACTGCTTGAAACCGCCCGCCTTTGCGCATCTCCTTTTCTCGGACGGCACGAACGCGCTGGGCGTCTTCATCCAGGTTCTCGATCTCGCGTTTCAGCTTAAAAGCATGTTCCTCCAGGTGCTGTACCTTCGCTCGCTTGACTTCATGTTCTTGAGTTGCACTCTTCATCCTTTCGCCGGCTCGAACGTAGTCTGCTGCAACCACCACGCGTGTTAATCTCTCGAGTTCACTTTGTGTTTTTTGATAGTCTAGCCACGCCCTTTTTTCGCCGCGCAACTTGTCAAGTTTGGGCTCGATTTCTTCGCGTAACAGGCCCTCTATCTCAACGACCTTCATCTCTTTCTTCGCCATCGTCTTGACGGCCTTTTCCTTGCGATCCTCAAACATACGGGTTCCCGCCGCTTCCTCGATCATTGCCAGTATCTCAGCAGCCTTCATGTTGAGGACTTTCGTGATGCGCCCCTGCATGATAATAAAGTTCGGGTTATTGATGTTCAATCCAACGCTCTGGAACAGATTCTGGACCGTGGTCTGCTGTGCCCGGTGACCGTTGATCAGATATTTGCTTGTCCCGCCCATTACTATTTGTCGCGTTACGCTAATCTGCGCATATTCCTCGAAGCCGATCGGACTGGTGCTCTTGTCGCTGTTATCAAACACGATCGTAACGCTCGCCTTTGTTACTCCGGCCTGGCCGCGCTTGTAGATGAGGTCTTGGAGGTTCTGCGCTCGGACGGTCGACATATTCGTGATGCCCAGTACAAAACATATCGAGTCAAGGATGTTGGACTTTCCGGACCCGTTGAGTCCTGTCACCGCATTGAAGCTTTGATCCCAGCCAGAGATGACAGTTCTCTGGCTGTAGGATTTGAAGCTGTGACCGTTAGCTACCGACGATGTTCATGCGAACAGTTGCAAGGCGCTTACCCATCGATGACCAGTTCTATGATCTTCATGATGCACGGTCACGCAGTCAACGTGATTATTCCAGTCCAACACGTCCAGGCGCATGAACAATCCTCGTTCTAATGATTGCCATCGGTTTGTTGACAACACTCGATTCGGCTAGCCTGTTTCGCCGTTTGAGGGAGGTGTGGCGAGTCGGTCTTGGCGCAGTTTTCAACTGCGATGTCCTCGGAGCTTCTCTACCGCTCCAAATGCTGTGCTTCATCCAGACTTGTAATCTCAGTTGACTTCGCGTCCCAATACGGTTGTGAAGGTGCCCGTGAGCCAGTGATGGCATCAATATCTAGGACAATCGTGGGGCCCCCATCAGGGACCAGCATCCCCCTGTTCCTGGCGCCAGCTTTCGCACGACCAGCCGCTACAGCAGCAACATTATCAACTTCCGCCCTCCGATCATATGCTACCAAAAAGGGCGAGAAGGGCGAGAAAACAAGTCACACAAACTGGGCGCTACACGCACGTCCCAAGATTGACAGGAACAAGAAAAGAGGCGTCTCCGCCATCCGACGGACAGGACCCAGGAGTATGCGAGGACTGTGGAAGTACCCCCTGCCAGTGCCTGTGGCACGAGACCACCGGGGAACCGCGGCAGAATATGCCGAATCTGCGGATCATGGGCTGTGGGGTTTCTTCGACAAGTCAAAGCAGGCACTGCTTCCACCGGATGATGAGTCGAGCCACGGTATGTCGAGCGTCTTGTTCCCTTATTGTGAGCAACAGGAATGAGCTGAGCTGACTATTGATGTGCGGCAACAGGCCGAGCCTGGACGTACAAGGAACTGTCCGTCAAATCTTTTGAAGATCTCCACAAGCTCTACTGGGTGTGTGTCAAGGAACAGAACCGAACCTTGACCCGGGAAAAAGAGAGACAGCGTCTGAGGGCAGGCTACGGGGAAGTGGAAAGCGAAGAGAGAGTCGCTGTGGTAAGTGGTTCACCCGTCCTTGCTCTGCCGAGTCACAATGATGAAACAAACCCTTTCACTCGCCGATATGAAACTTCGGCCTCCAGGACCGCTTAATCCTGTTGGTCATGATTCGACTATTACTGGAAAGTTATCTGAGACCAGAATACCGTCACATTCCATTCAACACAGGACCCCCTCTAGTGGCAGAAAAAGCTGACCCTGTGCTCCTTGACAGGTACGAGAAACGATGACCCTTATCAGACAAGTCCTGGTCGACCGGCAGTTGTCGTACAACCAAGCCCGGATATTGGTCGGACAGAAAGAAGTGGCCGAGATTCTTGAAGAGTCACGGTCTGTCCTGGAGGATGATAGCCCATTGGAGCACATGGAGTCAACTCAACAACAGCAGTGATATAGAGTGAGAGCGTGTCCCGGCAACTCAATATACCGGACGACTTGCTCAGTGACTGTTTGAATTAGCGGTCCCCAGCTGAGGATTGGGCCGGGGGGGCTTTAGCACGAACGATCCCTGGCTCATGTGTAATAGCCTGTATACCAAAACAATTGAATACCTGAAAGCTTTTCCACAAACCTGCTATCCTGGTCTTCTTCTGTGCTCCCAAATTGCGCCACCACATGGCTTGGATTACTTCAAGTAAAGGGACCCAGGTCTGCCAGGGTCTCAAAATCAATATCGACACCTTCACACCCTCCAACGCTGCCCAGTCCAAACAGTGAAGGATCAATGCTCGTCGAAGTCATTGACACCAAGTCTGCCCAACCGTCCGTGCTGGCATCAGACCCTCCGGTGCCCACCACGTCAAGTCCCATGTCCGATCGAGCGGCGGCTGCGGCAGCCGCAGCTGCCGCTACAGCGCCCTCGCGCGCAGCCAGTTCGGCGCGCAAGATCCGCAGCGGCTCCCACAGGTTGTCGTTTCCAGCCAGGTAATCCATCGAGGGACGGTTCTGGAAGAGCCGCTCGATGCGGCTGCTCGCGGCGCGGGCTTCGGCGGTGTCGCTGAGCGCTTCGTGGCGGAGGACCATGGAGAGCATTGCGGCGACCGAGTGCCATGAGAAGGCGCGGATGACGGCCCAGTCGAGGCTGTAGGGGGCGTAGAAAGTGATGAGATTCTGGGTGCTTTTGCAGTAGTCGATGGCCAGCTGGTAGACTTTGGCTTCGAGCCCGGCGCGCTGGCTTTCGTCGACTCCTTTGGCGTTGAGGATGGGTTGGAGCTGGACCAATCTGATCCGTTTGAACGCTTGGTGGAACAGGTCTTTTGCTAGCTTCTGGAGGATCTCGCTCTCGTCCAGATTTCTGATGTACAGAATCTCCAGTCGATACCGGGCTTGTCGTAGGACCTCGTTCTGAAGATCCAGATAGCTACGCACCGTCATCGAGGGAGTATACGTGTTGTTGATGACAAACACGGTCAGAGCGCCCACCTCGTAGTGGATCAGGGCCACAGTCATGTCGGTGAATTTGTTCTGCTGCTGAGGACGGGTCGAGGCAAACTCGGTAGTGTCCCAATCTCTGTCATCCTGGTTCTGGGGTAGAGAAGTATTCGCGTCACCGGAATGGAGCATCGGTTGGAGCCCGTGATTCTCAACACCCCAGGCATCCAGAAGCGCAAGGTGATGCCACAGTCGCCGTCGAAGCTCGATTTGCCACGGAGAAAGACTGAAATGAGCCCCATCGTGATTGAGTCCCATTCTCCTGGCCATCGCATAGGCGACAGCCAAGAGACTGCTGGCGTGAAGCATTTCACCCGTCCAGAATAGAAGAGTCTGATGAGAGCAATCAGCCTGTTTGGAGTCAGAATCCAGGCCGAGAACACTGAAACTTACAATATATAACAAGAATGTCTGCAGGGTGAACAAGGAGTGACTTGTTGTCAGGTTCACTTGACTCAGCCCGTGTTCCACGTGCGAGCGGAATCGAGAAAGCAACACCTTTTTGGATTCGTGAAAGCGATACTCAACCAATGCCGGACACATCGACAGCAGTGCTAGAGAGTAGATCACGAACAGACGGCACTCCAATTCAGCTGGGTTCGCCGACACACCGCGGCGGAAATGGTTCAGCTCGAGCTGCAGCGTCGGTTTATGTAGGACCTTGACGAACGGATCGACCTTGTCCAGAAACGTATGGATCAAGAAGTCGCTGTCGGTCATGGAGGGGTGGGCCAAGGCAGGTTGGCCCCGACCACCACAGATGTAAGGAAACAATAAAGCGTCCCCTTGCGGCTTGGGCTCTGCTTCCAATGTAAACTTCAAGTCCCCTACCTGCACGACAACAAGATCAGACTTGGTTCAGAAAAAGAGACTACAGGCTTGAAGCAACTGGAGGTCTGCGCGGGACGAACTTCGTCATACATGGCAGCCCAGAAACCCTTGTGGAGGTAGCGGGCTCTGTCCTTGTCGAATACAAGCTTGCCATCTGTGGGATTGTCCTCTGGCGTAACAGATTGACGAGAGAATTTGTGTGAAATATTCTGAGTCATGGTTTCCATGGGGTTTCCTGCACCGAGGACGGAGTTTGAGCCTTTTTCCTCTTGTTCAGCTGGCGACGGGAAAGGAGACTGACCTTGCTGCGGTCGACGACTCAGGTGTCGCACGAGTTCTTCAAGTTCGGCCACTCGTTTGGACAAGGCATCAGTCGATTTGGGTGTGCGTCTGCTCACCAGACGACTGGAGTCCTCGTAGACGCAATCGACGCAAAACCGTTGGCAATTGGAACATGGCTCAGTTTTGGAACACCTGACCTTCCTCCGTCTGCAATCAAGGCACGGGAGGTCCTGGGTGGGCACAGGAGACTCTTGCACAGGTGACTGATGGCTCATTTCTGGAATGAGCCTCGAGGTGTTTGTCGTGCGCAGACACGCAGAAGAGGGATGTGGCTTGGAAAGAGTCAGACTTTGATCGGGACGTTTTATACTCAGGAGTAATAATAATATCGTGGAGCCCGGGTCGAAATAGCGCCTTGGAGGAGGGTTCGATGGTGGTGAGCGATCTGCATCTCGACCAGCGGATTCATTTGTTCTGTCAACATGACGGAATGGGATCGCACCAGCCCTGGATCGGTGCTTTATAGCTTTGGGCAAAAGTCGGGCAAGATTGACTCTGCTGGCGGCAGGGTATATGAAGGGAAGATTTGGCTGTCGTGGATGGATTTCTCAGAGTGGCGCAGGCCCGGAGCTAGTTTGTCGCCGACCCTCCGCAGGCGCCGGTGAGGCTCAAGCAACAACAACGCAAATACATATGCCGACGGGAACTGACCGTCAAGGCTTCAGGAAACGCTGAACGGCGACCATTGGACTGGCCGTCGAAAATACGGCAAGGCTGTCCAGAAGGAGGAATCACATCAACAAAATATCAGCTTACGTTGGTACCAAGACTCTATGAGGCTACACCTGAGTAAAAGGACGATCAACCGTTTTCAGAATTGGTTATTACTTTTGGTTGGGGTTGCTGGTTGTCTCCTCGTTACAAATCTAGAAGTTGTGAGCCCCCAGATCCTCCTCGATCTGCGTCAGGATCGACGGTTGCGTGGCCTTGAAACCCAACCGGGCAGCACGGTCTCCCTTCACCAACATGTTCGCAGCTATCAGCGACCCGATCTCGCCTTGCCCGGCCTCAGCCGCTGGCACGCTCTTGGGCTCTGGTGAAGCCACGACGCCCTTGGCATGCAATACCTTCGCCAGTACAGAGCCCAACTCCTTCCAGGGCACTCTCTCGCCATGAAGGATGTAATACCTCGAGTAGGCGCTGCCTGTGGGTTTCTCCGTTCCAGCGATGCCAACGATCTTTGTGAGGAATGGGACGCCATCGGCCACATGAATCGTACTGGCCACAGCCGAGCCATCGCCAACATACGGGACGAATCCATGCTGTTTGGCATTCATGGTAAAGATGTTGTAGGCAACCCCCAGGTTTGGTGCAGGTCCAATGTTCGTCCCGTATGTTATGCCAAAACAGACGATATAGGTAATGATCTTTCCCCGTTCTCCCGCTTCGAGCACCCTGGTCCACATCAGTACATACCCGGGAAACCCAACGCATGGGACGCAGGAAGCACTTACGGTACGTCCGTAGGTCCATTGAACATGGTCGGAACGATCTTTCGGATGTCCTCCTCGTTGTCATCCTATGGGTCAGGTCAGAACATGCCCATACCTTGCCGTTCTTATGGGGGGGGAGAGACGGACATTCCACACTTTGCTGTCGGGATTGAAATTGCCACTCTTGCCATAATCAATGAAGTTGCCGGTTCCAGATATATGGATCAGGGTGCCTTTGGCGTGCTCGGGCCTTTCTTCCATGCCTGAGATAATCGTCTTGACAAAGTCGCCATCGAAAGAAGTAATGGCATTGATGACTATGTCATGTTCCTTGCTCAACGATCGCACCAGCTCTGTGTCGGAAATGGTCCCATGGACGATTCGATCTGCCTTGGCAGTGGTCTTGAACCATTCGTCGACGTTCGTGTTGCGCAAAAACACCGTCAGTGGCCATTCAGGATATGCTTTCTTGAGATCGATGGCTACACGAGCTTCAAATTCAGTCAGCACGCGGTCCCAGATCTCGATAAAGCTACCAACATCCAATGAGGCCAGTTGGCCCGAAGAGGAGCACGGAAGGCATGCTGAGAGTCGAGCAGTTCTAGTCTTCTAGAGGCGAAATGTTCTTTCCTGTAGGCAAGTGGTTGCTGTGACAGGGCTTCCTGAGACTAGACATGTCCGCGTCAAAGCCCGTAATATACCCTCTTTCAATGCGTGCTGTCATTGTCGAACATTCACTCATCTGGTAGATGGCATCGACGGGTTGGTAATTCATTCATGGTTACTCAGACGCATCCACAGCTCGGAGGAGATCTTTTGCATATGGGGTTCCTGACGATGCGTGGTTTTAGATAAGCCAACCGTCGGCGATGCTTCGTCTCGCCGAGCGAGCGAACCAATAGAGGCTGAGTCGATGGGCCCCTGATCAGATAATCGTTCTCCATACGGGTACAACGGCTTCAGTTTGAGAAGGTGGTGCGACTGTCAACATTGGCGTCTGCTATCAGTATACCTGGTCGGGTTCTCCTAATAGAATCTTTGCTTCCTCCACTATCAGTCAGCGGTCCACCGTAGCAACGGAAGACGGGAAGAACAGCAGCTGCGAAGCCTCCGTCTGCATGCACATGCTCTGTAATTCAGGTGGATGCTATGCTTTGACCATGACAGCACGCAACCCTGGGCAGGAGAAGCGGGGTTCGTGTTCACCTACAAGAAGCACTCGTATTTGGATGCTAAAAGGCACGTTGCAGAAGCTCTCCTGTCGTGCCAGCTCTTCACTTCTAACAACCTTCTACTCTCAGAGAGTCCTCGTCCGTAGTTCATCACTCGTCAAATCTGATCAAGATACCATGGCGCAACAATATCTCAAGGGGAAGACTGCCATCGTCACCGGCGCAGGGAAGCCCACCGGGATTGGAGCTGCATGTGCGATTGCGCTGGCTGAACAGGGTGCCAACGTATGCTGCTCGTCGCCGTTCTCACGATCGTCCGCGCTGACAAGGTGACATCCAGGTGTTGATCCACTACAACACCTCAGCAGGACCAGCAGAGGAAGTTGTCGCCAAAGTCAAGAGTCTTGGGGTGCAATCTGTGGCAGTCAAAGCCGATGCGTTGAGCCCCGACTTCGGTAGCACTCTGGTGGACGCTGCTTTGAAATCGTTCAATGCGAAAACCATCGACATCATCGTCAACAATGCTGGATTCGCCACGCCCAACATCCAAGGAATCGCCTCTGTGGGATTTGACGAGTGGGATCCCGTGTTCCGTGTCAATGTGCGAGCCCCATTCGTCCTGATTCAAGCAGCGCTGCCACACATGACCACTGGGGGACGCATTATCAACATTGGAAGCATAATCTCGCGTCTTGGTTCCTGGATGCTGCCCGTGTACTGTGCCTCCAAAGGGGCTCTGACCTCCATGACAGTCGCAATCTCAGAGGAGCTCGGTCCCAAGGGGATCACAGCCAACGTGGTGTCGCCGGGTCCCATTGCCACTGATCTGTCTATGGAGGGTACACCCATTGGAGCGAGGTTGAGGAACAACCAGCACATCAAGAGGGAGGGCACACCGAAAGAGGTTGCTGAGGCAGTGCTGTTCATGGCGAGTCCAGGGTCGTCGTATATCACCGGTCAGGTGATCCATGTGGATGGAGGGATTGCTTTCCCTTAAAGGCAACGAAGGAAGCTGGAGCAGCGCGTGGATTCCCGGATTGTCCCGTACATGGGAGAAGCAAACGTCGGAAGATGAGGGTATCCGTCGGTAAATCCATGAAGCATGCCAGGAAGTAAATCTATGCCAATTTCTCGGACCCTCCTCGACGGCCGAGGCACACGGTGAAGCTCGTGGATTTCAGATTACATTCTGCACTTTCGAAGGCATCGATTGCAGGCGCAATGTGAAGTAGGACCAAGAATTAGGCAAATGTTCAACGCATCTTCACTCGACCGCCCAGAGTTAAGTTCTTACGAGTGACTCGGTGATATATACAACCAGATCCGCAAATAAGCGCACATTCCAAATACTCCGGTATAGCCTCGGCCGTAACATCTTGTCTTTAACTTTCCCATCACTTGCAGGACACGCCCTTCCCGTGTTCCTTAGAGTCCCTAGATCCTCCAGGGTATGGTCCTGATCGTCTAGCGAGAGTATAAATCTCCCCAGATATCAAAGTCCAGGAAAGTACTGACCTCTCTCATCCAGCTCACATTCACCTCAAGCCCATCTCACCACAACCACCACCATGTCTGCGCCAACTATTTGCATGGGGCAGTACCTCTTCCAGAGAATCAAGCAACTCGGAACCGAGCATATTCTAGGCGTCCCAGGGGATTTCAACCGTACGTCCCACCCAACCTCTGCGAACCCATGGATGAAGTTGTCAGACTAACCCCGTAGCTTCTCTCGCCCAGTCGCTCTTCTGGATGAAATCTACAACGTCTCGGGCTTGAAATGGATGGGCTGCTGCAACGAACTCAACGGCGCGTATGCTGCTGACGGCTACACGAGGATCAAAGGGTCTCCGGGTGTGCTGGTCACGACCTATGCGGTGGGGGAGCTGTCGGCGATGAATGGGGTGGGAGGCGCGTACGTGTGTCCTTGGCTGTGACAGACGTGGATGGATCGATGAGTTCTCAGATCGGACCAGTTGCTGACATAGGCTTTGGCGGGAGGAACAGGTATGCAGAGCATGCGGGCATGATTCACATCGTCGGCATGCCGTCACGATCGTTGCAGAAGACGCGAGCAATGCTGCATCACACCATGAAGGCGAACATGGATCACGCGACCTACATCCACATGGCAGCACCAATCCGAGAGACCCATGCCTACCTGATGGACGACACCACAATGGCCGAGGAGATCGACAGAACCATCGTGGCCTGCGTACGCAGTCGGCTTCCGGTCTACATCTACGTCCCTGCCGATACTGTGTCGGTGCAACTGGACGCAAAGCGACTGGAAACGCCGCTGGACCTGACTGTGCGCAACCAAGACGGCACGACGGAAGATGAGATTGTCAGCAGTATTCTCTCTCTCGTCGAGAAAGCTTCAACCCCCGTGATCTTGGCTGATGTGCTCGCTGTACGCCACGGCGGTCAAGAGTTGACCAGGGAGCTCGCCGAGCTCACCCAGTTTCCCAGCTATTCTACCCCCTTGTCGAAAGGTGTGATCGACGAAACTCTCCCTTATTACAATGGGCTGTACAATGGAAAAGGTAGGTGGTCTGCCTATCATTCTTTGTTACCTACTGAACCGTCATTAGTGTCATTTCCTGGGGTGGCTGAGGGCATCGAGAATTCTGATCTCGTCCTGAATCTCGGGCCACTGCTCTCAGACTCCAACACTGGGGGTTTCACGAGAGACATCAAAGACGACCATCTTGTGCTCCTCGGCCACGACGCCTGCCAAGTCAAGGATCAGAAGTTTGATGGTGTCCACTTCCTCCCGATCCTGAAAAAGCTGGTGGCAGCACTGAAAGCAAATCCCAAGAAATACAACCTTCCTCGTCCGCAGCAGGCGCCGAGAACCGAAGCCCCCGTCCTCAACGACTTGAAGTCTGGACAGATCCAGCAATCGTACGTCTGGCAACGACTCGGCCGTTTCTTGAGAAAAGATGACATCCTTTTGGTCGAGTCTGGCACAGCTCAATTCGGCATGCCAGACGCCACCTTTCCACCCAATGTCAAGTTCATCACCCAAACCTTCTGGTCGTCTATCGGGTACACGGTCGGTGCCTGCTTTGGAGCCATGATCGCGGCAAAGGAGCTCAAGGACGGCGGGCGCGTAGTCTTGATCGTCGGCGAGGGGAGTCTCCAGATGACGGTGCAAGAGATTGGATCATACATCCGCTACGGCTTCAAACCCATCATCTTTGTCATCAACAACAACGGATATGCCATCGAGAGAGCAATCCATGGCCCACAACAGGGTTACAACGACGTCAGCATGATGTGGGACTACCAGAAGATGCTTGGTTTCTTCGGCGCTCGAGAAGATACTGGCGTCCAGGCAAAGAGTCGAGCCACCAAGACGGTTGAAGAACTCGAGGCAGTCCTGAACGATGCTGACTTTGCGAGTGGAAACAGTATCCAGGTATGTCTTGTCATTGATGCTCCTGCTGCCGACGACATTGGGACTAATGTTCTTTTTCCCTTTAGCTGTGTGAAATCTTCATGGACACCTTTGATTATCCGTGGAGATTGACCGAGCAGGTGGCTATTGGTCAAGCGCGTGCGAAGCGGGAGGCCGAGAAGTAGGCGTGTCGTTCTGACTGAAAGGGGGATGGATGGATGGATGGATGGATGGCGGTTGATCTGATGAAGCCCTTCGTCAGAAATTAGAGCCTCTGCTGACGATCTAGTCAGAGGTCAGGTGGTGCAATGGACCCCCTTACTTAGACATACTTGTTCCGTGTACAATAGCATCAGCAGTGTGTGACAAAGCTGAACGCCCCTTGCAAGACTTGGATTTCATGGGGAAGCAACTGAGTCTACTCGGTACATAAAGCGTAGCATGTCTTGGCCCCGTAATTGAAACTTTGAGTGCCGGATGCTGGCTTTCAACCGAATCCTCCGTTCTTTGTCCAATCACTATTGATCAGAGACCAAATCTACATTGCAACGATGGTAACGCAGTAGTTGAGCACGATGATGGCAGAGTATGAGCCTGGCTTGTACAACACCTCCAAGGACCCGGGCGAAGACATTTGCTATTTGCCTCATCGATATGGCTTGGATGTTTGATTCGGAATAAAAGGTGGGGAATGGAAGAAGTCTTCAACCATGTTAATGTAGCTTTGCCCAGGGAATCGTTCTGTTGATCTACTGTACGACCAATTGGGGAGGTACGGCATGCGGGGTGGCGGGGGTGGCTTTAACTAATAAGAAACACTCAGCTTCCTTCCTTCCTTCCATCCTCACCTATCTCATTGTATCTCGCACATGACTGTGCCACCTGCCAGAACAGCAATGAATTAAAGAGAGACTCACGCTGCCCCTGTACCGCCGCTGAGTCACCGTGGCTCTTCTCCGCTAACTTCTCTGCCAACTGACTGACGAGAGCAATCTGACCGCAGTCAGCCAAATTACCCGCACGGTCAAAGCCGTTCAGCAGGTGTCAATAGGTCCCACAGAAACGGTTGCTCAGAATTGGAATCGGTCAGCGTCAACATCGGGAATAGGATCAGCTCCGCTAGGTGCGATTGCTTTTCCGTTACGCCGTCTCAAATGCCCTAGTGCATCCACGAGCGATTTCTTCTCACTGCGCGTGACAGACCTAAACATCCATCACACGTGGAGGAGGGTCCTCCGTCTGAATCTCCCCCAGAGTGTCAAATTCGAAGACTTACCCTGATCCATTTCTTCCAATCCAGATCAGTACGGGTTCGAAATGGAGCCCTGGGATTCCCCGCTGTCCAGCATGGCTCACGTTGCCCTTGCCTGCATTTCTTGCGACAAGGTTGTCTTATTTACTCGTACTCGACGAGGAGATTTTTGGGACGACTCGGCCTTGTTCATGCTCACCATCTGTTTCTCGTGCGAAAACGATGAGAAGAGAAAGATAGCTGTTGCAAAAAGCAACAATGATATCCCTGTCGCTGGTTGGATGCCGCTTTCTATAAGTGTGGGCATGATACAGATGTGGGAACCTTGGTTTGCGATGAATGCCTTCCTCGAAGGGAGATTGCCTTTGCCGGAGAAGAAGCTCAGCCTGGTGTATCGAGATGAGATAAGAGACAGGGCAGGTTCTAGCTATAAGATTCAAAGCGTTGAACTGAATCCACGCGAGGGGGTCGCAGCGCAGCTAGACCCATATCTCCAAAGTGGGTTTTTCTAGATAGCGGAGGAGAGACTATTGTGGTCAACACAATCACCATTCCCACTCTCCATGCACACCTTAGCCTTTGAGCCAACATGTCGCATACAGTGAAACAGCCCAGAAGACCAAACATAGCCCGTGACTTATTTACAAGAGCCCCCGACTCAGATGTTTCCAGTACTGCAGCCCTGTCCCTGCTCTGGCAATCTTTCAAGTCTGTCGGCTGAGATCGCCAGCGACTTTCCAGAGTCCTTGTTCCGTTAGCCTCAAACGGCCTCATAGGGCGGCATCACCCACGACCCGTTCCGGGGTGACTCGCCTTGGCAGCCATGACCTCATTCGCTGCGCTTCGACAGGAGCGACCTGGCAGTCCGGTGGTGGGAATAGCGCGACAACAATGTTCACCGACCCTTGACCTTCTGCACTACTTCTTTCTACTATCCTTGCATTCTCGCAATCGTTGCCCACGCTCGACGTTCCTTTGAGACCTTGGACAATGGAAGAGATCGCCCCAGAATACGACGTTATCGTCCTAGGCACAGGTATGACCGTCGTTCCCGCCTCAACCCCGCCTTTTGTTGACCCCGACCACCTCTAGGCTTGACAGAATGCGTGCTCTCTGGGTGAGAATCAGTGCACTCATGTGTGAAAAGCGTGCGTGAACTAACTCGGTCATAGGGTTCTTTCTGTCAAGGGCAAGAAGGTCCTCCATATCGATCGGAACGACCATTACGGCGGGTATGACAATCGCAGCCCTCACAGGATGACATGGGAATCTCAACTGACCGGGCACACATAGTGAAGCGGCATCTGTCAACATCGAAGCTGTAAGCAAGAATACTCCATAAGAGAGAGGGAAAGCTGCCTGACACTCTGTCGCATCTAGCTCTTCAAGAGATATGGAAACCATAAATCCGGCGAGGAGCCATGGAAGAAATACGGCCGCACCAACGACTGGAACATCGATCTAGTGCCCAAGCTCTTGATGGCCAATGGCGAACTCACCAACATCCTTGTATCCACCGATGTCACTCGGTACCTCGAATTCAAACAGATCGCAGGCAGCTTTGTACAGCAGGGCTCCGGACCTCGCGCAACAATTGCGAAAGTCCCATCCACCGCTGCCGAAGCACTAAGTTCACCACTGATGGGCCTGTTCGAGAAGAGAAGGGCAAAGAAATTTTTGGAGTGGGTTGGTTCATTTGAGGAGAACAACCCAGCAACACACAATGGTGGGAATAACAATATCACAGTATTATGGTCACACGGAGCTGATGATCTGCTGCAGGCATGAACATGAACCAGTGCACCATGAAAGAGGTCTATGATAAATTCGGCTTGGAGCCTTCCACACGAGACTTCATCGGTCACTCTATGGCACTGTACTCGACTGATGATTACATCAACGCACCGGGTATGGCCAAGGAGACGGTCGAAAGGATCCGTCTTTACGCCAACTCGATGGCCCGCTACGGCAAGTCACCATATATCTACCCGCTTTACGGTCTAGGGGAGCTTCCACAAGGCTTTGCCCGTCTCTCCGCTATCTACGGGGGCACGTACATGCTCAACACTTCAGTTGATGAGTTTCTCTACGACGGCAACAAAATCTCTGGCATCAAAGCCACCATGCGAGAACGAGGCGAAGAGAACGAAGAGGGCATGAAATTCACCACAAAGACCAAAATGATCCTCGGCGACCCTTCCTATTTCCCCGGCAAAGTCCAAGTTGTCGGTCACCTCCTCAAGGCCATCTGCATTCTGAATCATCCGCTCGAGAAGACCGGAGATGCCGATTCCTTGCAACTCATCATCCCACAATCTCAGGTCGGCCGAAAACACGACATCTACATTGCCATGGTTTCCTCAGCCCACAATGTCTGTCCGAAAGGCTACTACATCGCAATCGTTTCCACGATTGCCGAGACCTCTGCGAACCACCATCTGGAACTGCAGCCTGGACTCGAGAGACTTGGTCGCATCGAGGAAAAATTTATGGGGCCACCAATCCCACTATACCAGCCTTTGGAGAGTGGCGTGAACGACCAGATTTTCATCAGCAACAGCTTCGATGCGTCGAGTCACTTTGAGACGGTCACGGAGAATGTGAGAGACATCTATCGGAGGGCAATGGGAGAAGAGTTGAAGGTAGAGGGGCTGCGAGAGGGTCAGACCTTGGCTGAGGAATAAGCATCATCTGCAATGGAAAGGAGTTCTATCTAATTCAGAAATTGAGTAAAGGCCTGTCTGTCAATGCGGGATGCCTCGATACATATGCATGGTGGCCAGCAACAAGCGCACAGGCGGCTTCCTAGGTCACATGGTCATAGAGGGCCAGGATAGTAGGACGTCTGCAAAAATCCTCCCATTCTTTATACTGTGCAAGAGACGTCTTTTGAGAGGTAGTCCTCCCCCCCACCCCCTATCCCTTTCAATATACACATACAATGTCATCAGATGCATGCTGAAGACAATTCGTCCCTTTATCGAGTACAGTTCGGGCTAAAAGGGAAGCAACCTACAGACAGCCAGAACAGAACCAGGACAGAACCAGGCGTGGAAGTGAAAATAACGTATTCCCTTTCCTCTAGGATAGATGGATGGGTCGAGGACATTCGGGCACTAACTACTTGGAGGTATACGCAGACATTTGAATTGCTAATCGCTGTGCTCGGAATCTGTTTCAAACCCACCCACACCGTGCATCCAACAGCCCCTGAATTGGCTGCCTCGCCCCCTGACAACGCGCCAATATCGGGGGTGTCGTGGACACAGCGGGCTGCTGGGCAGATGCTCCGGGATCGTCAGATCGAATTGCTCGGCGTCGTGCAGGATCTTGCGGATCTTGGACAGACGCCCGGGCGAATTGACTCTTCTGTCGCCTTCTTTGGCGTTGTTCATCTCCCCTTGGTCGGCCTCGATGCCCATGTCGACTTCTGCCAGCTTGGCATCGTACCAGTCCCCGGTCAGAATCCGCTTATTCTTGCTCTTGGTCCTCTCTGGCTTCTTGCTGGCTCGTGTGGTTCGGCTGTGGCCTGAGGTTGCGTTGCTGCCCTGACTGGTGCTCACGCTGTCCACTCCACCTTCAAGGCTATCCGTTCGCCGTAGAGAGACAGATCGCCCAGGCGCGTTGTAGTCGAAGAAAAAGCCCCTCCAACGTCCATCCACTCCTTCTTCCGGGAGGGGTGGCGTGTGTATTCGACGAGCCTCGCTCGGTAGATAACTGGTACCCCCTCTAATGCTGATGTCGACCCTCAAGAATTCCTCGGTCTCGGCGCTTAGGCTTCTTTTCACCTTGTACGTGGCCGTTTCATCTGGAGTGTTCGTGGGCACGATGCCCATTCGCAAGTCTCTCTGGCTGGAGGTATATGATTGCAGGCCGGAGAGTAATTCCCCGCTGCCTTTGTGACTGTTGCCGATTTCAGATATGATACCCTGCACGACCCGCGGCTCGCTTTTTGTTTGCTGTAAAAGCGACTTATCTGAGAATGTCCTCCATCTCAACGGCTTAATGACCTGGGGCGGCCACAGCGAGCTCTGAGGTGCCTGCTTTATCTCCTGCAAGATGCCCGTCACACGTTGCAGTGCTTCCGACGTATAATTCCTCTTGAGCTGGCTGGTATGGTCTGCCATTCGCGTATCCCGTGCAATCGGAGTCTGTTGGGCAGCCTTGGCTGTGGTTGGCATCTTTGTGCGTCTGGGCAGGCTGGCATAGCGAATATAATGGAACGGATGAATTAGGATTGCTTTGGGATTGACTGAACTCCTGCGTGAAGATGTATGACCTTGCTCTTCCGAAGAGTGAGTCTTCGATTGTGATATGCCATTATCATTGTGACCCAAGAACTCTGTCTCCACCTTTATGGAGCTGGGTGTGGACATTTCGGTAGCAGGAAAACTCCTGGACGGCGGTCTTAGAGGCGTCTGGTCTGTTCGGACAACAATGATGTCGCCAGCGCTTGTCTGCGCCTCGGATGCGGCTGGAGACAATCGTTGTGCGGAATCTGCAGAGGTCTTTCTGCCGTCGGTGCTGGTACTCCAGGCAGGACTGGTCGCCATGACACGCCTCAGCCTTGGTCGATGGCGGGGGTAGGGATGATTCTCTTTTGCCGGATGTGACTCCCATGGCGAAGTCTTCGTGGATCCTCCCGAGGAACGTCGTGATGAACGAAGAGAAGACAGTTCTGCAGATCGACCAGTACCTGGTTTGGCGGGGTTCGTAACTGCAGAGGGAGGATATTGCAGTCCTGAAGCTGACGCACTAGCAGTAGGTCGGGCTACTATGATGGCATGGTTGTATAGCTTCTTGTGGAGAGCATCGAAGTCTGAGTAGAACCGGAAATATGGACGTCGTGTGGTAGTATGAGAATCTTGCTGAAACTGCATCCCAGGGCTGATGTCGATCGTGGAGGTGCTATGAGGCAAGCCATCAGATCGGGGAGAGATGTCGAAATAAGAAGGGTAATCTTTCTTGAAGGGAGGAGCATTTTGGTCTCCTGCTTGTCCCTGAATACCAACGACCCAATTGTCACTCGCAGAAGAGTCGATGGGATATGCCATGACCAAGACGTCGACGAAGCAGGCAGTTAAAGGGTGCCAGTATTCATTGAAGAGTTCTATAATCGGCGGCGAGCCCTCTGCAGTCAGGTGGACAAAACCCACAAGGCGGTAGTGAGCTGGATACTGGTTCTAGGATATGCAGCAAACAGGGTATAGATAGAAAATCAACGACAGCAAATGCCGGACTGAGGAGGTTTCTTATGGTGAAGGAGGTATGTGTCGCTGAAGCAGGCACACACATTCACTTCTCCAGTGGGACTAGAGGCAAGGGCGACCAGCCATTGGCACGTGTCACCTACGAGTCCTCCAGAGCCATCCTCTGGATGTCTTCTTCAACAGAAAGCAACCCTATTGCCCAATGCACACGGGTAGAGCTGGACCGATCAATGAGGCTCCGATCGTGGTTCACGAACTCAGACTCATGCTGTTCAGCAGCGGTATCCAATGCGTCTCCACTTGATGGTGACAACTTCGTCGGCGTCCTGCTCAAGCGGATGTCCTCGCTGTGGGTAGAAAGAGTTCGCTCGTATGGGGGGCCTCTTCCTGCTTGGCCCATTCGTTCCCATGCAGTCTCGCACGCACCAGCAATAGCACCGGAGGTGCGCCATCCGCATCTGCGTTCGACGTCTCGGAGTTTGCTTATTGTCCAGCCTCGCTGCGCGGCGTCGGTGTATTGGATTGCTGCAAACAGGAGGAAGAACGTACTCTCCATGAGGTAGCCTGCGAAGCTGGGATCGAGGGCCCCGCTCTGGCCATACTGCTGCCGTGAGTACAGCCCTGCACAGATCTTGCCCACCATCTGCGTATACTCTCGAGTGAGATGTGCCGTGGCGCCAGCAGCAATCATGGCTGCCGCCGGCATCTCGGGATGAAGTCTTTGCAGAGAGATGCGTCCAACATAGTAACAAGCCCATATACATGCAATTGCACCGTTCTTGTATATGACCGCCGGCCCGAAGGGCGTAGCGACGGGCGGTCCGTTGTGCTTCAGAGGCTCAAATTCCGGGCTGAGGGATTCTGCGAAGCTGTCAAAGGCTTTGCTTATCGCATTATACTCTGTCAATGCTCGGGCAGTCTCGTCGTCGAGATCGCTTGGCGGTGTGGTCTCCTTCCGGTCTCGTCTGTATGCAAAAGCCGAGTCCTTGATACTCGCGTCCATAGATCGGTAAGCTGAGTCCAACTGCGGAGGCTCTGACGCAGGTGGCAGCATTCCAAGCATAGGAGGAGCGGCACCCGGTCCTGGGCCTGGCCCACCCTGTAAACCGGGTTTGCTCTGTCTGACTCTGCCTTCGTTGGCACTAGGGGCCGCCGATTTGGCGGCTGCAGAAGCCTTTTCAGGGGGTGATCCTGTAGCCTGTTTCGGAAGAGTGGAGCTGTCCTTCTTCCCTGGCGGACCAGGTGGTCCTTGAGGTCCAAACAGCCATTTTGGTGGTTTCCATTGTCCTCCCTGGGCAGCCACCGCCCTCTGTTTGCGCCCGCGGTCCTTGCCACCGAAGTCTGCCAGGCGTGCCATGACCAGTAGCAGATGATCCAAAGTGGCATACGGATTGTCCGGCCGTCCAATTTGACCCCTGGGTGGACAGAAGATCCAGTCCTCGAAAGGCATCAGCAGCCGATCGCCGGACACCATACTTTGGAAAACATCTTGCTTGCAGTACCACCACCTCAAATCCATCTTCGCCTTGAAGTCCTCGACGTCTTTCTCGGTAAGATCTGGCATCGCAGGACGCGAGCTGAAGTTCGGTTGGAATTGTTGATCATAGTTCACACGTAGGCCTGTCAGGTGGGATATGAGCACCTGATCAACCTCCCAGTCGGTGTCGTCAAGTAAGGCAAGAGGGATACCCGCTACACGGGCATAGTTCTCATCGGTCAATGTAAATTGAGCCGTCCATTGATTGACTCGCGCTTTTGCCCCCGTTCGCATTCGTCTCGCCGTTCGAGTTAAGCCAGCATAATCATGCTCTTGCAGGAGCCTCATAGCCCCTGTCAAATGAAGGTTCCATCGTGAATGGTCACCAGAGACCACTTCATAGTATCCGAGGAGTAGAACTGTAGCCAGCGTCGCTATTTCATGCCGCCGTTTGGGAAGTCCTAGGAGTCTCCCAACTCTTCGAACCGCACAGGTGAAATGCTTGATCGCAAGGTTTTCTGAAGTTGTGTTCAATTTCGCAAGATGAAGGGCTCCCAATGCCAAGATTGCGTGAGCAAGCGCCGTATGCGACAAAGCCATAGCTGGTATCGTGAAATTCCAGAGAGTCCGAGCAGGGGCTGCAATCGGACTGTAGTGATGTCTCTCAAAGATGGATATAGTGTTGCTCGTGATTTCGACGAAATGGCAAAATACATGCTCGTTCCTTTCTTCGCGAAGTGGTGAGTGTGCTACTGTCGGCCGGTATGTCGCAACAGTCCGATACTCTGTCCTCCTGGGGACATACAATTTTGCAGCCTGTGGATCGAGCTGTCCGGCACGACCGAGTATCTCTGTGAGATTGCTTGCCGCCTCTTGATAAGACAGGTTCGAATCTTCCATTTCGACATCGAACGGATCATCAGGATCCTCATAATCATCGTCATTCAGGTGACCTGGATGTTGGGCGAGCATAGAAAGACCATGGGATGAGGCAGCACTTATGAACCCCGGCTGATGCGTACTACCATGCGTACTGTATTGCCTAGCCACAGGTTCTGCGAAGAGCTTAGCACTGGATGAAGGACTTGGATGGATAACAATTGTATTCGCCTACATACCCTCTATAGGGAGAGGTGATACCCCATACTGATATGACAGTGGACCACGTCGCGGTTGAAACTGTGCCAGGCCCGGCTGCTGTGATGTGAGAATGTGACTATTGGACGGGAATGCTGAATGTGGCGCCTGCATTTGCGCCAAAGAAGGGTCCAAGCCCCATGTCGCCGACTGCTCCATCAGTCGCGGATCGAGAGGGAAGAAGGCCGTCGAACTTGCAACCTGATTGTCCGATGAGGCGAACCCCGGTACATTTCCTCCTGAGGTTTCGGGCATCCCATGGTATGACAGGTTTGGTAGATGTTGAGTACTCTGCCACCCATATTCTGTGTTTGTGACAGGAACGGCTGGGTGCGTGGAGAGGTTGCCTGGAGCATATGGCATCGCATGGTAGCTGGCGCTAAATGGTAATTGATTGTAAGGCGTAGGGTTCGTTTGAGCGAAGTCGTGTGGCAGTCCAAGGTATTCTTGTCCTGGCTGCCATCGTTGGTTGAGCGCAGCTGTGACATCGTGATCTGAAAACGATAACTGAGCGCCGGCCTCAGAGGGCGTGTCGGTCTGTCCTTGGTTCTGCTCCTTGTACCCAACAGGTTGAGAGTATCCCGCACATTCGCGCTTCGACTTGATGCAGTTCTTGCACACCTGCTCTGCAGTTAGAATACGTCGGCGAATGTTTGTATAATCGAGGACGACGCTTACTGGCTTTTCCTCTCCGCACTTTATTCTGAAACCATCTGTCAGCTCGTATTGATCGTGAAGAGGCAGAACAGTGACAGCTCCCAAGCATAGATGTGTTTCACAAAGAGGATTGCTTACCGTCGTTTACGGCATGCTTTTTAGAGAAGGCATCAGTGTCATTGCTTCGCAAGTGGTACCCGAAGACAAGGTCAAACTCACTGAGACAGCCAGTCTTGGTCCGTTTCTTAGCGGCCTGCTTCGGCGTGGCGTCGACTACCGCCGGCGCATCCTCCTCCTCTCCTGGCTTACTGCCAGATCTCTTGACATTCACGGGTTCCTCTTCTTCAGGCGTAGGAGACATCGAAACCTAAACGTCCGACATCAGGACGAGTCCGTTGGGATATCGGATATCGAGAGCAATTTGGAGGTTGCGAGGTGCAAAGCGGCCAGCAATGAGCTGATAACAAAATAAAGGCTGGACCGCACATTGGGAACAAAACAGCCTAGAGTGGGAGGGAAGTTCCGAGAAGTCAGGATATGCACTGCGGAGAACTGCTCACTACTGAGCTATTGGTGCGGGCAGCAGAGCTGGGTACCAGTCTGATGTCCCATACCCTTTTCGATCTCGCACAATTTTCCACAAAAGAGGAGGGAGCTTGGTTCGTTGCATTCTCCCAGACCCGAATGCGGCGAGAAAGGCAAGAGGACGCGCCGGGGACGTGGAATATCATTCCTAGCACACATTGGAATCTGCCGAGGACCGATATGTCCCCACTGAAAAACGGTGGTCGACTTACCGGCACCCACAAATATGAGGAGGTTGTGATACTGACAGTCTGTGCAGCGGCATATGCAGAGTGACGGGGCGGTCTCAGATGATTGGCCAGTTCGTTGTGAGCGACAGAAGGTCCTCCATGTGGTACAATAGGGGAGGGGCACCCTTGCCGTGTGCACAAATAGTGTCGGTCCCGAGAGAGGTGTGGTGGTCGCAGTGCGCCGGCATAGAGAGAGGGCCTGCAAAGGGTAGTGTGGTACCTCACAGCATGCTAGGAAAAGAATGCAGGGGGGGCGGGCAAAAAGATGGCGGCTTGCAGAAGCAAAGTCACAGGGTTGGGGACTGGCCAGTAATCGTTTTTCCAAGAAGGAAAAGTCAGGAGGAGAGCGTAGGGCTGATTTGTGACGAAAGAGCGGTGCTAATGAAGCTTTGTACTTGGTGAAAAAGGCCCCTAGCGCTTTTGTTCCGTAAGGGGGAAGAGTGTAGCGGAGATGTTGAGCGTCGACTTGGGTCCCGCCTAATACCTCCTTTCCTAGTTTGGAGTGAGCTTTCTTCACAACCCAAGCTGCGGCTAGGGGAGACTCTTCCGCTGCTATAAGCTCCCCACCAAGATATGGTGATGTCGAGACCCATGAACCACCCAGTATCAGCAGAAGTACCTGTATTTTTCGTCCCTCTCTCTACAGTGGAGAAGTAGATCTTGGTGGCTCTGATGGGCGCCCTGGTACTTGCTCAGTGGCCGAAGCTGTCAGAGGTTACCCTCGAGTGTTACAGTGCTGCGAGCCAGGTCACATTGAAGGACTATCGGTCGTCAACAATCGGCTGGGAGATGGATCGAAGGATCGACGAGCTGGTCGCCAACCCCAGGCGGTTGCCGCCTTGACGGGCCAGCGAGGGGAAAGACGATGTACAATCCACGCAGTACTCCGTAGGGAAGGGATGTAGACAAGCCCACGCTAGCCATGCCGCCCATGCGAGCTTCGAGGGCTCCCCAACGTGCGTTACTCTTTTGCCCCACTGGAGTGCAGTCAATAGTTCTTCGCAGGATGGCGGCTGGTAAAACCTCTTCAAGTCCCTTGGGACTTGGTGAGAATGCCACGGGGGCCTTCTGCATGTTCTCATCTGACGATCTTCTACCGCTTGCCAACACGTGGCGCACACAGAGCATCGGCCGGGCCGCTAAGCCAGGGAGTTATTGAATCGGCTTTGAGACACTGGCCTTTTCTGGACGATCTCCTGCCTGAAGGAGGAATGAAGCTGGATGGTCGTTTTCCAAGCAGCAGCCCGAGAGTGCCAGGTCCCCGAGTCGCCGCTCTGCGTTATGGACAGGGCCAGGTTGAACACCGGCGCAGAACTTGGGTTCGACGGTTGGTAGTGGAGCCGTGGGCAGGGTTTTCAGGTTGACAGGGTATCAGGCAACTCGTATCTAATGGGGGTGTTGGTGGAGGTGGCCATGGAAAAAGAGACGAACCATTGGCGGGGCTTGAGAGCTATAGTCTGAAAGAGGTTAACTGATGTATGCACAATCCGTATGGCTGTCGCAGCTTTTTATTCTGGCTGGTTCCGGGACAGCAAGGAATCGCTAGTATGCTGGCAGGGCACCAGGGTTGAGCATGGAGTGGTATAGCGCCATGCAGTCATAGAAGGGAGAGGTGGTGTTGGTGCCGGGACCCCAGGCGTCATCCTTGTCTGCCACGTCTTTGTTTGTCCCCAGCCAGTCGTGCCGAAGACGCAATCACGATTGCAGGCGTAGCGAACCGGTAACGGCATCAGTAAGCAGCCGAAAATCAAAGCAAATTTTCACCGATTAAGCGGGGGAGAGATGAGGGATGGGGGAGAAAGTATCTCGTCGGTAGAGAGGACTACGATGGCCTCACCAAATATAGCTCTTGGCGTGATGCAAGTGTCTCGTGAGACCTGCAGTGCGGGGGGTTGATGGAGCCTAGTACTTGGTTTCCGTACTCCATCCAGAGGGTAAGGGTACCTACGGTAATAGGTACCTAGCCAGTACTCGGGCAGTACCTGCTCGGCTCGTGCAGAAACATGGCTTGTAAGGTATCGTAACGCCTAAAGGGTTTCGATAAGGCGCTGGATGGCCGTTGGGCTGGAGGGTCGCCTGCAGGTCAGACCAGTAACGAATAACAATAACCCTCAGTGGAGGCGCTGCCCCCGCCCCCCCAAATCTGCAGCTGCGGCTCTTCCCAGGCACCTATAGGCTACCAATGGCTTCTAGGGCTGCGGGACCGTAAATTTTTTTTTGCTGTGGCATGGCACCGTGCAGCGCATCATTTGACAACCCTTCCTCAAGTGGCCTACGCCAGGTCTTCGCAGTAACCCTGGCTTGGACACCATCTGAGACCTGCAGCATACCCTAACTTGTCCCTTCAATAATGCTTTCCTCATAACCCCTGCCTTGGAGTCTTCTACGTATCATGTTCGCCGTTCCAGGTTGGGCAGTTGACTCAACTTCCCTCGCCCAAGAAAAACCCACCCCGACCGGTGACGCCCACCCATCTCCCACCGTTTCCGCTTCAGCCTCCAAAAAGAGAAAGAACTCATTCTCTGACCGTCTTCAGGCCTCCAAGGTCTCAGGGACTGAGCTCGAGAAGCTATGGAACCAGCGCGCAGGGGCCAAACCTGCCAGGACCGAGCAGGAGCCCGGATATCAGGAACATGGCCACCGAAAAGATGAACGGAACAAGGCTGGCACAGAGACCCTTCCGGCAACAGACAGGAAGAGGCGCAAGAGGGAGAACAAGGCCAATACACAACCGACAGCAAATGTCCGACGGCACTCCGTGCAGGACGATCAACGGCGAAAGCCTGGGCATGGCGAGACGGAAACGTCGTCTTCGAGACCATCTCCACGCGATGACATCGCCAAATCTCTCCCACCGGTGCCGCCAGTACCCGCGAAACTGACTCCGTTGCAAGCCAAAATGCGCAGTAAACTCACAGCAGCCCGTTTCCGGCATTTGAACGAGACCCTGTATACGACCACTTCCTCAGCCGCGATGGATCTGTTCACCAATTCTCCAGACCTCTTCGCCGAGTACCACGCTGGCTTTTCGCAACAAGTGAAGGACTCGTGGCCAGTCAATCCCGTAGACAGATACATTTCCGCAATCAGAACCCGAGGACAGATCCCCACCACAGCCAACGAGTTCAAGAAGCAGCTGACAAGTAAGGACTCCAAGACTTCCTTGCAGGGCTCCCCATTACCTCGCCGTAAAACAGGGCTCTGCACAATCGCCGACCTGGGCTGTGGGGATGCTCCTCTCGCCCGTGGTTGCCAATCCGTCATCAAAAGCCTCAAACTGAAATTTCACAACTTCGATCTCCACACCCCCAACACCTTGGTCACCAAAGCAGATATTAGCTCTCTGCCGTTGCGAGATGGCGAAGCAGATATAGCGGTGTTCTGTCTCAGTCTCATGGGCACGAATTGGATTAACTTTGTGGAAGAAGCGTGGCGAATACTCCGAGGGGATGGTAAGGGGGAGTGTTGGGTGAGTGAGGTCAAATCCCGCTTTGCAAGGGCAAAAAGACAGCCTGGGCAAAGCGTGGAGAACAGCGTAGGTAAGAAACGAAAAAACAAACAGCACAAGAAGAAGCCTGGTGCCAGTGGTGTCGAGGAGAGCGATGGTGAGGTCCGAGAAGAACTTTTTGCGGAAGATTCCACGACCACCGAAGCCAGCGGAGAGGAGACAGACATATCTGCCTTCGTCCGGGTCCTTGCCCGCCGCGGCTTCCTCCTACGCGAGGAAAGCGTGGATAAATCGAACAAGATGTTCGTGAGCATGGTGTTCATCAAGTCGGGGGTGCCGACTGCTGGGAAATACCTAGGACTCAAGTGGAATGGCAGGGAGTATCAAAAGATCGACGAGGTGAAGCTAAAAGGAAGAGTTCGGGCCGGTGCGGCCATGGGTGGGCCAGATCACGGAACGGATGAGAGTGACATAACGGTCGAGGAAGAGGCCAAAGTTCTGAAGCCTTGTGTCTATAAGACAAGATGATAGAGATGGGATCAGACAGACTGAGAAAACAATGGACTGGGCCACGCGAGGTGCAAAGTCATGTGTAGAGAGGTGGGAAGGAGAAGAAGAATTCTTGACTTTGGTTCAATATATTGGCTGGCCTTGAATTATTCAAATGTGTCTGTCTGTCCATCGATCCCATATGTCCTCGAGAGGTAGGTCGAGACCGAGCAATGACTGTTTAGTTATGCTCATCTCCCGACAGTGAGGAATCCATCCCTCTGTTCTGCTCCATGCCCGACTTTCGTGTGATATACTGCATGTTCTGTCACACGCCGCTTAACCTTTGCCAGATCCCCCGGCAGATCGTGTAACGGAGGACACCCTCCAAACCTTTCTACCCTCATCCACGGACCGTGACTGACATGACACCATCACTCAATCAGCCAGCCAGTCAGTCAGTAAGTGAATCAGACCTTGGGTCAGAACTCCAACATGGCGTTGTGCTCGTCGAGACTGTGGTTGTGGATCCGATCCTCGACCTTCTGCCACAAGATCTTGGTGCGGCCAAAGTCCGCCTCCCAGTCGTCAATGACCTCGAGTTTCAGGTCGCCCGGGCAGCTGTTATTGTGGTGGTGGTGGTGGTGGTGGTGATGGAGAGGTACCAGGCCGCGGTTCCAGATGTAGAGCAGCGCGAGGACCACCTCCGCGTTGGTTGTCACTGGCACGGTCGACACCGGCCGGGCACTCAACGTAGGTGCGTCGCAATTCGATTTTCTGCCAAACATGGTCATCGTGGACTGTTGCCAATTCGGGACCACCGTCAAGGAGGGGTCTTTGGGGGTTGGAAACGTGATGCATCGTGAGTTGTGCTCCGCGCCGTGGAGGTGGGCGATCACAGGCGTGGCATGGTGGTGCGTGTAGAGGATCAAGATCCGAGAAATGTCCAGCATGGGTCGACTTCAGGTCTGGATGTTCGGGTGTTTGGCGACAGCCGGGTCAGAGGTGCTGGCGTAGATAGGAGCACCACCTCCTGACGCTAAACCTGAGGATGTTAGGTGTTATCATATATAGAAATGTGGGAATGAGACTGGAGGGGCACGTACTCTTTGCTCGCTCCCCAAGCTCAAATTTAAGGACACGGGAGCAAACGGGAACGACGTGTTCGTGGCAGTTGATCTTCCCCTCAGCGCATCGTCAACAAACAAAACCGGTCGTCAGTGAATGGAGCCAACCCAGGTGACAAGAGGCTGCGACAAAGGCACACACCTGCACGGCACATCAACAGTCTCTAGTCCCAACTCGATGCGTCCCATGTCTTCACGCTTTTCTCGCCCCCTGGCTCGTCGATAAAGACCATGTCACACGGGTGGCCTTTGGACACATCCCGCCTCAAAGACAAGTGGTAGAAGCAGCCTGGCCGCATTCGGTGGCACTCTTCGTTGAGGGCGAGCAGGACGAGATATGTGGCATCCAGGGGCCGCCCCTTGAATATGATAACCGTAGGACGAGCTTCGAACGGCACTGATTTGGGGGAGAGATAGGACGAGAACGAGAACTCGAGCGGAACGCCTGACAAGGGCAACTCGACCAGTCCGTTGGCCTGCGCCTCAACGCTGCTCGCCTGTCTTGTTGTCAGTGTGGCAGCTGTGCGCAGCTAAGGTATAGATCCTACCTCTTTCTTGCCACGCGACCGCCCGAGAGAACACCAGGCCTGTAAATTTGATGCACCACCCTCCAGAACTTCAATTGAGCGATTCAGGAGCGCCATAGGTAACGTTGGGGAGGGGGTGAGATTGGGGGAAATGAAGGAAAGAAAGTAGAGGAGGTGTCGAGTGCATGAGCTGGTATGTGTATAGCAAAAAAATTGGACCAGGTTGACGGAATTTGTAGATGTGAGTGTTGAGGGTGAGGCAGGGAAACACGAGGAGTGTAAGCAAATGAACAACAATCGCACGTGTGGGTATCATTCATCGTCTTTACCGTGGTGCATTATGCACTCTCATCAGTCTCGTCACACTCCCGCACACCAAGGTTTCATACAAAATTCCTCATTGCTGAACATGCGAGCAAGTCGACACCGAGGTCCTTTCCCCGTCATTTTTCATAGAAATAAATCATCCCGTTTCTGTACCTCAGCATTCGTCAACCTTCCACAGAGACTGAGCAAAGACACGGTCTCAGTGGTTGCGAACCAATTGAGAGCATCAATCAAGATCTTCAGGTGCCTGTTGAAGTGCTCTTCGTACTTCCTGATAGATTCTTCTATCCTCTTCATTCGTGCGGGATCGGTGGGCGCAGCCGGCGGTGCAGCTGCCCCGGGCTTGACAGGATGAGACTGGATGCTCGTGTCGGCTTCGTATATCGACTTCGTGACGTGCTCGACATAGGAGGCAAACATCCCACACCCAGTCACGAGCTTCGCGTGCAGACGAAGTAGTTTCGCCTGCGTCAACCCAAGATCCTTCATACAAGAATCCAGCATGTCAACATGATCTTGCATCAATTCATCCACCGTAGGCTTCGTTTTCGGATTGAGTCCTGACCTGGTCTCTTCGAAATCATCTCGTTCTGCATCATCAACCTTCACCATGAGCTTTTGCCAGTTCGGTTCAATCACTTCCGCAGTGGCAAAGAAGAGCATTTGCTGAACAAATACGAGCATTCGAGAACGTAGTGTCCATACTCGCCGTTTCCACAACTCAAACCTCTTATCAGAAGACTTGTGAATCCACGCTTTCTCCTTTGTGTGGGTCGACCAGCAACTCACCAGCTGGGTTTCGAGGTGACGCAGTGCCAGTGTGTACCGGAAGATGAGTTGGTATCGCGAGACTGTCTTCCGGCTGATGATGAGAGAGAGGGGAAAGGGTACGGTGTAGTCAAGCTCTAGCGCTTCAAATCCGATGATATCCTTCTCTTCCTCCTTTTTCCTCTCATCCTTGAACTTGTCGGTCACAGAAGCTTGGGCAGTGGCCGGCGTCTTGTACGGGTCCATCATGGAATCTGGATTGTCCTGGTCCATGCCTTGCACGTTGACGACCTTGATTAACCATTGCGTCAAACCAATCGAGTTCATTTTCACCTTCACATCCTCCTTAAATGGGTCTGCGACAGCGATGCTGCCTGGCTGGTGGAGAACCAAATCCAGCAGAGACTGAAGCTTTCCGACGTTGACATCTCGATTCTTCTTCCGAAGCTCTGAGTCGCTGAGTTCGAGAAAATAAAGGAAGAACTCAGCACGGTCCAGGAAGAAATAGTGCTTCATCGACCGCAGCCGACTCCGGAGAGAATTCTTGGTCAGCAGTAGTTGAAGCAGCTCCTTGTTCGCGAATGAATAGGCATTATTGACATTATCGAGAAAGCGCGGGTCGTCAAATGTTGCTGGAGTGTCGTCAATTTTGCTGCTGATGTTGACACCTCCACACTCCCGAACCACATTGAGATACTTTCCAGCTAGAAGGACCTTATCTCGAACAGACTCTAGCTGTGGCGGAATTTCCTTCTCGCGAATATAGTAACGTTTTTCCCAGTACTCGTCTGTGTAATCTTCGTCGAGGCGTTCGCGTTTGATACTAGCCCGCTCGCCAATCAAGAATTCCGAGTGTGGGTCGTGGATGCCGCCGTGATGTAACCATTCATTCAGCATCACCATGTAGGGTCTGCTCGCTTCACGTAACAGCATCTCCAAGATGGATCGAGCGGCTGGATCTCCAGAGAACGTCGAGAGCCGAGTTGTCAACAGACCCAGAACATTGCCGCCTATGCATCGTTTCTTGCTAAGACTGCCCGGAAGCAGATCACCACCCTCCTTAAGTCGCTCAATGATATTGTCGGGATCGAAATCGTCAATGGAGTCGTCGATATCCTCTTCCAGCAAGGAATTCTTCTTCAATAATTCTTGGGCAAGAGAGTATAGCTGTGCTAGACATTGCGCGGTCGGGATGACTGCGATGTGCATTTGGTGTAAAGTGAACTTCGGCTCCGTAAGGACCTTCATTTCTAGCTGGGCAATCAAGATGAGATAATCTTTCAACAGCTTTCGGATGGCTGCACAAAGCGCGTGGTTGACGGAGCCAAATTCCTCCCGACTTTGGGCTTCGATGAAAGCCTCGATCGCGCAGTGATGGGTGGCCATTGAAAGCATGGAGCTTGTCAAGTCTTTCAGGCTGGGATCAAGACCTGGGAGGGGATGAAACGACGGACCATTCAAGCGGTCCTTCTCCTCGGCAGGGTCGTAACTGTCGTGGAAGCGGACATACTGTCCCTCAAAGCCCATAAACACGTAGAGTAAATCGTCCAAAAGTGCACGCTCTTGCTCTTGCATTGACATCGTCTCGAGAGCGACAGGGCCGAGGTCTGATGGAGCATGGCGGGACAAAGGCGGTGCTGTCACTCTTGTGGCCAGGGGTGCAGAAGAATGGGGAACGAGAGAAACTGCGGGAGCCCATGGTACTGTGGGCTGTCAGACTCGATGGAACGTCGAAAGCATCCAGGATACTTACAATTGTCCTCCTTCGGCGGGGGCTGTTTGAGAACAGGACTTGCTACTGTCCTTTTCTCCTTCCGGCTTTCGGTGTTCGACGGTTCTTTCTTGGGGCTTCTTCTGGTGTAAATGGTCTCTGTTGTTGTAACCGTCGACTTCTCCCGCCGCCTATGTTCCAGACCTCCCACTCGACTTTCACTCTTTGAGGGTTTGTGCACTCCATCGACGTGATCGCTGAAGGTGTCCGTGAGCACCGGAGAGCCATTGTCGCGGGCAAAAGGTCGGTCGTCTCTGGCTCGAGCGGGATTAACGCGTGAGGGGCCATTCAAAAGACTGGCGCTTCGGCGATCCGTTGCAGATGCACTTCTATAATGGAGAGACATCATCTCTACAGGCCTTCATTGTTGTTTGGCAGCTGGTAGGTAGCCGTCGAGGGGGGAGAGGGACGAGGTGCGTGATATACGAAGTGTATCCAGAGTTCAATGTTCTGGCGCGTCGCGGCTGCGTGGAGGGCGAAAGGGCGTCAGGGCTTGGCGGTTCCGCAGACGGCCAATCGACGCCGCTTTGAGATATCACCACTCACCTTTGCCTCACCTTCCTCCCTCCCTCCTCGACGGCTGCTTCTATTCCTCGCCTTGCGTACGACATTGCAAACATTGGACTGGACTTGGTGGGAGACAAGACTCTTCATCTACCGACAGCTCAGGCCACGGGACATGGGATTGCCAAATTTGGCCAGAATGCGGCTGACGACAAGACGGTCCTCTGCACTTTCATCGAGGAATAGACCCCGGAACATGGGTCGACCAAGGTGTTCATCACGACTTTCACCCCAGCAGATGTCTTGATCGTGGGGCGACACGATGAGATCATGGCATGCCCGTTGCTTTACCCTGGACTGCATGTCGTGCATCCCTCTTCCAGCACATGCCCTTCTCCGTCTTCTGGTCTTGTGAGGCTACCGGTCAAGACTTACGACGAGAACGACCACCTGGTCACTGTTGAGAGCGATCCCGTCAAGTTCGAAGGCAAGGTCAACCTCTCATGGGTTATCTTAGCGAGCCTGGAGAGCAAAACGATTCAGCAGGTTGGCATCGCATTCTCAGTGCGTAAGACCCTCCCAACTGGGGCGTTTGGCGCGATCATCTATAGCGGGATGGCACCTTCTGGGAGAATCTTGGGTCGGCTCCGTCGACAAGTTCCAGTCGAGGATCGGCTCCGTCTTGCTATGTTGCCCACGACCGTGGTGAAGGCATCATCACTCAAAGCACACAGACTGTACCGACTACGAGGCTCCGGCTCACAAGTTCACAGCCAACTTGCTCGCGCACCGGCGGGAGTGGCTATTAGGGTCTGTGGACTCAGTCAATACGATGCGGTCAAAGCATGGGATGAGAAGCGTTTAGAACTGACGGGCGTACATAGCCCTTCGAGTGGAAGCAGGACATTCCTATTGAGGTCAAGCTCAGGACTCAAGGCAACGCCATCAGATAGGGATGCCGTGCTTACAGCAACCGAAGACAGCTCTCTATCCGTGGCCATCATCCTCATCGGGCCTATCCGCCATATTGAGTTCTTCGTCGCAAAACTTCCATCTACAGCTTTCCGACCTCGTATGGCCTATTTTCCCGCCAACACTGCGCAATCTCCCCCCGGGTGCACACCCACACGTCTTGTTTCGAAGCCACATACTCACAAAACCGCTTCAGCTCGGCAAACCGGCCGGGCTTGCCGACGATTCTGCAATGCAAGCCGACAGTCATCATCTTCGGCTTCCCCTGCTGGCCCTCCTCATACAGCACGTCAAAGGCATTCTTTAAGTACGTGAAGAAATCTCCCGGCCCACCAAAGCCCGTCGGCGTGTGGAACTTGAAGTCATTCACGTCGTACGTGTACGGCACCATCAGCATGCCGACACAGTCTTCCTTCTTACGCTTCCCCTCGGCCACCATGGCCTGCTCCGCGGGCACGTCGACCCAGTAGGGGATATCGTCGCCGTAGCTATCACTCTGCCACAGGAGCGGCAGGCCCATCTCATCGTAGACGTCCCAGATCAGGGCCCGGCTCCGGCTCGACAACCGCCCGTAGTACCAGCCGACGGGATACTCGCCCGTGACGGCCTTCAGGCTCTCGAGGCCCTTTCGAATCATTTCCTTCTCCTGCTCGGCGGGCATATCCTCATAGTTCACCCACCGATAACAGTGGCTCGCGACCTCGGCTCCACTCCGCACCGTCCGCCTCGCGACCTCTGGGTTTGCCTCAACCGCTTTGCCCACCGCGTACAGCGTCCACTTGAATTTGAGCCGTTCAAACAGCGCCATGATCCGCCACACGCCCACGCGCGATCCGTACTCGTAGTCGCTCTCGACGTTGACAGCGCGCTGCTGCTGCCGCGGCGGGTACCGGCCCGCCGACTCCCAGAGCGCCGCCTCGGACGTCGGGTCGCCGTTCAGCACGCTGTTCTCGCCGCCTTCCTCATAGTTGATCACGAATGAGAGCGCCAGCTTCGCGTTGTTGGGCCATGGCGCGGCGGGAGGGTCGGGCCCGTAGCCGACCAGGTCGCGAGGGAAGTCGTGGTGGGGATCCCATACGTAGGGTGCTATGTCGGGCATGGCGGTGGTGACGATGGCGGTGCAAGTGGTAGATGAAGGGGGTCAGGGAGGTGTGAACGGGAGATAGATACTGTATGTTCTTGGGCAGGTCTGGTAAGCTCCTCAAGGCTGGCAGACGGCTGCGGTATTTCTCTCTATGTGGGATGCTTCATCGCTCCGATTTCATATCGTGTTGTCATTTTGATTACAAGTCCCCGGTGAGTGACCCCGCGTACCCGGCTCCATGCCGACGTCTCGCAGGAGATATTGCCGTCCGAGGGAGGCTGGCCATCGTAGACAATCCTAGGATTCGCCAATCTGACATCTCCTATCCCGGTACAGTATGTCTGGAGTTCTCCGACACTCCCATGGTTCTTGAGTCCAGCAGAGCAGCTCGGTGATTTCCTGTTCCGGCACTGACGATGTTTAGTTCCAAGAGGAGTTCTCCGTTGAGGACTGCGCGCTACGGCAGTTGTAATGACGGACCATCATTCCTCGCAAGGTGAGTAGTCTGTATAACCACGAGCTCGTTCTTCGAACGGTACCCAATAGAATCGGTCGCGTTCGTACTTTGTAAGCGCCTTGCCGTGTCTCAGGCGAGACACGAGATCAGGATTGGATGTGAAGTAGCGGCCGATACTAATCGCATCGGCCGTGCCCGACTCAACCACTCCCCAAACATTCGTGTCGTTGTAACCGCCTGAGATGAAGAATGGGGTCGATCCCATGATCTTGCGGAAAGGCTGGAGGCTGATGTTATCTCCGAGGGATTTCAAATATGAGTCTTTGGTGGCAGGGTCGATGATCTGCTCGAATCTTGGCTCGATGAAATGGATGTACGACATGGCTGGTATCCTCTGCTTGAGACCTTGGCATAGATGGGACCAGATTTCCATTCTCTGCTCGCCATATGACTGCAGGAAGAGACCGAAGGGCGACAAACGGAGAGCAACGTTGTCCCCTCCAACGGCCTCGGCCAAAGCCTCCATGAGCTCCAGGGGAAATCGGCAGTACCCAGCAACCGTGCCCCCGTATTCATCTGTCCGCTTGTTGATGTTGGTGCTGAGGAACTGCTCAACCAGATATCCATTGCCACCGTGGACCTCGATGCCGTCAAAGCCACATTCAAAGACAGCACGCTTGGCTGCGTCCACGTAAGCTCCTATCGTTCGCTTGATGTCTTCGTGGGTCATCTCCTTTGGCGGATAATGGCTCATTTGGATGCTTTCTCCGCGACCTGGTGCCCCACTGTCGTCGTCAGGAGGTGCGTAACGCGACTTGTGATCCCCCTCGAAGGGGGTAGCACTGGGGCACACCGCGGGTGCGCCAGTGAAATGAGGCAAGCATGATCTTCCTGCGTGCCAGAGTTGAGCGTAGATGTAGCCACCCTTGTCATGCACGGCATCGACGACCGCTTTCCAGCCGGGTACCTGTTCGGGGAGAAACAATCCCGGGGCACAGGGGGATGCAGACGCTTCAACCGTAGGATAGATGCCTTCTGTAATGATGAGGCCTCCGGGGGTGGTTCGTTGGGCGTAGTAGGTAACACCAAGTTCATCATGACCCCAGGCACGGTTAGGTCTGCTGACATATAAAGGAACCCCCCGATTGCGGGTCATCGGCGCCATGACAACTCGATGGGAGAGTATGATACGGCCATTGGCAATGGCAAGAGGTGTGAACAGGGCTGAATTGGCACGATGATGCGAGTGAAGAGTCGGTGGCTCTCTTGTATTTTCAAGGCTCACAACAGCATCTGTGAGGGCTGTCGCCGCCACTGGGGGCACCGGGGGAGCAGGAGCGGCGGCCATGTTTTTCTGACGGACTAGCAGAACAGACCAGAGTGACCTCTGGGATCTCCTTTGGTTGATATAATATGTGACGGACTTGGAGATGACGGACGTTGGCCGAGCATCTGGCTCCCTAAGCATCTGACTCTCTCCAGTAGGTACATACGTGCCCACAATGTGTTTGGTCATTACAACTCTATTTAGACAACGTACGGTCTGGTTATGCTCGATGTCCTGGCCTGTAGGGGAACTTGGTCCTGAAATGCTTCGCAATGTCGCGTCTTGTGGCTACCCAGACGCCTTCGTGCTCCTGAATGTATTTCATGAAGTTCCGTAAAGCTTCGGAACGGCCTGGCTTGCCAACTATGCGGCTGTGCATCGGGATGTTCATCATCTTGCCCCCTTCGCGATATAGCATGTCGAAGGTAGCCTTCAAATACTTCTCATACATGTCGCTCCCCACGAAGCCTGATGAGATGGTCAGCTCTGTTGATCCATGTACGGAGATATTTTACCTGGACTCATGTGAAACTTTCCGTCTGCCGAAGGTCAGCACTGCACTCTGCTGGTTTCCCGTCGTGTTTCAAGGGACCTACCGTTGCAATCATAGTTGTAGGGGATAATGAGCATCCCCTTCTTCTGCTCGTCCGGAAGATCCTTCTCTGCCGGTAGATCGATCCAATATGGAACGTCGTCGTTATACGCCTCCGAGTTCCAGAGCATCTCGCTGCCAGCCTCCTTGAATGCCTCGGGGAAGAGTGCTTTAGTATTGGGAGTTCCCCGTCCGTAGTAGGCACCGACGGGCATCTCCCCGGTCACATCCTTGAGAACCTTCAAGCTCTGAACAATATAGTCCTTCTCCCTCTGGAGATCGTAGTCCCAAATGTCGAGCCAGCGAAGGCCGTGCGTTGCAATCTCGTGGCCATCCCTCACACAGGCCTTGGCAAAATTTGGGTTGACCTGCATGGCTTGAGCAACCGCATACGTCGTCCACTGGTAGCCGAACTCCTTGAAGAGACGCAAAAGCCGCCAGGCGCCAACACGACTCCCGTATTCATACTCAGATTCCGCGTTGACGTAGGGGGCGCCTTCTTTGAAGCCACCGGATGCTCCTTTCTCCCATAGGTATGGCTCGGAATGGCCGTCGCCGTTATGATAGGTGCGCTCTGCTCCCTCTCTACAGCTGTGAGCATGAGTCCAGCGCACATAGTGAACCTACGCATACTCATAATTCAGCACAAAAGACACCGCAATGCGGGCTCCATTGGGCCACTGAGGATTGAATGAGTCCTCGCCATAACCTGAGCACAGTCAGAGACACATGCTATCATAAGCCATGCCGCAGCGATTTACCCTCCAAGTCTCTCGGTATGTCGTATTTGGGATCGAGGTTGACCATGATGGCTTTTGACTCAAGGATGTCGTTTCTAACTCTGCTTGCCTGTACCCCTCAGCCACCTGGTCTCCAAGGGCTAGATCCTTAAAAAGCGGACGGAATATAGGATTGGGATTCGGTATTACGGCGAAACCATATCAGGCAATCTCCGTGCAGCTCCACTATTCCATCCCATGCTGCTCACTACCATCGCTCACAGTAACGTTCATGATCCTGGCAGGCCTTTATCTGTCAGCTACAGCCACAACCGGCCATTATCGTGGCTATCATAGTGGCTTCACCCAACGAACATCTTTGTGAGCCACTACGATGTCTGTTTTTTCACTCGATGTGTCCAAGGATAATCCAGTGACCACGGACGACCTTGATCGGGCATGCGAAATACTTGGAGTCTCCATCAAAAATGAGGAAAAGGCAGAGTATGTCAATCTCTTGGCCGTATACCACGATTCTATGGCCAAGCTGATGGCACTCGAAGGTACATGGATGCCTGTCCACGAAAATGACTACAGCTGAATTGATCATCATACTAGACTATATCCCACAAGTTGACCATGAGAGGTTCGGAAGGAGGAATGTCCATTTTCCTCAGCCTGCTGACAACCCCTACGGAGCGTGGGCTTGGAGGTGTGAGATCTCCGACAGGACTCCCAATCCAAATGCACTCCTTCATGGCAAGACGGTAGCACTGAAGGACTGTATTGCGGTCGAGGGCGTGCCAATGCTGCTTGGCACAAACTTCTTTTCAGACTATACTCCGAGCACTGATGCGGCTATTGTCACTCGTATGTTGAAGCATGGCGCGACTATCTTGGGTAAGTCAGTCTGTGAAAACCTGTGTCATTCGGCGACGTCACATACATCATCGACGGGACCCGTGCATAATCCATACGCAAAGGGGTATGCTGCAGGAGGTTCTTCGTCAGGTTCCGCAGTCTTGGTCTCTCTTGGCCCTGAGAATGGAGGCGTGGATTACGCTATAGGGGCAGATCAAGGCGGGAGCATCAGGGTCCCTGCGGCGTGGTGCGGTATCGTCGGATTCAAACCAACCTTTGGTCTCATTCCCTGGACGGGCGCGGGCAGCAATGAGCCTACAAATGATCACATGGGACCGATGACACGCGACGTCCTGAGCAATGCCCGCCTGCTGAAGGCTATAGCAGGGACAGACTTTGTGGATGATCGGTCATACGGTGCTCCGCCGCCAGAGAAGATTCCAGCCTATCACGAAATTCTCATCGGGCAGCAAAAGCCTCAAGACCTTACAGGTATGAAGGTCGGTATTCTGGTCGAGGGTCTCCGCACCCCGGCGCTCGATCCGAGAGTAAAGGAGTTGTTTCTCGCTGCTGCGGACAAGTTTCGAAGCCTAGGTGCAGAAGTGGAAGAAGTATCTGTCCCGACACATGCCACGGCAAGTGCAGTTTGGACTGGCATCTCGAAGTTGGGAGGCTATGTGAATAAGACACTGGCGCTGGGAGGCCGCAGAGGCTACCAACTCAACGATCTCAATCAGAAGCTATGGCCCATGACTCAGGACAAATGGGACAATGCCATCCCATCGACCAAAAACATCTACCTGAACGGCGTCTATGCTCAGGACATGCAGAAATTCCCAGGCTTGTTTGGTAAAGCAACAAATCTCTCACTCAAGGCGCGTCATGGCTACGATGCAGCGCTCGGCGACTGGTCGTCAATATCAACCTTTGTCACCGACTCCAAACTCGAAGAAATGAAGCAGCAGAAGACATTCGACGTCTTGATCTTACCAACATTGCCATTCGTGGCCAAATCACACCCTGAGCTCGGCGAATCAGGGGCAATAGGGAATCCCATATTGCAGCTGCAGAAGCAAGTCGGTTTGACCGGAAATACAGCTCCTTTCAATCAGACCGGCCACCCTGCTCTGGCCATGCCTGTGGGGATGCTTGAGCCTACCGAGGGACCACTGGCGGGAACTCCAACCAAACTGCCCGTCAGCATGCAAATCGTAGGCAAATGGTGGGACGAGTTGACGGTGCTCCGAGTAGCGTACGCCTGGGAGACTGCTGCTGGAGGTCCAAACGCCTGGAAGGAGTTCTAGACCACCCCCCCTGGCCTTCGAAAGTTCCGTGTGCTCGAGCATCTTTCGGCAGATGAACTGCATGGACGATGGGGTCAGCACGAACACCGCCTGGGTCTTATCAACCGTGTATGTAGCCTGGCACTAAACAGCGACCCTATCAACGAAGGATTTCGGGAATTCCCACATTGGGAAGGCCTATCTCTTTCCCCTCCCTTTCGTCGAGGCGACTCTCCGTGCACTATCATCGTTCTTACGAGGTGGTCAACCGTCTCTCAATGCCTCGACCGTCGCGCCGCGCATATCCAGAACTCATGGTCTTATCGTACCGTTTCTCAGCCTACCTGTATAAATGCCACGCCTAGGAACCATGTCACCGGGGGCCAGTTGTCGTCTTATACTATCCGCCTAGACGTCCTTGCAGCAAAAACCCCGGTGCAACCATGGACACCCAAAAGGACCATGAAAAGATCCATACCATTCCCAGCCACGGCAGTGACCCGCCAGAAGTCCTCAAGGAGTCAGATCGGGAGCATGAAGTCTTCCAGATTACCGAGGATGGCGTCGACTTTCGAACCGTCACTTGGCCACGTGCTGCCATCGTTTTCCTGAAGATCCTCTTCGCTACCGGCGTCCTGAGCATTCCGGCAAGCATGTACGAGATCGGTGCCGTCGGCGGGGCTCTGGTTCTGCTCGGTTTCGGCATGCTGAACTGCTATGTCGGCAAGATACAGGGCGATTTCAGAAACAAGCACCCTAGTTGCCATTCCGTTGCAGACATGGTGGGAGTCATGGCCGGCCCTCTGGTGAAAGAGCTCATCGGCGGGCTCTACATCATTGCATGGGTCCTGTGTTCGGGCGCTGGCATCAATGGCACCAGCGTCGCATTCAACGCACTCTCCGAGCACGGTGCCTGCACCGTCTGGTTCTCCTTCGTTTCGATGATCATCGTCGCGATGTCAGCCTCGATTCGTACCTTTCAAAACCTCGGCTGGGTCGGCTGGGCGGGCTTCATCTCGATCTATGTAGCCGTCTTTGTCCTCGTCGTTGCCGTCACCCAAGTTGACCGCCCAGCTGCAGCCCCCAAATCTGGGCCGTACGGTGAGTTTCATCCACAGCCTCGATCGTGCTTGGTAACGCACGACATCCGCGGCTGAAGAATGCTAAGATCTCCTCAATACAGACCTAGGATACCACGCGATCAGCACAACTTCATTCTACAATGGGATAGTCGCCACCACCACCATCTTCGTCTCCTCAGCCGGCACTTCAGCCTTCATCCCCGTCATCGCAGAGATGCGCCGCCCTCAAGACTTCAACAAAGCCCTGTACGTGTGCATGGGCTTCGTGACTGCCTCTTACATTACTTTCGCTTCGGTCATCTATGCTTGGTGCGGCGTCTGGATCACGGCGCCTGCGCTGGGCTCCGCGGGCCCGACCATCAAGAAAGTCTGCTACGGCCTCGGCCTAGTAGGGCTGATCGTGTCGGGCGCCTTCTACAACCACGTGGCCGCCAAATACCTGTTTGTGCGCATCCTGCGCCGCTCCAAGCACCTCCAGTCTAACTCGCTCGTGCATTGGACCACCTGGCTGGGCTGCACGTTCGGGCTCGCCGCCATCGCCTTCATCCTTGCCCAGGCCATACCCGTGTTCAACTACCTGGTCGCCATCACGGGAAGCATCTGCTTCGCGCCCCTCGCGCTTATGGTGCCCGCGTGGATCTGGATGTACGATCACCCGCACTATCGCCGTGGCGGCATCCTACAGAAAGCCTGGTACGCCGCCCACATCCTGTTGATGCTGTTTGGCGCCTTTCTGTGTGTCGGCGGCACCTACGGCACCATCCAGAGTATCATCAATGCGTATAAAAGCGGTATCATTGGTGAGTCCGCTTCGTTTTGGCTTTCCACCCATGTTACTCCGTTATATTTGAGCTAACAAGCATACAGGTGGTGCATTTTCGTGCCTGGACAATTCGGGGACTGTGCTCGGACATTAAGTGGCAAATCATGGATTGTGACGAAGGAAGGATGTTAGGCTGGGATTTGAGGGTCATGTATACTGTGCAGTGCAAGTGGAATTTTCAAAGGACCCTCTTCTTTGCAGGAGGTTGTCTTTGAGAATGATAGAGGGAAGCAGAAATGCGAAGCTACCATGTATCGGTCATGCCATGGTGACCCTGTTCGATCATGTATTCAAGAAGCATCGGTATTCCATCTCGCACCGCGTACAAATTCATAGTGCAGCCATGATAGAGGTCCTGATCCTTTTCTTTGGTGTAACGAACCTGCGCGGTCAGGAATGCCGAGCAAAGTCTTAGCACCCTTTTATGCCCGCAACTGAGCCCTCAGAGATCAATCAAGTTAGTAGATACATGATGTAGAGACTCAGCTACACTGGTATGAAACTAGAGTATAAGAAGAAGAGATGGTGCTGAAAAAGGGGGTTGTCTCTCGAATAGCACTGATTGGTCAGGTCCGTGAATCTCTCCCTGCTAATTGGTCGAAACTGTAAGCAGACGGTCACCAATAGCCAAACACAGAATGTTTAAGGCGGCGTGAGCTCGCCGTCGATTTACCCTCCTCTTGGCTGCGGAGAGACATTTGGATTGCGCATCCAAAGCTTTGCCTATTCACCCGCCATACCAACAAGTCTTCTTGCCTCTTGTTTTAATTACCACCTTGAATTTCACCGGTCAATACCTTGCAGACTTCTTTTATGGGAAAACCTTGAAGTCCTACTGACCATCACCTTCACCAATTCTCGCCATGTTTATAGCACGATCAGAATACGACCGAGGGATCAAGTGAGCACCATTTGCATTTGGATTGAGCCCGATGGCTGACACGCGACAGCACCTTCTCACCAGAAGGCCGTCTCTTCCAGGTTGAATACTCATTAGAGGCCATCAAGCTCGGGTCAACAGCTATTGGTGTATGGCCCATACCCTCCTGACCGCTACAACACATGCTCATAACTGACAGGTTGCAACATCACATGGCGTCCTCCTCGGTGTCGAAAAGCGCGTCACATCTCCCTTACTCGTCTCCTCCAGCATAGAAAAGATTGTGGAAATCGACAGACACGTTGGCTGTGCCATGTCAGGTCTTCAGGCGGACGCACGAAGTATGATCGAGCATGCTCGTGTGGAGTCACAAAATCATGCCTTCAACTTCAACGAAAAGCTCGGTGTCGAGAGCTGTACGCAAGCCATCTGCGATTTGGCCTTGAGGTTCGGTGAAGGAGCCCAGGGAGAAGAGTCGATCATGAGTCGTCCATTTGGTGTTGCCCTGTTGATTGCAGGCTGGGATGAGGACCAAGGGCCCCAACTGTAAGTGACTCGCGCACTGGGGCTATTTGTTGCTGAATGGAGTTTCCAGGTACCATGCGGAACCCTCGGGCACGTTCTACCGATACGACGCAAAGGCCATCGGATCCGGCAGCGAGGGCGCGCAAGCGGAGCTACAATCAGAATACCACCGATCCCTGACTTTGGAAGAGGCTGAGACCCTCGTTTTAAAAACATTGAAGCAGGTTATGGAAGAGAAGCTGGATGCGAAGAACGTACAACTGGCGAGTGTCACTCGTGAGAACGGATTTCGAATCTACACCGACGACGAAATGAGCACTGTGGTTGCCAGACTTGAGGGAGATTAGATTCTCATATGACGGGCATGTCGTATTGTACGCATTGTTCGGCGTCTGGAGTGCATCAGAACATCAAACTGCCTTGCACGGAGAGTGGAGAGTGGATAGTGGAAATAGTCTTTGGTGGCATGACTGAATCTCGAAGCAACGTTATCGCCATTGGAGACGATTCTGCCAGTCGTCCGCTCTTCCGGGTTATACTCAATACGAAGATAACATGGCATTGCAAATTGCAGACATCTCCAGCTACTTTGTGATATTTTATTCTCGTTGCTGCAAGCCAACTGTCTAATGCTATGCTGAAGACTGGTAGGTCCGCCGCCAGATGTCTAATCGTTGGACTGGCGCGCTCCATGTCAGTTTGCAACCCTCTTTTGGCGTATCTATCTATTCAGACGGGCGCTCTGCTTGCGGGGTGATGCGTGCAATGTGTCGACGCTGGCCATCTTGCCAATCAATCAAAGCAGAGTGTGTTGTGACGCGGTTGTCCCAAACAACGACGGTGCCGGGCTTCCATCGGACGCGGCACTGGATATCCTGGCTCAGGGCGATATGGTCATACAGGAACTTCAAGAGATAATCGCTTTCCTCCTGTTTGAACCCGACAATGTATCTGGTGAATTGAGGGTTGACATACAGAGCCTTCTCGCCGGTCGCTGGATGGGTCCGCACGATCGGATGGATCGAACTAATTCGAGAGTCAGTCGGTCAATCACTCCATCAAGACGGCGTGGGAGGACTCACGAGACGGGTGCGCGACGATAGATGCTTCCACGGTTTTTGGCGGCCGTGGCCTGTTCATACCCCGAGTGGACGGCCTGCAGACCTGCCAGGCGTTCCTGGAAGGCGGGAGAGAGGCGTTCATAGGCTTTGACCATATTGCAGAACAGGGTATCGCCACCCGCGTCGGGGACGTCGAGGGCATACAAGAATGTGGTCCCCGGAGGCTGGTTCTCATATGTCACATCACTGTGCCACGCGATGGAGTTGGTTCGGCTGGTCAGGAAGTCGAGGAAGGACTTGTCATCAGCACCACGGTGGACAAGGTGGACTTCAGGGAAGCCCTCTGGAGCACCACTGTGACGAGGTCAGCATGGGTGTTTTCATATCGACTATCACAAGTCGGGATTTGCTTGCCTAGTGGGATGGATGTGCAGTCTGCCAAAGTACCGCCCAAACTCCAAGGCCTTCTCGATAGGCAGAGAAGCAAAGTCCTGGTCTCGGAAAGCGACGACCTTCTTCTGAGCAACCAAGAGAGCCAGTTCATCTTTGCCTTTGTTGTCGAGCTGAGACAGTTGAACGCCAGTCACCTCGGCACCAATCGAGGCGGTGATGTTTTCAATCTGGCTGCCGGCCTTCAAAAGGTTCTTGAATGACGGGTCGGCGTCTTTTCCATGCTCATAATGCTCGAATGGTTCTAAAGGCGGATATCTGTTTGAACCCAACAAGATCAGGAAAAGGCCAAGCAAGCAAGCCAGCCGCAGCGGGGCGACACCAGCAGATCGCTCAAACTCAGCACTTACAGTTCACCCTTCTCATTGTCCCAGACGGGGAGATAACTTGGGAAACTCGCCGCAGCAAACTTCTCGGTGCCTTTCAGTTCCTTTTCCTTAGAGAAACTCACGGTTTGGATGTCCTTGTACGCTCCCACGGCGCCCTTCAGGGCGGTAGGTGCTGACGCGGTCGCCATTTGGAAAGCGGTCTCTTCACAGTGCACCAGGGTAAGATTCTACTTTAGTTGAACCAGACTACAATCGGTGGGATTCCCCTCTTTTATACTACACTCTGGGTATTCGGCACAAGGAAATCTCTGGCCAGAGCTCCAACATTGGGATTCGCTCATCCATGCTCTATCCGAAACACAAACCCCGCAGGGCAGCGTCCGGCGTGGGTGCGTCCTCGTTGGTTGGAGCTGGTGATATATCTGTCACGACAGTGGTGAAAAACTCAGACATGTGTTTTCTCATCAATGACATGATTGCGACCCATTTGGGGATCGATTGAGGAGTTGTCAGTGGTGAGCACGTCTTCTCGGTTGATATTGCGTGATCTACTGAAGTGGGAAGGTACACACTCTACGCAGCGCAAGTCTCTCTGCAAGTCCACAGCCACGCCGCTGCGTGCAAGCTGATAAGCATTATGGACCAATTGTAATCGACCGGGAGCGTGCGAGGTGATCGAAATACTACGGCAATGGGTACAACGTGCCTCGTTGTCGCCGTCGGCCTCATCTCGGACGGCGTCCGTCTGTGTCGGTCGAGGTAGTAAAGCGAGATCGGCAGCGTGCTCTGTCCCCAGCAGTCTCATTGATTGGATCTAGGCTGAGATATCACGGCTTCGACACCGGGACCGTCGAGATTATGTCCCGCCTTTTCTGTCTACCGTGTGACAGCATCTGCGAGGGTGGATACGTTCTTTTGATGGAAGGTCGCAAGCATGCATCATGCACGCTGAGTCTCCGGGACGGTAAAATCGAGCATGGCAAGGGAGGAGTGTTGAAGCCCTGAAGCCCGGGATCTCCTAGGTAGGTATAAGATCCAAGAGTTGCCATGGAACCCCTTGATACCCCCAGGTATTGGACCAGCGCCACAAGCTTTTTGCAGTCGTTTCTTGTCGAGCTTCGATATGGCGTCCTCCAAGTCGAACGAGAGCTCTTTAGAGCAAGTTTACGACTTGAAGGGAGAAACTGTCCCAGTTACCCTTGCGGTCGAGGATGAACTCAGTTCTGGTAGCAACTCTATTGCCGACGACAAGACATTTCTTCGTGTCCAAGGTGAGGAGAACTACGTCCCCATCGAAAGATGGGAAGGTCGCCATCGTTTCGATCCCTCTTTTGAGTGGGAACCGGCCGAGGAGAAGAGAATCGTCCGCAAGATCGACCTCAAGATCTGTTCTTGGGTCTGTTTGGCTTTCTTTGCGTGTAAGTGCCCGAGATCCTTGTGCTCTCGTTCAACGTGAGAGTAAGTATTGACATTATATCAGTGCAACTGGACCGAGCAAATATCGTCCAAGCTCTGACAGATAACATGCTGGGTGACCTCCACCTCACCACCAACGACTACAATTACGGGCAAACTATTTTCTATTTGTGCTTTTTATCGGCAGAATTACCTTCCCAATTGATATCGAAGAAACTGGGCCCCGACCGTTGGATCCCAATCCAAATGATCTGCTGGAGTCTGATTGCAAGCTTCCAAGCTTTTATGAAGGGGAAGTCGTCTTTCTATACTTGTCGGGCATTATTAGGGTTGATTGAAGGAGGGATAAGTCACCACACCTCCTTCACTCCAGATTCCAACTGACATTCAAAGCACTTCATCCCCGATACCATTCTTTATTTGTCGTACTATTACAAGGGCAGAGAGCTTCCTGCACGCTTGGCCTGGTTTTGGACCGCATATCAAGCGACATCAATCGTCGGCGCGTTTCTGGCTGCTGCCATCCTCAACATGCGCGGCATAAATGGCCTCGCAGGGTATGTTGGTATACCTGTTTGCATGACCAAGGCCACTGACCTCGACACTACGTAGGTGGGCCTGGCTGTTCGCTCTCGAGGGAACACTTACAGGACTCATCGGCATCGCCACCTACTTTTACTTACCCCCTTCGCCGTATCAGACCGCCTCGTGGTTCCGCGGCAAGAAGGGTTGGTTCACGGAGCGAGAAGAAAAGATCATCGCCAATCGTATTTTGCGTGACGATCCGAGTAAAGCCGACATGCACAACAGACAAGCCGTGACGCCAAAACTACTCTTCTACGCCCTTTGCGACTGGGAGATGTGGCCCATCTACGCCATTGGGTTGACCTTCCTGATCCCCAACTACCCTGTTACGTCGTATTTGTCGTTGATCCTCAAGCAATCCTTTGGCAGATTCGAGGTCAATATGCTCACGATCCCTTCATACGTGCTCTTCATCATCAACCTGCTCGTTTTCACCTGGTTGTCTGAGAAGACAAACCAGAGATTTCTTGTTGCACTACTCAGTCAGATCTGGTGAGTCGGCCCCGACTCTCGACACAACAACTTGACTAAAACCTTGTTTAGGTGTATGCCCCTGCTCATCGCATCGGAGCTTTTGCCCGGGGAGGCGTCCCGATGGGTGAAATACACGTTGGCCACTCTCCTCGTGGGAACTCCATATGTGCACGCCATCCACGTAGCGATCACTAGCCGCAACGCTGGTTCGGTGCGAACGAGGACGGTGGCTTCGGCGTTGTACAATATGTTTGTGCAAGCCAGCAACATCATCGGGTCAAATGTGAAGATCTCATCCCCCGTCAGCCAAGAGCCTGGTTGTTACTGACACACATGGGCATGCAGATCTTCAGAACGGACGATGCGCCTCAGTACAGACGTGGCTATAAGGTCCTTATCGGTATCTGCGCGTACAATATTGTCCTGTTCCTCCTTGCCAAATGGTTTTATATCTGGAGAAACAAGTATGTCATTCTTCCGGTTATCATTTCAGCCTGTTCGTCTGCCTGGCTGACACGAACCCTCCAGAGTCCGTGACCGGAAGTGGAACTCCATGACGGAGGATGAGCAACGCCACTACCTTGCAACAACGACGGATAAGGGAAACAAGATGCTCACCTTCAGGTTTGCACATTAGAAGGAGCTTGAGAGGAGTGATAGAGAAAAAGGAGGGACGACGTCATTGAATGGGATATCTCCACGTGATCAGGCGTGGTGTTGTGACACGCTAGCGGGGGTAGTCTTGCACTTGCCCACCTTTGTCCCTTCGCGTCTTTCACGCGTCGAGTGTCATAAGATCGTCCAAGGTCCTCGAATTTACTGGTCCTCCTGTATTCCTCATTCTGTCTCATAAGCCAAACGTCGTTTTGGCCTTTGGCGATCAGCGTGATTGTCCTTCTGCCAGAGCAGCGGTCCTACCTTGGTAAACCGGTCACCTCCTTCTCCAGAACACTTGTTCTCACAATGCCTCGTCCCGCAAAGACCAAATCACGCTGCCAAGACACCTCTCTTGACATCGCCTCCGAACCCAAGAGTCCTTCGAGGTCAGCGAATAAGCCGGGAAAGCAGGCTCTACAGGACCGTAGCGTGAACATCCTTCCCGCTGCTCAAAAGCGTGATGGGGTCAAGTCCAACGGGAGCAAGAAACGCAAGAGTGAGAGCAACGAGGATCATGTTGAAGCAGATGGTGTGGGTTTGAGCCGTGACTCTGAAACTGTAAGTGAGAAGGAATTTCTTAATATCCCTCTCATGTCAAGCATTTCTACTCCTTCATCAGCCGCTTTCCATACCTTAAAGCGAGGACATCCTTCCCATTCCACATCATGCAAATAGGCCCTCCTCCTGTTCACTGGCTTTCTGGTGGCTCTCTTCGTTCGCGAAACAGATCTCTGCCTATTTTCAGAAATAAAAGGTCGCCCAGATTCCCTCCTTGATCCTCTTTGTCCTCGCTAGTGGCAGAGTGGCAGCCCCTGGTTTTCCGCACGGAATCGGCATTACTGTAGACTGTCTTGAGACTCTCCCTGCACCAACACAGTCCTGACGAAGATGATGGGGGTGATATCTTCCTGGCGGCTAACATTTACTCGAAGCAGCCTGCTGCTGGAAAGTCGACGAACTCGAACCCGAACAAGAAGGCCAAGCAAGCTGAATCGACCTCCACCACGGCAGGAATCGTGCAGAAGCAAGGCGCGAACTCAAAGCCCCGACAGAGTGCCGGCCAAGGCAACCTCAAAGTCAACTACGTCTCCGAGGTCTCTTCAGTCGTCCTTAAAGGCGAAGAAGGCATTAATCCCGTCCCTGTGTACGATACGTGCGATGATATCCGTGCCAAGATCAATCGCTTCCTCCGAGACACGCCTTCAGCCACCAACGCGGGTTTCGTCCGCGACATCAACGCGGTCACTCTATGCCCATCAATCAAGAACGCCACAGCAGCACAACTCAGTGCGTTCCTGAAGAGGCACGGTCCCACCGACGGCGCCGAGAGCCCGGTCTTCTACAGAAGCTACGTCTTCTTCGAGAAGCTCCGGATCGTGCGCGGCAAGCCAAAGACCAAGAAGAGACTGGAGATGGAGAATGTGTGGAAAGCCAGTGGTATGGACCTGACGGATCTGGGCAAGACACGCGTCTGGTGCGGTCCGAATCAGACTGCGTACACGAGTGTGTACGGCGAGCTGCAAATCGTCGGACGATGGGGCAGGTGAGGAGATGCCGCCAAACGCGCTTCTGGCCTCGGGGTCACCTGGAGAGGAGATTGTCGATTCGGGCGAGAATGTGGCAACGGGTGTATGGGGATCGCTTTGCCTTCTCAACGCATTGTACTGTACCTGTGTATGACCACATGCAAGTGCTGTAAACTATTTTATGGGGATTTGGGACAGGGTGTTCTATTGCATGCGGTCACATGGTCACAAAAAACCCCGGCTGGCGTAGGGCATATCTAGCTATCCAGAAAAGTCCAGCTGTTGACTCTTGATGGGAAATATGTACATCCGGAGAAAATACAACGACCCATGCATCGAACTAGGAGAACATCTCCAGATTTCTAAGTCGTGCCCGCGCCCGATTGCGTGCCCTTGGTAAGCCCGAGCTCTTCGTAGAAGGCGTCCGTCTTGGGCTCCCTGCCGAGGAACTCGATCAGGGTCTTCATTTCGTCCTGGCTGCCGCCCTTCTCGAGCACGGTGTGGCGGTAGCGGCGGCCCTCCTTGGGATCCATGGGATTCTGCTTGAAGACCGAGTAGAACATGTCGGTCGAGTAGACTTGGGAGGAGAGGTAGCCGTAGTATCCTGAAGAAGAAGATGTGAGTGGGACCGCGTAAAGGATAGGAAAGGGGGAGTCCAGCTAACTACATAAGAAAGAAACGGTGTAAGAAGGGAGTCGTGAACTTACCAGCGTCATAACCACCCATGAGATGGCCAAAGGTGGCTTGCCCGTTGCCCCATGCGTTGCCTTCGCCAAACACCTCAGGCCCGTCGATCTTGCTGATATCCTTCCTCAGGCCGTTGTACGTCTCGGAGATGTTCATCGCTTCGAGGCTGGCGTGATCTTTCGGCTCGTGTATCGTCATGTCGAAGATACCAAAGTGCAGCTGGCGCAAGTTGAACAGGGCGCCGTTGAGGTTCTTCGTCTTAATCAGTTTCTGGATCAGGTCATCCGGGATGCGCTCCTCGGGCTCTTTGGCGCTCGAGCCACCAGCTGCTGCTTTCCATGCCTCGTAGTAGTCGGGCGACAGGGTCGAATAGTGCTTGCTCAGAGATTTGAGCTGCGACGGTGTCCAGCACCAGTTCTCCAGCATTTGGCTCGGTGCTTCGACGAAATCTCTAACCGTGTTGGTCCCATGGAATCGCGAGTAGGTTGTGCGGGATACGAGATCATGAATGCCATGCCCGAGTTCGTGGAATAGCGTGGTCACTTCGTCGTGCTTGAGCAGACTGGGCTTCTTTGCCGTAGGTTTGGAGAAGTTACACACGAGCGCTGTCGCTGGGTATCTCCTCGTTCCGTTTGGTTGGATGAAGCCCGGTTGGAGATTGAAGTTGGCTGCATGGCCATATTTGCCGGTGCGAGGGAACAGGTCCAGGTATAGATATCCCACGAATCCGCCACCTTCGCCTTCGTCGTCCCAGACGCTGAAGACCTGCACCTCTTCATGCCACACAATGTCCTCGCCCTTGCCGGATGGAGAAACACTGTCACGGTCCTTGCCCACAATTTCCACGAAAACGAGGCCAAAGATCTGTTCGAAGATTTCAAGCATGCTCTTGATCGTGGTCTGTAGTGGGAACCACTCCGAGATCAGTTGTTGGTCCAACTGGTAGTCCTTCTCCTCCATCATCCGATCATAAAAGCGGTGGTCCCACAGATAATAGCGGCCGTCGAATTCCTCGCCACGAGACTTTAAGTCTTCCTCTTTCATCTTCTTCAGAGTGGCAATCTCGTCTAGACCTCCCTGGCTCAGTCGGTTGCGCAGATCAGCCAGGAAGTCGTCCACAGTCTTAGGGGTCTTTGCCATCTTATCCTCAATCCTGAAAGCAGCATGGTTTGGATACCCAAGCAAGCGAGCAGCTTCATCTCTCAGCAGGATGGCTTCCCGAAACAACGGAACGTTTTGGTTGCATTTGTTCTCGTTCGCGATAAAGACCTTGCGTCTCGTGGCGCTGTTTGTGCCGTATTTGAGAGTAGGAAATAGATCTGGGTATTTGAAGGTCAACCAGTACTTGTCCCCTTCTTTCTTCAGCAGGGACAAGACATCTTCGGGAACACCGTTGAGTTCTTCCGCGGTGAACCACAGACCGCCCTTCTCTTCATTCAGGTTCTTGGAGAAGGCGATGCCCAGTTGGCTGAGTCGCTTCTTGATTTCCTTGAATCGATCCCGCTTGGGCCCTGCTGGGATGTTCAAGCCATTTCGCACATAGGACTTGTGCTCCTTCTCTAACAACCTCTGGGACTCGGCATCCAACTTGTCCCCCTTCTTCAGTACGGCGTCCACCAGGTTGAAGACGTCCTCCCGCATAGCGGCCTCAATGCTAAAGTCGTCCATGAGTTTCTCTGCCTCAGTGGAAGCATCGCGCAGAGCCTGGTCGGTGGAGACGGACTGATAGAATCCTAGGATGTGGGCTTTCAACGTTTGCTGATTTTCATCATGCGCCATTGGAAGCAGCACGCTCTGAAATGTGGCGTCCTTCTGCGAGATCTGAGCAACGATATCGTCTGTGATCTTCTTTGAGCCAGCCAACATGTCCTTTGTGTCCTTCATAATTGACTCAGGAGTTGCCGTGAAGCTTGGGGGCGCCTGCGGAGGCTTGCGAAACTTGGGGGAAGCCATGCTTGAGGTTGTCACCGGTCTGAGGGAGGTCGTGGGGGAAGACGCTGGCTTGAAGGGTCGGACTTGGTTCAGGATCGAACCCAGTCGGGGAGTCGCGCGAAAGGGAGCCAGGCTGATGATGGTCACGACGGAGAAGAAGGCGACGGAGGCGAGGAGGACGAGTAAGCCCTTGAATCGAGCCAGCGTGACAGATTCGACGGAGGACAAGAGATTTATGACAGGATCATGGATAGGAAGTGGGCACGATCTCGACACGGCCGAAGAACAGTGGCTGCTTTCTCTTCTCTGGCAACCGAGCCAGAGCGAAAGTCAGTTGCTGTGGTGTTGCGAAGGAGTGCAGTGTTTCAGTGACACAACGAGTCTAGATCTGCGGATTGTGGACTATTCATTCTCCGCATCTTGTCCCGCGTATTATTTCCACTCCGAGGCATTTTCTCGCTGCCCTGCAATTTATACGACATGGTCACGAATGACCCTTGTCAAATGCTACTTCTATCCATGGCCAATGCGTCCCATCTCTCACTACCCGAGAGCGGTCTCTAAGGCTTTTCCAGCCCAAAACATGAGTCCGATCCTTGTACAGTCCCTCCGACCATTGACTCCTCGACAGCGTAATCCTGGTAGGTGCGCAGCAAGTGGCCGGGGGTATACTGAGAAGGTTGGGTCTCAGCACAACTCGTCCAGCTCGACTGAAGGTTGTCAAAATCCCCTAGTCCAAGCTATCCATGCATTCTCGGCGTATACAGCCGCGAAGGATTGTACACATTTGACCTGGCAGGCCTATCTGAACCTCGATTTCCACACAATTGAAAGGCGCAGTCGAATGCTGCTGAATGAGCCCGAAGTAAAAATAAGATTGATGTTCTCGAATGCGCCACATTGATGCATGAGTATATTTTAGCAGACACATCACGACTCTGATTGCACAGTTTGACTGCCAGGTGTTAGAAGAGCCCACACTCAACCTCGAACCGGCAAACTCACGAAAGCCAATCCATTCCTTCTTTGATACCTTTACCATCAATCACTGAGCATGCAACGATACTCCAATTCCGATCTCTCAGCTCGCCCAATTTCAAAGCTTCGGAGATCTCCCCGGCTCCTTGTGCGCCAGGCTACTGGTCGTCAGCCACGTTCCAGGAGTCGGGAGATGGTCTGTACCTGATCTTGCTTGTTGGCAAATACCAGCAAAGCCGCATCTTTCAGTTCGTCCTCGTTTAACATGGACCTTAATTCGTCCGCGGCGATCTCTAATCGTTCAATGTCGGTCGAATCAATGACGAATATGACGGCTGCAGTGTTGGCGTAGTATGATCTCCAATAGGGTCGTATTGATGTCTGTCCACCCAAGTCCCAAACATCGAAGTTCAACTTGCCATATTGAACGGACCTAGTGACATAGACTCAGTATCTCATGCCAGCAGAATGACCTTGGGCAAGACTAACTCGACGTTGAATCCTATTGTAGGTATCGTGGTGACCACCTCGCCAATCTGTCTCCCTTAGACCCAGACTCAAACCTGTCAATCACAACCTACCTTGAGTCTATACAAGAGGGTGGTCTTGCCAGCATTGTCCTTGGTCAATACCTGTCAGCCCATTTCGTTTCCAGCGATCGACAACCGGAGTAACGCACAAGACCAAGAATCAGAATCCTGATATCTTTCTTGCTCCAAATGAGGCTGGTGAAGTATTTTGAGAACGAGCCACCCATGTCTGACGATGGGAGGCGGCGGGCTTTCAGGAGGGTTTGGAGGACAACTGGTCACGAAAGGACCATGTCGCTGGTGTCGATGTGGACCTTCGAGCAGATCGAGACGGAGGTGATGCGTAATCCTGACAATTCGTGGCTCCTTTCGACCTAGATTATGAAGATGGGAATAAAAGAATAAAACAGGTTGTAGTGGGCGGAAGCCTTGAGTGTGTCAAGCCACTGACCGCCCGATGATCCGGGGTGGGACTTTCCTCGCTTCTTCAACGCGTGCCGTGCCACCGACTTGCAAATTGCGGAGTACAGCCCTCTTCAGACGAGCGCAACTTGAGGTTTGGCTTTTGCGACTTTCCTCGTCACATCTTGTACCATCAGGACCAAGGACCTGAACACGCTTTTCATACGACCCCACGCCAGGATGCTGCGATAGACCGCCACAATCCATCAACTCGGCCATCACCTCTGCCTCCATTCCCCTGGTGAATTGTAAACGTTTTCCAAGGGACTGAGTGAGACCAGACGAAAAATGGTGGGCAAGAAAAGTGGAAAGGCCCTCCTGCGGGAGGAAGGCCTGGAGAGAACTGACAAGTAAGTGATCTGCGTCGTCGACGGGCTTCCTCGTGTCTGCAACCGTCCTCGCCAGTAGAGTTGTTCAAAAAGGAACCCGTAACTAATTAAATAATTGCAGCAACATGGAGCTCACCTCCTGGCCTTTAATCCAGGCCATAAACCAGAAAAACTACTACACAGACTATCTCAAGCGAGACGAGCAAATCCTGGCCTACCGATCGCAGCAGGAAGAAGCTCGCAACAAAATGGTGAAACAAGCCAAAGACAGGGACAGGGCACTTGCACAAGGCAAAACAGTCGGGCCTGATGGAGATATCGAAATGGATGATGGTGAAGAGGAGGCCGAAGACGAGGCTGCGAGCGGAGCAAAGACCATTGTCATCCACATCGGATCCCAGAATCTAAGAGTCGGTCTTGCCAACGACGCTCTCCCAAAGACTGTTCCCATGGTGATCGCTCGTCGGTCGACCAAGTCTGAGAGCGAGGAGGGAGATGGAGAGCCAGCGCCCAAAAGAGCCAAGCTGGACAACGGCTTACCACCACCAGAACCAGAGAAGCGTTTTGGCGAGGACTTTGCAAAGAAGTTTTCTGGGATGTCTCAGGATCTTAAGGTGCGAATGAGGATGAACAAGAGAAAGGTGTTGCCGCAGTCCAGAGACATGGTCACCAGCTACAACCGAAGAAATACATACGAAACCATCACGGAACACAACGACACCATGCGCATCGAGTGGACAGATACAAACGAGGGTTTTGGTGAACCGCCCGAATATATTACGGGAAAAGCCGCACTTCGCATCCCTGATCAATCAACGCCGCGGTACAAACTGTTCTGGCCCATCCGACATGGTTGGATCAACGAGCAAGACTACGAGTCGAAGCGCTTCTTGTATGATGATATCCGCATCATCATCGAAGACGCCATCAAAACTCAGCTCGAACTGAAACTGCGCACGCGGGGAGACTGGAACCAGTATAGCTGCGTCATAGTGATTCCTGACTACTACGAAAGGACATACGTGACGAGTCTGCTCGAATTGGCGATTAGCGAGTTTGGATTTGGACGCGTTTGCTTCATCCAGGAGAGTTTGGCCGCTTCCTTTGGGGCTGGTTTCACGACATGCTGCATTGTCGACATCGGCGCGCAAAAGACGACGATATCTTGTGTGGAGGACGGAATGGTTCTTGACAACTCCCGAGTCAACCTGAAATACGGCGGCAGGGACATCACCGAAACTTTTGTGAAGATGGTCATCTACAACCACTTTCCTTACTCGGAGATCAACTTGAACCGACGATATGACTTTCAACTGGCGGAAGAGCTGAAGCAAAAGTTTTGTACTATGACCGAGGCGGATGTGTCGGTGCAGTTGTATGACTTTCACCTGCGTGCGCCGGGACAAGACACCAGAAAGTACACATTTAAGATCTACGATGAAGTCATCCTTGCGCCGATGGGACTTTTCAAACCTCAAATCTTTGATAACAGTGGGAAACTGAAGGGTCGTCGTAAACTGGTCGACAAATCCTACGACATCTACGACAACAAACCAAACGACCCGAGCTCCACCGCGCAGGCAGAGATCCTGACGGCCATCGCTCCCGAAGAAATCCTTACCTCAACAAACAAGGCCGCTCCGAAGACCAATGGACATGCGAATGGCGTTCTGACCAACGGAATAACGACAAAGGACGAGCCTTTTAACGACTCCCGCCGTCCGTCTTTCAGTAACATCAAGGAAATGGATGCAACACCTCAGCCTTCAGCCGCAAGCTCACCCGCCCGCAACTTGCCGGACGGCACACCGCAGCCCGGGGAGGAGAACGAAGGCGGCGCTCCCCGCGACGAGAAGCCTCCGGTGCCCGAGGTGGAAGAAGAAGAACCCCTCTCCATCGAACGACGCGATGACATTCTCCCCATCTACCCTCTCCCCAATGCAATTGTCACCTCCATCACCCACGCCGCGAGAGGCTCCTCCCAGAAGACGTCCGATCTCCTCTCTGGCATCATGCTTACGGGTGGCACATCTATCATTCCCGGACTGGGCTCGCATCTCGAGGAGAGTCTGAAGGGGATATTACCAGGCTACAGCAAGGACATTTTGATTGGACGCCCGCCTAGGGAACTAGATCCGCAGGTCGTGGCTTGGAAAGGCGGCGCTGTCTTCGGCAGGATGAGTCGCACCAATGATTCTTGGATCAATGCTTTTCTATACGAGAGGCTAGGTGAGCGAATATTGGCGCATAAATTGATGTGGGCGTGGTAGCCCCTGAGTTACTCGAGCTCTTTCTCGGCGGCGGCGGCGGCGTCATTTACAGCGACATGTTGGTGGATCTATCCAGTGACCTTGGGGGGGATGCTTTGGGGCGTGTTATGATCATTTGCCCTTTGTTTCGTGGAGGCTTCGCTTCCATAGACATCCAATTTAGATTCCTGATGGCTTGTGGCGGTCACCATGTTGATTTCATGCTCATCCGAGAACTATTTCCAGCCATGCTTTATGTCCCTAGAAGGCAGGCGTCACGTCAACTGATATTTGAGATAAACAGTCAATGACGTGGCCAGTACTCGACCAGACCAGTCAATCGCAATCGCCAGCTTTCACACGCTGTGCTCACAGGACTGGTCTCTCAGAACTTCTCCTTCAACCAGCTGATCAGCGCCTCCCCGAACTCCTTGGGTTTGTCTAAGTGAGCCCAATGTCCCGAATCCACCGTGACCTGCGTAGCATCCGGTATCAACCCGGCATCGAGACTCATTTGCAGCAACTCGGGCCGGCAAACCATATCCCTCTTGCCGCCCCAGAAGAACAGTGGGCACTTGATGGGGATGTTCTCCTTGGGAATGTTGGCGTTTGCTTTGTCCTGCACCCCAAACACCATTGAACGGTAATAGTTCAGAGGGGCATCAAAGCCTCCCTCCTTCATCGAGGCGATCCACTTCTGTCGGCGCTCCTCGGTGGCGTAGGCCATGGTGGGCTGCCTCTTGTCGGCGAGGAGGAAGTTCCTGACCCCGTCGGGCTTGCACAGCGTTTCGAGCCAGGTCTCCGGCTCGCCGTGCGCGACGTCCCACATGGACTCCACGTGCGCGTCCATGATCTGCGCGCCGTCGTCGCCCGTGAAGAGCTTCCAGTACCAGAAGGTGCCGTATCCGAAGATCGCCTTGGTTTGTTCGAGGGTGGCGTCGAGGTCGAACGGCGCCGGTGAGGGCGGCGTGTATGCGACGTTCAGGAGGGCCAAACCGCATACGCGGTCGGCGTGGAAGTTGTAGAAGCGTTGGACGACGCCGGAGCCCTAGTGATGGGGATGTTTCGTGAGCATCAGGGATGGGGGTGCTTGTGGGTGAAACAAGGAAGAGCTGTTCAGGAGGAGGAGGAGAACTCACCCAGTCATGGCCGAGGGGAATGATCTTGTCAAGTCCTTCCTTGTCAATGATCTCCTTGAGGTCCTGGGACATCAACTGCATGTTGTAGGATTCCTTGTCCGTGGGCTTGGAGGTACCATTATAGCCTAAGCAGTCCACTGCAATGACGCCGTATCCATTAGGGAGCAGGTAATCTCGAATGGCTTCCTCGTAAGTATCAGGGGCATCGGGGAAGCCATGCACCAACAGCAAAGTAGGGCGACCATCCTTTGCAGGGCTGGTATAGTAAGTATAGGTAAAGCCCCGTGTGACGTCGAGTGTTTTCTTCTCCAGCTGGTCCATCGTGCCCAAGATCTCTAGACTGAGTACGCCTCTAATTGTAATAGCAGGTAGGAGAAAGCGAGTGATGGGGAGGGGAAACGAGGAAACAAGGCTCTTAACTTATACGACACCACGAGTCAGTGTGTCGACTAGACTGAAAAGCATCAGTCAGCACAGCCATTGGTTCATTGAGCCAGACGTGCAACGCCCGTAAGCAGAGCTGTCGAGGCATCCTTCGGCGAATGAGAATCCGGTATTGCGGGGGTTTCACGCCGAACAAACCACCTAGGCCCTTCATTATTGGAATTGGATGTGCAAAGCTGGAGCTGTCTTAGATCGGCCTCGGGCCAATGATTCCTTGGGCCTTCCGGTTTTCGAGCTGGATGCAAGGATCCCGCATCCCCTCTTGTCGCGGTCCGACCGTGAAGTAAGAACGGTGCCACCTGTTCTCACTCTTATGGATCTGCTTGAAGTGAGAAATGAGGCCCGGTACCTAGAAATTGCGGCCCATTGTCAACAATAGAAGCGAACCGTCGGCTGGGTCAAGATGGCCGGCGGGAGAGCAGATCCTTATCAACCGGCACATCATCACATCTGGATGGTCGAAGTCCGTTTTTTGCTGCTCTCAAGAGTCTCAAAGTATTGATGAGTGGAGCATTCACGCCGCACGTGATCTGGAGCTTGTTCTTGACCTCCGATTGGCTGCATCATGGCAGCTCAGCTCCACCAACCATGCGGAGTGATTTTCTCCCAGCAGTCAATCAGACACACATCTCAACCCATAGACTGCGTCCTTCTCTCTCCTGCCGTCCACCAGTGTCATTGAGATTGCTCTCGCCAGACACATGTTGCAAAGATGAGGGGACCAATCTCCCGTAATGTGGGCTCGGTGTGCACGGGTATGAACTCGCCGTTCTCCCCCCTTGAAATGCAAGCAAAATGTTCTAACATCACTCCCAAGCAGAACCTGCACCCGCGCGGTTTACAATATATTGCCTACCAGAGTCATGAGAATCCCCTTTCCTCGCTCATCTCTATTCCTACAGACGGGTTAGCCTTTCAAAGCTACGTACAGTTTACCAAAGCTGTACGTATCCGAACTTCTCTGAAATGCCCTCCTTCTGTTCGACTCCTACACAGCGGACCAGAAGCTGTCGACCATGTCTCGTCGTCGGTGGCTTCTCTCAAGGACAATGACAGGAATGACGAGGATGACCCTGATTCCCTCTCCACGACGCAGGAGGAGAAAGCTGTCAAGGCACGCAAATCATTTCGCGTCAGTATTCCAAAGGTCAATCTCGAATCCGCTCTAGAGACAATGAGACTGGCTCATACACATGGGCTCACGCTCGACGAAGTGACCCTTAAGCCTTCCCCAGACCAGACGGATTCTCCGGTGCAAGTTACTCCGTTAAGGAATGACAGGAGACTAGCTGCCAAAATGAAAACTGACCTGGAGGTGTCAAGACGACAAGACAAGATGAAGGAGACACTTCGCTTGAGACAGACTTTACCTCTGATGGCGAAAGGGACGCAGCAGGCACTCCTGAAATTGATTGACGACAATGATGTGGTGGTTGTCCTGGCGAAAACTGGCTCGGGGAAGACTACGCAAGTCCCCCAGATTATCCTCGATGACAAAATAATGTCTGCACAAGGTCCCTGTACAAATATTGTCTGCACCCAACCTCGCCGTATTGCGGCAGCTTCTGTGGCGCAGAGGGTGGCCCACGAGCGCCATGATACCATGAGAAACAGCGTTGGCTATCACATTCGCCACGACAACTGGTCACCGAGTCCGTTTGGTAGTATAACCTATTGCACCACAGGGATCCTCCTCAATCGACTCATCGCGAACCCACAAGCAGCCTTGTCATCTCATTCGCACATCATTGTTGATGAAGTCCACGAACGCGATATGCAGATTGATCTTGTTCTCTCGCTTCTGCGAAGGGCTATCCGAGCGAGGAAGGCGGCACAGGAGAGCTTCCCCAAGGTTATCCTGATGAGTGCTACCATTGACCCGACGACCTTTCTCGACTACTTCAAACAACCAGCAGAGGATGGCACTGCCCTCAATGTCGATTGTCTCGATGTGGAAGGAAGACGTGCGCATGTCGAAACCCACTTTCTGCCTGAAATCCTCTCGGAGTTGTCGCAAGGGGGTGACCTGCATCCCTCGATAAGCCAGTTGATACAGGGTGGCCACCATCAATCCAGCGCACAACATATTGAACAAGAGATGCATTTTTCTGCCAGGCAAACCAAGCTGGCGTCGTCGTCTTCAAGTGACAACGCCGCGAATCAGAATGCGACGCTGACCAGTGCTGTCCATGAAACCGACTCGGTTGAGCTGATAGGCCCAATGCGTGTCGGCCTAGCTGTCTCTGTCATAGTCCATATCGCAAGGACCCAGCCGGAGGGCGATATACTGGTGTTCTTTCCCGGTTCGACGGACATGGAAAAAGTTGAGCTTCTTTTGACCAGTGGTCGCTTCGCGTGTCTAGGAGTTGACTTCCAAGATCCAAAGAAATTCCGGCTGTTCAAACTTCACTCTCTGCGCCGGGAAACGAACGACCAAGTTTTTGAAGCTGTTCCTGAGGGCTGCCGGAGAATCATCCTGACGACGAACATTGCCGAGACCTCCATCACACTTCCAGACGTTGTTTATGTCGTCGACACGGGCAAAGAGCGAAACAGTCTGTTTGACCCTTCGACGCTCGCGAGGAGCCTGCCTTATGCATGGATCAGCAAGACCAGCTCAATTCAAAGACGAGGGCGCGCTGGACGGGTTCGAAATGGTCATTACTATGCTCTGTTTTCAAAGGAACGCCACGACTCACTCCGACCCATGCAACGCCCGAAGCTCGAGCAGTCCGACCTCGCGGAACTGGTCTTGCAATTGAAGGCTTTTCCCCAACACACCGATGTTGAAAGTCTTCTCCTGGAAACAATAGATCCGCCCACATCTGATTCCGTTGCGAGCGCGGTGAGACAGTTGCAAAGTCTAGGCGCATTGACTGAAAAAGGGGACATTACAGACTTGGGAAGGTTATTGTGGCGACTAGGGGTCCACCCAGCCCTGGGAAAAGGCATTCTCTTGGGGTCACTGTTCGGATGTCTGGAGCCCATGCTGATTATTGCATGTCACGACCCTGGCGCTCCTTTAGTGTCGACCCTCGAACTGAGCATCGACAAACTGAGGGTCGTGAAACAGCGATATCTCCCGGAGCTCGAAAGTGACTTTGCTTGGATCATCGAGGCCTTCAAAGAGTACCATGAAGCCAACCTGGCCGGCGATGAAAACCTCATGCAGGAATTACGTGACACAAAATATATTCGACACCGCGCCTATCTGGATATGATGATGACCAGCAAAGGACTCCACGACGTCCTCGCCGAAGTTGGCTTTGTTCCACCTCCTCGACCCGACCAGACTCTTTTCGAGTCGCTTCCTGAGTCTTTGAACGCCCACAGTGACAATATGGTGCTTGTTAAAGCGCTGCTGGTTAACACGGTCAGTGCTGAACTCGCCGCCTGGCGAGGCGGCACCAGTTTCAAAGGCCGACAGTATGGTTGGTCGACTGACATTCGTGATCTCAAAGGCATGATATCGAAACACGGGGTGAATGAAGGAAACACGCGGCGAGACCGACGGAAGAAGAAACGATACCGCAGTCACGGTCGCCTGATGGCATACACATGGAAACAGGGAGGGCTCGATGGGCCTGATGATGTCGTATGGCTTGAACAGGCCTCGATGGTGACGCCGCTCATGGCCATCTTATTCTGTCGGAGTCTCAAGCTGCAAGTCGACCAGGTGCTGGAGCTCAATGAGTGGCTTCGGCTCCGTATTGTAGCACCCGACGATGTACCGCCCGAAATAGCCGGTCAAGCGGCGGTCATTCTGATGGAACTGAGGAAAACGTTCGATCGGTTTGTGAACAGCGCGTGGCTCGAGCTTGAGAGGCTGAATCAGCCTCGACGGCCACGGCACTCTGCAGGCCAAGGACAAACTCCAGCACCAAGCGGGCTGGGTCTCGAGCTGAGAAATGTCCTGGTCGAAGCAGTCGTGAAAATGCTTGATGCCGATGAGGCGTATTGGAAGGAGTGGCGTGCACGGCGCCGAGTGGAGATTGCTTTGGACATCGAACAGCAAAAGAAGGCGCAGGAAGAGGCAGATGTTGAGGCCGCCGTCGTCGAGGACGAGGGACGAAAAGCAGAGCCACAGGAAGACGGCGGAGCTCTTGAGATGGAGGAGATAGACCCGGACGCTGAAGAAGAGGACGACAACATTGAATCGGGTGCTGAGGGCCACCGCGGGAATTCTGCCCCTGACCAAGAATACGAGAAGGCATCGACTTGAACCCGGATCCGACACGGGCAAGGTCCGCCTGTGCAATGCACGAAGGATGTCTTTGTTGTGAGAAGTGTGCATACATGTATATACTCTGTACTAAGTAAGAGCGTGACTGGACTATATTCATAGATGGGTGGTTGGTCTCCTGTGACAAGGTGAACAAAAAAGTGTACTAGAAACGAGGGCCTAAACGAGGTATTGGACTCATGCAAGTAACACAATCATAGAATCATTGAAAGAAACGAGAAGGAATGGACTTCTCGGGCTGCGTAGCGAGAGTCAGAGCATTGCTGGCAATCCGTGGCTTTGCTCAGAGTTTATAAACAATGTTTTTGTCTCCCAGGGATGTCGCCGCGAGCAATCCGCGTAAAAGAGCCCCGACACAGGGAGGAGCCTTCGACATGGGAACGATACCAGTCCCTGTTATTTAGCACATCGATTGGCGGCAGCAGAACAGCACCCTGGACACTTTCTGATGCCGTGTCGTCGTCTCTCCGAGGTGGGGAGGCGGCGAGCGGTGGAGAAAAGCCAAGCTGCACGCGAGTATCCCCGGGCTAGGTTTGGCTCTCAGTGTCGACAAGCTTCCAGGTCGATGGGGACCTTGGTGTGCTGCTTTCGGATGTGGTCCTCCGAGTCGCTGACTGAGCCCTGTAGGCTTTAGGAGTCGGTAGCCTTTGATGTATTGACTCGGTGCAGGGGCTGCAACCTTGCACGAAAGCTGTAGGATGGCCTTGTTCATCGCAGATTTGTGGACCTGAGCTGGGCACAGCAGCTTCAAATCATGCACCCGCCCTTTAGAGGTCCTTCCGCTTCAGCCTCCGGAGTTGGAACAGCCAAGTCATGTAGCGGTCGAAGAAGGAGGTCCAGGTGTAGCCCCCCGAGAGGAAGTACACGACCCAGCTTTTGTTGCCTTCCCAGATCCAGTTGCGGCGGGCATCCCGCAACAGCCACCTCCACGGCCACGGGCCGGCGCCCGGAAGAACCTGTTTGACGACACTCTCGGCATACGCCGCCGTGGGCATGGCTCCCTCCTGGGAATGGCCCTGGCGTCGCAGGTAGTTCTCCTCGAGCGGGGCGTAGAGGCTGTCTTCGGGCAGGACGCGCGTGACGTGCGAGGAGATGCGCGACTTGACGCCCCCCGTGACGACGGTGATGACCTTGACGCCGAACGGGGCCAGCTCGACGCGCAGCGTGTTGGCGTAGGCATGCAGCGCGGCTTTCGAGGCGTTGTACACGCCGCCGAAGACGTAGGGGATGACTCCGGCCAAGCTCCCGACCATGACGATGGTGCCGTGGGCCTTGATGAGAAGCGGCGAGTAGACCTGGCACAGGCGCATGACGGCGAACAGGTTGACGTCGAAGATCTTTTTGGCGTCGTCGATCTTGATGTCCAGCGCCGGCATCACGTACGAGACGCCCGCATTGTTGACTGTGCCACGCACGTGCCTCGTCGTCAGTCCCATACATACATACATACATACATAGGTCGGCTGCAGTTGCAGCAGGGGAGGAGGGAGGAGTCAATAATCAAGCTGCTCACCCAGATAGTCCAGCCCACGACCATCGGTCAATTGCTCGACGGTTTTGAGACAGGAGAGGATCGAGGAGTCGTCGTCGACCACCAAAGGAATCGTCTCAATGCCCTTGTCCGACAAGTCGACGATCTGGCCCGTGGTTCGAGCGGTGGCGAAGACGCGGAGTCCTCGAGCGTGGAAGGCCAGAGCAAGGGCGTGGCCGATGCCTCCGGGACTGCAGCCGGTGATGAGGACGGATTGACGGTGGTCAGTGGGTGCCATGGCTGCGACATGCGCGTGAAGGGAAGCTGGTGGTGCTGGTACAGTATGAGTATGGTAGATATCAATCACATAGTGTCGAGTTGTTGAGGAAATGGGATCGAGTTTCATTGGTGCAGTTGGTTCGTCCCGTCACTGCCGGGCGCGAGACACGGTTAGTGCCCACTGTCCCAGGGGCTCTCGGCCTTTGTGCTGCAGCCGAGTGAGCCTACCTAGGAGTGGTCTAGTGGCTAGTGGGCTAATGAGGCCTAGTAAGTGGCCTATTAGTGAGTGCCTCGGTGCCTAGCAGTGGCCCGCTAAGCGTCACCAGCCTAGTGAGCCTAGAGCATCTGCTTCCCCTCCCGTCTTTGCCCCGCATTTGGGGGCTGCTAGGCTAGTGACTGCGGTGCCACCAATGCCGTCAGTGCTGTGCGTGAGATGCGATGCTTAACCTTTCCAGCTCCTCTCACTCGCCGATGACAGCTTGGTGGGAAGAGGGAAGTAAGTACTGTAAGTAAGGTATTCTAGTAGCGGACGGAGTGACGGCCATCAGGCCCAAAGATAGAGATATACAGGGACAAGCACCCCAAAAATGAAAGCTGTGGCCACATCAGCCCGGAGCTTGTTGCTGTCCGCAGCTCAACTCACTGCGGCCCATAAGCACTGACTGGCCACTGGCACGGCCACCTTGTCTTCCTCTCTTCCTATTCTGTCTTTCAGCTCTTCCATCTACTATCATCCTGGCGTCAATGACCCCTCGAGGACACCGAGGCAACCCTTCGCTCGTTCGACCGACTGATCGACTGACTGACCGACTGACTGACTGCTTCACTGTGTTCTAGACCCTCCGCTTTGCCTAGAGCTGAACCTCATCCTTCCCTCAAAACTACAAAGTGTTTAACCACTCGTTGATCTGCCCTCCACCTGGGTAACTGCCTTGCACCCATCGAAAGAGTCAGTCCAGTCCACACCAAATCCTCCCGCCGCCATGTCGACCGACGTCAAGACCACGTCCTCGCCTGACCAGCAATGGCTGGACAAGTTCATCTCATTGCTCTCCCGTTCCTACCTGACCACGCCGCTCACCACGGCCTTCATCACCGAGATCGACAACACCGACCCCACGGCCGACGTGTCGCAGGTGATGACACCCGCCCGGCTCACCAAGCACTTCACGCTGGGCATCACGGCGGCGGCCAAGTCCAACGTGGTGCTGGCCGAGGCGGGCTCCTTTGCGGCCGCCGCGCTCTTCGAACCCCCCGACTTCTGCGGGATTCCGCCCTCTCAGGCCCGTCGCGACCCGGGCCCCATCCTGCAAGAGTGGCGCCGCGCGGCGCGCCAGCTCAAGGCCAAATACCTCTCGATCCCGGACCAGGGCGCGCACAGCTACGACCAGCCCGCGGCGCCGTCGCAGTCGTCGGGCGCACCCTCCGAGGACCCCTACCCGGCCGACTTCAACAAGGACACCGACTTCGAGACCCGGCCCTTCTACCACCTGGCCATGATCGCGCGGGATCCGGACGTCCCCGCCGACAAGAGCGACAAGGCCTTCACCGCCTGCATGGACTACTTTCTGAAAAAGGCCCGTGCCGAGGGCGTGCCCGTGTGGTTGGAAACGGCCAGCGAGAGCGCCATGAGGGAGTACGAACGTCTCGGGTTCCGCGTGTGCGAGGAGGTGGTCATCGGCAAGGGCAGGGTCAACGAGAAGGGCTGGCCCACCCCCAACGGCGGGAAGGGAGTCATGACCTGGGCGATGATCTGGGATGAACACTTGAATTGAAATGGAAAAGATAATCGGGTATAAAAAATGGTGTCGTCGTCATAGACGCTTCACTCACCCACTCAGCGTGCTGTGTAGATAATCTGATATATATATGATCGAAGCTAAGAATGGAACCATCCATGATCCTGTCACATCTTGCCTTTTCCCCTATATGTGGCTCATATTGGTGTGTACAACACTTTCATGATGAGGCCCGTCAGCGGCATCGACAGGTCTTTCCAACTGAATACCCAGACCAAGGCATCTCGCCGACGGTCTGTGCAGGTTAGAGCTGTCCACGGAGCATGACGGTCGCGGTCTGCCCTCCACTTCCCTCCCCTCCAGACACTCTGCAAGGCCGGTGGAGGCCGTAGCCAGACTATACTGAGACGCGAGGCTTGAATAATGTTCGAACCGACGTCAAAAGAGACCTGTCTGCGTGGTCTTTTGCCCAAATCCAAAGAGAGACCAACGTTCGAACTTGCCGACAACGGCGTTCCGATAGTCAAGCGCCGGCAGGCTTAATAGATATATTCACATAGCCACGATTTCTGCCGCCCCGGGACTGAGGAGGAGGGGCTTCGCTTTGGTCTTCTGGCCCCCTTTCCGACTTTTATATAACCTTTGGAGACACTGGATCTCACGCCTTGCAATGAATCTTCCAGTTCTCCGCCACCCACTTGGCGATCAAGGTCGTCAGGTTGTCGCCGGGCATGTACTGGTCCACGTCCTCGTCAGAGTACTCCAGCCCCAAGAACCGGAAGGCCAAGATGATCCACGGCTCAATGAATTCGTTGAAGACGACGTCCACGACTATCCCTTCGTCTGTCTCGAGGTCGATGGTGTCCGGGTGCGGGTTGATGGTCGATTGGACACAGTTGGGCACCTCGTAGAAGGATATCGGGGAGTGGACGGTATCGTCGCCGTCGTCGCCCAGGTCGTCGTGCGTGGTGTACCCCGGCGTCAGATTTTCGCGGTCATGGTCCGAGAGAGAAATTTGCAGTGAATGTCCGCGCACGTGGTGGTCGGACAAGACGACAACGTTGTCTTCCTTGACACCGATTTGTTCGGGCGGGACTAACTTCCACATGGCATACGATGGGTCGACGTTCTCAAAGATTGGACCTGCGCGGTTCAGCATGGTGATGAGGTGTTTGGCTTTGCTGTACGGCACGTCTTTGATGTAGTGGAATCCGCTGGTGAACGGACAGATGATGTAGGTCGAATCCTTGGTAAATGCGCCCTTAAAGATGTCAAACCGAATTGCTCCAGTGTTGGTTATGACGAGATGCGGCCTGTCGCCTCGTCTGACGTCGCTGACAATGCCAGGGAAGACTTCCTCCTCCAGCCACGAGAAGATGCTGTCATTGCTGGGATACGGCGCACGGCTCATCCACAGATCCTTGGGAGCACACCCAAATGTTTGATCCAGATCCAACGCCTCACGAGCTTCTCCGATTGCCGCGCTGATGTTTCGGCCCCGTTCAGAATGGAAGGTCGATGCATTGTGGCCTGAATGGTGGTACAACGAATACAAGTTGTTGTCGATGTATCTCCTGAAGAACGTGGGATTACCAGCGGCGGCACGGCTGGTGTTCGTGGAGAGGCCGTCGATGGACTGGAAACCAATGGTCTCCATGAACCGGCCGCTCGCGAGGCCGTATGACTTGCTGTCGAACCGGCGATAGTCCCGGATGTGGTAATGGCCGCCAAAGAATTGGATGGGGGCGTCCCATTGGACTGAACGGATCGCCTTGTAGATGATCTCGAATTCCTCGGAACGTATGGCCGCGTGGCCAATGACTACGAACAAGTCGACTTCCCGGTCGCGAATGGCCTCTTGAAACCAGGGTTCTTGAACAGTCTGCTCAACTCGCTGGACGACGGTATTGTTGGAGTTTCGGTCAAAATTGTAGAGAAACCCAAAGCTCGCAATGCGAATGCCTTGATTCTTGGTGATGAACTTTTTGTACCTTTGTGCCAGGGGGACGAGTTGTCCCGTGTTCGGGTCATAAATGTCGAGGTTGGAACTAAGATAGCTGCCGGCATACGCCGGGGCGGTGATCAGGTACTCATTTTCGGACGAGTTCTTCAGGTAAAGCTCGTGGTTCCCGGAGCAGATCATATCCATGTGCTGCTCGCGGAAGATGTCGAAGGTGAAGAGTCCTTTGGGCTCCGATGCATCGTAGAGGCCATTGCCTTCGATCCGATCTCCCGTATCGACAATCAACAAGTCGAGACCTTCCGCATCCAATTTCTCCTTGAGTCGTGCCGCGAAGTCGACATAGTCGCCCCAATCCGCACTGAAAGATGGCTCAAGTAAGTGGCCGGCATGCCTAAGGAGTCGAATTTAGCTTGCGCCATCAAGTCTGATCATGTAGGAAACAATAGCCTACCAGCCGTGAGTATCCGTGGTGTGTAAGAAGTTTAGCTGCCCGAAATGCAGATCTCGGAGTGGAGATGCAAACGCCTCCGGAGCTGATGGTTGCTTTGAGAAAGAGGATCCCACCAAGAGGGCCACAGTCACCGTTGCGTAGACAAACATCTCGGAGACATTGACCACAAGGACGGATCCTTTCAAAAATGGACACTTCCAATGAAAGGGGACTCTCGCAACCTCGTTTTTGGCCCAGACGAGCTCGGTTCTCTCCTTACAGCGTATGGATATGTATATGATCGTGCAACAGGATACGGGTGCGTCGAAATCAGCCCCAGAAACTACCGGTCGTCACTCAGGAGCTGTGGCTGAATGCTTGCTGTCATGGATGAGGACGGTGTGTCAACATTGGTAACTAAGACGACGACAACTCGGTCACAATCATACCAAACATGCCAAGAAGAGCGGGATCGAGCTAAGCCCTACTGGGCTCCAAGCAAAGCTGGCACTGGCCTGCTGGCAAGTGCCCCCTACCCTTTCCTTCGGTGATCGCAGCTTCCGTGTTGGGAACCCCAATCAATCCCGAGCTCCGTGTTGCAATCCACCTCAACTTCCAACAACTTTTTCTTTCGTCCGTGGTCAATTCAAGCCCTTCTTTTCTGAAACGGACACAAGCACCGTCGTTTTAGCTGACATCGCCTCTCCCCCCCCGGCTCACTATGCCAGCGACCAGACTCTTCACGAGCGCCTCGCGGCTGCTTTCACAGCGATCTGCCCTCTCCTCCTCGATACGACCTTCCTTCCGCAGAGTCGCACCTATATCTCTCCCTACGATCCGAGGATATGCCTCTGGCTCACAGCAGACATTCACGGTCCGTGACGCGCTCAATGAGGCACTGGCAGAGGAGCTTGAACAAGATGAAAAGGTGTTCATATTAGGAGAAGAGGTGGCTCAATACAATGGTGAGCTCCATGTTACTCAGAAATGAATACCCAATGCTGACTAGCTGTTTGTCAGGTGCATACAAAGTAAGATTCTCCAGAGGCCCTGCAACAGAGATGCAGGGATTGGAAGACCGCTGTTCCGCGGCATCTCTTCGATGCTAACTGTGTGCCAGGTCACCAAAGGCCTCCTCGATCGCTTCGGCCCCAAACGAGTCATCGACACGCCAATCACAGAATCTGGTTTCTGCGGGCTGGCTGTGGGTGCTGCTTTGGCCGGTCTTCACCCTGTGTGCGAGTTCATGACGTTCAATTTCGCTATGCAGGCGATTGACCAGATCATCAATTCCGCAGCAAAAACCCACTACATGTCTGGTGGCATCCAGCCCTGTCCAATTGTTTTCCGAGGCCCCAACGGTTTTGCCGCCGGAGTGGCAGCTCAACATTCACAAGACTACTCCGCGTGGTACGGAAGCATTCCTGGGTTGAAAGTGGTCGCCCCGTGGAGTGCGGAGGACGCAAAGGGACTGTTGAAGGCCGCCATCCGAGACCCCAATCCGGTGGTTGTTTTGGAGAACGAGTGAGTTGGGTTCTATCAACACCAGAAGAGCATGCTGACATTCGCAGACTGCTGTACGGCCAGGCTTTCCCGATGAGCGCAGAGGCTCAAAAGAGCGACTTCGTCCTCCCCTTCGGCAAGGCAAAGATTGAACGACCAGGCAAGGACCTGACCATCGTGACTCTCTCCCGCTGTGTAGGCTTGTCACTGGACGCGGCAGAACAGCTGAAAAAGAACTATGGTGTCGAAGCGGAGGTCATCAATCTCCGTTCAATCAAGCCCATGGATGTGGAGGCCATCATTAAGTCGGTCAAGAAGACCGGTGTCCTCATGGCAGTCGAATCCGGCTTCCCTGCCTTTGGAGTCGGTGCCGAGATCCTTGCCCTTGCAGTCGAATATGGGTTCGACTACCTTCAGGCGCCGCCGGTTCGTGTGACCGGGGCGGAGGTACCCACACCCTACGCGCAGAAGTTGGAAGAGATGAGCTTCCCTCAGGTTGATACCATCACAAACTATGCAGCGAAGCTACTCAAGGTGTGATCTGGACTGGAGTAGAGGGGACGACTTTCAAGCCCAAAAAGCATTTCTGAATATATGTATTAGCGCCAGCGTCTTGTTCGTGTCAGATGGAAATGGGGGGCTGCATCCAATGGAATCCGGGTCCCATGGTGTATTGGGTGGCTGCGACCTGGCCACGAGGGATTGTAAAGGTTCGGCTTCACATAGTTTATGAGTCGGCGAAAATAATGGCCATTATTTGACACGGCATGTCCGAGTGTTTGTCGGCGTGATGGTGGTCCATAGACACCATCCCATCTACCTCGCGTCCTGAAAAGTGGATGGACTGCATGTACCTCGTGGTCACCGAGCGCATTGTTAGCCTCCTTTGGATCAGCTGTATCGCACACGATCCAGGTTCATCTGCCTGTCTCCCAGCGAACACCTGCACTATGACCCCAAGGCTGTCTTACTGCTGCACGTTTTGGTCCAAATCTGCCACCGGTTGAGGCCCGTTTGGGGCGGACCGAGTGAGAAAAGTCCAGTCCAGTCCACTCCATGGTCGAACCACATGTGCCCATGGTGGATATATGACGTGAGTTTCAGCAGCGATGGTGATGGCCTTGGTGGGACATCGTCGTCCAGGCTCCCCAAAATGGCAGAGCAAATCCAACTCTTTGGGTCCGCAGGGTGTCTGTACCAGGTCGCTAAAGAGATGTGGCGGCCACATGGCAAGTTGAGCTGTCGATGCGGCCTGGATGCAAAGTGACATCCCTAGAAGAACCATGGAGAGGTGGTCTGATATGTCTGTGGAATTTTGACGAGGCTGTTTCTGTGCCCGAACTGGTGCATGGGTTGTGGTCAATGTTAGAGTCTGGACCGCAGGCGATTCACCTCCTCACCTTCTCTCCTCAGGTTCGTGTTTCTCACTGGTACTCCACCACGCCACCACCCTGGACACACGTCCCCAATATCTTGATTCCTAACAACGACCTAGCGAGCCTCTGCCTTCGTTTCCATGCATCGACCACGCTCAGAATTACCCCATCCGATCGAGCAAGGGGTCGGAGGCATCTCCTTTGCCCGCTTGTCAAGCTGAATCACTCAGTGATCCGTCTCAGCCCTCGAGCCCCCGCCCCTTTGGGCTTGCTGCATATTGCACTTTCGCAGTGGGTTCCTCATGCCAGGATTGCCATTGGAGACAGAGAGGGAGCAGAAGGAAAAACAAAAGTAGTAGAAGTCTTGTCTGGTCCTCGCCTGCCCGCTCCGATCACACTTCAAGACCCCAGCACCAGAAGCCCCTCGGTCATTTTTGAGTCAATCACACCATCTCAAAGACTGATTGGCCTCTGCTCCTCTCATGCTCCATTCTCTTGACCATTCTCGAGATTGCCGATCTCGTGGCGATCCCCCGTCGAATACGATCAAGCGCCCTGCATCCACCCGCCATCCACTCCCAGATGCAGGCCCATCTGCCAGGACCACCGCGTGGTTGGGAATGACAAAAAATCGATTCCTACTAACGCCAGTGCACCGGCTCTGTCATGCTGTACCAGTACCAAAACACTTCTGCGGGCACGGCTGACATGGACAAGCTACTCTGACATCCTGGTTTACTGGTCCGACATTCGTTCCCACTGATAGATAGACCGAATCACAAACCAGAAAGCTACGAAGAACCTCGTTGCGAACTCCCTCCGTCAACTCGAATACGACGTTGAGAAGTCATGAGCAAACCTCGAACTGGCACACTTCGCCGAGTCTGTGGCCGAATCTATGGTCCACGTGAATCACCCTTCTGCCAGCCACACTCTTCCAGACAATCTATTCATTGACTCCAGACACTACTGGAAGCGAGAATGGGGTCATGGATCTGTCAAGAGGGCTGCATGGAGCTGGGAACTGCATACCTAGCTGATCTCGGAGAAATGCGGACCTAAAATCTTTGTTAGATGTTGACATTGCTTCTATCAAAAGTACAGAGTACTTGCGGCAAGGCGCTCCGTGTCCATGCTCCTCATTCTCGACTAAAGGAGTCGGTAAGTAGAAACTCTTCCAGCTTTTTTTCTTCTGCCGCTACGCTGTTCAGGCCCGCTTGGTTCAGTTCCCACCCGCGTCCTGCTCTATGTGGCGTCTGGTGCGGTACCGTGTCTTCTCTCAGGTCGGCACCCTGTTGTCATTTCGTATAACATACTAGACCACCATGTGGCAGCCACCGTCTTCAGATACTTCCCCGTCCCTACCAGCTGAAGGCAGGCTGAAACGTACCTGATTTTCGTGTCTATCCACATCATCGTTGATAATTTGACCCTCTCTGCCGCGACATATTATATGTGCCTAAGATTTCTGAACCTATTCAAGTCACACTATTACACCACTTCTTGTCGAACTACCTACAGCTCAACAACGGTCTTGGGCCATTTCAGAGATACCTTATGACTTGTTGTTGTTACCTTGTGGGCTAAAACTCGGAAAACTTTAGCAGGATGTTGCTGAACATTGAAGCCTCCACCTCTCTCAAGTCTTCATGTCGCCAACATCATACTGTGGTAGTTCGAAGATGCCCGAACCCCGTGGCTTAGCGAGTGGAAGTCGTCTTCTGTTTCTCACCAAGGACAACATAGCACACCAGCCGGACGTGTATTCACCTTACGTCTCCCGCACAAATTGAGACCGATGCCACACGCTACCTCTATCAGCAGTCCTACAAAAAGCTAACAGCAGAGCTCCGGGCAGCCGGTAGCAACCCGCAAAACTATAGCGAACATCCCGTTTTCCACAGAAAATGCAGCAAGCTGATCTGTTGGCGAAGGGAAAGGCAGTAAGCAAGGTGCATCAGTCTTCGAGAATGGGGCTCACATTCGATAGGTGGCAATCAAACCATCAGCGTCAAGCGCAGCCACTACGAGTCGTCTCTTGCACGTCCCCCTTGAAGTCCGCCAACACATCTACGACCTGATGCTTGCCTTCAAGTATCAAGACCACTTAAACCTGCTCTGTGTGAACAAGCAGGTCTACGGTGAAGCTAGGGGCTCTTTCTTTCGCAGGCCGCTCGATTGCAGGTGTCAAAATGATCTTGTCGACTTTACGAACAACTGGCCGAAGAGTGTGCAGCAAAGCATCACCAGTCTGAAGCTGCGACTAGAAGAGGTCGAACCCCAGGCCGTGGCACCTTGGATGACCGGTCAAGCTAGCCAGCACCCATACCTGCAGGAGATTCAACGCATAACATCTGCGTTGGGGAAATTGCCTGGCGTGACGCATATGTCCCTTCTCCGGCCCTTGGAGTCTGGCAAGAATACACCCTCGAGCATTGTCATGACCCAGGTCCTCAACTGGATAGTAGAGCACTATGCTAAGCTGCATGTGTTGAAGCTCGATATTGAGCAATGCCATATTAGCTGTCTCGGGTCCATCCAAGAGCTACAATCGCTCCAGTTCAGCGGGTTCTCAGAAACAAGCGCCACGAGAACGGCGGAAATGCTCAGCAAGCTAACAAGTCTTGAGAGTCTTTCGGTCACCGGCCCGCCTCACGGCCTTCTCATGCGACAGAGACATGGATATCAGACCAGGATTGCCCAGTCCGTCACCCATCAACTGTTCGAGCGGATAAGGCCATTAAGGAGTCTAACCTTGACTCAAATCACCGATTCAAGGACAGATGAGGGCATATTCCTGGACCTGAAGACGATAGAAGCGCTGTATAAGTTCCACCGAGAAAGCCTTAGAGTACTCAAGATCTCCTCCAGCACCACTCCTGCTCCGGCTTTCGTCGAATTTCTCTCAGCTTTCTTACTGGACACGCCGAAAATGCAGGTGCTCAGCATGACGTGGCCCAATATGGAAATCACACTGGTCGACTCCATCTCAAGCTCGATACAGAGGCTGGAGTTTGCAGTAGAGTCAGCGGAGCAAGCCAATGCCATTGTTGACCGACTTGTGCTCATGCAATACCGCCTGCGGTATTTGCGACGGATCAAATTCAACGTCATAAACGAAGTAATCGCGACGTCGATCGAAGAAGAAAGCAATTCGAGCCACTTCGGTTTCTCCATGCCAATTCAGAATCTAGCAGCGTAAGCGTTCGTTGTTGCCAGACCGGCTACGCAAAGACTGACCGGTATGATCCAGGGATATTCGAAGCCCTTTCAAGATCTCTTGGGCTATCTGGCAGCCTCTGCCGTCCAGATAATCTGCCTTTGACCAGCCATATCATTTCCTTTTCAGACGCAGCGACCCCTTGACATGCAGAGGCTAGAGGCTGTCGTCTTCTCTACAGAATGCTTCCTAACAGACCAGTGTTTCGCTGGAACGGCCGCCAATTCTTCGTTTTCGCTTTTCCATTCTGTTGTTATCTCGACTATGATCGAGTGTACCAACATATTGAGGATGCGAGGCTTATGTGAGTGTCAATTATTGAAAGGGCACTTGTTACGGGTGTCTGGAGGAGCAGGTCATATTACATTTGTTCGGTTCCACATCTGCACTTGTCAACCTTGTAAAGATACACATCGTTTTCCCACCCTCAATTGCGCCGCCTTCACAAGGTGACGCCGGCGACATGAGCAAGAGACTTTCGCTGAATGTAGGTGCGGCATTTGATCACAAGACAGGAAGACTTCATTACCACCGGCGAGGGGATTTCCTTCCTATTCTTACAGAATCCGCTTATATGGACGTATCCGCGTTTACTTCCCTTCCCAGACTCACAACGCCCAGTCTCCTTAAACTCGTCCACAGGCCCTTTGTGCCGATCTAGAATAATCTACCGATAAGCGGCATTGCCCTATATATCTTATCCCAGTGGCTTGCTTCCCAACCAGTGGCTCGTCCTGATGTTCCTACAACACCCAAACCACCAGCAATCCACGCACTTGCCACGGCCACGGCAGCCCCGTTGACAATCCTACCTCTCCATTGTCTCCGCCTTTGACCCTCGTCCCCGCCCCCAACGACATACTCTGCACTCAGTCTCAGGAATTTGGCCGTTCCGCTCACCACGTGATAGCTTGCAACACATACGAACAACGCGTAGCCTGCCATTCCAATATAAGGGTCTTGAGCGATGCCATGGGCAAAGTAGCGCAGTCCCACGGACGCGGAGCTCCCGTCGATCTTCTTCGGGATTATACGCATGGACAACACATGGGCCACGAACATCGGATACAGGGCGTACCCAGCCCCACTGGTCAACGAGAACTTTGGCCACGGAATCTTGCTCTTCATCTTCCTGCGCTGCGAGAGTGTCTCCGCCCCATGCCTTCTTGCTGTGATACGGCGACGGTAAAGTCGTAAGGCAATTCCGGAGACGACGTGGGTGATAACGGGGACGAAGACCAGGAGGGGTTCGAGTGGGAAGGATTGATAATAGGGACGGGTCAGGAGGAGGTATTTGTCTGCCTCCCGTGCCGAACGGGTGAAGAGGGGGATGAGGGCGGTGTTCGTGTAGTGCATCGTCAGATAGGCCGAGAAGGGCACGACCGAGTACTTTTGCACCACTGACAAGATGTGCAGTGTTCGAGCAGGGGTCAGGCCTAACCAGTTGGTTGTGTTGTGAGATGAAGGGGGCAGCTTTGAGGCGTCGATGTCAGAAGGGTTGGTAGGGTAGTCATCGTCAACGGGCGAGGGGTCGACTTCGTGCATTGGGACGGAGGAAATGGAACCACGCGTGTCCTGCGTGGATAGAGGCGGGAGGTCGGCCATGGAGGAGATCGGAGATCGTGTATCTTTTAGGCGTGGGCGCTAATCGAGACAAGGAACGAAAGCTACTGCAACGACATCAAATCTGGGAGATCGATAATAGACTGTTCGCCATGGGTGGTGACCTGTTGTTGCTGCGTACAATAGAATGGCGAACCGATCGATGGCGCCAGCTGCGATGGATCGCAACCCAACTGAGCCAATGGGAAGTGGGATATTACGGCGGCACTGGCAGTCAGTGATTATGTAAAATTAGCGTCTTTCCCAAGCGCCTCTAGTGGCGCGGCAGTTGCTGCTACTGGCGCGAGGCGCGGCCTGGGGCGCGTCTTGAGACGCGTCCTGATGGGGCCACGACCACTAATTGACAGAGACCCCGCGCCCTACCTAGAGTCACACGGCCTCCTTAAGTTGCCTCCTTCCCCGCCCAAAACACCTGGCCAAGCACGCCCCCAAGATCGGAAGTCAAAACCCGACTTTTCTCTTCCTTCACATCGTATTTCTGCTTCACTGCATCAGTCCATCCTCACCACTATAATCCCTCCTGATCATCCTGATCCTTCTCTGACCGAGGATCTGATCTTCATTTCTCCCCTGGTGGTCATTCGTGCCCCTTCTGCTTCAAGCATGCTGTTTCCCACGCGATGACTCCTCGAGATACGGTCACCTGACCGCCGAAAGCCGAGTTTAGTCGTGCCTTCCGTCAACGCGTCGGGCACCACTTGAAACAGCACGTCTCCGCTGTCCTTGCATTCTGGATCCGTAGCAGCCTCGCCGTCGCCATGGAGGGCGAGACCGGTCGACCCAGCTCCGAAGAGGCTGAAGCCGCCAGCGAGGATCGCCAGTCTCGTGGCAGAGACGCCAAGCCTTCTTCTGCCAAGCACGAGTGGAAAGTATACCTATCTGACGCCATTGCCTCTCATCACAGAGCCGTCGTTGCTTTGCAAGAGGAGCCTTACTGCTGGGAAAGTATCCTCACACACCTGACTCACGGGACTCACTGCTTGGAAAGTCTCGAGAAGGGCTATAATAAATGTCACAATGAGCTTCGGCAAGAAGAGGCAACCTTGCGCTCTGGCCGAAAAGACATGAAGGACCGGTGGGAATCCTTCGTTGGACTCATGCGCGAAATTAAAGAAGGTCTGCGGTGGCTGGAAGATCCGGAAGATCCTTCCACAAGGGTGGAGAACTTGGAGGACACGCAACAATTTGGTTCCCTTTTGCAGCAGCGAATTCTTGGGTTGATGGCGCAGCGCGACGAATTCTCACAGAGCAATGCCAACCATCTCAGGAAGATCTCGGAACTCGAAGATACAATAACTCGGTTGAAGAATGAGAGAGACAACGCCTTGCGGACTATCGGTGACCTCGAAGTCCAAGTCGAAACTCTACACAAAGAAAATATCGAGAAAGGCCAAACTATAACTTCGGTAGAAAGAATGCGAGATGAGCGTTTAAAGCTCAACGACGACTATTTCCCTGATATCATGCAACCCAAGACAAGCGTCGACTCTCTAGTACAGGAAATTCGTGCCGAAAAGGAGCGTTATGCACGGGTGAAGCGGGAGAAAGACAAAGTCACAAAAGGGAAACAAGACGTCCAGGGACCTCTTGTCAGCCTTTCAAAAGAGAAACAAGAAGTCTCTAGAGGTCAAGATCTCCCCTCCAAAGACAACGACGAGCTTGGGAAGGCTCTTTTAAAGCCGACAGACCTTGGGCTGCTTGTAGAGTGGGTTTTGAAAGGGCACTGTGGCCTTGATGAGACAAGTGAGTGTATTTCGAAAGAGAGAGCCGACTTCATGGAAGGGAGGGATAAATTTGCAGAAGGAATTGATAAGCTCTCACAAGAGACGGGTCATTTTGGAAAAGCCTATAACAAAGCCGTCGACACGAATGCGCTGAGAGAGGAGGCTTCACAAAGAGATTTAGAGGACGCATGGCAGGAGAAAGACGCCAAGTCAAGGCATTGTCTTGAGATTGAGGAAAGATTAGAGGGCTTATCAGAAGACTGTTCTCGTGGCAAAGAAAGTTTGGTCACGCTGGAGGAGACCTGTCGGGCGACGACGAACCACCTGCAAGGTAAGATCACTGAGCTGAACGACCAGTTCGGGAGGAGAACTGGTGAATATAAGGAGGAGCGAAAACTGAATGTGCAACTGCGCGACGATTGTTCGCGGTTGGCCAAATTGGCAGCCCGTTACCACACTCTTTTGAACCAGCGTTCAATTCTGATACACCAGGAACGGACTCGCGCGGACAACGCTGAGCTCGAGGCTCAGCAAGCCACCAACGCCCTACAGGAGCTGAAGGACGAGATGGAGGACATGCGGAAACAAGCTGACCAGGCTAGAGCCGATATGGCAGCGGATTTCGCGGAGCGTCAAAAAGATTGCGAGGATTTCCAGCAATCCAAGATCGATCACATTCGCTATCTGGAGGGGCAATTGAATGCCTGCAAGTCGTTCGCCGCCCAATCCAGTATGCCCGAGGTTCGGCTCAGTACGGGTGGCATGTCCCCATCTCTGGCAACCAGTCCTGTGGGAGGAACCCATGTCCAGAGAAGTTACAGCCCTCTACCATCCGGAGTGGGTTTGTATTACTCTCAAGACCGTCAGGACCAGTGGCAGCCCCAGAGCAAGCAAACTCCAACAGAGCCGGAGTATCAAGAACCTTTCCAGATTCCGGACCTACAAATCAGCCTACAGCCGGTGGACCAAGCCCATAAACCGCTTGCTCCTATACAACTCCAACCGCAGCCACCCGGCATTTCTTCGACAAGATTGATGACTCCTAATAATGCCACAAACCTGTGCCCTGCCACGCAAACTCTACAATCAGCCAGACCAGTCATGGCAGGACTTATTGCGGCAGACGACCCGGCTTCTCCAACCGTTGCGGCACAGACTCATCCGCTGGGCAGGCCGCCCAAGAGGAGAGCCGACCCTGCTGAGTACAGTGGCAATCCGTTGCCTGCTCTAAAAAGGCACAAAGGATGTTCACAATAGTCCTGGAAAGCCAACTCTCAAGCACCAGGCCGACTCTGCCTCGACCAGCTCCTTCCCAAGCCAACTATCATTTGGCTGAGGCTCGCCAGTATGAGCCCCGTGTGCGATGTTCAAGCCTGGATTTGGCATGTTACGCCGCAAACCAGAGCCTCGAGTCTCGCTTCCTACGCTTTAGGAGACTGACCCGGCCCGGCGTGCGGCTGAGAGATCTTCCGAATATAATATCAACACAACATCCAAAGTCATGTGCGCCTTAGCCTCTCAGTCTGATTTCAAAGCCCCCTGCAATACGTGGGTTTGAGTCGAATTCAGCAAGATCGCGTTACAAATGGATCCTGTATACGCGGATCTATGCACAGCGTATACGGGCGCTTCTGGTCCGTGTTGGGTTGCCAGGACTGCTTCAGGGCGGGTTTGATGGGTTCTTGATGTTGAGGGGGACGTCCAAGGCATTCATCGATTTTCGGCGGCACCAAGTTTTCGGGGGATTGTCGTCGTTTTCTTTCCCTGGTTATTTCCATTTCCTTTTTCCTTTTTTTTCCTTCCGCCCCCGCTACTTGGTCTATGTTTAGCTATATTCAACACGACGGTTAACGGTTTAATGATAAACGGCACGGGAGGCACCAGGGTGGCAATGAAACGGACGAACAAACAAACAACAAACGGAGGGCGAAAATGGGGATTTGCGAACACGGCATATCATTATTTATACCCAGGCCTGGAAAGTGAGTCGCCTTTCTGAGGAGGGCCACATTTAGGCCGGTGCTCTCGGTTTGGGCTGCAACGGCGGGCATCACGCGGGTATCGGCGCCGGAATCATGAAGACTTTATTTTGCTATCTAGAGAAAACATCCATATCGGTAGAAGGGAGACGAGGTTTTCGAAAGCGGTTGGCGAATGACGGTGAATCCATGCAATGGGCACAACAAACCCCGAAAAGCAGCGTTTGGATTCCATATCGCGCGATCATATTTGTGATCATCATTTCGTCATTATTGTCTGGTCGAGATTCGATTCCAACAAATGGTCACAATCATTGAATCAGATCAAGATTCTTCTCATTGCCTTGACCTGAATGCTCTCGTCCGTGTCGTCGTTAAAGGTCTTTCCGACAATTCGTGATTCTCATTGACTTTTGTTTGAGGGCATCGACCCCAGTTCATGCATTGACCTTGACAGGATCAATTACTGCATCATTCGGGTTCGTGAGGATGCCTATGACATGTCTGTAGGAGCAAATTAAAGACGCAGATGTGGGTTGAAAAGTGATACTCGAGCTTCTCGGGTGATGCGTGGTTGTTCTTTGTGCGGCCGAAAGATACATATGTTCGCTAGTGATTCGAGACTTGAGGTTTTGTCCGAGCGGCGGCCGATGATGATGCGAGGACAATCCACTATGACGCTTTTCTTCCTCTTCCATTCCTCCTGCAGGTTTTCGCAACACTCCATTAACTTGTCACTGCATACGAGACTCTTCTCCTGCGTCTGACCGTTCATCCTCACCATTATGCCTCCGGTAAGTTTCGCTCGCTATGCCTGCGATGTGTCGCCGAATAGGCTTCGTTATCCCTTTGGCATTATTGACTAGTCGCTCCTCGTCCAGAGAGGGTTCACCCTCCCTCCCGCCAGCACACAATCCGCGAAACAAGCGCGCAGTGCGTTCTTCTGCTCGCTATGTCAAAAAGGTTACAGTCGCATGAACGAGTTCGAGGCCCATGAATCCTCCTATGATCACCAACACAAGAAGAGGCTGAAGGAGCTGAAGGAAATGCAACGACAGGTGCAACCCAAGAAAGAAGAGAAAGGACCGCTGATGCAAATAAAACTCGGAGGCGGTTCTAAGAGCACGGCAGCCGGCGGTGGAGGTTTCAAAAAAGGAGGATTCAAGAATGCGTTTGCGCCCGCGGACGGGGAGCCGAAAGCCGAGCTGGAGAAGCGAGAGGACGCGGACACTATCGTGGTCGAGAAGCAGGATGCCGATATGGACGACAGTGATCTGACAGAGGATGAGGACTACTACGATCCACGCAGGCCGACAGGATGCATGCCTGGTTGCAAAGGCCACGTCTCTGGCGGCTCTTGAGGCAACGAACTCAAACGATCACGGTTGTTTACAGTTCACAAACTGTGCATCACTTCGATCCCACATGGGCGCACCTGTGGAGCAAGGCTCGCAATATCCGTCGACTTTGCACTGCTCTATACGCACATAGCACATTCACGACGATGGACACAACTCTGAACCGATCGATAAAACAACTGCAGAGTTTGCATGGGACGTCTGACCATACCAGGTCTGTGGATCAGGCAAAAGAGTGTACGTTTTCAGAAGGCGGAAGTTTACGCCCGACACAGTTTTGAACTGCGCCTTGAGAGCACGTTGGGCGTTTAAAACTTTCGAGTTCTGGGCTGGCACGCAGAAGGGCATCAGACACAAGGGCCAATCTCTCCGATTGTCCTCATATGCCAAGTTCATGTCTCAGTCTATGCCGGGGGCATCCTGCATCGCCGTCGACTCTCCAGAAAACAGCGTCAAAGAACACGCGAATTCGTGTCCTGACTGTAATGATCGTGATGACCATGTTCTCATTTCTGTCTCTAGCTTCGAACATCGAACAGCCAACCAGACAAACTTGGTGCAATATTGTATACTGACGACCAGCTGACCCGGCAGCTTCGCCAGTACCCGGCGCGTCCTTGCTCTCAACCCGTTTCTACCCCATACGCGACAAAATGCTGTGCTCCACACCCAAGCAAGGTCTCACATCCACAGCTGAGGCGACAACTGAGCCTATGGATGGAAGTTTTCTGCCAAAGCGGGTGGTTGATGTCCTCAGTCTCGAAGATTCTCCTTGGAAGAGCACTTCTGGGGTACATCTACTGAGAATCGACGAAGCAGGATGGCAAGGGTCGTCACGCTCAGTAACATAGTTATCGAAGATGCTTCGATTCGTATACATTGTTCCCGAAACTCCTCATATCATTGAACGTCAAATCATTGAACGTCAAATCATTGAACGTCAAATCCTGAAAGCTCTGGGGAGTTATAATACAGGAGAAATAGTGCATCACGTTCTCCCCACTATAATATGTCGACGACCGTTGCCACGATTATAGCCATGATCACCGCCATACCCAAGGAACCTGCCCTTATCTGCACGGCAGAGTTGATGTTGAATTGCAGTACCTGGCCCTGCGTGAAGTTTGTCGCGGCGCCCTTGATTGCTACCTCGGTCAAATTGCCACACTCGGCATTGATACTGGCATTGAATTGGAAACTGGGCAGCTTGGGAAGTGCGGAGTCGAGGGGCGCACTGGCTGGGTCGTAGCCTTGAGGCGAAGCTTGAAGGTATGCTGCTCGGTATGTAGCATTGGAAGCAACAATGGACAGATTTGCGATGGTGGAGTATTCGCTGCAAATAGGCTGACTACTGTTTTGTTGTCGGGGGCTGAGCAGGCTGAGTGGTGACGGTACAGCGCTTGCGATTGTGACGAGGACGAAAAGGAGGCAGGTGATTGTAGAGAAATGTGTTCTTGACATTGTGATGGTGTTGGTGTATACACAGGATATATTGTATTTGGTTGTGGAGGTTAGCGATGCAGCAAAAAAAGCAGACCCGTCAATGAAGCTCAGGGAAACGGCGGGTAGAAGGAAATCGCACAAAGGAGCTCGGGAGTTTTGTACTTGAGCCATGTATTCCATGCTCAGCAGCACCTAGCTTCGAAACAGGGTGGTCTGTCGTCTCCTGAAGGTTGAACCATGTGTGACCGCGCCACTAGGGCCCGTGAAACTGTGCACATCGTCACGATTGAGATAGTAATCTCTCATATCTGATAGTTTTGGAACCGTGGTGGCCATCTTGACGGGTGATCCGGTTTGAGATGGGAGGAGAGGTGTTTGACGAAAAGGATCTGAGACTAAAGCCGTTTCAAAACTCTCAAACACAGTCCAGGTTGGGGGGAAGAAGGGCGCTTTCCCTCCTTGGCGTTCGATGTGTCTGCCTTTTGGTTAGCTTTCGGAGGGGTTGTTAGAACATGAGTCCATCACCCTAGCTCTAGATGGGAGGCTATGATACTTGTCTGTGTGAAGGAGGGGATGCCATGTGTAGAGGGAGGTGATCTGATATTAGTCCACGAGGCTGAGACGATCCGTAAATGTACTAGCTCGCTACTCGGGCAAGGCTACGGCTAGCCGCTCGTAGCCTCCCGTCTTGGCAGATCCTTGGAGAAAAAAGTATTCGATGCTGGCTACTTCATACCATATGCCTTTCTTCCAGATACTACCACTATAACGTGCCCCTCGACTTGGGCTTGGAGTCTCTACAACATACGTGTTGAGCGGTGGGCAGGGGCTGGGTGATGAGGATTGGACGCTGTCTCTCCTTCATCCGGATCGATCTCATCCGCGACGTCGTGCCAAAACTCGCGAGCCACGGCCAAGGACACTTCTCAAACTCGCAAAGGAGGATCTTCGCGACCTCATCACGCCCTGAAATGGCATCTCCAACCGCACCTGAAACCATCATGATCGATGGCAAGAAGTACAGGCACGTCCGTGAAGGTCTAGCGTCAGTACTTGCTCCGTATGCTGGGGAATCTTCAACATCAGCCAAACACTCCAAAAACAACGACGAGGGCAGCCAGGCCGTCTTCTACAACCCCATTCAGCAATTCAATCGGGACCTGAGTGTCCTGGCGATTAGTGTCTATGGCGAAGGTGCTCTGTGTGAAAAGCAGGCGAAAGTGACACAGAAAAATCAGCATGCAAGAAGGAAGAAAGCTGCAAAACGGACGAACGCCGATACTGACGCCAACAACGAACCAGAGCAACCTAACGCTCGGAAGCGCAAAGCTGACCACTTGGAAGATACAGTGGACGATAATCATGCAGAAGAATCTGCAAAGAAATTCAAGGCCAATGGACACGACGAAGACGATGAAGAGCCACCGATTGCTCAGCTAACTGCCGACCCTGCGAATCATGGAATTGGCGAGGAGGGGCAGCAGCCAAAGAGTCAGGAGCAGTCAGGAGCTCCCGAACTCGCGGGCAGTCCAGCTACAGTTCCAAAGAAACAACCTCGTTTCTCTATCCTGGATGCTTTGTCTGCCACCGGCCTCCGAGCGCTCCGATACGCCAAAGAGATACCATTCGCCACAAACATCGTCGCAAACGATCTCTCCCCGACATCAGTCGAGAACATCGAGCTCAACATCAAACACAACGAAGTCCAAGACAAAGTTCGGTCCAATCTTGGTGATGCCCGATCGTTCATGTATAGCAAAGTTGGAAACGAGCAGACAAGGCCTGCGGACGGATATGTACATCGATATGATGTGATCGACATTGACCCTTATGGAACAGCGGCCCCCTTCTTTGACTGTAGTCTTCAGGCAGTCCAGGACGGCGGCTTGCTGTGTATCACCTGCACAGATGCCGGTGTCTTTGCTTCGACAGGATATCCCGAAAAGACATTTGCACTTTATGGAGGCATTCCTGTCAAAGGACCACATTCTCACGAAGCCGGATTGAGGCTGATCCTTAATGGGGTTGCGATGTCTGCTGCAAAGTATGGTCTTGCAGTCGAGCCTCTTCTGTCGCTCTACATCGACTATTATGCCCGGCTCTTCATTCGCGTCCATCGAAAGCAGCAAGAAGTCAAACTATTAGCTGGTACGTCCATGACGGTCTATAATTGCGGACATGGCTGCGGAGCCTGGGTCACACAACCTCTGCTGCGGAATCAACCACAAACGTCTAAATCTGGCGACTCGTTCTACAAATTCTCGTTTGCCCAAGCACCGTCTACAAATCGGAATTGTGAGCATTGTGGTTCACCGATGCATCTGTGCGGTCCGATGTGGTCCGGTCCTCTACATAATCCGTACTTTATTGAGAAGATGCTCGAAAAGGCTCGCACCCTTGACAAGGACACATATGTGACGGTCGACAGGATCGAAGGAATGCTTACTTTGGCCCTAGAGGAGGACCTCATGTCCAGTAACTCAGAATCAAAAGACGCAACTCTGCCTGACTCGAGGTTGATACCGCGACTCGCGACCAATAAGCCAGACATTGCTCCATTTTTCGTCATGCCTACTTATCTGGCAAAGATAATCCACTGCGCAACGCCTTCGGAAGATGCAATGAAAGGTGCCCTGCTTGGCCTGGGGTATAAAGTCTCCAGGTCTCATTGCAAGCCTGGCAGTATCAAAACGAACGCCCCATGGCCTGTTCTGTGGGAAGTGATACGAGAATTCATGCGGACAAAGGCACCTATCAAGGATGGAGCCGTGCGGAAGGGGACAGCTGGGTACCAGATCCTAGCGAGGGCCAGAGGGTCTGAGCGGGCTCTTGTGTCGGAATTGAAGGACGCCACGAGGGAACAGCTTCGGAGGTGCGAGTCCAAGGACGACCTGAAGACGGTGCTGCAGGGGATGTTGTATCGACTGGAGAACGAACAGCCGATGCTCGAATCAACGAGCGGCAAATCATCAGAGTCAAAAGATGTTGGCGAAGACGCACGAGCTCAAACCGAGGGATCCATCAACGGCCGTCGGTCACGGTCCAGAAGTCCTGCACTTGCACCACTGAACCAACTCAAAATCATATTTGACGAGAAGTTGGGAAAGGAGAAGCCTCGCGGCAAACTATTGAGATATCAGATGAATCCGCGGGAGAACTGGGGTCCGATGAGCCGGGCTGGAAGGACTTCGTAAGGCACTGCACTTGGCGCAGGTATGTACTTCTTTCTACCTGATATATTTTCTCCATCATCCGAGATTCTGATCTTTCGGAAACGTCAGGGCTCTGCGCTCATGCCTCGGCGTCTTCTGGGCTCGTCCTGCTCTCACTTCAGCTTGACTAGAGACTGACGTGACCTTTTGTATCGGAAGAGGTTGTGAACTCTTCGTCCTTGGATCTTCCTACTTTACACCTTCCTACTCTGCACCTCCCTACTCTAAATTTTCCTACTTTACAGACCTTCCCCTCTCGCGGTGCGGCGCCTCGTTTGCAAGCCTTCCTGCCGACCAGATTCTGCGATTCGCCCACCATGGCCTCACGCACATCGGCAGCAGAGTTGACCGCGAAATCCAGCACCAGCGATGCCATGAGTTCTACCTCTACCCAGAGTGCTGGGACCGACAGTGTCTTGGAAACTCTTTTTTCCGACATGCCCCAGCTGTTGGAGTTCTGGCGTCAGCCGAATGACCCAGATGTGCTCAAATCTGGTTCCATCGAGGTGTTGGGCACAACAGCGCCCCCACCAGCGAAAAGACTCAAGAAGGACAGTAGTCAAGCGACGGCCAAATCTCAAGCCACCGTAAGTCTCCGTTGTTGGTTTCGGAAGCTCTTTTTGAATGATGGAGGATCGCTGACTGTTTTCATAGTCTTATCCCGATTCATCTGTCGTGATGGACGCGTTTCTCTTCGTATACGACATGATGAAAGTTGAAATTGCAACGTCTCATAGCAACGGCGATGATAACCAATCGCTCAAACTCCCCACGGCCGAAACTATCGATCGACTCAAGTCTCCCTTGTCACTCTTCGGTTTAAAGGACCCGCTGGCCAGCATGATTCTCGATGGCGCTCGCATCCTACTTCAATCCCGGCTTCTCAGAGACGGACGATACGAAACATTGGAGAAGCTCGCGATAGCTTTAAAAAGTCTGGCAACCGTAATTGAGAAGTTCTTGAGATCCTATCATTCACCCGAGATCCGGCAAACGCCTCGCCTCGGTCTGCAAGACTCCAAGGTCGTCATTGTGGAGGATGAGGCAATGGCTCGCAGGTTTGAACAGGCAAACAAGGCCATGGAGGCTCCCAAGAGTGCCGTTGTTGCTCTACTTCAGGAGTGGACGAGGATCGACCAGCTTGAAGAAGTCCATTTACGGGCAAACGACGCGAGTCGACAGGACGACCATGATTCCGTCGAATCGATGTCGGCATCAGAACACAGCACGACATCACCTATGGCTTCTAAGCTTGCTATACTGCCGGATAGAAGTTTCGACTATCCATTTGATGAATATCTTGGCTGAAGGATATGGCGGCTGAGTCTCTCCTGATGGGACCTGTGGTTAGCATTTTGCGGAATGGACTCGGGAGTTCTGGATCCTCAAAATCTTTGAGTCGACCGATATCCTAACGAGCTGGATGAATGGTATCAAGCCGGCCACATGCCAATGAGCTGAGCTGAGCGAGCTTTGGGGAGAATCCAACGGACCAAACAGATAATCAACGAGCTTGAAAGCTGCCAACGCTCTTTCCTGGGCCATTTCACATCATTTCAGGCCTGCCAGACAGCGCCCTTTTTCTGGGGCGGCGAGGATGGCTGGCCGGCCTGCCATGAGAGGAATGAATGTTACTCCATAGACATCAATGCTACGAGCTAAGCCAGACACCATTCCAGACACGATTTTGCTTTTTCTTTCTTGGAACCTTGGTCGATCACTGTTCACTTCTAAACAGTAAATAAACTTATCAACCCTTGTGTCGTCGGACTGTATTATTGGTCACGGGCTGAATCAAGGACGGAAAGAAGTCAGACGCTCCAGCCAGTGTAGAGGAAGCAGAGAGAGACATGTCGTATTTCAGCTTGCAGTAGGAGCAGGCTAGATCATCTGACCCGAGCAACAGCCTTTATCATCAATCGTCTCGGGAGGCAATTACGAACTCATACGTGGCTGGAAATACAGGATGCTTAAACGCTTCATCCGACGTAGATTGCATGCCGGGTGACGGGGGTCCTCTCTCCTCGACAGCCGTCTGGCCTTCTCGTTGCGGGAGGTGTGCATATCCAATGTCTCTGATCAAGTGGCAATCTTGTCCCACTTGACGAGAGACAACAAGAGAGCACAGGACCAACACCGCAAATTTCGCAGGATGCCTGTCCGGTGTGTAAGCCCACGTCTATCCACAGCCTTTCAATCCCACTCTTGTTTCCAGAGTCTTCACAACAGATATCACTCGATATCAAAACTCGTGCCGCATCCACAACTACTCGTGGCCCGCGGATTCCCCACAACCTTGAACTGGCTCCCGATCAATTCCTGGGTGAAGTCGATGGTGCTGCCCTTCAACAACTCCAGGCTCGCGGCGTCCATGACCACCTCGGCCTTTCCCGGCCCTGCCTGCGCCGTGTCGTCACCGTCGTCGTTGGCAAAGATCGTGTCTTCCTCCTTGTCGATCTTGGACGAGTCCTCCAGCGACATCAGGTACTGAAACCCGTGGCAGCCGCCGGAGGTCACGGTGACGCGGAGGTGGGAGTCCCGCGGCGTCGTCGAGGACGCGGAAGAGGAGGCGAGAGTGTTCCGCTGCGCGGGCGCACTGGTGATCTGTTTCAGGCGTCGGGCGGCGCGTTCGGAGATGGTGATGGTCATCTCGTTCCCGTCCTCGTCGACGCGGGGGTTCTGCACCACCACGGTGGCCGGCCGAGCGGGTGTGGAGGAGAAGGAGCGTCGTTGTCGCCGCCGTACTCCCCCTGAGGTCTGCTTTTCGAGAGATGGTATCGAACGAGAAGGAGTGTGTCGGGGGTTTGTCAGCTGCCGCGGCAGCGAAGTGTTGGCGATGCCTCGACATGCTCGGAGGTAGGTCGTCGGGTCTTGAGGCCGCCGGAGAGGACGTGCGGCTCGGAACACGAGCCTCATCGAGTTCTGCGACATGGCTGTCGGCCTGGAGAACCAATCACTTCTGGTACAATAGGTTGCAGAGGGTGCAGTCGTCGAGCAGGTCTGGTATGATCGCAGTCGACAAAAAGAATAAAATGACGACGATGGAGATGCGGCGGCGGCGGAAGAACCTCGGCCAAAGCTGCTGCTGACAATTCCGTTGCGTGTGTCAATTCGGTGACTTCGACTGGTCAAGGCGAACCGACGAAAAGAACCCTTGACACACACAAGACCAACATACTGTCATCATAACAGGTAAATCGACGACAGAGCAATCACTGTCTCTACGGGTATGGGAGTCCTCCTCTGGATGTCCACGCCACCGAACGCCTCTAACAATGAATCGAATAGATATTACCGGTCGGACTGGATTTCCTGAGAGTGGCAGGAGATACAGGATTCTTTTCGAGCAAGCAAACACAATCCTGCACCTAGGGAACCAGTCGTTGGCCATTCCTACAGCTGCTGTACAGGGACTGTAGCATTCTTGGTCACCATGGCCGAAGCATCCAGCACCCTCCATTCTGTCGATGACGCCCTCTCCCTTGATGCCACGGACCCTCTCTCTCGTTTTCGATCAGAGTTTCACATCCCGACTCTCGCAGACCTGCAGAGGCCAACCCTCACAAAGTCTCCTGGAGAGGCGCCTTCTCCGCTTTGTACGTACCTGTGCGGCAACTCTCTGGGTCTTCAGCCTGTCAGAACCGCACACCTAGTCAACTCCTTCCTCACCCAGTGGCGCACCAAGGGTGTCTTGGGACATTTCGTCGAGCAACCAGACTCTCCCCTCCAGCCCTTCTTGCACATCGATGACCACGCTGCGAAACTCATGGCCCCCATCGTGGGTGCCGTCGAGTCGGAAGTGGCCGTCATGGGCTCCTTGACGGCGAACTTGCATCTCCTCATGTCGAGTTTCTACCGTCCCAGCAGAAAAGGTGAAGGGAGGTGGAAGATTCTTCTCGAGGGCAAGGCGTTTCCGAGTGACCATGTGAGTAGGCACCCGCGTCCTGGAAGCCCTATTTGACAACTGTGTTAGTACGCCGTTGAGTCGCAAATTATCCATCACGACCTGGACCCGGCAGAAGCAATGGTCTTGTTGGAACCTGTCGATCCCAAATTTCCTACCTTACCCACGGAGCAAATCCTCCGCACGATCGACGAGCACGCCTCAGAGCTAGCCTTGATCCTCCTCCCAGGCATTCAATTCTATACCGGTCAATACTTCGATATCCCTCGCATCACAGCTCATGCCCACGCGCATGGCATCATAATTGGCTGGGATCTGGCTCATGCCGTTGGTAATGTTGATCTCAAGCTGCATGACTGGAACGTCGACTTTGCCGCTTGGTGCAGCTACAAGTATCTCAACTCCGGGCCAGGGGCGATGGCCGGCATCTTTATCAACGAGAAGTTCGGCACGGTGGACATGGAAAATCCCACGAACAAGTTCTGGCCACGCTTGAGCGGCTGGTGGGGGGACGATAAATCCAGCAGATTTCAAATGACGAACAGTAAGTGTGGGCCGTCGTCGTCCACAGTCTAGGGCTGATCTGATCTATAAAGGATTCGTCCCACGACCCGGTGCCGCAGGTTACCAGCTGTCCAACCCAAGCGCGCTCGACCTTGCAGCCGTGGTGGCGTCGTTACAGATCTTCAACGAAACGTCGATGCAGGAGCTACGGACAAAGTCCCTGCGCATAACGGCGTACCTAGAGCGACTCTTGGACGCCATGGCGTTGAGGAGACCGGGGAAATTCGACATCATCACTTCCAGAAACCCGGACGAACGAGGCGCACAGCTCAGCATCCGACTGGCGCCGGGCTTGCTTGACGGAGTGCTCAATCATCTCGAACGCGAAGGTGTCATTGTGGACGAGAGGAAACCTGATGTCATTCGAGTTGCTCCCGCCCCCTTGTACAACTCCTATTCCGACGTCCTCCACTTCTGTCAGGTCCTGGACGACGCTTTAGGCAAAGACACCTTGTCCACCGAGAGGCCGGTCCCCGCGTCAGAAGGGCTGGCGAGTCTCTGAAATGGAGAGCGCCGTCTTGGCCATCACGATCTAATGGAAGCGCTTCTCTATGTGACCCAGATTTATCATGCCCCTGAGTGAGTGCCAGCTCGGCCACCCAAGTTTTGTAACTAAAGCTGCATGGTGCGGCTCTTCCGCGTGTTGGATGACATTGTCCTATCTGTATCCAACGGGCCATGAGCCAAGCACACAAGTTGCATGCCATTTTTCCAACCAAAACGTGGATCGTCGTGCTTCTGGAGGCAGTGCGGTGGTGCGTGAACATCACTGCATGTCTTCCAGACTGCGGCTCTAATCATCAGTCATCCTCGCTGTCGCTGGGATCCGCCTCGCGCCACAGGACAAAATCAAATTTGCCGTCGAGGTTCGCCCGCATGTACTCGCGGATCATCTCCTGATTCTCCTCGGTCAAATCATAGTCGGGATCGACGGCCATGAGCGACAGATTGAAGCCCCTCTGCCGCTCCGGGTCGAGGCTCATCAGGAACTCCATGATAGCACCCAGGGTAAACCGCGTCATGGCATACAAGGTGAGGTTCTTCAAGTATTTGAGGTTTGCGAGGGGTTGGAGGATGTCCGCCGACACTTCGCCACCACTGGTCCAGAAGTCCTCGAGAAGGGGCAGGCTCACGGCGAGCGAAATGATGTGCTCCTCCGAGAACTCGTCCGAGACATCTTTCAAGACGAGTTCTCGCAGGTTGGTCAAGTTACACAATCCCTCCACCATGAATTGTAGGTTGTCAGGCACCGTATCTTCACCAATGCCCTTCAGCCACACCGACTCGAGGGATCTCTGCTCAGACAAAGCCGTGTGGAATAACTGAGAATTGGTGTGGCGGACGGTATAGCCTTCCAGAGATAACCTGGTCAGCCTCACGGTGGGCGAGCACAAGACTCGGGAGAGGAGAGCGGGTCCATCGACGAATCTCTTCAAGCTGAGGTCGCAGAGATTTTTACACGAGGCCAGCCATTGAACGACTTCCAGGAACACGTCGACGTTTCGAAGTTCCAGCTGGACATTTCCGTATCTGTCGTCCAGCTTGAGTGTCTGAATCTCGGTGCAGTCCTTCAGCGCGTTCAGGTTTCGCACCGCCTCTTGATCCAGACTGCCCAGATCCAGTTGCTTCAGTGTCTTGTGCCGGCCGAGTGCCTGAAAGGACTGCTTTCCCAGATTATTGTTGCTGATCATCTCAAAGTAACTCAGCGTGTCGGGCTTGAGCTCGTTCAGGAACGTGGCAAACGCCTCGTCCGCGTCGGGAGACTCCCACTCGTGTAAAGTCAAGCTGTGGAAATTGTCGCAATGCTCGGCTATTGCGGCTCCGGCGCCGTTGACCAGAGCGTCCCCCTTCCACAGCACCATGGTCTCCAGCTTGGGAGAGCGCGATATCCACCTGGTCAGGAAGCCGGGGCTGATCGGGCCGTCAATCTCCTCCAGCAGCGTCGTCTTGGCGGTCACGGCGTCTCCAATGGCGTTCACCGTGGCGGCAATGTCGACCACCTGCCTCTTGTATTCGGTCTTGGAGAAATAGAAGGGCTGGAGTTTGCCGGCGAAGAACTGTTTTCGCACAGGACCGGTGAATTTCAGGTCCTCCAGCATCAGCGACAGGTTCCGGAAATCCAGGGTTTTGATATAGCGACAGTAGGGCTTGTACGTAGCGTGATCGTCGACGCTCGAGAGGGTAATGGAGCGCCATAACACGGTCCATTTGCGGTAGAACTGAGCCTGTTCGGCGGCTTTGGTGGCGAAATCGGTGGGCCGCTGTCGAACGTCGAGATCGTCTCTCTGCTCGAACGCGGGCGAATGCTGGTGTTGTCTGCGCCGCGGCGGCAGCACGTCAGAAAACGGCCAAGGGGGTATCCCCGGGGCGAAACTCACTGATACATGGTCCGAAGGGCCGGGTCGGCGAAAGACTTGGAACTCAGGGCGCAGGTGTAAAGCGAGCCAAATTCTCTCTCGTTTCCCAGCTCCTCACAGATTAAGGACAGAATTTCCTCCGGAAGAGTGGCGCCTTGATAGACGGAGGCCATCATGTCGTTCGTTCCAAGCCCGGACACGGACAAGCGATAACGACATCCAAGAGGAGGGGAAAGCTGTGTGATGAGAGTGAAAGAGGCGTCGACAGAGAGGCAGTTGCTGCCTGGAAATCAGACGCCTTGATAAAGAGCGACGTGATGGCCAAACACACACAGTCGATTATTGATCTGAAAAAGCTACATTGATTGACACACGTTGGAGAGAGAATAGAGGATTGAAATGACAATGACATCACCCACTCATTCGTGTTGCCCTTTACGCGTTGACCCGCGTCTACCTGGTAATAATCACGGTACGGACTGTACGTATTGGCCGTACTGTCCGTACTGTACTCGGTACACATGCACACCAACTTGTCACATACTCTCTGCCACCACACACCCACGCACACACACCCACACACTCACACACTCACACACATACATATGCCGACTCTCTTGTTCACGGTGGCTCCTCCGGGCGCTGTCTACGTCCATGACCTGCTGACCTGCCTGGCAAAGTTCGACGAGGATGTCTCCCTCGAGGCGACACCTCAATTTGTAAGTCAACAAAGTCACAAAGTCACAGCCAGTGCCACTACTAACGCATCATCCCCTCAAGCTTCGACTGTCAAGCCTGAACATCTCAAAGACTGCCCACGCGGCCTTTACCCTCGACTCGTCCTTCTTTAGCAAATACCACTTTTCTCCGGGTCCACGGACGACCTCGGGCCCGACGCCCTCAAAGCAATGGTCTTGCAAGCTTCAAATTCGGGTAAGCCTTTTCCTCTGAAGAACGGATCCTCTAACTAACACCCCAGGCTCTGCTGTCCATCTTCAAGCGCCGTCTGGGCGATCAGCGAGACAAGGACACGGCCCTGGACACGTGCGACTGCGAGTTGCACGACAACCCGGACCAGGCAGAATGTCGACTGGTGTTCCGATTGAACTGTCGACAGGGTGTGGTCAAGACGTATCGCCTGTTCTACGAGTCCGGCGAGATCCTGCATGCCGCGTTTGACAAAATCGGCTCGACCAACTACTGGTCTGTGTCGTCGCGAACGCTGCGGGACATCGTCGAATACTTTGGTCCCAAGACCGATCAGCTGGATTGGTATTTCCAGAACGGCAAAGTGACGTTCACGAGCTACACGGAGAAGATACAAGCGGGAAGAGGTATGTGTCATTTCCAGCGACCGGTGCTTCTCGTTGACATTCGCACAGAGATCCTCAAGCAGCCCATGCACACGTCTGTGGCCCTCGAGCGAAAAGATTTCAGCGACTTCAACGTCCAAGAAGGGCTACATATCGGTATCGTGGTCAAAGACTTCCGGGCCATCGTCGCCCACGCCGAGACCATGCATTCCCAAGTGACGGCGAGATATTCGCGAGGCAATCGACCCCTGCAGATCACTTATGGGGAAAACGGACTCCAGGCAGAATTCACCCTCATGACGAGAGGCTCAGCGAATGTCCCGATAAGCACGTCGAGAACGGCGACCCCAGCTCGGGATCTATCCATGCGCTCTGCGTCGCGCCCTCCTGAGGCGTCAACACAGACCTCCCACACCTCGGTTCAGAATCCTCGACCTCCACAAAGTGCAGATGCCACCATGCCGCCTCCAGCACGCAGTTCCTCGCACAATCAAGGTCAGACTACCCGGCCGATATCTGCTCAAGCAGATCCGGAAGACTCGGGCCCTTCGCTTGCTGCTGCACCACCGACGCCCTCCATCAGCATCGACCCACATAGCCTCTTCATTCCCGCCGATGACGACGACCACCAATGGGACGAACCCAACTTTGAGGAAGAGCCCGACATCGTGACGTGGGATGAATCCGCGGATAATGCGGCGTCGGCATCGAACTCGACGCGTCGCATTCGCGACTCCGATTTCCATTCTTTCGCCTCGATACCGGCGCAGGAGCAGGACAGGGCGACGAGTCTGTCGAGATCACGGTTTCCCGTGGAAATTGCTCCGACCCAGCGACTTTCACAGGTGAAGGGGATATTTGACTGAGAGCCACCAGCATGGCTTGTTCAGACTCAGCCGTCTTCCTTCCCACAAATCATGAAACTCGTGGCGCAACCCGCGGCCACGTCTTTCGGAACAATCTTGTCATCGAGTGCTGACAAAGGAATCAGATTGTATCGGCCTGCCACATTTCCTCTTTCATCCAGCGTCTCACCACAGTTGCCATGTTCGCCCCAGCCCCAGGCGATGACTTGGTTGTCCCGGCCGAGGGCGACACAGTGCTCACTTCCGGCCGCGACAGTTCGAAGAGGCGGGAGGCTAGCAGGAGGAAGTTGGCCGTGGTCATTTCTGCCCGCACTCTGCAGGGACTGGTCGGACCGTCGTGGCGAAAGGACGTGTATCGAACTCCAGCCGGACGTGACCACGTCGTCTTCTCCCACGATCACTTGAAGGTCTTCCTCATCAAAAAACCTGGTGTCTCCCCAGACCACCGGCGGCCGCCCTGCCTTGACGAAAATGGTATACTCCCTCCCCGCAACCACTTTCTCCGGCACCCAAGGCAGGAGAGCTAGACACTCGTCGTCGCCCCCTCCGACACCAATGTTTCTCGGCGACCACAGGATCTTTTCCGTCTTCAGCTGTTCTCCAAGCTGGCCTTTGCGACAACTTCCCCACCCGTAGACCCGCCCGTCGGAGAGGACGACGACGACGTGTGCCATAGAACCCACGATGCCGATGATCTCGACAGCCTCGCCGTCACCGGGAGCTGCCGACTCAACTTCGAATATCTTCTCAACCTGCCCGTCCGTAGAAATGACACGAGGACCGAGGCCGAGCTCGCCTTTCGTCCCGAGTCCCCACCCAACGATAACCTTAGCGTCTACCACCGCGAAGGATGCCTCCCACGTCGCAGCCACGTCAGTGACGATGACGGCGGCTCTGTCCGCCGCCACTCCGCCGTCCGTCTCTGAGACGGTGCCTAACGCGGACGACGACAGCACGTGATGGGTAACCTCCTCGAACACCACACTAGATGATGTCGTCGAGTCCGTAGTCTGGCCGGGGACGAGGTCGTAAGAAGAAGCCATGCGCATGCGCGTCTTTCCCGCGGTGAACAGGCGTCCCTCCGTTGTGAGGAGGAGCGTGTGGTTCCCGCCGGCGACAATCTTCTTGACCTCCGGTATTCGTACCGTGGGGGACGGGGATCTCCCGTGCAGCCGCGAATGTCTCCCGTCACGATTCGTCGTGTGGCCTCGTCTCTCGCCGGTGCCTGTCGAGAAGAGGCATCGCTCGGGCCGCGACACGTCGTGTGTGTGGCCGATGCCCAGCTGGCCAGAGCCGTTGGAGCCGAAAGCGTACACGAGCGGCATCGGCATCGGCGTCGTCGCCAGGGCGTGCGGGTCCGCCATTCCAAAAGAGAAGCGCCCAGTCCAGATGGATAGATGCGTTCGTGAGTGTCGGAGTCTATGAAATGGCGACGACCACGACGATGATGATGATGATGAGTAGGAGCAGGCGTGGTGTCACGGTCCTTGGCATGTTCGAAAAGGCAGGTGCAGTATGTTGTTATTATTATTTTGTTCCCAGTCAATCAGTCACTCACCCACTCACTCAGGACGGAATTCAGCACCACCTCGTCGGAAATATGTGTGTCTTTATAGATGGAGACCATTTCCCCGTGTCGTAGTCTTCTACTTACTACACACGTGTGTGCTCATTGCTCATGAGTCATGAAAAGTTATTATGTACAACATACAGAAAGCGGAGGCAGCAGTTCCGCCACCACCCAAGTGCCACCCACATGTCCGAAAAGGGATCAATCGACAACATCCAACAACACCTTCCTTCCCCTTCCCCTTTCCCTCGAGATCTCTCTGTCTCTCTCTACAGGCCCCGCCACCAGGCCGTCTGGTTGACGCGAATCTGCGCCTTGAGCGGCGTGTGGGCACTGGAGTCGCCGACCAGGACGTCAAAGGTGTCTTTCTCCATGACCCACGCGTCCCGCGCTTCGTCCCAGAAACTCGTGGCGTACTTCTTGGAGACGACGATCTCGACCTTCTCGCTGTCCCCGGCCTTCACAAAGACTTTGCTGAAGCCCTTCAGTTCCTTCGGAGGTCGGTTGACGCTCGGGTGGTGTTGCGAGACGTAGACTTGGACGACCTGTGCGCCGTCCCGCGTGCCGGTGTTGGCGACCGTGGCTGAGACCGCGATCTCGACGTCGTCGTCGCGGACGGACACGTCCGTGATCTCAAAGGTCGTGTAGCTGAGGCCGTGGCCGAATGGGAAGGCGACTTCTTTCTTGGTCTTTTCGTAGAACCGGTATCCGATGTAGACGTCTTCGCCGTAGATGGCTCGGTTGCGTTCGGACTTGTAGTTCAGGAACGCCGGGTTGTCTTCGTTCCTGACGGGGAAGCTCAGGGGCAGTTTGCCGCTGGGGTTGGTGTTGGCGAAGATCACGTCCGCAATGGCGTTGCCGGTCTCGTTGCCGCCGTACCAAGCTTGAAGCACCGCGGGTGCATTTTTCAGCCAAGGCATGGTGACGGGGGTTCCAGATTGGATCACGATGGCCGTGTTGGGGTTGACGGCGAGGACGGCCTTGATGAGACTGTCACTGCCGGGTGGCAGGTCCATATGTTCCCGGTCGTAGCCTTCTGATTCCCACTCACTGTTCAGACCGGCGCACAGAATAACTTGGTCGACTTCTTTCGCCAGCTGCACAGCTTTTTCAATTTCTGTCTTGATTTCGGCTTTGCGCTCGAGTCCCACCCGCAGTCCTCCCGCACCAAAACCGGTCGTACCGGGACTGCTGAACGTCATGGTGGGGAGCGTGCCGAAGGTGACCTTGATGTCGTATGTCTCTCCCTTTTCTAATCTCTTCCTTCCGATCTCCTCTGCGGTGCCGGCGCCAAAGAAAGAGTTACCCGGGCGTTGGTGGGTCTCATTGTCAACAACACATTCTCCATTCACAAAGACTTTGCCCGTGCCCGCGCAGCACAGACTGAAGTCATAGTCGGTGGTCTCCTCGGGCGTGAACGTGCCATCCAGTTCGAGCCAATAGAGCGATGACTTGATCAGGGGGTGTTTGTAATCGACCAAGAGAATATCCGACTTGTTGACAAAGACCTCATCAATCGCCCGGCGATTGGGCACAGTGGCGGGCTCCAAAAAGACTCTCATTGTCAACCCATCCTCATTCTGCTTGGTCTTGGTCAACCGCGTCATGAGGGGAAGCGCTTTCCAGCCCGGTGCACCCAGAGCATATTTCGCGTCAGGCACCTGTTTCCGGATTCCATCAAGGGGGCTGACAGCGTAGTATGGCAACAGTGACGCTGATCCGCCACCACAGTAGGCTGCATAAGCGGCGTTGGGACCAATGATGGCTGTAGTTTTCTGTTTCTCGAACGGCAAAATGTTGTTGTCGTTTTTCATCAGGACGATTCCGTTGGATGCGAGCGAACGAAGAAGAGCAGATGTCTCGGGAGAGTCCACCGTGGTCTCGGGTGCGTTCTCTGGGATACCAAGAGGTTCGACCTTCTTAACTAGCTTAAGTATTTCACGTACTCTTTGATCAACGTCATGCAACGTAAGCTTGCCACAACCGAGGGCTTGATTGATCAATTGTCCACGGATATAGGTAGGGCCCGGCATCTCCAGGTCGAGACCTGCTTTGATGGCCTCGGTGGTTGAGTAAGTCCCAAACCTACTCCCAATCAGAACACTTGCAGCTCAACTCTCACGGGTCTGAAGCTTACCAGTCACTCATGGTCAGCCCGTCAAAGCCCCATTCACCACGTAGAACATCCTTGATCAGCCGTGGGTTCTCACTCGCATGTGTACCATTGACCTTGTTGTAAGCAGTCATGTAGCAGTCTGGCTTCGAGTCTCTCTGTGCAATCATGAAGGGCATTAGATAGATCTCTCGTAGTGCTCGTTCCGTCAAAATGCTGTCGACGGCTTGTCTTTGGTCCTCTTGGTCGTTGCAGACGTAGTGCTTGATTGTGGCAGCAACGCCAGTCGACTGGATGCCGTTGATGGTTGCTGCACTCATGGTACCAGCAAGATATGGGTCTTCGCTAAAGCTCTCAAACCCACGACCGCCCAGCGGTGATCTTTGCATGTTTGTGGTTGGACCTAGAATAACGGAGGCTCCTTTGGCGATGGCCTCAGCACCCTGTAATGCTCCGCCTTTCCCGACAAGCTTGGTGTCCCATGTTGCTGCAAGTCCCGTTCCTGTACCACGTCAGGGACGTCTGAATCGCTTCCTCCCCAAGAGCAGCTTACCACAAGGAAGACAGGCAGCTGGAACGCCGTTGAAAAAGCGAGTTCCACGAACACCATTAGGGCCGTCGGATACCCGAATGGATGGCACGCCCAGTCGATGTACAGGAGCAGTGTGCCAAAAGTCAATTCCGGACAACAGGGCAACTTTCTCTGCCGTGTTCAGCTTCGAGAGAACGTCTTCCACATCGAAGCTCGTCCGGACCGGTAAGGACCCCATTTTTATGTGTCCTAAGCTCTGATAGAGGAGGGAAAAGACTGAAAGAAGATAATTAAAGGGGCAGATGATGTTCAAGGCCCGTATTGACGCGGCAGCACCAGATATTTAAAGCAATCGGGAGATTCAGACAGTGACAAAGACCACCTATGAGTCGATGAAATAGGGAATGGAGAACCAATGGCAGAACTTCGGATAGTCAGGGAAGGAAACATGTGAGATCCACGACGTGAGCAGACGGAAGAGGCCATGTGAAGCCAAAAAGGCCCAGCAGCCACACTTCCTACCGTACCTGGCTGGGGCGTCGGTAGATACATCGGTGAAAAGCCGAGCATTGATCGGGAGCACATTGACCCAGGGCGGCAGTGTCCCACATCCTCCGTACAGGGTACAGAGATATGGTCTCCATCAGCCTTGGGGCAGCTGAGTTCAGCCGTGATGGGGCATGGATACAACCGCACCGTCTCATGGGGAAGGTAGGGAGGCACGAGGGCATCATGCATTCAGCACCATGTGTCCCGGTACCTCGGAGCATCGTGCAGGCAGGTATCCCAGATTGCCGGAGAGCGTCGCGGAGTATCGGTTCAGCAGAGGCATAAAGTCAATTAATTACGCACAAAGACAAGGAAGAAGCGTGAAGAGCGAAAGAGCAAAGAGATATGAGAGCGAAGAGATCCATTTAGGCAGAATCCTCCCCTTGGCTATGATTGGCGCTACGGCTCATCTTCGGCACGCTAAACACCGTCGGCTCCAGGCTTGGCATACTGCTCGTCCGGAACGCAAACCTTCCACCTATCAGGTTGCGAGGATCTTTGGTATTGGCGACTCTACCTTGATACAAGTCTCCATGATGATGATGACGATGGGGAATTCCCGGGAATGAAAGAGGACATGTTGCCGCGTTCACGTGTGCAGTATCACCAAGTTCCACGCACCTGCAAACGCTAGAGTGTATGCAGCCACAATAGCAGCAAGCAATCTAGAAGGTGTGAGATTTGCAGCGTCACGTGAGCGGGCTCATGATGGAGGCTGCCTGAACCGAGAATAGCCGAGAATATCCCGTGTTTACTTCGCATAGGCCCGAAAAGAAGTGTCAACAATCCTCTCCAGCAGAGTGCCACAGTCTGTGGCCACAAGCCATTCGTGATGAGTGGTCGAATATGCGACACCAAGGAACCCTCCTCTCCTCGTCCGACAGGCGAAAAGGTGGCGCGAGATAAGCCCTCTATCTGGCAGGCGATCGCAAATCACAGATCTGGCAGCGCGACCCAGACAATACACCAAGTCAACAGGAAAGAGTGGAATGCAGTGCAAGATCTGCTGCAACGAGACGACAAGATACAGTATATCGGAGGTCCTCTAGCTTGCGTGAAATAATAATAACCTCGATCCGCAGTCTCGATTATTTTCCTTTGAACGAGCACCTTATTCTGCGTATGCCCACAAATGTCCATAGGGTGTTCTCGCGTAGCCTCAGCGGACGCATCAGTGGATAGCTGCGTCTCCTCTCCAACGAGACTGGCCCAGCTGCAGATTTTGCGAAAGATGTCCGAGACCTGGGGTCTGCCACAATAAAGGCTCGAGATGAGGACTACGGGACTCACAATCCAGATGGTTCTTTCCAGCATTTCAGATCGCCGTTACCCACCGTGATCATCGAGATAGCGCATGCACAGGATGGGAGGGTCTTGAGGCATCTTGCGGAGGAATACATTCTAGGAAACGACCTTGTGGTTCGGGTCATGGTAGGAGTGGACATTGAGTACAGCAAGAGCAAAAGGGCTGTCTTTTCCGTCTGGCGGGCGAAGGGGCAGACCTCGGGAGCTGATCGATTCTGGGTCGTTGAACCCACGGTCACAAACCAAGTAAGTCTGGCTGAATCTACTGTCTGGCAAACAACTGACGTATAGCAGGTGTTCCGCAATGATGACGGCAACCCCAATACGGACAAAACCCTCGGCCTACGACTGCACCTGGGGGATTTTGCAGATGAAGAGACGTGCCGACATTTCAAGGACTTGGATCGAGACATTTTTGTGTCGTGCGACGAGATGTATCGATATCTGGTAGAGGCGGAAGCTTTTGTGAAAATTGCCGAATCCACAGAGCAGGAACCAAGCACGCCCTTGAAAAAGCGCCGGCGAACGCAGACCCCCGAAGAGCAGCTTGACGACAGAGACGAAGACGCCTACGCTAAGGCTGAAGAACGTGTTTCCAAGCGACGAGACATGGAGGATGAATCCTTCAAGGGGAGCTCTTCCGAATAGGTATCATTACGGTCACATTGTATCAGAGATTGATAGCTGAACAACGTTATCATCCACATACGAAAGCCTCATGCAAATGAAGACCCCCAACAGTGTTTGTCGGCGTTAGATCTCTACGCGCCAGAGCCCCAGGCGTCATCCGTCGTCGTCGTCGTCGCAGCAGAAACAGGAGACTGAAGGCTACTGGTCAGGATATTCGGCAGCCAACTCATCATGATCCATGTGCTGACACCTTTTTGTTCTCCACAACTGCCTGCCACATGCAGTGGATCAAATGCGACTGACTGTACTGACTGTACTGACTGTTGCGGATGGTAATCAGGTGTCCCCTCAAGTATCTGCTGTACACGTTGCAACAGTCGAGATACATACCTGCCTGGCGCCAAGTAAGTGTCCCTACAAGTCCGCTTTTGTACCCCATGCCGTGGTCGCCGTGGCTCTCTCCGGTCTGTGTCCAGAGGTCAGACCTCCTCGTTGGCGGCTGTCGCGTGCACCAACTCCACGATCTTCCAGGTGATACCCTGGACGACGATTTCGTCTCCGAGCTTCCTCGCCCCGTCACAAGTCCACATACATGGCATGAACACTCCGTTGTCACAAGGCGTGTTGCTGCGCCAGTCCTGAATCCAGCCTGCTGCGTCGCTCGGCTCGACGAGACTTCTCGTCCATCTCTCCACCAGGACGGAATGTCCTCCTGCTTCAGTCCGACCTTGTTCTCCGGTGCGCTGGTGCATGATGGCTTGACAGTAGTTGCCTATCCTGATGACGACTCCCGTCTCGGTGGAAGCTTGCGTCTTTGCAACGACACAAGGCGTAGAGATGTTTAGTGCAGCACCTGACGAAGCCACATCGGTGGGCGGCCCTGTCCAGTATTCCTTGTACATCTCAACCTTGCCAGTGTTGGGGTTCTGCATCATCCCCACCTCGATGCAGTCGGCGTTGGGGAGCAAGAACAGATCTCCTTCGTCCGTGATGCCATGGCCCTTTGAGTCAATGTCGTGCTTCCATACGCAGTGTGCCGAGTACGGCATTGTAATCGTATCACCCGTGGAGGAGGCAAAGGTGATGTCGGACGTTCCAGCAAACGCCCAGAACGACGGATCTGACGTTATTGGCCTGGACAGCTGTCGCTTGATGGGGAACCTGATGTCAATGAACGACGATTGAGGAGAGGTCAGGACAAGCGTATCGGTGTCCTCGTAGGGAGGAGTATAGCTCTGTCCCAATCGTCTCAAGGTTAGAAACAAGACCGGGTCCCCGTAAACCAAGGTGCTGAGTTGGAGGGATGCCACAGACCCATCAGATAGAACGAGAGCTCCCTCCAAACCAAAGACTCGTGTCCTCTCCTCGCCAGGTCAATGGAGACTTACCCATGCAATGCCTTTCCGTACCGAGATGGAGGGTTTCTGCAAGAACTGCTTCTTCCAATGGGGAAGTTCTGCTCCCTCAGCCTTGTCCTTCGCCTTGTCGGCTGTGCCAATTATCCCCAGTCTCTCCCCCAGCATGCCAAAGATCTCCATGGCTATCAAATGATACAAACGTCCACCTGGACTGAAAGCAGCAAGTATGTCGGGGTTTGTCGGTCTCGCGCTTCAACCACAGAAAGGAAACAAACCATCAACAGTGAGTGAGTTTTGGAAAGAAAATATCAGAATATTTATGCCCGCGGTGATGTCCGTCATTCGTGCCTCTTTCCACAAAGAGTACTATATATTTGACCTTCTGCAAAAACCAATAGCACGAAAACCTATACACCTTGTTCATGCGAGAGCCCGAATGCCTACACGTTCGGTTTATGAGCAGTCTGTTCGCTCACGCGAACCGCTCATAGTGCCAGACGACGGAACGCCTCGCATATGGTTCGCTGGCTGGCAGGGTGCCGAAAGGTTGGGTTTCTCCAGCGGTCGTCATGCCAATCTGAAGCCCAGCCAGTTATCGAGGGAGACGAATACTGTACTGCAGCGTCCAGGATGGGTCGCCTCATAGTTCCAACCCAGATTCGTGAGAATTCGAGGGTTTGACGAGGACGTTAGTTGACGAAGGCCCGGACAACATGTAGGCAAATCCAGCTCTTTAGATTCAGACATCATTTCATTTTTTCAAAAGCCCCATCCCATCCCGTCAAAGCACTTTCCCTTCCAACATGCCACTGCCCCGGCTCGAAAAGATACCCATAATCCCAAACCCGGAGTAGAAGAGTGCTAAGGGGTATGCCACCAGTCCTCTCATTCCCTTCATCCTCCCTACACTGACAAACATGCCAGAACTGCTAAATGTGCACCACCCCACCGCCATCGCCGTCATAACGTATCCCGTGGCCGTGTCCATGGGCAGGAGCACCCCGAACAGGGAGGTGAAGACGAGTGGCAGGAAACAATACCCTAAAACACTGGCACTTCGCGAGTACGTCAGCGTGCTAGAGAAGTGGCCTCCATGACCGCGTCCGCCGGGCCCTTGACCGTGGTCTTGTTGGGCCTGCGACATTTGATCCGAATCGTTGGGGTCGATAGGCGGCGTCATGAGCGCAAATATCCAGTGCAGAGCTATAGACCCAAAGAGCGCAATGCCATAGATGTAGCCGTAGAAGAATTTCCCGGAGAGGGCGAGGAATGTTCCGTAGAGAATCAAGAAGAGCAAACCCCCGTAGAGATCACTGTCGTCCATGATGTGGGGTGAAGGGCGCGTCCATGGGTTCAGCACTGTGAGTGTCTGCGTGTGCCAGCGTCAGCTCATGATTTGCCCTGGCGCCAGATTATGCGACGTCCTCTTACCTTCGTCTTGATATGTCCAAAGTTGACTCCCAGCTCCTCCATCAAACCCGGCTCGCCTTCGTACCCTTCGGTCCCAAACGCCGCGAGCCAGCCTGTCCTCAGCCCGCCAGAATCTCCCATGCGGCCACTAACACCATGCATCCCAGGCCCGCCCCCAAAGCCTCCAGCAGAGCCTGCACCATATCCTGGATATGCACTTGCGGTGTTACTGGTGCCACCATACCCACCATAGGAAGCCTGTGAGGGCGTCGTGTGGCCGGAGACGTTTGAGTAGGAGGAAGGATAGAACTGGAGGTTTGAGGCAGCGCCGTCTCCACCTGCACCAGGGCCGTAGGGTTGATTGTAGTAGGACATGTTCAACTTGGGCCGCTGAGGCCGTCGAGTAGGTTGTGGTGCAGGTCCTTGCGGATTTTCAGGGGGCCTTGCTCTCGGAGCGGGATCAGGAACGGGTTGGAGAGAGAGTTGAACCTGGCAGGCACTTCGCCAACGTCTTACGAAGCGAGGTGTATAGACTGTAGACGGCCTGAGGGGACGAGATTAATCTAGACGCCTGCGTGGAGGTGCAGTTTGCGAATGTGTTCGGAGGTGCCTCTCGACAACGAAACTCCGCTGCGGAGGCATTCTGACTGGCTGGTGCCCACACCGAGCCTCTTTTGCCAGTTGGCCTTTCGTCAGACTTGGGTTGTTTCCACGAGTCATTACTGGCCATGCTGTCACTATGTACAATGTTTGTCTAATGCTGTTACATACTACAGGAAATTGATGCCGATGCCAAAAGACACACCCTTTCTGGCCTCTTCCTGCCTCCGGACGACCAAAGGCAATGAAAAGTTGAGCTCAAAGCGCGCCACAGGATGGGCATAGACCAGCCCTATCCCAGCGGACATCGTCGGCAGCCCATTGCCCAGCTCTGAAAAAGCATCTGAAACACTTTGCTTAACTTCCTGGCTTGTCATTGCACCCTCCTTTTCTGCATTCCTTATGGCCAACAACCTCCCACCGTTGACGAAAGCGTGAAATCGTAGAGGCTTGTCCTTTCCAACTTTCGGCAGGGGGAGAAGGAGGTTTGCACTTCCAGCTGCGTATATGTCACCACCCACCGCATCTGGGCCGTCGTGAGGCCCCAATCCCGATAGTCTGAAGCCGCGAACATCCGTAGGACCGCCCAGCTGAAATCGGTCACTTATCCGTGACATTTCGGGATTTTGTTTCGATCCTAGAGTTAAAGGGTAGAGCAGGCCGGCACGAAATCCGGTAGTGAAGCTCACGCCACTGTCTCCTTCTATCCCCGGAATCGGTATCGACAGTGCTGACTGAGTCTCAACTTCGGTTTTCAGGAACGCCGCATCACCTTGCAGGGGGCCCCATCCTGCCAATTCTGCCGACGTTTTGGCATAATAACCTCTAGTTGGCAGCATAGAGTTGTCTCTTCGATCGGCCATCCACATGTGGGAGATGCTGCTCTTGAAAGAGTCCCCTGCCTCGTTCCTGACTGTTTGTGAAGCATTCGGGGCGAGTCCAGTAACTTGTCGCCAGAAACCATTGTACCCTATTTCGTGGAAGGAGCCCGCAGAACTCTGCCACCTCAACTTAGTCCAGCCTCCCTTCAGCACTTCTTCATGGCTAGCGAAGATTTTCTGCGTCGCACTCTGTAGCCCACCGACCTGAAACCGTAGGTCGGGGTTGCTCAGGACGGGGGTATCGAAGGTAGCTTGGTACGATGACCGCGTGCGCGTGCCGAGGGACGCATTTACGTCCAGAGTTTCTGCACCACCCAAAAGATTCCTCCATTGCACATTGGCGTAAGCTGACCCCTCTGCATTACCAAGATCTGTTCCAGTCTTTGCAAATATCCGGCTTTTCTCCTTCACAGAGTAGTATACGGCAAGATCAGTGGGAGTTGTTGTTGGATCGGTCTTTGAGGGTTTGTCGAGGTAGACGGAAACCGGGTCGTGAAAGATGCCTACATCACAATGAGTCAATGCATTTCCGGAACTTGTGGTCTCGCGGTACCGAATTTTCTGAGCTTCTCAGCGGTTCTGGCGACTTCGTGTATGAGCTCAGATTGGGTATATGGTCGGTCGCGGTTGGCGCTCAACAGAGGATTCACGACGGCTCCCAGGAAGCCATGTCTGGTATTTTGGGTCCCAAGGACTGTCACCGACGACACAGTCGTGGGCAGAGTTGAATTCTGGTCAATGAGCTCTGCCAGTCGTTGTTGCCCTAGCTGGAATGTGCGATGCAACCGCTCATTGATGGCCTTTTCCCGAGATTCCAACTCTTTAGTGTCGGCCTTTTTCAGCAGCTGGAAGATGCTTTCCTCCGACTCGTTCGAAGCCGGGGTTGCCATTGAGGCCAGTCAGCTGGCAGACTTCAGTTGCGACTGATGATGAAGGTGCTCCGTCAACGCGGGAGCTGTGCTTGCGAAAATGCACAAGGTACAGTACCTTAGCCGACCCACATGGTGCAGATGGGTGGTCGATGATCGGTAGACTTGCCCTGTTCGGCCACGATGAGGTAGCCGGGCCGATCAAACCGCCTTCTGACTGCGCATGCTCGCGTGTCATTGTCCTTCTTTCACTCCCTCGATCTCGCGGTTCTATCCACACAAGGCGTTCAATTCTCCTTTCGTCATGTGTATGTGTTGTGGCACAGTGCCAGATTGATCCTAGACCTTTCATTTGTTCCTTTCCCTCCAGACCCACCGGCTCATCAACTGCTCCCCGCCAACATGGCAACCAAAGCCGCCTATAAACGACTTGTCCGAGAGTACGAAGCAATTCAGCGTTCCCCACCTCCATTCATACAAGCACATCCAAGCGAAAGCAACATATTAGAATGGCATTATATTCTGACGGGGGCTCCAAACACACCATATGGTAGGTTCCCAAGTTCTCAAGACGGGACGGAATGGAATTGCTCACACTCTTTGCCAACCAACAGAAGGAGGACAATACCATGTGAGTTACTTTGCCTCTACGGGCCTGCCTGATGAAGGGAGTCAGGCAGGGTTCACTCTTGGTGGATATTGACGGGTGGTCAGGGCACTTTAATTTTCCCACCCGACTATCCATTCGCGCCGCCTGCGATGTAAGTGCTCCACGGAACTTTGTGCCATGTGCCCTGATATTCATCACGGCGCCGTGCGACAGCATCTCTAACAGAACTTGTTCGGACGGCTAACGACCATCAGTCGAATGCACACTCCCTCAGGCCGGTTCCAACCTTCCACGAGACTTTGTTTGAGCATTTCCGACTATCACCCCCAACTGTTTAATCCTGCATGGTCTGTGTCGACGATCCTGATAGGGCTCATGTCATTCATGAACAGCGAGGAAATGACCGCAGGTAGTGTTGGCGGGTCATCTACGGAGCGAAAGTGGCACGCAGCAAGATCAAGATGGTGGAACTCTACCGGTGGCGGATCGGCCTCGAAACCTGTCCCTGGTGTCCAGCTGACCACGAAGGGGATCGGAAACATTAAAGTAGGAGACGGCGGAGCGAAGTTCCGGGCGGAATTCCCTGACGAGGACAAAGAAAACTGGATCTGGATGAAAGAGCACCGAATCGATCCCGCCACAGGTGGGATGCTTCCTGACGAAGAGGGTGAAGAGGTCAATTGCTCACCGGAGACGAGAGCCTTGCGACGCATCTTGGGAGGGAGCACCGGTGTCGGAGTCGTGGTTCAAGGCGGCCAGGCTGCGAGGGATGCGGGCCAGGGTTGGATCTGGCGAAACAAGATGAAGATCATAGCGGGTTGCATTGTCGTGTATTTCATGCTAGCGAGGATTTTTGGCGAGGAAGAGGGTGCTGTATGATTCAGGGAATGGAGTGCCTCGGCCAAACAGACACCTATTGATTGCCTATTTTGTGAGAAGCATTGAACCCAGCGTCGAACCCGGCACCAGGGGGGGTTTTGCCGAACGCTGGCGATGAGGCAAGAAGATTTAAGTCAAAAGGGACACGGAAGATTACCTAAGATTTTCACCCGATGATGACTAATGACCTCCGGGAGGCGCTCTTGGCGCGCCAAGACCCACGGCTATATATCGGCGCGAAAATGGTCAAACCCAATCGGTCCCATCATCATTTGTGGCGTCTGCGCAAACATGAATCCCACCAGTCAAGATGCACCGGCGACGCAACTCTCGCAGAAGCCAATTCTGAAAGCAATCCACGTCTGCCAACCTGGAGCATCCCTCGGAGATCCCCCAGAGATGACAGGAGATGGACCATACACCGACAGGAGAAGCAGGCTCTTCATCCCCTCCACAGCGGCTCTAGCGTCTATCAGTACAGGACATGCAAGGCCTTGAGCAACACTCCTGCGGTAACTGCCGGTCGTTCTTCATATCAAGACCTCCGCTTACATGAACCATCGGATAGAGTACCCAGCCACTGTTACACAAGCTAGAATCCCCAACCAAACTGCCGGAGTCCACCGGACATACAGCGAATACGAACACTTGGGGCGAGGGACGGAGTCAACCCGACGGCTGACCGACTGGGCGAGAGAGAAGACCTCCTTACTCACCGATGTCCAGAACATGGACAAGCCGCGACGAAGGCAAAAGCACCGCGCAAGCCTCCTCCCGGGACCGCCCGGATCACTTCACCGATGCGGGCACGGCTTTGGGCGAGACAACGCAACGTTGCCAACCCCGTCTATCCACGCAAGCCACACGCAATCCGCCCGTTTCAGGTCGCCGTGACGGGCATCGACGTCGACGTCTGGCTAAGATGGAGTTCCTGCAAGCTTTGGTTCAACGTTTGATCGCCAGCCTGGCCCCAGTCTTCGCTCAACTAACCACAATAGCTACCTTGCCAACCGACAAACCTTCACCAGGTCGCATTCCCCGGTCGCCGACTAGCCTGAAGAAGCTCTCACCTTCCCTTTCAGAAGCAGAAAAGCACCGAGAGCTCCACCCCAGGGTCGTCGACTCCAGATTCTAGATAGCATGCACAAGCGGTCTGGCATGACAAACCGCCCCCCAAGAAGTCGGTTTTTGTTCCTGCTTGGCCCTGAGTTTGGGCGAGCTCCACCAACCTCGTCTCGGCCTCCTCCCAGCATTCTATCGTTAATTCGCCTCATGCTCCTGTTTCAACTCTAGCAACTTCCGAGGTCTACTTCGTCTATGGGCTCCCGGATCGTGGATCTAGGGTTGGATCACGCGCGGCTACCCATAGGCAGGCAGGCTTATATCTGCGTTCTATAAACTTTCCAAACGATCCTTGGAGGACCCTTTCATCGGCCTCGCGTTTCCCCCTCCCTGAATGTCCGCGTCAGCACGTAACATCTTCCAGGGGAATCCAGATATTATATTGCCGCGACAGTTTTTGCGGTCTCATGACTGCATCTCACAAACCATTAGGACCTGTTTGATGGATCTTCACCTTCTTCTGAACTGATGGACCTGCGAAGATGCGCGGTGGCTCGAGTGGTATAGGTGTGATTATATCCGCAATCAGCCTCAATTGTCGACGGCATATAGCTAACCACGATACCGCCCGAAAAGCAGACGCGCCTGATGCATCTCGCTCGCCAGATCCTCAAGCCCCTTCTCCTACCAATTTCACCTTTGTGCACCAGGCTGAAGATGTAGCTTCTTTGTCTCACAGACGGATCAGCAACAGAGAGCAACGTCATGCTATCCGCTCCCATGTCATGCAACGTGTCCGTCAGGTGGAGCTGGCCCAAGGCAAGAAGAGGCCAACCGGGCGCCAGCGTGTTAATGATGGGAGCAAGCAAAAAGCGCGTAGCGAGTCCACTCACTCCGAACCGTCCGTGAGCAATGAATCCATCGAAAATAGTGCCAATAGCCCTGTCATCGTTGCTGGGAGCGATACGTTTTGGCCGACTCAGTCTCCCCTTCCGTCCCCGCGTCTCAATATCACACCAGCTGCGCAAGCATTCGACCCGTTCGATACCTTGCCGACAAATCGGCTACCGCATCACACCTCAGAGAGCCTGCTGCAGTATTGTGAGTCTTGTTGTCTTATACGCTGGATCAAATGCACTCTGACCTTAACTATAGGCTTTGATGTTATGCTCCCAATGACGTTCTGTGTTGAGGCGAAACAAGCTCATGACAAACTCGCCCGGCAACAAATGGTGATGAATAGCAAGATGTCGAACCCCGCCACGTTCCTGGGCTTCATGGCGACGACGGCGGCCCATCGAGCCATCTTCTATGGCCGACATGAAGACCTCGCGCCTTCCAACTCCAACCATGATGACCTCATCCTCGACCCGGACTATATCAGAGTCAAAAATGAAGCAATGGTGGCCGTTAGGCGAACGTTCGATCAGCGTGCGAATGTAGATTACCAGATGGTTGAGGCCTGCTTTGGACTTATTTCGACTGCCACAGTTGTGGGCAATTTCACAGAGGCCCGGATACATCTCAAAATTCTCGAGCGCGTAACCTCCCAGCTGACCCTGTCCGAGGAGACGATGATGTGGTTACCGCTGTCAAATGTCAAAGTCTCGGTTGGACTACTTCTGCCCCCGGTCCTCCCCTTACTGTTCACGCGCGAACCTCTCCCTGCAGAAGTTCTATCTCGTGCTGGCCAGCATCTTCCTTCTGGCATGACTCGCTTAGGACAGGATTTCCTGGAGCTCCAGGAAATGAGCCAACCATTGAAACTGCTGTTCATCACCTTTGGCGATGTGTGCCGTCTTTGCGAAATGCACAGTACACCTCCTTGGAACCCGTCGCCGGCAGAAACCCTGATTTTGCGGAAGAAGGCAACGGAGCTAGAATTTGATCTGCTCGCATACCCCTATGAATCAGATATTTTTCGCCGAGACAGCAACAATGAGCCAGAAATACCCGCTTTGGAAGGGATGCTCCGGCTTGCCGGCCTGGGAATGCTCTCTATTGCTCCCCACACAATTCTCGCGCCTACTGGTCTCGGGAGAGCGCTGACGCACCATCAGAAAGGGGCGGTTGAAAAGTGGCTCCACGAGGAGCGCTCCGGGGGTGTGGAAGAGGCGAAGGTCGTCTGCTGGGCTCTCTTCGTCTTTGTCCAAAACGCACTGAAACAGCCCGAGCAGCCGTTTTTCACGGAATTACTGGCGCAGGTCGCCCAGGCAGCGGGACTCTCGACCTGGGAAGAGATCGAAGAGGTCGTGTTTGGACTGCTGTATATGCCGTGGCTGCAGTCTTCGACCTGGAGAGGCATCTGGGCCGACGTCTGCAAGGTCAGCGACTCGACTCATCACCTCCAACACGACGTCCAATGACCCTGGTCGGGCTCGATGAGTTAGACGTCATGCCTGTCGAGGCGTGTGAGAGCTTGCCAGAGAATATCAAGACCCTATCTGGTTCCGCTGATTCTCTGATGGACGGCTTATCACCAACAAGTATTAACCGGTGCATTATTATTGCCCATTGTCGGCCATTTACGGGCTAGCTGATTGCTAGTGTTTACATGTTGATCTTACTGCCAGGGGCAGAAACCAAGAATCGGAAACAGACCGAGTAGCTCACGCAGAAGACGTGGACAGACACGGAGACAAAGGCCGTCGTTCATATTCAAATTATTCTACAGGTCATTGTTACATCGCTATATTATAGAGGAGGAGAGGGTTCAAGGTGCCCTTTTGGAAACATGAGCCAGTATTGCATCTGAAGCTCCACACACAGGACCTGTACAAAAGCCAGACGATGGCAAGCTGGAAAAGGCGTCTCCACAGAGTATCCATCGAAGTTGGTCAGAGCCCGCTCTCTTGCCGCGGATTTGCAATCCCGGAGAGGACGCCAGAAAAAAAGCCGAATTCGACCATATCACATCAATCATGGGGCGGTCCGTCCTGGCCATTAATCATCATGATCCATTCTCCTTGTCCTTTGTTCGTGCGGCAGCCTCTCTCACCGCTCCTCCAGACGCCCGATGCCACACGTCCCCTCCCCACCTCATCGCCCTCTCCACTGCCGCCGTTGGGGTATCCAATGCAGGTCGGATATCCAAGTAGAACACAGGTTGCCCCGTTTCCTCTTCGATGCCGCCTCCATAATAGTCTATCACGTAGCGCACTTCTTTAGACGACCCGTTGGGGAGCTTCCGGGAAATATACCAGTCGTGTCGGTCAAAGGGGGGTTCTTGAGAGAAGTGGTCCGGGAAGACTTTGCCCAACATCTGCAGGATCCGAGCCTTGGGAGATGGTTCCTTGGGGCGACCTTGAAAGCGGATCAGCTTTGGTTTCGACTCGTCCTCTTTCGGGTCCGGGCTTAACCCGAGGGCTAGTCGTCGTTGAGCAATGAATTCCTGCCTCGCACGATCTAGAGTGATGGCCTGCTCTCCTCGCGAACACGTCTCCCACCCTTTCCACAGACCGCCGGCAAAAATCCGTTCCCACTCCTCTATCTCTGCCCATGCTCCCTCGTTCAAGAAATTATGCACGGCGACCATCGCCTCGACGTGTTCGGCAGGGGTGTCCGTGTAGCCCTTGCGAAGCATGGCATTGTACATCTGCTGTGGAGAAGGGTATTCCCAATTCGACTGTGAATCACTGCGCGGAATGGAAGAAGTCTCTCGGTCAAGAGGCAAATGTATCGATTGAGGGGAATCGGCCGGGCGACTGTTGGAAAGCGAGGGCATGTAATTCAAAGGGTTAAGTTTGGAAAGGGTCGAGGAAGAAGAGGAGGAGGGTGGAGGCCTTTGCTCTGAGGGTTCAGGTCGACTAGAAAATTCTGAGGGTTGATGTCTTAGCGGATGGTTTGGAGACTTGACCGGACAAGATGAAGGAGTCGATGTCGATGGATCGAGCCGCGGAGGGAAGGGTGTAGGGTTTCCGGTATCTGCCTTATGCATAGGGCATCCTGGCTTTCAAGGAATAAGTCCTCCAAGCATCCGACATGAAGAGATGAAGAGCATACCGGAGGAGCGGCGGCATGTTGCGGCGCAGGAGGTGCACTCGCTTTCGGGGCATCGGCCCAGAACCAACCCATTCTGTGTTTTGTGTAAATGAGACCTGAATGAAAGTCGAGAGTCCTAAAGTGGTGAATGCACAGAAGACTCTAGTTAGTTGTGAGTCTGGCGCAGATGGAAGTGAAGATGGGAAAAAGAATCATGAGCCGGACCGAAGCTGGGCGGCGACAATGATGAAGGTCCTTTTCACGCTGCTCCACTTCGGGCGCAACTTTCCCCAGCGTACACATGGGAATTTGGAGATCTCGTCCACAACCACGAGCAAGAGGACAAACTGCACCTGGACAACAACTCACTCAGCACGCGCTATCTGTGGCCTGCAGTGCCCAAGTACACCGGTTTGTTGTGTAAAGCCGCGACTCACTTCGTGCCCTCACAGCCTGCGACCGCGCCTCTCATCACAGAATCCCGTCCAACCCTGTGCCCGCGCGCGCTCTACAAACCACACCAGTCAAGATGGCTGAGACCAAGGGCTTCAAGCAGGACATGGTCGTTTCGATCCGATATCGAAACGATCTGCCTCCACCCCCCATGCCTCCGAAATGTAAGCTGCAGATGTCCTTGCACGCCTCTGTCCGTGCTAACACACATGATTTCAGTCCTCGATATTGACACCGGCGGTCTGGCTCAATATCTTACCACGAGTTATGCATCGGGCCTGGCAAAGCGAGAAGAACCAAATATCGAAGTGGACGCAGAAGGTGGCATGCCTATCGACATGATCGGTGTCCCAGGCTATTTTCTCGGCGACGAAAGCGCCATCATGGCTCCCGAAGTCCAACCCGTGCTCGACCCGGCCGACCAAGCGTTGCTGATGTCGCTGGATCAGCTGAAGAGCCAGGGCGCAAAGAACAACGTCTCGTTTCTACGCAAGACGCAGTACATGACCTCTTCGCAGATGGCTCGAGCAAGTGATGCATTCATGCGACCAGGTGCTGCTCGAACGCCAAAACCCCAAGCGCCCAAGGCACCACCCTTGCCTGTGACCCGAGATGACCCAGAAAATATCAAGCGACAGATTCAAAAAGGCTTCGACCTGGCCTACCCGGACAGCATCCCCTTCAATCCCCCTGAGGCGAAAGCGAATCCTATCACACCTCAAGATCGAGAAGCCTGGAGAAATCCCGTCCATCCCGACAACCCCAGGCTCAAGCCTGTGGAATTTTACCCTATCATCCCTGATCTTGAGACGGGCACCGACATGGCCTCGAATTGGCAAGCCCTCAAGTTCGACAAGCCACCTTTACCACCATATAAAGGCAGAAGAGACGATCGCATCGACGTCGGCTTACTGATGGCCTCAGAAAACGCGGCTCTCATGCCCGCCTGGCGCGCAGCAAGAGAAGCCTTCGAGAGAGAGCCCGAAAAATTCGCAGATCCCGGACCCGAGCCATACACATGGTCTCTCTCCGTCCCTAAACACCCCGACTCGACCTCGCGCATTCGCCAGCTCTTTGACGACTCGAATCCTCAAAAGGATGATCCCGCCCTCATTGAACCACTTCTCGAAGAATCCGCCGACGGCTCATTACGTCTTCCCTTTGAACGTGTCCGTGTCTATCCAAAAGCCACCCAAGACACGGTCGATCCTCATCGCATCATGGCACTGTCACTCGTCGACACCAACAATCTTCCCCGTCATTCCCGCTTCCGCAAGCAAGGCAACGCTGCATATTACTATCCGATCCTCGAACGCGTGAAAATGAGAGCCGATAGGGGTAATCTCTCTAAAACCCACCACAACAACGCCGAAGACGACATCCCCGACCAGGTCATGGTCCTCTTCAAAGAGCCCAACGCCAAAGAAAAACGCTCACGTGCCGAATTCAGAGGGGACTACGACCCGTCCTTCAAAGATGAATTTGACGAACTGACGCGCGAAGCACGAGCCGAGGAAGAGGCGGAGCATGCCGATCTGATTCTGCAGGAGCAAGGCCCTCTGCACGAAGGGGCACAGGATGTCAATATGGCAGAAGTGGGGGACGGAGAGACGGCGGAGGTGAGCATGAATGGCATTCCTCGCAAAGACCGCGCCGATGACCGGAATACGCCTCCTCCACCGATGAATGGAAATGCAGACCGACGGGATCGAAGCGGAGACGGAGACGCCGAAGCCGAGGACGACGGATATGGAGAGGACGAAGACATGCGGGACGATTAATGCAATTCCATTCCATTCCATTCGATCTATTATTCGCCATACTTGTAAAAACTTACCACGCAGCGCTGCGACTGCGTTCTTCGGGGAAACTGGCCACACACACAAGGTACGAGGTAGTCAAACCAGAGAGGGAGAGAGGAAGAAGACAAAGAGGGAAAAAAAGGGGTTCGGGACCAAAAAAAGGGCCTGAAAGATTAGAGAGTCAAAATACAAGATGAAGACAGAAACCAAAAAAAAATTCTCAGTCAATCAATCAACCAACCAGACGGACAGATTCTGGCAGTTTAGTTCTTCTTCACCCCTTTTCTACCGAGTACTGTATAGAGGCACGCAGGTAGGTAGTTAGGTAGACCCGACCCGACCCGACCGGAAGATACAGGATGACAACACGACAGCTCCTCTTCGTGTCTTTCTGTCTGGATCTGATGATTCTGACTCTCACACTCCACACTGCGGGGGCTGGAGCGGTGTCCTGAGCAAGGCCAGTAAGTAAGTAGGTAAGCAAGCAAGCAAGCACGTAAGACTCTCGCTTGAACGGTTGAGTCCTTGTGAGGCCCTTTCCAGGAAGGAGTGAGAGTGAGAGAGGAGGTGGCGGCACTATGGTCAACGGCAGCTTCGTTTCGAGACGACAATCACAGGCTGAATGAAGCAGGTTCGTTCAGTGTGAGCTCGAGCATGTTCTTTTTCGCCTTTTTATTCATGAAATCCTTTTCGTGGCTTCGGGTCAACGCCCTCGCACCCCCGGATTGGCAGCACGTCCTGTCCTGTCCTGTCCGGTTCTTGCCTTTGTCGCCCATCATCGGGCCCGTGCACATCCCCATTTTCCCTTCCAATCTGTCTTTCTCTCTCTCCCCCCCTTGGCCCACTCAGTAGGCTCTCGCCAAGTTCCGCAGGTACCAATCCACCAGCCGTCTCCCCTGCTTCGCCTCGCTGATATGGATCAAGTCGCCCTCGATGGCGTAGTCCAACCCCTCTGAGCTGCCGTTGCCCAGCACACCCACGACCTCGCCTTCCAACAGGCCCCCCTCGGTCCAGCGGATCTGCCGACAACTCCGCTGCTTGTTCACGAGGAGCCAGCTGCGGAGCTTCTCGGGCTCGACTTCCAAGAAACCCGCGAGTTTCTGGATGCTCATGGTCGTGTAGAGTTTCAGGTACGACTTGATCAGGGGGTTGAAGAGCGTGTTGCGGACCTCGTCCATGAAGATCTCGGTGTGGTGGTCGACGGGGTCGATGTTCAATGACGGGTTGTCGAAGTCCGGAGGGGTCGGGGTGATGAACTTCGGACAGGCAGACTGGAACAACTCCTTAAAGATCGGCAAGCTCTCCGTGCCGCCGCGTTGCAGTTTCGCGAATTTCTCGCCGTACTTTTCGCGCAGGGTCGTGTGGATGGAGTCGTCCAGACGAGTGGGCGCAAATGAGACGCAGATGGCGATGAGGGCGTACATCTGTTCGGTCTTCTTCGCGATGGCGTCGAATTGCCCTTGATTGGGTCCCTTTTGGAAGTTCTTGGTGCGAGACACGTACACCAGGATGTGGCTGAACATGCGCACGGCGTCCGCGTAGCGGCGGAGCATCATGTAAGAGAAGCCGACATAATAGTAGGTGTTCAGGTGCGCCGCCATGACGCGGGCGAACATGGCTTTCTTGTTCATCTCGATGTCGTCCAGGGTCTTCAGCGCGAGACTGAAGTCTCCGAGGAGGCAGTGCACACGCAAGAGGCCGATGATGGAGAAATAGCCCAGCATGCGGTAGAGGGGGCGTGAGCCATACTCCCCAGCTACGGCCGTGGGGTCTTCGCCTCTCTTTGTGGCAGCCAGCTGCTCGTTGATCTGCGAGCGTTGGATCAACGAATACAGGACGTTCAGAACGCTGTAGCAGCCCCATGTGTTAGGATTTTCTCGCAGAACTTGGGCTTCCTCTTCAGTGGGTGCGGTGCGAGCCACCCGGTTGCGGTAGCGACAGAAGGATTCGAACTGGTAGATGAATTCATCGATCACATCCCAAGCCCAGTAGTAAGAGGGCGTCTCGATGTCTACCGGGCCCTCGGAGTTGAGGATGTAGTGGAAAAGCGAGCAGTAGTTGTCGTAACTTTGAAATCTGTTGAGGCAGTGTTAGTCGTGTGCCTTGAGCACAACGAGGTATTACGACAACGACATTGAACTCCGCGACAAGGGGGGTATCCTGGGAAGCTCACTTGGTTTCCAGACTCGCTTGAAACTCCAAAGGAGCGGCAGCAGCTTCAAGTTGCGCTCGTAGGTCCGCAGGTCCACCACTGATGATCGAATCTCCACGCTCCAAGTCGGCGCCCTCGTCATAGCTGTTTACCTGCTCTTGATAGTCTGCCACGAGAGTTTCTTCTTCCACATCCTCGTCCGGGAATGCGGCGCCGTTTGTGTAGGACATTGTGGCCGAGGGAAGAATTTCTTTCTCGGAGGGTACTTCGATCCGGACCGAGAAAAGGACTTGCAGGTGAGGGAGTCACAGGAGAACAGGAATCCCGCGCACAGTAGACTTCCGTGCCAAAACCTGCCCCGATGTTGTTGTGGTCGGTGGAAGTAAATTTTAGCGGCCACTTGGAGGGCTGGAGAATTGAAGAAAGATGTGTGGGCTTCGATAAAATCTATATCGGGACTAGCGCAGCCTTGTGTGGATGACGTCTCGCCCGGCGTCAAAATGTCAATTGAAAGCCTCGTCAAGTTCTGTATGTACCAACTTCTTGAAGAGACACCAAATTCTTGGAATGAATGAAGACAAACAGACATGGCGACCTCCTATGAGACATTCTCTCAGACCTTCAAAGTCGCGTTGATCCAGCTCCATCCCAAGGTACCGTGGTTCTTATCCTCTCAACCACAGCGGCAGCTCCGTACATAGTGCATGGTAGATTACTGACATCGACAACATCCAGCCTCTCGATCTGGAATACAACTTCTCCGCTGCGTCGGCTTACATCCGCGATGCCGCTGCACAAGGCGCCTCGCTAGCAGTCCTGCCCGAGTATCATCTGACGTCGTGGGTCCCAGAAGATCCGCAGTTCGCCGTCCTGGCCCAAACCGCTTATCAATACGTGCCCAAGTATCAAGCGCTGGCGCGTGAGTTGAAGATCAACATAGTTCCAGGGACCATTGTCACCATTGATCCAAAATCGCCACCTCCGGCCACCAGCAATGGAACGTCTGCAGACTCGAAAAACCCGCCGGTTCTCCTCAACATCGCCCCCTTCATCTCCTACACCGGCGAGCTTTTAGGCAGCTACACCAAAGCCAACCTATGGATCCCAGAGCGCACCGTCCTCACGTCAGGCCCAGCCTCCGTCAAGGCTAATCACCATCATCTATCGACCGAAGAAGGCCCGCCTCCACAGCTCAACCCTCACTCTATAATCGAAACTCCCCTTGGTCCGGTCGGCATTGTGATATGCTGGGACCTCGCGTTTCCCGAAGCCTGTCGTGCTCTGGTCCGCCAAGGTGCACGCCTGATCATCATTCCCACCTTCTGGACAAGGGACGATCTCACCCCGGAAGGAAGAGCTTATGGGCCGGATGTGGATATCCAATTTTTGAGCTCGGCCCTTATTACACGGTCATTTGAGAACACCTGTGCCATTGTCTTCGTCAATGTGGGCGGCCCGAAGTCCGAGGGCTACGCCGGGTTGAGCCAAGTGGTGTTGCCGCTGGTTGGCAAGGTTCCTGGATCGTTTGAGGATGGTGAGCCAGGGATGAAGATTGTGGAGTGCGATATGAGGACGGTCGACGTGGCCGAGGAGAACTATAAGATAAGAGAGGATCTGAAAAGAGAGGACTGGCACTACGGCTATAGCCATGGCAAATGAACAGAGATGAGGGCCGGCGCGAGAATTGTCACGAACCTGAAATAATGTATTACAAGTCCTAAAAAGAAAAAAAAGTGCAATCATAAAACACCTGCGCTCGTGATGATGACATTTACTGATCCACGTTCCGATGCCCCAGCGCTTTCGATGTCACGACCAATCGTGCGCCTGGCACCAGCTTTGCTAATCTACATCGTAGCTTCTTCGGAGCCAAAAAACACCATCAACGCATATCATGATCCTGTGTTGCCATGATCCTCAAAGCTCGGTCGCGTCGAAGGAGTTTCGGGACTCTTCTGAGCCATTGTAGAGCAGTTCGAAGCGGTTTCGGTGCAACATTCTGGTGCGCTTGATGGGGTTGGACTTATACGGCAGGCTGATGTCCACGGGCGGCAGCGGCTCATCACATTCATCGGGATAGAAATCAATCTTGAACTTCCTATACTTCAGGCGTGAGACCATGCAGCTTCTCGCAGCGAGAGCCGATCGGATGCTGTTGAGTGATATGTAGGCATGGCCGTTCCTGAAGAAGAGGTCGACTATTTCCAAGTAGTGGATGTGTTCGAGATCTGCTCGAATGCCATCCGCAGTGACCCCCGGGCCAGCAAAGCGAATCACCAAGTTGCGAGTTCGACCGTGCGACTGGACGCTGTGGGTAAAGCTTGGTTGCATCCGAGTTTGTTGGTCATCCCATTCCACGATCACCTGAAGACGGTCAGCAGCCTGCACGGCCCAACTCATATTTGATGTTTGCTTGCCTTCTTGCCCCCAATTTCGATGCCATGTGTCTGAGCATAGCGGAAAAAGTCTTGTGCTGCGGTCGGGTCCACAAAGCTGACGTGGGCGGAGCGTTTCCATGTTCGCAGAAACATTTGCAAAACCGGACCACCCTTGAGAGCCTGGGCGAGGCTGTGGAGTGTCGCGTTGGGCAAGAGCCCGGAAATTGTGAGTGACCGTTTTGTCGGCCTGATCTCCTGACGAGTCTGCTCGCCTGAGATCCATCCGATCTCCTCTTGCGGATCACCCACCTCGGTGCACTCAGGTGTAAGAAGCGAATTGATACTTGACCTGACGCTTGTCTGCATATAAGTGACGTGGTGACATAGGGTAGAGGCTTCTGAGGAGTTGGCTGGAGGGCAAGGTCGAGAGATGGGAATGGGTACTGATCTTGAGGCTCCATCTCGGGGCGATTCGGTGGTGGGGACGTTGATCGAACTGGAGTCTTCATCTGGAGGTGTCGGCGGACAAATGCCACTGACCAGAACGGCCAATGTCTCAGTGGTAACTCCTCCGGCCAGCAATGCCTGCTTCAGCGAAAGAAACTGACGCCGAGTCTCGAGCTGTCGATCGACGTTAGGGACTGTGTGCGACCTTGACGGTCAGAGCAACTGAGAGGAGTAGGTGCTCACCAACGACTCATACTCAGCAACAGATATTGTGACTGTCTCAGCCATTGTAATAAGTTTGGCTTGCATCCTCACAGATGCCATGAAGGAACAGAGAGAGTTGAGAGGGGGCAGAGCAGGAGATTGTCAGGTTGAGATGTAAGGAGTCCGATGGGGAGATGAGTCGTCCCTTCCACGAGCACGGAAGAGCCAGGTACGATGCTCTTCTTGCTGCCACACCCAGAGTAATCACATAGATTGACTGACCACTTTTTGATCAGAACTGACTGGGGAGCTGGCCAAACATCTATGCTTCACCCTTTGTGGTGCTCGGTCAACTCACTATCAACAAGGTGTTGTTGACAATCATCGAAGTAGCAGGTTGCTCGAAGAAACAACATCCGCTCAAGCCAGACAGGATTCGGGAAAGGTTCATCCATGGCACAACAATCCCTTCAACCCTTCTGGACGGTAGCAAGGGGCATGTAGTGTGTTCCCAGTCTCTACTAGAACGGCACCAGGATTCGACCAGGCCCAACACATCCCGGAATGGTTACGGACGAGTGTTCGTTGTTCGGGTCCAGTCCTCTCAAAACATTCTGTCATCTCCAGCTCCACTTCCGGCCTTGAGGTCCAAGAACAGAGCAACGTCAGAGCTTCTCCTGGCTTGATATGACCTTCATCCAGCGGTCAAGGGAGCTTTTGTGCAAACTCTTCTCCATGCTCTTTGAGCACCGAGTCCACCATTTCAATACTTCCTCTGATCAAGCGGGCTCGTTCCTCTGGATGCAGGTCAAGGAATTCCTGGAACTCGTGGAACCAAGTGTCATCCTTCGCCCGCCCCCTGCCATCGTATCCGACACACATCTCGGCCAGAATGGCGAGCGCTAATCGGATCGCCATGTCACCCTCGTACTTTTGGGGAAGCTCTGTCTGATTGATTGGGTGAAATATTGACTCGGGGTCACTCTTGTCAATTGCCAGGGCAAGACACTGCATTCGATCCTCAAACGTCCACCACTTAGGGAGGATTTTCGCATCTTCCGCCAAATCGAGAAATCGTTGGAAGTCGTCGATGGCTAGTACTCGTCAGGTTAGTCACGGCCCTAGCAGAATACCCGTGGAGGTTGTGGATGTGGGAGCTCACCGTCACCCTTGGCCCAGACCAGGCCGTCGATTGGCTTTCCGGGATAATAGATACCGTGGTCCTCGTCCCGGGACAAGTGGTCAGTCTCGACTCTTAGGCGGTAAGCATCAATGATGAGTCGCAGGACTTCGTCATGGCTGTATGATGAGAGATAAGCATTGGGATCTCCTTTGCCCTGGACCATGTTGCAAAACGACTTGTGCTTGCGCCAGTGGGCTTTTTGACATCTATCAGGGCGTCAGTACATCCACCACACTATGAATATCTGTGTAGTATTACTCTTTGGAGCAGTAGTCGACCAACATACAGCCATTGCATCGTCTCAGAGGCTTCTGGAATCCCAGGGCCAGGCAGTTTGCGCAAACAGACAGTTTCTTGCCGTGCATATACTCGTGCTCGATTTGTCCGACGTATGTGACGCCACATATCGGAAAGGTCTTGGTAGGAGCAGCCATGGTGGGAGAGAAGGGGTGTGAAATGTTTGGTGTGGTGTTCAGAGTGTCTCTATCACATTGTCAACTCGGACGGGCAGTCACTGCAGTTCAATCAATTCATTTAATTAGCCGAAGATTTGGCGGCGAAGGTGCTCGGCGCTTCTACGCTTCTACGCCTCTGCTTCCACGTAGAGCCCCGTCCAGTCATCATCCTCCCCTTTCCCCCTTTGGGTGGCCCTCGGGTGGCCCCTGGGTGGCCCTTAGGTGACCCTGTCAGGTGCCTGTTGTCCGCCGGACGCTCTTATGTAATAATAGGACCTTGGCCTAGTGAAGCCTGGTTCCTTGTTTTGGGCGGATCACCACGGATCACCGCCATCATTATCATCATCGCCCCAAGTCACGTCCTCCGACCACCATCAACGCAACAATTGTTGACAGTCGCCATTTACCTTCAACACACCTTCTGCGTCTGAGCCTCATCTCTTCCTCCCTCCAACCCGAATCCCGTCCGTCGTCGCGGGGACCCAAACGCTCTTGAGAACGCCATCCGCATATCATCGTCAGTCTTTAACTGTCTCGAGATGGCGAAACCCATCGATAATCCTTGCGAAGACGAGCCACAGGCACTACCCTTCAGAACTGGAGGTCCACTCGCTCGCATTGAGGAATACACCATCTTCTACTTCCTCGCAATTTGCTCATGGTGCCTGGAGATTGTCGCTGCATGCCTAGGATCTCTCTATGGAGGGCAAAGCCATCCGTTTATTGGCACTGTTACGCCATTTCTTGCCATGCACTGGTGAGTAGTCTTCGCGTCTTTCGTCGCGATCCGCCATTCGTGTGCCTTTTGGTCTGATAGAGGGATGGCATTGAAATAGGATGGCGTTCCTTCAAACTTGCTGGATGATGGCGACCGCTCCTCGCAACACGATCGCAGACCGGATGGCCTACCTCAATCTTGCTTGTAGATTCCAAAGACTGTGTGCTGTAAGTCAGAGATCGCGCGTTCACGTTCCCACCGACTGACGTTTCAGCCAACTGCCCTGATCGGCATGGTTACCTGGGCCGTCGCATATCGTTTCCGCGGCAAAGCCTCCAGCCAGGCGTACTGGATTATCTTTTTGATCGTGTGGATTCTCGAAACGGTCGTCTGCATCATGAATGTCTACAACAACATCAGCTGGGAGAGCGACCTGCTATATCAAATCGCTCCCGATGAGCCTCAAGGCAATTTCTGGCTGGCAGTTCTGGGTATTCGATCCATGTGTCGCTCGAAGCACAAGCATCATGAAAACGAGGAGATGGAATTGAAGCAAACGAAAAGCGGAAGAGTGTAACCACAGGGCTGGAGGGATCTAAGCAGCGTTTCCAAGTCTCCTGCGATGTACCCGGATTCATGATCTGTAGCTATTTGGATGGGATATATGGCGGCGTATGGAGCCACGTCTAGTCATTGAACAGTCTAATGCATGGCGGCCTCGATTCGCCGCGGGAAATCATTCCTTTTTCAACACTGGGAGAAAGCCTTCTAAAACACCAGCATGCTCGTTACCAGGAGCGTACCTTCAAGAATGGCCTCGTCTTGCTGCAGGTCTCTCTGTCCATACATCCGCGGCTCCAGAGGCAACCCGGCGGGTCTGCATCTGCTAGACAGAGGGCCAGCAACATACAGAGTTGCAGACATGGACTGTCTGATGTTGTCGCAACCCGGTTGGCACTCCTCAAGCAGGAGACACTTCCACCTGAAGGCTGAAGACCACTTGTAGGGACAGATTCTCTCTCCAAGGCGGGATGGAGAAGGCTCATTTCAATGCCAAACCGACTGTACTTCAGATTAGAACCACAGGTCCGGCTGATAATCTGCTGTGAGTCTCGGATCCTCGCCGAAGCGCGCTTGCCAGGAGCCGAATCCTCCCTCCAGCACGCAAATCTCCTGCGACGGCTTCTGCGATCCCTTCTCCTGCTCGTCCTCTGCCGTCTCTTCTTTCGACTGCGCCTGCTCGCGGGCTTCTTTGGCGTCCGCCCTCTGCTTGGCCCGCGCGTATGCCAAAGCCGCCTTGGGCCCTCTCTGTTGACTCAGCATACAGTGGAAGATCACCTTTTCCTTGTCCTTCAGCGTGCGCAGCAGCTCGGGCATTCTCACGTCCAGCTGGTGCAGGGGCACCCAGGTGCTGCCGCGGATGTTGCCCCCGATGTGGTCGGAGTCACGCACGTCTATCACGGCGATCTTGGCCTTCTCGGCAGGATCCAGGAGGAGCGTGCTCAAAGTCGTGGGCTGGACATATTGGAGGGACGAGAGCGTGATCGGGTTGGCGTTGGAAGACATTCTGCGGGGTGCAGGGGAACGGAGGGAGTGGTTGACTAGTTTTTGCAGTGTTCGGGGCAGATACAGAGTCTCGGAGTAGATGCTGTGACAGTTCATCAACGCTCCCTATCACCAGACAGCTCGTAGATATTAGAGAGAAGACTCCGGGTGCATTAATCACCTCGTACTGTACGCAGTTGGCAGTGTGACAGCCGCTGGATCTCGGTCCGCAGAAGCTTGAATGCGATTGGCTGGCGATTGATTCTGCGTCGCCGAGCTTTGAGATTGCAACTTCATCTTCTTTCAATTGAAGTGTTAATAAATACACGCACACTTCATCGCCCAGCCACACACTGCAACCCGCTCGCTGTTCTTTTCTTGAAGCTATTTGTCCACCAGGGGACGTCCATGGTCTGACCTCCGTGGGCCCTGTCACACGAAACGCCGTGAGGATGAAGGCGTCCCCGTCTCTGCAGAGCTGTGCACGGTGTGCTTTATTTCCACAAAGGTCGTCACTACACCTCTTCCCCATCTCCTCAGGCTACCAGAGGTCAGCAATCCGCGATGCTGTCCGGCCTATACTACGGGCCCAAGCGAGGCAGCTCTGCTCTACAGCTCCCCAATTCCAGGAGTCACCCTCCGCACCCCCGAACTCCAGACCTTCGCGGAAGAACAACCCAGCACCCCCAAACGCGATGAGAAACCAGCTGATGGACCTGATCCGCGAGACCCGGGCCCCGGAGCCCAAGAGGAAAGAAACCGTCGCTTCACGCTGGGACCAACTGCTGGGCACGGCGCGGAACCAGAATGCCGCCCACCGCAACAACAACGAGAACAACACACCCACCACGACCTCAACCTCGACACTACTCTCCGACCTGCACGAGGACATCTACTCGTCGTCGCTGCCGCCAATTACGCTGCGCCTGCGGCCGACGCTGGGCCGCACGGTGGACGGGATTTACGGCGACCCGACGCGCGGCTTCCGGCTGCTCGAGCGCAAGTGCCACGAGAACAGCGTCAAGGCCGACATGCGCAGCCAGGAGAAGCACGTCCGCCGCGGCCAGCGCAGGAAGAACATCCGCATCCTGCGGTGGCGCAAGCTGTTCATGGAGGGTTTCCGGAGCGAGCTGGGCACGATCCGCAAGATGAGGAAGCAGGGGTGGTGAAAGAAGAGGGGTGGGAGAAAATGGATAGATTCAGACCTGAAGATGCAGATTCTCCCCAAAGATGGGTCGGGAAGGGATTGGAAGCAGGAGGACAGAATCCTGAGAACATGAGCTTGCTTCTCCTTGCAGAGGTGAAATACCGTGCATACAGAGACCCAGTTCATGCAATCAATGTAATATCACCACGCCCGATTGCACCACAATGGGCTGGGGGAACAGATAAATTGGAGCCTGCCCTGCTCTTCCCGTGCCTCTTCTCTTCCGTGGGCTTCATGACATCTTCGCAGTTCCCACACACGCTTGGGACTAACTCTGTCCATAGCATGGCATGGCGTAAAGCATCGACGAAGGTCTGGTGGTACCGGGACAGACAGAGAGGGATTGAACAAAACGCAATGGAAAAATCGTATTGGATATGGCGCCTGCATGCCCAACTCCCTCCCTGTCTGTTTTGGCTACTTGTATATCTCTCTGTCTGGATATTGACTTCTAGATAATAGATAAATACCGTGCACACCCCCCTTTCGTCCCCCAGGGACCCGGTCGTAAGATTTTACAGTACTATACTATACTATACTATATATACTGCATTCTACCTGCGTTCTGCTGTACACTAAATAAATATTCTTGATATGTCTACACCTATATAGGTACACCCTCACCTCCTATCCCGGATGACAACTATGTCTTGTCTTATTGGATTTTCCTAAGAGTTGAAACAGAAGAGGAAGGGAGAGTCAAATCCTAAAAGATGCATATTTTCTTCGCTTTCTCAAAGGATTGTTAGTAGTAATAGTGCCTATCTCAGCGGCCGGGACGGCGTGCATCAGAGCACTCTCTGTCCGCCACGGACCCAGGAGTAATTAATAGCATCCAATATCATCCTCTTTGATTCGGACGTCTTGAGGGGAGGGGTCCCGAAGAGTACAATTCTGGCCCACCCATTATCCTGGATGTTCGTACATACGCTGGTGTTCCCTAGTTCCACCGAGATGAAGCCGATGAAAAGCGATGGCACTTCTCAGGAAACCTTCGCAACGCAATGACCATAGAGACACACAGTACTGTGTATTATCCAAGAACTTGACGCCCGCCGCGGACATTGTCGTAAGTGTCTTCTCCAGCATTGTCGTCGATATCATCCCTCCAGAATCGCGGCGAGTGCTAGTGTCCAAATCAAGCCGCATCCTGATGGGTGCCTGACAACGAGAGAGAGATGTGTCGACGGCACCCTTGACAGCGTGCTCTTGCGCCCAACACACCCGTTCCCCAAAGCTCGGTTTGATTGATTCTCCATGCTTCATCTCAGTAAGGCTTCCTCGCCAGCTTGGCAATCTGCATGAGATCGCACGGCACGTCGCCGCCGCCGCCGCTAGACTGGTGAGCTTTGTACTGCTTCTCGGTTTGGTCCAATTTGCGCTGGATGCCGTCGTCCTCGGGATACTTGGCTACCGCAGAACTGAGCACTTGGATCTGTGCCGGGAAGGACGTCACGTCGGCCGGCTGTTTGTCGTACCACTGCAGGAACTCGATGATCTCGCCGTCAATCACGGTCGTCTTGCCGCTGACCACTTGGGTGCAGTTGTCCTTGACGCAGAATGACTGGAAGCCGCGGATCGCATCGCCCTTGGACGCTTCCCCGCGGAGCTGAAGGATGCAGCGGTGGCAGTACAGATGCAGGCAGTTGAGGACCCGGGCGTCGCGCTTGATGGCCTTGCAGCGGACACATTTGATGACTTCGGTGATCTCTTGGCCGCCCTGATGGAGTTGTTCCAGGCTCTTCATGAACATGACAAACGTGTGGGCGATGGCTGGAGTCTCCCAATTAGTTCTTTTGTGCACCCCTCCACGACCGGGAAAAGTTGGTCATGGCTTACCTGGTTCCTTGTCGATTCTGGCCTTCTTGCCCTGTTTGACCGCACCCGGACTTGGGGCTGGCTCGCTCTCTATCGGCGCTGCGACACGCTTCGTGCCTGCCCCTGCCGCCGTCGGCATGGGGTTCTTGCGAGGCGTGGGAGGTCTGGTCAAGGACTCTAGCAGTCCCGGAAAATTCTTCTCAAGGGTGGACATTCCGAGCGCGACGACGCCCCCTGGGTCCGCCAGCCGCATGGCAGAGGTTTCCACCGGCGCGGAAGTGACGCCAGGGGTATCGCCGAGGGGAGGTGCTGGTAGAATACTCGCACCATAGTCGGGAGGTGGGGAGGCAATGGTCTCAGACTTGACGGAGGGTGAGGACAATGGGATGGACGTATCTCTGAGTACTACCGCTGCCGCTTCTGCTGCGGATGGGGTGCTCGTGCTCCCGCCGGCCCCCGGAGCCTCAAGAACGCGCAAGGACGAAGTGGGAGGAGCCGGTAAGGCAGAAGTGACATTGGGAAGAGGAGGGGGTTTTGCACGGATGTGCTCATGGCGTTGACGGTACTGAACGACACGGTGGGCGACACGGTGGGCGAAGCCATACGGGTCGCCTGTCAACTCGGTCAAAACTGCCACGAGGAGGAGGTTTTTGTCGGCACTTGTCCCCTGGTCGTTGCTGATGGCCTCGACGGCGTTCTTCAACTGTGGCCTCAAGCCCATCTGGGTGCAGATACCGTCCATGACAAAGTCATTTTCAATGATGCCGCGTTGAAAGAACGGCTGGCTTTGGGAACGGTGGTCCTTGACGACTCGCTCATCCATGTTGTCCATGTTGTCCATGACGTGACAGATCTGAGAGGTGTTGGAGCTCATTCTCTCGTTGACGGTTTGGAGCTGGTCGACGAGGCTGCGCTGTTCAGCCTGGAGTGTTTGTGCCACTGCCTTGAGCTGTTGAAGGTGTTCACGAATATCCTTGGTTGTTGATCGGTGGTGGTGAACGAAGGGCAGACTTGAAGGCATCCTGGCGGACGAAATAAATAATGTTGTGAATGGGGACAGGCCCTGGCGACACTTGGCGAGTCTGCCTCACTCTCTCTCCCTCTGCCTGAGGAGTTAAGTCTGCCGAGTTGTGAATGTCACAAAGAGACCACGAAGAGAAGGGCGGGCGACAACTTCATAAAGCGGACGGACGCCTGTCTCTTCGCCAGATCTGGGTGTGAGCAGGCGGTGACCAACCACGTCAAGTGAGGCAGAACCAGCCTGGGTGCGGTCTGGAGTCGACTTGGTCAAAAAGTCTGATGATATGAGAGGACTCAATACAACAAGGAAGTCAACCGCAGGGACAGATACAAAGAGGATGATAGAAGCTCTAGACAGACTCTCATAGACTACCTACAACGGTGACAGGATGCCACGACGACATTGTCGCTACTATGGCAAAGCTTCTTTTCTCTGTTGACATCGGAAGTGAAGACAAGGGCGGGTCACCAGGAAGGACACTGGTTGTGAACGACGGTGAAAAGTTCATCTATCCACGAAGGATGGGCAACCACCACACTAACATCACATGGTTCTACGAAGCCTCCCGCGTCCAACCTGAGGAAGAACATGCCAAGCTGTACTGCTTAAGGATCAGCGTCCCTCATGTTCGATTTGAACCTTTCGATCGCCCTCTGCTTGGTCTTTTGCCAGTCGACATATGGTTTGAAGTACCCCAGTTTCTCAAACTCCTGCTTGTCCAAACGGTGGTACGGATCGAAGATGGCCTTTCCCTTGACATCCTTCAACTCCGGGATCCACTTGCGGATGTACTCACCCTCAGGATCATTCTTCTCGGCCTGGCTGACAGGGTTGAACACGGTGTAGCTGGGTTCCCAACCTTGCGTGTTGTTGCTGAGATCCCAATCGATCAACGTCTCTGCAAAATATCGCTCTCCCCGTCGATAGTCGATGAGCAGATTACAATACAAGTAGCTCGAGACATTCATGCGCAGGCGGTTGTGCATGTAGGCTTCGTGTTTGATTTGCCGCATACCAGCGTCCACGAAAGGAACACCCAATTTGCCCTCCTCCCAGCGCTTGTATCCTTCCTCATCTTCCTCCCAGTCCACAAAGTCGAATTTGAGATTCTGCGGAAGATTCATGGACGTGTGAGGCGTCTGGAGCAGGGTCTGTCGATACAGCTCTCTGAAGACGATTTCGCGCACCCATCCAGACATGCCTGGGTCGCAGCCTTCCTTGGAGAAATCAGTCGAGTTGTTATTCCGCTGGCTCACCGCGCTGAGGGTTTCTCGGACGGAGAGGACACCGGCGCTGAAGTATGCTGAGAGCCGGGACGTAGAGTCTTTTGCCGGATTGGAGCGCGTTGCCGCATAGTCGGCGATCTTGTCATCAAGGAAGTGATTGAGTCGCTTCACGGCAGCGTCGTGGCCTGCCGGCCAGAGCTTACGAATTCGTTCCCTCTCCTCATCGGAAGCAAATTGCTTTTCCTTGGGTGGGCTGGGAACAGGGCTGTCAAAGAACTGCTTCAGTTCTTTCTTTGCTTCGGTGGAATTCTTCGAAGGCGCGGGAACCGTGTCGAGAAGACTTGGATTTGCCTTGACTTCAGCAAGCCACGCCCTGTGGTATGGCGTGAAGACTTTCATCGCCTTCCCACTGTCTGTGAGTATGGTGCCTGGCTCCACTACCGTCTGGTCATGGTGCAGGGACAGATGGAATCCCTGGGACCTGGAGTTTTCGGCAGTGGCCTCCTTGAAGACTCCAATGTCGCGGCGCAACTCATCGATTTCGTACTCGTAGTTTGCGTACACATGCGAGATATCGTTTTCGCGAATGAAGTTGACAATCGTCGGAACGATCTCGTCACGTTCACTGGCTTCCAGGAAGGCCAATGGAATATCCAATGCTGCCAGCTCAGCTTTCATAAGCGCAAGGTTTTCGAAGATGAAGTCCGTCCTGGCTGGTGAAGTGCCATGCCAACGGAATTCGGCTGGACAATTGACGTACACACACAGCAAAGGAGCCTGCGACCCTTTTGCCAGCTGAGAGGCGGCGTTCAAGGCACGATTGTCGTGGACGCGAAGGTCCTTGCTCCGGAACCAATGCAGGACTCTCCTGGTGTCACGGGGGTGCTCCTGGTCTGCAAGGAGACGCCCCAGTTCTTCATAAGGAGTATGGGCATCGATCTCTTTGGCCCGTTTGGTGCTGGGGTGCTTCTGCTCGGGATGAGCTGGCTTGTTTCTCTTGGACATGGTTGAAGATGTGTTGTGCTTGGAAGTGAACCTGCTGATGGGGATCAAGGCATGCGTTGGAAATAGACCAAAACTGCCCGTTGAAGAGCGATGAATCCAAGGGTCACGGAGGGATCTTCTTAAAGCCAGCGACCTCAAGACCTGCATCCCTCCCTGGATCGAGAACTAGGGCGAGATGTCAGAGATCCTCGGATCTTGAAAAGGGCAGATCCGTGGATCTACACTTGTCCGTTCGAGCATCTGGAGTCGTGACGTAACGACAGCAATGGTGACGGAGGCCGCTGCCAAGCCACTGTTTGAAGGTTCATTGAGGCCCGGAACCGATATGGCAGTATGTAAATGGGCATTTCCTGTCGAGAACAAGCAGTCTTGGTGATGATGATGGATTATGTTGTTCTGGTGCCCACGGAAGAGTACTTACCGGATTCGCTGCAGAAGATTCCTACCTACCTTACGACTTACCAACGGAATGAATGGCTGATGGCCGGCTGAGTAGGCAAAAGATGAAAATCACAAAGGTAAGGGGATAGGTCTGGACCCAGGCGAAGAGAGAGAAAGGGTGATGGCAGAGAGAGCAGGATACTCTGCGCTGCCGTATTTCAAAGAGCAACAAGCTCTACCTGCAATTTTGCCCAACAACTCGTCCCTACGCCAGCGACGGCAATACTGCCAACGGCGCATAATCCAGTCGTAACAGACGACGTTGCAAGGAGAATAAACCCTTTCCATTTGTCGATGAAGTGTGACAAAAAAGAACTTGACTCGACAGCGTCGCACATGAATTGTAGATGCTATTTCCGACTGGACGTAATACGCAGTAGGCGAGTAGTACCGAATACGCAGCAGAAGGAGCTGTGAGCAGAGCTCAACGGGGATGATTATCATGCGCCCAGATGTCAACCAACAAACGGGCCTGTGGCTTGATGAGTATTACAGGTGGTGTTCGTACGCATTTGGCCGAGAAACAGGGGGCCACAGGGACCTCCGTAGATACTCCGTTCCCATCGTTGCAGATACGAGAGCAAGGCAGGGCGCAGGGCGGCGGGCGGCAGCTTCTGGAACGAATGGATCACAATAATAATGGATCACACACCAAGGAAGTGGGCAAAGAGTGGGCTTGATCTTCATTGTCCGTTGCCAGTGGCTGCATTAGTCGTCTGCTGGTTCGTGTTCGGTTATTTGAAGCGAGAACAGGATACCGAGTACTGTGTGCCGCTGTGGTGCTGTACTCGTCCTGCTGCATAATGGGGACGGGTGATGTAGGGGGCTATGGACGGGCTCCTTGTCTTGTTTCCTTTTTTCTTTCTTCGCCCCCCCGGGCGTGTATCCTGTCTTGTCTCTGATAAATGAATCCGTGAAATAATGTGAAATCAACGGGATAAGCGCACGAGTAGCAGGCGACGGTGAAACAGCCTAAATGGGGCAAATGGATGAGAAAAACACCAAAAGAGAGTTTTGGGGGGCATCTGGTCGACGTCGACCAGATGTTTTACTTCGTACAGGGGTATCTACATACGCAATGCCAGTTGACTATTGTTAACCACCACTGGTCCGAGCTGATCGGTTCTGTTGAATAATTATCCCCTCGGAGATGGAGGTGGGATGCCTGCCGAAACGCGTCGAGAAACATCATCCTTATACCATGCCAAGGTTCGCTACGACGAGTTATGCAACTCGTGAGTTTTTCCCTCGGGCCCTGGTCACCGTGGCATGACTACTGAAGCAAAGATGCAAATCCTATGGTCAGCTCGGCAGGTAGTAGTGGACGAGGAGTTGCTAGCACCGCCTTCTTTTTCCAAGCTTGCCAGCCATCCAAGACAAAATTTGAGACCCCCCCGAACTCGGGCCAACCGAATAATGAAGCCGAGATAGGAGGGCCTGGTGAATTAGTGGTTCGTTTAGGAAATCAGCGTCGTACCAACACTGCTTTTGGGCGGGCAATTGCGCGGACAAGCGGAACAAGGCCGGTGACCGTCCGCCTGTGCCGTGGGAAGTTCAAACAGAGGAGTAATGTGTATGACCGACACGCGGGGCGCTTTCAGTTTTTGGAAAATGCCTTGCCATGCGGATGACCCAGAGGATGGTGTACATACTATTTTCTGGCAAGGCTGACGGGGGCGGGTTCGACCAAACCAAACATCGAGAAAATATCCACCTTATGGGGGAGGGATTATTAAGTGACTGTGCCGGGTGCGGTGAGACGGCCAGAATCAGACTAAGACTGGTACGTGATGAGAGAAGGAAGGAAAGACATGATCCATGATCCCATGACCTTGTAGGACATCTTGAGTAAAGCAAAGGCTCCCTCCCGACTTTGTCGACGACTCTGGTGTTCGTAACTGTATATCCCAGCATTTCCCGACGTCACGGATGCGGGTCATGGCTGCGAAAGGGGGTTTGCAGTTTGTGCGCCTTCACCACGTGGGCTGCGGAGCTCACAGAGGTGGATATACTGTATCTCGTAGGTGTCCATTCTTAACGGGTTTTCCTCCAAAGCACAATCTGTCGCACAAGCCTGGCCTTGGTCGAAGTCTATAGACCCGAGGATATCTGGGTCTGGCTTGTCAACATCGCCACCTGTTGGTGTTTTCGACATTCCTTGTTGAGGTGGAATGTGTTGGATTTTCCCGAGAAAACCCTAACAATGCAGGCATCGAATCAAAGGCAAGGCCATCAGTGACGGAGTGGCAATCAATGGCAGATCTTTACCTGTCTTCTCAAACCGCCCAAGCTGAGAATCCCTGAAACTCGTCCATCATCACCGAGTCCAGGAACCCTGAATCATGACTCTCGCATCCACTTCTTGCAGTTTCTGGTAGGCGGAGCGACAGATCACAGGAAGACACACGCAGAACAAAGAAGTTCCGAGTAAACATCTGACCACGAATTCTGACATGGCGAGACACTCTAAGCTTCGGACACACAACAGGATGTGACTAGGGACCAAGCCCAACGGAGTCTTTCTGTCCCCTATAGCTTCCTTCTTGAACCAGTGTCGGGCTGGCGTCAGCGTGGCAAAAGGTCTGTATTAGTTGCTTCAGTACCTTTCCAGCACGTACGCAGGCGCAGTGTCCTGGTCCATGCTGATGCAGGTTCGGTCGGGAAGCCGCGTTCATCCGGCACGACAAATAATGCTACGCACATATGCTCGGTCCAAGGCTTTACCACGCAGTAATATTTCTTGGTACGGTGAGGTCAGCAAGGTCTGTGACATTCCCAGGGGTACATCGACCGCGGCACGAGGCCATGATTTGCTTCTCTCTGTCCAGCTTCAAACGTTGTCGACAAGAAGATCCCACAATCAGCATGCTGAGTCCCAGTGATGTGACATGGTCAATGCCATCCATATACGTCGACCCGTACACAAAAGGGGGCCAGAATCATCGACAAGGCTTGCTAGCAGAGTTTCAAAATCAGGTTGCCCTGGGCGAAGAAAGGCTTGTCCAGCACCAGAGCGAAGAAAATAAGACTTCCGTAGTTTCGGCATGGGCAAAAACCTGAATCCCAAGGCCCAAGGATCATTGCTGGATTAAAATTTGAGGTTGCATCGAGGCTGGCCTTCCATGAACCGTGCGGAACAGCTTCGGAGGAAAATTTCAAGTTCATCAGAGCAAGCCGGCGCTTTTTCTGCTTTTGTCGGCTGGCACGTCGTGACTGGTCGGGGATAGCTCTGACCTGGCCATGGTGGCCACTGATCTGGCAATGATGCGTCTAGCATCTAGCATCCTCCAGGGATCCCACCCTGAAAGAAGGGGGGCAAAAGGTTCCGAGTCACCGTCAACCATCGAGACGGGTGATTGGTGAGAGATGCAATATTATGACATTGGGGTCGTCTGAACCCACCCAGATCCCACCGAACCGCACCCGATTCTTGTCGTGCAGTGTGTCCACCCATCGTGCCCTGGGGCTCGGTATAAGGTTGTCTTTCAGGGCAGTTACTGGCACACGGCGAACCCAGTGCACCGGATTTGGCACTTACAATCTCAGAACCGACCAGTTCAGGGTTCGCTACACGAGGCTTGACGCCTAATAGTGTCGCGCGCCGGACAAGAGCGCCGAGTGGCGCCTCAAGCGAAGGGCTGGTGAGGCGCGGTCAGCGCCTGACCAAGCCCAAACAAGCAGTTTTGGAAAGATGAGCGAGAGGGACGCTCCGAAAGTACTCGGTACCTATCTCCGGGTACTTTGGACTGTCCTGTACTGTATGTACTGTATGTACGAGGACAGAGAGGAAATAGATTTTGACGGGCTTCTCCCGGCAGAGAAATGGTGGTTTTGTCAACAACGAGGAGGCCTCTGCCTGCGACATGTTCTGGTAGTAGTTAGCAATACTAATACAACATATACGAGGAGACGGGCACCCCAAGCAACCGAGGTGACGATGTGATCGTGTTCAGTGTGTGCACAATGCTGGTGCAGGGGTGTTCGAGGTCGGTGGTGACGAGTTCGATACCTTTGGCGTTGGTCAGCCTAGGGGAAGCCCGGTGTCATCGCCTGACTCGGTCAGGACGAACGAATGGTTGATTCCGGCTGGGCTTTGGGCTGGTCGAGCCCCCAAGCAGGCCAATCCTTGCCTAGTGGATCCCTCAACCTCGTCCGTGGCTGTTTCCCTCGGCCGCTGGGCACCCTGATTTTCCCTTTGTTTAGGGAGGCGTTTTCCGTTCATCTCCGCCAATGTTCTGTTTGGTTTGCCTCAGTCAACCCCTGTCTTGCCTCGTCCACGCCATTTTTGTGCAGGCAAAATGATAATATGCGGCGCCGAGGCGTGCCCAGGTCTGGAGTTAACCAAGCAATATGTACAATACCGAGGACGCTACCACCTGTACATAAAAAGAGAGAGTGGTGACTTGGTGAAGAAGGAGGGGTTGTCTCTTTTCATTCGAGGCACTGGACTCGTAGTTGTCTGCTTGTTTGGTTCTGCAAACGTGTTTACAAGTCTGCCGGTAAAGCCCTTGCCGCCTTTGCAGACATAATGCTCGGTGGGTGTACCGAGTCCTGCACATACATACATACATACATACGAATGCTCCGAACCCTGACGAGCAGCTCCTCCAAAAGTTTGTTTCAAGCCAAAAGTAAAATGCATATTGTTTCTCCCACACCACACCCAATTATGGCCTCGATGTTTGCTTCAGGAGATTAGTCCGTGCCCGGTACGTCGAATGTTGCTGGACATGGACGCCTGCCTGTTCATCATTGCACGGGTAAAAATCATTTTTGTACATGCTCGACTGATTTGATGGCGTAAGAAATGGCAACTGGAAGCATGCGACAGGGGTGGGGAAGGGGGCTGCCAGCAGGTGCTAAGTCATGGTTTGTAGCTTGGGTACGTGTTCTGGCGTGCACCCCTGTCCGGTGGCCTCCCCCTAGCCCTCCGTACTTGTCCTGCTTTGGGCGCGTGGGCTTGCATGCTACCGCCGCCACCAGCACCCTCCCCGATCGACATTTGACGGTGGGTCATCGGAAGGGCAGTGGTTGGCCCGCAGCCAAAGGAAAAGTGGGTGCCACCGTCACAGCGCCTGCGCTCTGACTGAATCATTCATTTCAGTTTACCACTCAAGCTCAACCATTGCGACCCTTATGCTACCGCTGGTGTTAGCTGCTACTGCTCCTGCTTCTTGCGACCTGCTGGGCTCTGCTGCTTGCTGCTTGTCCAGTACGAATCCCTTTTTCGTGTTTCTTTCCTCCTTTGCCTACAAGTAATCATCGTCTCTCCTCTTGCCTCTCACCTGCTACTCTGAGCGTAGCCCCGAATCACCCTCACTCGTTGCCATCTCACTGGCAATTGACGATTGGCGATTGGCCCTGTCCTCCGAAACAACAATCTCCTTCCTCCCAAGCCGGAAAAAGCCAAGCCAAGCAAGAAGAGCAAAAAAAAGAAGGCTCCAACCCAACCCGTCTTTCGCCCGGCATTACCTCCCGAGTTAAAATTTCTCTGACCTCTCTTCGTCGCCTCTCAAACCCTCCCTTTCGGCGAACCAACCATCACCTGCTGCCTGGACCTCCTGGACACCACCCAGACCACCACATCATCATCATCACGTACGCCCACCCCATCATCTGCCGCCCCAACCCAAAAAATCATCCTACGGAGCTCCCCCAAGACACAAAACCTTCCCACTTCCCACTTTCTCCCACTCACCCTACCCACGCACGCCCGACCGCCTATCTACCGTCTACCCTGCCGCGCCAGACCCAGCAGCAAAATATCCTGCAAGTCACCGACCGGCCACTGGGGCGAAAAAGACCAAGAGGACCCAGCAGGCGACCCTCATCTTAACACTTTCCTCGTACTTTTTTTTTCGCGCGTTCCTCAAAACAAAAATTTCTTTCTATCCCGTACGTGACTCTTCCCTCCCCCCTTCCCTTTATTCCACTCCCAAAAAAACCCCACCCACCCAACTTCCTCCACTTTACCAAACCACTCCCCTGCAATCCTCACCTCGATCAGCCGCAAGCCTGTCCTGTCGCGTGTCTGGACAGCTCACAGCAGACAATCCACCTTTCCGCTAATCCGTTTACTGACTTGTGTGGCTTTTCCTTGGTACCTTGCAGACTCTGATCTCCTCCAAGCCAAACCTCCAACAACCTTAGCCCAAAAACACCATCGAAAAATCTCAACCCCCATCCTGTCCTTACTGAAGACCACCGGCCTCGATCTCAAGAGCCTTGATCGATTCCACCCTCACGCGAGAGACACACCCATTCTCCTCTTCCTTGCACCCTCGTCGCTGCGCTTTGTCGTCCAATGGTCGATTGAGCTCGTCGACTCCACTGGTGTATTGAAATCGGGTAATGGACCCTAGGCAGTCACTGTCAAGGACAACATCGTCCAACGTTGCAGCACCTCAAAACACGTACAATCCAAACAACATGGCTTCCGCCTACGCCATGCCTCCCTACCAGAGTAACACGCATCTTCCTCCCATTAACTACGCCCAACTCCCACCTGCCGGCCAGAACTACATGCCCCAACAATACCGAAATGACCTCCCGCGTTACAGCTCTGCGCCCTCCAATGCACCTGTCCCATCTCCTGCTCCTGAGAACAGATACATGGCCCCTCAAGGCTCCATGGGCGGTCTGCCACCGTCGTCTGCGTTGCCGCAGCCCCATAACCCGGCGCAACAACAGCAGCAGCAGCAACAGCCACCTCCTCCACAAGGCTACCAGGGGCCACCGCAGCCGCGTCAAGCCTACCCGCAGCCTCTGGCCCCTGCACCCCCGCGTTCGGATACTTTGGGACCCCCATATGGCCAGCCGGACACTCGTCAAGCCGCCTGGTCTCAGTCAGAACCCATGCCTACCATGACCACTGATGTCGGGCGCGATCCCACGCGAACGCACGTGGTGGGCTCTCAAGGACGGAGAGGTATTCTGCCCAGCGCGCCCGGGCGCCCTCCCGTGATGCCCAATGGTATCAACGGCTCGCAGAAGAGCAACGCCGTCCCTCAGAAGGATGCTGATGGAAAATTCCCCTGCCCAAACTGTACCAAGACTTATCTTCACGCGAAGCATTTGAAGCGGCACATGTTGAGACGTAAGCTTCATGGAACTTCGCCATCTTGTTTCTCTTGTACGCTAACGACCATTTTGCAGATACTGGTGATCGGCCGTACATGTGTGTCCTCTGTAACGATACGTTCTCTCGAAGCGATATCTTGAAGCGGCATTTTCAGAAATGCTCGGTTCGTCGTGGCAACCCGACGGGAGCGAGCCACTTGTCCAACCCTGCTGCTCATATCAAAAAGAACCAGCAAAAGGCAGCAACTGCCTCGCCAGCAAGTGCCACCACCCCGAACGCGGTCATGCAAAACCCTCCATACACCAGTGCTGCCATGCCCAACACTTCGGCGCCGACCACCAGTGCCCCAGCCCCTGGAATGGCCTATCCGATGCAACCCAATGGTCCAGGCGACATGCAGCGTCCGGGGCAGCCCATGCAGCCTGGATCTGGACCGGCCGGCATGGACCCCAATGCCAATAACTCGTGGTCGATGCACAATGCCCGAAGTAATCCAATGATGTATCACTCCAACGCCACACCTCCTGATCACTATGGCATGCAGCCCGGTGGAGGGGAGGATAAGCGCAATGTCATGCCTGGCCCTCACCATATCGGGGATGAGTGGAACCATATGTTTCCATCAGGTGGCAATGAGGGATACATGAACCCCATGTTTGGCGGTTATGACCAATCCCAGAATGATGTCAAAAAGGATTATGAAACACATGAAGGTGGATCGAATGGTTACTACATTCCCTCTACGAGCCTTGGAGCTGACGGTACGCTTGGACCCCCTCTCTGGAATCTGCATGCATCTCGGCAAGACTTGTTCCAAGCCAAGGTGAACTCGCTATTAACGTTTGTCTTCCCTGGGGGGTTACAGGAATCGCACCGAGACCCACAAAATGATTTTTTCAGGTCCTGCCTGACCGTCGAAGCCATCCAGCATTTTCTCGATCTCTTTCCGAATTTTCAAGGTCATTTCCCATGGCTTCATTTACCGACCTTTAATTTCCTGACCGCCTATGACGGCCTCATCCTTGTCATCATCTGCAGCGGGGCTGTGTACTCTGACCGCGTGACGCAAACTCAGGTACGGGCTTTGATGCAACTTGTCAAGTCCGGCATCGACCGTACATCACAACTTCTACATAACCTGGAGCCGGGAGTCGCAAGGAACCGGCTGTCGATGACCGGGGAGACGGAGTTTGAAGAACTCCTCGCGCTACAAATTTTGCAGAGCTTGTTCGTTTGGCACGGAGGGCCCGATGAAAGAGCTCTTGCCCGTGCAGAAAGTAAACGAGTTCTGTATCTGGTTCGACAGCTCGGCATGTTAACTTTGGCTGGCCCAGAGGATCAACTTAGCTACAGTTATCTTCACAACCTTCAACCTGGTCAGACTGCCCAACCGTGGCGGTGGGAGTGGCGTTCCTGGGTGGAGCAGGAAAAGCGGTCCCGGTTGATGTTTATGGTCTTCTTGTGGGACGCGGCCATGTGTATCTACTTCAACGTGGCCCCCCAGTTCTCGTCTGCCGAGATCAAACTACCCTTGCCTTGCGACGACGCTGCCTGGGAAGCTCCAGACGCCGAAACCTGTGCTCAAGCCCTCGGCCTCCGCGGAGCGGATGCCCAAGCGAGGATCAACATCAACGGCTCGCTCCGACTGAAACAACTGGAGATGCACCACGCCATGAGTGCCTTGCATAGTTCGACCGTAATCATGCAACCGCGAACTACCAACGTTTATTCCAAGTTCATCCTCATCCACGCACTTCATGTGGAAATCTGGCAGGTTCAGCGCTCAAGATTTTTCTTCGGTTCCTCGGATTCCCCCATGACACGTCTCAAAAAACCAAAGGTGTCACCAGAGGACGCAGATAACACGTACAAATCGATCAATTCTGCCCTTGCCCGCTGGAAACAAGCGTGGGACCAGGACTATGCGTTACAATATCCTCCAGGAAGTGGCGACCACATTCCAAAGCGTATCGGTTTCTGCCGGGACGGCGTCCACTTTTACTGGCTCGCTCGTGCCTTTATGCAGCCAAACCGAACCCAAGATTGGCAGCTTTCTGCAGACGATCGACTCCGGCAAGTGCTGCACGGGCTGAAGAAGGCCAGAGAATGGAGCCGGACTGACGGTGCCCAACGAGGCGAAGAACCTGGCAGTGTGGCTTATATCGATGACAATTATGCACAGGAGACCCTGGAGTTGGACATGAAGCAACTCTTCAGACCTCTTCACACTCTTGGCGACAGCCCCATACCCGTGGGACAATCATATTCCACCGACTATCGATGAGGCAGCCACTGTTTCTTGTTCGACTACCACCACCCTTGCTAAGCTATCGAGCCTCTTTTCCGACCTTTTGGACGGTTGCCTTTCGATGTCTCCTTTATCCAAACTTTTAATGCATATAGATCAGTGTGCCTCAAATGCAGATATTGCCCGCGGTGACTGCTACCGCACTGCAGCACTATCCTGGTTTAGCCGCAACATAACCTGCATGGAAACGGCGTGGAGGGATTATATTTGAGACGACGAAGCCGATGATTCCGGACTTTAATGCTTCAACCTCGGAACATCCGGTCAGTATGGCGAAACACAAAAAACATAGACGGGCGGCGAAAATGATTGCGAATACGCGACGGAACACTTTCTACTTTACTACGTTCGATGACGACGGGGAGGCCTGTGACGGTAGCGCTGAAGGACAAAAAGGCTCGGTGAATGACTGTTTGTGGGAAAGGATCTGGAAGATCCGAGAAAGATCGAGATGGATTGTTGTGATTATTGGGCATCGACACTGGCTGACCTCTTTTACCAACAACTTCAATGGGGAGGCTTAGGGTGGTGTTTTTCTGGCGTTTCTTGGTGGGACTTGCATCGTATGGTCGTGTGAGCATTTTGCGCGAGGGGAACATATTTACAAAGGACAAAATCAAAGTCTAAAGGGGTTCGACCCTTGGGGAATGATGGGTGACATGGGTTGCATGGGGCCGGCACCAACGGTGCTGGCAGCTTATGGTCGGAGGCACGGTTCTGCCCATTTTATGATCGAGGAACCTGACAGATGGACGATGTGAGAAGCTGGAGTTGTGATCGTCAGGGGAGAACAAGACGAGCTGTCGTCGGTCGGCAGGGAGACAAGAGCCTAGCACATGGATTGCTTGCAAGATTGCAAAAGGGGGATTGTTCAGTATTCGCGCGAAACATAGATAGAGAGGGCAAAAGATCCGTAACGCAAATGAATTCCATTGCATTTCTGACCTTTTGAACAGCCTCGTCGTTGTCTATGGGGCAACGGAGTTGGTCGCTATCCACAATCTCTCGTATTCCTAGGTACCACAATGATTTCTCGGATCTTGCATGTACATGTGTGGATTCGACTACTTGACAGTGGAGAAGGGACGTGTGGTCGTTCCCACTCGCTTCTGCTCCCGCCGGTCGGCTGGCCCACTTTGATTCTTTTTCTGTAAAGGTACGAGTTGGTCCCAGATCTGGGGGGAGGGGGGGAGGAGAAGGAGGAGGAGGAGGAGGAGGAACCCGGCCAGCCCAGTATCCACACCTCACTCATCCACCTGGCTGCCCAGTGAGTGCCCACTGCCCACTGCCCGCTGCCCACCCACTCCAGTGCGGTGCGATAAGAATGACCTTTCCCTTTGTAGCTCGAGTCCCAATCGTTCGTCTCAGAGAGACACACACAGTGTACCGAGTCCCTCTGTACCGACCGATGTGCATATGTATGAAGGCCGCGTCACCTGCATGCGTGCGTGCGTGCGTGCGTGCGTGCGTTGCGGGTTTCCCAACCACCCCCTGAAGATCTTTCTTCCTCGTTTGTCGGTCCGTCGAAACCCGTGGGACAACAACAAACAAACACAAACACCGACCCTGCCCCTCCCCCTATTTTGGGGATCCTCTGGCGTGGGAAATCTCAGCTGCCTCGCCTTGCCTACGGTAGTGCGATGTACGTACGGTAGGAGGGATGGAGACTGAAGATCACATACACAACACATCCATACATACGCATTGGGAGAAGATTCAAGAAGGTCACGAGTTCAGGAGGCCCGTTTGGGGAGAAGAAGGGACAATCAAGAAGCAGTGGGCCAAGTCGGTTTGACTCGAGTGTTCTGAGAACCTGTACATGATCTGCAGAGCAAGAAAAACTTCACCTATTGGTATCCTCTCCACACACTGTCCGATCGGGTCTGCGTGAGAGAAAAGTATCCCGTGCTGGCCAGATTGACCTGGAACTCCTTGAACTTGCTGGCCTTGGCCTTCTTCTCAAACAAAATATCCAATTCCATATACGTCAGGCCCATCGGCTCCGGGAGGCGGAACCAGCACCACACCAAGCACAGCAGCGTCGTGCCGGCGAAGAAGAAGCACGACTTGCCCTTCCAGTCCCACGCCGCGGGGTTCAGCATCCGCGGCGTGATGACGTTGGTGATGATGCTGACGATGTTGTAGGCCACGCGGGCGATGACCACCGTCTTCACTCGGAGCCGACTGGAGGGGATCTCGGCCACGAGGACATAGCAGACCGGGCCCACCGTGAAGTCGTACACGAATGTCAAGACGATGATCAACGACCCCAGTGCCCAGGATGTCCTGTCAGTCTCTTTGAAGGTGCCGACAATGCCGGTCGCAATCAGGATGATAAACGACGCGACCAGCCCTCCCACGTACAGTGTGCGTCGGCCGATCTTGCGCATTCCAACCCAGGCCAGAATTCCCCCACAGATCGCGCCACCGTACATGCCGACGGCGAGATTGAAGCTGTTGGCCGTGTCAAAGCCTGCCTGTTCGTAGAAGTATGCGGCGTAACCGGTCATCGTGCTGCCACACAGGGCTTGAGTACACCACACCATGCAGCAGATCTCGGTGCGTCGAAGGTCGGTGCCCTTGAAGCAGTCCAGGTACGACACACCGCCGCCGTTCAGGTATTTTTCCACTTCGTTCGTGTGCTGCATCATCGCCACGGTTTCGTCGGCATTGAAATCTGGGTCCGAGTCTCTGGTCGTCAGTCGCAACAGCGATTTCTTGGCCTCGTCGATCTTCTCATGTCGCACCAGCCACCACGGGCTCTCGGGCGCGAGGAGCACGCCTGCCAGAATGGGAACAGCGAACGCCCATTGTAATCCGAAGGGTATGCGATACGACCATTCCGAATTGTTATGGACAAGGCCTCGGATGACCGCCACGCCGCATATCTGACCAATAAGCCAGCACATATTGACATTCGATGTGAGGTAGGCACGCAGAGCTACCGGCATTACCTCTGCGGCATATGTGGTCGAAAGAGTCTGGAAGCAGCCCCTATGTGTGGGTCAATGTAAGCTCGAACGAGGTGATGTGGAGAGCTAGTTGCCTACCAGGGCAGCCCGCAGAGAACCTGGGCTGCAAGGAGCATCCTGATATCGACAGCAAAGAAGGCAAGGAACACGAACAGAGACATCCAAATGAGCGTGGCGACCATGGTCTTGTGATAGCCAAACCGCTCGGTGAGAAGGCCATTAAACATCAACCCGAGAATTTCCCCGGCGACAGCTCCGTTGGTGAGGCCAGATTGCCATGCTGGGGAAATCTGGAAATCCCGTTGATTCGACGGAGCATGCGGATTGATGGGCTGGCCATAAGAGCGCCTGAAGACTGGAAATGCGAAGAAAGAGTTGACCAGTGTCAAGTCATAGCCTTCCATCACAATGGTCATACTCAGGAGCAGCGACCATGCGATAGCCTTGGGATACAACCGACAGCCCCTCAAGAAGGTCATGGCATGTTCGGCCTTTGTGGCAGCCCGAGCATCAACGGACAACCTGCGCAGGCCAGGAATGGCCGCGGACAGACCGTGGAACAGATCATCATTGGATCGTGTAGGATGTACTCGGTCCTCCGCAGGATATTTGGCAGTGTCCCGCTCCTTCTGTGCCTTCAGAGGTTCAAGACGATGTGAATCTGGTTGTCCGTGGACTGTGACGAACTCGAGAAACTCGGAGGGATGAGGCTTGTCGCTGGAAGCTCTGTAGCTTTGGGGCCCGGGCCCGCCATCACCGCCTGGGTCGCGGGTGGAATTGCTTTCATCGCTCATTGCCAAGCGAGGGAGAAGTCGTTCCGAGTCATGGTGATTGAGATGTTAGATTCGCATCCCGGCACTGGCAACACAGTAGATGAGAGCATGAACGAGGCTGTAGAGGCGCCGAGGGGAATACTAGCAGCGAAGTGCAGTTGGGCCCATGAGGATGGGGAGGGAAACTGGGTTTTTGGGATCTTGCGTCTGCTCTGCGCAGCTCCGAGGCCTGCATCAGGTGGTGGTGTCATCGCGCTGAAGGGTTAAGCGAGAAAAATACGCTCTGTGGCAGCGATCATGCCCAACAAGGACACCAGCGAGCACCAATTGAGGTTGGGTGAAGTGGGAATCATTGACTGAGTGGTTGAATGAGTGGAGGAGGAGTAGCAGCCCCCGCAAAAGCGAGTGTCGCCGATGGTTGGGGAGAAGGAATGAGTTTTCTGGGGGGTTTCAAGCGAAGGGAACCGGCGGCCATTGGGTCATTTTTCCAGGCGGGTGGGTGCCTGTGTGGGTATGTGTGGCCCTTCGGCGTAATTATCTACTGTAAACATGCTTGGCTGGTGCTGTGTACTGTAGTTTCGCTCAAATCCTCCAGCCCGGTGGCTTCTCGTCGCTCGCAAAAACTACCTGGTCCCTGGGCATGAAGACCTTTTTCGAATGATTGCTAGTACTAGCACCTTGTCTGGACGAGAGGCAGAAATGCGTGGAAATTAACCCGCTGCAGTTCCCCTCTCTCAGCGTTGTCGACTGCCCAGGAAGGGGACTGCCTAGGAGGCATGAGGTCAATGGCGCCCGCCCCATACCCCGGATTTCCACATTCTCGGGCGCCCACGCTTCCCTCGAGGCCCCTGGCACTCGCTGAAATCCAGGCCACTAGGCTCCACTTGGGTGCCAGATGGGGCGCTGGTTTCTACAGTAGCTAGTGGTAGGAAATGTCGCCGTGCCTGACAAGTAAATGACACTAGTTACACGACGAAACTCCTCAGGACGCCATTGTCTGACAGTATCAATATCTTTCGGATTGCAACTTCGTCATTCTCTCTATTTTTCATAGTCACAACATGAGATGTTGACATCACATTGAGGTCTTTTCGAGCCAGACCTTCAGCCGAAGCTGTGTTCAACGACGCTGGCTGCTTGGTTAGTATTTGAGCCGCAGGACGGCGGGCACTCGCAACGCGTGTGCTCCGAGGGAAACTATACCGACGCGAAGCGCGTCTATTTGCGGAATTGTTCCTGATACCCTGCGACGTCTAGCCAACGCTTCCCATTGACGTCGTCAATCATGGACGATTTTGACGCAGCCCCCCGCTCCTCCAAGCGACGCCGAACGGGAACATATGCCACGAGAAGGCGGACGCTGGCATCATCGCCTCCGAACTTCGTCGACAAGACACAAAAAGAGACCAGGGTGGCCAAGTCAAACAGCGAGCGGAGAACAGGCTCGAAACAGAAGGGTTGGTCTACCGAGGGTGAACAATCTATAGCTGTTGACAAAGAAGAGACGGTTGAGCAAGAGGATGAGGAATCTGCTGCCGAGGACACCCCGCGAAGGAGCAGTGACCGGAGAAGAAACAAGGCAATAATAGATGGTGTTGCGGATCCAGTCTCGGATGCGCCCACCCACAACGCAACACGTGTGGAAATCATTGATCCCAGTGTACGGGATGGCAGAGAACATTCGTATGATGAGCCTGGCGCCCCTGGACCGGACGACGGACACGGTGACGAGGACAGCACGGCGAGACCACGATCGAGCAATCGTATAAGACGACCATCTCGACGGCTCGAATTAGCTAACGCAGAACCGGCATTACCAAGTTCTAAACGACGGAAAAAGTCTGATGGGAAACCCCCGGTCGATTCCATATCAACACAGCCAGTCTCTGTCACCGCCGCATCCACTCTCCTGTCGCCACAACCAAAAGGGATACTGACCCCCTCACGGCGTGGTCGTGGTGGTAGGCCCGGGCCACGCAAATCGGTGGCTTTTGAGGGCACCGTGGACGACGATCAGAGGCAGATTGAAGAGCAACTCGGCTTCAAGGACATCGCCCTCTCGACCAAGAAGGCCGGAAAGAGGCGGTCAAGGGATGCCGACAGCACCGAAGTGGTGGACCCAGCACAAGACCGGGAAGGTCTTGAGGATGCAGGCGCACCTCTAGTAGACGAAGATGCTGAAGATGATGCATCCCTTCTGGACGAGCCGTTTGAAATCAACGACATCATCTCAGGCTTCCATGTCTCAGACGTTCCTCCACCAGGAAATGGCCCTTCCTATCCCCCCGAAGACGAAGATCCACAACTCACAAATGTCAAACTCCAGATCTTGTCTCGTATCACAGACACCCACAGTGGGGGTCTCTCTTTCTCACCCTCGCCTGTCCCCTCCCATCTGCAGACCCAGTATACAACTCTCCATGCCCTCCTCACGGCGACGGTGGCGTCTGGCGAATCCAATTCTCTCCTCCTCCTTGGTTCTCGTGGCAGCGGGAAATCCCTCCTCATCCGACACGCCCTGAGCAACTTGGCAAAGACCCATGGCGACGATTTCCACGTTGTCAAGCTGAACGGGTTCTTCCAGACTGACGACAAACTGGCGCTGAGGGAAATATGGCGCCAGCTAGGGAGGGAGATGGCCGTCCCCGAGGACGAGACGGGAGAAGTGAGCAGTTATGCCGACACGATGGCGAGTCTGTTGAGTCTGTTAAGTCACCCGGAGGAGCTGGCCGCCGACCCGGACGCCATGGCTCTTGATGACGACAACAACAACAACAATAACGGCACGGCGGAAAGAAACACTCAAGGTAGAGTAAACCATGCGTCGAAAAGTGTCATCTTCGTCCTTGACGAGTTCGACCTCTTCACCACCCACCCGCGGCAAACGCTGCTCTACAACCTCTTCGATATCGCCCAGGCGAGGAAAGCCCCCATCGCAGTGATCGGCTGCTCCACGCGCATGGACGTCGTCGACTGCCTGGAGAAACGGGTCAAGAGTCGCTTCAGCCACCGCTGGCTACACATCCCCAGCGTGAAGAGCCTCGTTGCCTTTGAGGAGGTGGTCCGGGGTGTCCTGTGCTTGCCAGTCGAGGGGAAGGACGCCCTGGGTGCCACAAAGGAGGAGCTCGGTTGCAGACGGAGATGGAATGAATACATCAAGGTGAGTCCCGGACCGCTTTTTCCTCAAATTGTTGAGCCTCAGCAATGAGAGCAGCCTCACTGACCTGGAAATGTGTTCAGACTCAGTTCCTCCCTGCGTCATCCACACAAGCAGTGATGAAGAAAATCTTCTACGGCACGAAATCCATTCCGGACATGCTGGTGACGTTACACATGCCCATTGCTACCCTATCTCTCCCTGCGGAAAATGGAGTCGACGGCGGTGACCTTTCCAAATCCCGCCCACCCATCATCGCCGACACAACAAGCTCGCCGCCATCATTGCTGGACCTCCTCCCGCATCTGCCCATCCTTCATTTATCCCTCCTCGTCTCAGCCGCACGTCTGGAGACGATCTACGACGTCATGGCCGCGAACTTCACGCTCGTGCACAAACAGTATACCGAGCTGCTCACTCGTTCCAAGCTTCAACGCTCGTCGTCGTTCTCGTTCTCGAAAGCTGGTGCCATAACGGGCACAGGTCTGAGATCGTGGAGTAGGGACACAGCGAGAGCGGCGTGGGAGGATCTGGCGCAATGGCAGTTCATTGTGCCGCATTCGGGGGTGGGCAGCGCCAGTGGGGCAGGAAGGCTAGGCGACGAAGGGGTAGGAGGCGATGGTATAACGAGTAAAATGTTCAGGGTGGACGTGACTCTTGATGAGATTGCGTGGGCGATCAAGAAAAAGTTTGATGCCGCCTCTACCGGGGAAACTTTGATGAAATGGTGTAAAGAGGTCTAACGTATTTCGTAGTGGATGCACACAACCCAAAGTAGACGCCAAATATACCCACAGGGCTGGAGGGCTTCCTCAAGCGAAGATACTATCAGAATGCGTGTGATGGCATGATCACGCATGGCGAGAGGAAGGAGATATGGCTGCAATCAAATGTCGGCAAAGTACTGCGTACGGAGCTCTTCCACCTAGTTAATTCCCGTGCAGGTTAGGGGTAAGGGGTTCATCGAACAGTGCACATGATGCATATCCATGCCTGCCACCTTCCGCCGAATATTTCGAGAAGAAGCGACGAACAGTGGTCCAGCGTTGCTTCAAGAGGTGCCCAACCTAGTACAGACCTTGCCGTGGAACAAGGATTGCCCGTATCTGTACTCCGTAGTGACTCAGAAGACAGCTGCCGTCCCCTCTTTGCAAACAGATTCACCCCTGCGGTACCAGTCACCGGTCGGTGGGTAGCTGGAAGCCTGTGGAGGCCGAAGAGAATTTTCAGACCAACACGTAAATGTCCCTCAGGGTCCAGGCGCCACCAATATGTTGTAAAGGGAAGGGGGGGGCTTTTATTGTGACGTGGCCTGGCTGGCAGAGCGCTGCAGAAGATCTAAGAGCTTGGATTTGATGGCATTGTTGACGGGAACAGGACCGCTGCATTAGCATGCCTCTGGAGTAACCGGTGAGAAGGAAGTTGAGGTCAGACCCTGCTAAGCGCCAACAGCCGACGGTTTGCATTGACGGGTGGAGAGCCAATCCATGCCTCGAGACCAGGATGCATGTGCTGATTGCAGGCGAAAAACTCCATCCGGCATCTTGTCTCACGCCTCATCGCCTAATTAGTGGTTGGAAAGTGGTCTCTGGGGGCATTGAGGATCCTGACGCGGGCGTATTTCATAGGCGAGGGACGGTGACCGCCTCTTCCAACACAAAGCATGCCGCTGCACGAGACGCAGACGAAAAGAGCCGGCCACAGCTCCCTTGCAGCTCCCGCAGCGTGCAGATGAAGCTTCCAAGCCGTCTTGACCGGGGCCTAACCGATATCCAGAAGGCCCTTGTGTTGGGTATCGGGTGGTGACAGGGTTCTCAAGTCGGCCAGTTGGACCCAGGATGTGACCAGTAGATCTTCCTCGTTTCACATGATATGGTGTGGCTGCAACGGGCTGTAGGTAATCGAACTTGACGCCGACGTTTACCCCGTTTGGGCCTCGTTCATGCGCATGGTGTAACTCTTGCCCTTTTCCCCGGAGCCTCTGTTGGGCACTAGACGCAGAACCGGTCGCTCCCGTCGAGCTATGACATGTGTCCTTCGTCCCGCAGCAGGTTGGCGGGCGCTCCTGGCCCGTCAGCACTCGGGGTTGGTCCTCCAAGACGAACCGGGCACGGGAGAGGAAGGGGGTCGTCGAGGATGCGGCTTCGGGGGGGCAAGCGTCGTCTTCGGTAGGAGATCCAGAAGGTCCAGGTGGTTCCAGGTCGAAGGGAGGGAGCTGAGGGTGTGGATTGAAGCTCACGATGCGTTGTAGGTGGCTTCTCGGGTGGCTGTACGGCACTGTAGGAACTGGACTGAGGCCCTGCAGATGGACCGTGTGGCTCTTGTCTCTTAGTCCGCTGCGTGCCTGCTGTCAGTCTCCAATGCGAGTGCCGCCCTTATTCTCGGTCACTTCCGTCCCCCGTGCACTCGATCCGCATCCGGCCAACTCTATTTCATCTTCATAACACGCCCATTCTCTCGCTCCCTTCTTTTCTTCCTCTTGTTGTGAGGGTGAGGACCACTTTGCGTCGCTTCCGGGATCCCTCAACAACCCATGCGTCCTAGTTGCAGAGACCTTGCCCTCAGGAAGCCCTGTGTCGGTGGGCAGGAAACCGACGCGATGACTCCCGTGTCAAAGGTCCAACCACCACGAAGAGACATTGATAGTGGTGGCATTACCTCTGCAATGAAGCCTGAATGCTCTCTGTGGTCAAAACATGCTGAATTAGGCTTCGTTCGCTTTGGCTGACGCCGCAACCCAGATCAGTGACGAGCCTCAGTCGTCGACAGCAACTTTCTCCATTGCGACCCCCCGCCGCCGGCTCGAAAGTCATGTTCGAGCTTACATGATTTGCATCATGGCCTTCTTGCAGCCCATATCTTTTCGTTGAACACAGGGAACCTTTCGTTGTGCTTTATGCGAGCATTTCCCCGACTCTGACGAGGTTCCAGCATGGATCGACGAGGGATTGGGAGAACAACTCATGACAATTAAGATTCTGAGATGACTTGTGTGAACAGGCAGGCTTTCTGAGCGTCAAAAATCATGCTTGCGAGACTCGATAATTGCCCAGCAGCCGGTGGTGGTGGTGGTCCTGTGTTATGTGACGGCCGATATAGGTCTCCTGGCACGGGACCGGCGCGACTTCCGACCACGGGGATTATTGCGGCTCTGCAGCCTAGGTTTGGCCGTCTGCTCGTTCACAAAGCGTTGGAAAGCGTCAAAGAGACCTTGGCCGGTGGCTACTGCGTACGAGCAAGGGCTCTTGGGATAAAGATCGCCGCTTCGACCGTCGTTGCCGTTCACTTGCCGAGACGGGAGGACCGTCCTTGCTCTAGGGCACTGGGCACATGAACTGGAGATGGCCAGCGAAGCAGAATGGGGCTGATAGTGAGAACATTATAGCTTTGGCTGTAATGGTTCCGCCCTCCGCGGCCACTGATAAACAGGTTCGAAAGCAAGCACGAATTGATCAGTCGTGGAACGGGTCGCAGGTCTCCTCTGACTCGTCAGTCTTCGCATCCACCACGACTACCGATGGATTCTCACTGCCCCAAGGGTGCCATTGATCAAAGAGCCAACGCGGAACGACTGCACAGTGACAGAAACCCCTGCAAGACGCTCCGGTTTGGCGGTCCCCTCCGCTAAAGCTGTACCCTGGAATGACAGACAGGTGCTGGCAGACCCGTGAGTCAAGACCACTGAGCGAAACTGCCACACGCCCCCGTTTTAAAGCTGACATCCCCTCCTCCGGCCTTCTCTGCTCCCTCCAGGCTCTGGCTCTTCTGTCAGTCGAGATCTTTGGCACAAACTCTTCCAACTTTCGGCATATTGACCAACTGTCTCCAGGATTACAGGGTCTGGCAAGGCTGGACTAAGATCAATCTTTCGTCATGGATTCTAGAGGACGCCCATTGGCGCTAGGTTTGTGCAACCCAGACATGCACGACACCATTTGGCTTTGGGACTACATAGCCGTGCTACCTCAACCTGCTGACCACCCTTTACAGCCATCGGGCACCCAGTCGCATTTGCTCATTGCGGCAAACACGACCTACCAAATGGTAAGATCAACGACGCCATTCTCACTTTCGATATCAAGCTCTGACCCGGGAGCAGATAATCACAATGAACGACGTGGCCATACAGCCAGCGTGCGCCGTCCAGGCTGCTTCGCAAAAGCTCATAAGCCTCCGAAACCTCAACCTCCCCCAAAGCCGTCAGGAGAACCACCGATACCCGGAGTATCGTAAACTCCTGGGGCGATTCAGCATGACCTTGCTCACCACGGCCGAGACGAAGGAGGTATAAGAATACGTAACAAGAGTCTTGCAAAAATGGTGCCTGGTCGAAAATCGAAGCGGCCTATCGTGGTAAAGAGCAGGCCGCATAACCGATGATCCAGGGGCCGTCGGCAGGAGCAAAGGATATGCGCTTGTTCTCAGACAGAAGGAACAAGCTCCTGATGATATGGAGCTACGACAGAATACACAAATGCCATTTGAATTCAAGTCTAAACCTTTTTGCCTGGCGATGAGGCTTGTGGTCGCGTTATTTTTGTTGGGCATCGACGCAAGACTATGGCAGTGAGGCATGACTTGCTTTTCATGAAGCCATCTCTCACTGGTGACAACCAAACTGGCCCACAAAGCCGGTACGCAGGTCAACAGTTCATCACGGGCGCTACATCGTCAACCAATGTGCAATGCCATCTATCCAGATCCTCAGCACAGACAGGCTGGTGCAACAGTATACGGCGCCCAAAGTGAGTAGAGATTCGTGACGAGATGTTTCCACCAGATCGGCGCAAAACCGCCCATTCGCATACTACCTGCGAAATATGGTAGCCTTTGGAACCTTCCCAAACTCGGCCCAACCACAGGATACACTTCGGGTACCGTGGCAACGGGTCAGAAAGTGTAGCCCCCAAAAAAGCAGCATTCAAGACGCAATGAACCATGACAAGGCCTCGTTTCCCAGAGAATGGCAGGGATTGCTGGTGGAACGTAGACCCGGTGCAAGATCAAGCGGGAATTGCAAGTCCGGGCGGGTATAGACCAGAAACAGTAGAGCCTGAGAAGGTCTTCAGATTGCTGTGATCGTGCTTCGACATAGCAAGCAACCTGCCTGGTGTTTGGTGCGCACACTCGACGTCAGATCATGCTGAGTGCCACCCATGGGTATGTCCATTTCACGGAAGCGAAGGAGGGTCATGTGTGGGAGCAGCCCGTAATGGTGGTTTGCAAGACGAGCCACGATAGAGGTCTCGAAACGAGTCGAGTCAGGTCGACTGGTGGGGGTGGGGGGTTATAGGTCGCAGGGCAATGGTGCGTTGGCGAGACTAATGGCCTCATTCTTCGGGCAGCCAACCAACGCCGCAGTGGGAAACGATGCCCAACCTGGAGGGTGAATGTCGAGATTTGAAGACGATGCGAAATATGGATCCAGGTCAATTGGCGACTGGAGAAGTTTTTGTTCTCTAGCTAGCTCCAGGTATATGCAGTAGCTTGGTTACTGGATCCCTCACTAGCAAAGCCCGCAAAGCCCGCAAAGCCAGCAAAGCCAGCAAACATCATTCGTCCAACCCATTGGCGCCGTTGCGCCCATCTCTCCACCGGGTAGTGACAAAGGACGATGCACATTATTCAATGCAGGCAAGGAACCGAGAGTTATGTGACTCGACCGCCCAACCTGATGCTGCATGAGCCTGTGCAACATGCAGGCCCTATGCCAGTGGGGGAAGGTGAGCGAGCATTGGATGAGCAGAAAGCAGAGGTGACTTGTCACTTTCCACCACCTCCATCCTCTGATCTCGACATCCTCTCTGCTCCTACCCCTTTCGCTGCAGACGGTGTTGCCGCCTCCAAGCTGCTACGGCTGGACCGGCCCCGTCTTGCACAGGTTCACGCCTTCACCCACGGCCATCTGGCACGGGAGCAGCATGCCAGAGTGGTAAGGTTATGTTACACAACACTGCCGTCTACAAGTAACCTAACCCAAAGCCGGCAAGCCGGCCCTACATCCAGCCCTCACGAGGAAGCTCGTTGGACTCAGCCCCCTCTCCCTACTCGAGTGCCATCCCCTGGTCGTTGTGCCAGCTTTGCATCCTGGTCCATCTTGTGCCGCATTTTCTGACAGGTCAGATTTCTTGCTTGCAGGTCTGCGGAACCGACTGGTCCACACCCACTGTATCTCACAGCGAACCAAGTGAAGGGGTGGGAGAGAGAGGCAGAGACTCCGACAGAGAAAGAGAGGGAGAAAAGGGCAGAGAGAACGAGGGAGAGCCAGACAGAGGAAGAGCGAACGAAGCAGGACGGAAGAAGAGAGGGAGCTTTCGGGCATCATTCATGTGTCTAAACACCACGGCTCAGACCCATCGCCGCCAGTGTTGTTCCCATTCGTCGAAGTGAGTGTTCAACCAATCATTTGGATATGTCTCTGCCTTTCCGACGCTGACATTTGCCGGAAAGGAACCTGTTTTCTGACGAATAGCAGGACTCTCTAGATCTTGACCTACACAGACTTGTCCGCCTCTCGGACACTTGTGATCAGTGCCGCTACTGCGAGTCCTCCCGATCTGCCTAATCCCGTCACCAAAGGCAGGCGTGCATCGTTGCACAATTTCTAAAGATCCAAGTGGCGACCTATATCATACTCTAATGGTACCTCCTAGCCAGAACTCAGAAAGCTCTGCAACGCCCAATGGTAGGCGATCGCTCGCCACAGCCTCCTAGGGAGACATGGGAGGCCCTCAAGCCGGACATCCGCAGGTGGTATCTCAGGGAGAACCGAACTTGCGAGTATATCCAGAAACAGCTCCGTCTTCGCAGTATCTTTGTGAGCGAGAGGCAGATCAAGAACAGGTTGAGCGAATGGAAGTATGAACGCAAGAAGACCCCCCACCAGCATTATCTTGCCATGTCGGTGGTGGCGGAGGCATTCAAGGCTCGCGGTCATGAGGCTGTTTTCGAGGTGCCCAAAAGGGAGGAACTGGTGACTTATAATGCTCAAAAGGTCAAGAAAGAATGCGAAAGGGTGAAGAAAAGATATCTATCACACCGAGAGTCTCTCAGACTCCCAACTCTTTTCGAAGCAGAATACACGTTGAGAGTTGCTGGCATCTCCTGGAAATTCAAGGACCATCTGGTAATGCACAACAATCACGCGGCGAGAATCCAGCTATACGGCCCACCACTGCAATGGCATACAAGCCCACATGATCTACCACACCGGATTGTTACCGTGCGAAATGGCGACATACTCACGAACGGTGGGAGTGTCCCAACATTACTTGAAAACCGACAAGATGACGAGGATTCTCCCCTGTCCCAGTTGGACCCTGTACACACCTGCAACAGCCCTGAAGACGACCCGGTATCTCAAAGTCCATCGCCCCCGAAGATATCTCCAAAGCCAAACACACCACCCAGTGTCACCAGTCCACAAGATCTCCCACCCCCAATCCTGACAGCGGCAACGACTGGCAGTCAGTTCTTACCACTTGAGCCAATTTCCTGTAACGAGCTTTCGTGGAAGGCCTTGATGGCAGAAGTGACCGATGGCAGGAATGTATTCTTTCCAATGAATCCGACTCATGCGGTGCTGAGTTCAACCCTTGAAACGTTCCCAGTCGAGGATGAGGCACATTCTCGGTTACATGCCAACTGCTCTATATCTCCGACGGCATCGTTGTTTGTACTTGCTTCACCCTCTGACACAATCTTCAACCCCAATGCATGCCGTTCATGCCCACCACCACACTCTCACCAAAGCTACGATTTTGGTGAATCTATCGGAACGCTCTGTAAGGGTATCAAGTATGAGCCACCCGAGTATCCAACCTACTTCCACTCTGTGTGCTCCTTTCAGGATTCCAGCGAAGAGGACCGCAAACTAAGCGCCAGTCAGTGGGCAGCGCCGTATTACGTGCAGTGTTTTTCCGAGCAACCGCAGGAGGGCATCCTCGAATACCGCAAGTCTCAGTCAATGCATATCCTGCAGTATGCTTTGGAGCACAACAACGAGTTCATCCTTCCATGTCTGAGCTGGACAATGCTGGTGCTGGGACAGACTCAACGCATGGGGCAACTAGCGGATTTCCTGTCTGCCAGTTGTTCCATCATCAGCTCTCAGCCCGCCATGCGAAAGAGCTACACGTACGAGGTACCCTTCCGATACGCTCTAGCTTGGGCCAGTAATGATCTTGACGAGATGGAGTTGCACGGGGACTCACTAGGACGGTCTCACACGCAAATCGGGCAGATCTGGGGCAGAGAGCATCCAAATTTCTTCGTCAGTGGCTACCTCTACGCATGGCACTCGATATGGAGAGGCGATTACCATGGAGCGTTAAGACTGTTAACCAACAGTCTACCGGTGTGTGAGCGGACAATGGGCCGTCACGATCTTTTGACCATCAACTGTTTGTCCATCGCCGCGAGAGCTTATGCACATCTTGGTCATATCAAAGCGGCGGTGCAGTGCTATCGCAGAGCAATGAGTGCAACGCAACTCTTGGAAGAAGATCAGGCCCACGTCGAAGCCCACGGACCTGTTCTCCAATTATTTCGTTCCACGCTGCTAGCCCGACATGCGATGCTTCTTTTCCGCCTGCAAGACCCTTTCGGCGCAGAGAAACAACTCCGGAAGGTTCTGGACATCCGCCTCCTGATCCGCGGTGTCCACAACCTCATTATTTGGTGGGCTGCCTGGCCTCTCGCTTCCCTGTTGCAGGAAACAGGCCAATACGCCGATGCGAATGCCCTCATCAACGAGTTGCATCAGTGGCATTACTGGGAGCAGGAAGTCGACCGGTGTATGCATGTGGGACTATCACCGCCCCCTCGACCCCTGTTCCAATGGCTACGGTTTGGGCTGAGCCGCACCAAAAGGGAAGAGTCTCCTCTCTGGGAAGTCGCCAGTAACCTTTCCCCTTCCCAGATCTCCGGCGATGCAGGCTTGGAATTGTCTCCTCCTGACGCCATGCAACTCGTCCACCAGCCCTTCACGAACGGAAGCGCGGATGTTTGTCTCACCATGGAAACGACTCCCTCAGGGACGAGTCCATCAACCGACCATGCCTGGGACTTGCTGGAATTTTGAACGCAGCCAGCAGACCCGTCTTTTCTGCCCCAGTCAGTCCCCGTCCTTCGTCCAAGCCACCCTCATTCACACGATTTCTTCTGAAGGCGAGTGAGAGAGAGGTCCTTGTGATACGGATTGACCTTCTCAATCCGTCCAAGCACACTAAGCTTGACTTGACTCCAGGCCCCGATTCCCAAGGGCAGCTTATTTAAGCGGCTCGCCCGATTCATTCGGGCTGCTCATAAATAGAGAAAGAGCTGGGTGAGGCTTTTTGAATAGACCAGGGGCCTGCATCGTCTAGAGCAGGCGAGGAAACCCAGATCCACATAATGGGAGTGGGAGGGCTAAACAAAGGTATTGGGACGGGTTTGAAAAAATATATGCGTCGGGTGCTTCCCACGGAATACCCCCTCCAAAAAAGAATAATATTCATTTCTAAACCCCGAAGAACGCCGTGTTCTACATTATAAAGTCTACAGTAAAAATGAGAAATGTCACTCCATCTCTTGTGCACGGCGCTCCACTTTGCCCGAGTCGTTGGGAAGACTCTATCTCTCACCCAGTTGTCTCTTGTTCTTCGTGTTCAGTATCCTCGGACGGCCGCCGACGAACAGGAAGCTCAGCACGGCCGTGATTCCCGCAATGCACGCGACCACCACGTTCATGTTTGCGTACCCGATGCTGTCTCTCAGGGTCCCGCTCAAGATGGGCCCGATCGTCAATCCGGCGGAGAACACCAGGGAGTTGAAGCCGTACAGTTGAGCGTATGGCCCGTTCTCGCCGAAGAGGCCTGGGTTGGCTTTGTCGTACTTTTGCACCACGTCCGAGGCCTCGACGATGGACGGGGAGCCGATGATTGCGAGGCCGATCCCGTTGAGGGCGAGAAGCGCCGAGTATAGGACAATGTTGGCGGTGCGGCTCGGGGCGATTTGCGCCGATGGTAAGCGAAGGAGGACCAAGGTCGGGACGAGGTAGCCGAAACCCAGGACTGCAGCTGGTTTGGTGCCATATTTATCTACGGCCCAGCCGGCCACGGGCCCGAGCAGGAGGTAGGGGATGTCCAGGCCAATGAAGAGGAGACCGGCTTCTAACGAATCGAATTCGAATAGTGTCTGGGCTTCGGTGGGAATCGTGGCGTCGAAGGTGGCAAGCAGCGCCGCCTGGACGAATGCAAGGAGCAGAGCAACAAGGAGTCGAGGGTCGGATAGACAGTAGAGGATGGGCAGGGTTCGGATCAATCTGTTTTGACCTTCTGGGATGCGGTAGTTATCTTCCTCCTTCTTCGGCAACAGAGGTTCCTCTTCGCTGCGATCGTCTCCGCTATCCGTTCCTTCGGCTCGCGCTTCGGCGTCACGGGGGTTTTGAATTTCTGCAAGAGATTTGTCATATTTCACGGCAACTTTCTTTTCGATCACCAGGATTCGCATGATAAAGTCGACTCCGAGGAATGCTGCACCCAGCCCAAAGACTCCCCCATAGCCGGTCTTGCGATACAGGACTCCTCCAAGGACTGGGGCGGCCAGTTCGCCCACTGATATTAAGGAAAAAATCTGTTGCTTGTATGAGATTGTGGCTTTGCCAGTACTCCAGTCAGGACACTTACCGTTCCAATGACTTTACCAAGGTTCTGGGGACCCACGGTATCTAGCATCATTGCCAAACCCACAGTCCAGACAACAGCAGCACTGGTCCCCTGCAGAATCCTGGCTACAACAAGTGTTGGGATATTCTGGCCGAGGGACAGCATGATGGTAGCAGCGAGTAAGGCGGCAAGGCCACAAAGAAAGGGCGTCCGTCGAGCATTGGTGCGGTCAGCGACGATCCCCACAGGGATGGAGAAGACGACACTAGCGCCTGCATAGGCGGCGAGAAGCCCAGACACCCAGGGTTGAATTTTGTCTTCGGGGAGATGTATACGTTCTTGGAGCATGAATGGTAGAATAGGGACGACAAGTCCATAGAGGAAGAGGTCGGTGAATAGGCCGATGGCGACTGTAGAGATGATGAAAAGAGTGTTGGCTCGCCAGCGGAGCCCTATGGGATGGTCGCTGGAAGGCATGTCGTGGAAATATGCTGAATGCTGAAGCGAATGTGTTTTGGGGTACGGCTTACTGGCTAATCTAGAGACAATATTCGATGATTGTTATTCAAGAGAGGAAATTGAAAGACGGTGTGATGGCGGATGGTGGATGGTGGTTCGTACCTGCATGAAGATCGCTCGGTCGGTCATGACCTCATGAGTGTCGCTGACCAAGAACTCGCTTGCCGCCGACAACATGACAGCTGCACAATCCATGTTATACTTTTGGTCATCAAAATATGGAACGTTGGTCCTAGCAAACTGAGACCCTGAGTCGAATGATGATGGCTGCAGCCCAATTCCCTCGGGTTATATGTCTGCACGCCATCCCCCTCAAGGGCGCCGATAGATAGCGTCAGCCATCTTGGTAACCTGGACCATTTCGCCAACATCATGTATTCGGACGATATCCGCACCACCTTCAATACTGGCGGTAACGGCGGCAGCAGTCCCGTAGCTCCGTTTGGAAGCATCCGAGACCCCCGTGACATTGCCCACGAATCCCTTGCGACTTGGGCCCATTAGCCAAGGGAAGTTCCTAAGTGTAGAAGAATATTCGGTTTGCTCCCGCAATTGCTGAAGGCTCCTCAAGAGTTCAAGATTCTGTTCCTGGTCTTTTGCGAAGCCCAAGCCTGGGTCGAGGATGATGCGCCACGGAGGGATCCCAGCGGCGAGGGCAGCCCGAACACGCTCACCAAGTTCTCGAGCTACTCCGTTGGTAACCCCTTCCGGGTAATCGGTGAGTTTTGTCATTGTGTGCGGATCTCCTCTCATATGCATAAGGATAATGGTTTTCCCCAGCCCAGCCACGGTGGGCAGCATCAGAGGATCTAACAGGCCTGCCGAAACGTCATTAATGATGTCTGCACCGGCAAGGATGGTCTGCCGGGCTACATCCGAGTGGAAAGTGTCGATGCTGATGGCCACATTTTCGGCTTCCTTCATCTCTCTGATAATGCGAACAATTGGAAGGATGCGTTCGAGCTCCTCTTGAGGTCCAAGGTAGTCGGCTTTGGGGCGAGTGCTTTGTCCCCCAACGTCGATGATACTGGCGCCCGCAGTAATAAAACTCGCCACGGTGGTCTTTATTGATTCGACACCTTTCGCTGTATGTACACCTCCATCCGAAAAAGAGTCCGGCGTGAGGTTCAAAATGGCCATAACATGAGTCTTGCGCGTGGCATCGTGGGTGCGGACCAGCGGGATTGATGACCTCAAAACGGCAACAGGGGACATAGTGGTGTCTTTCTCTGCAAGAGCCTCAAGTAGTTGACTAATCTGGCGATACGGGGCAGTCGGTGAGAACTCTACAGGAAGATGCTCGTCCGGTAGTATCCTGGCAATTGTCAGTTTTTGGCGAGAACGATACCGTGAGTCTTACTCTGCAAGAGGCCTGAGAACGAACTCCCTTTCGAGCATCAGCATATGCGGGACATTGAGTCGAGGGTGCTTGATGTAGTCGTGGTTATACAGAATGATGTCAAGGTCAACTGTCCTGGGTCCCTTGTCAATCAAGCGTTTGCGGCCCAACTCATTCTCGATGGCCTGCAACACATCCAGCAATTGTAGTGGTTCAAGACTGGTCTCAATCTGACAAACCCCGTTTAGGAAAGGGTCTTGGTCATCGTAGTACATAGGCTTGGTCTCGTATAGGGAGCTCAGCTTGAGAATGTGGAGGTCGTTTTCTCTCATCTTGGAGAGTGCAGCCTCGATGTTGGTAAGCCGCTCCCCTAGATTGCTACCAAACGCGACCACAGCTTTATTAAGACCACCTGGAGCTGAACTTGAAGACTTCATATTCGCATTGATCTGGCTCAATGACGGGGTTGGAATTAAGGAGGAAGATTCGGAATGCAGAGGTTGGTGCTGCACACTAGGATTTCCCACGTTCCTTCTCGCGGAGGCGGATAGGGTCAGGAGTGCGTGTGTGCGTACACTCGATCGCAGACGGCGCTGGATCCTCCTTGCATGTAGATGGGGTTGGATCGCTGGAGAGCACGTGTGACTTCGTATGCGAGGAAACCGGCTGAACGTGGTGAGCAGATTGATGGACATGCGAGCTTCATCTGACAATGGAAACGTGACAAGGAGAAGGAACCGGCTATGTGGAAGCAGTCGAAGTGGCATATACTTTGTACAATTCAAGCTGATCTCTATCTCACCTTGTCACTCTGATAGGAAACGGAAAAATCGAGCCTCGAGCCTCGTGGCGTTTCGCCCAGTGCCCAAAGTGGCACCTTATCCGAGTGAAGTTCTCTCCGCATCTCGAACCTTGGCGCCGGACGATGGACTTTCGTGACCGGGTCCGGCGTATTCATTATCCGCTGAGCAGGCGAGAAACCCTCCAGGAGGAAAAGAGACATTCCAGCCGAGATAGTCAGATGTCTCACAAACATCACCATCGAGCCATGTCGTATCAGGGCCGTATTCCGTGTACAGTGTCATATCGAGAGGAGTTGTGGGCGAGTGGGGGACCCGGCTCGCCCTGAAACGGGGAGATGCCTCGGTACTTGGGAAGTGGCCTCACATACTGCGTGTCCTGCGCGGCCACCGCTTTATCACGCTCGCATGCAGTACTGCATTTGCCTCTTCTCCCTCCAGCTTTTGTTGATTACTTTGCGCCCTTCGGCTTTGTCTTCTCCAAAAACCTCTCTAGATCTTCACTGTGTGCAGATATATCTTCGTGTTGAGCCTCCGCAGCGTCGTCGACTCGTCTGTGCTTCCAGATACCGACCCCAGATCCCTTCAGTCCTCTCTCTTCGAAAACAACAGACCTGAATCACCTGCATCTCCCCAGGTCTCTTTGCACACACTTCGATCAACATGTCGTCTCCTCAGCAACTCCGAACCACGACCACGGATCTCTTGAAGATCAAGCATCCCGTCCTGTTGGCCGGGATGAACGTGGCAGCTGGCCCTAAATTGGCTGCCGCAGTTACCAACGCCGGAGGTCTTGGTGTCATCGGTGGTGTAAGAAAGAACATTGAAAACCCAGATCATGGTGGGCACGTGTTGATGTGTGCAGGTTGGCTACACCCCAGACATGCTCCGGGAACAAGTTGCCGAGCTCAAAAGCTATCTGAACGACAAGAATGCTCCCTTCGGTGTCGACCTTCTCCTTCCACAGGTCGGTGGGAGTGCAAGAAAGACAAAGTGAGAGACCCCCCCATAGCCAGACGGACTAGGCTCCTGCTGACGGCCTTTAGCTACGACTATACCAAGGGCAAGCTCAACGAGCTGGTTGACATCATCATCGACTCTGGCGCGAAGCTATTCGGTAAGGGCGGCTTATAGCCCGACTCTTGTGTCTCTGGTCGTTGATGTTGACTGCTGAGATAGTCTCTGCCGTGGGCGTTCCTCCAAAGGAGGTTGTGGACAAGCTTCACAAGAACGGCATTCTCTACATGGTGAATCGCCCCAAGTCCCGTCCAGTGGGATGATCTGGCTGACTGTTTCCGCTGCAGAATATGATTGGCCACGTCAAGCACGTGAAGAAATGCCTCGACCTTGGTGTCGACTTAATATGTGCTCAGGGTGGTGAGGGTGGAGGCCACACCGTAAGAAATTCTGCTTCCTTTCACTGCTTGACGGTGGGACGATTGACACGGTCAATAGGGTGATATCCCCACCTCGGTGCTCATCCCTGCTGTCGCCAAACTCTGCGCCGAAGCACCCCCCTCCAAGTTCACTGGCCAACCCGTCCAATGCATTGCGGCCGGGGGTATCTTCAGCGGCGCATCGCTGGCATCGGCCTTGATGCTCGGCGCCTCTGCCGTCTGGGTCGGAACGCGTTTCGTGCTTTCCGAGGAAGCTGGTGCCCCCAAAGCACACCAGGAAGCCGTCCGGACCGCCGGCTTCGATGATAACATTCGAACCATCATTTTCACCGGACGACCGCTGCGGGTGAGGACCAACGAGTACATCAAGAACTGGGAGGAGAACCGGCAGGCCGAGATCAAGGCGTTGACGGAGAAGGGTATCATTCCGGTATGTCTCCTTTCCTCTTGCTTTTCACACTCCCCCGACCCCTTTGTCATATCGCTCTTTAATCTCTCTTGTTTTTCCAACCCACGATGACTGACCGGCCTGGATTCTTGGGGGTTACAGGTTGAGCACGACTTCGAGACCAAAGGTGACGACCTCTCCGACGAGGACATGGAGAATGCCCGACCCTTCCTGATGGGCAAGGCTGCCGCCGTGGTCAACGAGAAGAAATCCGCGCGGGAGATCGTCGACGAGTTCGTCAACGACGCCGTCAAGTGCCTGCAGACCGGCAACGCCTTGATCGTCTCCAAGAGCAAGCTATGAGTGAAGTGGCTGGCTCGGGGTCCGGAACGTGGAGCGGAGGAGTCCCCTCCGGACCGGGTATGTGTCGTAGACGAGCACGGGCGCGCGTGAGTTTGTAGGGAGTCGGCCAACTTCCGTGGAGGCTAGCTTTCCTCTGGCGCATAGCAAACAGACAAAATGGTGGTTGCTTTTCTCCTCCGGTCCGATATGCGTGTTACTGCTATCGCTGTCGATGTCTTGTTTTGTTGTCTTTTCCCTCTTTTGCCGTGGGGATCTATCTTCCACTGCTCTGCCCGGTTAGGACACCATTCCATCCACACCGCTCGCTCTGGTCCGAAAAGGTGAAACGACATGAAGAAGACCCCTCCCCGTATACCAAGTCAAGCATTCTACACCTCGGGAATAAATAGGAGAGGCACACGTTGAACGGGATCCGATCCACTTGATCGTGTTCAAATAGTGAAAGCTACTCTGTCTGCATTTCACTGTCTCATTCGCAATTCGCAATTGGCTCAGCAACAGCCTACAAGTTAGTTGTAGTATGAATCACCACCACCAGCTCACCAGCTCACCAGCTCCATTTCCCTCAGCAGCGAACTTGTCAAGAACCTCACGTGTTTGAGCTCACGGACAGCTTCCTTACCTCGTGGTTGCATTTTCTCCCTATCTCCCTGTCAGCCGGAGAGCTAGCTCCTGAGATGCCTTGCCTTTTCCAAAGCATGTCTGGATGGAATGCCTCTGCTTTGCCACTATGTGCGTACGCTTTGGCATATCTCTCCTTCTCCGGGCAACCTCTTTAGCACCTGTTCCTGAAATGTGAGCCAGAGCCATGGCCGGATGCGTATTCTGGCGTTGTCAGTTGCAAGTTCATTTTCAAAGCCCGGCGAATAAACCCTCATCTTTCATGGTGAGGGATCCAGAAAGTGTGATAGCTCGGTCGATGTCAGAGGAACTCGGCCTCGACCTTGCCATACTGCTTTCGCTTGTACCACAGAGAAAATTCCATGTGTGCTGAGAAGAACGCGACCTTGATTTTGTAATCCAGTACATAATGTAATTCCGAATCTTTGCCAAATTTGATCGGAATCTTGCTGTGATCAATGGCCGAAAGATCAGCGGTCAGGGTCACAAACTCCTTTATTTCTGTTTGATGTCAGTCCCAGTCACTTCCAGGAAGAGAACGAAGACTTCGATTACCTTCACAGGGAAATCGTGGAGCGTCCTCTTCCTCTTTAGGAAGAAAACTGTACATGCGGAAAGGTTGGACTTGAAATGGTCCTTTCGAGACCAGTCGCCGCGTGAGAAAGGAAGTCTCAAGAGGGATGTCTTGATCAACCTCGTCGCCCTGCACTTACATTAACATTCTCGTGCTTCACTTGTTTGACTGGGCCAAAATGTACTCTCTTCACAAACCAGCTCATAGTTTTGACCCGGTAACGTCCTTCAAAGGAGTCCCAATATCTGTTTAATTCAGCAAAAGTTCGAGGGCCCAAGACAGTTGCCCTACGTTGGACGATTAATGTGTTCGGGCTTGGCGTATCGCTCCGACACCTTTGTTCCATATGCTCGGCGGGCTTGCCTCGAAGCGATGTTGACTCTCGATTCGCTGGGTGCTGAATCATGCAAAGCGACAAGTAACGCTCCGCGGACGACAGCAGTCCAGCCATAGGGAGGCTGTATGATCTCGATATTCTCTCCCACAACCTGCTGAATACAGCTGCGAAGATAAGGAGACTGGCCGAAACCTCCGACGAGGATGACAGCCTTTGCAGTCTTGGACTGTTGTAGTTGGGATTTGACAAGAGTTGTGATGGCAGTCATGACCGGCTTGAAGAGATCTTTGATGACGGTCGCCTTGATTGTGAACTTTTGGCGCTTGATTCCCTTCTCCACATCGTCAGTCAGGCCGGGTACACGTAGTATGACGCTCTGCTCTTCGCCGGTAAACCTGCGCTTCGTGATGTTCTCGAATTCGTTCAAGGCGTCCTCCAAGGTGTCCTCATCGAAACCATCTAAGTCACTGAGATTTTCTTCGAGGTATTTCCGAAAAATCCGATTCAAGAACGTGCTTCCGCAGGCACCTCCACCGCCAGGCACCGCCTCCCGGACCTTGACAGTAGGCTTTAGCGACTCGATAGCATAGGTGATTAGGTCGACCGTGCCACCTCCTGCATCACATAGGACGAAGTTGTCGCCCACTTGAAGAGTATATGGATCCATCGCATCAAGAGCATATATGACCGCAGCTTCTGGCTCCGAAACAATTCGAATATCCTGCCCCATCCCAGCGGCATGGGCACACTGTTGTGTTTTGGCCTTTGCAGCGTCGCTCCATATGGCTGGCACGGTAATGGCGTAGCGAATTGGGGTGGTATCCACGATACTGTCCCCTAGTTTCCGTTTGAGTATCTTTTCTGTGTGACGATGAAGCTCCGCCAGATAATCTGTCGCTAATTTGACCGCGGTCTGCCCATCGTTGTCTCTTGAGCACAAAGCTTTGGGGTCGGGATGGTCAACGGCCAGGAGAGACACTTCACTTTGCTTCTGGCTGGGATCGAGAGCAAGCTTAAACCACTGGTAACGAGACTTTCCCTCAGGAATTCCAAATCCCCACCAACACTTAGTACCGTCATAGCAAATTTGAGTGGGCGCTTTCTCGCTGGTTTGACCCTCGAGTGAACCGTCCCTATCTGGCCACTGAATAAATGCAGTCTGAACGTCTGGCTACCATAGCGGTCAGTCTGTAGTCTTTGGGACAGTCTTTCGTAACTTACACGAGCAGTTTGGGCCCATGCAACTCCAGAAAAGGTGGTGCCAAAGTCAACAGCGATGAGTATCTGGCGAGATGCTTGAGCAGACACTCCAGATTTCCGGCTGCGTTTCGGGGCCATAGTTCTCGGGTCCTGCTGACAAAAGGTTCGAGGACGGTTGGAGATGTAACAAGAGATAGAACACCGAAATGGAGAACTCTCATCTGGAAGCTGGAGCTTGTCGCTTGGCACAAGGTGGAAGCGACTGAGAGCAGTTGATGCAGGGTTCTTATCTAGAGTGAATCATCGGTTAGAAGAGTGAATACATGAAGTTGAGGTGAAGTATAACTGAGGTGTTATTGAAGGTGTTGTGCACAAAGAACAATTCCCCCACTGCCTTCTGGCTCGTCCTCACCTACTTTTGTTCTCTTAGGTTTCACCTGTCCTTTACGGCCTTCTCGAGATATATTCCTCAGGATTCAGAGTGATCTGCTCTGATCCCATTTGATCTCTTATCTGAAAGCAGTCGCGGATCGAAGCCTTTAATGCACTGAACTAAATGGCCAGTCAGGTACGATGGTCAGGGAAGAGGAACCCAATGCTTCACAAAGACACCACAGCAACAAAAGCATGAATATTTCTGATCAACCATCAAACACTGGAGAGAAACGGTTGCTGCACCGTCGTTCACACACCCGAGCCTTTGGCCAGCACCCCAAACCACCACGGGTAAATGACACAGCGTCACCGACGAAAGAAATGACGAAAGAAATGGCGGGGAGAGAAAATGACCCAACCAGGAATAAAGGTGCACCTACCTCAGTCTTGCGACCATTGCTTCATCTTGTGCCCCAGCCGAGTGGTACAAGCAGCTTGTCGCATCCAGAGGTCGGAATGCGGTTTGAACAGCTTCACGGTCGACCAATAAATTCCTCCGGGCACGGAAAAGCCATGCCTGGCCATTTCCCACATGCAGAGACTGGCCATCCTCTGGTGGATGCCAACCCCACAACTCACTGGCCAAGTGGCATAGAAGGGAGCCAGGTTGTAAATAGTGCACCGAAAAATGCCTCGCGATGGGGGGTTACTGCGCTTGCTAGAGAGAATGATCGACTTAAGCGGGAACTTGAAAGTCAGCACGATGTGGTGGTTCATTTAAAGAGCAAATGCGAAGAATATGCCACCCAGGCTGAGGCGAAATTCCGAAATGACGCCGCCCAAATTGCAGATTTGCAACATGAGCTGCAAGAATCAAGAACCGAGAAAGAGGATTTGTCGCAGAATCTGGAAAGCTGCAAAGACCGCATCTTCAGCATGTTGCCGGTGGAAGGAGTGGCCGATACTCAGCTGCAGAATCAATACATCATGTTGTGCAACTCCATCGAGTATTGGCTGGACAATCATTTTGGCGATGCGGATGGCTTTATCGCTACTCTTGGTCAGGCAGGAAAGACAAGAGCTCGAGGGAATTTGATAACGGAATATCTTGACGAAGCAGTAATCGTCTTCGCGAATAAGAATCCAAGCGTTGAGATTCCGATTATGCAAATGCTGGTCTTCTTGCATCTGTATGAGAATCTGCTTGGAGAGGACAGGATCTTCCCAGGTCTCAGCCACGCCGAAGAAGAATGTCTGGGAATGGTCATCGAAGGATTGAACGATCTGAACCCTGCTAAAGGTAAGAAGATTCTGTTCAATACTGTGTCATGACTGACCTAGTAAAGATAAGGATGCCATCCTGATGTGGAAAGTTGATCTGCAAAGAAGTTTCAACGCCCATTAAAAATTCAAACAGCTGCGCGAGAAGAGACTGAGCGAAATTGGAGAATACATTATGCGATGTCCACAGCTGTTGAAGGGCAAGGGTTTTCATGGCTGTTCCGGCAATCCGTCGCTATGCCATCAAATTGTCCAAGAAGTGGGAGACCTGGCCAACAACATTCGGCAGTCGATGGCGGAATACGAATTCGTGGTCGTCGACCCTCGAGAGATCAAAGGGGCGGAGGTCAAATATTTCACGGTTATCGATAGCCGGACTGGCTTTGCCTTGAGTTCTTCTGCCGTTCCAATTGCAGGTCCCGGAGGGAGAGTTGGCAGCATTTGGTTCCAGATCTATCCTGCATTTGTACGCAAAGCCACGGAATCCAGCAAGCGGATTGTGCTCGTCAAGCCCACGGTTGTGGTGAAGTTTGACCATCCCGTTCCGCGTGGAAAGAAGAGCAAATCGTCTCATTGAACTGGGGAATTCTACCCAATGAGTCCGGGGACCAACGCAATTTCACAAGGAAACGGTGTTGTACAGAAGACAGATAGCGCGAGATTCGCCAGCTGAGGAGAACTCTAGACTCATCATGAAGGAAGGTGCGAGGTGGGTTGGTGGCTGAGAAGCCAATTCGATTCTATGATGCTGCAATCCAGCAGGGTGAACTTGAAACAGTTCAACAAAACAAGACTTGAGCACGGCAATGATAAGCAACAGACCGAGACTTGTTACATAGCTTAGATGCATCATGGCCAGCAGAAGCTCAGGGGCAAATGCAGTTTGGTCAGCCTCGCCACGGTGCACCTGACTAACCCGATGTATTCTCACAGGCCTTGGCAGAGCTAGGCCACTTTTGGCGGTGCAGGCGCAGTGACATACGAAAATATGTGGGATGGCAGTTCTATGACTTTTTGCCTTCCATCTTCATCAGCATCATACTGTGACGATATCCAGATTTTTGAGGGTTTCTATTTACACAGGAAGAGCAAATCACAGCACGAAATGTCAAAGACCGCAACGTAAGTACCGCTCCCCATGCATGGCGATGATGGAGTGGAAGGAAAGTGCTCTGACCAGCGACTTGGAAATCCACAGCCGCCCAGACTGGGCCGACGATGTCTCCGATTCCGAACAGATCAACGACCCCTCGGCGCTGCCCGCCCCTGTGACGACAGTGAACAAAGATGGGACACGGACCACGGTATTCTACCGCTTCAACGACCAGGGCCAGAAAGTGAAAGTCACACGCAAGACCCGGATCACAACCCACAAGGAAAAAGTTAACCCGGTCGTCGCTGAACGACGTACCTGGGACAAATTCGGCCTCGAGAAGGGTAAGCCCAAGGGTCCACAGCCTGACACCACCTCCGTGGGCGAGAACATCCTCTTCCGACCAAGTCGGGATTGGAAGAACGTGCAGGCCGAAGAAGCCAAAGCTGGTGGCGGCAAGGCCGAGGAGAAGTCGCTGAAGGAGCAACTGAGAGATAAGAAGGTGAAGTGTCGTATTTGCCAGGGCGAGCATTTCACAGCCAGATGTCCTTTCAAAGACACGATGGCGCCCGCGGATGATGGGACAACACCTGTGGCGGATCCCATGGCCGACGATGATGAATCTGGGCCCAAGCCTCAAGGTGGGCTCGGTAGTGGCGGCAGCAGTTACGTCCCGCCCCATCTCAGGAAAGGTGCTCAAGGAGCCGGGGAGAGGATGGGCGGAAAATACGAACGAGACGACTTGGCTACGTTGCGAGTTACGAACGTGAGTTTCCCCGTTGATGCGAGTGCATGATCTGATCAACTGGACGTATACTAATGATCGATCGCATAGGTCTCCGAGATGGCCGAAGAGCAAGAGCTCCGCGATCTCTTCGAGCGGTTCGGCCGCGTCACCAGAGTCTTCCTCGCAAAGGACAGAGACACCGGTCGTGCCAAGGGATTTGCGTTCATCTCTTTTGTGGACCGATCTGATGCCGCTAGAGCATGTGAGAAGATGGATGGCTTCGGTTACAGACACTTGATCCTGAGAGTCGAGTTTGCAAAGAGGACGACCTAGTCAACTATAACTCCCTCTGTGGAGCTGGAGATGAGGCAGAAGTGTGCGGGAAACGCGTCCACGAAATGATGAGGCTACATTTTCCTCCCCAAAATGTGCGGGTCTGAAAGGGAGGCGGGCGGCCCTACGCCACACAATACACAATTCACAGTATGAACGGGTCTTGTGATAAATAGCAAAAGGAACTTATTGCATAGAATCTGAAAGATGATAACAGACCTGGTGGCCCCGTTCAAAAGAAGAAAGCTCATCTACACACCCTACGCAGAGCCAGAAATAGACCGATGATAGGATGGCTCGTTCCTGCAGCCGACAGCTGGCAAGGAGGACCTCGTTCCTTCAAAAGAAAAGTGAGCGCAATGACGAGAATGTCCTCGACCCCATTCGAATACGAATCGCCTGAAATAGCATGTCCCAGCTGCCCGCAAGTTGCTTTTTGCTCGTAGCCACCTTGAGGCAGGACCAGCACCCTGAGGGCCCAGGCGGAGTGAGACGGGGCCACTTCCAAAAGCACGGAGCAGGGAAACGGATGAAAAACATTGGATACAGCGTCTTCCACTCAGGTTTAAGCATGTAACAGTAGTCATTGGCGGTGCCAGGTAGATTGTCGTTAGTCTGCACTCCAGGAAAGTTGGTGGATTCGAAGCCTTGATCTTGAATTATGAGAAGACTGTGTAGAGCGGGCTAGAAGAAGCATGTTGATCCACGTGAAACTGCCATGAAAGCGGTAGGACAGGTCGTTTAGGGTGTTCGCTGAGTTGTTTCGCGAACGACCATGGACCGGCCGAAACAGGGAGAGAGATGTAAGGGAGGCTAGTTACTCGACATAACGGTAGCGGTGATCGTGGTGGTGATGAAAGACATAGCGAATAAGATACCAGATAACCGGACATGGCTAAATTCAAGTGAATCGATCGGCTGCTTTGCGTCTTCTCCGTTATCCAGCCGTCGACGGTCATTCCAGCCTCCACAAAAACACACAAACGGGCTCGCACAAACACGTCAACTCGACCGTTCCGCCTGATCTTGCCCTTGTGGACTCAGATGTTTGAGCGGTGCCGAAGCTTGACAGCTACAGGGTCCAGCGGAACCACGAAGCAAAAGTTGCCTGACATATGAGGTTAAGGTATCAGTGCCGACTTCTGCTATGGTTAGTGGCCAGCTGAGATCAAAATAGCCCGAAAAGGGAAACTATTCCAGCACTGCCATCGCCCGACGGGCCTTGGAAAGGCCATTCCCTCTTTCTGAGACGAACCAAGCATTTTGCCCGAAGGAAGTGTGTATTTTGGACCTGCATCGGGGAAGTACGAGCCGGCGGCAACGGTTTTATGGCCTGGCACCACATGGAACGATGAGGTTGGCACGGCCTGGCAACAACCGGGTTTTCCTAGTTTCATTCTAGAGAGATCATCTTCAGAAGCATCATCGCGTGAGCCAAGGTGCAAAGCAAAGGCCGAATGCCGAATGCCAAAATCTGGAGCTATCCCGGGTCATGGCCAACCGGGCATTCCAGGAGACCAAGCCAGCTGCGAGTCAATGCCACGTAGAATCTATCCGCCTTTGTGTTGTCGACACCATCCAAGGCGCCCAAGACAGCTTCCAGCGTGGTAACACCACAGCCAGCATGAAAGACGAACTGGTGGTCCAAGCTGCAAAGAAGGCAGATTTGGTGCAACCCGTCAAAGTCGCGGGATTTGTCAAGGCCAACCAAGGGCAAGTCCAGGTTTCAGAGAGGAAGAGGTTAGGAGGCGGTCAAGCTTGCCCTGGCTCCCCCGAGCGGCTGCAGAAATGCCCTTCGTTGCAGGTTCGAAGGAACGGGGAATCTTCCCTCACCGCCGTGGCCTCATCGTACGGCTGAGATACGTCTTGTCATTCAAAAATCCCAGCCCAGCCTGAACCCCGTTTGGCTTGGTGCGCCTAGCAGAAGAATTGTGATGTGTGGCCACCCAGTGTTGAGGCAGATCAAACACGCCGGGCGCAAGGACAAGACGTGCAGAGTACTCTGGGGTGATCGGCTGTGCAGTGAGGCATCAATGGATCTGCATGAAGGCATCTGAAGAAAGGAGTGACATCGAAAGAATGCCAGCAGAAGAGGTACAGGGTGCACTCGGAAGGGCGCATTCTGTCAGAAACTGAGGGTTGATAGCTGTATCCATGAAATTAGCAGCCATTGACTCACTGTCACCTAGTGACTTAGCCTTTTCCCTCGTTCTGCCCCAAACCAGGAATCTGGGCATATCGTCACGGCAGCAATATGGATAAATGATAAAAAAAAATGGAGCATCGGGGAAGAAGGGCGTGGTGGTGAGGATGGGCAAAGTCAAGGTACAGCGCGGAGAGGGAAAACACGGCGAGCACAGAGGCGGCGGGAAGTCACCACTCCTTTCACCTTTCCCGCTCTGCCACTCTTCCGCTTCAACCACCTCAACCACCTCAACCACCACTCACAATCATCAGATCCTCGACTCGAGCCACCGCATCAACCTCTCTTCTCCCTTTGATCCCTCCTTGACACCACTACCCACTACCCACCACCTCCATCTCCACCTCCAGCTGTTCCTGCTCCCATCTCCACCCCCCTCTCCTCTCGCAATCAACATCCTCAGCGCCTTCGTCATAGCCCCATGCTCAGGCTGGCAGCTCTTTCTCGCTGCAACCAACTGAAGCTGTTTTGGCCAGGGCTAGATCATCCACACCACGCGGCTCCGCCCCCTGCTCGACTTTCAATCCCGCCCCATGCAGCACATTCCGGAAGTGCGCACGACATACTTGCAGATGACAACAGGCTGCGGGCCGCAGCAGGCTGATGGTCCGTGGAAACAATTGCCCACCGTCCGTAACCAATGATCCATCCAACTCCCAGCTCCACTCTGCTGAAATTTGTCCCCTTTGAGGGCAGCCAATTCGAGACCCTTTGATGCTGGTCGAAAAGGCCAGCATCGCTGACCCTCTGATTCCAGCTGGGTGCTCGTGATGTTTGGAGATTTCCAAAGCTTCAGCCTCCCGGTGGGAGGCCACGCCCCGTTGCCCTTACCCACTTCCGCCAACCCCTGGACCCTGTCGGTCGAGCGACAGAGCCCTGGTTCTTGTCGTTTACCTTAACCTCCCTCGAGCCAAAGAGTCCCCTGGCCACGCACATTCGCAGCTGCCCGCACCTTTTCTAGCCCATGCCTGTCCAGTCGGAACATTTCCTTTTCGCCTGAGCGTTGTCGCGGAGTGCAGGGATATCGGGCAGTCCTGCCCCTGCCTCGTTTCAGGTTGCCATTGGCTTGTTATCAAGTTGGCCGGCGATCAGTCCATTAGCAGTCGGCTTCCCGCGCTGGATTTTCTCCATGGCTCAGACATCAGCCTTTGATGTCAAAATCAGCAGCGCTCGGTCCGTTTGAGCAATGAATCCCCTTCTGGAGCCGCTTGACCGGCTCATCTTCGCTTCATCTGTACACATCGAGTACGTTCCGCCACCACATGACTTGACTGTTTCCCATCAAGCCATGGCAAAACAAAAGACGTCCACGGTGGGTCCCAGGGCAAGGGCTTCGTTGCCCGCTCAATACTTCACAGACAGGCGTTTTCCAGCCACGTGCCAACGGAATCGCAGCAGTCATGGCCCTGGTGCCAACAGCATCCTATCGAGGGCGGGCGTCAGCTGAAACCCTATCTGCAAGGCCTGCGCTTGAATGCATTCTTTGTTCTGCACCTCGTTTGGACCCGATTCTATTCTTCCAAATATTCCTTTATTTCGCCCTTCAAGGTAAAGATTCGGTGGCCAAGCCAATGCTGTGGCGATTTTTAGGCTGAAGTTGGGGCTGCTGAAGAAGGCCGCCTGCAGCACGGTCGGGCGGTCTCAAGGCTCAAAGGTCATGCCCTGAGTGGTCATTGGCCTGTCGAATATGCAGCCTTCCTTGGAATGGTCCTTGCCAACAACGTCTGGTCGATCCCGTATCCTCACCGAATACTGGTAGTCAAAGTGTCAGATCCCATCGCTGCGCCGATGGCTGAGCTAGTCATTTCTACATCCGATGAAGACACTCCAATGCAATCCCAGCCCGCCCAACCGGGCCAGGAATTGGTCTAAGGCTTGTGTGGAACCCCTAAACTTGGTGTTGACTGCTAGATTGCGCGCTCATTTGAAGACTGTTCGATCCGTTCAGTTGTCCAAAGCCTCTCCTTCCCATCAGTAAGGCTCTGATGTCTCTTTGCCTGAACCACTTTCATTCCAGCCACCATATTGTCCGCATTTCCTCCCACCAAAACTCCCGTACATCGCATTTTGTCTCAGGACAAGTTCGTCTGGTCGTTGTCGAAGGCCACACGTTCAGCCCGGTTGTCTGTTATTGCTGGTCGACTAGAGGTCTTGCGCCAATACTGCTCGCTTCGACGCGTGGTTTGAGCAGTCTCGGTTCGATGCTGCTTGAGCAGGACAGTGTGGATAGGACGACTGTACAGACACAAGAACTCCTTTTGTACAGCAGGGGAAAGGAAGAGACCTCGAATCGGTAGTGCGTGCGGCGCGAGAACTAAGGAGTGAAGATGTGAGTCGAACTTGACCAACAACTTACTCGTGAGATTCACTGACCAATAACAGCACAATTGCGTCGGACGCATTTTGCTGGAAGCGGCGAGTGGTCTCGCTTCGTCTAGGTACGACTGCAGAACTTAGTCTGCTCTGTTGTTGCCGATGCAGAACCCTGATACGAGCAAAAAGAGGCCGCAACCGTGCAGAAATGGGAGCACACTCGTCGCTAACCTTTCAGCAGTCACACCAGTCTCCCGGGGACACTGTGGGCTCCATACATATATTGGGCAATCCTCCCGCCATTGGCAGGCTGCTCGGTCCTGCATGCGCCTTGGATAATTAGGGCCTAGCAGAGAAAGTCCACAACAGCTCTCAGGCTATCAATCACCATTCAAGGGGCACTGCTAGCGGACGGCTGAGCAAATACCGACCCAGGGCCTGCCGAACGAGACAAGCCGCTTTACCCACCTCGAGACTCCACGAATTGAACAAACTCTAAAGTTCCCCCTGTGCTGATTCAGCCTTGTCCCCGCAAGCATTGCTGTGTCCAGCAGGGCAGCCATGGATCCCAGTACGTATTTACGGCAAGCTTTGTATATCTTGTCTGCTTTGTTTCGGGTCAAATCCAGTGAAATCAAGCTGCGGCTCGGCAATCTGGCGTTGATATGCTGTGTGCAGACGAAGATGCCAATGTGATGGCCGGTCAATCCTCGTTTCGCACAATTGCCACCTACGCTCAGCCGACCAGAATGCCCCGCTCCGTCCTACTCTGCTTGCCAGTTTGGTGCGGAAGGGGTAATTACGCACGAAGAAAGGCCCCTCAGTCCAGCCTAGTTGCATGACTTGTGCTTCCTTTTCTTTTATCAAATCCTCTGCTTGAGCTGCATCCTCCGACTAACTCGCCCCTACTGACCTTCTTTGCGTACAGCTTTGCTTCAGCAATCTTCTCCGTTCGACTTTGCAGAATCCAAATACCTCGGGCAGGAGCGTACCTTTTCAAATTCGTCCTATTCTACCAATGACTTCACATTTCCAGGCCGAAGGCCTCAGGGCAGCTTGACCAGTGGTGCGTCAGGAGTGGCGCTGCCAGCAAATCCTGGTCTTGACTTCAATGGCAGTTCGCTTCTGAACGAGACACCGTGAGTATCCGATTCTCAACTTCCCCGCCGGTTCATGTCTTTGAAATACCCAATGGTGGCCCCAGACCGACCATTTGGTCGACATTGCCAGCCTAGAGCCTTGAAGGTTGGGCACCCGCGCGAGCTTTCCTCCACTCTCCGGTGTGGATGAAGGGCTGTGAGAGGCAGCCGATGTTGATTGTTCTCGTCTCATGACCCAGTAGTCGCGCTGCCAACGTGTGACATATAACTGTGATCTGGATGCTCTATCAGTTCTGTCTTACTGACCCGTCCATGATGGCCTTTGCAGGTATCACCAGAGCTCACAATTGTTGCTGAGCCCTCCTGATTCCACCACTGGGTCAGCAAGCGCGGGGGGCAATCCTACAACCTCTGCCAACAACTATACGACTCTCCCTAAGCCGTTCCCCAGCAATGCATGCGCACCAGACCATTTCTCGAGCGCACCTCCTTCAGTTCTCTCGTCTAACTGGCCTGGGCCCCCCATGACGCTCATGGAACGTCAACAACGAGCGTAAGTCACGTTTCCCCCAGGATTTCAATCGTCAGCCTTGTGACAGGTGCTGACTTCTGTCGTACAGTCCTCCTTTGTCACCTCCCCATTCGTACAATTCGGCAAACGGCATCGGGTCAACCTTCAGGACTATGGGAGAGAGAATACCACAATACTCGGCCGGTCTCCACACCCAAATAAGCCCGGGGCCCTTTCCAGGAGGAATAAGGTATCCATCAAATCCCTATCCTGCTCGCACCAATCCGGCGTTTCCTTTCTCAGTCCAAGAGGGTTCATACCCAGGCCACAACATGTCGACGCATTGCCACGAAAGCCAAAGCACTTCGCGGCAAGATGGACCTCCATTTCACGACACTACTGTCCTTCATCCTGTGTTAACCCCCCGCGGCCATCGTTTGATGCCAGAGATTATGGCCTCCATACAGAAGGGGTTTTTCCAGGTGGACCGAAAATGGACTTGCTACCGCCGAAACTACTTTGCAGTACAGTGTTCTTTTGGATTCAGGAACGGCGTCGTGGATGGACCGTTCTATCTCAACAGGAATGGCTCCGACGAGTTGATCCAGCAGTTTGCAGTGTCGATCACGGCAAAGACTGCCTCGACTAGTAACGGTGAAAGTGAGGCTCGAGGCCTTGTTCAGCATACCCCTAAACGGGATAAGGCAACAGAATCTGTTCCAGGCCGCCATCCCATTGCACCGTCTCCCAACCATGCCATTGGTACAAATGGCACGTACTCGAGTGCTGGGCATGTGTATGGTGCACCAAACCACCTCCATTCGGGTATGATGGGTGCCTTTCCAAGCTTCGAGAACTCGGGTACCAATTCAATTCCGACTTCCCATACATTTGAGAGGATTCAATTCCAGAAAGCCACCGCCAACAATGGCAAACGGCGTGCACAGCAACAATACTTTTTGGTGGTCGTCGAACTCTCTGCGAATGTTGGGAGGCAGGGTGACGAAAACTGGGTGGTGATAGCAACCAAGGAATCTGACCCTATGGTGGTGCGTGGCCGATCCCCGGGCCATTACAAGGACAATGGGCGGCGAGACAGCCAGGCTAGTATGGACCCCGACCGCGGAACTGGGCATGGGACCGATGGGCATGCCGGTCCACTTTCGTCAGGCAACTACGGGCACACACATTCTTCCATGGATTGGATGGGAGGTCATCGACAGGGAAGCCATTTCGGGGGTTCCAACTACCGTCATGCCTCTGCTTCTCGCTTTTCTCCCGCGAGTTTAGTCTCCTCGAGTACCCTGGCTGGGACGCCAACGGATATTGAAGTCAGCCTTTGCGACTCTCGTACGGCTAAGTCGTCTTGCACCCTGTCGTCGGACCGGTCTGCACTGACGCCACTCTCGGAAGGCAGTGACGATATTATGTTCAGCAGTCTCGACCGCGAGCGTACCAGTCGCAAGAGGCCATTCGAGGACGAAGGAGACGGGGAGCATATCCGCTTCACGCTACCGGGGCCATTCACCGACAGCATGACCTCGCTCGTCGACTTCTCAGCCACGCCGTACTCAACGAAGCTTTTATGCGCATCATCCTGATCCACTCTTGGCGAGTGGACCAAGTGCGCCGCAGCTGGATCTAGCATGCTTTGAGGGCCCTGCCTGCTACACAGTTTACATTGAGACGCCGACCGGTGTCCAATTCATGTCATTTTGTTATTTTTTTCAGTATGCTGGAGTCCTGTTGGGACGGGGGCTAAAGGACATTGCGCCAAGTGGAACGGGGCAATACTTGCACAGGATCTAGAGATACCCCAGGTTCAATTCAGAAAGGGCATGGCGCATGGGGTTGCAAAGAACGGAAACATTACCATGGCATAACGGGGACTGCCTTCCTTGACGGCCACTCAGCAAGCATGGTGCATGGCAAACAGGGGGCGGGCTCGGACCAGGCTAAGGGATACACAAGGGGAGATGCAAAACAGGCTACTCATGAGGTTACTGGACGGGAAACACCATCCAGGGGGAATTGCATTGGGGGACATGGCACATGAGACGTAGATTGATGGGCTCAGCACGACTTGATGATACGATAACGCATATAGGCACAACTTTATTAGCTCAAGGTTGCGGACTCTACCATGCGCAAGCTCACACATCGTCAACTCTATCAGAACTGGCGACGCAGCTGACGGTGAGAAGCAGGGCTGTGGGAGAGACATGGTGACATGGCATTAGCCTGTGAGACGAAAAGGTCGTAGTGGGGAATACATGAGCAAAGCCTTTGCTTTGCTTCGCTTTGCTTTGCTTTGCTTGCGTGGCTTAGATTGCGAGGTCGGCATCGAGATACGCAGTGCAGGACGGGGAACATGAACTTGGAGGCCTCCTAGACCATGAATACGAGGGGCATTCCTCCCCTTCACTTCTCAAATCCCGTCCCGGTCTCGCTTGTTTGTCCCTCAAAACCTTCAAAGACGGTCACCAGAATCCACCAGGCAACAAAGTTTGCTGTGTCCTGCCCTGTCCACACCCTCCTACACCGCAGTCACCAGACCACCTGACCCCCCTTCCCTGCCATTCGGGACGCTGGAGTGGCTGAGAGGTGTCGTCGAGTCCCCAGAGGCGCGCCCTGAAGAAGGTGGCATGACCCCAGGCGATCCTCTCAAATTCCGGTGTGATATCGTGGGCTTTTAGCTTTGTTCTCACTCTGTCCCTCATTCATTCGCGAATGAGCCGCCGTTCGAATCCTAGCCGATGTTCGTGCTGGACCAGGGGCCGCCTCTACGAAAGGAACTGCTCGCCCCTCTTCAACCCAAGAGCCATCTCCATCATCGAGAGGACCTGACACCGAGGAGGCAGACATGCCCTGGCAACCCAAGCGGATCGGACCCCGCCACGTCGGGTGCTAACGGCGAGAGAGGAGCAAATAAAACCGGCCTTCACACACAGAGAGCACCGAATCTCACATTTCCACCAGCAGTTCTTGCCTGGAAGGAGACCCAAAGGATTTACAGAAAGAGCTAGCTCGTCTGCCCCTGGGGCAGGGCAAGCAAACTAAGGGTGGTGCCAAAGGATCCAGCTGAAAGTGAAGCCAAGGACGACAAAATGAAGCTGCAGAGCGCAGGAAGCCTGTCCTCGAGCTCCTCGTATCATACCGGTGGATTGCTAGGTGACTAAGGTCACTTCAGTGGGGCTTGAACAGTGGACACCTCTGCGACGATAGTTCCAGCCCTCCAGTTGATCGACAGACTCAGCAAACATCTCCGCGTGGGCGCTGGCTCTGGAGTTGCCTGGTCGGGAAGCTGGTTCAGAGCTGTCCACTGTCCTCTGGTTCGGGAAAGCGGCTTCGGCATTTGTCCTCTTTCTGTGCCTTAATCGCGACCGCCTCAAGGGCAAGGCGGACCATCATTGACTGCTTCTCCCAAGCCCCGGCAACGCTCATTCGATGGTGTATGATCGCCATGGGGAGCAACCACCGAAGTTCAAGAGTGACTGACAAGCCACGGGCAGGGCAAGGCGGGGTCAAACCGGCCGAGGACCTACCGCCAATGCCAAAACCCCCCAGAATCGGCGTGGGAAACCTCTGAACAGCACAAAAATATCATGCTACAGGTCCGGTGGACCAGCTGGAGATGTCCACTAGTGCTTGTAGGGCAGGTAGCGCATGTATTTCTTGCTTGCCGAAGGTGACGTACAGGGCCTCATTGAGGAGCCATGCGACCTCGCGAAGAGACGTGCGAGGCTAGCTGGACAATAGCTACTTTGGCAGCTTGTCAGATCCATTGAGACTGTCACAACGGACAAGCCATGGGTGCTCAACCCTGAAGATATGACCTCATGAGTCCGGGTAGAGGAGGTCCACGGTGGTCTGTGAGTGGTCTGGGCCACCACCCCTGGGGCTATTGTCAGGATTTCTCCATGGTCGCAGAAGGCGGTTTTCAAATTCCGCCCGGCTCCCAATCAATCGACGATGAGATTGCTCGACCTTGCAGGAGGTGGGATTGGACGGGACCCGAGCACCGCAATGTCGTCAAAATAGGCAAAAAGCCAGCTCCAATGCTAGTTGGGGGTTCCACCTGTCTACACTATTCAGAAGCTATTCGGCGTCGACCGGGCTATCACACGCGTGGGAAGCGGGAACCGCACTTTACCGCCACTGACCGCCCACCTACTACACCATGTGGGCGAACGATGAGCGAGGGCCAAAGTTCAAGATTAGCCCCGAACCTTGGCCTTGGTTTTCGGATCGATCCTTGAACATCCGTGGGCATGCTACGTCCCAGCGCCTTGAGGTCGACAGTCTGCATTCTGGTGGAAGGATTTCCCCTCGAGTCCTGCCTGGTCACGAATGCTCATGCGGCCACTCCGGAGCCCCGCCAACCTGAAACCCCGAAGAACATCTCTGTATGTTTGCTCGTAACGGGAAAAGGGCGGTAGGAAAACTCTGTGCATCGATCACGAAGTCTCGGCCCCAATCACATGGGATCCGCTATTAACTAATGGTTCCTGGTTAAAGCTAGAACTAGTCAAACAGCTAGCAGACCAATGCATGCATATACGAAGAGGGGGAGTCAAAACACAGCTCTGTCACCAGCCAAACAAAGAAGCTCTCCCCGCGGAGAAAACAAGAAATATCCACTAAATGCTGAACAGGGAGGTGGGTGAAGCCAGGGTTCCGTGCCAGAAGGCCGCTGCTTCCTGTTACCCAAAAGGATCGACCACAACCGACGATCAGGGTGTGACAAGATCTACCTAGGAACACTGGATCACCATCCTGTGACGGCGCGCATCCTCGCTCCCCATGTCCTTTGCATAAAAAGACGCAGAACTCATCGCCCTAGTCTCTTGACCGCCTTTGCTGTGGAGTCGCCGAGATCAGCTCATTCACGAGGGCCGCGTGTAGAACTTGGTCGGCACAAAGGGCATCTTAGCGACCTCCGCTTTCCTCACACTCTTCCTCACCCTGACTCCGACTGTGGTCCCCCTTTTGTGAAAGCCATTTTTAATGTACCCCATGGCAATGTTCTGTCCGTCCAGGCTCGGGCTGGGAGAACCCGAGGTTATGTGACCAATGACCTGGTTGTCATTTTCGGGATCGACGATGTCTGCCCCTTCGCGCGCAGCAGGGCCTTTTTCTATGAGCAGGCCAACGCGTCGCTCAGTCATTGTCTTCGGCGAGGCGAGCTGTTTGTTAATGATTTGATGCCCATTAAAGGCTGGTGTAGGGTTGTCGCCCCGGCGTGATTTGCCGACCAACCAGCCCAGCGCCGCCATTGGCGGCGTGATCTTCTCATTTAGGTCATGCCCGTAGAGACACATTCCTGCCTCCAGCCGGAGTGAGTCGCGTGCCCCGAGTCCCGCCCAGCGCACGTTGGAGCTGTCGGCGGTTAGAGCTTTGGCTATGCTTGTTGCCAACTCGGTAGCATCTCCATTTTCAGGTGGAATCGAAATCTCAAAGCCATCCTCCCCAGTATATCCGGTTCGGCTGATGAGTAGGGAAGGCGTGTTCATCCCAGAGTCAGGCAGGGTCAGTTGTAACCATCGGCTTGATCCAAAGTATAGCGTATCCAGCGATGTATCGAGACTCTCCTCTTCTGTGTCGTTGAAGATGAGGGGCTGGAGCACGCTTGCGGCTTTGGGACCTTGAAGAGCCAGAAGGGCGTGGTGGTCCAGGACATGCCAATTGATCTTATCCCCCGATGCTCCTTTTGCCTTGAGAAATTTGGATATATGCTCGTCGATAAAGGCGATGTCCTTCTCGCGGCACCCAGCATTCGTCACAAAATAAAAACTATCTTTTCCCAGTCTGGAGATCACCGTGTCGTCAACGATGCCTCCTTCCTCGTTCAAAAGGCAAGAGAGGCTGGAGCGGTGTTTTTCTAACTCGTTGATGGCTGATGGAGTGACTGTCATGAGAAACTCCTCGGCGAGTTCCCCGGAGAGTTTGTGCTGCACCATGTGAGAGACGTCAAAGACGCTGGCGTGTTCGCGCGTCCAGATGTGGGAGTCCTTGTGGGAGAGGTCCGGATATGTGACGGGCATGGCAAATGCAGCGTACGGCACCATTTTCGCCCCGAGAGACACGTGGAGGTCGTACAGAGGGGTGTGTTTGAGATCTGCCTCGGGCTCTGGCTTCGTCGAGGCATGGCGAAGTTGTTGGCGTGAAAAGGATGATGGAGGAAACGTTGGCTTGGGTTGAGGAATAGGAATTGGTATGGGAATCAACTCAGGCGGATGACGACGAACAGGATGCCGGGGTGATGATGGTGATGATGTTGATGTAGCCAGCAAGCTCAGTTCGCGCCTTGATCGGAGAGACGGCCCCTTGTTTGTTTGAGCAAAGGCGGCCGCCAACACAGGTTTTAGTCCTCTATGAGAAGATGGCATCTTCATTGTTTCTGTGATGCCGAGTGCGTGCTTCCTTGTTGGGCTTCTTGGAGATGTTGTAACCCCCAATCCAGCTTGGGATGGTACTCCGTTTCCGAAAAGAACAGCTCAATCAGGTTTCTCAATGACGCTATCTCGTCGTTCAATTCATGATAGGACGGTAGACTTCCAAGTCTCCAACCACCCGACAGTCCTGTTCACTTAGGAGCTCTCTTTAATAATAATTAGGATCTTCTCTTATAAAAAACAGTTGAGGTTGTTCTGGGTGGCAGGAAAGGCGGACGTTCGGAAACTTGCGCGGAGCGGAGAAAGATTCTGAGGGTTCCAACCTGGCAACCTTGATCAGCACGTGACCAGAGACCAGAGAAGATGTCGGCGTCCTGTTTGGGACTAGTCTGTATTGGCAATATTTTCCTTGGTGATAAAATTCATCGCAGCGACCGACTCGTTCTCACTCTCCCACTCTCTCTGTTGGTGTTTCATCAGTCTCCGCGTTCGAAGGATCGCATTCAAAGCTCACGCACAGCAGAAGTCTCTCCAGATATCTGCAGACCAACTGCCCACCTCAAAATGGGCGAAGCTTTGGGAGAAAGTCCCCGGACCACCCTACCTCTCTTCCTTTTTGGAGAGAGAACGTCAGGACCTGCCGAGAGGCAACCGCCATCAAAGCAACCTTTCACTGCGGTTTTTTTTCTCGCCTCCCACTCTTCTCCGAGTCTACCCCCGCTCCTCGAACTTCGACCTCACTGTCGTCTGCATTCTCTGCCGAACTCCCCTATTGTCCGCGTGTCTCGATGTGGAGGGAGCTTGGGGGAAAGATTGTTTGTCTGGCAGATGGATGAAGATATGAGTCCGTCGCCGTGAGGGCAACTGTCTTTCCCCTTTTCTGAAGCGGAGAGGCCTTGGACTTTCGGGGTTTGTTTCACGCAGGGAAGAGATAGTGAGGGTTCCATGACATTGGAAGATCGACGGGTGTGGGAGACTTGGGGAGTTCAAAGGAGTGATTTTTGGAGGTTGCGCAATTCGTCATATGTCGAAAGTTATGCGATTGCTCTTCCCACCCCCATATCGTCGCGTTTGAGGCGGTGTTGGGCTATGGGGGAGTAACTCGATGGGGCTTATTCTTGAGGCGCAGAGCAAAACACCAACCTTTTCCCCTTTCTTTTGGGTCTGTAGCTTATGGAAAGCAGCGACCGTCCTCCTTGATGGCGCAGATGTCCTGTCGAATGGACCGGACTCTTCCCTTTGGTGTTCTTGTCCCGAGACGCTGTCGAGAGCAAGCACCGCTCTGCGGTCTGTGGAGAATGTATTATTGGGAGGTACCATCTCCCCAACAGGCGATGGAGAGGAGCGTGGGCCGCGATGAGTGGTTTCAAATGATGAATTCTCAATCACATAGAGTCAAGCACTTAGGCCTCCATGACTCCACTGGAGCATGGCTTTGGTCAGTGACGCGAACATGGTTGAATACTTTTTCTGATGGAACCACGCCCAAGCCCGACAAGAATGTCCTTCAGCCTCGAGGGGTGCTTGATATGTACGATCATTGATTGGACCTTCCAGCAACTCCATCATTGTGCCTCATCATCTATGTGGATTTCGTTTAGTTCATAATCGTCACATTTCACGTCCGCACCGCTTCTTCTTTTCTTCTCCCGTCTACCTTTCCATTCCCCTTCTGTTGCCCCCCACCGCTCCGCACTTGCTGCAGGCTCTGTACCAGGTAGACCACCACGTCCGACACCAGCGCAATGACGGTGCCGCATGCCGTGCTCCACACGTTGATGCTGACGCCGCCGTAGGGGCAGCGCGGGAAGCCCAGCAGCCACTCTACGTACCAGGGAAACCAGCCACGTGGGTAGGTGAAGACCGGGGTCTTCGCGTGCCAGAACTGCAGCGCCAGCCGGAGCCCGCTGGTGCACGTCCATCGGATCGCCGTGGCTTTGGTGTCGAACGATGATCGGGAGGAGGAAACGGCGGCGGCTGCAACAACAACCAGGGTAGTTAGTTCGATAGGAACGTCTTGTGTTCAAGGTAGATGTACAGAGACAACAGCCGTGGCCTCGCTTCTTCCCCCACCTCCGTGCTCTCCATGAGAATAGAACGATAGCTTCAGAACTGTCCCACAACTGAGAATCCCCTATACATACATGACATGTCCTCGCGAGAACACACAAACCCTCCCGACAACCTCCAGATAGACGAAAACGAACCCAAAAACAGGGGCAAACTCACCTTTCTTATCATGCTCCTCCATCGCCTTGTCATGCTGCCTCCGCAACTTGGCCCACTTGGAGAACTCGTCCTGCGCGCTGACGGCATTCATCTCGCGCTTCAGCCGCAGCACCTCGCGGCGCAGGCGCAGCTGTTCCTGCATGTCCTTGGACGACTGCAGCGGGAGGCGGCAGTAGATTTGCCATAGCTGTTGACACACACACACACACACACAAAATGTCAGTTACACTTCTTCTTCTGCGGGCTGGGCACGGTTTTCCTTTTCTTTTGATGGGACCTGCCTCCCCGTTCTTGCAATATTTGTCTCATTTCCCATGGTGTTTCTTGATAGGAGCGCCCATGCGGGAAGAGGTTGAGCAGGATGGAGGAGGAGGAGGGAGGGGGGGGGAGGGAGGGGGTCTCGACGTACGAGGTCGTTGATGGGTTTAGATCCAATCGTCAGGATGAGGTGGCAGACCAGTTGGATGATGAAGACGGTGACTAGGAGGGAGACCATGGTTGGTGGGCGACCACGCAGGCACGCACGCAGCAGTATTGGTTGCGTTGGGTCTGCCGTCACTGTGCGATCATGAGGTCTCGAGAGGGGAGAAAAGATGGAAAGAATGAGAAAGCGCACACTGTCTCTTGCGTGCGCCAGAAGAAGGAAATGAGGTGTCGCAGTAGTGAATCTGGTGTGCGTGTGTGTGTCTCTCTCTTCGTTGTCGTTCGGTGTGCTGTACCGAGTACCAGGTACGCTGGACTGCTGTACAGTACTTATTACAGTAAAGCAATGTGGCCGCTGTCCAGTGACTACGCGGAGGCCTCTGAATTTCTGATGTGGAGCGAATGGCAAACCCCAAAAACGTCTTTTGGAGAGACTCACGCAGCGAATCGGTGATGACGTCGGCTTGGGAGGCGCCCGACATGGACGCGAATGTGTTATATTATGTGATCCTACAGCTTAGCTAGGGAGTAAAATCATTTATATTGATGTACACTTGATGGGTTCCTGTCGAGGAGGTTTCAAGGCACAGACGTCTGCTCCGTTTATGGTACCTGTACAGGGGACTTGGTACTTGGTATCCTGAACGAAAGAATAGATCCCCCATTACATGCTCATCAATGCAGCCGGAGTTGACAATTGCTTCCTGTTTACGACGCCAAATTAATCAACCTATCGCTCATGCGCTATAAATACCCTCCTCAGTTTCCTCCTCCCCGTAATGCTAGTACAGGAGATCTCCGTTGTTGGCGACACTGGTTTGCGGATGAAAAGTCGGCTGTGGCGCGCCCTGGCTGACAATGTACGGGTTTCCTCCACCCCCAACGGTCGGGCTGGTCAGGATGTCCCCCCCACTGCTGTCACTCAGGCTCAGGTTCTTGAAATACTCGTCGGCGGCTTCAATCGCAGCTTGGTGGTTGGGCACGGCCGTGCCGCCTGGTGTGGTGACGGCCGTGTTCAACGACAGAGGATTCGCGAGGTCCAGCCCGGTCAGAGCGCGGTTCAGGTCTTCTCTCTTCCTCTGCAGGGCGGGTGAATCCTGCAGCCGGCGCGTCCGTGCAGAACGGAAGACTTGTTGGACTGGCTTCAAATAAATGGTGGCGAGAGTCCCGATGCCCAGGCACAGCTCTTCCAGAGTGGTGGGGTCCAGCTTCTCGCTTTCAGCTGTAATGGGCGGTTTCGTTCCCATGACAACTTTCTTGGCTGTCACCGGGTCGGTAGATAACAGCCGCCAGTACATGTAACCTCGATCGCGAAGATCCGGGTCGTCTGATTCTTCGGTGCACCATTTTAGCACTTGCGGGACGATTGACGAGCCCTTCGTCGGACGGTGGAGGAAGAGTTTCACTGTTGCCGTCAGGAGGGCGAGTTGGACCTCGATGGGCTCTTCATGGAAAGTGGACAGGTAGTCCTGGAGCAGTGAATCGGCGTTGTCGATTCGGTCAGCGTACTCTCCAATGATCCAGATGATTGCAGCCTTTGCTTCGGGCTCATCCAATTCATCAATCTGGCCGATCACGGTGGAGATGACGGATTCGTACTGGTTGGGGTATTTGCGGAAAATGTTTTTGATGACCACCGTTGCCTCTTGCACGATGTACGGAATTTTGGCATTGACCAGTTCCAGGAGGGCGTCGATACACTGCCGTGCCGCCGGCTCAATCTTGATCGCAAGTTTTCCGATTGCTCGAACAGCCTTACGCACAAACTGGACGTCAATCTCGGTCGCGTACTCTCTCAACTCGTTGAGAACCACCGAAATGTTGCTCTTATTGGCCAGCATGAAGATCAACTCCAGTTTCGTCACCTTGACATATATCGGATCGTTGTACTTGCAGAAAAACACGCGGATGTCATTTTGCAGGACCTCAGGCCTTTGTTGGAGGATGAGTATGGCATTTCTCAGGGCGAGATATTGGATCTCTGGTGGCTTGGAGAGGAGGGTGACAAGAGGCGGGGATAGTTTGCGGGCGAGTTCGTCCACTTTCCTCTGGTCAGAAATGTAGTTCATGAGGTACATAATGACACGGATGCAGGTAAGCACCACGGCGGAGTTCGAGTGCGAAAGCCGAGATGATATTCGTTCTGCCAGTAAGAGGGCCTCGCCAGATTCGTGTGGGACGTAGGATACTATCGCTTCCAATATGTAGGTCTGAGACCATTCATTGCAGTCCGGGAGGATCGAAATGATTTTGGAGGCGCTGGCGTAGTCAATGGTCAACTTGATGTTTTCGCTCCTCTCCCAGATATCTTGTAACGCAGAAAGTGCGCTTGCGACAACCGTAGGATTCTCATCCTTCAGCATTCTATTGAGTCGATCAATCAGGTCTGATCCCTCGACGAGTCGCTTGTCGTGGTCGTAGATTTTGGCGACGGTAATGGCGGCTGTTTTGCGGACATAGGGGTCTTGGTCTACCATTAGCTTTTTCAGTGGGGTAATCGCGCCTTCAACGAATTCTCGAACGTGGATATATGAGATAGTCCGCAATGCAAGTGCTCGGATTAAGGGATTTGGGTCCAGGAGATCCTAATTGACATTTGATTAAGGAAGTCCATACACGGCAGCTCGGGCCAGGCTCACCTCTTCCAGCACCGGCAAGGCTCGCAATGCTATGTCTGGTTTCATTCGAGCGTAATGCTGAAGGTACAAGAAACACCTGTCCGTGCGTTAGCAGGCTGGACGTTGGTGGATGTGGTAAATTGACAGACATCTTCTTGATCTCGAGGACTGGAATATCCATGCAAGCCACGATATCTGGAAAGAGAGCGACCATGTCGTTGTTGCTCATGGTCATATTGGCGACGATCTTTTTCAAAGCATTCTTTTTGGTGGCGTGGTTCTTGTCCTTTTTGCCAGGATTGGTGAGCTCCGCTCGCAGCTCAGCAACTTTGCCCTATTGATGCGTGAAAGCCGTTAGATTGAGATAGACGGCAAGGGACATTGGAGCAAAAGACATGATGGTGCTGCAGATCCCATAGGCTCCGGATATACGAGCCATGCTTCCCATAGAAGAAAACAGAATACTTTGGATCTTTGCCATTTCTCTAGGTGTGCTTTGATGCTACAGAAAATGGCAAGGAGGTACAGAGTGCGCAAAAATAGGAGATCGAATGTGAGAAGCAGTACAAATACAGGCAACTCGTTGTAGGGCCATGGCCTTAAGGAGAGCATGGTAGAGGAGAGAAACTGACATACCCTGGCAAAGAGCTTCGAATCTCCCTGTCCAGACGACATCTTGTCCCTCTCAATCTCGACTCAAAGCAACAATTGGAGGAGTCTGGTATCAATCCGGAATTGACGATATTGCTGATGAATTCAGCGGATCCCCGCTCGGTTTACAGCATGATCTTCGGAAGGACTGCTTCAAGTACGAGATATATTGCCTAGGGGTTTTCAAGGTAATGGCAATGTCCACGAGAAGGCGTTCAATGTAAGACTTACTGGAGGTAGATGAAGTCGGAGGACGTTGAGGCGTGTCCCCTTAAGAGGCGGCGGCTCACGCCAAGGGGGCTCGCGGAGTTTGCGTTTTTCCGGGCCCCGTCAGCAAGCCAACAACTTCCTGCGTACTCGGCACTCATAACGATCCTCTGGACAGCGTCTTCTTGCGATGGCCACCTCAGACAGTATGGTTCCTCCGATGCCGAAATGGGTCGTTGATGTGAACAACGACGTCCCTCCTAAGCCGAAGAATGCATCCAGCATCCCAGATCCTCCTGGCTTTTTGGGATCTAGAGCCGTGGTTGGGAAACAGGTCTGTGGCCTCACCCACCACCCATAACCAACACTTACTGACAGTCACCAGAAGTCGCAAGGTCCTGGACGAAAACCCCCGACTCCCGAAGAGACAGAGACGCTCAAGGTCAAAAAGGCATGGGAGGTTGCCCTTGGACCTGCGAAGCAACTCCCCATGCAAGCCATCATGGGTTACATGTCCGGCAATTCGCTTCAGATATTCTCCATAATGATGGTCTTCATGCTGTGAGTATCCGATGTCTCGTCGGTGAATGTCAAATGCTGACGGTGTTTTACAGCTTTAAGAACCCTATCCAAGCCATCTCGCAGACCAATACACAATTCGCCAGATTCGAGAGCGCCGGCAACCGTACACAGATGTTGGGCGTCAAGGCGGTATATGTCCTGATGCAGTGTCTGCTGCTGGGCTTGGGCATTTATAAAGTCAACAGTATGGGGCTGTTGCCCACGACGAGGAGCGATTGGTTGGCATGGGAATATCAAAGACAACCGCTTGAAAGAGCATATTTTGCCTTTGGCCGATAAGTCCAAAAAAAGCAGAGATATCTATGATACAGCATATCGAAGACCACCTCCCATTCACCGGACAGCGCAGCCATATCCTTTACCGATATGTTTCTCTTTCACCCCACCACTTCCGTCTTTCAGAGATCTCAAGACTGCTCAAAGTGACGTCGTCCTCATGTTTTACTAGCGTCGCCATTTGGCAGATCCAATCACCCCGACTTCTCAGAGTTTCCTCTAGAAAACAAAGGATGTTGCCTAGGAAAAGGTGGTCTGGAAGGTTGTGGAAGTGTCGTGCGACATCATCCACTTAATGAGGGATGGTCTTGCTGCACATTTAAAAGTGCCGTTGAGAACTTGGTGTCTTATTAGCGCAGACAGTGTCGGATCCCATCACTTTCCCAAGAAGCGGACTTTTCGTGGTTGGTGTCCTTCAATGGTATTTTGTGGTTGGTGCCCCTTCAATGTCGGGGCTCTCGGTATCGCGTCACTTGTCCTCTCAACAAGGTCAACAGTGTTTTCATCAGCTTTGACATTCAGCTCTCCACGTTCGAGTGCGAGAGCCTGCATCTTCTCGGCTATTTCTGCGTCAGGCGCTTCAGCAAGCGAGAGCCCCTGCAAGAACTTAGCAACCTAATCCCAGGCTAGGTGCGGGTCAGGTCTCAATTGGAACATACCTTGAAAGGGTCGGCAAGATCCTCAGCACCAACTTCATCAAGCAGTCTGATGTCGACAGCCTGACTGGTTCGAAGCCACGCCGGCTCCGTTCCAAGCTGGGCGCGCACAAAAGCAGTTCTCTCTTGACAGGCTTTTGAACACCACTTTTCCAGCTCGCTTCTATCGACCAGCTTAAAGTCCTTGCCGCCCTTCTGATTCCACACTTTCTCGCCGCCGTGTGCGAGCCTCAGATTCGGTCTTGGGCAAAGAGCATAGCCACATCGATTATCTACGTTTCGCTCGTAGATGAGATCATCCAAATCCGAGGACTGGAATAGGCTCAGACAATGTCTGAAGAGAGAAGCGTCAGATGGCTGTGGCTTTGCTGGGTCGGCATCCGGGCTGGATGGCAGGTCAAATGCTTCGACCACAAGATCGGCTATGCGAGCCTGTAGTTTCTTCCTCTCCTCGATATCCCTGGCATGGCGCAATGCAGTTGACCGGAACCGATCTTTGCTGCTTTCAGATTGCTCAGTGGCCATCGTCGGCCATGTTCTGGGGACTGTTGCCCAAGTCCCGGCCCAGATATCAGGTGCAAGTGCCTAAGCGAGCGAGATGTTTGCTGTTGGCCGTGACGGGTGTTTTTGCTGCGTAGTGCGAAACCTGACTGAGAGAAATGATGGCGTCAAATATCTGGAGCGAAGGTAAAGCGGCTTGATTAAGTAACGAGGCTAAAAGTACTTTCGTGAAGTGTACAAGCTGGTCTGCAGCAACTGGAGCCCCACGTTCAAGTCGGCCACGGCTACACATTCTCACAATCCTTAATAACGCTCCGTGTTCACACCGCACCCGTCTCCAGGCTTGTACCGTCATTCTATGCCTCCATTCCTCTGTCGCACGTCCAGGTGACCTAATAATCACTCACCAGGAGAGTCTGAATCTGACCTTGGCACCGACCTTGAAGCGAGGTGGCGCAGGCGCTGCGTCACCGTGCTGGTCAAGTAAGATCATTGAAAGTTCGACCCTCCGCCTACATCCACCTCATATCTAGTCCTTGAGGAGCATCTCCTCTAGACAAAATGCCTGCGGTACCGTTCAAAGTCAAGGCGATCTTCGAATACAGATCAGACGAGCCTGATGACCTCAACTTTGACAATGGCCAGATAATTACGGTTACAGAAGAGGAGGATGCAGATTGGTATACAGGGGAATACGTGGATGCCTCCGGAGCGAAGCTTCAGGGCCTGTTCCCCAGGAATTTTGTCGAGAAGTACGAACCGCCCATTCCTTCGCGTCCGGTGCGTGCCCCCCGGCGTGCTCCCGTTCCAGAGCCCTCCGAGCGTGTCCCAGAGCCTCCGGCGCCAGAACCAGTCCCTCCGCCAACCGAGATATCTGAACCTGTGCATGAGGAAGAGAAAGCGTCAGTACGAGAGCCGGCCGAGCCAGCGAGATCAGAGCCCGAGGTTCCTCCGCCAGCCCCGAAGCCTCAGCCGCTGCTCCCGTCGCCCCAACCGCTGTCCCAACTTCTCCTCCCGCCACTTCCCGTGCCCCTCCGCCCGTGGCAGAAAAGCCGTCATCTAGTTCTTTCAGAGACAGGATTGCTGCCTTCAACAAGCCTGCTGCAGCGCCAATTGCGCCTTTCAAGCCCGGAGGTGGTGGGCCCAGCAGCGGTTTCATCAGAAAGCCGTTTGTGGCACCCCCGCCCAGCAGGAACGCTTTCGTTCCCCCAGCACCCCGAGAAGCCCCATTCAGAAACCATACCGGCGTGAAGATGATGCAAATGTAAATGGGGCAGAATCTAGAGATCTAGCGGACCCCTCCGGTGCTCAACCCGAGCCGGAGGTGGAAGACCAACCGAAGCCCCAGTCTCTAAAAGAGAGGATAGCACTTCTGCAAAAGCAACAATTGGAGGCAGCCGCACGAAATGCTGAGAAGAAAGAGAGGCCAAAGAAACCACCCAAGAAGAGAGTCGAGACGAGCGAGCCTGGTGAACAAATCCAGCCACCTGAGCCGACTTTGGCGAGGCTCGATTCCAATGAAACTCTGGGTCGCCCGTCTGCTGAGGTAGCCGAAGGCGAACATGACATCCCAGGCCTCCCCCGTCGCACGACAGGCCTCAGCACGCCCCAGCCTGCTTCTCGAGAGCTCGTGAGTGATACAAATGACGCCGATGACTCAGGAGCCGCAGACGACGACGACGCTCAAGAAACTTCCACGGAAGAAGAGCGTCCAAAGTCTAAAGGCACGGATATCCCTATTCCAGCAGCTATCCCCAGGAAATCAATGGACGATGACCGAGAGAAACAGGGTGAGGAGGAGGAAGAAGAAGAAGAGGAGGAGGAGGAAGAGGATGAAGAGGAGGATCCGGAGCTCCGTCGGAGAAGAGAGCTCAGAGATAGGATGGCTAAGATGAGCGGAGGTATGGGCATGATGGGCATGTTCGGCGCTCCGGCCGGGATTGGACTTCCTGGCGCTGCGAGGAAGCCAAAATCAGAACCCTCTCGACAGGCTTCTGAGAGCCATCCACAGGACGAGCCTCAAGAACGAGCAGCTCCGGTGAGAATCATGGCCCTGCCAGGAATGTCTCCATCAATACCCAAACGGCAAGAGGACCCTGTGGCTTCGCCAGAAAGTGACGAAGACGAGACTGCACGTCCGACGCCCCAAGAACCAGGCGTCCAGGGAGAGACCGAAGATTATATTTCGAAACCCCTACAACGGCGCTCGACGGATCGTCCTCCTCCACCGGTGCCACAAGGTATGATGTCTCTTTGACTGTGATGTACTTTACCGCTCACATTTCGCAGACCGCGCCGCTCCTCCGCCACCACCACTACGTGATGCTAGGGGTGCACCTCCGCCGCCACCAGAAGGCCCAAGAGCGGCTCCTCCGATTCCCCAGTCTCCCACAGGTACGCGAGAATTTCTTTCGTCTCGAACTTCTGCTGACTGTCTTAGCTCGATCCGTACCTCCCCCACCAACCTCGTTGCCACAAGCATCGTCAGAAACTCCCGGTTACGAGGAAGAGGATGGAGCCTACGCATCCCCCGAAGAAGACACCCAAGAAGCGCCAGAGACCCCAGCGGCCGCACCAGCACTTCCTCCAATGCCCCCAGTGAGACCGTCTGAGCATTCTATCGTGGACACCGCATCTCCAATTACCGATAAACGAGCTTCACGACCGCCGCCCCCGATTCCCATGAGTCCGGTCTCTCCTCAGACCAGAGCTCCTCCACCTCCACCTCCAGGAGCTCCCCCAAGTCGCCGTTCGACGACTGATTCGCGTGGTTTTGGCACTGTGCATTCTCCCAGGCCTGGTGATGACGACGAGGAGGAAGTCACTGAGTACGACGGAGATTATGATACGGACATTGCTTCAAGTGCAAAGCACAAAGACGCCTTGAAAGCTCACAATCGTGATTCAAGCCTTGACGAAGGCGCCCTCACGGATGATACGAAATCCCCGAAACACGCTCCCCCGCGAGCAGCTCCTCCGTTGCCTCCAGTCAATATTCCGCGAGACATGCCGCCTCCGCCTCCATCCCTACCAACGCCCAAGAGCCGAAGGTCTATGGACGCCCCGCGTGCAGCTCCCCCACCAGTCCCGCCGCCAAAAGTGAGTGAAGATGATGATTATGATCCGTATCGATATTCCGCGCCTCAACACCCTCCGCCACCTCTTCATACCAAGACAACGTATTCTACATCACTACAGTCGCCGAGAGAGGAGCTCGAGGAAGATGATTTGTACAGTGCAATGCCCCAACCGACTATTATACCACCCCCACCGGCAGAAAGGCCGGCTCCTCCACCGCCGCTACCAGAGCCGGCGGAGTATATTGCGCCGCCCACTCTCGCGCCACCTCCGCCAGCGGAAATCCCTGAACAGAGTACCGACCTTCGAAGATCTGGTACTCTTTCCCGCCGTTCGATGGACCATTCCAGAGGAAGCAATGAACAGGGGTATATTGCCCAAGACATCGACCTCGGAAAGAGCTCGATGTGGTGGACACAAAATAACTTACCGCCTCCTTCACTACAAGGCAGACCCGATGTTCTATACGAAATGGAGACTGGTTCCTCCACCAAACGTGGAGGCAGGACCACCATCTCGAAGGACATTTACGTGCTTTACATGGACTATTCCCAGACTACAATCAATGTTAGCTACGACGCAGCGGATCCAACGCACGTGACATTGGAACAGAACCACGGAAGACCTCCCCCTGCGCCTCGGCGTGACCAACTGGAGAATGCGTCTGTCCAATATGGTAATCAGATAGCGCGAGTGGCTAGTGGTCTTTCTGGCACAACTGTTGGCGATGGGTCTGCCCGAGCCTTTGTCCTCGAGCTCTTCAAACCACATCCAACAGCGCTCCTGCCGGTTGGCACGAGAGCATATGGTGCTCTCGTTTATTCCAACTTAGGTAACGCATCTACACAACAATTCGACGAAATCCGGCCAGGCGACATAGTCACGTTCCGCAATGCCAAGTTCTCGGGCCACAAAGGTGGCCTTCACCAGAAATACAGCGTCGACGTGGGGAAACCTGAACACGTGGCTGTGGTTATCGATTGGAATGGCACCAAGAAGAAGATTCGTGCTTGGGAGCAGGGAAGAGACTTGGAAAAAGGAAAAAAGCCGAAGGTGAGGGAGGAGAGCTTCAAGGTCGGCGATCTGAAGAGCGGAGAGGTCATGGTTTGGAGGGTCATGCCGAGGACTTGGGTGAATTGGGACACTACCAAGTCGTGATTTGGGATTTTATTAGACGAGACGGGGCTCTTGTGGCGGAGAAGACCATAAACGATGATGATGATATGTGGTTGTGTGTGTGCCATGATCCTGGACGCTTGTCACTCGGAAAGGAACCTGATCACGATAAAAAGATAAAAAAAATCCAACACAGCTCTTCATCTCACTTGTCATCTGCTTCTCAATACAAAGACCTTTTAGCCTGCTTTGTATTGGGTTTCTTTCGTCCTCTCATGAAGTTGTGGAGGGAAGCATAACCTCGGCCAATATTTATTCCCTTCCGGGCTTGGCGGTTGATATCACTCCTTCCGCGTGCCAGTGATCGCCAAACCGTCACCTGTTAGACTCTTAATATCACTGATTAAGTCTGTCCTGAGTCCCTTGGATCTCTACACTCTAGGGGTATCTATACTATCTCACCATAGATACCGGGTACAACCTTCGCTCTCATCACAGCCGCATGCCGTAACCATGTCCTCAACAGTCGACGAGGAAGCCACCATCTCGATCCCGAGCCTTGCCTTCGTCGCCGTGCTAGGATATTTCATCTATCGCTACTTCTTCTCTTCCCGCCCAGGCCCCGATGGCGGCTCTCCAACATCCTCTCCTGCCTCCAGAAACACCACCCCTGGGATCCGTTTCACGCCGGCGCAGGTTGATCAGATAGCCCAAATGTTTCCGCAGTTAAATCGCCGGGATATAATGTGGGATTTGCATCGCAACAGAGGCAGTGTGGCGGCTACAACGGAAAGAGTGCTGACGGGAAGAGGATTGGATCCGGTAAGCGCAAGCCCAGAGGATAATACTGGGGCCGAAGCTGGCTGGGAGATGATACAATGGCTGATATTGGAATCTATCACAGGCTCCGCCTTCATTCCAACCGCCCCCGTCGTTTATGGCCACGTCCTCTGAATCAACAGCTACCACCCCCACTGTAATAACACCCTTCAAAAAGCCTCCGCCGCCGGATTTGATCACGCGGTACAATTTACAAGCGAAGGTAAACTCCAAGGGGAAAGAGCGAGAAGAAGAATCACCGCCGCCGGGATGGACCAGCAACAAAGAGGAGCGACAGAAGATGCTCCAGAGACGGCGAGAAGAAATGATTCTCGCTGCTCGGAGGAAGATGCAGGAAAAAGATGCAGACAATGGACAGCCTCCATCTTAGCTGTAACTTTTGAATCTTGCGCAGGCGCTCAAGGATTGATTGATGATTGAATCACTTTGGTTAACGAGCTCTAATGAATGTGCCCGATGTCTATACCAAAATCAATGGTCATAATTCCTCACGCTCATGGAACATCACATCACTTCATGTCATTTCGTCGTCGTCGTCGTCGTCGTTATATCTTCGATCCTCCCTCGCTTCTTCCTCTCTTTCTCTCCTCTCTTGTTCTCTGCTCGCATCAATCTTCCTCAGGCCATCGACAACGCCCGTGATAAACCCCCTGGATTCGGAGAGCTCCATCGCGCCTATGCCGTCAAGCCGCGTGCCTTCGCCATCACCAGACAAATGTTCTACTCGTTTCCGCATCTTCGCTAGCCGCACTTCTCGTATGTCTCTCAGCAACTGCCTCACTCGGTCAGGTTCTGGAATATCGTCGCTCGCCGCTTCCAGTAGTATCTCTGAAAGTTCGAACCAGTGATACGGAAGCATCGTCGCATTTGCATGCACGGTACACGACTCCACGAATGGCGTGGAAGCATAAAACGACTTTCCGCTGTAGTCTGTCTGCCGCAAGGACGGCATGGGGGCCGGGGGTGACAGCGTGTCTTCAAAGTTTCTATGCGTCTCGGTGTCGAGAATGTCTTGCAGATTCTCGGCGAGGATCCAGGGCGGCGGCATGATATTGGCGCGTCTTTGGCGCTTCAACAGGACGGCGAGCCAGATGGGGAGCGTCGTGCGTTGCGGGGGAATGAGTGCTCGGGTCGGACCCTAGAAGGGCGAATTATCAGAGGTCAATATTGTCGTCTGTTTCGCTAGAGATTGATTGGTGGGGGAGAATTGGGGAACTAGAACGAGAGAGAGAGAAATATTGCTTCGCACCTCATCTGATGCAGAGGTTTGTGGGAAGAAGGACTTACGCCCACTAAGTCGAGACGTTCGAGGCGCTGGCGCGGGAGGATGGTCACTTGCTCCATTTCACAGAGGAATGCGACTTCGGCGGGCGAGAGGCCCGGTGGATGGGGGAACGCAGACATTGGTGCTCTCTCGTTCGTATTATAGAGAGGGCTCGGGTGAGAATGTAGACATGACCGTGTCACACAAGTGATCTCTATCTGTCTGGAAATGGGGTGGAGTGGGAGGAAAGCCTCGTCGCGGTACGCGCAGTTCAATCCCGCGGGGAAATAAGGGGCTCAGTCTGACCGAACCAAAAGTCATTCACTTCTGATATTTAACATTACCAACCATCGGCCCGTCCATTGCGGCTCTTTTGGCCACGTCATCAATTGTCAAGGCGGGGAGAATCTTTCTACATTGCCGGTGGCATCCTCTCTCACTGTTGCAAAAGAGCATCGGGGAATAGCTTCCGCATCGTATAACCACAGACTTCGTCTAAAGCTGGTGGTATTCTGGACCTCATTCTCTTCTTCGCACCATCATTAGGCAGGCGAACAGGGTCGGCTCAGTAATGATCTAGGTATTTGTACCCTGAGGTGAGAGCTTCCTTGGACTTTGCTGCCCTCTTTCTCTCCTCTCGGAAAGGACGCCCAGTGTTCCTACCTTCATGGCCACGAGCCTTTGACCGGATGAGAGATGGAGGTTGTACAATAAGGGATGATGAAGCAATACACATTCTCCCCGAGAACGCGAGCATCAGCAAAGAGACTCTGCAATCAACTCGGTTATTTCCAGGGAACTGCAAGCCTCAACAGCCACAGGGAATCGATCTGAAGGGAAAACCCGCGTTCGCCTCTCCAAGGGAGATCATAGGGATGAGTAGTTCGGGGTTTGTGGGGAATTTTGGCTTGTTGCAGATGCAGAGAACTACACCCAACGACGAACACTGGAACTGCCCATCAAGAGCTTCGAGATGGTTGATCTGCAGATCTACCCAGATGATTTGAAGTCCTTGGTTCGAGAGCTCCCCCCCAAAGTCGAGCATATCTTTGGTTTTGTGGAGTTACAACACCATCTATATGGAATTCAAGCCGCACTTGAGGCACGACTGACCAAGACAGGCCTTGCGTACTGTTCACGCATTATATGTCCCCGAATCAATCTTCCAAACGTAAGTGCCGTGCAGCACATTGTACCCATCCCGGTACCGAGGCTGAAATAGTACGATGCTATTGCTTTGGGCGTTATTCAGAGCTGGCACGAGCGGAACATCTTAAATGTCTTGCTAGATCATAGTCACCCAGGTGGACTGCGGTACTACGATATTGATGAGCGATGGTGACACTGTGAGAAAACAAGTATTCTCGGTTGGGCTTAGCGCCGTAGCTACTAGCAACCGTGACATAAAGACAGCGACGAGCACCCTCGGGAACAGATGAACCACGTACATGCTTGGGTAGAGGTATAGACCCAAAAGCGGCATGGCGCTAATAACACTAGCTTCCCACAAGGATGCCGCTAGTGTCCACTAACTTCCCGCCAAGGGTAACTTCGGTAACTCTAAAACATAACCGCCAGCTGGTCATTACACGGCTTGGCATTCCACCTCTCTTCTGCCACGCCAAGTCGCGAGCTTCAACTTCAGCAAACATGTGTTTAACATCTTCCAGTCTCTGTCTGATCAAGCCACCGGACTTCTTTCTCGTCACACCCTCGCCATGTCATACTTTGTAAGCCCAGAATTCCTGCGGGTCCTGCTTCTCGGCTTCATCACGTCGCTGCACATGACATGGCGAAGGCTCGTCAACCAGTTCGTGCCGGAACCCTATCTCGACGAATATTTCCATATCCCTCAGGCTCAAGCATACTGGCTTGGGAAGTGGTCGCAATGGGACCCGAAGATCACCACTCCGCCGGGCCTCTACGTGTTTTCGTACGCCGTCAACGCGGTGCGGGATTTCTTCTCCAAGGAAGAACTAAAACCGTCGGTCAACGAGTGGAGATTTACCAACGTGCTGTTGCTGTACCTATTATTGGTCGCGTTATACGTCCTGGCGGCCGTCGGGAGGAAGGCTGTGCATCATGAAAGCGTTTTGCAGCGGGAGTTCAGCATCGTCTGCTTCCCTTTGATTTTCTTCTTCTCGGGCATTTATTACACCGATCTGTTCAGCGTCTTCACCGTGATTCTCAGTGAGATATTGTGGGCGACGGGCACCGGCTCGCAGGGACCCGTCAAGGTCCTCTTTCAGGCGTTACATTTCGTGGCCGGGCTGGTGTCGCTGTCCACCCGGCAGACGAACATCTTCTGGGTCGCGGTGTACCTGGGCGGGCTCCAGGTCGTTGAAAGCGTCAAACAGCGAGTGGGCGCGCGTGAGGTCCACGACCCTCCCGTGTCTGAAGCATATTTTGAAGGTTCGACCGGCCAGTCTGTCCCGAGTTTTCCCCTCCCGGTTGACGACTTTTCTCCGTGATCGGTCTTCTGACGGCGATTTCTAGATTTTCCCATCACAAGCATTTCTCTCACCCAATCTGCCGTCTCCATCGTCCCGCAGCTCCTTCTCGACCTGTGGCCACAGTTGTCGCTCCTCGCCGCGTTCGCCGCGTTCGTCGTCTGGAACGGCGGCGTGGTCCTCGGAGACCGGGACAACCACATTGCCACGATCCACCTTGCCCAGATGCTCTATATTTGGCCGGCGATCGTCTTCTTTTCATGGCCTGTCCTGCTACCACTGTTCTCCGACCTCCAACGTCTCCGTCAGCGACTTCCCCGGGTCACGACGAGTCTTAGCTTCCTCCTTCTCATGCTCGCCGTCGTCCGATTCAACACCATTATCCACCCCTTCACCCTCGCCGACAACCGACACTATACGTTCTACGTCTTCGCCATCCTGAGAAAACACTGGCTCATCAGATATGCCGCTGTCCCGGTCTACTACCTCTGTGCTTGCATGGCGCTGGGAAGTCTCGGGGGTGCCACGGACACCACACGATCGCCGTCCAAGTCTGCGCGGATCCTGTACGGGGACGACACGGTGCGTGTGAGCTTCATACTCGTCTGGCTGGTAGCGACCTCTTTGTCGCTCATGGCCGCCCCACTGGTGGAGCCTCGATACTTTCTGATCCCTTGGCTCACGTGGCGGCTAGCCGTTCCGGAATATATCGCACCGTCAGCCGAGAAACGGAAGAGATCGGAGCTGGAGACCACGAAAGGCGCCTCCCCTCCAGGTCACCGTTCTATGGATGCCCTCCCTTCTAGGTCGGCGATACAGTCGCTGTTGGAAACGGCCGCGGCGCATTCAGCGTGGCTAGAAATAGGGTGGTATATGGTCGTCAACGCGGTCACGTGCTACATGTTCTTGTACAGGGGGTTCGAGTGGTCCCAGGAACCGGGGAATGTTCAGAGGTTTATGTGGTAGTACCCCCTATCCGCCGCCGACGACCTCTGGCCGGGGTCACACAAAGTCTCAGGATAAGGAGAAAAGGGGGGTCAAGAAAAAAGATGTATGTATACCAGCCACCCAAACACCAAAAACCCCTACTTGGCGGCATAAAAAAACCGAGACGGGCACAAGAATGAATGCCCATCTTCAAGCATCAAGCTCCACGCAAGGAGAGGAGATTTTCTTATCGCTTTTGATCCCGACCCAAGGCTTGCTCGCTTGTTTGCTTGCTTGCTTGCTTGTGCATTCCGTGACTTGAACGAAGCGAAATGTGTTCCCAATTTTTGATATGACATATACTTTTTAGGGAGGGATGGGGGGAATACGTTACATTGGATGCCACTGATTTCAATTGGTGACATTTGAGTTCATTTTCATTTTTGTTGTCATCCTCACATGTTTCCACACACACTCAATAAACCCGCATCCCGGCCTGCGCTTTTACGGAGGCCAGGAACTATAGAAGGGGAGGAGAAGGAGGAGGAGCAAGCCATCCAGCAATTTCCCGGCTGTCGTGGAACAGGATCCAGTGAGCACCATGACCCTCAGGCCACGGAGGGACTTGGCTGCTTGGCTGCTTGATTGATTGGTTGTTTGTGGGTGAGGAGGTAATCAGACGGCGACGATGCTGCCCAGCCTCATGACGCTGGCGACCTCGTCATCGATGGTGGGGCCGTGGTACTCGTGGCGGCCTCGGACCCAGTACCAGACGATGCTGAAGATGACGACGCCGCTGGTGACGACGACGCTGTAGTTCATGGTCGAGGCGTCGACGGGCGTCACGGGCGGCCACACGCTCCAGAAGATGACGAAGATCATGTACGTGCACGCGTACAGGTTGTTGATCGTGCCCAGCGGCTCCGGCAGGTGGAACGGCCCCCACCGCAGCTCCTGCACCGGCACCACCAACGAGGGTCGCCGGCCGTCCGTCATGATCTCTGGACCGCCAGTAGGCGCGTAGCCGCCGGCGAGGTCGGATTCGAGCTTCTTGGAGTCTCCCCCCGCCCCACCGGGCAAGGAGGAGGAGGAGGAGGCAATCTTTTCGCCGGCGTGCTGCTGCTCCGAAGTGGTGGCGGACCCCTCCAGCATCCCGCCGTCGTCGCCGATCGGCAGGCCCGGTGTGTCCTGCTTGTGCGGGCTGATGTGGCCCTTGACGCGGTGCCACAGCAGGAACGCCGCGGGGAGGAAATACGAGCAGTAGAAGCCCGTGATGGTAAGCGAGATGACGTCGTTGAAGGCCGTGTACGACCCGATGTAGATCAGCGTCAGCAGCGCCGCGAACCCGACCACCACGCCGACGCCGACCACGGGGATGCGCCGCACTCGCGACACGTAGCTGATCGGCTTGCTGAACGGCGTGCCCCGGTCTCGCGCAAACGACCAGGTCATGCGCGACGCCGTCGTCGTGATGCCCGTCGCGCAGGCCCACGTCAACGCCAGCACGATGGCGCCCATAACGGTGGCGCCTGCTATGCCATTGACGCTGTCTAATTTGGCAGAGAAGAGAGAGGGTCAATACAATGGTGGCTCCAGAGTCTTATTTTTGGGTCCTTTTGGGGGAACAAAAAGTGACTTTGGACTTACTGTAGAAGATCTGGATAAATGGATATCCCGTCGCCGTGTCCAAGACGGAGTCCACGTCGCCCAGACAGAATAGCACCGTCAACATCATGACGAATCCGACAAGCCCGTTGATGCACATACTCGCAATGACGGCCCGCGGAATATTCACTGCGGCGTGCTCGACTTCTTCAGCCATGTGGACCGACGCGTCGGCACCGACAAAGGTCGCCACGTTGCCCAGAAAGCCGACGCAGTACGACAGTCCCTGGGTGGACCAGCCGCCTTCGTTGAGCGAGGTGGCGAAGACGAAGTGGGCCGAGTTGTGCGGCGCGTAGGCCCAGAGCACGCCGAGGATGGTGATGAAGCCGGCGATGTGAAACACGATGATGAAGATCTCGAACTTGGGCAGCGCCCCGGGAATCACGACGTTGATGAAGACGGCGACGGCCATGACCAACCAGGCCAGCAACGTGCCGTGCCACCGCTTGGCGTCGTAGTCCTTGTAGTCGAGAATGATCAGGCCTTGAAGCATGGTCCCCGCGAAGATGGTCTCGGTCGCCACGGTCGCAATCCACGCGAGCGAGGTCAACCACCCGATGATGTAGCTGCTAAACACCTTCCAGCGGGGCGGGGCGAGCATGTAGACCCAGTAGTACTGTCCGCCGGCGATCGGGGCCATGGACGCGAGCTCGGAGATGACGGTGTAGACGGACAGCGTGCTGGACCACGCAATGATGAACCCGTAGACCAATCCCGCGGGACCCCCATTGTTGAACCCCTGACTGAAAAGCGCGAGAACTGTTTCCCAGGTGATAAGTTCACACACGGCAAACCCAAAGAGCGACCAGAAGCCAAATCGACGCTTGAGCACTTGCTTCTTGCCCAACAGCGCCAAGGTGTTGATGTCGGTAACGTCCTCCTTGGTGCGTGCCATGGTTGCTAATGACCTTCCCAACTAACACGTGGCATGAGAGGAAATAGACCGGGACAGGGGGGACAATGTGACTACACGCGACGATGGAGAGGAAGGCTTCGCGAAGCTGGAAAAAGAACTCGGGGGTGGTCGTCGGCTTGTGGTCCAGGTTATAGCTGGACGGAGGATCGTTCTGACTAGACCTCAAACCGCCTAACGCTCTTCCAACACCGCACTTATCGGAAGCAGGAACAATTTCCTACTTGCAGCGACAGGGTCTATATCAAAGGCTGACAGCTAGGATAGATAGGAAAGATAGAGGCGGCCGAAGAGAGTGGCTGGGCAGAAAACCCAGGTGAGGCGGCGGCGGGGGTGGGAACTGCTGGATCTTTACCCAGTACAGGCATGTTTAGCCCATGGCCATGGGGGTCAGCAAGAGTGTGGAGGCGCCAATGACCGGAGTTCCTCGAGAGTGGTAAATTCGCCAGTCAGAGAAGAGGTTATGGTCACATCCAACCCACTTTCTTACAAGCCCAGGTTTTCTGCATGCTTTCCAACAAGGGTTTGAGATGGGGGGATGGGGAGGGGAGCGGGCCAAAGGGGGAACCAGCAGATCTTTTGGTGATCGCAGCCTCCCTGTTCGCCCGCCATGAGCACTAAGCCAAATGGCTCCGATTGAGGCTTTGGCAGAAAAGCTTTTGCCGAGGCGAGCAACAGCGGCGCCTTTTCTTGTTTCCGAGCAGACAAAAGCCGTCGGCGTCGTTAAGGCCAGCCTCAAAAAAGCTTGCCTGTAGCTTGTCCCGAACAGGTGCGGTTTCCCGTGTCTTCTGAACCAAAAGACATGCATGAATGCACGAAAGGTATGTGTAGATATGTAAAAAAAAAAGCAGGGAGACAGCATCAAGCTGGAGATGGCCGACGGGGCTGGGGCCGTGGTGCCCGCAACGGAAGCCTCGGCTTGGTGGCACACCTGCGAGGACTGCTTCCCTTGGTATCTATGGCTCTTCCTTTACGACATGAGATGGGGAGAAGAGTCAGTCTCTGAAATAGGCTGCCACATGGGTTGACGTAGCCGTCCGGATGAACCAGTTGCATTCGAGAGGATGAAGAGAATAGGCAGACAGCTCGATCGGGGGCTGATTGACCCATGGCAGTGGCGTAACGGCGCAGTCATCTCCAGACAGAGACCAAGGGCCACCAAGGGAGGTACACTAAAAGCGATATACAGTATATACAAGGTATAGACGAGGTACTCGGTACTTGGTATGTTGTCGTAGAGCAGCAAAAGGTGAATCGGCGTCTTCGCCGGAATTGGCAGCTTGGGTCTTGGCATATTTCCGGCGTTCCGGAACTTAACTAGAACTCCAGTTAAGTGCCACTTAGGGACTAGTTAAACCTAGTTAAAGAGTGCCCTAGATCCAGTTAAAGAATCCCTAGACCGGCTTACCTGTGTCGCCGATTCCAAGTTATCATCTCTAACGCACTACCCTGACGGTTGAGCGGCTAAAGATGGCAAAGCGACCATCTTGGGAGGGCAGCTCTTTGCTACAAACCTGCCCCCACCGACACCCAGCCAACCTCCACCATCACCTCCTCCGTCCTCGCCCCTGTTACTGGCCGTCCCTTTCTCATCTCAAGCTCTCTCTCTTCGCCCTTCTCCAGCCGGGGCGTTGGCTTCACTGGGGTTAGGCTCTCCACATTCTGTACGGAGTATAGATTTCTCTCCTCAAACGCCCTGGGATGCTCCTGTTTGACCTCTTCGGGGTACTGTGCCAGCTGGATTCGAGGCGTTGGGTACTGGAAATACTGGTGCAGTTTGACCCAGGCTTCCCGGAGCAGCTTTAGACTGACTTCTCAGGGCGGATCCGTCCGGTGCAATCTTGGAGTCCTCTGGCATATAGATCATACCTCTGGGTCCTTGCCTCTCCCACACGAAAGTCTTGTCTTGCCCCTCGGCTTTACCAATGAGAATGGATAGGGCTGGGTCCGTGGGGACGTCCGCGTTGTTCAACAGCCCCTGGTTTCGGACACTGATATGGACTGTTTCCAGGCCTGGTGCATAAAGTCCCGGTGTTCTTGGTTTTTCAGCGCCTCCCTCAATAGCAGCGGTGAGTTTGCCTTGGGTGCGAACGTGTCCCTGCCCTGCTTGCTCTGGTGGAATCACCAGGGACTGGTTCCCAGCGACGTCTTCTAGAGCCACTCCGATCCCAATGTCAACCAACCGCGCCAACATCCATCGGAGAGCTGCATTGGCCAGACCAGGATCCGGTTTGCCCGTTTGGGCGCCACCACCAACGTCTGAATGTTTCCCAATAAACCAAGTCTGTACAATCGTTTGTGCTGGGATTTTCCGCTCAATGATCAGTGGTAAAAAGCCTTGGCGCTGTTCATGCAGTGCCAGTGCATGAAATGCATATTGGATGTTCGCATTGAGCACCAAGCATTTCGATTGCAGCGGAGGAGTCGTGGTAGCCGCCCCCGGGTATAGAATCTTCTGTGTTGAAGCCGGTACCCCGCTGCCTAGAACGGTGTCGAAAACACCTACACAACCGAATTTGGGTATTTCGAAGCCAGACGGCAGCTTAAAGTCCGTGCTTTCTTTGATGCCAAGCCATTGTTCAAACAAACTGTCCACCTCGTCGGGCGGACCTTGCCCATCCACTCGGAACCCCATGGTTGCAATGAAATTGGCTGCCAACCGTGCTGTTGCTGCACCTCTGGAGAAACCAAAAAAAGACAACATGTCACCTGGTCGCCATATCCCTGAAGCAAAAGCGTCTGGCTGTGCTTGCTGGACTTTGGAAGAACTTGCTGCAGGCTGTGAGGAGCTTGCAGACTGAGGAGCAATGCGACTGTATATCAACTTGACGTTCTGGTCCAAGCCTACATTGCATTAACCAGGGTTTCTGAAATTTCAATAGGCTTGACCTCACCTTCTCCGAGTGCCAGTTGTTGGACCTTTGCGAGGGAGAAGCTGCCGGTTCCTAAGCCCTGCTGATACCAACAAATCTGCTCTCTGCCTTCCAAGTCCGTGGCCTTCATGGCTTTTGCGAGGCGGGCTAGGTTGGTCAATGACTTCGAAGTCCCGTCTCCATCCTCTCCAGTCCCATCACAAAAGACAAGAATGTGTCGAGCACTTTGAGAGGATCCTCCTATTCCCGTTGGAGCACTCGGTCCCCCAGAAGCAACAGGGCCACTGGGAGCAACCAGTCCCCCAGGAGCAACTGGTCCCCCAGGAGCAACTGGTCCCCCAGGAGCAACCAGTCCCCCAGGAGCAACTGGTCCCCCAGGAGCAACAGGACCCCCAGGAGCAACTGGTGCCCCGTGAGTTACTGGTGCCCCGGGAGCAACCGGTCCTCCAGGAGCAACAGGCCCCCCAGGAGCAACTGGTCCCCCGTGAGTGACTGGTGCCCCGGGAGCAACCGGTCCTCCTGGAGCAACATGACCCCCAGGAGCAACAGGCCCCCCGTGAGCAGCTGGTGCCCCAGGAGCCCCAGCAGTCGAAGATCCACGAGGTTGAGGAATCGAAGACATGGCGGCGTATGCTCTTGTCTATCGTGAGCTGTTTTCCGGCTTGTCACTAGTTTATGCATATCACTTTTACTGCAGGGAGTCTTCAGCTTATTATTCACCACGGACAGTTGGATTTAGTGCTAGCTACTACCTTACTATGGAAAGAGCGTCTGACTGGGCCTGGTGATCAAGGAAGCCATGTCTGCCGGGTTTCGGCCCTCAGCTTGGATGCGCGTTTCTGACATATTGTACGAGGGTCCGACACAATAGGTCGCTGGCCGGCCGAGTTGTGGATTAAGTAGAGTGTTGAGGCCTGTTTTCCTTGGACCAAAGTCTAACTTAAATTTCTAAGAAACAAGTTAGACAAGTAACCAAACGAGGAAGTGATATTGCACGGAAACTGGTCAGGACCCTACAGACACGTGCAAGAACGTATAGAGGCCTGTGGCTACAAAGAGGCTGAAGAAATGACTCAGGATTAGTCGCAATCCGGCCCGCATTGACTCATGTTCGCCCCTTCCAGATAGATTAGAATAATTGACAATGAATCGTTGGTGATCTACTTGTTGATTGTGTACTGGAAGTCCAGAAATACAGAGAGAGACAGGGGCTCAGCCCGTGACTAAAGTTTACTATCTCCTGTTAGACTATGTGCAAAGCAACATGGAGGAAGTTCCTTCGACGATCTCTTCCCCGTCCAGTCTCTACGCCATCTAGCAACTTCCACAACGGGTGGTGGGACCATCGACCGCAAGGTCCTCAACTGGAGGTCCTCAACTCCAGATCCTCACCTAGAAGTCTTCAACTGGAGACCAAAACCTACCTCTTGGGGTAGTTGATTCTGTCCGATCTTGGCCTGAACAACAAACCTGTGCATTTCTGCAAGGACTATAGTCACTGGCCCAAATTTAACACATGGTATGATGCTCTGATCCGTCTGGTCACTTGGCTCGCCTTGAAGCAACCAACGAAATGCTTCGAAATAGGCACAGAGTCATATTGAACGGCCCTTCCTTGGCGATCCCGATACTCGGATCCTCGAAGGAAGCAAGCATTTTAAAATAGCCAGTCAACCTTTACTCGTATCGCCGCCCCTCTTTAGCGTTCAAAAGCACATGAATTTTGGATTACGCTATCCGGAATTACGGTCAGATCGAAAGGGAGCATGATCTTATACAAATGTGAGCATAGATTACAGTAGTATCGTCCCTGCAGAGATTTCTCCCTGTCTGCCGTGGATGATTCTCCGAAACCCCGTGGTCTTGATCCATCATACTCTTCTCTGCTGCATCTCTTGAAGGTATCGCCATTTTCGCAGCCAGTCGAGGTATGTATGAACATAATCAGAACGGAGATTACCCCGGGGGAGACGGGTACGGCGACTTCTACGATGCTGGAGATCAAGCTCACAACCATTTCGACTACCCACAACAAGATTTCGACCAGGGGCAAGACTATGGGTACGACGACGACTCCGCTTTCCCAGAAGGACAGATGGAGCAGCGTGGCGACGATGGCACGAACGACTATAGTGCGCAGCTACAGGAGCTCGAGGCCAAGCTCGATCAGCTCGAGAGAAAGTATGAGAAAACTTACTATTCTGCCGGTGAGTTGGTCCGCCCTTATCGACGAGAGCAATCAGAGTCCTCATGTGTCCTTAAGAACCAGACGAAACCCAGCAACCAAAGCTCCACTTCCATTCATTGGACATGACCAGGCTTTGTTTCCAAATCCTGAAGATCGACCCGGAAAATCAGCGTGCAGCCGCACTGCACAGTGATCACACGGCTTCAGTTTTTGGCCAGTTCTATGGTCATGAAGGCGTCGACCCTAGCCTGCACAAGCAGAGAAGGCCCGAGCACATATTCGGAGTCCCCCGTCCTGGAGGCATGTATAGCGATTCCGAAGGTGGGAGCGAGCCCGAGGGCTACGACGAGGGCTTCGATAGCGAAGACTATCCAGAATATTCGGCAGGAGAAGGCGGGGACCAATATGACCCAGAGTATGACGGAACGGGAGAAAATGAGGAGGATCCCGACGAACACGGTCACGGAAACTACGATGGGTACGACCCTCAGGATGCCGACGCTGAGCAACCGTGGGAGGATGGCGATGGCGGGGAGGGCAGTGGGCACTGGCATGGTGGACACGAGTATGGTGGCGGTTCAGGTGGTGAGCAGTACGGCCACAACTGGGAAAATGGAAGGGACAACGACGACGGTGACCAGCAAGGTGGAGAATGGGAGAACGGCGAGTGGCCAAACGGAGGACACGACAGCAATGACCAGTACCCGGAGGATTATTGGCCAACCGGAGGTGAGAATGACCACAGTCACCACAATCAAGGAGGAGACTGGCAAGGTGGAGGGTATGGTGACGGCGGTGATGGCCACCAGACTGGACATCCAGGGAGCGTGGAGATGCACATTGTTATGAGGTGACGGTCTCAGGGACTAATGTATATTGGGTTGCAGTCACTCAGGGGTAGTCGACAGCTGTGAGTTATATTGGATAACGCTGAGTCTCAAAATCTACCTCCAACCGATTTTAAGAGTAGGGTGGCGTATGCTGCATACTGCTACTGTATACGCCTAATTAGGTAGCATGACCGAGGTATACAAGTGGGCGGTGACCCATTCATTACCGCCAATCACCACCTGGCGCAGTCAACCAATTGCATCTGTTCGATGGCTATATTAGATGGTTGCAGGTCTGCCATTATTTACCTCGCTATGTTGCGTCTTGTGTTTACGGGTGGCCTGTACCCCCTAGATACCGTGCTTTCGTCACTTTGCGCACAGACCGTTTTCGCCGGCCACACTAAGGCCTCCTGACTCAACGCATCATGGTCTCAGTTATCCACCACATACCTGGTAGAGTTATGCTTCATTGACTCATTCGTCTGCGAAGAAAACCATGTATTCGACCTTTCACAGACGATTTGATTTAATGAGTTCGACAAGGGCCACTTGTGTTGTTGATCTTGGAGACCACTGTTCCTTTGTTCATCGGGCGACATACACCGACTCCGACACATCGTGGCTGTTCTCGTCCCGCAACGAGCCATCGTTTCTTTGTCCCCGCCCCTATTGAGTCTCTGATCCGGGGTATTCGGCCACTTGCCAAGTTGACGAACCCTGCAACCATGCTGACTCCCCCCTGCTCCTGTCTTTCTCCAATCTGGATTCATTGTCCTCGTCTGAGGGCTGGATAGGGGTACATATATATGCCACCGGATCCCTCGGGCCCAAGATCATATGTCAACACACTTCGCTATAGCCTCATTTGAGCAGGACACCTTCAGATTAAACTCACCCGCCTCGCAAAGATGAAGTTCCTAATGCCCCTCAGCACTCTGTGCCTTTTCCTCGCCTTCTCCGCGGCTGATGACGTTGAAAACTGGTCAATCTGCCCGGACGGATCCAGCCTATGCGATGCATTCTTTGGAGCATATTGTTATGCAAAACAGGACACCTGCTGTCAAGATGGAAGTGGTACGATTCATATTTTCCCCACCAGGTCGGGAAGAGCGAGTTCTGATTCAGTCACACTATAGGGATTTGTCCAGCTGGTTACAATTGCGGCACAGGAGTCGCTGCCAACCGCTGTTGCCCTCCAGTGAGTACTGTTCCCGTCGCCTTGCATGAACTCGACAGTGAGGTCTGACGAGCTGACCAGGGAATAACGATGCAACAATGTGCCCAAGTCGCTGTCATTGGGAGAGCGAGCACCGTGGCCGCCGACACCACCACTCGGAACCCCAAGTCGACCAAAAAGCCAAGCCAGACCTCGTCTAAGCCCAAGACGACAAAGGCAAGCAGCACCACTTCCAAGCCAAAGAAAGCCAGTCAAACGCCATTTGATCCTTTGGCGGCCCTCATCGTCTGAACCCCCATCTGACGCTGGTTGTGGGCACCTCAGTGAAAAAACGGGCCGAGGCGAGCACTTACAGATCACACAAATGTCAAGAACCGTATCCTTCGAGGTCTATGTTCTTCAAAGGAGTTTGTGTTGGAGAGAAGAATATCTGGCTCCACCGTTTACATGGGAGAAGATGATAGATGGGGGCATCAAGGTGTTCTGCGATAGCAGCCAGAAAGAGAGTTCTGGTATGGGCTGGGATGCGCGGAGTAACAGGGAATTCCGCCTGGTAACAATGTTGATGGATTCTCACATGCATGCGTTGCCTGAGTGTGAATGTCAAGCTGTGGTGGCGGTGCGGTTGATGTGGTTCGATGTGGCGCAGCAACAGGCGCAGGCAGGTGGGGAAGTGTCTGGTGGTGTCGAGATGGAAGTGACGTATGTTCGCTTTTTGCCGTCACTCTGATCATCGCACGACATCTCGCATTCCCCTTCAATTGATCTCTTCTACGCCATAAAAGAAATACCCTTGGGCTCTGTTCTCTTCCTAGAAAGAAAAATCACATTTCTTACCCAACAGCCTTTTCTGCCAACGCACCTTAAACCCACAACAAAGTTCCATTCGCCCCAAACCCCGCCACGATGTCGACCACCGTCCATGTCTCAGGTATCTCTCATGATACCAGTGAGAAGGAAGTCAAGGACTTCTTCAGCTTCTGGTGAGTAACAGGCACGATTACTGCAATCACACGACATTAATTCCTTTCTAGTGGCAAGATCACCTCAATCTCTGTGACACCAGAGTCCGGCGCCCCAGACGCTGCAAAATCTGCCTCTGTGACCTTCGAGAAGGAAACGTAAGTCTCCGACGCCTCTAGAAAGATCAACAACCAGACTAACACTGTCTTCATAGCGCCGCTAAGACCGCCCTCCTCCTCGATAACACCCAGCTGGGAAAATCTCAAGTCCATGTGTCTGCCGCCAGCACCATCGATGACGTTGCTTCCAAGGCCGGCGCCGCAGTCTCGTCCGCCCCTGGTGACGACCACATCTCACAAGAAGACAAGCCACGTTCAAGGATTGTGGCCGAGTATTTGGCTCATGGCTACCATCTCTCAGACCAAGTCATCTCAAAGGCAATTGCATTGGACCAGAAGCACGGCTTCAGTAATCGGTTCACCAGTGCCCTGACCAACTTCGACCAAAAGTACAAGGCCACCGACACAGCTAAGTCTGTGGACACCAAATACGGTGTGAGCGACAAGGCGATGAGTGCCTGGGGTGGATTTCACACGTACTTTGAGAAGGCGCTGGGTACTCCCACGGGACAGAAAATCAGGGAGTTCTACGTTCAAGGAGACAAGCAAGTCAGAGATGTCCACAACGAGGCTCGCAGATTAGCAGATCTCAAGGCTGGCAAGCAGTACGAGCCAGAGCCGCTCCCAGGAACGGACAAGACAGTCTGCAAATGTGGTGGCGAGGAAGGGACATGTGGATGTGCTCCAGGTCATTGCAACTGTGCTAGGTGCGCAAAGAGCGACGTTGGGGCCATCCAACCAGAACCGGTCAAGGGCACTGACAAGACAGTCTGCACCTGCGGAGGTTCTGAGGGCAAATGTCCTTGTCCTCCTGGCCATTGTGCCTGTGCAAACTGCGCAAAGGGCAGTTCTGAGGCAACCACCGAAGCAAAGGAGGCTGCTCAGGCCAGCGGGCAACAATTGCCGACCGGGGCTGTGTAGGGAGAGACTGGTTTTTACTGTCCGGGGCTGTATTCTTCCCTGGGGGAGTTTCAGTGGTTTATTCGTTGCCGTTGATGGAGGTCTGCAGTATGCTTGAAATAGTGTCAGAGGTTGTGATAAACCCATTCGAATGAAGCTGCTGTCACTGGAGTAGTTAGGCATTTGTAACGAGACGACCTTTGGAATTGCTTCTGGGCCAAACAGTTTCCACTCTATCTCTGTTTGTTGGCAGATCAGACCGTGATCGCGTTGTAGACGTATTTTCGATGTTGCAGGGAAACAGAGGGTGATTGACTGTGTGACCCAAGACTCGGGAGGGGGTTCATCATGCGTGTGTACAAACAAAGCCAGAGTCAGCCAGAGCCATAGTCAAGGCTGGTTTCGGTAGCCCACCAGCCGCAATGGATCTCCGCGCGGCGCGCCAACCGTTTGCCGGTAGTGACCAGACTCCCAGACTCCCAAGCCAACAAATCTTTTGCCTGCCCACCTGAATGACTCTTGCCCTCACTGCCACTGCCACCCACACCCTTTTATTCCACCACGTCGCTGTCGTCCCGGACGATAGCTTTTTCTACCATCATCTATTGTCTGGTTCCATTATTCCCCAGAGTATGAACAAGCCTTCCACCATCTCAACTGATCGCTTCTGTGAGGCCTGCGGAGAGCCTGGATAACTGGGCCGATCCCGAGCACCGCCCACAGTGGCAGAATTGAACATCATACAGTAAATTGGATATATCAATATTGGGACAATCACAAGTAGGTGTGCGCGCGACACTGTCTCACAGCGGCACATTTGTTGACGGCTTTAGCGCAGCCAGGCTTGGACGAGACAATCCGCCGATATGTGCTTCGAGCGCCTGATCAGCTTGAGGTGCGGCCACTACGAATCATACCAGTTGGACAAGACGGGCTGCAAATACCAGGCTGGTCGCCGGTGCCCGAACTACGTGCAGCTCAAAATCCGCCAGGACAAGAACCGGAGCTGTCCCAACTGCAAGGCCAACCTTCTGGCTACCTTCGGCATCGCTAGTCCAAGCCTCAGATGGGGGAAATAGACGTGCAGATGCGCTTTGAGTGATTGGAGTGGATGTTTGAGGCGGCTACAAGGCACACACTTGATAAAAGAAGGGGGGCTGTTTACACAACTGATCAAATGGCGGTCTAGATTTTGCTGGCTCGCGGGTTTCAACTGAGCCGCTGCGATGTACGTGCGAAGAAATGAATTCCAGGCAACGGTGGAGATGGCTGCTGTGACTGTTGGAGAGACACAGATGGAGCGAGTGCCCCTGGTATGTCCAGTGATTTGACACCAATTTTTGGTCCACCCACAATAGAAATATATCACCCACTCAATCTATCAATGCGAAATTCTAATATGCCCCAAATCTCACATGGCGATATGCATGAGGGATCCATGCAAGATATCGGGAATTCCACTTCCTTACCTAGAACGGCTTGCAGCAGCCGTGACATGGTTCGTGGCGACCCAGTATTTCGTAACCACCAGACGTCATAGTTGACGCTGGGATCATCGAGGGCGCTCAGCGGGGTGACGAAGTGTGCAGAGACTCTCTCTCTTATTTCATTTGTACCTGTTTCCTATTTATCTCACGTCCAGCTCTACTTCAAAAACTCCAACCCTTCTCCAGACTATTGACCACCAAACAACTCACACCCTTCCAACTGCAACGTCCAGTAAGTCGACAGATACATCATCCTCAACGCCAGCTGCTGCTTGATCAAAGCTATTAATCACACTTAGACAGATCAACACCGAGTACTCAAGCCCCTCCCTAGAAATGTCCGCACCAAACCCAGGTCGTCAGTCTCCGGACCCTGAACATCAGACCGGCGCTCAACAACAAGACCATCCCTCTCAACCGGGGACTGGAAAGGTATAATCCTCCAACCTCCCTTGCCAGCCGACGAAACCCTAGCCATTCCATCGAAATACTCTAAAACAATATCAACACCACTCTGATAATATTACTAACTGTGTGGCGTAGCTCGACAACTCTAAAGACAAGAATGAAGGCAAAGACGATCAAACCGCCAGCCTCTCGAGCAATCCAAAGCACATCCTTCAAGATCATGCCGAAACAAAGACGGCCAAGGGTACAGGAGCGTCGAGCTAGAGAAGATGCAGGGCAACATCGAAGAGCCTGCTAAGACAGGGCAATAAGTTGCCAGGGATCATGAATCGCTGTGACATTATCTAGAGAGCGAATTCGAAGGTTTACACAACCCGCATATCAAAAGTCTTTCAATCCGCCTGATCGGTCCCTGAAACCTGCGTGTCCACCACTCTGATCAACTTTGCTTGACTGCACATAAGAATGTTGGGCAGCCCTTCTTTACCTTGATTGAACTCGTTGCTACAAACGGTTGCGTGGCGTTGAAGCCAACCTCAGGCCCATCATTGATTGCAGATTGAAACGATCGGATAGGAGTTGTTGCCCTTCACCTACGACTGATTCATCCACAAGCAGGACTCGCTTTGCTTTTTCCTGTGCTTGCTAAACCAGATCACACCGGGTCACATGGTGCAGGAAGACTGTATTATTTTCACCGGTCAAGGAAAGACAATGCTGCACTCGATATATGAGAACCTTCATCTGCCCGGAGCTATAAAGTGGCCAGATGGGATAGATGAATATCGTACGTCCCCAGCTTGCGTGAAACTGTGGCTGCATGCAATTCCAGTCCTCGATACCAGCCCAGCATGATGCCGTGGTCAAGGGCTGTGACGTCATATCTGCTTAGCACATGTACTGTAGCGGCGGGACGGCCCGTCTTTAGTGCCTGAAATGTGCGAAAACGGCCAGATAGTGCACAAGTGCGCCCGAAAGTGCCCCCCCCGAGATCTTGTGCCATTGAAACAATTTGAATTTCTCACGAAGTGTCGGCGGATTGCAACTATGCTGCGGCTTGTGTCTGTGTACCTGAACGCGCTCTTTATCTTCTACTCATCGCTGTCCGCGTCGGTCCACGCCGTCGACGAGAAGACGTTGGTCAATGGAGCCTCCAACCGGCGAGGATACTCCAAGGGGGAGCTGATGCCCGTCAGCTGCCTGAACAGAACCATGTGAGTGCTGAATCACGGACTACTTGTACTGCTACTTACGCACGCAGCGACACCGGGGAACATGTGAGTTGTGTTAACCACGCGAGGGAAGGTGGCCACGGCGCCCTCCCGCGAGCCTGCTGTCAATGGATACTCATGTGGAATGCTCCTAGATCACCGATGACCACGGGAATCTCCAATATATACCGTTTCCCACATGCAACGAGACAGGCCAGCCGCTGGCATTCAAGTACAACGAGCCACAGACCCAGACCTGCACTATTGATTCCTTGCCCGATGAACTCTACCACCTCCTCGAGTACTTTGTCCACAGCGACGTGCCCCTGACCTGTCGTGTCCCTTCGTTTCCTTTGACGCAAGAAGAGCTTGGAATTACACCTTCCCTCCCCGAAGCGAGTGGGATGGGTGCGGAAAAGGGCCTCTGGACTCCCTTTACGATCGCGCTACAGGGAACCCTTCAGCTCAGCCACCTGCATCTACACACGAACATCAATGCCCTCTTCCACATGTCTCAGGACTCGGATGCCGCGCGGGCTTCCTCGCAACCGTCATATCTGATTGCTTCCACAGCGTATTCCCTTCCCAACACTTCGTCCTTGGCGCCCATTGAGGGTGCCAAAATTGTTCGCAATGAACCCTTGGTCCTTACTTTCAACGTCGGTTGGATAGACGGAGCGGTCTTACCTGGTATGGTTGGACGGCCGGTCCTGAAGGTGACCGATCACAGCATCGGCTTCTCATTGCTGAGCTTCTTCGCTCTGGCTGCCAGTGCTGGGGTGGGAGCCATGGCAATGCTTGTGTACGAGAGAAGGAAAAGTGGGCGAAGTGGGATTTATAGTAATGGGATTTTGGGGGGTAACGTGGGAAACGGAATGGCGAGAAGCTCCGGCTACGGAGGGTACGGCGGATACACCAGCAATATTGGCAAGAGGGACTGATACCCTTTCATCTAACAAGGATGGCCAGCAGACATTTTGGAAAAGCTCTGGCAGATTTCTTGAGCGTCTCTAGTGTTCGCAGAACTTGCCACAGAATGGTTTGGAGGATCGCGGTCAGACAGGCGACCACATACTGGGCCTCTGTTGCTCACAGGGCGTGAGCCAGTCTACAGAGGCCACCACTCCAGGATTCAACTGTTTGGCCAATGGGGTGTTTTGCTGCTTCCGGGAATCGGCCTACACTTGGACAGGACGGCAAGTGAGAATCTATTCCGACATCATGGACGACTTGTTCGGTCGTCGACGACAGACAGCCACGTTCGACGACACTGCATTCCAGTGCGAGGCACACAGTGGCAAGCAGGAATATGGTTCAGGTGTCCGAGGACTCCGTAGAATGCTGCGGTCTCCACGTTGCCACTTGATCATGGAAGCTGACCACTCGATGTCGCAGTTTCTCGATTTCGGAGTCCACCTTGCCTCTCCTGTCTCACGGATATGGCATTTGAGCAGAAAGGAAAGATGACACGATCGGGCACAGTGGTTGCCTGACTTGCCTCTTCTTTCGACAGTGTGAGATGAGAACGGGTCAGAACAAACAGAGCCCTTGATCGTGAGGCAGCAGGCTGAAAAGGCCAGGCTACCGAAGTCTCCTTGTTTTGTCTCTCATCACGTGAGATATAGACAGTACTTAAAATAGACATTCCCGGGGCCTTGTGTATTCTGGCTGTTCTGACCAATTCCGAACCCCCTCAAAATAATTCTCTACCAGGCCACCGAACTCACACAGATTGCGGCCATCATCCTCGCTAGCTGCGCCTCTCGAGATCTCACTCTGACCAGTCGGACACGAGGTGCGCTTATCGACCTCCCACCTTCGTACCGTTGACTGTATGTACTGTGTGCTACTATCCTGGGCCACTCGTAGAGCAACCTTTTTTTTTTCAGACGCTCGAGGCGCCTCGGCCCCCATTCTCGTCGCTTTGTCTAAGCCCTCCTGCTACTATTGCTGCTCCTCGCGAGAAATGTCACTCGACAATGAGTTAGTTATTCATCCAGGGGGCGAGGAAGTAAGTATAACTAGTCAAGAGACTCCCTGGTATGTAGGTAGGTTGTTGTATTCTTTCAGCGCAACAGCATCACCCTTCACACACACACACATCAAGAGAAACACACAATCATCTATCTATCCTTTCCCAACACTCTCCATCGACAAGCCCAACCAAATCTCCGTCGATCTATCGATCAATCAATCAAAACCGCCCTTCCCACGATCCATTCACCATGGTTTCCTTCAGCACCAGCACCGCCGCCGCCTTCCTGTCCCTGATGACGTTGCTCGCCGGCAGCGCCAGCGCCAAGAGAGCCACCCCGATGGAGCGGCGGCAGACGTACGCGACCACGGTGTCGGCGACCTTCATCGGCGCGGCCGACGCGCAGTACACGCTGGCGATCCCCGCCAACAGCGAGTGGTTCCCGACCGACAACCCGCTGAGCGTGTCGCACATCCAGACCGCGCCTGGCGCCGAGTGCGCCTTCTTCGGCATCGACGGCGCCGTCATCACCCTGCCCGCCTACGGCGGCGAGGTCGACGTCGGCCCGCCCCAGACCATCGCCGGGGGCGTGTGCGGCCCCTTCCCCGGCCAGAATTATGGCATGTGGTGATGCATCTGATTTGATCTGATCTCTTCTGTTCTGTTCTGCTCTGTTCTGTTCTGTGACCAGCGTCCTTTTACGGCAGGAAGTCTGTTACTTGCTCTTTTTGCTTGCTTGCCTGCCTGCTTGCTGGCTGGCTGGCTGGCTGAATGTTCCACCACCACACCATGTCTCTTATTCTGTGATGAATCGAAATTAGCGATGGTGTGTTTCGGCCTGCGTGCGACTCTTTCCTGTCTTGTCGATGTCCATCCTGCATTTCTGCCCCCTGCTCCTACCCCAGGTTTTTACGATTTCTTCTAACAGCTGTATGTATATATATATGTGTGTGTTCCAAAAGACAGATAGATAAATGGATTATTAATGCCCAACAAAAATAAATGTTAGTAACCTCCACCACTCAAGATTCGTGAGAATGTTTTGTTTTATCTGGATCTATGTCTGTCATCAACCTACAGTACGCTGTGGTGGCCTTTTGTCATATTTCATAAATGGGCCAAAGCACGGAACCCGGCCCCGCCCCCTTCGAGTGCCAGCAGTGCATATATACTCGAGCCAGTTCCAAAGAGATGAAATGAATAAGTGGTTTATCATGGCTTCTGTTTCATTCTACGTATGTTGAGCTTTTTTTTTTTTAACATTTTGTTCAAGGCTTGTAACTCATGGTTCTCTATGTTTGCTGGCTTCGCCGCCCTCGACAATTGTGGTCACGATCACGAGAGGAGCAGCAATCTGATGAACTGGCTGAAAGCATGCTCGGACGGCACCGCTTCACCCCTGCACGGCCCCTCTGGGAGACCTTCATTGCCCGCTCGGTTAGATAGATATCTACTGACACAAAACTGCCGGGCAACAAGCCGACTGATCGGTCAAGATAGTGGCTATGATACATAACACAGGCCGAGAATAAGAGTCCCTGTTTTTGTTTTTTTTTTGACCGTTCGAGCTTTCATCCACCGAATGACCTTGACGCAGTTATGAACGGGTTGTGAGCCTCACAAGCCACGCCCCGGCTGTATGGCTGTATCGCGGGGAATGGTTTTCCTCTCCGGCTGTCCCAAGCGGCAGAGATCTTATCAGTGTAGCCCGCAGGAAAATACGACAAGAAGAATTAATCAAAATGTGGCGCCCGGCCATGAGGCAGGCCGTACCACTTCGTCGTCAGAGGAGCAGCACCAGCACCAGCACCAGCAGCACCCTCCTCCCGCTCCAGTCTATTGTCCATCCGGTGCTGCTCGGCCATCGGCGCGGCGACGTGGTGGTATTCCTGGTCACTAGCAGCAGCAGCAGCAGCCACCACCGCCTGTGCCCGCAGCTGGGCCGCGATCTGGCGGTGGTCATGCTGTTGTTGCCTTGACATGATCGTCGTCATTGCCTCTGGGCCACCCACGGCGGCAGCGGCGGCAGCGGCGGCAGCAGTTGACATCATAGGAGCCAGGAAGGGCAGTTCTTTCTCCTCGTGGGCGGGAAATGGTCGATTGAAGTTGGGGTTACGGCGGGGTCTGGCGATGCGATTGGCCGTGGGAATGCGGACTGGGGCTGAGTGCGGTGGATGTGATTGTTGCTGATCCTGTCGAGCCTCGCCTCCCGCCGCTGTCGTTGAGTGCACCGGGCGTGCTGGGATTCTGTTCACGACGGGTCGAATTCGCTCGTATGACCGCCCTGACAGCGGCGCTTGGTTGGACTGGGTGCGGTTCGTCGGTGCCTGGCCAAACGGCAACGGCGACGGTAATGTCTGGTTTTCCGCGGCCGCCATCACCACCACCCGCCGGGCGGCGCCAGATCTCGAATCGGATGCCGTCATCTGGGAGGCGTTTTCTTTTGGATCGGGTCTCGCGGAAGCTCGGTTTTCATGTTGCGTTGTGTCACTGTCGCCAGATCCAGGGCGAGACACGGACGTCGTCTTCTGAATCTCCCGTTCTTCGGCCGACGTCGACGACGACAGCGATGCCAAGTCGTCATGAGCCGGAGGAGGACCCTCCAACATCTGCACCTCTCCGTTCCGTCCTTTCTCGCACACCACCCAATCTGCATTCAACGACGCCTCCGGCTGACGGGCCGCCCGTAAATCTCGGACGTTATTGCCGCTGGGGATCACGTAGAAATCTGGATCCGGGGGGACGACTTCCCACTTGTCGTCATCAACACGGGTGGATTCAGCATTGACAACTCCTGGCGCGCACCCTTTCTCTGCAATGGACCTATTGTCACAGTGCTTCCTGGAACTGCTGCTCCTCCTGGGCTGTTCCGGGCCCTGATAGCGATGATGATGATGGTGATGACGTCCACGACGACCTTGCTCCGTGTACGATGAATCCGAATCAGAGCGGTGGTCCAGGCCGTCTTCGTCGGCATTGTTGTAGATATTGTCGTCGAGCCCGGACAACTTGTTCGCCAAGTTCATGATCGGGCCGGAGACCCAGTTGGGAAGGAAGACAGTGTCGGTGTGCTTGAGCTCGAAGCGCCCGTGGCGGTGGGTGCTGGACGAGGAGAAGATGCGCGAATCCAGCGTTTGATCTCGCGCCTGCAGCCGGCAGCAGCTTATGAGGGACGAGGGACGAGGGACGGAGCGAGGGAGTCCCCGCTGAAACAGAACACAACACCCAGTATTCGGTGCACTCTGAGAGAGAGAGAGAGAGGCGTTTCTTGGGTATCCCCAACCGACGTTTTGATTTTGATTTTAGATATATTGGAGGACGAGACTAGGGGAGCCGGCAGAACAGAACAGAGCAAAGCAGAGAAGGAGGCTCTGTCTTATAATGCCCATCCATCTTCTTCCGCCGTTTGTAACGCCCCCCTCCCCGGCGGAGCTGGCGCCGTCACAAGAACAACTAACTCACTACCAAACAGAAAGGGCGAGAGGTTCACCAACCCTCACTTTGTTGTTATGAGGTGTCCATTCGTTTGGCTGGGGAGGGGGAAGACAGTCAGTGCTGTCTGGACCGTCACAGAAGACAAAATGTCCAAGGCCACACCCGGTCGGGTCCCAGTAGCACGAATTCTTCGTTTGCGTGGAAAGGACGTCACAGTGGCCGTGGGCATCTCGCCAGGGGACGATGGGATCCGGGGAGACGATACTTCCCTTTTGGAGTCCATATATATCTTGAACGGTGTATTTCCCAATCTCTGGAAGTTGGATGTTTGCGCTCACCTCAGGCTCAGGGCCGAAACTTGTAGAAACCAGGTTGAAGCTCTGGTGTACGAGGTACTCGAAATAAAACGACACAACAACAACCCCCTGAATTCTTGGCAGATATCTCAGCCTTGTCAAGGAGGAGAAAGACAAACATGGGAGCAGATGTGATTGTAAGTAATATGCCTTCCCGTATGTCGCTTAGCAAGATATCGCCCGAAAGTCTCACCATTAATAAATTTCTGTATATTTTCTAAGGCGTAATTTTACCATATAATGTCATTTTGAACTGGAGAAATTCCCTGCAAACCCTGGGCTACTAATGCTATATTTCTGCGTGGGGGGTAGGCGGCAGCCACCACAACCTGCTGCATATGACTGAGGCTTCGTCGAAGTCGAGTACTGCTTACAGTAAGCTTTTACCCTCTGATGAAGTTTTTCCAAGCATCTGTGGTACAAACCGATAACAATAGAGCTTGGTGTTTTTCGTTCCGGCTGATCTATCTCGTCCTACCTACTGTAATGGGCTAGCGAGAGTAAACAAACTTTGGGACAAAGAGATTCCACTCCTTGTAAACTCACCTCTTTCTCGAGGTAGACGCGCTGAGATCGTGAAGCCGTGGCCTTTGGCTTCTCTTCACAATGGAATCTTTTCGATCAAAAGTACTATCTCGGAAGACAATGATGGTTTTACTCCCCCTGCCAGTTCTTCTCTTCTTGATTTGGAGGCGATCTTTCGCGAACATCCACCCCTCGCGACCCTTACACAAAATCGAGCGGAATTCTCCACACCTCGATGATTCGGTCTCAATCCCTTATGCGGCAGAGGACTCCGACTTGCCCGCCAAGATTCCTGACACGACTGAGATATTAAGCTGTCAGCGAATTTTAATAGAACGAACCGGTGTCAAGGTCGTTGCTCTCGGACACCATTTTGTCGCTAAATATGGGCCAGCTGTTAATCTGGAGGAAGGCCGAACGATGATCTTTCTTCGTCGACGCGCTCAAGTCGCCATCCCCAAAGTCTACGCCCTCTTCCGTGCCTGTGATCAGAACTTCATCATCATGGAGCGAATCGAAGGTCAAACGTTACGGGACGTCTGGCCTGCACTGACGGATGTCGAGAAAACGACTATCGCTAATCGAATCAAGGAATCTCTCATCAAAATACGATCTCTTCCAGCACCAAATACATATTGCAGCCTCGGAAACAAACCACTACGACATCCTCTCTTCTGGACACCGGCAGACGACCCAAGATGCGATGGGCCTTTCGAGTCAGAATCGGAATTAAACGATGCACTCGTCAGAAAATTCAGAGCTTCGGAGGCGATGCAAGGAAAGGCGCCTTTCTACCAAAACAACCTTCCGTATGTTTTCCAAGGGCATCCTCCAGTCTTTACACATGGCGATCTGCAACTCAAGAATATGATGATCAGAAAAACCCCAGAATCACTGGGAGAGGTCGTCCTTCTAGATTGGGAAGTTGCTGGTTGGTATCCTAACTACTGGGAATACGCTCAGGCTATCATTGCTTGTGGACTATTTGATGATGACTGGCATCAATATGTTAATGACATCCTACCGGCTTTTCGAAGTGAATACGCCTGGCTACGTATGATACGGAGCGAGTTGTGGTGAATGCTCGGTGATTGTAATTTGCTCCGGACGATGAAGCCAGCGCTCCCACTTGACTTATCTAAGAACATGTGCTTCTCGTAGTTTCTTCAGAGCGTCCAGGACCCAATGCCGACAGTCCTTCTCAAATGTCACTCCGTGGATGACCTGGTGTCGCGGCGGAGGAGTGTCCCGACAAATCGCCTCGAATGTGGATAGATCGCTGTTAGCGACTTTCCCCTTGTACACCTTGTGTGAGAAACTCTCCGACCTCTCCGGCCCATTCGTCGCCCGTTTTTCATACCGATAGCCACTGAGGTTGTCGCCGATGACATGATACAAAAATCCTCCTGCCTGGCTCATCTCGACGTAGATTGCCTCGTGATAGGCTGGCAGCCCTTTGTAAGAGACTGAATAAACCTGAAATTCCGACATTTTGTGCTGTGAAAGGCTAGTTTCGGCCTTCTGACTGGTGGACATATATGGTGTGGGTGAGCAGAAAGTCATGCAGTGGTGAGAGCAATGTATGACGATTTCCAAGGAAAGATAGCCATGGTACAATATAGCGGGGTTTGGAATATTGCCAGATACGGTGTTCAAGTACGAATGTAATCGCCGCAAGCCGACTTGCCCACATCGTCCATGGATTTCCGAAAGTGACATAATTCTACTTCCGACTAGCCAGGATGGATGTCAGAAATGCAATCAAGAAAAGAATGAGTGCACCTCACTGGAAAGGAGCGGCAATACTCTTCTCATTTTCCATGGACGCCACCCTCTGCACTTCACGAAACAACCAACAAGATAGCCCGACTACGCAGGAAGGGAGTGGCACCCCTTTCATGTACTGTACGCCCACGATGGAGGACTCAACCGCAACATATCAAGACTTTTGGGACTGACGGGCGGCTAGATCCCTATCTACTCATAATATCCTATTATGTGTGGTCGCTATGATAGGACGTTGTGTCCACGACACAGCCTGCACGGCCATGACACATCCCTTTCAACCCCATACTATGCCCCATGTGGATGTAAATTTGTAGAGAGCATATCGTTCCAAGAGCCAAGTATGCTTTCCGTCGTAGACAGGATCTGTTGCTGCACAACCGCCCACCAACTTTCTGCCTCCACTCAAAAGCCTCTCTCGAAATCAGGGGTCGTCAACTCCGATTTCACAAACGGCCTGGTCAAACGGTAGGACCATCCCGGCTTCTCCTTTGCAGACATCTCCTTCTTGACCCCCTTCGCTTCCTCTTCCTGTTCCTTGCCCACTTGCATTCTATTTTCGGGCTGGGGCTGATCTTCTTGCGCTTTTGTTCCTTCCCCATCTCCATCAGCTGTGTCGTGTTGATCGGTGCCGCTGCGAGAAAGTCGAGCAATGACATTCCCGAGTCTTCTACCCAAAGGAGAGTTCACCAGCGTAAGGCTTCTCCGAGGGGGATAGAGCCGACCTGACGTTGATGAAGCGGCACTAGCAGTATTGTCCGATTCTCTCCCTTCCATATGCTCTGGTGTGGAGAGGCCTGAACGGTCCGGCTCGTCATCGGGCCCAGAGCTTGAGTTGACTTCGGAGATCTTGCTAAGCTGTGCAATAGATGCGCTGCTGGTCTCCATCTGGTGGTCAGGAGCATGTCGAAGTTGGGCTTGGTGAATCCATTTCTTCCGGAGCGAGATAGGGACGTCGTGAGCATTGGTGTCCATGATTGAGCTGTGAACGGCCAGGCGGACTCCGCGGCGAGAGAACCTCCGTGCTAATGCATCTGATTTCTTTCTCTTGTCCTCCGCAGTACTGACTGGAAGGACGTCTTCCATGACCGGAATCTCGACACCAGTCGCTGAGGAAAGGTTTCGGCCATGAGCGCCTGGCTGGAAGGATGGGCTGGTATCGTAGGTTCCGGACGAGGAAGTCGAAGACGAGTGTTCATGAGTCTTTTTGGCAAGATTCTGAAGATCCCCGATCGCGCTCCGGCTGGCAAAGACAGTTTCGAGGATGGCCAGGTCTTCTTGTAAGGTGTGTGGGGAGGACTCGGCGAGGCGACCAGGCGAGCTGGAGAAAGATTGTCAATCCTGCAGTGCTTGAAGCCGAGGAGGGGAACTAACTTGTGAGTGCCATATTCCTTGCCATGGTGTAGGACGGTGCGCATGACCACCAAAGTGGTCTTGTTGGCTTCGAGGTGTCTCTGTAGCTTGCGAACGTATCTCTTTTTGGTCAGCCAGCCCACGGCACTGGTCTTTGGACCATCAACCTTTTGCATCTCCGTGCAGCAATCGGCGATGTCTTCGAAGATACCCCCAAGGTGAGCACGAATCTCACCCAGGTCCTCGCGAAAGGCCTTGGTATACAATTCCTTGTTGGCCGTCACTGCAGAATCGAGGCTGTGGAGCTCTGCAGCGAGGAGCTTCAGTTCTCCAATGACATTGGCGATATCTGACGAAGTGCTCTCATGTCCACATTGCTGACGAAGTTGGTCAAGGGTGACTGAGAGTTCTTGTGCTCGAAGTGCAAGACTACGCAGGTCGGTCGTTTCTTCAGCTGCGGAGGATAGAAGGTTTGATTGCTCGGGAGAAGTGTCAACGACACCAGTAAGACCTCGCGTTTGATCCATGCTGGCAGTGCACGAAGAGGGAGACTGAACACCGTGCCAAGGGAGAAGGTTGAAGTGGGAGACAGCTGTATCTGAGAAAACTGCAGGGTGAGGTTGACAGAGTGAATGCACGCAGGCTTTGGCAACTGCGACTTGTATCTTTTCTCTCTTCTCTCTCAAGAAAGGAAGGTTCATCGAACACAACTCACAGGCGTTGTTCTCCATCATGTCAATGCCTCTAAGGATTTCATCAGCTACTGGTGGCATCTCAACACCTCCCGTCGTGCACCAAACACATTCCCAGCAAATCCTCGCAGTTGCACCTCACATTTCGATCAAAGCTCTTCAACATGGTTGAGAACGAGATGGTGTCTCACACATTCTCACATCTTCACTTGTCCACCCCACGCCACATCATACGACAGGGGCAAAACACACAGCCAACATCCATTGATGTATATCGCTCATGCCTGATGCGGATGTTGTATGGCCTCTGACAGCCGGGACATTCTTCAGTGAGATTGAAACAGATCTTGAACCTGTTCAACACATCTTTCATCTTCTTCGACGGAGTTCGCAGCTCCCCCTTGACCTCTTTTTGGCTGCTTTGGACTGCACCAGGGTGTGATCTTTGTTCTTGATCGAAGTCATCTCTTTATCATTGGGCACCCATCGCCATTCACGCCTTATCGAGATCAACGGCACGTGTGCAGGCAGGTATTGGCAAATCATTCACTGACATGTCCATCTTGGGAGAGTTTCTCTGCTCGCGCCCTGGATGTTTGAGATTCCCATGACGTCCTGTCATCGACCAACACCCTTTGTTACTTCTTTCCCACCAAGTTAACTCAATGGGAAACTCTCGAAAGGAGATTCGGTTGGTTCTAGACTCCATTCTCGTTGTGGACCACCTTGAAAGGGAGCCCTAGATCCGTGGCAAGATCATCGCGTTGGTTGAATCACTCATCTGCACCAGCTTTCAGTCCCCGAACAGATCCTCCAAAGTTTCACACATCCGTTTCTGCAAATCCCTCAGTTCCCCCTTGTCAATCCTCCCCTCGTTAGCACCGGCTTGCTTCTCTGGGCCATCCTCCAAGATTACCAATTCGTGCTTAATCGCGTAAAACGGCACGCCGAGCGACCGCAATTGCCGGTCAAAATCTGCCGACATGGCCAGCAAACCCGCATAGACTTTTTTATCGTAGGCGTCTAGTTCGGCTTGGTCCGCTTTCTTCTGTTCATCCGATGGTGGCGACGTGCGCGGGGAAGCAGTGGCCATGTCCTTCGCACCAAGGGACTTCAAGATGGCCGAGACCTGCTGTGACGTCCCAGATCGGCCCTGGTGTCTCGCAACGATAGCTTCGCGACCGGCCCACCACTGCCGCTCGTGCTTGTGCTGTTCGTTGATCAGGTGCTTGATCCTGTTGGCCACTTGGTCGTTGTGAACAAGATGGCGCGAGACATGTTTGATCGCGGCTGGCCAGGTGACGATGGTCGACGCATCGGGGACGTTGGGATTCGGAGTCGTCGTCTTGCTGCGAGGCGGCTCGGGCAGACGAGGTGTCGACGTCCTACTCTGTGCCTGGGACTGGATTGGAGTTGCGTCTTGGTGGCGATGGATAGGTGGCGGAGAGACAGCCTGGTTATGAAGGGTTGATGGGAGGAAGCCGAGCCCCGGGATCGTCGAGTTGGCGGTCCCAAGGTTCGCATCATGGGAACCCAGATTGTTGTAAGAGTTATATGCGTAGAAAGAGGTCTGCAGCGGCAAGGGCGGCGGCGGCGGCGCCTGGTGGTGTTGTTGTAGTTGCTGCTGCTGCTGCTGTTGTGAAAAGCTATTCAGCGCTGCGAGTACCCGCTGGAGCTCGGGATTCCGCTGACCGTCCATGTCGGGACCTGCAGCAACGTCATGGGGCTAGGACTTCAAGAGCAATAGTGATAGAGTCCTGGGGCATTGCGGAGAACTCTTCCACTACCAAGGACAGAGGATGTGGTCTCGGGGGATGCAGAGGATATTGAAAGGAGAAGTCAGAGAAGTCAGGTTCTCTCGGCAAACGACAGCCTCGCTCGCGGCTTGGCAAGGCTGCATCCCGTGGGCCCGTGTTTGTGACAGGGTGGATGTGCAATGGCTGGTCGACTTGCCAGAGCGAGGTAATAAGTGACACTCAGCATGGATAGAAGGAAGAATCATCTATTACATAGCGAGGAGCGAGATAGATGCCTGAAATGGTGAACGACGCCGTGAAATGCCAATTAGGAAAAAAGTGGGTCTCGCTTCCCGTGTCGCCGTCATGCGATTCTTTTGCTTTGCTGCTTCTTTTCTGAAGCTTCATTCACTGCTTCATTTTCTCAAGCCACCAACCAACACTGGCTGTTGCTCTGCCCTCAATTGACCTCCCGTCTCCCTCTTGTACACTACCAGCCCATTTCCGCGAAAACCTTTACATGTCAGCTCTGTAACACCAGTGCCTCCCCCCCCTTCCGAGGACCTGCCTCACAATCTTTTTCTCTCCTCAACCTCCTGTAGCCAAAAGAGAAATAATGAAAACATTCATCCCCAAAATGTCGCGACGACCCGCTTCCGACAGCTTCACTCGCTTCACCTCAACCACTCCACATGCCACGACCTTCACCTACCAACCTGCTTCCCGGCCGGCAGGTAGGAGCGTACCCTCATCCTCATCAACACCCTCACAATCCCCTTCTCCCCACCAAGCGCCGCCACCCTCGAAAGAAACGGCCATGGAAAGGGTCGCCCGCCTCCGGGCCGCGCACGAGGCCGCCAAAAGCTCCGCCGTGACCTCGCCCATCGACCGACTTATTTCCAGCGGCCGGGTCATTGCCGACCGCGCCCACCGCCTGACCGCGTACGGCCTGATCCTCTTCTCCGGACTGGCGGTCTGCGTCAGCGCGTACGGCACAATCTCGCTCATCGCCCATTCGAGGAGACAAAAGCGCGCGTGGGTCGAACGAGAATTAACACGCTTGGATGACGCCCGGCGAGCGTTCCTGAAAGGCGAGGCGACTGCGGAGCAGCTGCACCTCCTGGAGCAGGAACGCGCCGGGCAGGAGATGGAGGCCGCGAGGGTGCAAGAGGCGCAGAGGAAGAAGGAGGAAGGCTACTGGACCAAGTTGAAGGGGTTCGTGGGTGGTCAGATGGCAAAGGGGACGATGGGAGAGGAGACGGCTGAGGAGAAGAGTCGGAGGGAAGCTAGAGCGGCGTGGGAACAGAGGGGCCTTAACCCCGGTGAGGACAGCTCGACCGCCGACGGAGTACAACCTGTTCCTGCGGTGCAAGGCGTTCGGGTCGCGCCGAGCGGTGTGAAAGGCGTGGGCATTGATTCCAAAGGACGTCCTGTCCCTGCCAACAAGGTCGAATACATCGCCAGGAAAGCAGAAGACGAACCGAGAAGGGTCGAAGGGGATGTGGCTGCAAGCCCCGCCGCTGTGGGAGGGCCACTGGATGTCATGGCGAGTAACGTGGTGGGTGCTGTGGCAGGACCTTCGACAGAAGGAGGGAGGAGTTGGTTAAGTTGGATCAGGGGGAGCAGCAGCAGCAAATCATAGACACGTGGAAATGGGGAGGGGATGTTGAAAAGCGATTGATTCCTGACCTTGCAGGGCCATCCGAGACATGTCCCCTTGTATAGCTATGGTAGGCGGCGTTCACCCACGCGTGAAGCAGCCACGCAAAACTCTCAATTTAAAATCCCTCGTCGAGAACAAGTAATGCCCTGGACCATGCTGCTTGCATGCTCACCAAGTGAATACCCTCTAACCTCGCAGCCCTCTAAACCGTGATCATCATGCTTTTCATTCCATCTGTATTCTCGTTGCTCGTCAAAATCATCATGCCATCAATAATATGCCAAACGTCCGTTCATGTCCAGATAATGTGGCTGTAATGGCCCGGCACTTTCTGAATGCATTTCTCACAGCCATTGAGGTAACCCATGTGGAGTCTCGCCGACCTCGCCCGTCCCGAAGGACTTGAGTTTCCATCCACTCCATATTTCCCTGCGGGACAATGCACCTGAGTGGCCGATTCATCTCGATCCATCATCATTGCGGTGTCCATATCCTGGTCCTCGACGGGGCTCGGCAGACCGTCTCGAGTGATCCACGACTCCTGCTCGATCATCGGGCTCAAATTCGTGCGCAACGGTGGAAAGTGATGGCGTGGGACGGTGGGCAGATCATTGATGCGGTTGTCGAAATGACCGCTGATGGGCGTCGGCACTCTTTCTCGCGCAAACGTATCCGGAGCATTCAGAAAATGGGGGTCGCGTTCAGGAGGGACAATATCGTTCGACCGAGCACGTCGTATCCTCGGCTGGGCGACCGGAGGCGCCATGGTCAGATCCATGTCGACATCTACGGGATCGCTGGATTCGGCCTTGATTGACGAGATACTCCTGTCGTTGTCCCGCTGCGGGTTGGGCCTTGTGGCCGGCCACCGGTCGTCTGCCCCGTTGAACGACTGCCCAGAACTCTCGTCATCTGAGGTGTCTACCGGAGTTGGAGGTTGCTGGTATATCGAAGTGAAGAGGGAGTAAGAAGCGGGAGGAACCGAGACATGTGGCCGCGAAGATGGCGATAAGCGGATGGGCAGACAATGTGTTGAGGTAGACCGTCGTTTGGAGTCGCGGACGAAGAAGCGGCCATCGTCCTCCAGATGGTCCGAAGGTCGTTTCCGCTTGCAGGAGGGTGTCGAGATGTTGAGATGGAAAGCAGTGTCGACGTCGGCCATGGCAGAAGGATCAGCGGTGGTCGGGTAATGGGAGCCCAGACCGAACATCGATTTGGACAGTGTGGGTTATGGAATGAGGAGCGATTGTGGTGTGATTATTAGAGGGGTATTTTTATGTTTCCAGCGTGGAAGTGCCAGTCATAGCCCCGGGTGTAAGGAGAGTCGATCAAACTGTGGCAGTGTCGTGTGGTTGACGTCCTCGAGTAGGTGAAACAAGGACAATTTGGGAGAGGACCAACCAGAGCGCGCGTCTGGGCTCAAGGCGAACGGCCGAGTCTCAGATGGAGGGTGTTCGGGAAGTCAGCTTTCCGTACGAGTGAGGACTCTGGGATTCTTGTATAAGGGGGCGGCTGAGCCTCAAGATGGGGATGATAGTAACATGAGTTCAAATACTATGGACTCGGTATGCTGTGCCGGGTATGATGAAGGGGGGGAGGAAGAAGGAGACAATCGCGTTTGTGGGGGAATTGAATGAGCCGAACGGGATGGTCAAAGGGGGAAGGAAGGAGCCACGGCCACGAACAAGCAAAGCAACCGAGACCAAGAGCCGCCCTGTGTCACTACGTCATCACGTCCTGTCCACCTCGTACTCCGTGTCCGCACTTTGCCCGTTTGTGTGGCGCCCATCAGCGCCATGTGGCGGCGACTTGTACTGCCTCAATTCGGCTTAGCGCCACCGGTCGGTGGAATCCTGGAAAATCCATTTATCCGATGCAGCGAGTCACACGGTCACACCGCCTTCTCGTCCTTTTTTTACTTTTTGCTGCCCCTCCGCGTCTTCCCCCAACTGCGCCCGAATTTTTTCTGAGTCGATGCCAGTCCTCGCCGCACGTCGCCTTTGTGAATCATGCTATTGACTGGGATGACTGGAGATCCGCCCAAAAAATAGCTATACCACCTTACGTTCCCGTCTGTTCTTCTTTTCCTGACCTCCTCTTCCTTTCCTTTCCATTCGAGTGCACCTCTCTTTGCTCCCCTTGTCCTCGACTGCTCACCTCCAATTCACGCTTCTACCTCCCTTTCCCTCACGATGCCCGCCGTTGATGCTCCAGCTGCCACCCCCGGCGAGGACGTGCGAATCCTTGGTTATGACCCTCTTATCCCTCCTGCTCTCCTGCAGGCTGAGGTCCCGGCATCTCAAACCTCCGTCGAGACCGTGGCTAAAGGCCGTCGAGAATGCAAAGACATCATACACCAGCGGGATGACAGACTTCTCGTCATGGTCGGACCTTGTTCCATCCACGACCCCGCAACAGCCCTTGAATATGCCGGTCGGCTGAAAGAGCTCGCCGAAAAGCTGTCGTCGGATCTGTGCATCATCATGCGCGCCTACCTAGAAAAGCCCCGGACCACGGTGGGCTGGAAAGGCCTCATCAACGACCCGGACATTGATGAGTCATTCAAAATCAACAAGGGTCTTCGTGTCTCGAGACAGCTTTACGCTGACCTCACGTCAATGGGTATGCCCATTGCGAGCGAAATGCTTGACACCATTTCCCCGCAGTTCCTGGCCGACCTCATTTCCCTTGGTGCCATTGGCGCCCGAACAACCGAGTCTCAACTGCACAGAGAACTTGCCTCAGGTCTGTCCTTCCCGATGGGGTTCAAGAATGGCACAGACGGGTCACTGTCCGTGGCCATTGACGCCGTCGGGGCCGCCGCCGCAAAACATTACTTCATGGGTGTCACAAAACAAGGCTTGGCTGCCATAACAAAAACATCCGGCAATGAGGACGGCTTCGTGATCCTCCGTGGCGGCTCAAAGGGCACAAATTACGATGCAGAGTCTGTGAAAGCAGCTCGAGCAGCTTTGAAATCCAAGGGCCAGCGAGAAGTCATGATGATTGACTGCTCACACGGCAACTCAAAGAAGAACCATAAGAACCAGCCCTTGGTCGCCCAGGTCATCGGCGACCAGTTGAGACAGGGTGAGGACGCCATCGTGGCGGTCATGATCGAGTCGAATATCAACGAGGGAAATCAGAAGGTGCCTCCAGAAGGTGGACTTGATAGCCTGCAAAAAGGGGTCAGCATTACCGATGCTTGTATCAACTGGGAAACGACGGTCGAGGTCTTGGAGCAACTGGCCGAAGCAGTGAGAGTGAGGAGACAAGTCAGAAGTACCAAACAGCAGAACGGGGCGAACGGCGTGTCCAATGGACACCACTAGACCTTGCAGACGCAGCAAGCGACGTTCCTTTCCATGCACCTACCACCACGGTTTTTTCCAACTACGCTCAACCGCTGAAAAAGGCATAAAAAAGTATTTCAACGTGCAGACACAGAGACATTTTCTGTCCGAGATATGCATCAAGCTCTGCATTGGCGGCGTTGGAGGCTACGAAAATCATCATGGGCATGCGATCTCGAAGAGCGTGGAGCTCGCTCGCTCGTGCGGAAGTAAAAAAAGACGAAAACAATAGACGACGAAGACCACCACCATCACCATCTGGAGACAGAAAAAACAGCACATGGAAGGAGGAAAAAAAGCATGCATGTCTGGAGAGAGAGAATTCACAAAACCAAAACGGAAAGAGAAAATGCTTGTGGGAACCATCTATCTTGGGCGTCCGCAGAGGGAGGCGTGTGAGGGCACGGCGTTTTTGGTCCCCAGTGCACACACACACATACACACACAAACACACACCACAATGCTCCTTTGATATGTAGTAATGACTGACACTGTGACGATCTGAATTGTTTTTTTTTTTAATCAATTCAACTCGAGTTCTCCTACTTTATTCTATCCTGTTTCACTCTGCTCGGCTTCCCTCTTGTCACTTTCGCGTAGAATTGGTAATTCACATAGCCTGCAGCAGCGTACTCGGTATTGTAGGTTGATGTCGACGCGGCACAGCACATCCCATGTCATGGTATAGCATGGTATAGCATGGTATAGCATAGCATAGTATCGACCGCGACATGCAGACTGCCTGGAGTCTGGAGTCTGGACTGTTTATTAACGTTTCCGAAAGAGAAAAATATACCTAGTCTGGATGGATCTTCTCAACGGCTTGGACATGTCGATCAATGTCAATCATTACATTCCGCACGTCGTGATTGGTGACAATATTTGGCTCTTTCCTAGGTATAAACTTTAACTATGGGATGCTGCACTGTGCTCTGCCCGTACCATGCTACGCCACACTACTATTGCCAGTACTGTGCATCACATACAAAGCAGAGAGAGGGCCCTGCGCGACCTCGTGGTCACTGAGACAAGGGAGGGTAAATGCGAGGCTTGATTAATGACTCCCTTGCTCCTGTTCAGGCAGCTTGCGGAGTATGCTTTGCCGTTCCATCCCATTCCATCTCCATCTGAGTCTCCGGTCAGACCAGCGCCTTCCTTGTATGGCACAGGTCCAGACACACGTACACATAGCCAGTATCGTCTCTCGTAGCGATGTGGGCCAACCAAGAGCAGACCAACGCCCAGCTCATGGATGCCGTCGTCTCAGAAGAAGCAGTGTTCTCCCAATTGACATGAAATGATGATAGCGCCCCATTCCCACCCCCCCTGATCACCAGAATGAACACCACCCAATATAATGCTGACACAGATTCTCCACATTCGTCGCCTGCAGAATCAAGCGATCCACCTGCTCGGCAACCCCCAACCCTCCAATTCCCGCCATGGTCGTCTCGGGCGCCGCTCCCGCAACGGAGACTTGTTTGCTGCCGACTGACTGCATATCGACGGCTCCGATCGCGCCGTTGGTCAAGTTGTTCATCGCTCCACCATTCATGTTCATGAGGGACTCGAGACCAAGTCCGTTGACGTCCGCACGGAGAGCCGTTGCGATAGCATACGAGGGTGTTCCTGGCGCGGCGGGCTTGAAGTCACGTCCGGTCAATTTCTCCTTGACGCGGGCCAGGACCTGCAATGCCCGGGCATTTTGGACCTCTTTCGCTTCCTGAGCTGCAGTATTGTTGTCAACCGTCTTGTCAAGGACACTTCCACCTACCATAGCCGGGTCGAGAACACTACTGCGTCGGTGTCGACGGCCGGGCGGTGCGCCTACATGGCTCTGTCCCTGGGCATTCATCATGGCAGCCGGGTTGTTCGCACTCTCCATTGGACTGCGATCATAGTCTCCGCCCTGCCCATTGGGGGCGTCAATGATGCTCTGCCTCCGTTCAGAGCGGAAGTGTGGTCTGGGCGGAGACTCGCGGGTGTTGAGACGCCAATTGAGCAAGGGGTCGTGGATGAAGGCTTCCAGCACTGCCAAAATGGACTCCTTGTTCTCGCGAATGACCCGCATGACATTTTCGCATGTTATGCGGAACGATCCCTCGATATTGCTAACCTCCATGGCAAAGGTGAGCATTCGCGTCAGACGGAAGGGAACTCGTTCTGGATATTTTTCGCGATGCATGGCTACTTCGAAACAATCACCAAAGTCAATGTGGATGATCTTGCCAGTGATGCGGTCAAGCATGAGGTTTGACGGATGACGGTCTCCCAGCCCGAGGATATAGCCGACCATTGACATGACAGCCAGTGAGCGGGTGTAGTTCGTTCGTCGATCCAGCCACGCTTCCGAGCTTTTAGACTTGAGCCAGAGCACACGGTAGAGGTCTTTACCGGTGGTGTTGTCCATGGCGTACCCGAAAACTTCTACCTTCTGCATGAGAGTCAGGTTGTCGTAGTCAGGTGCCATTTGAAGCATAATTCTGTGCTCAATATTCAATAGGATGCGCCTTGACTCGCGATAGTCCTTGACCAGGTTATGAAGAGTATCAGAGTTAGGTACCCAGCCCAACAGTCCAGAGTTCTGCGATAGCGGTATTGCTGGGAAACGTTGAATGTTCAGATGTCTCTTGAATGATTCGGTATCGTTATTGAGAAGGGTATTGACAAGGCCGAACAGCTGCATTACCCGCTCATCTTGTCTGATATCTTCGTGACCTTTGAGGACGAAAGCATACGAAACACCATCTGATCCTTTGAGCGTCATTCTTCTGGGTCGTTGCTTGGAGGGTATCACAGTGAGGACATGATCAAAGCTCACAATCTTGATAATGGGCTTGCCGGACTGGTAGGTACCAGGAACCGCAAGGTCGAGATCATGAGCATCCTTTAGTCGAGGCGATACGTATTTGAGGTCGAGGCTCATCAGCTGAGGGAGTTGCCTCGCGATCTTTCGGAAGACCGCATAGTACAGATCCCAAGCTTGGTTAAGGTCACCGATTTCTTTTGAGCGGCGGAAAGCGTTGCAGAAAGCCCGCGCCTCCGCCAGGTCGTGGCCAAACGCTTGAGCAAAGGACACCTCCCTGAGAGTTTCAGCTCCTCGGTCGAGGAGTTCGTGGAGCGGAGCCAGGGTGGCAAGCATTCCCTCCACATCATGATCGCCAAAGTACAGGCGAGATGCTTCCTCCAGACCTTCGTGCCAAAGTTCATGCCAAAGCACCGCGACCCTGATGAGTTCGTGGCTAACCAGATCCGCTTGCTCGACGAGTCGAGGACTGTGTGTTCTCATGCTATCCATGATCTGGGTTGCTGAATTGGCTCGTCGCGCAACCGATGATTTCATTGCAACCATCAAAGGGTAGACTAGTGCTTGGGGGTGCGCTTTACCAACTTCTGCGAGTAACCTGTGCACAGCTGCTCGTACTCTCGCGTTTGGCTGATTGATTCTAGCTATCAACTGGGGAATAACCTCCAACCAGGTATCAATGCTGACGGAAGCGAATCCCTCGATCACCACTTGGTTGACTTCACTATGGCCGCCATGAGCAAACCACAGCGTCAATAGGCGAAGTGTGTCTTGGAGCGAGCTTGTTTTGGAAAGCGCAATTGACCGGAAGAAGCCTCCAATGGCAGGTACGACATGGTTCTGAATAACATGTTCGGGCAGGTTGCGGACTTTGTCCTGGTCGGTGTGGGATGCCATAGATGTGACGACTTCGAAGTTCGCCAGTGCGTAAGCATGCCATGCTTTGTACCACGACTCGTTGTATTGCGTGGCCAACTGGTACGAGTTGAGGATGTCTCGTACAGGATCCTGAGCTCGAGGACTTGTCCAATCGCCCCTCAGCAGGTAGGATTGCCACTCCCCTTGTCGGAGGTAGCACTTGGCGAGGAGCTTCGCATATTTCTCCAAGTCTTCGTGTCTCTTTCTCTGAGCTATCGTGTCATGTCCATTCATATCAAGACCATTCATATTGTTCATTCTGTCGTTGTGTGCACCACTGGTCAGAACAGTGTTGGCTTGTTGGTAGTCGTCAGCCAGTCGGGTTGTGAAGTCACGCAAGTATGCCAAAGCTTGCTGTTGGTTCCCCGTCGCCCAAGTGAACTTGAGACGAGCATAAGCAACAGGAGGCGGCGCCGCGCCAGGACCAATAGCAGCGAGGTTGCCACTACCTCCGAGTGACGCGAGTGATCTTTCGGCCAAACCAATACGTTCGGACTTTCGGCAGAGGTTTGCAAACTTGATCCAGATATCCGGGTTCTCTGAAGGCGTAAGAACAAGGGCCCTAACCTTGAGCATTCGTTGCCAGACCTCAACATTGGATTGGCACCCGAGGAGTCTCTTGTTCCACAGCACTTTCATGGCATTTTGTTTCTCGATATTGCCCTCGCTTTGCTTGAAAAGAATGATTTCCTCAAGTTCCGCAAGCATTTGTGATCTGACAACCACGCTGTAGGCACGATTGTAAGACTCGCCAATCGTTGCCGCAATTTCTGAGTTGACACCATCTTGTGCTCGAACAATAAAATTGCGAGCTTCTGCAAAGTTGTTGCGTTGAATGGCGAGGATCGCCCCAAAGAACGCGCGGTCGGGCGAGCTCTCTTTCATGACACTGATGTAGTTGTCCATCAAGTCCCACTCGCCTCTCCCCCAAGCCGCTGCTGCAGCCAGAGCAGACATGTTCCTTCGGTTTTCCGTTGAGGCCCTATTCCAATGCTCTTGTGCAATCTCCGACAGCATTTTCCACTCGCCCAAAGCGTGCAGACACCTCATCTTGCCCATTATAACGTCAAAATTGTCGGGCTCGATCTTCTCGCGCTTCTGATATGCTGCCAAAGCTTCCTCCCATCGCTGGAGCTTTTCGAACCATGCCTCCTTCAACTCGACTTCGCCGAAGACTTGCGCTCTTCGAAGAATGCCAATAGCAGCGTCGGATTGCTGGAGTTGGTTGTTGATGCTAATCAGAGCTTCAACGCTC